ATGATCAAGGTTACTAGAAATTTATGGAAACAAGTACTGGGAAACGCTCTATTGATTTTGGGTATTTGTCGGGATTCTACTTTTTTTTTCTATTTCTGGTATCCATAATCGTATCAGTCTATTTCAGTGGAACGGTACCAGCCAGCCAAATAGACGAAAATCAGGCACCAGTCCATGGAGTGTATACCGTGGAGTTGACACCAGCTGTTGGAGTCTCAACGTAGTATATGGTTTCCGTGGTTGGGATACCGTCAGATCCAGTGAAAGTAGTGACATCAGTCGAGAAAGTCGAGGTCAATGCACCGGTCCATGGAGTGTATACCGTGGAGTTGACACCAGCTGTTGGAGTCTCAACGTAGTAGATGGTTTCCGTGGTTGGGATACCGTCAGATCCAGTGAAAGTAGTGACATCAGTCGAGAAAGTGCTAGTGATAGAGCCAGTCCATCCGGTGGTGATAGTGGAGTTCACTCCCACAACTGGGGTTTCGACGTAGTAGACAGTCTCGGTAGTCGGAATACCATCAGATCCAGTGAATGTGGTGACATCAGTAGAGAAAGTGCTAGTGATAGAGCCAGTCCATCCGGTGGTGGTAGTGGAGTTCACTCCCACAACTGGGGTTTCGACGTAGTAGACAGTCTCGGTAGTTGGAATACCATCAGATCCAGTGAAGGTGGTGACATCAGTAGAGATAGTACTTGTGAAAGATCCAGTCCATCCAGTAGTCAAAGTAGAGTTGACATCAGCAGTTGGAGTTTCAACGAAATAGATAGTCTCGGTAGTTGGAATACCATCAGATCCGGTGAAGGTGGTGACATCAGTAGAGAAAGTGCTAGTGATAGAGCCAGTCCATCCGGTGGTGGTAGTGGAGTTCACTCCCACAACTGGGGTTTCGACGTAGTAGACAGTCTCGGTAGTTGGAATACCATCAGATCCAGTGAATGTGGTGATATCGGTGGAGAAAGTACTTGTGAAAGATCCAGTCCATCCAGTAGTCAAAGTAGAGTTGACATCAGCAGTTGGAGTTTCAACGAAATAGATAGTCTCGGTAGTTGGAATACCATCAGATCCAGTGAAGGTGGTGACATCAGTAGAGAAAGTGCTAGTGATAGAGCCAGTCCATCCGGTGGTGGTAGTGGAGTTCACTTCCACAACTGGGGTTTCGACGTAGTAGACAGTCTCGGTAGTTGGAATGCCGTCAGATCCGGTGAAGGTGGTGACATCAGTAGAGAAAGTGCTAGTGATAGAGCCAGTCCATCCGGTGGTGGTAGTGGAGTTCACTTCCACAACTGGGGTTTCGACGTAGTAGATAGTCTCGGTAGTTGGAATACCATCAGATCCGGTGAATGTGGTGACATCAGTAGAGAAAGTGCTAGTGATAGAGCCAGTCCATCCGGTGGTGGTAGTGGAGTTCACTCCCACAACTGGGGTTTCGACGTAGTAGATAGTCTCGGTAGTTGGAATACCATCAGATCCGGTGAATGTGGTGACATCAGTAGAGAAAGTGCTAGTGATAGAGCCAGTCCATCCGGTGGTGGTAGTGGAGTTCACTTCCACAACTGGGGTTTCGACGTAGTAGATAGTCTCGGTAGTTGGAATGCCGTCAGATCCGGTGAAGGTGGTGACATCAGTAGAGAAAGTGCTAGTGATCGAGCCAGTCCATCCGGTAATTGTAGTAGATTGAATTGCAACGGTTGGAGTTTCGACGAAGTACACAGTTTTCGTAGTTGGGATTCCGTTAGAACCAGTGAATGTGGTCAAACTAGTGGAGTAAGTCGAAGTCACAGTACCTGCCCATGGGCTGAGAGTCGTAGATTGAGTTGCAGCGGTTGGAGTTTCGACAAAGTAAACAGTTTTCGTGGTTGGGATTCCGTTAGAACCGGTGAATGTGGTCAAACTAGTGGAGTAAGTCGAAGTCACAGTACCTGCCCATGGACTGAAGGTCGTGGATTGAGTGGCAGCGGTTGGGGTCTCGACGAAATAAACGGTTTTGGTAGTTCTAATACCGTTAGAACCGGTGAATGTGGTCAAACTAGTAGAGTAAGTTGAAGTCACAGTTCCAGCCCATGGAGTTAAAGTTGTAGATTTAATACCGACAGTTGGAGTCTCTACGACCAACACTGGCTCTGGAGTCAAGGCACCATCAGTTCCTGTGATTGCAGTGGTGGAAGTGGAACTTGTAGTATAAGATCCAGTCCATCCTACTGTTGTTGTGTGCCATTGGAGAGCTTGTTGGTTACCCCAGCCTTCAGCGGAACCGAAAATGAAATTATGGGTCTTACCCGGTGAGTAACGAAATGGATATCTACCACAGTATCCTTCTTCAAGGTAACTAGTGTAGTATTGGACATTTGTGATCGAGCGATCCATCATTTGCATAGCATTGACAAAGATACGATTGTTGGCTGGAATGTTAGCAGTGATCACGACCTTGCTACCGGAGCATTTGACAGTAAGAGCGTCTGACGAGAGAGTTTTCGCTTCGAGCGGCATGTTGTATTCATTGAAATTCTGTGCGATGCGAACTTTGACGGTATCGCACGATGCCAAATCACCGTTAGTGCCGGGGCCTCCCGCGTAGTTAATCGTTATGGTTTCGGAAAAGTCTTGACTACAAGTATTACCCAAAAAGAAAGCCTCTTGATATTGGCCAGTGGCTGGAAATAGAGTCTCATAGCCCGCGTACTTGCTTGAAGTTATAGGCACAAAATTGTTTTGCACTCCAAAATTGACGGTGGATGTAAGTCCGTTCCAGGTAACAGAGTTGACACCTTTCTTAAAAGTCTTAGCAGCATTGATGGCGGGGGCATCGGCAGAGCCACCGTAATTGAAGACAAACCCTAGCTGCACAGCACCATCAGCCTTGTAGAAGTCATCTCTGCTGACGGTACATGTCAAGGAAGATTGTGAGGCCGTATGGAACCCATTTTGGATCAAACAGTTGGCGATGGTCGCGCCAGTCTTATCCACGATGGGTACGTAGCCAGCGTCACCAATTGTCTTACCAGCGTAGAATTTTAGTACGTTTGGTGCTGTAAGTTTGAATGTGTCTCCGGCCTGGACGTTCATCGCCGGAGTGATGGCGAAATTCATAAGCGCAGTCCAAATCATGTCTGGAGAATTGTTGTAGTCCGCTGGGCCCTGAAACGAAAGACTGGTAAATACATTACCCAAGTCTTTAGCGCTTGCGGCTCCCAGCAGAATCGACAATACTAGCCACAATGGTTGCCAGATCATAGTAGTTGTTGAATGCTGTTGTTGGTTGGATAAAAAATGTCCGAAACCTCGGAGTCTATAGTTCGCTACAGCCCAACTGGCTCAGTTATATACTCACCATCGCTTTGAACTTTTACAACATAGGCGCCAGGGAAAGCGCGTCTCGGAACCTAGAAAGAATCCATTATGGTAACCTGAACCGCTGCGAGCTTCTCGTAATCATCCTGCCTGTAAAAAATCTGACGCTGAACTGTCAATAAATCTTGACGTGAGCTCATCCCAGTGCGTATTTTCCGAGCCTCTGTCCAAGTTTGCATGCTAGTGTTCTTTCGTCAGTTCATCGACGGTTTCGTTAGCCCTGCTATCTGAGAACGTTGCGAAAAAAGCTTCCGTGCATATGGGCGTTCCTGTAACCTAAGTACCGCAACGTACTGCATACGTATTCTCTACTGTGTGCCTGCCGTTCATTGATCAACTTTCCCCACTGAGATGTTTAGTAAGAGGATCTTTCTGTCGAATGCAATACGTAGTATACCTACATGATACTGATTGTCTGCGCAAAATTTGCCTCTTTTCGGTTCTCTGCAACGAATGCGCTCTGTTACGCCACAAGGTGCATGTTTCGTGCAGTGATCGAAGTCTCGAAAACCAGGTCGCATCTACTCTGCTGCGTAAACGGGGCTTACTAGCTGCAGAAGGGGTTGATGAATGGTAGGTGATCAAGGTCGGCTACGCTTCTTCCCTTCACAACGCACCGGACGTTTTTTTTTTACAGTCAACACTTTGTCGAGCAAGCAGAGGGACGGATAGAAGAAAATGACCAGGGGAAGCACAGAAGTGAAGGTGGCAGCGGAGAAGCGGTAACGGGAAAGTGTTTTCGAGATCGCCTAAGAAGGCACTTCGCGCAGCCCGTCCTAAGCGAATTGCTCGTACCACAGGGATTCTAGAAAGTTTTTTCTGGACGCGCCATGAGCTATCCATGCGTCATGGCAATCCTTCTATGCATCAGGGCCCCGGGTGGTTCGCAAGACTCGACTTCTCGACGAACCCCAGCTTGTGGTCTACGTCGCTGGTCAGCTATACGCCATTTGCGATCATGCTTCGGAGTTCACCGGAGTTCACCGGAGCAAGCCGAAGCAAAGAAAAGAGCGGTGCACTCGCTTAGAAACCTCTTCCAAGCGCTCGCAAGACACACCACAACACAATACAACACAGCACAACGTTCTTTCCACAGTGCACTTTCGGGGTTTTCACCGCAACAAAAAGATATCCCTGTAGAAAGAAGCCTTGATGTTCGGCGAGATAGCGAGGCTAAAAGAAACAAGCAAGCACAATGCCATACACTTCGTGCGGTGTTGTTGTCCCGGGCGCGCGCTCGAGCTTCTTCTGGTCACCAGATTACTGTTTGCTGACGACGAAACAGATTTTTCAAACTCTGCGTATGCATGCTTACCAAATGTTTTCTCGAAAACCAAAAAGCAACTGATCGTATCTGCAGGCACGCTGAAATAACTGTACATATGCATGGAATCTTAGTCATTGGTTCCGTTAGTATGATCGACGGTGTTGAAAGTGTTTGTCAACAGTAGGGCCTATTGTCCTTACGGTGAAGGCTCAGTCGCGACAGACTATAACGACCTGTTGCCACTAGAGAACGCCCGACTGTGCGGGAGCATCGGTTTCTTGCTTGTGAAGCCAGAGTTCATGTGCGCATGCGTACTTGCGAGGCTGGTAACTTGAGAGAGATGTGAGCTTTTTTTTGGGGCTGTTTGCCTGGGGCATCACCTCGACTTACCTTAACCGATAAATGGCGTCGAACAATATCAGGAAACGCTGTGCGTGGCATCGCAAAATCGGCCAAGTTGCGCCTTCTGTACTCTGAAGCTCCGTGTTTGGCCATTCTATGGGGTTTTAAGGTGGTGAAAGGCACACACAACTGGTGAGGACTGAGGTCCGAGGATTTTCTTGTTCAGTAACCGAGCAGACTTTCTAAAGAGAAGCACTGGATCTGCCAATCAACTTAAATAAGCGCTGCTACATTTCTTACAACCAAGACAATCTAACATAGTAACGACCAGAAACTTCAAACTTCACGTAGCCACAGGTACCGAAAAGCTTTGACGTTATTGCATGGTTCAAGAGTCTGTTCGTATTTTTTTTTTTTGTATTTGTCTCGAAAGTTGATTTTTAGATGTCTAGGAGTGCACACATAACAAGTATTAACGAGAGACTTACAAACAATGCAAAACTAACAGCCAGTCAAGGCAATGATGTCAGGGGTTTTTAAATTTGAACTATTATTCTTTGTTTTCTTTTCGTATCTAAAGTGTATATAGACTATTCGTGTGTTCAAGTAAATTTGAACTTGTATCCGTTGGAAGATGACTTTCTCATCTGCATGCTTTCATTTCATTATAACTAGCAGGAATCTGCTCGTTTATGCTTGAGAATCGGAGTCCTTTCCGTAGAACTCGTCTCTTCTCAAGACAGGGACCCAGCTTTCAGATTTCCATGGTAGAACACCTTCTTGGTACATTTCATTCACTTCCTCCAAAGTCAAACCCTTAGTTTCACAGACAAAGAAGAAGACATAGAAGAACGAGAATACCAAACAGCCCATGAAGACGTAACCGTAGTAAAAGTTGATGGCAGATGTGATGAATGGTGTGCAGAAACCAATGAGGAAACCCCAGATCCAGTTAGAGCCAACAGCGATAGCCATAGCCCGGTTCTTAACACGCAATGGGTAAGTTTCAGCCACGATAACGTAGGCGATTGGGGCCCAAGTGGTAGCAAAGAAGAAGATGAACAAACAGGTGAAAAAGATCATGGCGTTACCGGCAGACTTGGAGGAAGGCATGTCTTTACCGTTTGGCCATAGCTTGGTGACACCAACAGAGGCGAATACAACGAAGCACACAGACATACCGGCAGATCCCCATAGCAGACACTTACGACGACCGTATTTTTCAACGGTGTAAAGGCCCACGAAAGTAGACATAAAGTTGACAACACCTAGAATGATCGAAGTTTGGAAAGAGTCCTCTAGACCGACAGCCTTGAAGATAGTGGTACCGTAGTAGAAAAAGTAGTTGTTACCGGTTAATTGTTGCAAAGATTGAAGCATAACACCCATAATGACACGTTGGAGAATCTTACCATTTGGAGAGAAAAGCTCGCCCCAACTAGCGTTACCGGCCATCTTTTCAGCTTCAACACCGGCGTTGATGAGATCAACTTCAGCAATGACACCAGAGTTATCAGCAGTAAGCTTGTTTGATTTGGCAATGGAACGCTTGGCTTCCTCCAATCTACCCTTTTCAATCAAGAAACGTGGAGATTCAGGAACGAAAACCATACCGGCAATCATGAAAATGGCCCATAGGAAACATAGACCCAATGGCACTCTCCATTGGACGGAGTCCGAGTAAGTCTTGGTACCGTAATTGGTGCAGTAGCCCATGAAGATTCCGAGAGTGATCATCAGTTGATAGAACGAGACACAAGTACCTCTCAAGTGCTTTGGCGCAGTTTCAGAAATCAAAGTTGGCGATAGCACAGCAATGCCACCGACACCGAGACCCGAGATGATTCTGCCAATGAAGTATTGGTACCATTTGTCGCTTGAGGCGATTTGGATGACGATTCCCACAACGTAGACCACAACGACACTCATCAAGCCCAGACGACGACCGTGGATGTCACCGAGGCGGCCAAGTGTGAGACCACCAACGGCGCAACCAATGTTGAAAATGGCCACAATGAGACCGGTGCGAACGTCAGAAAGGAAGTATTCATTGGTGGTGGGGTTGTACTCACCGAAGCGGCGCTTGAAATCGCTCATGGCAACGAACCCGGAAATGGTACCGGTGTCCCAGCCAAACACGAACCCACCGAAGGCGACCATCAGACATAGAGACATCACCAAAATGTACTCAGAAAGAGGTTTTTGTGGAATTTCGTGGCACTCTTCGGGCTGCGCTTTGAGCTCGAAGGCGTCATCGCTCATTTTGTTGGAAGGCGTCATCGACTGCGAGTCGAGAACCGCCCCGTTGCTGGCGCCACCCAGATGTGTGGTGCTGGTCGACCCATTGTTGACAGGCGTTAAAGTCGCAGACATTTTTTTTGTTGTTTTCAGTAGTAGTCTTGAGTATTACTGGTACTGTTTGATGCAGAACGAAAAAAACGAGAAACAAGAGAGCGTAACAGTTGTAGCCATTGAGGGACAAAACGCCCGCCTCTTATACAATTCCAAGTGGCTCAAAATCTTGAGCCTGAGGGAAACTTTTATTCTGGCGCCGTTCCTCAAAGTTTCGCTCAACAGGCAATTCCCCGGAAAAATTTTTCTCGGGGAAACTTAGTTTCTCCGCATTCGGAAAAACTTTTGTGGGGACCCTGCCTGCGCCCACTCGAGAAAACACAGAAACGGGCGCAGCTCACTATTAAACCGGAAAAATCCGGAGAAACTGTGGGGGTCAAAGTTTTGCCGGAAGACAGGGTTCAGCGGAAGAAAAAGAAAAGGAAGATGGTACCATATTTTCTTTTGTGGGATTAAACAATGTGAAGGCACCAATGCAGGGTCGGCTGGAGGCTGATTTGATGAAATAGATACAAGCGGTGAAACTTTGCGAGAGAAAGCCAAAAAATTCAACGTCATGTCATGGTGCCGTGCCGTGCCATTTGGTGGGTGAAATTGCACCATGGGTGCGGTAGGGATGTGCGGCGTATCGTGAAAGCCAGGCCATGCGGCGAAACACACTACGGAAAAGAAGTTGGGGAATGCGTGTGGGTACGACGACGACTGCTTATACATAGGTACGAGTACTGTAGAAGGGGGATCCCAGGGTCGGGTTCAGACGGGCACGATATCACTGCGACATGGCTCGAAATGTGGAATCTATCAGGTCTTTGAGCTCTTTGTAACTGATTATTATGCAATTCATTTCGTCGGGGGTGACTAGCATCAGTTTTTCGCCGACACCGGCGTCGAGCTTGTTCAGACACCGCAGCACGTGAGTGAGGTCCATGTCGGGCTTGCCGGACTCGTCTGTCTGATGGAACACGTAGTCATAGAAGAGAATGATGGGGAACTTCTCGCCGGACTCGGACCAGTTGATGTCGATGCGCGACTCGACGCGGCCAAAAATGAAATTCAGCTTGCACATGAGCCGGAAAAGACGGGCGTTTTCGAGTTCTCGCGCCAAAATCGACTCTGTGTATTCCGCGTAGGTCTGGAGAGCGCTCACCACGGGCAAGATGCGGTGCGAAAACAGAGCCAGAAGTTCTGGTAGCGACTTGGGTTCCGCCGCGGACGTGTCCAGCAAGTAATGTAACACTTTCTTGAAATCGTCATCCACGACGAGCGCATCCACGGAACCGGAGTCTTGCGACCCCAGAATCTTGGCGCTCAGATCTCGCAGCAGCTTTCCGAGGTCAACGTAGTCTTGCTGCTGCTGCTGAGTAACATCGCCGTCTTCTTGGTAGTGCAATATGTCGTGCACACACGAATCGCTGATCTTGATGCGACCCGGACGGCCAGACGCTATTACTTTGTCGAGACAGATGTTGTTGAAAGCGAGATTCAGCGAATGTGCGGCTTGCAGCGCACTACACAGCTGTACCAGGTAGGACCACAATAAGTCTTGGGTAATTGGAATGGGACTGAAACTGACAAAATGCGTTTCGTAAAGGGAACTCGATTGTGGGAAGTAGTCGTGCACCACACATAAAGACGCATCGTTGAACGCACGGGTAATGAAGGCGTCGCGAAGCTCTGCGACATTTGAAGTTACCAATTTTTTCCACGCTTGGTATGGTTTGAAAACTTGGACGCTTTCATTGATCTTCACGTCGTGTATCCGGCGCATTATATAGATTTTCCCGTCAAAGTTGGAAAATACTTTGTACAATGAGTTTTGATGACCTTCGTACCGATCCTTGTTAATTCTGCTGTGAAACTCTAAAGGTACCAGACCGAAATAATCGCCTACGATTTCGGGCAGATTCCCACCGGAGGGGAAAACTTGCAACGCGGCCTGGTTCTTCTTGAGTAGATCTTCACGAATGTCATTCGGAATGAATAATGTTTCCGCAGTTCGCTCGTTGGCCTTTAGTGGTACTTTCAAGTGCAGAGGCGGATCTGGTGCATACAAGTGGTATTGTAGAATCGAGTGGCTAGGTGGATATACCGACGGGAAATTCGTCTGCCTCCCGGGCGTGTCTTGTGCAAAAGGTGCTGGTGAACCTGGCCCAAAGCTCGCAGAAGACTGCAGTGCATTGAGCTCTTCTCCAGGCGTCGAAAGCCCGCCCGACGCAGAATAAGGGTTGAAGCTGGTGCGGGCAGGAGCGGAGGGCGGCGGTGTGGAGGCGCCAGTAGACCCCACAGGCGTGAAATTTGCCGCGTAAGGGTTGTAAGATCCAGCAAAAGGTGCTGATTTCATCGCCAAAGGTGAGGACACTGTTGGCTGTTCTGCGGCCGACGCAAGCGCTTTGGCCACTTTCTCGGCCTTTATCGCTGTGGATGAGCTGGTCTTAGCATTCAACGCCTTGGAAGGCGTGAAAGAAGACGCGGTTTTCGCGTTAAACTTCACATTCGACATTGCTGCAGCGTTCGCGTTTTGTTTTATATTCCCATGATTGAATATACATCCATCGTTTTCGTACTTACAGAAGCCATAGATGGTGATGTTTTTGCACGGAATGTCTTTTGCCCACTCTGCGTTGGTCTTGTCCATCTCTGCGACCCCCAAGCTGTGCTTTGAATTCGAAGTATCGCTAGGATAGATTTTTAAACTCAAAGCTCTCAATTATATAAAATCCAAATTATTAACATCCTCTAGACAAACCTAAATGAAATCCACAATTGACAACTAATCGACGATAAAGCTCGGTTCCCGGTATTCGCTGAGCATTTTCAGGTGTGACCGAATATTTCGTAGTGAAGCTAGCTTTTATTTGTGGCTAGTGTAGACTAAGCTGTGCTTAAACCCCTTTACTGGGTTGAGATATATAGAAGTTTCTGCGCTGACAATGGGCAAGACTGTGCTAGTTACAGGAGCCTCAAAAGGCATCGGCAAGGCAATTGTGGAGTATCTGTGTGATTCCGGTGCAGATATCAAGGTATTGGGCATTGCCAGGTCGCTTCAAGACCTGCAGGATTTGAAGTCGAAATTCGGGTCGAAATTTTCGTTTCTATGTGCTGATATCACAGACGAGGTGGCTGTGGGAGAGTTTCTTGCGTCTCAACTTGACGGGATTGATGCTGTGATTGCCAATGCTGGGGTGTTATCTCCGGTTCAGGGCGTGGCACATGCTGACACTGCCCAATGGAAATCGCTTTTTGACATCAACTTCTTCAGTGTGGTATCGCTGGTGGCGCGTGTTTTGCCGCAATTAAAAGAGTCTAAACAAGGTGATGTGATTCTCGTGAGTTCCGGGGCCAGCACCAAGCCATACGTAAGTTACAGGTCCAACTCCTCTTCCCTTTTTTTTTGTGTTAAACCAACTTGACTACTAACCATTCACTCTTCAGTACGCCTGGGGTGCCTACGGTGCATCCAAAGCCGCACTCAACCACTTCGCTCAGACCTTAGCGTTCGAAGAGCCTCAGGTTCGCACGGTCGCTATCGCACCGGGCGTAGTTAACACTCAAATGCAAGACGAAATTCGGGACCGGCTTGGACCATCTAACATGACACCTGAGGCCCTAAAGCGGTTTACAGATCTACATGAAAAAGGTGAGCTCCTGGACCCTGAGGTCCCTGCGGCGGTTTATGCCAATCTCGCGCTAAAAGGTATTTCGCCTGATATTAACGGAAAATATCTTCGCTACAATGATGCACAGCTGGCAGAATACAGCTGATTTTGACAGAACGTCTATGCATGCTGGCGAGCGTATATCAAAGTTCATGAGCAGTGAGTGCAAATTCCAAGCGATGCAATATTTATCTCAAATAAATATACGTTTTATAAACCATATGAGCTTACTTGGTGCTACTTACTCTTAGAAATAGACTTTACACTACAGCAAAGATATTAGCCATTTTTATTTTGAAGATGCCCTTCCAGATTCTCACTCTCGAAACTTGGCTTTTTTATTTATCAACTTGATTCTTCGAAATTTAACCAATAATTAACTTAAAGAATAGCACCCGAGAGCTTTACAATGATTAGGACGGTGTTGAGACGTTCAGCGTGCGCTCCTGCTTCTCTAAACGGTTTCAGACGCCTTGGATCGGAGTTGCGTCCCGTGCAACGTTTTTATTCATCGAACAATGCCGGCTCTCAGCCTAGCAACAGAGGTAAAATCTTGGCTCTTCTTGGAGCATTGGCCATCGGTTCAACAATTGCTTCTATAACTATTCAGAAAAATGGGCCCGTTGAGTATGTTGAGAAGGAGAAACCTGGTGAGAACAAGAACGAAAGCTCGCCTGGTCCAGCTTTTTCAGAAAAGGAAGTCTCCGTAATATTTGTCTTGGGAGGCCCCGGCGCTGGTAAGGGTACTCAGTGTGCGAACTTGGTCAAAGACCACCATTTCGTACATTTATCTGCCGGCGATCTCTTGCGTGCTGAACAAAACCGCGAGGGCTCAAAATACGGTGAAATGATCAAACACTATATCAGGGAAGGCCAAATCGTCCCTCAAGAAGTCACTGTTGCACTTTTACAGCAAGCAATCCAAGAAAACTACGATAAGGGCAACAAAAAATTTCTCGTTGATGGTTTTCCTAGAAAAATGGACCAGGCTCTCACATTCGAGGCCCAAATTGTGCCCAGCAAATTCACTCTGTTCTTCGACTGTCCTGAGAAAATCATGCTCAAACGCTTGCTCGAACGAGGAAGAACAAGCGGCAGAAGCGATGATAACGCTGAATCTATTAAAAAGAGATTTGCCACTTTTCTGGACACCAGTATGCCAGTAGTTAAACACTTCGAGAAACAAGACAAGGTCGTTACTGTAAGTTGTGATGATAGTGTTGAAAAGGTGTACGATCAAGTTAAGGCTGCAATCAAAGACAAGATTGGACCTTGAGACTTTATTGAACAAGATAGACTACATAAAGGTTAAATTAAATCAAACAAACGCAGACACAAGAGGCAGCTAATGTAAACGATCGATATAAGTCTAGACTCGAAACGCTCCAAATCAAAGATTCCACATTAAGCAACTTTCGATTTGTAGATTAGATTTTGGTGTTAAGTAAAATTTCGCGGGGATTGTCCTTTAAATACTCAAAACAACAAAATTCACATCTTAGCAGAGAAAACGATATGGATGACGGGTGCTTGATAGATTTCCTACTGGAAGATGAGCTCACTGTAACTAGTCCTGACCCGAATAGTAGCCATTCAAAATGGCTAGCAGATGATGGTACCCTTGCAACAACTTCAGCTATCACATCCACGAAGAGCGGGAGACGTAACGGTAAATCAAAGCCCAAGAAAAGACGCAAAGAACTACTACAGAGTCAAATAGAAGATCCGATAGAAGATTTGATTGATTTGATTCTCAAAGAAGATCGATTATCCCTCAACATAGGTCGCGATCTGCCGGATAAACGCTTAGAAACAACGAAACCTAAGTCTGAGGGGAAAAAGAAGTCTAAAAACAAAGCCAGAGGTGATCGTATTGATTTGGACCGCCGTGTTTATGAATCGATTGCTAAAGACAAGTCTTTCATGTTTAATTTCCCTGTTAACGAATTGTTGCCAGATATGGTGCCAGAAGTAACTCAAAAGAAGTCAAAGAAGAGGAAGCCTAAAGAAAAGAAATCTAGCAATGATCAAGACCATGTTCAGAGTAGACCAACCAGAGAACCTGAATTCATTGAGAGTTCTCCCAAACTTGTTCAGGAACCTCTTGAAATTGAAGTTCAACACAAAGAACTAAAGAAGAGCTCTGCTAAAGACAAGAAAAGTATTAAGAAGAAAAAGAATAAGACTAGCATTCGTTTTGGTGGATCCGGGGCATTGACTGCAGACGCGAATAGCCCTACTATAAAAAATAAACATCCAAACGATCCTGACAGGCCCAGCGCATCGAAAAACCAAGATTCGCAAATACCGAGCGTCGACTCTTCTCGTTCACGATCGAAAAGAAGGGCAAAGGCTTCAAAACAGTCTCCAACAAATGATAAAAGCGTAGAGAAAAAGGTGAGAAAAAAAACATCGACGCGCCAAGCTGCGTCGGAGGAATGAGAGTCTTGAAATTAAATCGTTACTTTTTACATTTATAACCAGAAAAGAAGCATCTCTCTGAGACAATTCAATTCACTCTAGTTCCATTGAATCGCCTTCTTCGCCTTCGTCATCTGATGAGTCCTGCCCATGTTTGAGCCTCTTTGCCATAGCGTGAACGTCTAATTTATTGGCGGCCCTCTTACGAGAGACAAGCCTCGAGCTTTGTTCTTGAATTTTAGAGCTGACGACAAGTGGGTGACTTTCGTCTAAAACTGTAGACAAATTAACATCTAGAGCTTGTTTCAAAAGGTCTTGGGCTGTTTGATTAGAGGGGCACAAGGCAAGCGATCCGTGCAGAGAGTCAATAGCCTTGCCTATGCGATTCATCCTGAGATAAACATAACCAAGAGCACATAGAGTGTCCGTGTCTTTTCCAGCAGTCTCTAAAACAAGCTTGAAACATTTCACGGCCCTCTCATTTTCACCTAATTTACGATAGGAATGTGCCAGATTCGTGTGAATCGAGACCCAAGACTTTGATTCTGAATCCAGAGCCTTGATAGCTTCCCAAGCCTTCTTCAAATACTTCTTTGCTTTGACGAAGTCATTTTTTTTAAAGTACAAAACTCCCATCTCATTCAACAGCAATGGATCATAAGGACAAACGTCATAGGCCAAAATGAAGTACTCTTCTGCGAGCGGGAGCGTACCCATGAGTAAATACTGCATACCCAAAAACAAGTTCGGCAGATGTGTCCCAGGAAAAAACCTTGAAGCGGTTGAATATGCAGAAACGGCTTGTTCGTGCTCTCCTTCCACCGCATAAGTGTGCGCGAACCCGATCCAAGCCTGACTGAAGGTCGGGTCAAGTATTGAAGCTTTAGAGAAATACTTTCTTGCCTCGGAGATCTTGTTAGTGCACATATAGTACGCACCCACACCGAACCAGGTTATGGGATGTTTAGGGAAATTCTCCGCTAATTTATGCGATATTAAAAATAGTTTGTTTTTACCTCCCAACTCATACAGGCAAGAGATGTAAGTTGGTAAGATTGAAAAGTTAAATTCGTCCTGTTCAAGCGCTTCCTCGCATAATTTGAGACAATCGGAAAACTTACATTGCGTGAAAAGGGTATCCACATTACTGTGGATAATATCAGTGTTATTGCTGAGTTTGTATTCGTCAATCAAAAAGTCCTGAGCTTTGCGGACTTGATCCAGGTTGAGATATTTGGATAGCCTGGAGATGTACAAGGATCTAATCAATTCTTCATTGTCGTCTAGGTCCGAAAAATCCAGAGATGCAATAAAAGTCCATTCTTCATTGGGTGTAAGTAAGTTTTTGGAGATCAACTCATCGAAGGCTTCGAAATTTTTGACATCCACCTGAAGCGCCTCTTTCAAAGATTCTTTGGCTTTCTCAAAGTTGTTCAACGCAGCAAAAATCTTGCCCCGTAGGTAACACATCGAAGACTCTAGCTTAATCCCGCCGTCTTGGTTTTTGACATGGTTGCCCAGTGGGTCTTGAAATGGGTTTGTTTCGCCCACGATATCAAGAGCATCTTCGTACTTCTTAAGCTGAATCAAACACAAAGCCGTGAGATATCGGCACATCACGCTGGAAGTGTCGAGGTTGTTGCGTGACAAGAGTTCCACTGCTCGGATGTACGACCCGCTATTGTAGTATACTTGGGCCAGCCAAAATGCATCGTTAGGGTCGCCAGTCATGGAGTAAACTTTGTCGCCTATGTACTCCGCGGTGCGATATTGGTGCTGCATAAGCGAGTCATGCCGCCATAATCGCAATTTTTCTGCAGCTGGCAGTTGTGCAATGTCAATAGAGTGTATGATCCGATTCGCATCAAGCGTCTCTTCGGAGCCGGCGCCGTCTAAGACACTTTGAGGAGGCCTATTCAGGTCTGTTACCACGCTGACCTTACGGAGCGTCGAAGGCATCGTGGGCCCAAATAGACCGTTTTTGGTCATCGAAGCCAACAGCCCAGCTGTTGATCCACCGTGGTCCTGTATGGGGGCTGGAGTCGCCAGCGACGCATTGTTTTGTATTTTCTGTACTAGAGGACTGTACGTTACCGATTGATGTGGCGTTTGCGTAACCCTTTGCGCTCCGCTCCACTGTCGATTGCCCTGGTTGTGCGTGTTATTTCTCTGCTGTTGGCCTTGCTGCATCTGTAATGTCCTATTTCCAACCAATGGAGAAATGGCCAGAGTTGAATTGTGTTGCGATGGCGTATTACCCCGCGACATGCTTCAAGACACCTTAAGAGCCCTTTAGGTGTTTATAAACACTGTTCAAAGTTGATTGAGCTTTGACAGATGGTTCGATCTCATCGCTGTACTTAATCACAAAATTAGAAATTGGCCGTAATCACACAGGACGATCGAAAGCTTAGCTCGGCGTCTAAAATATAAAATCCAGATATCAAAAGTTAGAGTTAACTGACTTATATCAATCAAGGACGATATTCAAGAGTCGAGGTGTTTGGAAGTTTTGTATATATATAGGATTTTGTAGAGATGACTTGTGGCTCCATGAAGCTCAGTCAAAAACGATGGGTCGTTCTGATCCTGTGTTCCGATACTGGAACGATTTAAGGAAAACTACAGAGAATGCTTCGTTGCAAAAACGGTCTACCTCAGGGAGCAGCGCACCCTATTCAATACAGCAGCTCCTAGAAGACCAATACATGAAGCTGCGTTCTTCACTTTTTGCTGATTGTGGACCTTTCCATGAGCTGTCCGAAACCCTTAATTCAAGCCAAGCCTTCACCACGACTGCAGCAGCACTAGCCAGGAGGGATCGTCTCAGACAACGCAATCTCAGGAAAAACAGGATGATTTTCGGAAGCGCCTCCCACCCTTAGCGTTGAGCTGGGTTAGCTTTTCAAAAAGAAGCATACAGGCTAAATGACTCAAACTTATGGGAAGAACAAACTTCATGAATTATAGCCACCACTAACCTCGCCTTGACTAATAATATTCTTCTCATTGCTAATGCTGATGACTTGCCTCAAAGTCCACCGCAAAACAAGAGGAGTGGCCCTCAATCGTCAACTGTCTGGGACAAGCTTTCGAAAAGCCTCGTCATTTTGCCCTATGTGTCATAGAGCACTTGGACTCTTAACCGCTGACAGTGAACCACTATTCATCATATGACCCTCAATTTTCCGATGGAATTTCCTACACATCGCCAGAACAAAAATTCCAGCGGAACTTGAAAACGTTTCTAGCAGAATTGGAAAAAGCACTAATCTGACTCAAAGGAATAAGAATCGTGAACCTTCAGGTTCAAAATATAAAAGACAGGCGGTTCTGGTTATTAGAGAAGCTCACTTCGAAATAGTCTAAAAGCCATCGAACTATTCAAAGGAATATCCCAACCGTTGATCATGGCACCAGTTATTTTACATCTAAGAGCCGAAACTAAAGACCAAGAAGCTCGTGCGGCTTTGACTCCCGTCACAGTTCAAAAGCTTTTGGCAAAAGGGTTCAAAATCTACGTAGAAGAGAGTGATCAATCTACCTTCAGCATCGATGAATATAAGAAAGCCGGTGCGGAAATCGTACCCAAAGGTTCCTGGGTCAATGCCCCTAAAAACCGTATCATTATCGGATTGAAAGAACTTCCCGAACAAGACACATTCCCATTGGTTCACGAGCATATTCAGTTTGCACACTGCTACAAAAATCAGGCCGGCTGGAAAGATGTACTGGGACGTTTCAAGAGAGGTCATGGTACTCTTTATGACCTCGAGTTCTTGGAAAATGACCAAGGGAGAAGAGTCGCTGCATTTGGCTTCTACGCTGGCTTTGCTGGAGCTGCTTTGGGGCTCAAAGATTGGGCTTTCAAACAAACTCATGCTGACTCTGAGGACTTACCTGGTGTGAAGCCCTTCCCTAACGAACACGAGCTGGTCAAGGATGTCACTGGTGATTTAAAGGCCGCGCTCAAGAAAGGCGCCAAAAAGCCAACTGTACTCATCATTGGTGCGCTCGGAAGATGTGGCTCCGGTGCTATTGACATGCTTCAGAAGGCCGGCATCCCATCTAAAAACATTATCAAGTGGGATATGAAGGAAACTGCCCGCGGAGGCCCATTCAAAGAAATTGCTCAAGCCGATATTTTCATCAACTGTATCTACTTGTCCAAGCCAATCGCACCATTCATTAACTACAAGCTTCTAAATTCAGACAAGAGAAGGTTAAGGACCATCATCGACGTCTCGGCTGATACCACCAATGTTCACAATCCAATTCCTGTTTACACGATTGCTACTGTATTCGGTAAGCCAACTGTGCTTGTACCAACTACTGCTGGTCCAAAACTATCTGTCGTTTCTATTGACCATCTCCCATCTTTACTACCCAGAGAATCCTCCGAATTTTTTGCCCATGATTTGCTGCCTTCGCTGGAACAGCTACCTAACAGAGAAAGTGCACCTGTATGGGCTAGAGCCAATGCTCTATTTCACAAACATTGCGCTCGTCTCGACAGAGAATCCAAATTCTAAATAAAGACTGCTGGAAGGTCGATTATCCAACACGTAGCGGTATCTCTTCTCGATTTTAATTTATAGATGCTACTATATACTATCTGCAATATAGACTAAATTGTTATTACACCGATTGCCAAACCTTGATCATCTTTACTCCAATTGAATGTCCACTTTTTTGTTCTTGGAACCGGATTTCTTGTTCTTGCCCTTCTTCAAGGGTTTGCTACCGAGCATGATTTGCTTCAAGTTTTCAGAATCTTCCTCAACCTCACTTTGTTCGCCTAACTCGGCCTCTTCTGCGTCCCTTTTCTTCATCGTTTCGTACTTCTCAATAGTTTCATCGCAAAGAGCCAAACAGTTCAACCGTTCGGCACAGTCATACACGGCAACCTGATCCTTGGTAGCCATATCCCAAACAACGATCTTACCATCTGAGCTGATTGTGACCAAGTAATGACCAAACTCATTTGTGTAGAATTTAAAATCCTTAATACGGTTGCTATGGCCTTGCAGAGTGAAGACGGGAGAGATAGGTGCTTCTTTTTTTTCATCCTCCTCGTCTTCATCCTCCTCATCTTCCTCATCTTCCTCATCTCCTTTATCCTCCTCCTCTTCGTCCTTCTTACTGTACAGTTCATTTGTGGAATACATGGAAACAACACCATTTCCAAAACCCACCACAATATGCTCTTGATCATCGATCATCTCAATCTCCATGTGCATGATGCTAGACTTACCGGTGTCTATTTCACGGTGCACTTTAGCTGTCGAGGTCCGGTAAATGAGGACCTTATTAGTGAGAGCAACGGCAAAGAACTCGCCGTTGTCTCCACACCAACGAACAAACTGTCCATTTTGATTGTATTTTTTAAGCTTCAAAACACCAGCTTTTTTGATTGTCATCAAGTTCCAAAGTCTAATAGAATGATCTTCACTGACACTGATTGCAATTCTGTTCGAAGGATGGATGTCGAAGTCATTGATGCGGGCCAAATGGCCTTTCAAAGTCCCAAAGTTTTCCCAATCTTTTACTCTCCAGACTACCAAATTATGATCATCCGAAGCCGAGAGCAGCCATTTACTATTACCGCGCCCAAGGGGCTCTGCAATCTCTTCGCCTTCAGCTTTGCTAACAACTTTAGTACCTCTCGAAAATCTCAGAGCCGTAATAGAGCCTTGATGGCTCATCAAATTTCCCAACTCTTTACGTTTCTGCAAATCATAAATACGGATATGCTCATCGTTAGAACCAGAAACCAAATATCTCTTTGAGATGTCGAGACACTTCACGCTTAATGCATGCGCTTGAAAGTGGAAGATTGGCGTGAAAATTGGTGATTCAAGCGATAAGTTCAGTGACAAACATAGCAAATTGTGTTCGTATGATCCTACCACGATTCTAAATTGATTCTGAGGCATTCTTTGTGATTTATACCTATGCGATGAGATGAATATTGGAAATAGCCGATGCTCATCGCTTCAAAATTTTTATCATCAAGTTTAATATCAATATCAAAAAAAATACGGCACGAGTTCCGCAGTAAGGTGAAGTAAGAAAACCGTGTCACTACTACGTTATTGAGTTAGCCTTTGTTACTCAAATTAATGAACATGCATAAATCATAGACTATATAAACACATATATTGCTAACACGCGAATGCTAAAGTCTGGAGTAGTCGTCAATGCCATCACAGCTGCAGATTATGTCTAGAGCCCGGCTTCGTGAGGGTTTTCTATAATGACCATCTACTAGCTCGTTCCCTCGACTATACCTGCTTGAAGACTGTACAAAGAGCCCTTGAATGCTCCCTTTACTCGTTCATTTCCCAGCATAACTTTGGCTAAGCCCACCCTTAAGTATTCCGAAACAGCCTCTGACCAGTGGTGTATTCTGTTACCATCGTGTCCAAACTCGATAATGAGAAACGAGGAAAGTAGGATAATGGTTAGGGGCAGCCAGAAAAATAGAAGCATCTTATCGTTTTGGAAGTTTTGTCTTTGCTGGAAAAATCTATTGAGACGTGCCTGAAGGGCATCCTCTTCATCTTCAGAAGACGTTTGAGAATCTTCCACAGCACTCGAGGGCATGGTTGTTAATTGCTCCGGACCTGGCGTGGACTCTAGCGCACGAATATGCTTCTCTTTACCAGGAATTGGGAAAAGATCGTCGTACTTGGGAAGCTCATCGTTCAACGCAGTCAACATACGATTCCATATCGAGTTTTCTGTCGTGTTATTGTGGTGGTTACTGCTTATTGAGTTTGGATGGTTGTGTGATACAGTGGGAGAAACTTCGCGCGATGTGGTATTGCGATCGACATGTACAGACTCTTCATCATCCTGCAGAAGACCTTCATCTCCGTCCTCCTCATAATCATCAAGGTCGTCGTCATCATCAGACAAAGTGTCCTCAGTCATTTTGGAGATATGCACTTGCAAATTATCATTCAAAGATGCTAACGACCCTGCATCAAATACGCTAGAATGGAAGCTGCTATCCGAAAGCTTTCTACCCATGCTTGTCGAGTGCTCTTCACTGCTCACATCAATATCCAAAGCATCTAAAACCTCATTCAAGTAATCTTCGTACCTTTCATCATCTGTGTCATGATTAGCGATGAACAGGTCGCGAGGACTCGTGCCATTCATGGCCTCGGATTGGACATTAGCTTTGCATTGCACTAGCAACTTAATGATCCGAACATCACCATTCAAACACGCAAAGTGTAGAGGTGAGAAACCAAAGGAGTCTTTGGCTTCTACACGAGCACCTTTTCTTACTAAGGCCAACACGAATTGATAATAACCCTTTAAGCATGCAAGATGGAGCATGGTTTGACCCTCCTCATCACACATCGATAAATTGGAGCTGGAATTTAATAACTTGAGCACTCTCAACAGCAAAGATTCATCAGAGAAGAGTACTTGACTAGGGCCGTTGTTGTAACTATTTTGAGGTGCATTGGCAGTATTAGAGTTTGGCGAATTGCTCGAGGAGCCGCTATCATGACCAACAATGCGCTTAGCGATATTCCGTGCGTCTTCTAGCTTCCCGTTCATCTTTAAACCAACAATCTGTAGTGCTAGTTCAATGAGTTGCCTGTCGGTGTCATCCACGTAAGTGAATATGGCTTTGCTACTGGACATTGTTCCCAGTAGTTCAGTGTGCTGATCTTCTTTCTCGAAAACAGTTACTAAAACTTCTCCGGCTTTTGAAGAAGGTGGCAAATACGTCACAAGGGTAGATTCCGACCAACATTGGGTCGACAGTGCCCGGTTCTCGCCAAATTTCACTATCATGCCTGGTTTAAAGTTAGATCCCAAAAGCGTTATTTCAATTCCGCCTTTTACTGGGCCCTGGGCAGGAATGACACGATGAATAAAAGGACGAGGTACATGAGAAGCGTCGTTCAAATCCGAGATTTCTCGCAGCATACTGTTTGTAGCAGTCATTAAAGACGCCGTTGGGTTTGCGGCATGTTGAAGCTGAGGTATCGATTGACTGGATGATGATGTGGATAAAGAGTTCCCGAAATTAGAGACCGGCAAAGGTTTCACAAAATCGTGGATGGAAAAGTTAGGGCGATGTCTGTAATCCTCTGATATTCTTTTCCGCTTGTAGCCTGAAGTCTTGTCAGTTCTTGAGGATGAAGACTGGGCTGCACTCCTAGATTGAGAATCAGCAGCATTAGCATCGGTAGCGTGAGCCTCGGAACTGTCGCCTCCCATGGAGGTCGGGGATAGCATCTGCTCTCCTTTAATGGCTAGATTAACCAATTCGTCTCTTGAATCGTAGTTTTCCATACCGCTGAGGTCGCTTGTGGACGTGACATGAGGAACCTCGCTTCGCTCACTTCTGGATCCGTCTGTTGTGTTGTTCAAATCAATGACAGAATCTTGACGAGACACATTGGCTGATGTTTCTTTGTTAGATTTCTTGTCCATAATCATAATGGGACCTGTGACGCTTTTTGCGAGAACGTCCTGATTGAAGTTTCTTAAGATGAACATTATCTTAAAACCTTCTGGCTCTTTGTGATGCCGGCAATAACAGACAATTCTCGTTGAGAGGTCAAAAGACTTAGACTGATCATTGCAATTGTGGTCTTTGATGGAGAAAACTTGCCTACTGTTAAAAACAACAGCACGTCTGTTTTCGTTGTTACACCAAAGCATGTTGTCACAGAGTCCGGATTTACGTCTGGACGCTCTGCGCTGTTCACGTTTCACACATCGACTGCAAACGTACGTGGGCTTCCCATTTGATGCGCAAATCAAGAAACTTTCAAGGTATAACATTTCCTTCTGCATTTGGTTTGGGTAAGTGCTGATGTCATCCTCCAAGTACCATTTTTGTTTAGTGATGCAGTCGGTGGGCAAATGAAAAATGTATTCGCGTGGGGGAGGTGAAATGGCTAATTCTAGCTTGATTTGGGTCTCAACACGCGATGTCGAGGGCATTCCAGAGATTTCGAGTTTGTAGGGCAATGTATCTTCTTGGATGCTCAAAAAGTCAGTGGAGTTGAGGTATACTGACTGGATGGCTTTTGTTCTCCCAAATTGCAAAGTGTGATCCACCAAGCGCTCGCAACCCTGGCTATAGCTCATGGGCTGGTGTTCCGAGGCAGCTGCGGCAGAATCCAAACTGACGTCGGGAAGTTCAGTCTGGGTCTGATAACGGACCTGGTCGTCAGAATGGCTCATCTGCGTACCACCGCTGGAGTTCATGACGGGCAGGGGCTCCAAGGGACTCACAGACTTCTTGCTTTTGTGGGACTCTGCCTCGGTGATACCGTCCAAGAGGTCTGGCGAGCCCAATCGAGGCATCAGCGACGATGTAGACGACATGGGGGCTTGCTGGGAGTGGATAGTGTAGTTGGAGGGCTGTTGCAGCATTTCGGTGTTGATGAAAGTGCTGAACAAGTCGTCGTCCGGAGCTTTTTCGGCGTCGTCGCCAAGCGAGTAGCTGGCGTTTCCAGACTCGGTCCCTGCGAACAAAAAGTCCTCCAGGAGCTCCGTTTCCACCATGTGGGTGTCTTGCTGAGTCATGGTAGAGCGGCAAGAGCGTTTAAGAGCAGGTTTTGATGGTTTCTAGCACTCGAAAAACGGGCGATGTGGAAAAATTGGCTGTTATTAAGGGCCGTGAACTCTCTACCGTATAGCGCTTCTCTGTACGAAGCGGTCAGTAGCTTAGTGTGTCTAATATGGCCTTTCTGGAGCTAAAAGGGGTCACTAGACTCTTTTTAAAAGTTGGATTTAACCTGAATCCCTCTTGAGGTTTTGAGAAATAGGTCCTTGATGAGGTTTGATTTCTGCCGTGCCGTGAGTTGTTCTTAATAAACAACAAGAGCATTCGGTACGGAACCCAACAGTTGCAAGACCATTTACTTACTGCGATAGAGACAAAACAAAGCTGTCTAAAAGGACGCGCTCAAAGAGAGCGCGCACCGCCGCTACGGCTGCGAGGACGGGCGCCAGGAGCCCGCCTGTGGGTTTCCACAGTCTCGCTCCCAGTTCCACAGCCTTTGAAACAATTGAGTAAATAGCTGGCAAGAAAAATAATCACGTGGTTTGCGCGTGACAACACTGCTACGATGCTCGCTACTATAACAATCCACCGCCGCAACCGTGGTATTTGCTGGCGCTAACGCTGGCGTCCATGCCACCGGCGGGCCAAGCCGCCACCTGTCTTCTGTTTCCACGGAATCTTATCGGTGCCAACGACCGTGTGCCCTTGTCTCCGCTGTGCCACTTCATTCTGCCATGAAACAACGTGCCACGATGTATTGCTTATGGGGTTGTCTAAACTGAATCCATAGCAATTATGGCTCTAAACTGACAACGCTGTTGCATATTTTGGTGTCTCTTTGATGTGTCTTTTCCTGGGGCGTGTTGCAATAGTACTGCAAATCTTTCAACGACATCGTTGGGATACAGTGATAACGGGAGATTGTTATAGGACCAGGATCTTCTCGGCGATAACTCTTCGCAAAATGGCAGCGTGGCCAATCAGCAAATGAAGTTTTCATGTAAAAGTGTCGGAATGTGAATTTTGACAGATAAGAGATGTTGCGTATTGCAGTGTTGCCAGCTGCAACTGCAGTCAAAAAAAGAGCCACATTCCCAGCGTCCGCGACAGAGGTCGTTACTTAGAGAAACCGTTGCTTCAGACAAACAAGCCTCAGAGATCGCAGGCTTTGCGATCGTGCGAGGCAGTGGGTCCTGGGATCGTCTTCATGGATCGATCGTGTAAATGCACAGGGCGCCGGCAAGCGTTTGAAATGAGAAAAAATAAATTTGAGAGCTTCATTCACGTTTGGCAAACACAGGAGCGGCTGGCGAGCGCGACGCCACGATTATCGACGGCCGGTCCGGTGGGCAAGAGGTCTCGATAGCTTGCGAAGTTGGTGTTGTGCTTCTTCTTTCAATGTCGTTCGTAGTGATCGAATGCGTTGCTGCTCGCTGGGGGCCTGGGCGACTTGTACTGGCTAGCCAAGCGAACTTGCATGGATCATTCACACGACGCGGCTCAGTAACATGAACACATCACCTTTGGGCTCACTCGCTGGCGCGTGAGGCAAGATCAGCACGATGTCACTATGTACGCCCCATCTCCCACCTCAAATCAACCCTGTCTGAGCACCTTGATAAACTTAGCCCAACTGCTCCGTCCAGTAAAACCGCAGAGCTACTGACGGTGGTTTCTTGCCAAAAGGGTCTTTTCACACACAGCTTAAAGCCTTTTGGAACTCCGTCTTCGTGTCGCCGATTCCCCAGCATGACGGAAACGCTATTCGACAATGGGCCATTTCAATACAGCGACATCCAACCGTTGCCGATTTCCAGCGGTGACAAGGACGAACTTTGCCAGATATTGTATGACGACGAATACAAAGAGGTTATGGGAATCACCAGAGCGCTCCTGGAGAAATCGGAGTTCTCGGAAAGAGCTCTGCACGCCACTTCACAGGCCATACAGCTCGTACCAGCATTCTACACCATGTGGAATTACCGTTTCCAGATCGTGAGGAAACTCTACGGAGCGGACCCTGCCAAGCTTAACGATGAGTTAGATTGGCTCGACCAATTCACTCTAAACAATCCAAAAAACTACCAAATTTGGTCTTATCGCCAGGCGCTCCTAAAACTGCATCCCTCGCCGCAATTTCTGCGCGAGCTGCCCATTCTACAAGCAATGCTCGACGAAGATACCAAAAACTACCATGTCTGGTCCTATCGTCGTAGCTGCGTTTTCTTCTTCCAAAATTTCGATCATGAACTACAATTTGCATCCGACCTAATTACCCGCGACGTTTACAACAATAGTGCATGGTGCCACCGCATGTTTGTATTGAAATCTCAATTCAAACCAACGCCCCCCACGGAACTCTTGAAAACCGAGATCCATTACACCAAGACACAGATAGAGCTTGCTCCTCAAAATATCAGTTCCTGGAACTATCTCCAAGGTCTATATCAAGAATTCTTGGACAACAAATTCGATGCCGAAGTGGTAGATTTCGCCCTGACGTTTACTTCAGGCGCTTTCGACTCACTCGAGAAACCATCGCAAATTTTGTCATCGTATGCCCTAGAGTTTTTGGCGCATGTTTACGGCCAGAGTAAAGACACATCTGACAAGGCTTGCAGAGCATACCGAGCTTTATCCGAAATCTACGATCCTATACGCAAAAATTTTTGGAACTTTAAGATTCGTTCTCTGACGACCTGAACATTCTACATAGGTAGCTTTTCAATTTGAAGTATTTGTCTCTTCTCTGTCTTTGTTACTGTCATTTATTAATTCACTTTTCACAGGGCTCCTCTATAAAAATTTTGAGCTCAATGCATCTCATCTCATCTCATCTCATCGAATCAAAAATCAAAGCCAAAAAAGAAGATCCTTGAAGGTCAAACTATCGAGCTTGCTATATACCGTAATGAGCGGTATTGATAGAGTTTTAGGCAACATTTATGTTGGCCCCGTCCAGCCTATCATCGATCATGTGCCGTTGAAGGTTGATCACAACATCTCGCATATACTTTCGGTGATGAAATTTCAGATACTGCCCGAATATCTTATAAGAAAGAGCTATACTTTAAAGAATATTCCTATCGATGATGATGATACCACGGACGTGCTGCAGTTCATCAATGAGACCAATACTTTTTTAGACCATTGCCTTTTCCCCCATGAACCCGAGTACAATCCCACGAAGGTAAACTTCAAGAAAAAGCCTCAGAAAAATGGGGTGTACGTTCACTGCCATGCCGGCGTCTCAAGGTCTGTAACTTTTGTTGTTGCGTACCTCATGTACCGCTATGGTTTAAATTTGAAGTCAGCGCTATATGCCGTTCAAAGAAAGCACCCAGGTGCTCAGCCTAACGACAACTTCATGGAGCAACTGAAAATTTATCAGAGTATGGGTTCCTGCTATGTCGATAATGATTACCAGGCTTATAAGGTTTGGAAATTAGCCAATTCTGTAAAGGAAGACGTCACCGGTGAGACAATTTTGGCTCAAGAAGAAACTTTCAAGCACAACGACCAGAAGAGGCTACAAGAGATGACGCCAGAGGAGATAGAGAAGGTAACTGTCATACGTTGTAAAAAATGTAGACAACACCTCGCGCTTTCGACATCTTTTATCGAGCACGAACCTCCCAGTAAAGAATCCATGGAGGGTCATTTCATCAGAAGAGCCGCGGGTGGAAAAAGAATTATCGACATACAGCAATCTCAGGAAATGTGCTCACACTTCTTCGTGGAGCCATTAAATTGGATGAAACAGGAGTTACGAGGCAAACAAGAGCTGGAAGGAAAATTTAGCTGCCCCACTTGCACATCAAAGGTAGGAGCATATAACTGGAAGGGTTCAAGGTGTAGTTGCGGAAAATGGATGATACCTGCCATATATTTACGAAGCGCGAAGTTGGATCAAGTGGCATATGCAAAAAAGGCGTTGCCAAACGTGGTGGGCTCTGAATTGGTTCGTTGAATTTCAGGGATTCATAACTACAGCATTTAGATCTTGTATAAGCATCAAGTTAAGCACATTCAAATCATTTTTTTGATTATTCACAGTCACTGGAATCAAGACCTTGTCTTCGGCTTTGATAGCGACGACGCGAAAAGGACGGACTGTGACTGGAGTTTATATTGAGAGATCCTGGACCGTTAGCACTCATATCGAAAGAGTCTGCATCCGTTATCAAAACAGGTGGCAAAAGCGAAATAGCTTCTTCTCCATGTGGAACGTCGTCATCATGACTTTCTGGGTCAGCATAGCTGTAAGCTAGATGGTAGTTATTCTCAACATCATATGGGTGACCTAATCCTTCAATGTGCGATGTTTCGATAAATTGCTGTACCGTTTGGTCGTGCCGCGTCGTAGTAGCTTGGTTTGACACAGGTTCTTCATCTTCACCGTCGATTCGCGCAAACTCATCGTCGTAGTCGTAGGACGTTTCATCCTCTTGCACATTGTGATCTAGATTTATGTCCATATCAGGACTAGGGGGCTGCTCAAGTATAGGCTCTCGAGCCGGTGACTCTATGTTCTCTTCGAGTATTATGTTTTGAGCATTCTGGGGTTGGTGTTGAACTTGTTGTTCTTCCTCTTTGGCCTCGAGTTTCGCCAATTCGTCTTGCTCCTTTAAGGTGTACGCGATACCAATGGGTCTTATAGAGTCCCACCCAATCATCTTGATATTATTAAGGCTTCTGCCATGTAATTCTAGCTGCATCTCGAATTCGTTGAAACGCGGCGAGGGCTCTTTCTCTTTGAGGTAAAAAGGTTGCTCCCTGCCTGTTGAGTATGCTGCCAGGGAAGGCGGATACGGCTGTTTCCTTGTGTCGTGTCTAGAATTGTTAGAACTTCGGGTTGGCTTCCATGAACGGGGGTCGTTACGGAGGGTACTTGTTTCCTCTAAAGTTTTGAAAACAGGAAGGTCTTTTACAGCATTTGTGTGCTGTGGTTTAGCCATTGTATCCATAGCCAGGCTCAAGGTGCTTGAAAGTGAGAAATCCATTGCGATGATGGGTCTTGGCGCTGATGACTGTGTGCTGCTGACCTTCAAACATCACTTAAAGATTTGATGTATAAAGATACCAATATTTCATCCTCCGTAAAATGAATTAATAAAAGTACATAGCGTGGGTGCTAGGAATAGCCATGCGGGCAGTGTGTTGGCAACTCAGTACATAGAAGGGTTCAAGTTGATGAAAGCCACTTCTCCTGTGAATGCCCGCTGCTGCCGTCTAGCGCCGCTCGATAGACGTAGCCCTTTCCCGGTTGACAGACTTACGAGGCTCCCTTCCAAGTTCCTCGACTCTCTTGAAAACACCATCAAGGAACCCGTCCAGTGGTGTCTCTTTCCTAAAATACTTGCTTCTCTCGGCAACATGTATCAGGCGCCCGTACAGGAATTCTCCCCAGTCTAAATATCGTTTTATATAATTCTTAAGGTCCGACTGCTCATAGGATAGTATCCAGCCAGTGTTTCTGCGTAATCCAGCCAGTATGATCGAAATAAGTGCCAAATCAAACCCGAGATGGGCTATTTGTTTCAACTATTATGAAGAAGGACAATCATCCCTCAAAAGTTAGTGAGATGTCTTGTTGACAGTCGATTTCAGGTTCTAAAGACGTACCGTGGTCATTCTAAGAATATCGGGAGGTTTCTGTCCCAAATATGCTGTAGGTCTGGAACCTTACTTTAGGTAAGTGCAATTCCATATAGTACTTCTTTCTAAATCGTACGTCATGCTTTTGTTATCGCTGGACAGGGGAAGTAGGCTCTAGCTCCTAAGGATAGAGGCTCTTAAGAGTGGTTCGAGCCTTTTCTTCTCTAGCCAAGCAGCTAACTGTTGTATCTCAGCTAGCTCCTTAAAATGAGTGTTCTCTGCAACACCGATATCACAATCGCAGCTGTACGTCCAGCTTCTATACAGTAGAACGACCGAAAATATGCCGAGCCTCCTACATTCACACACCACGTCTGTGCGCGCACGATCTAAATATCGTGCAAATTGGCTGTGAGTATTTCGTTAATACCAAAAACAACAACTTGGAGTTAGCTCTACGTGCAAGTTTCGTTTTTATGTGTGGAAAGTACGCGAAGAAAGTTAGAGGAAGAGATTAGTGGCTGATTCCGGTGTGAATCGGCATATTCAAACGTGGGGTGGATACCACCTCTCCGTAATTTTCTGCAAGAGCTTCTTCTCGACTAGTTTGCTCTTGAGGAAAGAACCAATATGCCGAAGAATTCTTTTGACCCGACCCTTCACGAAATCAATAACTGTGTATATGTCAAAGTGAGATTTGGCAACGGTTAGAGATGGCATCATCAGCGTTGATTTTGACCGTAACAGCGTCCATCTTGCTGCTATGAGTGTCACACAAAAGCATGCCCATGTAGCTCTTTTCCCCAGGAGAACATAAGTTTGAAGCATTTCCGAAAATCTGTCGCTTTCAACCCGATAAGTACAATGCATCGAGCTCGCCAGCTCCTTCGAAGAAGCATCAAGCCCGTTTCCAAATCGTTCCGCGTGTTTCAAAAGTCGACTAAGTCCTCTACACAACTCCTGATTTTGTTTTAAACTGAACATCATCTCGTTACTTTCGATGAACGTTCACTGCTTCTAATACTAACACGTCGAAACAAAAATCTCACAATGGCTATTTCGCCTTCTAAATTCTGGTCAATTGATATCATGAACATTCAAGCTTCGAAACCTGTCAACTCAGAATGATTGATCAAAGCCATTACGGTATCTATGGCCCTTCATCTATGATTTTCGAAGCTTTCTCTTGTTGATCTTAACTCTTTACCTTGCTTTATGAAAAATGTAGTAAACTTAATATCGTAGAAATTCAAAATTTATTCAAGAAAGTTCCCAGAAAGTCGCGCTATAGAGAGTGTACAGATGGCTCTAGATATTAGCAAAGATACACTTACTAGCTTTCGGGCCGTTAAGACTTTCAAGCCTGGTGATAATGAAGTCGCTCCTGTCACTTCATTAAACTTTGACGATCATGGCCGGTACTTACTGACGGCATCGGCTAACGACAACATGCACCTGTACGACGCTATGAATTGTAGATTTCTCAACACTGTAGCGTCCAAGAAATATGGGTGCCATTCGGCCAAATTTACGCACTCGCAGAATGAGTGCGTCTATTCTTCCACGATGAAAAGTTTCGACATTCGACATCTAAACCTTGAAACTAACCAATATCTACGGTATTTCACCGGTCATGGAGCGCTGGTTAGTGATCTGGAAATGAGCCCGCTAAATGACACATTTCTGTCGGCCTCATACGACGAATCGGTACGACTATGGGATTTGCGCACTTCCAAAGCCCAAGCCATTGTGCCAAGCCTTGTACCCAGTTGCATCGCATACGACCCAAGCGGGCTTGTGTTCGCTCTCGGGAATCCAGAAAATCACGAAATTGGTCTTTACAACCTCAAACAACTGAAAAATGGACCCTTCCTTGTAATCAAGATAAATCCTAGCTTTCATCAGTGGTCCAAACTCGAATTCTCTAACGACGGAAAGTACATTTTATTAGCTTCCTCGGCGGGTAAACAGCTAATACTGGATGCGTTCGATGGCTCTCAACTCTTTGAGTTATCGGGAACCCGACCATTTCCTCTGAGGGAGTTCATGGATGCTGGGTCGGCGTGCTTTACGCCAGATGGTGCATTCACACTTTGTACTGATTATTCCGGCAAAATTGCCATTTTCCATCATTCCGAGGCCATCAGCGGCAAGACCTTGAAACCTTGCGGCTCCATTGGCGCCGCGCCAGACTCCTGTCCCAGAACTATTGCATTCAATCCAAAATATAGCATGTTTGTCACTGCTGATGAAAGCGTTGATCTATACGTATTTGATAAACCTACATAGATAAAGAAGTATCCTTGTAACATCTCCATTAAGATTTATAAAATGTCGCTGAGATCAGGGTACCTAACTTCGCTGTTTTCTTCGGACCACCGAACCCAATCTTTCAAGAACTTAACTTTACTGCGTTCTAAAGTCTCCATGTTGCCAATGACGCACAATTGTTTCTTTGGTCTCGTCATAGCCACGTTAAGACGGCGCTCATCTGATAAGAATCCAACCTCGAAGCTGTCATTGCTTCTTACCAGTGACAAAACGATTACTTCTTTCTCACGACCTTGGAAGCCATCTACAGTTGCGATCTCCACCGACGGATACTTAGTATGAATAGTTTTCTTTAAGAATGAAACTTGTGCGCTGTAAGGAGAGATAATGCCCACTGCGTTTTGAGGGACGTTGCTGGAGATTAAGTTTGATACATGAAAAAGAGCGAGGTGAGCTTCATTTTCGTTTAACTTTGAGGAAGTTAGACTGGCACCATCTTGATCTTCATCTTTCTCTGGAAAATCACCTGCCTGAGTGTCGTACCAAATTAACGGGGCCTCCGTCTCATCATTACATTCAGCAGTAGGTAAATCTGCGAGAGTCCAGCGAGCAACAGATTCAGCAGCCTTCAATTTACCGCCATACATCTCTTGCGAAGAGAATTCCATTATGCTTGTGTTCATTCGGTATTGAGTATCCAATAAATTTCGGAAGCTGTCCCCGTATTTTTGCAGCAGCCGATCAAACAAAGTTCTGCTCAATGTTTCCTTGACGTCCTCATTGTTTTCTGTCTTTATAGTTGGTGGTAGCTGTTTGTCGTCACCAGCTAAGACCAGCTTTTGTATGTTAGACTTGTAATGAGATATCAGTGGAATCCAACACTGGGGCTCTAAACTTTGAGAAACTTCGTCGATTACCAGAGTATCAAATAAATGGTCTGTGTGCGAGTAGCAATTGACGAGCTCTCTAGCACTCGAACCGTGAAGCGTAGAAACTATAACACGGGCAGAGAGTATAAGATCAGCAATAACCTTCCTTTCTCGCAGCCTCAGCTCCTTGCGCAACTCTTTAACCTCTTTCCAACTTTCTCTCCTGTCCTTGAAAGATTTCAGCTTCTTGACTTTAGCAATAGTTTCATCAATTTCTTTAGAAATATCTCTAACAATGGCACCTGCATCACCAGTCTTCGACAGAACCTCTAGAGAGTGTGCCAGATTTCTTTCCAAAAGGCGAGCTGGATGCCCGATTCTCAGAAGGTGCTCGTTAGGTAAAACGACTGCTAAACGTTCTAAAATTGTGTCAACTGAAATGTTTGAAGGACCACATACTAAAACACGTTGCCCTTGACTGTAAAGTTGGCGAATAAGCTCAACCAACGTATGTGTTTTACCAGTTCCCGGAGGACCATGAATAATGCTCATCTTGTTTTGCAAAGAAAAATCGATTGCCTTTTTCTGAGAGGCGTTGAGGCTCTCGTTGAAGAACTTCGTGTTTAGCTTTTGATTTTGTGCTATGAACTCTGGAGTACCTATCAAGTACTGGATAATGTCGTTGTTTGGGGTAGCGTCGAATTCACAAAGCTTTCGCATGGTGGATTGCATGCGCTTATAAGTTATGGTATTTGTCGTTTTCAACAGGTAGAGCCGAGAGCTGTTATACAGGTTGAGGGCTTCGTTTTCTTGAGATTCATCTATCGCAATGGTAAGAAGTTTATCAGTACTTTTCGTAACCACTCCTTCACACGTTGGCGAGTCTTTCTTGGAACTCGGCGATTTGATTAAAACCAAGTCACCATTTTTGACTTCCCCGCGGAGGTAGTCGGCACTGAAGGCAGGATCTGGCCCTAATTCCAAGTATAGCTTGCCAGCCAAACCTGTTCTAACGTTTTGCAAAGCAAGGTGATTGATGGCAAGGCCCTTAGCAACCAATTGTGCTATAGGAAGAGACTCCAATAGCCTAGTCGTAAGCTCAGTATCCTGGGATTGTTCATGAGTAATGCACTTGAGGAATTTCTCAGCTAGAACTTTGTTCATAGTGGTTGATGGTTTTTTCGATTAAGGTGGTCCAAAATACATCTATAAAATATAAATAAGCATTTGAAAACCCGCATGAAGCCTCTTCTATTATACTGACTTTAAAATATGGAATGTATAATTGTTCGTTTCTACATAAAAATGAAAGTTTTTACATCACAGTCAAGTCGCCAAACTTCTCCTTGTAGCCTGGAACTTCCCATCTGCCCTTCTTGACCATTTCCTCGACCTTCGCGTCGATGTCTGGTCTAGCCTTAGCCAATTCTTCGACAGTTAGTTGGTCGAAAGGTCTGGCAGACTCGATGTTCTTCAAAGTGTCGCTCAGATCTTTTAGCTCTTGAGCAACGAATTTCTCAGTTTCCCTGGCGTTTTCAAGGGCTTGAGATTCGAAAGCTTCGATGGTAGAAAGCTGTTTCTTGACGTCCACGGTCACTGGCTTGTAGGACTTGTAAAACGACTCGATCTTGTCAACAACTTCACTATTTTTCAAAACAGAGCGGAACTGGCTGAAGTCAACACTGGTTGGCTGAGATTGAAGTTCTAACAGCTTTCTGCGAGCTTCATCATTTCTCTTCTTGAAAGAACTCAATTGAGTTGCAGTCTTACCTGTAAGTTTAAGGGACGAGATAACGGAGGCCCAGTTCAGTTTAGTGGAGGCAGATTTGGCAACAGACATGGTTTTAGTATGGATGTGTGGTTGATTTAGTCGAACGGAAAGGCGCTTTAAACGAGCTACAAGGATTGCTCAACAATGAACCTGGTGACTGACAAAAAAAAGCTAGGGATTCTAGAACTATGTCTAAACCAAATCTCTACCAAAAATGATTATCCAGGTACAACAATCGTTCGTGAACTCGGGATTGGGTCTTGCGCCTAGCGTTCTCAAAAAACTTTTTTCCCATCATTTCAAGTCGTATGAAGCTACGAAGTTGGCTAGCCAATCACATTTGATTTTGAGAGGAAGTCTTGAAACTAAGAATGATTGGGCCTGAAAGTACAGGATGTGCGTCTAGATTTATGGTCAATTGACAGCTCACTTGAAACCGCCAAGTAGGCGAAATATGGAGGATGGTCCTCTGTGTTCTGGAGCAGTATTCATAAAAACCAAACACGTATACAATGACACATTGCGACCGACACGTTCAAACCTACCCGTTGTAGGAATACGAAGGGTCGTCTATGATATTCCGGCAGTTAGCGTCCTCGGTGGCAAATGCCACCGAAGATTTAGCTGTCTTTTCAGTACGCGAAAATTGAGACAGGATCGCATACTGCACCAAATAGGACAACCTGCAAAATGTTGATTATAATACCACCTTGTTTCGATTGGAAACTTCATGGCACTCCTTATGCTAATACAACTGCTTGCTTGAAGCCACTGGAAGAAATGTGATAATGTGAATTAAAAAATAATGGTTGCTAAGAGATTCGAACTCTTGCATCTTACGATACCTGAGGATTCCACTGTTTAACAGCGTTAAGAAGAAAACTTCTTGAATCAGGCGCCTTAGACCGCTCGGCCAAACAACCGCTATTGGATTTAATTGGTGTATATGCAAGTCATCACGGTACGTAAGAGTCACATAACAAGTTCTCGTTTATCTTGGCTTAAGCTTAAACAGAACAGAACATTGAATTGAGTAAAGTACAAGTGAGGATCGCCGCCTCCTCCTCTTGAACTGCACCATTTCAGAGTTTGTGCAGAACATACACATATCAACATATATATGTTTATAATGGCTCTTTTTCAGAACATCAATAAAAGTGAGGTCGGGAAAGTGGTAGTTATTGTGGCAATGCACATATTTAATCAAACGTGTGGACACTAATAGTTATGAAAGATGTTGGGGTCTACACGGTCCTTTAAGATGGGAAAAGTAAAATTTCGAAATAAGACATTAGGTAATCGGTACTCTTAACAATTTAATGAGTCGAATGGTCCTGAGAAGATGGGGTGTTAGACGGGACAGGAATTGCAACGGCTACGCTTCTGGGTCCCTGATTGAATCACTTAGTTATGCCCTCATACCGGCCCTCTGATTAACTACTCGCGCTTGTGTGCTATCTTCGGCACGCTTAGCCAGCGGTATAATAGTTTATCACTTTGTACCAACGTGTCATCAGTTGAAGTCGACAACTACTTTCACTTCTAATCATGAATAGCCAGTGACTACAGCAGGTAGGCGTTTTTGAAAGTTGGTCGAAAATGAAAGGAATGGGTTAGTTAACGTGCCACAGCTACTACGGGCTGGCATACTGAAATATACAGCTCATTTTTATCATTAAGTACTATTTCGTCTTCATACGTAAAGGCATTATTCATTTGTTTGGCCGTCGTTATTGACCCCCACCAGATTAAATCGTACCCTTATCCCGATAACTATGGGGCTATACGCCCACTCCTTTGTTTAGTATAAAAAATATGAACATTCATCACTTTAGTACATGAAACGCAATGCGATCAACTAAGAAAAAACTAGCACTTTCAACAGTAAGACCATCAGCACCGTAGAAGCGCAATGATTATTCACTGTGTTAGCGTCCGACTCATTTGGACAACTTCAGTGCTGGATCATATGACTGATCAATTTAAGATAATATAATACGAGTATGTGAATACTTTAACTCATCAGCACCAGGATAGGCGGACCATAGCGCCAATCTTCTCCAAGGGAGGCTATCCCGGCTATCGTGGAATGCAGAAAACTGACTTACAAGGACTAGAAGAATCTGACACGGAAGCACAATATGAGCTACCTCTTTCCGACTATGAGGAAGTGAACAAGAGAGAAAATTCCAAGAAACGTCAAAAGCGTGCTGGGTTGGCATGCGTTCGGTGCCGAAGACGCCATGTTAAATGTCCCGGTGGCAATCCATGCAGCAAGTGTGTGGCGACAAAGGTAGCCTGCGAATATTTGGAGCCTAACAAAAAATTGGTGGTTTCCATGAAGTATCTTCAAAAATTGCAATCTGATTTGGCGGACATGAAGCGAGAGAACATCAAGTTACAGGCCACCGCCAATCAAGCAGCATCGGTAACCGAACCTACAGATGATCCCAGTTTGGCCCTACTGGGTGTGAAATTCAGCAAAAATTCTGTTGTGTCTAATATAGATGATGAAGAAATTGTTCCTAATTTCGCCGAAAGACGTGGTCGTCTTGTAGCATCCAGAACAGGTCAACAGTATTTTGTCGGATCTTCTTCCATGACTTTGTTCGGTATGGAGATTCAGTCGCTAATAGCGAACACTCTCAACAAGAATTCGGAAGACAAGGATTTCAGCACGCTCGCGGACGAAGTAAAAGACCCCATAGCACTGCCAGAACCAATAGATGAGGTTCTCCAGGAAGAAGGAAATGCTTACAAGATTATTTTGGCTAAAAATGAAGGAAACGACGACATTAGTGTATACTTTACGCTTCCGTCGTACTCATACGCAGTTTTGCTGGTGGACACTTTCATTACCTACAACGACGGATGCTTTTATTTTTTTAATGAGGGTATCGTAAAGGAACAATTGAAAGCCGTGTACGATGGTGCAACAAACTTTGATGATCATACTTTGCAAACAATATGGTTTTGCAAAGTATTACTTATTTTTGCGACGGGTGAAATGTACTTAGGCATTTCCAACAATTCAAATGGAACAAGACCATCTTCTAAAGACGGAACAAGACTGCCAGGATCTGGATTTTTTGAACAGGCTTCAAAAATATTCAGCTGCCTATTCTCAAGTGGGCGAATTGAGAATGTTACAAAAGTAGGCGGTCTCGAAGTAATGTTGTTGTATGCCTTTTATTTGCAAGTGGCTGATTGTACGGTGTCCTCTTACTTCTATTTCGGTCAGGCCCTACGCGCTTGCTTGATTATGGGTTGGCACGTTGATGCACAAAGAGATATCATATCAAGATTTGAGTTAGAACATCGACGTCGCCTTTGGTGGACTGTTTACATGTTTGAGAGAATGTTAAGTAGTAAAGCTGGACTTCCGTTAAGCTTTGCAGATGAGACTATCACCACCGAGCTGCCAGATGATTTTAATATGTCATCCCCACCGCCCAATTGTGAAAATTACATTTTTCCGGAGGCGGAGTTCATAACAAACTGCGTCAAGATAACTCAGATTAACGCTCAGATATTGAACAAGCTATATCAAAGATTACCGGGCTCCAACATTCTGCCAATCTTGAAGGAGATCGTTGTACAGCTTTTGGACTGGAGAAAGACGCTTTCTAGCTTTCTTCAGGTAGATTTTAAGCAGAAGGAGCTCAAAATATCGAGACTCTGCACGAATGTTTTTACAGAATATTTCCAAGGCATGAATTTGGCAATCCGACCGCTCCTTTTCCATTTCGCTTCCATAAAGTTGAAAAGCTTGAACACTTCCAAATCTTACATTAATCTACAAAACTACTCAAAGACAATATCTTCACTATTGAACTGTTCTTTGCAAGCATCTATCAATACCATCAGATCTCTCTGGTACCTGAAGCTCCAAAACATGGTTGCGCTGTTTGGATACATGGATCGAGAATATTTGTTCACGTCTGCATGCACTCTAGTCCTTTTTAATGCTGCCTTTGGTATATACGATCAAACTGCTGAACACTTAGACCATGCACTGCTGATATTCACGAAGATGCGAAATTTAGGGAATAATCCCGCTGGACTGCGACGCGCACAAGTGTTGAAACTGATGTGCAACTTAGATTTTCAAAATATCATGAAGAAACTTATAGAAAAGCATCATGATGATTTGAGACCTGATGTCCAATTTGGGGATCATGGCGAGAAAGAAGTTAGTATAATATCTCGTCCATCCACGAACTTCTCAAAATCGAGTCCACCGATCCCCAATCGAACAGAGGAACCTAGGACTGCAGATGTGAAGTCTAGGATGCAAATTGCTGAAAAAAATACAACTTCATTCGAGCCGCTCTCTTTGGAGACCACTGGTGAAATTCAAAGATTTTTAGATGGTCTAGAAAACGTTGGCTCGTTCGAGAATGCACTCTGGAAAGAAATATCAGATCAAGCGATGTGGCTGGGAAGCGCGATGGATCCAACGGGTACAGTGGGAGAAGAAAATATCTTCAATGACGTTTAATGTTACCAACGTGCTTGCTCGAGGTTCTGACAGAATGCTGTAACCCATCAAAACTGGAAGCGCCTTGAGTACAATAGCTGCTATTCTTTTGAAGACCGCTTTACTTACCAACTACAGTCGTGGAATCTAAAAGTCAGCCCGACTACCCAATTTGAGCCTTATCTAATTATGTTCTGTTTAAACTAGTATTTTGGAATTCCCTTATCGGGATTACATGCTATTTAGTATGCAAAGTTATAAGATGTGGGAGTTCTTGTACATACATTGGTGGTAATACTAAGATTCCACATGTTCAGTAAGACAAACACGCTTCAAAAGGTTTTCAGCGTCACCTTCCATCCACTCAGTAAGTCTCTTCCTGGAATTGGCTATCGCAACGAAACCCGTAACTATTTCAGAATTATTGACTTGCGTTTGCTGCAAAGTCAGCGCTTGTTTCAAGCGAAGTTTGTTCTTGTTATTAGAGGAGAGAACATCTGTTGATTGGGCCAGCTTTTGAGTTGTGTTTTGTTGTAAGGTTTCTAAAAAGGATGCGCTAGCAAATCGAGTGAGAAGCGTTGGTCCTCCCGTCTCGATCCTTTGAATTTTGTAGATGATAGAGGCCAAAAGTGTCTGCAGCTTGAAGGAAATATAAGGCGAGTTCAGCAAATTCAGAATCCATTCCATAAGATTTTTGGATTTGAGAAGTTCGATATCGTCTAGTGTCTTTAACCCTTGTGTTATACATTCCAAAAACCACTGCAAATACCTATAGTAATGCTCGACGTCTTCTGTTGGCTTTGTTATTACCACGGCTTCGAAAAGTGGCATTTGCTGTGGATTAATACTAGGAGAAGAGAAGACCCAGCGGTATGCCTTTTCATATAAAAACGAAGTCGGTTGGTTCAAAATCGCACAAATGCGTGCTACCATATACCACATCAAGGGACTGACTTTCTTAAACCCTTGACCTTCCTCGTTTTTGTTAATGTGGAATGTGTAAGCAATTTTCATCAGCAACACTTTATAGACGTGCCCCTCCTTCAGGGTACTAGCAATGTCTAGAGATTCAAGCATCTTATGAATCAAGGACAAAGCCACGTCACGAATGTCTCCTTCCAGACTCAGTGTCATTATAATGAATTCGAGCAAACCAGAATCCACTATTTTCTTCGTGTCTAAAAAGTAGTTCTCAGACTGTTCTTCCCCATCAGCACGCTTGGATTTCAACAGTTCTTCGTTGTTCACAATCGTGAGTAACAAAAACATGGGATCATACATCTTGTATTGGAGGCTATTGTAAAACAAATTTGTAGACTCCTGAAGTTTAGTGAATTCTTGCCAAGCGGGGATTGTCTCCTTTACGCCCCACACCGGTAACGATGGCATGCTTAGAGCAAAGTTGTCAACAGTTTGTTTGATCAAGTCTCTTCTTATCGTTAAAATAAAACCCTCTTTCTCTTTAGTTATCAAATGATAGCTGTCGCCAACGCTAGGATTTTGCTCATCTGCTGTCTCTTGATAGTCCCAAGCAAATATGTTATTGGTCCACGGCGAGAGTACTTTCGTTTCGATTTGCTCCAGAACTTGAAGTATCATCCTATCAGGAGGAGATATGGACCCATTATAGTACAAAAGTAGCTTATCCTGCACTACGGCACTCGAGCAGCCAACAGGATCCACATTGAAAAGAATGAAGATCACAGAGGCCGTCAAAAATTGAATGTGCGTATCAAGGCCGGAGTTATTGAAGCACATCCTGTCATTGTTAAGGAGAAGGTGGAGCATCTTACTGCTGTTCAGTTTAGACTTGTCAGCACCAAGAAGAATGATGCAGAGAAACTCTAGAGACTCGATGTGAGAGACCCAATGGCCATCAAGTATGGCTTCTATTTGAGAGATCAAAACGGAAGACAAGCCTAACTTCCATAGATTAGCTTGGTGATGCAGCTGTTGGAAGTTGTGCAAGAAATCGAAAAATCGTTCCGAAGGTTGTGTTAACTCTGAGAAGTTTTTCGTTATTACAACAGCGGACTTTTGCATCCATGAAATAACGCTTTTGTTTCCATGAATTTCAAAACATCCCACGAATTTTGCTACTGGTGGAGTAAACCTGTAACTGCTCAAAGATGTTACGAACTCCAGAATTGAAGTTTTCTGATCTAATGGAATCCTTTGGAAGCAATTGGTGAAAAGCTTAATTGCTGAATCAAAATCGGAAGAACTCAATGATTCTAGATTCTGAAATGAAATTTCCAGTGCCTTGTTCACGAACACGGAAATTTGCTCGCCTTCTCTCAGAGCTAACGCGGCTGCAACTTTGATGCGGAGTTCGTCGTCGTTTATCATCTCCAGATACTGGATGATACTATCGACGCCCTCATCATATGCTAAAATTTCCTCTACGATAGTGTTGGCAGAAATTGACAAAGCGATAGATATCGCTTCTGAAAATTGAAGTGATTTTACCAGTCCCAATTTGAGGTACTGTTGCATTATTGGAACAAGCGTGGAAAGGTTACATGAAAGTATTCTCAAAAATTGCTCATTGCTTATCTGAACTTTCCGATGAAACATTTCTGAGAGGATAGCTGGTAATAGCACTTGATTGTCAGACACGAACAGTCCCAATAGTTCTTGAAGCTGATCTGAAGACAATATTGTAAGCCCATTGACTAAGACCATGTTTAGAGCATCAGTTTCCTTCCAGCGTCCGCCACAATTTATCCATAAACCATAAATATAGTCTTGAAATTCAGAGCTGTCTGCTCCTAGCTGAGCATAGATCTCAGTCATGGCATTTGTGACGTATGCATATCTCTCACAGTCAGTTGTATTTTCAATATCTACACTTTCAGTTACCACAATCTTAGAAAAGTAGCGCTTCCCAGTAAATTTTGACTTGAAGTCGCCCTGGGACAAAACGTAGTTCGCTGCTTTTAGTAGGAGGTTATCGACTATTGATGAAAAGTTGAGATTGGTTATGAACGAAGGGGGATTAACCTGTAGTAAATGAATTCTCGAAAGGAGGCCAGCAATATCAAGCTCATTTACAGGATATCTCGATATTGAGTTTAGCTCAGATGCTGCTGCAAGCGTTATGAGCTGAAAGAATGAAAAGTCAATATTGCTAGCAATCAAGTAATCTGGCCCTCGTAGTACGCGAAGACCTTCTTCATAATTTTCGAAATTGAGATAGATATCTCTCAAACTTTCTGGAATTGTCGAAACAGGTTTCAAGAGGTTTATTATGCCATCCAAAGGCTCACCAATGAAAACTGACGTTTGCAAAAAAATCAATAACCATTTTAGTGGCATCTCGAAGGCAGTTTCCTTGTTCAAATATTCCCACTGCTCAATCAAAGCAATCAAAAATGGGGAACAAAAGCCAAATGCGGCCGATGCGTCAACGTATTTGTAAGGCATTTTCATGCACCTTGAAATAGTTTCATCTAAAAGCTTCCAAATTTTGCTTTCTTGTAACCCGTTACTGTCACGCTTACTTCTCATGATAACCTGAAGACTATTTATCAAGGCCAATAGAGGAGAGCATGTTAAATTATCATTGAAAAGTACCGAGAACTTCAGCAAATTTTCCAGCAATAAGGTAACTTTATTTGTCAACGCATTAGTTGCGCTGTTCGATGATGCTAACCGTAGCAAAGATGTGAAAATGGAGGTTCCACCGTTCGTTGAGTTATACCACTTAGTTTGGGAATTATTGAGCTCCTGAAACTGTAAAAAGTTGTCAAGCATGACAAGATCTAAGCCGGTAAACGATTCGGATTTCATGACGCTCAAGAAAATACTATCGCTAGACAGCCCAACGCTGAAGCTTAGCGGAAACACCTTGCTATAGTGGTTTAACACTATGGATAGAGATGCAGCAAGAACCTTATTTTCCTTCTTGTGCTGGCTCACGAAGTCCAGCGTAGATGAAATTACCGCCATCTCTGGTGTCTTGGTTTTGAAGTGATTGACCAATTCGGATTTAGATGAGCTCCACCCTTTATCATCGTAGAGCTTTAAAACAGCTTCTAGCTTTTGGAAAGAAAACACTAGCAACTGAAGGCCCATTTGTTTTATAAGAGTCACCTCATGATTCAATGCTTTTGTCAAAGCTGCCTTCGTTAAGGTGCATGGCACGATCGATTCAATTGCAATCGCTGATGAAGGAGCTTCATCAGTCTGAATCTCCAACACTTTTTGAGGAATAGGCAAATTAATGATCCTGCCTAATAAAAGTGTCATGCCGAACCAATAAGATGTCGCTCGAGGTTCATGGTTTCCAAGCGCTCCCAAATGATTACAATACGGCGCAACAAGTTCCGGCACTGCTCGCAAGACTTGCAAAACCCTGTTTAACTGAACCTCGTCTTCCCAAGGTTTGAAAAATGTGAGCATTGTGTACAGCAATTTGTTGTAAAGATTGAATTTAATATTGTTGACAATGACGACAGCACCATTGCTAATGTTAGCGGAAAATTTGTTCGAATATACTGGTTCAGAAAACCACACTTTGTCGTCAGAGAACGCAACGCCGTATTCATCACTAGTTGAAAACAGTTCAAAAAAATGGTCAACTGATTTTACCAAATCAGCGTCAGCAGAATAGTAAAAATGATGAAGCTTGCTAATAAAAGACTCGTTCAAGATTTTGCACTTTGTGGCTTTTCTTAATGACTTCTCTTGAAGTACTTTTTCTATCATCGTATTAATACTGTGTTTCATTAATTTCACGGAATCAATTTTTGTCATATGCTTGAACCAGCCGCTCATGATCTTAGGATTTTCGGTTAAAATAGCTTTCCTTAAAAGTGGGCTTGCATTCTCTATCAAAGCGAGCCAAAACTGTATGAAGTTAAACCTCATGGAAAGCTCAGGGTTTGCTTTGCATTGATCTGGATCTGCGAGTTCGGCTTTTGTAGGGCCCAAAATGCGGGGAAGACTTGGCAGAGCCAAGTCAAAATATGTTAAGAAATCGTCGACATGTTGTCCTTTGTTGAATGCAACCATCTGACGCATTAATCTTAGCATGGAGTCGGTTATAGAAGGCTTCATGTTATTGAGACCACGGTACAGAACTTTTGTGTACTCTTGAAGTATCATACGGATCAAATTTGTACCACACGCTAAAGTGCTGCGATCGGATCCTAAGACCCTCAATGATCTGGCGAGTCGAGACGTACAACTTGTAAATTTAGCGTGATTGTTGACCTGAGCATAGTAGGACCAAGATTGGACTGCTTGGACGGCAAACTTGCTGCTGAAAAACGCAATCAGCGGCTTGTAATCATTTGAGGCCCCTTCGTTAACAAGATCGATCTTAGAAACTACCTCATTGAGTTTTTCAAATAACCCATCGTCAATTGTAGAGGTTCCACCAAATTTAGGCACCTGTGATTTCTTCCTGCCGTCAGTGACACTTTCATTAGCACGAAAGTTGCCCATTAGAGTGCACTTAAAGAATCAGTAATGGCAGAGCACTTGTTTCTAAGCTGATTGATAAAATATAATTACCACAGGCGATGAGATGAGATGAGATTGATGGTGCTGAAAAGTATTGGAAAAATTTCAATATCATTTCAGACGTATCACACAATTGAAGGATCATCGCTGGCTATTCACACAGACTTTGAAGGATTATCAAGTGCTTAAACCAGACCAGTCCGACGAATAAATCCAATTTGCTAAAATTTGGAATAGATTCTGATATCTTTTTGTCACTCAGTCTCAGTCCTCATTTGCAAGTTAACTTGAGAGCCGGTTTTCTCAACAAATAGGGTAATACCCGTTTCGGATCATCAACAGTTCTAGCTCGAATCATACTCGCTTATTGAACTGCAATACTTGACCAAATTTCATTGGTTTATAGAAACGCCCATCCATTACAATTAGTCAAACGGAATAAGTTTTAGACGACCTGTTCCCAGACGCGAGCATATTAGTTTCTAACTCAAGTGCAAGCTCACACTGATCGGATAATCAAACATCAGCGTCTTAACATGCTGACAATTTCTAGGCAGTTTTGCGGCCGAGCTTATAGCCAAGTTTCGAAAAGAATGTTTAGCAGCCGCACACCGCAAGCTTTTAATAGTCCAAAAACCCGAAATTCGAAGTTTGATAAGAGCATGCTCAAACCAGCCCTTGTCGTAGTTCTTTTCGGGTCCATGCTGACCAGTGTTATGGAGCAGCAAAAGAAAAACGCGGAGCTTGAGAGACGCTACGCCATGAAGATTGGAATTCTCAAAGATTTGATAACCAAAATCCAAAATGACGAAAGTGCTTCCATCGACGTCGACCACGAATTGGCGCTCGTAAACAAATTGTTCAAGCGCTTCGAGCGTTCCAAATACGTAAGTCTTGAGGAAGAAGCTATCAAGATACGAGAATACAATGCAAAAGCCGATTCCCTGAGCCAACAAGAAGTTATGAAGAGGCTCAACGGACAGAAACCCACAGATGACGACGCATCACTACGAGACTTGTTTCGGGATATAATGAAAGATATGGACGACGAGTCTTCGTTGCAACAATACCAAAAAATAAGCAGCCAAGCAGACCATGATAAAGCACCACCTAAAAAAGCAGTTCCCGCGCTCCCAAATGGAACCACTGAGTCGGAGATTCAAACAAATGACGAGTTGCTAACGAAAGAAGCTCAAAATGAGAAGGAGAGGCTCAAATACAGGCCTTCCACAGAATATCACGTCATTGTCGAAACTCCAGGCGAGTACAGCTCTTCTGCAGAAGACATGAAAGTATCCAAGTTTTTGTGAGGTAATTAATGGGTGTAAAACATCAGAATACAGGTTGCGCAATCTAACTTTTTACGCTTATAGTCAAAGAATGGTCAAAAGAGTCTGTAAACAGAATTACTGTGAAAGAGGTAAAATGTCGAATCTAAATTAAAGATGTAGCGCTATACTACTCTAAATGCAAGTTTATATTTCTGTCTCTGGAGATCAGATCCCTATACAAAGACCTTTTCGTCAACTCACCGGCGTCTGTTCGTTGTTCTGATTGCTTACAACTGGAGATTGTTGCGTAACAACGTCTTCATTCCCACCTACTTTGTCAGCACCGTTTAGTTCCTCAATAGAATTGGGTGAGACTTGTGAATCTTCTCTTTGATGTTCAAAATTAATGCTTGATTGAGTTTGGTCATCACTCGAGGCTGTGAATTTGCCATTTCTGCCGGTGACACTTTGCGGCGTTAACACTTTTGATTTAAAAGATCGTGAAGTCTTCTCTGCCGATTGAACAGCATCTTTATTCAACTGACCGGAACTAGATGGGGATTCTCCTTCATCACGGCCCCGGGCCGCTTTTTTAGGAGAGTTCTTTTCGCCATATGAAGACGCCGCCGGCGATATGCGATTATACTCTGGTATTCCCTCACCATTTCCCGAAGCCTCATGAAGTGAAGCACCGGAGGACTTGCTCTGCTTTTCTGGGCTACTAGAGCCACCCACTGCGGGCATATTACGCTGAATGTTTACTAATTGATGCAAAACTTCAGGAGGGAGATTTTTCATTTGATTGACGGTAGATTGTGAGTTGTAAGGGCTTGGCGCTAGTGTTGCCGATTGCATCTGTTGCGAGTGCATTAATGGTGATAAAGATGGCGGAGGAACAACTAACTGTTGCGGTTGCTGGGGGATTACTGGATCATCAGTAAGCAAACCCGGAATCTGAGCCAAAAGCATATGTATTTTCTTTAGCCCGTTTCCAGCTTTTTCAAAACTCTTCGAACTCATTCTCAAAATCCAAACGTAGTTTCTCAAACAGTCTCTGTAAATTCTTGATTCCTCTTTCGATGGCGCTGTAACAAATAACAAAGCCGCAAAAGTGCCAATTAACGTGAGGTTTCCAGTCGAGCAAGTATACCAGAATGAGTTGACATGCTCAAATTTGAGATCCCGTATAAATTCAATCGCAGCAACCAATCTGGTTTTGGCTGCTAACCGGCAAACTTGAAGTAGTTCAGGAGGTGACTCATTGTTTAATGTGACAATTATCTTCCGGTGAAGAGTCAACTCAACGGCAAAGTAAGACAGAGTCAATGAAGCATTGCTATTAAATTTTCTTTCTTGGAAAGAACTCATAGAGAGTTGAGATGGCAAAGAGTGATACCATTCACGCATTTTCAATTGTAAAGGTTTTGCTAGCTTCAAAACATGCTCTATCTTAGTGACAGTTTTAAGTGCTCCCAATGTGTAAAATGTGTCCAAAACCTCCCCGAGAATTATGCTCAAAGATATCATATGTTGAAACATGAGCTTACTGTTTTTGAAGTCTTCCTCAGTTGGTGACAGATCCAGCATAGATCTGTCGCCCACAGGACTCATAACATCCTTGTGCATTAACCCATTGAACTGCGATCCTTCAGCGGAATTGCTTATTACCGGGGAGCTTCCCGGGAAATCCTCATCTGTAAGCATTTTTACGAGCCAATTTCTACCCAAAATCAAATGGGAATGTCTAGCCTCCATCATTGAAGTCCATTTATCTTGCAGCCAGACAGCCCATGCTAGTCGCCTTCTAAGTCCTCTTTCCCATCGAGGAAGCCTCCAGTCTTGGCAATCTACCCCCAAACCAAGATCTTCGGCTAGCGCCACGACTTCGGAACACACGGCCCAATTACTGGAGATCTCGCTGCGACATTGCAAGATTAACAATCCTGTCTGTATGATGCTGAGTTTTGGTCTTTCAATGACATCGAAGAAGGTCCTTAATGCTATTTCGTTCAGCTGATCAACCACATCAGGCTTAGGAAATCCTACCAGTTGAGGATGAAAATCCCACCATTGCAATGATAAAGAGTAAAGAGCCGCCAGCAGGGGAGCTGTCAATTCTCGATAAGATCTAGAATATTTCTCTAAGAAGACTCTTTCATGCAAAATTGGAAATTGTGGATGTATAAGCTTGAAAAAAATGTCCACAAGTATCTTACCGTGAGGGTGAACCAACTTTTCGACCATATCAACTTCTTGCTCTTGCTTCATGTAAAGTTTTTGGTTCAAATCGTCTCGCAGTAGAAATTGGACATTGGGGGCGACTTTTCGCAGCGCTAAAGTTTTGGATAGCTGAACTTGATCGATTTTATCTAGCTTGACATGATTCACCAGATTAATATCGAAAACAGAAGTTGGCCCTACGTAAAAGGAAGACCTCGGATATTGAATGGGTTGTTGAACATATGACATCTTTTGGGCGCCTGTGTTGTAATTTGTGGTACCGGACATATTTGAGGGAGAAGTTCCATTTTGAATGCTATTAGCGGCACTTTTCCCTGGATCGTTTTGGCCCGGAGTTTCAAACATCATGTATGGGCTCGACAGATTGTTTAAATTTGACGCTTGGCCATTTTCGAAGGCTTTTTTGCCGTTACTAGAGGGTTGATTCAAATTTTGCAACAAATCTGAGTAGTATTGAGAGACAGAGTCATTGCTCCCAACCTTGGAGCGTTTAAGAAGCTCATGGACGTTCACGTTTTCATCAACGCGATTGCGCTTGAGCCGGTCTGTATTGGAGTCAGAAGATGGACGAGATAGAGGAGTCTCTGAATAGCCACATTTGATACCTTTAGTTTCGCACTGAACGCAATTTGCCAGGTCTGGAACTATCACACATTTAATTTGTCTCCTTCGACAGTGGTCGCAAGGATTTTCGGCGATGACCGACTTGTTTTCTTGAGCTGCCAGCGCTTTAGAGTTGGTATTTGGCCCCTTCGTATGCGATGTGTCAGACGAGTTGAGTCCGGGTTTGTTATTAGTGCTCTGGCCATTGCTATTATTAATTGTGCCACTGCCGCTGTTGGAACCACTAGAACGGCTGAAGAGCTCCTGGTAGTGTTGCAGCAAAATATCCAAGTTCGGATGTTTGTCATTGCTAACACGCGAGTTTTGTGTCTGTGATGACTCCAGAGACGGGTCAGGGCGATTGACGGTTCCTTCGTTCAGAAGCTGTGAGTTGCTGTTGGCCAAACTACTCAAAATATTGGTATAATCGTCGTTTGAATTCAACACTGTATTATTCATGTTGTTGGAACCCTGACCGTTACCGTTGCCCGAGTTCCAGCTTTCGAAAAGATGATCGGACATCTTTTAATACCACCAATGAAAGTGTCGGATCTTGAGTACAAGTGCTAAAAACCGCTATACGCCGCCGAGACAGCTTTATAACTGTACTTAAGGCAAATTTGGGTCACTTGAATCCTCTGCGATGAGATGTATGTTCTACGTTTTTTTCAATTATAAAAAAGGTTGATAATACAGATCCGAGCTCTAAAGAATATGCCGTTGCCGGGTAATTTACCACGGCAAGTACTAATGGTCAGGTATTAAGAGGATAATAAGCTATGTAAATATGCCGGTGGCTATTCCGTGGTAGGCGAAATGGGGCTCGAAACCTCAGGCTTTGAGTTTTCTGCTTTTCAAAATCGTCGACGGGTATTTCGCCTTGCTTCAGCCTCTATACTTTTTCTTGGCTTTCAGCGAGGCCCCGGGTCGACGTAGAATACCAGATAGCGAGCGAAGTACTGTGGCAGTCTATACTTGGTGCTGCTGTCAGTTTGTGGTTTCTTTTAATTGTTGATTGTAAAGCCTGTTTCCTCAGTATACAAATTCTCCTAAGTACGCTTCAGCTACGAAACGGGCCCTGGCGTTCAAGAACAACTTCATCTCACTGATCTCCTTGTCAACTTCCTCCATGAACTCGATAATGAAGTCCACAAGCTTTTCCGTTTTCATGGTTTCGGTGTGCTTGTTGGTGATCAAGAACGAGATACTAAATCCCTCGATGGGTACTCTTCTCAGCACATAGAACGACTCGGCACGCTGCTCAAGGAACCGTGTGAACTTGTGCACCAAGATCTGTTCGATTTCGTCTGCTTGCTTGACCTTGATGCTGACGCGCACAGAGTTCACACTGGGCTCTATCAACACTTGTTCGTGCTCGTTACGAGAAACATGCATTGGCTGGAGCAGTAGCTCCGCGCTTGTGTTGGGGACCTCTACTTCAGGTCTGTTGTGTCTTTCAACTTCTTGAGAAGAGAAGTTGGTCAAGTTTAGCGCAGCTTGAAGCGAATAACGAACCGCCGTTAGATAGGGACGCAATGATTGGGACATCTGAAATTGGAAAACAGAGTAAAAGAAGCGAATATATCACCAGATGAAGCTTCCTAGAACCAAACTTTGCTGTCTTTAGACTCGATGTAAGCTGGTAGTAAGTAATTGTTCAAAACCCCTTTTGGAAAATGATTATCGAGATCTACTCCGTGGGAAGTGACGAATATAGGTTAGTATAAAAACTAGCAAACGCTGGGCTTGCTTCAGTAGCACTAGTTGATGCTTCTGAGATCTTGATTTCCACTTTCTACCTCCCTTCCTGTTCTTGTATATACGCCGAGGGCATTATTTCAGAGCTTTTTACGTATTTTTGACATAGTTGACCTGGCGACACGCCTAGCAAAAATATGAGAAACAACTGATGAAAGTTCAAATAAAGCAGTTTAACAAAACCAGAATTCACCAGCTGAGCTAGTGCTTGAAGCTGCCCGTAATTTGCCATTACATTGTTCAGGAATCAAAAGCGTACTTTCGCATCTTTCAGTAGGCAACGTTAAATTCATCTCAGCGCCATCTCATCGCCAAATAGAGACATTAGACACATTAAAAAATGAGCGCCTGGAACGAAGCACACGATCCCGAGGGTCGCTTGTACTATTATGATGCAGAATCTGGAGAAACGACATGGGAAAAGCCACGCGAATTGTTCACGGAGCTTGAGTTGAAACTCGATCGACACGGGTGGAAAATCGCCAAAACCGAGGAGGGTCAAGTGTACTACTACAACCAAGCATCCGGAGAGTCCAGCTGGGAAATACCAACATTTGAAGAACAAGCGCAAGTGGAGCCGTCAGAGCTCCAGGAACAAGCTGAGGATCAACTTACGAAGGCTGATACTTTAGCGAAGCCAGATACACAGCAGTTGGAACCTGTACAAGACACGAAGTCCTACGCTCTTAGATCAAAGCTTGTCGAAGCCACAGCAAAACCGAAGCTTGAAGCTGAGCACATTTTCCTTCAAATGCTTAAGGACCACCAAATCGATTCCACTTGGTCCTTCAACAAAATTATATCCGAACTCAGCTGTTCCGATCCCCGTTATTGGTGTGTAGATGATGATCCACTATGGAAACGGCGAATGTTCGAGCAGTATCTCTCTAATAGATCTGAAGATCAGCTGCTAAAAGAGCACTCCGCTGTTAATAAGTTCAGAGACGCATTTTGGGCCATACTAAATCAAACCTCTCAAATACATTACTTTACCCGTTGGGTTACTGCCAAGCGGGTCTTCGCCAACGAGCCAATTTACAAACACTCAGTGGTGAGTGAAAGGACTAAGCGTAATGTTTTTCAAGAGTACGTGGATGATCTCCGCAACAAGCATTTTACCAGTTTGCAGAAGACTAAGGAACAAGCACATTCAGAACTGCAAGATTACCTGCTAGCCATAATGCCGGGAAAAGCGGAATTGATATCATGGGAAGATTTATCGACTAAGCACCTCTTCGAGAACAGCACTCGATTTACTTCCAATCGCCACTTCCAAACGTTATCCAAGCATGATGTTCTAAAACAATACATTACCATAGTGGAGACATATTCCAAGCATACTGAGGAAGAACTCAGTTCGGTGAGATCTGTTAATTATACAAATGATCGGAAAGCTAGAGATCGATTCAAGCAGCTACTGGATGAGCATAGCAAATCAATACGATGCAACTCAAAATGGGAGGAACTATATCCAAAGTTCAGGTCAGATTCAAGGCTGCATGCACTTTTGGCAAGAAAAGGGTCCTCACCTTTGGATCTATTCATGGATTTTGTCGAAGAAAAGGCCATGATAATGAAAGCCCATATGAGCATTGCAAGTCAAATCTTAATTGAAAATAATTACGAATGGGATATGGATCGTGAAAAGAACGTCGAGAAGCTCACCGATTTGATGAAGGTGAACCATCAACTGTCAGTGATGGACAGCGTTGACTGTCAAATACTGGTTTCCAAACTCTTAGTCGACCATGAGCAAAAGTTAAAACAACAGGCCGAGGTAGAAAAAAGGTTGCTCGAACAAAGAAAACGGTATTTCACACTCTTGCTGCATAGAGTCTTTTCGCAGTCGAATCCGAAACCAAACACCTTTGAGGAAGCTTGCGAAGTGCTGAAAGACTACCCCGAATTCAAGGACCTGGCCGATGACGAGGTAAAGAAACATCTATTCGAGGCTTTCGAGCCAAACAAAGCAGGACCAGAACTCTTGAGTACATCCTCAGTCTCCACGGTGCCTCAGGCATCAAAACTACCCAAAAAACGTCAACTGGCTCCAGTTGAGCTAGACTACTAGTCAAATTATAGCTGTCCCATTTTGCACGCGCGCAAAATTTCTCTCCACGTCCCTATTTGTATTCATCTACGTCATTTACTCATTACTTAACAAAGCGCTCAAACCAATTAGACCCATAAGTCCCATTTTCGCGTACTTGTTCTCAGAGATCCAGATTGTAACGTACCCAAGCTGCGGAATGTAGCCCTTGACAGTACCCACAATGTCTTTTTCTTTGTGCAAATAAACTTTGCGTTTGGCGTACAATGGAATATCATTTCCGGCGTTGTTGTCACCCTTAGTTAGAAGGAGCTGCTTTCCGGTGTTCTCGTCCACATGCTCTCTCAGCACCCTGTGCACAATCGGAATGTCCTTGCCGTCCACTTCATACACCACCACGTCTCCAACTTTGTTCAAGGTGTTTCGGTTCCACAAAAACAAAATATCTCCTCTCTGGAAAGCAGGCTCCATGGAACCCGAAAGTACCACTACTATAGGAGAATGGGAGTCTGTAACTATTGAAAGACCTTTCCAGAACATAAAGGCGGAAGCCAATGCAAAGCAGAGGTTCAAAAACCGGGTCAATTCCAAGCGCAGATTCATCTCTATGGATCAGTTAGATCGGAATCTCTTGCCTTAATTAACGAGCTTAGTGCAAGTAAGTTTGGCTTTTCAATCAACTTTCAATATAGATGTGTTTCTGCCATGATTTTTACCATGGTGATGAGTATTTGAGTACTCATGGAACAATTCAGCAATGGATATTATTAAGGGCACAAATATGTAAGCATGCCCTTTCCACTGAAGAAATGCTGGCTAGAAGTAATACCTATACGCACACTTCTAATATATCCACTGTTCGAGAATGAAAGTCGCAATTTTAGGAGCTCATGGCCGAGTCGGTCAGATTCTTTGTAAGTTGCTGAAAAAGTCTCGCGGCTTCGAGCCCTTGGCAATTGTTCGTGAACTGGACCAAAAAGCTTACTTTGAACAGGAGCTTGGTGTAGACGCTGATGTGATAGACATTGAAAACAGTTCCGTGGACCAGATTGGCGCTGTTCTGAAGGATTGCGATGCCGTAGTCTGGACCGCCGGTGCAGGTGGCAAGGGTATCGAGAGAATATTCACAGTAGATTTGGACGGTTCGATGAAGACGATCGAAGCTTGTCAGAAATTTCAAGTCGACAGGTTTGTCATGATTTCGGCCATCAATGCCGAAAACCGTGAAGCGTGGTGGCCCACTGCTTTACGCAATTATTACATAGCTAAAAGGACTGCAGATTACGTGCTTCGTACCTCGGGGCTACAGTACACAATTCTTCAACCGGGCTCCTTGTCTTCCGAGAGCGGAACAGGCCAGTTGTGTCCCTTAGACGCCATAAAAGACAAGAAAGCCAATCACTACTCTATTGAAAGAGAGGACGTAGCGCAGTTTATTAAACTTGCATTGGAAAATCCTGAATTGACTCTCCACAAAAGTATTCCATTGGCCAACGGGGACTTGAAAATGCAAGACTTCTTAAGCCAAATTTGAAGGTTAGTAAAAGTGAAGTGACAATTGCAGATTTATGATATGTATGCTTTATAAGAAGCCCTTCAGGCGTAAATTATAACGACCAAAAGTTCCGGTGTCACAGCTCAGTAATACATGAGCGAAAGAACTGCTCGCTCTCGATCCTTTTCGCTTTGTTAAAATTATTGAAAGCTTCGAGACCCGTGTCAGCAGTGTCACTGGTCATGATGACCTCTTTAAGCTCTTCAAAGGTCTTTAACCACTTTAGCCATGCAACACCGTGTAAAAGCGAATCTGCTAGATCGTCTTCTTTGGGTTTCCCAGCGCCATCTCCCAGGTCCAGAAATTGAAATAGGTCCAGTTTCTTTTGTGGGTTCTTGTGGCGGTAACTGGTTAGTTTCTGTTCAAGTTCCGATGTCAGAGTAAATGCCTGTGGCGATTGCTGGAGCAGTAGAGATTTGACCAGCCCAATTTTGAGCATTTTGGTAAGAGTTGAGCTTGTGGCCTTTAAGCGTGCTTTTGGAGAGTCTGGTCCATATTTGGAATCTAACACTTCTTTCACAGGTACTAGTTGACACCAAAAATTGGTCATTCTTCTCGGGTCAGAGGATTCCACCATATATTCGAATCCTTTGACGTAAAGTTTTTTGGCGCTGAGGCTCATGTAAAGAACATGCTCCAAGGCATTAACTTTTAAAATTGGATCGGGAACTTTGGCGGAACCCATAGTTCTGGTTCGCTGTCTTTCTATGACAAACAGGTGTGGAGGGTCCTTAGTAAGGATATCCGTAAGCCTCTGACCAGCTTCCGCCATGAACCGAGGTGTAAATGGAATTTTTGAAACTCCCGAATTGAGAACTGGTCCTTGCAACTGCATTTTATTCCACTCTACAACCGTGGGTAGCGTTTGGTCTGTACGCCACTGGAGTTTGCAGTACGCAAAGTTTTCCAGTCCCATGTCAACCGCTGTAATGCTTATCCATCCATGTTCTCTTTTTATGGTCGTCAGATTGTGAAGCAACTGGCATTGTGCTACAATGTTGTCTCTGAGACTTGTTTTTGTTGTTCCGATGGGCGATCCCACAGAAAATGCAAGTTTCTTCAGGGTTTGGCTATCGGTCTTTCGGCAGTAATAATCAAGGCCTTCTATGACAGATCGAATGACCTTAGTTTTACCCATGGATTAAGCTATGGGCTGACTTGATTGCTTCACAAGCCATCGAAACTCGAGATCATCACTGCAACTGAGAGTCTTACTTTTTTAGTCTTCAATAAATAGGAAAGTGATCAATAATTCTTATTATCAACATCACAGTTTCAGACAAGCTGAATCGGAGATGTGTTCACACTTAGCGATGGGAAATGGATCAGAGGAGACATACAGTTTCCAATCTTGGCAACAAGTCGTTTATAAAATTTTGTACGCCACAAGTATCTCCTCACATTGATTACTTTAAACCACTTCAAGATGGCTGGATGCTTGAGGATTGTCAAAACGAGCATACTATTGGTTTGATATCGTTATCGCTTTATTTGTCTTCATTCTCTCATCAAGGATGGAGGTCTACAAAATTTATTAGAAGACGACATTTAACCAAAAGGCCTCCTTTCATGAGAAGATTAGAGTGAGTTCAAGATTTGAGATGCATAACTGCCCGAAATTCAAAGCGGCCTTCAATGAGATAAACCTTTTACTCCTATTTCAAATTATGCTTGTTATATCTATCAGATATTCCTTCTTTAAGAGGTGGCATGATTTCCATCGCTTGCATGGATTATAAATGGCTATATATCTTTCTTTTGGGTAGGTGAACAACACTTATTAGTCTATCATCACGCTGTTTTACCATTAAAAGCTTATTCGTGTCACAGCCGAAAAATCAATGGGAACTGGTTTCTCTAGCTATCGTTTGTAATGAATGAAACTGCACATGAAGCGGATAAGCATGCAGCACCAAGTATGGGGCATCTTTTCATTGATTCACATAGCATGCAAGTACCTTTTTGGGGTTTGCCATATATTTTTGCAATTAAGCTGATTCAAGTGAATAATGTCCATCGGCTCATTACAAGAAGACAGCATATGTACGGATACAGTTCCACGCAAGAACTTATTAAAAGCGAACACTAAATGAAAAGAAGTCGTGGTTTGCACTGTCTCAAAATATCATGTTTTATTGTGTACGATCTCTCCGTTTGGAAGCGTCAGTATTTCAGCGTCAGTGCAGGTATTACAATCTTGTACAAAAAAATAGAGATCAGCTTCACGATTTGATCGTCCTTGCTTCACAGAACCTTTACAACATTCCCGCATTTTTGCAATTCAAGTAGCTTTGCAAATGGCTACAATTGGACCAAGTGGCACAATACCTACGAGGCCTGGTACTGTGTATCTTGGCAAGTATAGCGTCTCCAGAGAAACATTAGACGAAACCCAAAATTCAGGGCAGCTTGTTGACTTTAAGGAGCCACCAAAATCTGCCAGATCGATCAGAGCTACCATCAGACGTGCGTGGACGAAACCTCTGGAGGAACAAAAACCTGCGACAGCTATAACACGACACCACAAATTTCGCAGGTGGCTCAATAGTCCCGAAAAAGAATTCACTTGCAGCTGGAGCGAGTATGACGAAAATTTAAATGGGGAGCTTCATCGGCTTCGTGATCTGGGAGAATGGGGAGACCTTGAAGACGGATCTTATCGCTCCACGAATTGCGAAACATTCGAGCCGTCCACAAACAATGAGTCGCCATATCCTTCAAACCCTAACAACAATTCTGGCGACGAAAGCGGTTTCGAAATGTTCAGCAAGATGTTTTTAGATTCGAATTCCGGTGCTACGCTGTCCGAAAACGCCCCACAGTTTAGTCAGCCTCCAAAATCCAATCAATCTACCCGTTCGCGCTCCTCTTACAAAAAGAAGTTCGATATTCTTCGCAAATTTAGATTTAGGCTGCACCGCAGCAGAATGCGCAATGAGTTCACACTCACAGACAAATATTTGGGATCCGATGAGAACATCGAAAGGTGTTTGCAAGATATGGATATGATGCCTTTCGATCTAACGGCCCCTTCAACCGCGGGCAATGAATCAAAGAGCGATAAACAGCAAGTGAGTGGTGCTTTGAGCGACAAAAGTACCATGGTCGAGGGTGCTTTTTCCCCCGGTGCGTTGCACGTCACGAAGCTACGAAAGAACGGGAACAGTTATGATATAGAACAGGAAGAGCTGGGCATAGAAAAATATGTCCTATAAAGGGACAAGATTGGGAAAAGGGTAGGAAATGTGCTGTGGGATCCTGGAGACATATAATATCTACTTCAACTTGACAATCCGGTAAATTGAAGTTAATGAATGAGACAATATAAGCTAGTAAACACAAATCAAAACCAGCCTAGATCAAAGTCACTAAAAGTGGCCCTCTGACCCAGATATTCACATCAAATAAGTAAGTCACACATAAACTACATCAACATTAAGAAAGCAATTTTTAGCTCAACAAGTTCTTTCCCCTTCACTAAGCTTGAAGAAAGCCAGGAAATTGAAAAGCGCGATAGTCGTCTAAGTAAAATGAACGTATTGTAAAATTAGCGTATCTTCTAATATACCGCCCAATTCAACATGCCAGCTCTCATTTGTTTTTTTGACGCTTGTAGCGCCAACAATTATAATAGATCTACACTAATCATTCTTAAACAATGAAAAAAAAAGACTAATGTGTGAAGAAGAGTTTTTGAAGTTGACAAATCCAACATCAATATTTGATCATAGCAAGCCATATATAGGGGTTTGAAAGCCAGCTAGTATGCCTGAATACACTAAAGACGCTGGCGGGCATGTCCCGGTGTCGATCTTGGCGAAAAGCGACGGCTCTACGCGGGAAATCACATCTTACAAGGGAAGCCACGGAAATTCGGAAAATGACGACGGGAATTCTCCCAGCTACCGCCCTATGGATGAAGTTACATACGTGAATCCACACAAATTGAAAATTGTTACGTCGGCCCGAAACAAGGATACTCGCGGGCCACACGCGTATAATTTAGATTCTATCGATGGAGACGAAACTTCAGGACCTCCCACCGGTTCATCATTCAGTGGACTAAAAAGTCCCACGAGTGCACTTGGAACTGCTGTTTCGTTTACTATGTCTAATATCACCGACAAAATCTCCCATAGGGGCTCTATTTCGGCGAGGCCGTCATCGGTGGCTCTCACCACGCAATCTAGCAACAACAATGTTGCGAGTGCAAAGAGTGCAGAAGAACGTCAAAACTCACTTACAGGAGATTCATTTGACGGCAGCGCTACCCCCTCTCGTCAAAATTCTGTGCATATGCCCGGGGAGTTCATCTTTATGGAGCCTCGGGTCCAATATACTCCACAATCTGCGTCCCCGTCCGGCAACTCGAGTTCAAGCCGGAAGCAACCACACCACATCAACAAAGCTTTGATTGACTCTCAGATTGGCCCTCAACTGCCGTTCACCGAATTTTTTCAAAAACAGGATGACAAAAAGATTCACATTTTAATTGGTGCCACTGGGTCCGTGGCTACCATAAAAGTTCCTGTAATCATCGACAAACTCTATAAGACATACGGTCCTGACAAGGTTTCGATCCAGCTAGTTGTTACCAAGCCCGCTCAACATTTTCTCCGTGGGCTTAAGATATCCACAGACGTAAAAATATGGCGAGATGAAGACGAATGGTGCGGTTTTAAGCGTATGGGAGATCCGGTGCTTCATACTGAACTCAGAAGGTGGGCAGACATCTGTCTCATTGCTCCTTTGTCGGCGAATACTCTGGCGAAGTTAGCTTATGGGATTTGTGATAACTTGCTCACGTCTCTCTTACGTAGCTGGACTCCTTCCACTCCCGTACTCGTTGCTCCTGCCATGAATACATTCATGTATACACACCCGGTCACCAAGAAACATTTGAACATGTTACAGGAAGAATCTCCTTACATCACAATTCTGAAACCTGTGGAAAAAGTACTTATTTGTGGAGACATCGGTATGGGCGGTATGCGAGACTGGCACGATATTGTAGATATTTTGACTAGAAAACTATCTGAGATTAGGGGAGGAATTGGAGCAGATGCAGCAGATGATGATGATGATGATGACGAGGAAGAAGAAGGCGATACGAACCTGCCGGACGAAACTGACTCTGATGATAGTGGCATTGAAGATGAAGATGACGGCGAAGATGACAACGAAAAGGATGAAGCGTCTCAAAGTGTTCACAATTACCAACTGGGAACTCAGTTCACCAGCGATAATTACCAAGAAGATCTGCGAAGTGGTTTTTAAAAGTTCAAAAAACACGGAATCAGAAGTTGATGGCCGTTGAAGTATTTCGGCTCTTGTATATTTTCTCAAACACTTGAGAAGAACTATATATACATTTTGGAATATTTTATTGTAGCACCTAATATGTAGCATTTGTAAGCTGTAAGTTTACCATGAAATGAATTCTGCGAGACCAATAGTTGGTGAGAGTGGGAGCTATTAAACCATCAATGATTTTAAGGTGCGGCCTAAGTTGTCATATCAGTTTGCATGGAGGGAATGACCCACTTTGGTGGAATAATATCGTGGGAACTTTTAGCGAAAGTATTGAACGTAAACTCGATATCGAACTCCGCTAATTTTGATATTGACGCTTACAAAAATGCTTTCAACTCGAAGTTGTCACCCTGATAATTATTTTGTCATACATTAGGCAACAATGACGACAATCCTGCTTTTCTCATAACTCTCAGTTTTCAGATCTTGTTGATGACAGACACCTACCAAAAAAAAACTGTCGCTTGCAATAAAAGATCCCTATAAAAATTACCGAGCATTTGACGGTTACCGATGCAGTTTCAGCAGCTAAGTTCTGATCATTCGCATGCGCTTCTGGACTTACCAAAGACACTCACAAATCTAAGTTTATATATCACAAATGCTATTTCAGCGTTCCTGGAAATCTTTCCACCATGAAACATGCTAAAGAAAGAACTTCAATTGAGTAAAATATATACAGGCCTTCACCATTTATCTCTCATGTCTCGAATGCTAAGTTCGTTACGTCTCAGCAGAATAAAAGCACTGTGTACGTTTTTAAGTATTCTGCAATATATTGAAAAAGCTGCAAAACATTGTTTTCCACCTTCAACACATTAAGTAAAGCTCTAATCCAACACATACACACACTATAGATCATGTCTTTCCTAGGATTTGGTGGCCAACCACAACTGAATACTCAGCAAAAAATTTCTGCCGCAGAAGCCGAACTGGATCTTGTCACGGACATGTTTAACAAGCTGGTGGACAACTGTCACCAAAAATGTATTCAGGCGACTTACAGCGAAGGAGATCTGAACAAGAACGAATCCTCATGCATTGATAGATGTGTGTCTAAATATTTTGAAACTAACGTGAAAGTTGGTGAGAACATGCAAAAGTTGGGCAACTCATTCGGCGGTGCAGGTAAGTTTTAGACGGCTTATATCATATATTCGTGTTTATAGTTAATGAACGGTTTCAAAAGCCGAGAGCTGGTGTTGTAAAGGAGAAATTGTTGCCAAGCTGCTTGCTGGCACGTTGTTTTATGTACAAGGTTAAATATTTACGAGTTCCGCCCGGCTGAGGGAACAAAAATGAGAAACTCACTCGAGTCCCAGTACTCTTTTGAACCGCAACCGAATGCCTTCAAAGCTGTTGAGTTTGGGTCTGACATCCAAATATATGCCAGGCCCTGTTTGAGTTTCATTGCTATAAAAGTCAATCACGTAGTCCACTTTCATGCCACAGCGATTGATGGTCCAGTCATGACGGTCAAACGGTTTTGAAAAGCCCAAAAGCGTACTACGGAACCATGCTCTTGGAGTTAATTTCTTCGAGTCGCCCTTGAAACTAGTCAACTGAAGGCCGCCACACGTTTCACTTCCCTGATTTTTCTCCCAAAGCCTAATGTAGTCCCAAACGCGCTCGTTGACGGAATTATGGATCGGTATCACCGTTTTCATATCTTCTGCACTCGGATTCCATTTCTTGCGTAACATCGCCTCAAAAAACTGTTTTTGAGATGGATAAATCCAATTTTGTTCGCTGCCGGTTCTAGGAATGCTCGAGATTTCCCGCTCGGTTGGTAAGTTTACGTCTGTCTTGTATCGCGGTATAGCTGGGATTTCATCCGAGGAGCATTCGACATCCTCGCCCATTTTGGAAACTTGTTCATGTTGAAGCCACACGCTCCGCGCTTCGGGACTAACTGGACAAGCTTCAGACTGGTCTGGCGTGGCGGAAGCTCCACTTTTGGGACAGGTCAAGGACTGAGCGGGAGCTCCATGTGGAGACTTAAAGCTGTGTTTTGCATTTGTCTCACCTTCCTGAGACATGCTTTTCATCCACGCTTCTCTAGCTGTGTGATCTACTGGACATTCGCCTTGTGAATCTCCATTCATCGCTCACAGTTATTTAGCAAATCCAAAATATTGTTTTGAAGATATGTCGGGGGTTAACTCACTCTGTGGGTTCCCACTTGGAAATCAAGCTTTAAATCTAGTCTTTGTTTTGGACTTCTTCTCTTGCCTTGGCCGTTATTAAATTTCAAGATTTAGTTTTTGTCAATCGATGTGCAATCTAACGCATCAGAAAACCTTTACCGATATGATGTGAAGGTATAAATAGCACGAATGGTACTATCTCAATGAGGGAAGACTTCTTGCATACCATGTATACCTCAACAATAAGCTATGACGCTGACTCTACAATTTTTGCTGGTCATTATGAACAGTCTAAAATTCTTTAAGCGCACGAAGAACTGAGGATGTGGTCAGGCTTCGCATACAGCAGGCCCGATTTTTGATATTTTTTTAATAGACTGTCTAGTGTAGCTGCATATATGCCGCGAGAGTTTCTTTGCCAACTATACATTGTTTAGGGAGTGGACTAGAGCTAGTGCACATTCTGTAATTTATGGTTTGCGTCGTTTCCTAAATAAACACGATTATGGGTAAATATCGCCTACCGCTACTCGAGCAAGCTTCAATCGACGCTTTCAAAGGCACTTTCCCTCGAGCGGCAGGAAATCAGGCAGTTTCAATCGGGAACAAAATAAATGGTTAATGAGCAACGTTCAATGTTGTTCGCGCATTCTATAAGTATTACTTCCAGATTTGAGGGGGTTTTTACGTACAGTTGTGGCCTCTCATATGAAAGTAACGGTAGAAGTTGAGACGTAGCTCGTTCCTCCAGCAACGGTGTTTTCTATGAGTTAGAGGCCCTCTCCAGACTTATACGGGCTGGGCAGTAGGCACTGCAGGATGCATCTGCGACCAGATCGCCTTTGTACACAGATTTATGTAGCACAGCATAGCGTTAGAAGCCCAAACAAAGTGCTTCCAAGGTTTTTTAGGTCTTGTCAAGACTTCGAGAAAAAGGGTAGACATTTTGATATTACGCACCACATTATCTCGCGACGTGCGCCATATATGCTTCCTACGCCTATCACGCACTGCTGGTGCCCCAGATGGATGAGTATAACCCATAGTAAAGCATCTCAATAATAATCAGTTTGAACTACCAATGCAAGAACTGTTGTGATTAATCCTCTACTGCACTTTTTGGCACTTTTGAAGCACTTAATAGCCAAGAGCGTGAAAGAGCTGTCCGATTGCATACTTATTCCGTAATGTTTGTACTATGTCCTACTTTTCATTTATCTACTTGAGGGACAGGAATGTCGAAGGGCAACAGAAGCACCTCAAAAACTTGTTGAGGCAAAAAGGGGACGCATGTCGCTGTTTTCCAAAGCCTTCACGAGTCCCTGAATTGAACGACCTCATCTCAAAGTTAAGATTAAGTTAAGATGATGAGATTGTCATGTATCGTCAAAGCTTCTTTCACACAGCAATTAACATTACTATCATAGTTTAGTGAGCTACGGAAATCGAGGCCATGGGGTGTGGTATCAGTACAATGGCTCCGGAAGAGGAGAAAGATCTGTTTCTACAGAATAAACGAGCAAACGAAGCCGTCGAACGCTCTTTACAGATGCAAAAGCACAAGGAAAATAAAGAGATTAAGCTTTTATTGTTAGGAGCCGGAGAATCTGGAAAGTCTACCGTGTTAAAACAATTGAAACTTCTACATCAGGGCGGATTTAGTAACCAAGAACGTCTTCAATACACCCAGGTGATTTGGGCAGATGCCATTCAATCAATGAAGATTTTGATTATCCAAGCGCGAAAGTTAGGCATTCCCTTGGATTGTGACAATCCTCAAACCAACCGCCATTTATTCGAGCAAAAGAGGCTCTTGCTCAGAGCTAAACCACTGGAGCTCATTGACGCTAGCCTGGCGGGTGGATCGGGGTTTTTAAACGATTACGTTCTCAAATATTCGGAAACTAGTGAAAACAAGCGTCGTACTCAAAGCACAGGACAGGCGCAAGCGTTCCGCAGCAGTGTTTTGATGGATCAAATCTTGGACACCGGAGGTGCTTACAAGGACAGCGGCGACGCTGTCAATTATCAGGAGTTATCAGAGGGCCTAAATGAAAATGGAACAAATCCGGCTCTTGTGCGTCAGCAATCAAACTCTCGACCAGTGAGTAGTCAGCAAATCGCTGTCGCAATCCAAAAGTTGTGGGAGCAGGATCGCGGGATCCGCCAATGCTTTGCGCGGTCCAACGAATTTCAACTGGAAAGCTCTGCAAAATACTACTTTGAAAACATTCATAAATTCGCCACTCCGGGATACGTATGCTCAGACGAGGACATCCTCAAGGGGCGTATCAAGACCACCGGAATCACGGAAACGTCGTTCAACATTGGGTCTTCCAACTTCAAAGTTCTCGATGCCGGCGGTCAACGGTCTGAACGGCGTAAGTGGATTCACTGTTTCCAAGGAATAACGGCAGTGTTATTTGTGCTAGCAGTGAGCGAATACGACCAAATGTTGTTCGAGGACGAGCGAGTGAACCGCATGCATGAGTCTATCATGCTTTTCGACACACTTTTGAATTCCCGATGGTTCGCCAATACGCCGTTTATTCTATTTCTTAATAAGACTGACATATTCAAGGAGAAGCTCACTAGGTCGCCTATTAGGCAGCATTTCCCACACTATCAAGGCCGTGTGAATGACGCTGAGGCTGGACTAAAGCATTTCGAAAACATTTTTTTGGGTTTAAACAAATCTCAGAGACCAATTTACGTACACAGGACCTGTGCCACTGACCCACAAAGCATGAGGTTCGTGTTAACCGCTGTAGCAGACTTGATCATTCAGCAAAACCTGAAGAAGAGTGGGATCCTTTGACGTGGGTGCATTTTATTAATCATTAATTCAATGTACCGTGAGTAGTTATGAGTCTGGACCATTAATATAACTAAGCAAAGCGCTCAAATAAAGTTTGAGTGAAAGATATAAATTCATGGCTCGAAAGTGTACCTCTCGTGGACCTTTAACATGACAATTGAATTCTGTTGATTTGAACTACTATCGACTGCATTTGGAACTTTTGATTAAGTCTTTTATCGAACGATACAAGCACACACACACACATACACACACACACACACACGCGACAATGTCTATACAAACTGGAGGGCTCAACAGAATAAGCGGCATCCCACTCTCTCAGATCAGAAGACCCATCGCGCCGGTGCTGGATCATCAGAAAATCGATGCTATGGTGTCTACTATGAAAGGAACACCCGAGGCGAGTAAGACCTGTACTAAAGAGGAAGCTGCTGTAATGAATTCACAGCTTCCACCCATCGACGTGCTATGCGTTCGGGATCAAGGCAAAACCTACTACTTTGGGTTTGGCGGTTGCCATCGTTTCCAAGCTTACGAGCGTATCCGCGACCAAACAGGCGAAGATGTCGAGGTACGTTGCAAAATCATTCCCGCGACTAGGAGTCAACTGAAGCTCTACGTTGGGAGCTCGATTGACGACATGTTCAACTAATCTAGCATTCTAGCAAATGGAGAGCTGCTAGTATAGCATGCTTTCCAAGAAACCCTATAGTTATTGTTACATTTTTCTTTTTTTTACCTTCAAGCTGATTGATGTGAAGTGGTAGGCGGAGTAGGCAATGCTCGATGTAGTTGTCCAAGCCCCGAAATGCTTCCTCACATTACGACATTGACATTAATTTCATGCTGACCCATAAGACATGGCTCCGGAGTTGAAGTTTATATAATGAGTAAAGTATTAAAAATATTCAATTCTCACCGGCACTTATTTTCAGCAAGGTCGATAGCTATATATGCATCAAAATGGGAAACACTCCAAGTAGACATGTTCGTTTGAATGACGAGAACCCAAATGTTCCACCATCGTTGCGCTTCTCTCGAAAGAGGGAAATGGTGGTGGCCACTGTCTTCGGGAAAACGAGGAAATATATGTGTTTTTCTACTCAGCATTCCTATGAAAGGTTCGTGAACTCTAGTCGAAAGATTAATACGGAGCGAAATCTGGCAGATGACGGCTTGGGCGTGCCAATTTTTGAGTTTGAGGATCCACACGCTTTGAATCGAGTGTTCAGTTCCGATGGTGTAAGGTTCCGGGTGTACAAGTACGTACTTCAGCAGACCTCTGACCCTTTACCACACCCCAATAGCGTCGTGGTAAAACAGAACAAAAGCAAGATCATTTACAAAATGCCCTTTTGTGAAATACACGAGACTGCAAGGGGAACAAGATCAGGATTCGAATACGTCTTTTACACTCCAGAAATGAACTTTCTGGTGCGGTCGAAAAAACATCATGGAAATTTAAACACGGACTCCAGACTTGGAGACTGGAATGTCAGGTGGCTCGGTGTCAGCAATGGCGTCTATGACCTAGTTGTTTTACCTTCAAGCGTGCCTTCTCTACTAGAGGACAAGGACATTAGAAAATCCAAGTATGCCTCACGGTCCAACACCCGGGAGACTCTGTCAAATGCAATAGTGTGGGCCAAACTGTGGGACCATGGCGAGCCCTTTTTACCTAAATTGACCAAGAAGTTGGCTACAATTCAAATAGGGGAACTGAGCCTTGAGACAGACGCTGCTGCATATGGACTTTGTGCAATTCCTTGGTATTCTCAAGTGATAGCTTGCATGGCAATGGTTCAAGTCCACATGCAACAGGAGCAGCGGCGGAATAACGGTAGAAATCGTGGAAACACGATGAATTTTCAATCAAACAATATTGGAGCACCATTCAATAACATATTTTGAGGCATCTAATTAAGCCCATGTCAATTTCATGCAACTCTCTATGACCTTCTTCGTTCGTTGTTTGTGTGTCCACGTTGGCAGAGTCTCCAGACTTTGCGAAAGACCGGGAACATTTGCTGGGGTGCCATCACGCGAAACAAAATCATAGTGTTCCATGAGTCCAAGACTCCTAATTGCGTGCTAATAATTTTATCAGTGCAAGCCACCCTTTGGGTGTTCGTTTTTAATAATTAATGGTAATAAAAACAACTGCAACCTTGGCCAAGTGATCTCGAAAGAACACCATGTGCCTTGGAGCTGTCCTTTTCTTGACTGCAAATGTTCGTTTTCCTGCTACCTCTTTTCCTCATATGCGTTTTCCGGTGAAGTTCACATACTTTATGATAATTCGTGAAACGACTTAAAAATTGAAGTTCCTGTGTCATCATCCAGTACAGCGTATTGAAATTAGAAGCTAAGGTTCTTGGAATTACACTCGCGACTGTCTCAAGGATGAAGTGGCATAAAAACCCTGAAGGTTGAGAAGCATCGTAAAGGCCTGTAATTTTCCGATATTAAAGAGAAAAGTGGCAGAAGAAGCTGCCCATTGCTATCACCAAAGTCTTGCCAATTTTCTCGACCCTGAATTCGCATTTAGTTAATCCTACAAGGGCTGGACGGCTTTTAGTGTATGGCATTAACTGATATCCTTTTCATCAAAAAAGCGATGAGCTTGGACACGATTGCTTGTTCAGATGGAAAGTGCTCGAATAAACTTGCTCGAGCTTATTTACACAGCATCGAAAGCACGAGTTTGCTCAATATACGCAATCAAGAGCACGATTCTATAACAGTCAAATGCCTATAGCTCAGCATTGAGTGCGACGTCAAGCTTCTGAGCCTGTGTCTTCTTCCAGGTTAACATTTCGCAACTTACCTCATTCCCAAAACGCCATTCATAGGAATGGCTTTTAAATATAGGGACTTCCTGGTATATAGATACTAAGGACCAATTTTTCAGCACTTCAATATCCGCGGGAAATTCAACGTTATTTATTCCATTAACTGAGAGTTAGAGAAAACTCCGAAAAGCTGATCGCTAGAAGCTACACTGTCAAAGAAGAGGAAACTTTCCACAGATGACCTTTTTGTTGGCTAGGTAAAATCCCACAGTACTATCACTTTTATGTCCAACATGAAAGCTTCAAATATCTATCACATCCTTACTGTGTATTTTCCTCCTCTCTGCCTTTCGAGGTGTCCTGACAAATCCGTAAATTGATCAACAGGACAGTTATCAAAAAAAAAGTTAACTAATGAGACGTACATATATAACTACTAGGTTCCAACGTCTCCCTTTCATGGTGTGTTCAATTTGTTAATGCTTCGTTCTGCACTTTCTTTCACCAAGACAATGTCTACCTCTGCCAAGACTATTCCCACTATTCAAAAAGCTGTTTTCTTCAGAGAAAACGGAGGACCCGAGGTCTTGAAATATGAAGATTACCCAGTGCCCAAGATTGGGGATAACGAGGTACTGGTCAAGAACAAGTATGCAGGCATCAATTTTATCGAGGCCTACTTTCGCAAGGGAATTTATCCATCTCAGAAACCGTACGTCTTGGGCCGTGAGGCTTCCGGCACGATTGTTGCCAAGGGCAAAAATGTGACAAAGTTCGATGTGAACGACAATGTTGCATATGTTTCACCAGGGTCTATGGCTCAGTACACCAGCGTCCCGGAGAAAGCCCCTATCGCCAGATTACCTGCCTCTACCACTGACGAACAACTGCGGCTGTATGCGGCATCCATGGTCCAGGTTCTAACGGCGATGACATTGATACGCGAATGCCATCCGCTCAAAAAGGGCGATTTTGTTTTGCTTTACGCGGCCGCTGGAGGAGCTGGTTTGGCGTTTGATCAGCTTTTGAAGAAAGCTGGCGTCCGCGTCATTGCAGTTGCGTCGACGGACGAAAAACTTGCGCTTGCCAAAGAAAACGGTGCTGAGTTCTTGATCAATGGCTCCAAGGATGACGTTCTGAAAAAGGTGTTGGAAATCACGGGAGGCGAAGGCGTCAGTGTTGCTTACGATTCTGTCGGAAAAGATACCTTTGATACTACACTGAACGCTGTCAAGAGAAAAGGTACAATTGTGAGCTTCGGCAACGCTTCTGGGCCTGTTGAACCCGTCGACATATATCGGTTAACCGCGAAAAACTTGAGCCTCATGAGACCTAGTGTGATTGGATATATCAGCAACGAGGAAGACTGGAAATACTACTCCGGCGAGCTAGTCAAACTCATAGACTCGGGCGAGATTAACGTGTTGATCTCGAAGGTTTATCCTTTAAGTGAGTACAAGACTGCCACTTGTGAGCTGGAAGCTAGAAAGACAGTTGGAAAACTACTATTGGAAATTCCATAATTAGCTGTTATTCTTTTGAGAGCAGTTAAACAAATGATTGAATTTCAACCAGGAAGACCTACCCGTAGGGCTCTATGGCAACCTCTAGGATGGAAGGCTGCAGGCAACCGATCATAGCCTTTAAAAATCTTACTTTTATCCACTTCTAAATTATGTACTGCAAAAATAGCGGCGATAAACATGTTCCTGATTGGCTCTTAATGCGATGTGAGCCAGTCCGCGGTATTATATGTGAAGAGTAGAATTTCGATCCCATTGGTATTATTATTGGGTCGGCGAGGTTTGAGGCGAATGAATTGATTGGTTGAAGCAGCCTCAACGAAGGGCGGTCGTACAATTTTGGGCTGTAAATATAAACTGAACAGGTTGCTAGTGGGATGCAATTGTTTCAGACATTGAGCGCTCTTGTTGTTGTCATATCACTTTGTACTAATGTGTCATTATTCAACTAGGCATTCTATTCACTCACATCCCAGCATATTTATTGTCGACGCCTCATCTGCAGGATATAAAACCACAGTCTCCATAACTGCAGCATCTCCAACCACAGCCTCCTCAACTGCAGCATCCGCATCCACTATCTACTTCGCTATACTGAGTATACACGCTTTGTCATTTGTCACATGTCGTTTTCGTCTACCACTTGAATCCAGTAACGCTCTTGAAACTCATGGTCCAAAGCTAGTGGATAGTCGTCTCCCGTAGTAGTGCCGCACGAGTTGATGCGCTGAAGCTAGGCGCAGAAACGTGAAGCTACGGTCACGCCGCTGTCACGTGAACACTAGCAATCATACTTTACGCCTTTTGCTTGCATAAGCATACAATTTATCACTTCCGACGCATCCGTTTTTTTTTAATATTTTGGGTAACTATTTACGAGGACGTTACAGCTCGTACGAGACGATACAAATTTGTTGCTTCCCTTCTTTTCTTTGGACACAGCAACTATAGGTATAGAGTCTACAGAAACACGCCAGAGGTCCACAGCTGGCACACCTGCTTCTATGGCTTTATTTTCCGCTCATTTTTGCACACTCCAGCCTGTCTCACCTTGCACGGCTTCACCGTGCTCGGCGCCGCTTCCGATTTTCACTTTTTCCGTGTGACCTGACCAAATCCGAGCCCGGCGGCCAAGACAACCAACATCGCTCATATACAGGCATATATATATATATATACATATAAGATGTAAGATCATACCTTGAAACATTTCTCCCAATCAATCTTCTCTAGATCAAGTGTGATTCGTCTTCGTGTCCACATTTGCCAATCCCAGTCTAAACAATGTTGTCAGCCGCCAAACGCTGTTTCTCTACTTCCCGTGTCAGCCCCTACAAAGTCACCGTGCTAGGAGCCGGCGGCGGGATCGGCCAGCCATTGTCGCTGCTGCTGAAGCTTAACCACAAGGTCACAGACTTGAGACTGTACGATTTGAAGGGCGCTCCAGGCGTGGCCGCAGATTTGTCGCACATCCCCACTAACTCCCTTGTGAAAGGTTTCACGCCCGACAACAGCGGGCTAAAAGAAGCGCTCACCAACACCGACGTGGTGTTGATTCCAGCCGGCGTTCCTCGTAAGCCTGGTATGACCCGTGACGACCTTTTCGCCATCAACGCGTCGATCGTGCGCGATTTGGCCACGGCATGTGCCGAAAACGCGCCCAACGCCGCGATCCTCGTCATTTCGAACCCTGTCAACTCCACCGTTCCTATCGTGGCACAGGTACTCAAGAACAAGGGCGTGTACAACCCAAAGAAGCTATTTGGTGTCACCACGCTAGACGTGATTCGTGCTTCTCGCTTCATCTCTGAGGTAGCCCACACCAACCCAACTCAGGAAAGAGTGACCGTCGTTGGCGGTCACTCCGGAATCACCATCATTCCGCTACTCTCGCAAACCAAGCACAGTACCATGGACGAGGCAAGCAAAGAAGCGCTCATCCATCGTATTCAATTTGGTGGTGATGAGGTCGTCAAGGCCAAGAACGGTGCTGGTTCTGCCACTTTGTCAATGGCCCAAGCCGGTGCTAAGTTCGCCAACTCTGTGCTTCAAGGTCTTGACGGTGAGGCCGATGTCATTGAACCATCTTTCGTCGACTCTCCACTATACAAGAGCGAAGGTATCGAATTCTTCGCTTCTCCTGTCAAACTCGGCCCTCATGGTGTTGAAAAGATTTACTCCATTGGTCAAATCTCTTCCGAAGAGGAAGAACTTTTGGCCAAGTGCAAAGAGACTTTGAAGACTAATATCCAAAAGGGTGAAAAGTTTGTCACCGAAGCCTAATATAATAGTCTTGGCAAATGGGCAAATAGGGCGCTGTCGCAACTGCTTTGGCGCCGCCCATTATTTATATAATGATATACATTAATGAATCAGGAGTGAAGAGATCGAGCGTGTATACATCGAAGCACACATTTGCAGGTCGTTAGTGGCGCAGTTGTCCTAATCGGTGACTAAGTACCAGTCTTTTGTATACACCCTGAGATCCGTATTCTCCGTCACTCAAACGAATTAAATATTTCTACATCTTCCACAGTCGCGTTCACGATTTATTCGCGCATTCACTAGTTTCTTTCCCACAGTGACTCGACGAGCCTGCGATTACACTCTCAAGTTTGTTTGCAGTTCAAATTCGGTTCCGCAATATTATTCTCCAGCAAATCAAACTAGAATCTTCTGAACTCCGCACCATTATCTTTGCTCTTTTTTAACAATCAATCTTCAGCTTTCAATAAACCACCCTTCAACTTTTGTTCCTATAATTTTCACTTATGTCACTACCCAGGGGACTACTAATAGATAATCAAACTAGGTGTGTTCATTGGAACTCCGAATTAGATATTGTGTGCTTCAAATTCAAATGTTGCCAAAAATTCTATTCGTGCCACTCCTGTCACGATTCTTTGGAAACTCACACTACCAAAAGGTACAGTTTGACCAAAGACCAGAAAGAACCGGTGGTTCTCTGCGGCGCGTGTCGTAATATCATGACCTTCGACCAGTATCAAAGCAAGCTCGCGTGTGGTTCACATTTGCAATGTCCCTCGTGTCGCGCGCCTTTCAATCCCAATTGTAAACTGCATTACTCCATTTATTTCGATATATAAGGGTTCATCGCACCCGCTAAAACCCTAAGCTCTATTTCTTAACTTCGATATCGGAATGTTCATTAGCGACAATTGCCTAGTTTGGCTAGGCAACTTATTCAGTTTAGACCAAGACACTACCGAGTCTCGAGATCCATCCGCATTGTCCGTATCGTATCCCAATGACGCTCCGCGGACCAGCCCATTTTCGGCGCTTTCAAAGCTCATCGTCGAGGTACTATGCTTCCCAGTCAAGTCGTAATTTGCCGGTGACGACAATTGTTTTGTACATCCCGGCGTAACGTCTTGGGGTGTCCTTGCGCGAGCACTACTACTGCTCAAACTTATCTCTCGGTTTGCAAGCGATATTGACGATGTGGAATTCATTCGGTTAAGACTTGATAGCTTTTTCTTGGACGGCGAATTTGAGTTAAGTGTATGCGTAAGTTGAATTTTCGGAGACCATACGTTTTGACTTCCGACAGAGGTTCTCCGACTTGTCGATATGGTTGGAAGTGGCGGTAATTGAGATGCATATGTCTGAATTGCTGACGAGCTGCTTAGTACAGGAGACCCGCTATTTTCAAAGACTGGCTTTGGAATAGTCAAAGGTGATACCATGGACTGGTAACTCGGCCTTTTCGGCAGCCCTTGATGTGAACGTTTTTCTTTCAAAACTTTATGGTAGACTTCCACGAGCTCGAATGTCTGGCACAAATCTTCTGGAATCCAATTTCCCACTTTTTGGGTATCCTGGTCGACGAGGTCGCCCTCTAAGATCAGCATACGCATGCAATTGACACTCCCGTACTTTAGGCACGTATGTAATGCAGAATAGTTGTCGTCATCTCGAAGACTCAAATTTGCCCCTAAACCTAATAAGAGATTCAAGCATCGGTGGTGATCATGCAAGCACGCCATTTGCACCGGTGTCAAACCTCGGTGGCCCCTCATATTCAAACAATATGGAAAATGTTGAAATAACAGATGAGCGGTCTGTTCATGGCCATTTAAAAGCGCCAGGTGCACACACGTATTATTTTTGAACGTCTTGAGGATCTCGTCTTTGCCATGGCCCAGTTGTACTAAATGAACGCATACCAAGTACTTTCCATAGTAGGAAGCGTAATGCAATAGCGACCACCCATTATCAGAGTTTATGTCCGTAAGTAGATCGGGAGCTCGGTTAAGTATGCGCTTTACTATCAAAAGCTTGCCCGATATCACAGCATTCCGTAGTCTTATGCTTGGATTCTCGAGCATTTGGCTCGTAGTTGGCCCTTAATTTCTTTACCTTTTGTAAAGATTCGAGGTTTTAATTTGAGGAAAGTCTAAAATGCATCGAAGCTTTTGTCTTTTTTAGTGTTGACGTATGGAAACAAATTGCCTTCTTGACAACAAGAAGACTAAAAGACATTGGGAATTTTACGTTTCCTCTCCCTTTGTGTTAAAATTCATATCGTTTATTGATTTTGCTATCACAAGCTGGTTTATAAAATTGTATAGAATGTATTCAACTGCAATCAGTAACTCAAGATTCCAACTTAAGAAAGTCCACCAACTTGCGGTTGAATTCGGGAGGATTATCTAGATAGAGGTGATGACCTGCATCTGAGACAACGGTAAAGTCAGCTTTGATACCAGGGGTCTTTTTGTTTATCTCGCGAGCAATCACAGTCCCAGCCTCTTTGCTCATCCAATCATGACTACCATACATCCAAAGCGAATCGCATTTTAAATTTCCAGGGGCCCTACTCAATAGTGGCAGCCTAGCCAATACACCAGGGGCCAGGATTCGTGTCAATGCATATTCTCCACTACCGGCACCTGCGAAAATGCTATAACAATAGTTATGAAACGTGAGCAGTTGTTCTTGGTCCTTTATAAACGAGAAACGCCGAAACGACCACTTTGATGAAACTAAGGCTCCCGCAGGCCCTAAAGACCTCAAAAACCCAAACGGCGAGATGTTGCAGGTCCACATAAAGGAAAACACGCGAGGCAAATTGGGGACGCGCTCCACATTTCCAGCGTCGTCGGGCACATGAAACGAACTTGACGTCTTCACGGGATTGTCAGTAGTTGGGTTTTTCTTGTTAGCGGATACTTCTTTGGCAACATCAGGGCCCAATTCGGCCGCATGAGCATGAGTTGGACTGTGTTTGCGTGTGAGGTCAAACACAGAAGTTTCAACCCCTACAGGACTCACTAAAATGAGCTTTTCCACTCGATTTGGGTATTTAAGTGCGTAGCAGCAGCTTAAATATCCGCCCAGTGAGTGTCCCACCAAGACAAATCTTTCTAACTGCTTTTTTTGCCTCCACTGTTCAAGAGAGTCTATAAAAAAGTCCTCAGCCTCGTGAACCTCTCCCGCGCTGATATTTCCTCTCTTTATGAAGCTTGAGATCATCCCAGTTCCAGGAAACGGAGGCCTTGACGACAGCCCATATCCCAGCATGTCGATAGCGTGTAGCTTGAGGCCTGGGACACGGCTCAAACCATCAAAGTTGCGAACAAACAGACCAAGTGCTGCCCCATATCCATGCATTATAACCATGTCTTTACAGTGCTTTCTTGTCGTAGGCTGAGTATTTTCCACCTCAAATTCATGGATATACTGCTTATTCTCAATACCCACATCCAAGATAGCACATTTCCTAGTAGCATCGCCATCAGGGAAAAACCCCAAAGTACTTAACAGTTCCCTTTCATTACTCCTGCCATCGGATGACTTACGCCACGTTTTGTAGGACGCTTTCCAGCCGTAAACTTTACGGAGTTGCTCTAATTCATCTTTGTCCATTCCACTCATCTCATTGCGCGCCTTTTGGGATTCCTGAGACATTCTCTAGCTTTTCCCTTTATATCTCTTGGTTGGAACTGATTTGCCATCCATCTTTCAATGAGACATGTCAGTATTTTCTATATAAAGTAAATTAAGTATTTTTTTGGGAACTGATTAGATTTTTGGCTGAATAATCACTCTTAAGTCGTCAAAATTTAAGCTTGGAGCCCAACAGCAGTTTGTTGAAGTGAGATTCTTGGCTCTCCGGCTCTCTACTTAATTCGCTAGTATCTCTTTGTACAGATCTGTTGTAATTTTAAAAAATTTCCAGTTTCTTGGGCACCTTGGTGATGAGTAGCTACTCAGCTTGTTGTGCTCTACTGTATCGAGTCCACGCACATCGATGACATTTACAATTACGAGGAAGCATTGGCATCGTGTGGTTTTAGTATGAGCATTTAGTAAAGGTTTTTGTGTTGCAGGCATGTTCATGACGCAAACTGTCCAAGTACTGTTATTCTGTCGCCATCATCAATACGGATTCCAACACAAACTCCTACTTGAAATCGGGAATTAAAACTAGTACAGCTTTATCATGATGCATTTCGGGATGGCAGCTGAATTGAAACGATGCTTACGACGCGCTCTTGTTTGCGCCAAGCGATTGTAGTGCCTCGATTAAATAGAATCATATGATATTTGACAACCAATCTTTCGGAAACAGTTTTCGCTACAGTGAGAGCGGTAAACCAAAAAGATATAGGTGCCAAGCTTGGCGCGCCTTTGTGCTTTATCACCTGCCACAATAGCAACGGACGAAAATACCGTATGTATACAATTCACTTTACCAAAGACTTTCATTCGAGTTGGATCATACGAGTTGATACTTCACTGCTCATTAAATTCATAGGGGATTTTGAGTACCGTCAATTGGCGACTTGTTTTATGCACAACAGGTTTCCGCAATGGAGTTCCGTTGTAAATCTCAGAATCTAAAGCTAGTGAGTAACTAATTTTGTTTTGAAGCTGAGACGCTCGATCTTTGCAAGAGATCAAATTCCAGAGACTGCTTCGAGACCGTTTCTCAATATCTTCTTGCCGCTTATCTACCCATTTTTCTAGTTGTTCATGTCAATAATAATAAATCTTCCAAGAATAATGAATATATCAGATCAATCAAAACACACTTATAGAAAACACTTTATTGATAGAACAGATCAAGGGAGGAGAAACTATCTACAGAATAGAACTATGTCTGTGATTCAGGTGTCATACAAATTTGGAAGTTACAAGGAAAAGCTTGAATTGAGCAGCGATTTGAACGATGCTTTGCAAAAAAGTATAACACATTTTAAGCTCAACGATGACAATAAAAGCTGGGCACTTTACCATCGTAACAAGGAATTGCCCTTAACCGTTCCATTGCGGTTGTTGAACTTGGCGAAAGGCGCTACTTTAGAGCTGATAGAGAAGAAAGCGGACATAAATGGAAAGAAGCTGAAGATTAAGTTTTCTGCCCCTGGTTTTGGTACAGAGATCTGGAATGGATTTTCATCAACGAAACTTTTAGAGGCTATTCAGGAAATATGCAGCCTTAGATCCTGGACGTTTGTGTCTCAGGAGCTAAAGGTCCAGTGTTTTGCTAAAGTTTGGACTTATGACCAGATATCAAAATCAACATTTGCACAACTTGGAATACTGGAAGATGTATCACTGAGGCTTTTGATTCCATCAACGGAAGAAAAGCTTGACGCACAACCGCAAATCTTGGCGAACCACACCCCCGAGTCTATTATTGAGAAAGCTGTAACGCCACAGTGTGTCGTCAATCCCGGTAAATCCTCTTCGTCTAACACGCAAGAGCACGATTATAACGTTTCTGCATATATTCCTGGACCTAATTCAACTTTAGGGGTCTCATCGGATCAAGAAGACGACTTCGAAATCACCGTCAGTCAATTTAAAAAGTACCAAAAGATGCTCTCAAAAACTACTGGCACAAATCAGCCCTTACTTACCAAAAGACTTCGTGAACAGACTGCCCCAAAGCAGACGATTGAAAACTGTAATGTAAGGGTCCGATTTCCAGACCGCACTTGCATTGATATTGATTTCAAGCCTGAGGACACCATCAACTTGGTTTACAAGGCTGTAGCCAAGTGTTTGAGTAATGGTTCATCAGCATTTGTGTTATCTCACTCGCATCCATATCAAGAGCTTCAAGACGATGATTCCAAACTGGTCATCGACCTCAATTTCGGATCTAAAACATTGCTGGTATTCCACACCGAGCAGAAGGGCCCGTATCTCAGACCAGACCTGCTTGAGAAAGCCAAGCCTTTTTCAAGTACAAAATTAGCAGAAGACGCTCACTCAGAACCTTCAAGTAGTCCAGTGCCTAATAAAGGTGAAGATAAGCCTTCCAAGGGCCTACGGGCGGGCCATACTCCTAAGTGGCTAAAGTTGGGGAAAAAGTAGATAGGTTTTTTGTTGTATTTACAAGATAAAAGTTGAGTTCAAGCAAGCTCTTGTTAGCACTTAATGGAGATCCAACTGCTCGAGGGCTGTCTGCACTTGCAAGAGCTCATCAGGACGAATCTCTTCGAGAAATCCCAAAATGTTTTTCGTAATTTGGAAGTCTCTGTCTGTGTTTGATTCATTCAATATTTCTCCGCTTTTGATTTTATTCTCAACAACTCTGCGAGCACTGTTAATTATTGGTGTGGTAAATTCGTGGACTGTGCAACCGCCATCTCGTAGCTTCTCACGCTCAATGGCAATGTATTCTAATCGGAGACCACCATTGATATATCTTAGTAATTTTTTGTCAACTCTTATGCCATTGATCTGACTCATGTATTTTATTACTGCTGGAATATAAGACCACTCTCGGACATGGACAAGAGCCCTGATTATGGTCTCATAGAATTGGGCATCCGGTAATACATTGTCTTTTAAAACCATCTCCTCAAAGAGCTCCCTATAGTTACAAGAAGGGTGTACATTGATTTTAGACCGTTCTTTCAACACATTTCTTTTCCATGCGCGGTAATTTGAGCGAAGTTCTGTGGTGCCAAGCCCATTATCAAAAAAGGAGTAGTAGAGAGCAAAAGTCTTCCAAATCTGATAATACAGTGATTTTGTGATTTCTCGTCTCTCAAAAAAGGACATGAGATTTTTAAACGGACTTTCAGTGCTTACCTCAACGTCTTTGACGTTAAGAACTTGGTTTATTATAATGAAACAGTTGTCAAGATCGACCTTTGTTCTATAGTGCTGTAAAAGGGATGAAAGAAGCGTGCTATTATAGCGCACATTTTGTTCGTTTACTCGCGTAACAACTTCTTCAATTTTTTTTTCATATTTTGACCTATCCTTTGGGTTTTGCGTCCGCTGCGCTTTCTTGCTGTAATACTCCACAAATACATTGTAGTGGTGAGCATTAGCTTTTTTTACAAATGCTGCAGACTCTTCTCTGTCGGGTGGCAAAGATTCTAATGTTTCTAGGAGCTTTAATGCTTGTAGTTCTTTGTCATTATTCAAAAGCGACTTCAGGACATTTTGCGTTTGCATAGAAGAGCTTCTAGAGCTATCAACTCCCTTACAACTATTCGACTGTGGCAGGGAGTTGATTACGAAGTTCTCTACATTTTGAGCCACCCAGGGTTTTGACGCAATGGCGGTAATATCATCGAAAAAGATGTTTTCATATTTTTCCCTCAATTTTTCGACGCTGCTTTGATGTGCTGCTTTGTTGAAGCTTTCCTCAGCTAATCGAATGTAGTTATCAGCGTTGTTTGATAAATAAGATAGAAGATCGTTTTTCAAAATGTCGAAGCTTTTTAGCAGATGAAATTTCAATTTAATCAAAACCGTCGTTAACAGCTCTCTTTCTATATTTGGGGAAGATAAAAGCTGTGAAAATATTTTTAGTGCTTTATCCTTTTGCTTCCGGAACAAATGATACTGGATGAGAGCGACAAAATCCATTTCTGTAGCATGTTCTTTTTGGTTTAAAAACTGGTCCGCTTGCTTTTGATCATCAAAAAAGATTTCCTGTGAGTTTCTGCGCTCTTCAAAAGTGGAGGGTCTCCAACCATTAGCCGCCACTGTCTTTAAGAATAAATTGGTAAGCTTTTCGGATCCGACAAAATCTCTAACGTAAAGCTTTTTACGAATAGCAGTTCGCAAAACCTTAGGTGCGAGGTAATCGGGTCCGAAAGCCTCTAACGTGTACTGTAGTAAGTTATCAAACTGGGCTAAGTGATTGGCTCTCAAACAAACCATCATTCCCATTTCATACCACCAGCGCTGATTTACCTTTTGGCGATTTGAATTGAATAGGGCAAGGGCCTTTTTATAGAAGCCGTAATATACCAAGGACTCGATGTAAAAAGATTCGTTGACCGGGTCCATTCTCACGTTTCCCAAAGAGTAGATTAAGTGCCCAGACAGCAAAATTCCCCTTTGTCTAAAGCTGTGAATGGGTATGATTTTAGCCAGCTCGAATGAGGCTACCATATTCTCTACTGAGATAATATTAGCCCCTGCCAGTTTCCTCATGTTCAAATCCGACAGAATTCTGAACATTCGTTCAGTATTAGGTAAAAGAACCTCTGTATCTTGAGACCTTGCAGCGTTCTGAACGTCTCTCATGATGGCTCTCTCCAGCTCCTTTTCAGAGTTGATCTCTCCTCGATCTCCTTCGAAATCCTCGTGCGCTTGCGAACGCTTATGCATCTTCTGAATCTGTTCTGGACCCATGCTCTCCAGTCGCCTCACTTCCCGCTCTGATTCTGCAATCAGGTACTCAAAAAGCGCTTTCATGCGATTGCTGCTGTCCAAACTCTCCACATTTGCCAAGGTCGACTTCAACGTACTGAACTCTGAAGATGCCTTCTTAAACGGAGATGAAGAGGAGTCCAGATAGTCCACAAACAAGTCATCCACAGATCCTGCTTCTTGCAAGCTTTTGAAACCTAGTCTTTTTAAGTCTTTCTCCACTGTTTCTGCAGATTCGGCTCGCAGTTTGTATTCCTGCGGCAAGAAGAGGTCGTTCTGATGCCTATTCACCTGTGATACATGACTGCTTCTAGACTTGAGTCGTTTTCGATAAAATCTCACCTGTGAAAGACCCTTTATTCGAGTACCGCTAGCTCTCGAAAGGTTCATAGATGGTGTATGTGACTCACCAGCTTTGTCGTTTATCTGGTCATCGAGATGATAGTTTTTAAATTTATGAAAAGTTGCATTAGCTAAGCGATGACTTCAATTATTAATATTAAAATCTGCTTCAAGTTACAAAATCTGCGGAGGGATACAAATGGTGCGTAGCGCTACAGTGTTGGTAAGTGGAGCTACAATGGTCTTGATATTGGTATATTAGGAGCATTTCTTTCCAGCTTGTTCCGTATTTTAAGCACCACTAAAAAACTCTCTAACTGCATTCAACCGCCAATATAACCCAAAATATCTGATATGATAGCAACTGTAACTCAGCCTGTAAGTTTCGTTTGGTGAAAAAAGCGTTCCACGCCTTTAGTTACCTGGAGATGTAAGATAAATTCATGGCATGGCTATGATAGTATAAAAGGTACGTGCTTGACTTTTAGTATACTTTGCCCTGATCTGGTTTTAGTGGAATCTTTAAAATAAGATTTTCATCACTTCTTCTGGCTTTTGAGACGACCTTCGAAACCAGCCCGCTTCGGCCTTATGCCTTTCATGCCACGCTTCATCTTTTCTTGGTGTGACCTTTTCTTGCCCTTATTGTCTTTGCGTATCTGCAGATTCTCTTCACGTCTCTTTTGCTTGTCCGAGATGGAAGTAGCAACGGCTTCTTTACGCTCACGCCACTCTTCGGTTGACTTCCGTTTCTTCACCTCTTTACGTTTCAAAGCTTTGCGTAACAGTTTTTCGTCGTCTCTCATCTTCTCACCTTCTGCTTGCAGCATGGCACGTTGCCATTTCTCTTTTTCTTTGTGTTGTATCTGCTCTAGTTCGTCTTTAGCCTCCAGTTTAGCGCGTTTGAGCTCGGAAGCCTGCAAATGAGCTTTGATATCATTCCTGGCAGGCCCCTTCTTGTTTTGAACTTTCCGCAGGCGTTGTAGATCAGAAGTAGCACGGTCTCCATCGTCAAATTGTATGTTTTGAAACATGAGGCCTTTTGTCAAGTCGTCTTCCTTGGGGCCAGTTGCCTGTTTTTTTCTAGGATACAGATCAGGCTCATCTTCTGCCTCAGACTCCGAATTGGACTCATTACCACTAGATTCTTCTTGTTTGGTACTTTCCGATTCTGAGCGCTTCCGCTTCAAATCTTGCTTGTGCTTGCGTTGAGCCAAAATAGCTTCTCTTGAACTAGGCGCACCAGATACTTGGGTTCCTGGAGCCTTACGTTTTTCTTTTAGCGACATGATCTTTTCTTGCAATTTGGCACGCAGTTTCTCTAAGTTCTGCTTCCGGTCGGGTTTAGCCACCTTTTCTGCTTTCGTTTTAGCTGCTTCTTCAACGGTAGGCTGGTTAGACTCCTCGTCAACTTTGTTTCCCTCGTCATCGAATACCACGTCTATTGATTCCTCTTCCTCTGAGGCGGGTACTTCATTGTTTTCCTCGATGGTCGTCTCTTTTTCGGCTTGCTCTGGTTGTTCTTCTTCACTTGTTTGCTCTACCTCGTCCTCTTGAATGTCATCTTCGCTGTCGCTCTCCTGCGATTCGACCTTGCGGCCAGGAATCACAACTGGTTTCCCATTTTTCTCTCTTTCGGCCATCACCTCCAAAGCAGAGGCGGAGTCCTCATTTTGTAGCTCCGGATCTAGCTTATTGCGCTTATCTAATTTTGACTGTGCCTTACTCTTCTTCTTCAGTTTCCACTGCTCTTGAGTTTTATCGTCGTAGTAGTACTTTGCCGGTATTAATGATAGTAAACCGTTGAAGGCGCTTGAGTTAATTCGTAGTCGTTCTTCTAGCGAGTTACTCATCTTTGTAATTCGGTGGTTGATTCAAAGAAGTACTTTGCTAGTATGTAAATGGCTAATGAGGGTTCCACTAGTAAATTAAAGATAATTTTCACTGGTTTGCTAGGTTTATGCACTTCGAGATGCTCATCTCATCGCCTAAAATTTTTCATATAGAGAAACGGCCAGAGCCGCCAACGTCACATTGAGAAAAAATGAGAGAAAAAAGTCCTTCGTTATAAGACAAAATGGCGATCTTGGTACTGCTGAAGCGACTCAAGATTGTACAATAATATCGTTAGCATCGGGTTAAGTATGGGAGCTCAACGATGGTTAGGTTGCGACTAGAAAAAATAGTCTCAATAGCTCAATAAATTTAGAATTAAATAGAAAACTAGAATCCTCTCAATGCGGACCGACATTCAGGGATCTTGTGTCAGCAATCTTTAAAATGGTGCCTGACGTTACAAGCTGGCTTCTAGAGTAGAAATGGTTTTTATGACTTCGGGCTGACGCTTGGCACGGTTCATAACATGATAGACCAAGGTTTTTCGTAGACCATCTTTTAATAGCTCGCTAGCTGGATTTGAAACTGTGTTTCACAAAAGTGGAGCCAGAGCACCAGTTCGGATTCCCAATGTGTTATTTTTGAATCTAATTGGCGTCACGGATGGCTATGCGCTTGGTATCGTGGGACATCGAAAACAATTAATTGCATACAAGCTTTACAAACGCCTTGTGGATAGCGCTTAGTACTTCGTTTTCATAATGCTGTCGGGTGCGACTGAATTTACATCACAACCAGCATCGAGTGATATTGTGTGTGTAAAAAGACTACGCTAACAAGTATGATATTATTACGTTTCGGCTCTTTGAGTCCTAAATATCTTTCTGTCCCTTCAAAAATCAGAATGGAGCCAACAAAAGAATCTTCGGACTAGACAGTTGTGTGCGATAATCATTGCAGACTACGCAAACCCGGAAAAACTTTTATATCTGGCTGACAATGTGTTCGAGAGCTTGTTTCTTATGTTCAGAATTTATGATACGAGCCCGATGCCCTTGTTGATTCTACAGCGCAGTGGGGTTCTGTCATAGCAAGACTATTTCTCGAAAACAGTATCCGCAAGACATCTGGCTCTACACAAATCGTAGCCCTTTTGCAGCATCAAAAAAAAGTAGATATCTCTCAACAAATAGCTCATTGCCATCCTATCATTCCAATCTGATGTAACCACGCTTCTCAACTTCTGAAGACCTTTATATAATATACAAACAAGACAATGGGCATCCAGCTCGCCTCGCTTATTTATCTACCCTAACTACTTGATTCTCGTCGTTACAACCGGGTAAGTCACACGGTGTGCAGACGACTTTAGTTCACATCTTAATGCCCATCTTTTCTTCAAAAATTTTCACAACATAGCTGAGATTGAAGTTCCTACTATAAGTAGAAGAAGTTAAATGAAAAAAGTTTTCACCGCTGAGGTGTTAAAAAATAAAAAGCAGAATGATAAGATTCTAATTCATTGAATTCTCAAGCAAGAAATTAGTGTAAAGATGTCTCAAGGTACTCTTTATGTTGCTCCTATGGGCAGAGGTCACTTGCCTCCAGCCTTAGTCAAGTACTTGAAACTCGACATTGAAATTGTCGATGTTACCAAGGACATGGACTCCTTCAAGAAGGAATTCCCATTGGGTTTGATCCCAGCATACAAAGGCCCTGACGGTTTCAAATTGACCGAGCTCTTGGCCATTGTATATTACCGTATGAACTTTAACGACAATTCCTCCAGTACTGCCACTTTTGCCGGACTTATGCATTATGCATGATGAGAAACCTTTTTTAAAAATTTAACAGTTATCCCTGTCTGAATAGGCGAATTAAAGCACGCCCCTGTGTCGAGAATATTTTACTCTGAGCCATACTGCATACAGTCCGGATAATGCTAAAAGAAGTGGCGGTCTCAGTTTGACCTTCACGTCGATCTTTTTTACTAACTATCCCACAGTCGTCGACTTGAAAGGTGACGAAGATATCAAGAAAACCCTTTGCGGTGCCACTCTCGAAGAGAAAGCCCAAGTCTTGAGAGTCCTATCATACGGTGTCAGTGACTTTGCTCCAGCTTTCCAGGCTTTTGCATTCTTGTTGTTTGGCAAGACTCCATACAACAAGAAGATTGCTGACGAGAAAAAGGCCGTTCTAGAAACCGCCATGGATCTTTTCAACCAAAGATTGCAAGAATACACTTACTTGGCCACCGAATCTGTGTCGCTAGCCGACTTGTTCATCGGCACCTTGTACGGATTTTCCTCCACCATTGTGTTTGGTGCTGACTTCAGATCCAAGTACCCAGCTGTGCACAGATGGTACCAAACCGTTGAGGCTCACCCAGTGCTAAGCGGTTTGTTTGACCAATCTAAGTTCTTGAAGAAGAGTGTGGTTTTCCAAGCACCAAAGAAGGAATCCAAGAAGGCCGAGAAGCCAAAGGCTGCCGAAAAGCCAAAGGCTGCTGAGAAGCCAAAGGAAGAGGAACAACCTGCTGAGCCAAAGAAGGCTAAGCACCCTCTAGAAGCCCTTGGCAAAGCCACTTTTGCTCTAGATGACTGGAAGCGTAAGTACTCTAATGATGACACCAGACCAGTGGCTTTGCCTTGGTTCTGGGAGCACTACAACCCAGAGGAATACTCCATCTACAAAGTGGACTTCAAGTACAACGATGAGTTGACATTGACTTTCATGTCCAACAACCAGATCGCTGGTTTCTTCAACAGATTGAGTGGTTCCGTCAAATACATGTTTGGTTGCATGGTCGTCTACGGTGAAAACAACAGCAACGGTATCACCGGTGCCGTCATGCTAAGAGGCCAAGATTACGTCCCAGCCTTCAACGTGGCCCCAGATTGGGAATCCTACGAGTTCACTAAGTTGGACACCACTAAGGAAGAAGACAAGGAATTTATCAACAACATGTGGGCTTGGGACAAGCCTGTTGTTGTTGACGGCCAAAGCAGAGAAATCGCCGACGGTAAAGTGTTGAAATAAGACACGTTACCTCAAAGCTCTATATCTACCGGATATATTCAATTTTCTTAATGATTTTATGCCTGACGCAGGACAATACTAGTAATTTATACAGTGCCGTTATAAGGCAGCTTGTGCTTAAACTTCAGGATACGTGCTTTAGTAGCGTGCTACATACAGAAGTCTTGTCGTTCGTACTAATATCATAAAACGGTTCTGCATTCGTGCAAATGTACATCGCAGAATTTTTCAAGCTTAAGAAAAATCCATAGGGGTTTTATAAAATCATCACCAGTCACCAGATTATCTAGAAAAGGTGGTCTCGAAAACTATTGAAATTACTTTCGGTGTTTAAAGCAGTGATCTTATATCTCTAGTGAATTGCGTCAGTACTGGTTACTCACAGAGCGATTTCCTTCTGTTCCTAGAGCCGGCTTTAGATTTGCATACGTTTCTTTCGGTCTTTTCTAATCATGGCTACAGCTTTGCACACTGCTAAGCAGTTTTTGCTTCTTTCGCTTCCCTTAAACGCGCAGCCTGCTTCTGCACCAGATCAAAAGGTCGACACATGGCTACAACAAGGTCTCTATGGCGGCAGACCGTTCGTTTCAGACTTTAAGATCCCAGAGTTCAAGATTGGATCTCTGGACACTCTGGTTCTGCAATCCGAGGAACTTGCCAAGATAGACACTCAGATTGGTGGCTCGATTGCCAAGATTGTGGAAGTCTTGGGCAATTTAAACGAGTCTCAAACAAACGCTTACAAAACGCTTCCTGTTGGCAATGTGCCTGTCATGGAATACTTGGAAAACTTTCATTGGCAGACGCGGAAATTCAGACTTGATAAATCCATTAAGGATCTTATTACCGAAATTGCGGATGAATCATCCCAGCTGGACGCTGATGTTAGAGCCACGTCGACGAACTACAACAGCGCTAAAACTAATCTTGCCGCAGCAGAGCGTAAGAAGACCGGTGACTTGTCTGTGAGATCATTGCATGACATTGTGAAGCCCGAAGACTTTGTTCTCGGATCAGACCATCTTACGACCGTGCTTGTTGCTGTTCCAAAAACTTTGAAAGATGATTTTGAAAAGAGTTACGAAAGCATGGCGAAAAATGTCGTTCCTTGCTCGGCTTCTATTTTAAAGCAGGACAAGGAGTACATTCTATTCAATGTTCATCTGTTCAAGAAATCTCTCAATGAGTTTGTCAGTGCTTGCAGAGAAAAGAAATTCATTCCTCGTGACTTTGACTACTCAGAGGAGTTGATTAATCAATTGACTAAAGAACTTGATTCAGCTGCGCATTTGGAACAGTCATTGCGCATCCAATTGGTCCGTTTGGCCAAAACCGCATATTCAGATGTGTTCATGAACTGGTTCCACATTAAGGCACTAAGAGTCTTCGTCGAGAGTGTTTTGCGTTACGGTCTTCCACCTCATTTCAACACGTCTTTGATTGCGGTTCCACCTAAAAGTTTGTCGGCTTGTAAAAATGAATTGATTCAAGAATTCGGCTACTTAGGCGGCAACGCCTTTTCCAAGGATAAAGCAGGAAAGATAAAGAAACAAGACAGTTCTTTGCACGAATACGCCTCTCTCGTGGATACAGAGTATGAGCCATTTGTTATCTACACAGTAGAATTGTGAACTCTGAAAGCCTTTAATAGTGTATACCTTGAATAGAAATAAAGAAAATAGCAGACGATAAAAAACGACCGGTGAAAGAGGGCTTAAATAAATTTCTGATCCAACAGCTTTCGGGTTTCGATCAGAATTATTTCGTACCGCACTTCTTGACGGGATCATTCTGCAAATTACAAGATAGGTCAAGTATTCAAAAGTAGGCCAATCAACTTTTTGGACTCCTGAGGAGTTAACATACACAAGTCTAAACATCTGGTCAGGATAAATAACATATGTGTATCTTAGGAAAGCTCAGTGCGCTAGCAAGTATTTTTTCAATCTGTCTCACGACTCTGTCGTCCCGAACCCTGCTAATTTTCAATGTAATATAGATGGCTATTAAAAATTACTCTTTACTGACGAAGTATGAATGTTTGCTCTTAGACTATGAAGTGTGCTCATTACAGCTCCGGAAGTTTGGCAGAAAATAGTTGTTGACAGTTTCTGTCCAACAAGACGAAAAATATTCTTGCTTCAACAGCAGATGCAGCCATTATACTCCATTCGATGTATCTTTCAGAAATTTTGTTTGCGCGGCTCTACCATGAGGACACCAAAAAACAAAAGGTCCTAATGTGAGATGAGCTAGAGATAAGATACTGCTTTCTTTAAAAGGAAACCTAGCCACAAGCATTGGAAGAGCTCAAGAGTGCTTCGTTGAAAAGTCGCATCTGTGATCGATACATGCTTTTTTTATATGCAATCAACCAGCGGCGACAGCCTATTGCGTCAGAAACTCCATACTAAATCAAATGGTGACACTGAATGCCTCCCTTGTTTTGTTCGGATGAATTCTGAGAAAAAACTGAATGTCTAGATTTCTTCAGATAAAACGCTTGCTTCTTTCAATGCACTTTATAGTCTGGTGCACTAAATTCTGAGTTATTGAGATCTACATGCTTTAATTTAACCTCCAGATCCGATCGGGGAAGGGCGCTTCTCAAACAATCTGCCTGAACATGCGTGAAGCATCTGAGAGATTTTTTTGAGGTGAACAGCACTCTTTTACAGTTTCTCAAGTCATTCCAGTCGGAGAACGTAAAGTGATAAAAGGGATGTACAGCATTTTCGTGCAGTAAGTCCTCATTATAGACAATTTCGAAGCTTTCGATCTGCGTCAAATAAAATCCCTCCACCATCACAAGTCCCCCAGGCTGTACAGCCATCATTGTCACTCTCAGAGATGTAAGACAAGGCTGCTGAAAGCATATCAAGGGAGAAGCAAAATTTGTAATACCGTTTAAATGCAAATTAAAAGACAACCAATTTCCAATTGTTGTGTGCGATACTCCATCTGGGACGAGCTGAACCTTGATACGTATAAGACCATCTGCACTTTCAATTTGCAGTCTCGCCCGCATCCTACGGACTATGTCTTCAAATTCGTATTTTCTCAACAATCTCTCAGTTAACCAGGGTTCCTCGTTTTTCATCAAAGAAGTTCCATAATCTTCACTACGTGTGTCAGCGATTATCTTTTTATATCGAATATGATGTCCTGTGAACTCCTTTATTGATGGTAGATTCCAGTTACGCAAAGAATGAAAGTGAAAAAAATCTCGTAGGCTCAAAGCACTCGATGTTGTATTTGATAATAGGAAATCAAGGTCAATTAAATTCAGAGAAGTCCTTTTGCACCAACCATCCACTTTTACGAACTCAATCTGTTTGAGAGCAGGAAATCCGATGGAGATGCGGAAATATGTCTCCAATATTGAACTGTGACCATGGCCAGCCATGTTTTCAACAAAAGTAGATAGGCAGTCATATTCGATTTTTAGCCATTCTGCATTCAAAAAGGTGACACCTGGAAAAATCGGGTCTGTACTTGAGTAGTTGCTCGTGTCAAACAAATTCCCATCAGAAGCGCAAAAATACAAATCTTCATGGTCTCCTACCAAAATGATGTTTTCGACACGCATAAACTCTTGCGGATATCTTTTTCTATAGCTATGATGAATCGCATGTAAAGAAACAGCATCGGTGTAGTGATAAGCAAGCGATACTGTAATGTCACCACAAGGTTGAGAAATCTTCGCAGTAGTTCCTTTTTCGAAAAGCTCACCATCTACAGCTATAATCAAATGCTTTACATCGGCAGGAATAACGTACTTCTCAAAGTCTTCAGCATTTACCACGGTGGACGTCCCACTTAGAACACGTACGAGTTCAGATTCTTTTTTGCTCATGTTGCATACAACCATTCTTTCTCTGATCAACGCATTGAGGCGCGGATACGAATTGCCTATAGCCTTGAGCCAATGGAAATAGTCCACGACTGTTGTTTTGGAATTCGTGTCTAACAGATTGATGATCGTCTCCAGCACTTCTGGAGGCAAAGATAAAACGTTCTTCATTGCAGACTGTCGAAACTGTCTTGGTGCTTGCCACTACTACGCAGCGATGTGATGAGATCAAGATTCTGTTATTTCACCTTGAGATCAGGTATTACAGCGTGTATATATCACAACCTTTCACAATCGTCGGCCACGCTGCGCTTGTTTGGTTTTTAAGGGTTTTCGATTCTCATGCGCTTATCTAATCCAGGTGTTATAAATAAAGGGTTTGTCATTTCCTTTGAGACAGAATTTTCAAGAGCTGAAAAGCGGTAGCTGGGCTATTGCTTACCGGTGTGGTCGAGCATTGGCTCGTTTTGGAATGACCAGTGCTAATGAGAGCAATCAATACAAGGGTCCAAGAAAATTGAACGAAAACGACCCATTCTAGGCAAAAATACAAACAGTGGGTCGGAGCATCGCCGATTATCCGGAGTGGCTCGAGCAGAAAGAAATATTGTTGGTGGAATTCGACAAGTCTCGGACGTTGCTAGTAAACGGAATTAGCTCTTAATAGTGAATTTGCGCTGGCAACTTCTCACTGAGGCAAGTTGGATTCGGCATGGCAAAGCCAGCAGTACGAGCCTGCGCAGTAGCGGCAATGCGAACTTTGGCAGTAGCGACTGTGCGAGTCGCGGCAAGATCTCTATTCATCTTTTCCGGTGAACTCGAGACATCTCGTTATATCCAGATCACTTTGTACTATCCTGTCATGGTGCGTCTTGGCACTGTCATAATGTGACGTTTGTAGGTCGAAGATTCAAGAAGCCAGGGAGAAAGGCGCGACTTCGACTACCGCATCGCACTAGCCAAATGGCCAACTGAGCTTGGTGAGGAGGAAGCAAGAACTCAACCTAGTATCGGCGTCTGAACAAAAAATCTACGTTTTCGGTCGACGTGTTTTTAAACAGGCCAGATCCCCGGATTCTGCAACCCTTGGGCTCTGGTAGCTCCAGGCCAAAAACTTCGCCAAGCAGGAGCAATCCGAAAAATTAATGCCCCATTTCGCGAAAAGAAAAGCGAAACCTGGACTTCTCGAGCACCAAAACCGCTTGTCAGGACACAAACCACCCAATCTACACAGGGCAGCAACCAAATAACTCTTGTTTCTGAATCGAGAGTGGCGAGGCATTTGGCCCCGGCTCCGATGTCCACGGCAAACCCAAAACCCAGGCGGAAATACACCTTCTCCAGCTACAAATCAACAACAGAACCCAGCTACTGCTTCTTGCCTCAGTATGGAAACAAGGAACGACCCTAATACAGCTCGTCAAAACGGTCCATTGGCACGCCTACACTACACGCTAATGTCCACTCAGCCAAGAAAGCGCCCATGACAAATCTACATATCTACGATATTGGACCTCCTGGACCAATGTTTCCAATGTGACTTGTGTTTGTTTGTCGTTCATAATACGCCATTGCTAGTCCTTCCATCTTATTCCTATTGCCTAGTGCCACAAGCCTGTTATACCCGCGTGCTACTATTCGCCTCTCCCTCGCCAATGCTCCCCATCGTCCACAGTGCTTTTGCCACTTTCCCTTGAGTCATCCGTGCCTGACTCATTTGCGGTGCCGGTACCGGCTTTCGGTTCTCCAACTTTCTCCATTGACGCTCCGATAAAAAAAAAGGAAGGAACCTGACATGGACTCTTTTTTTTCTATTTTACTTTATTTTTTTCCAAAACCTAAAGACCGGAGATATTTAGGTATATATATAGAGCGGAGATGAGGAAACCTGGAAGATCAGTTGGAGACTTCTGTTCCACAAACCAACTCACACATTAGCTCCCAAGGAAAAGAGCAAACAAGCAAACACGGCAAGGTGTTAACGGAAGACGTGCGAAAGTGTAGTGGCGTCGTTTTAAGCGTTTGTTTTATTCTGACTCAGTTTTTTTTGAGGTGTAGGATTGCCAGAGCCGCCGAAGTGTGTTTCTTTTTTTTTTCTTTCGTTCAGCATCGAAGATACCACAAAGTAGCATTTTGAACCTGTAAATATGTCAGTGTGCCAGCCGTCCGCCATGGCGCGGCTCGTGGCGCAAACAGACAGGATCCAGGGCGCCGGTGTGCGTCGGGGTTTGGCGCATGCGCCAAACCGACAATCCGCAGCGGGCCTGGAAGCTCAGTTTCGCGCTGGAGCAGCGAGCAACGACTTGACCGCTGGGGCTGCTATCGCGCCCCAGCTTGTCTCCAATGTGAATGGCACTTTTGCCAGCCAAGACGCGTCTTGGTCCGACCAGTTCTCGCGCATGCAGATTCGCGACCCGTTGAGCTTCACCTCGGAGTACCAACAGCTGTACAAGAACTATGAACAACAGCAGCACGAGCGTCTGCAACATCAAAGCCAGCTCCCTGTGCATCAACCTATGCCGCTGCATCGGCCCATACTTGCGACTCAACAGCCATTTTACGCCGCCTCCGATCTCCCAACACAATCTCACGAACCTCACGAATCTCACGAATCTCTTTCTTCACAAACCGACTTTTTCGCTCGCGAGTTCGAAGACATCGAACGCGAACTACAAGACGAAACTCCTTCTACTCCCTCACAACCACCCGCTTTGACCCCAGAACAACTCAAATTCCGGCAGGCGGCGTCTGAGATCCACCAACGTTTATCACCAGGCTCTCAAACCCCGCCACAACTGGAATCCAAATTTCAAAACTCAAAGTTTCTTGGTCTCATGCGCAGTATAAGCAGCGGCGTGGTAACATTAAAATCCGGTGAAGACGATGACCGTAAGTACACCCATCTGTATTCACCAACTACTGGAGAAGTTGTTGGAAACGATTATTTCCCAGTACCAGACACCACTTTAAATGTCTGAGATGGAAATCCACTAACGATAACTTAACGATGCTCACGAATTGAAGATTATAATGTATCAAAAACGAAAGAAGAGGAAAGAAAATTAATTCAAAAAAGACTGCTTTGTTTTGTGTTTCTGTAATGTTATAAACGCCTAAATTGCTAATCCAGATATAATATGTTCGTAGTTATTCTAATCATGAACTCTTTTTACCATTGAACTCTTTGAGTTCTACTTCTTTGCCCGTAAACTTCAATTGATTTGTTTCACTTTTAACTTGTTGTTGATCTTGCTTCCTATGTTGTGTGTGTCTGACTTTATCTTCTTCTTCCGGCTCTTCATTTATTCCCATCAATCCCGTTCGCACATCACTTACGAAATTCCAAAGCGACGACGAGACATTTCCAAGTACATCGTCTGCAGGTTTCGGAGTTACCTGTTCCGAAGCCATAGGTTGAGCTTTCTCAGGACTAGTATATTCGTCCCAGTTTAGTTTCTTCTCTAGTTCGTGTTGAATCAATTGATCAAACTGATTGAACAACGTGAGTGGTTTGGACCACACTGATTCTCGTTTGCTAGGCGTGCGTTTCGCGTCCGGCAGAGAAGAATTTGAACTCGGTTGCGTATACATCTGCAAACTCTGTAATCCGCCACCGTGCTTGTGTTCATCAATCCCGTTATTTAGTGTAACTTCGACTTGCGTTTTTAGGTCATGTAGTTGGTGCGTTTGCGATCGCAGCTGAGTCTCCTCCTGATGAAGGCTTTTTTTCAACTCCTCGATCTTGTGTTTCGTCTCTAGAAGTTCCAGTTCTTTGTTGGCCAGCTGCTGTAGTAATGTGTTGACGTCTTTCTTCGGCTCCACTGGCTGTTCCGAAGCCGAGCTACTACTGCGGGAATGACCAGAAACAATACTTTTGGATCTTTGACGGTGCAAGTGTCCCGGCTGTGCTGTTCTGTGTTCTTTAGGTGTGGAATCCTGCGAAATAATAGGCTGGATCAACGACAGTCGTTTCATGGTGTTGGACCGCCCCAGCTTCGCGTTCGCCGGCGAATGTGTTGGTGTATCTCTCAATGGGTGCTGCTGGTTGCTGGGACTTGCTGGACTCACTTGTGGCTGAACTTTGAAGCTTTTCACTGCATGTGGTGTATCAACTACAATGCTCCGAGTTGAAGGCTCTTCGGCAGCCGTTTCCGTATTTGAATTATCACTCTTCAGTGTAAAGCTTGTATCTAGATTCGCCTCGCGGTCATTTGCCTCTATGAACTCGTCAACCTTGCTCATTTCGGTGCCTTTATCATCTCGCTTGTGTTCTCAATGGAACTAAGGCAAATAATATTTAAGTATGTCAGAAGGTGATCTCGAAACACTGGAGGTAAAGAGAAATAAACAGAAAGAGAAGTGAAAAGACCTCGACAGAAAGCCCATCAGGTCGGTGATTGTATACCATGCTCTCTCTTTTGTCGCTTTGCGTTTTTTAGGCTTAGTAGCGCTGCTAAGAGGCCTTATTTGTTCATTTTACTTTTCCAAATGCCAAGATTGCACAAGAACCTGCTGCATCATTAACGTATGAGGTAAATTTGAGGCCTGCAGTGAAATGAGGCGATAAAGAACCTTGAAATGTCGCCCAGTTTGATTAGAATGAGAATTTTATGGTAGCTGGATTGTGATAGTGGTTCATTGAATATATTATCACCTTCGACGTATCACTGCTTGTTCTTTCGCTGCCTCGTCCATCTTAAAAGACAAATAAACAAATCCTCAACAACCTACTCAAACAAGATCGCAACGCAAAAGGCAATCCAGTGGCTGAAGCCCATATCCAAGCGCTAGAAATGGCACCATTTAAGTTTGCCAAGAAAAATTCAAAAGAAAAGCCCAGGCAGGAGCCTGTGACGGCTCCCAAGCCGCCAATTCCACCTCCTAACCCCAAACGTTTCATGCAGGGTGAGAAACTCGCGATTTCAAGCGTACCAGAGCCATTGACGACCCGGGTCTTCCCGACACCGGTGCCAGCGCAACAGAGGAACGTTTCTAGCGCGTCAGCGCTGCAGCAGACTGAATACACGCCGTGGAGCAGGTTCAAACTCGCAAATTCACCATTTCCGCGCTATCGCCATGTCGCGTCCGCTTATAGCTCCGAACAACAGCAGCTGTTTGTTATCGGTGGCCTGCACGATCAATCGGTGTATGGGGACACCTGGATAATTTCGGCACACGAAAACGGCACCAAATTCACATCAAAAACAGTTGAAATTAGCGATGCCACGCCTCCTCCGCGCGTAGGCCACGCCTCGTCGTTATGTGGGAACGCCTTTGTCATTTTTGGGGGTGATACTCACAAGGTCAATAGCGAAGGCCTGATGGACGACGATGTTTACCTTTTCAACGTCAATTCTTACAAATGGACTATCCCTAGACCAGTCGGCCCCAGACCTCTTGGTCGTTATGGTCATAAGATTAGTGTTATCGCCACGTCTCAATTGAAAACTAAGCTTTTTGTATTCGGTGGTCAATTCGATGACACTTATTTCAACGATCTGGCAGTTTTCGATCTTTCATCCTTTAGGCGTCCAGACTCGCACTGGCAATTCGTCAAACCCAATACATTCAACCCTCCTCCTTTGACGAATCACACAATGATTTCGTATGATTTTAAGCTTTGGGTATTCGGTGGTGATACGCCACAAGGTTTGATAAACGATCTATTCATGTTTGATCCTCAGCTCAACGACTGGAGGATAGTTCAAACCTCCGGTGAGAAGCCATCCCCCTTGCAAGAGCACGCGGCAATACTGTATGGTGACTTAATGTGCGTAATAGGTGGCAAAGACGAACAGGATGTGTATTCCAACAGTGTCTATTTCTTGAACTTGATATCTCTGAAATGGTTCAAGTTCCCGTTCTTCAGATCTGGTGTCCCACAAGGTCGTTCGGGTCATTCTCTGACTTTGTTACCTAATAATAAATTGTTAATAATGGGTGGTGACAAATTTGACTATGCCAGAAGCGGTGAAGACGATTACCACACTTCTGAAGTGGACTTGGGATGTGGCACTTTGCTCTACTCCTTAGATCTCAGCAGACTCAAAGAACAGTGCCCCGGTATTTTTGATGTCAATCGCATTGGAACCCCTCAGAAGTTCTCAGACCGTAATCCTGCTTCTCCACATCAAACAAGTCGTAATGCTCCGGGACAGCAACAAAATATTCTGACTCCATTTAGCGAAAGATATCAAACTCCTAAAACCGAGCAAGGTGATTTCCCAGGCGCAGATAGATACAACACACCGAAAACCGATAGTGTATTTACCCCTAGAACCGCTAATGATGATCATTCTGAAGTCACAACGCTACCAACCCCACAAGACATAAAGAAACCTATGTCACCGGTCCCACAACTAAAAACTTCTCAGTTGAGCGCTCAAAGTCCACCACCTCGAGTTGTCTCTCTGCGCTCTACAACTGAATCAGACTACAGCGGGTCAAAAGGACACGACAGCCAATTAAGCGGAGAAACTAGCGATGAATACGGCGTGGCAATGATTGGAAACTCCCCTGGAAGACCAGTTGTTAGAGAAAGTATAATTCCTGAGAATGAAACCTTGGAACATTTGCCTAGCCATGACGCTCCTGAAGATTCAACTCCGCAGCGTGAGGAATCCTTTATGGCAACGTTGACGCCAGAAAGCACTAAAAGTATTCCCCTCGCTGAGAAAGCTATTCCCCTGCAAGATACTGGCAGAAATGTAACAAAAAAAATGATAGATGCGTTGCGCGAAGAACTCGGGGAATTAAGGACAGAAGCAGAAAAGAGTGCGCAATCCGCAAGTCAACGCATAAAGGAACTAGAGTCAGAAAACTCCAAATTTAAGAATATTGATAGCAGTGCTTCACGCCTTGTCAAGCTACAAACCGATTACGATCTTGCTGTAGCTGATAAGAAAGCGCATGAAGATAGAGTCGGCGAAGTCGAGGACCTTCTTTCAAAGAAGTTCCTAGATGTGGCTCGTTTACATGATGTCATAAAAGTCCAAAGTAGTAAGATCGGTTTACTTGATAGTGAGGAATCCTACAAAGAGAAGTTCGAGGAGCTGAATGGAAAATATGAACAATTGCTGAAAGAACATCAGGCCCTGAAAGCACAAGATAGAGAAGAGGCTAGAATACTGCACAGTTCCATTGAGGAGTACAACGTACAACTGGGACAGTTTTTGGCGCATAAGGAAGGGGAAAAGGCATCCGGGGGGGATCGTTCTACCTCTTCTCATCATCAAAAAATCATTGAGGACCTCAGAGGCCGCGTTGATCAAATGACGACTGAGAAGGAAGCAAATGAAGCTTCGAAAACGGACATATCGCGCTCATACGAAATGTTGCAGGAGAAGAACCGGCAATTAGAAAACGCTATCGGAAAGCTTGAACATAACTACGAGAATAGTTTGAACTCGGTGAACAATGCCAGCAGGGCACTGGCACTATCGCAAGAAGACCTCAACAAGTTCAAACAAGAAAATAAACGTCTTGTCGATGAACTTGAGGAATTAAAATATAGATCGGCAGATCGTCGTGACGTTAGCTTGACGTCCAATGACGATTCCATCTTAAGCTCAGGAGGCGCTGCGGGTTCAGAACCGAAAAACGATATGAGGGACGCTCCCTACCGCTTGAAAATCAAAGATCTGAAAGCAGAGCTATTCATCATAAAGCAAGAAAGGAACTCTCTCAAGGATGATGTCCTGGAACTGAAGAAGAAGCTGCTCAATCTCGAGAACGACGATGACTGATTGATTTTCAATATGTACTTGCATTTACACAAAAGAAAAATACATAACATTAACACCGCTAGGTTATAAAGGTGGGCTGCTTCTGTCCGTTGTGAGAAACGGGCCCTCACTGCTTTGTAGAATGTCTACCTTTTCGGCATCACAAAACTCACTGCTCATGCACATAAAAATCGACGACTCTTGCACACTTACGTTAGGCGCAGAATCTAGAATTTCGAAGGAAGTCTCAAGATAGGATTCTATGTGGGATATTGTCAGCGACTGCTGGGTTTCCCCTAGAGTGTTGTTAAATTCCTCTAGAACACTTGCAGAACTGTTCGGCCCTGGTTTCTTGAGCTGCAAGGACTCGATGGTTTCTGATGCTTGTCGCTTGAGCGGGTTTTGAAATTGTTCGAACTCAGGTTTACTCACAACACAGACGTCGGAGTGATGAGGCAGGAAGCGGGCACAAACCTCATCCGGGACGTGGTATTTCTCTATAAAATCTCCTATACACACAATAGACCTGCTCATAACGATTTTTCACAGGTTTTAGTGATACCCAGCTTGTTTTGAAACGAGACAGTTTGTTTATTCATTTTAGCCGCCGAAAGCTTACCGTTCATTTAACCGTACACAATGCTTTTAACTTCTGAGATACATATAACAATACGATTTTCCCACTGTACAAGAGAAACGCCTTGTGAGCCTGTTTTCAAACGGCATTTGGGCAAGTTTTTGTTAGCAGCGTTGAAGCTATCATCATTGCTGCATTGCACAGAGTTCCATGTTTCAACACAAATGGCAAGCTAAACGTGATATTGTGGACTCGAAAGTCATAGCAAAACTACGAGCTCTAAGCTTCGTTCAGACTTGGAATTTATCACTCATACTTTTGATGTTTCAGAACAATTACATATACGACGAAACGGGTCTCATCGATTCTTGCGTAAAATTTGGATTTAACTTAATTTGTACAAAGATTTACCCAGCTGTAAATACAAACCAATGTTTCGTCCGCCTTTGATCCAGTGTGTCTGTAGGCCTTAGATCCGTTATTTTTGCTTGTTACAACCACAGCATGTTTTAAGTGTATGTTCCTTTTATGCTCGTCTCTCTTATCCTTGGATTCTTATAATGACACGACGGATGAAGAAGACATGAGCGTAACAAGCCGACCTGGCTAATTTAAAGTAACCGGAGATGACAGCAACAAGAAAACCAGAGAAACCATTTTAGCGAGATTGGCGGAAACTGAGTTCCTCCTCTTGATCAGCCTGGGTATAGCAGTGCAGTAGAAATGATCCCACTACAAAAAAATGGTTGCTTAGAGACAAGCACATTTCATGCAGAATGGAAGCTAGGTCTAGTAATTAATTTTGGTTGAGAACTAATTCACTCGTCTACTGGTTGCGTTGGATATTCATAATCATATAAACAACATAGTTTTGTTCCTGAATTTAGACGTTAATCTTTTGTTAGAGAAACGTAGGGAAAAATTCACAGCATTCATTTACTATTGAACTTAAGCCCGATCAATTATGGAAGCACTACAGTAAATACTGGTAAGCTTTCTATGCTGAATCAGAGTCGCCCCAAACAGTAATGGGCTCCTTACGGGGGTTTTAAGCATTGCATGATACACTGTTTCCTTCAGCATCATAAATCCCATCTGGCTTATGTAATTTTTTACATCTTTTTGGTGAACTCTTGAGTCTTAGAGAGACTGAGTGAGTTGCTCCACTACCATAGTTATTTGTTACCGGTATCGGGTGTAATAGTTATTTTTTGCTGACTTTTGGGAAGACTGTCAGGATCACTGAGCTATTGCTAGATAGCGTCATTTGCATTATGAGGAACCATATCAGAAAGTGACAGAGCTAGATATTGAATCTGGCATATCCAATCGGATAGTAAAAGAGAATACTGAGGTCTAGACATTGATGTTTATTAGTTCCTGTAATTAAAGTGTTCAAGTAACGGAGGCTGATACATTAACCATGGATCAGGAACAATTCTCGTCACCAATATCCGTCATGCAATTGATAATATAATTATTGATGGTTTATTCTCTATGTCGAGATCCTAATACGAATTAAATGAGACATATCATGAACGACTTAAATGACCAGTTCAGCAGGTCAACCGCTGCTAACGTAGATGTGCCTCAATATTAGGTATTTCTCACGAGTTGTGATGTTGTCAATGTCCATGGTAAGGTAGCTCTTGCGAGCAGATAGGCGCTAGCTGGAAAAGCATCTCCGTATACCGTTGTACCTCAATACACTAGTGGCAGGCTCGTTGCGAGTGGAACCAATGCGGTATGGGATACTCACAATCGCATAAGTATCACTTTTTATCATTCTGACGCGCTAGTGATTCTCACAATGTCATAAGTATCACTTTTTACCATTCTGACGCGCTAGTGAATTTCACAATGTCATAAGTATCACTTTTTACTGTTCTGACGCGGTGTGGGTTCCGACAGATCTTGTACTGCGAAAAAGCAGGAGGATATTTCCACCCCCCATCTACGACCTGAACGGGCTTTCTCTTGATCACAGCCGGAGAGTGCTTCTTTCAGCTCCCTTGTTTTAATGTTTGAACGCTCCCCACTGACTTCTAGTCTCTTTCACTTGCAACACACAGCACATCCTTGCTTAACTTGAAGTGTGTCCCAGACAATATCCAAAGAACATTTGTATCACGACCAAGAAACCGAGAACAGATACAAATCCGGCATGGACGATAGTCATGTTGCGTCACAGTAGTACACAGTGATTGACACTCTTGCCGGACAGCGCCCGTACTCATATAAGTACTCGTACTCGTACTCGTACTCGTCTGCCGTCGGTAGTTACACACAAGATCTGCATATCGCCATACACGTGGCATATGAAGTCGTCACTAGCGACAAAGTGGACCCTGCGCCTTTTTTATTTTATTGCTTTATTAAATTGAAAGCGGAAGGGGGCAAGGTAGAATAAAGCATTGAGTACGTTGAGTAGGTGTGGTTTATATGACTGAATATAAATTTATGGTAGGCAAGACTATAAGGAAAAGAGCTCGGGAACTTTAAAGGTCGGAATACCACAAGGAAACACACACAGGGGCCATGGCAAAGGTAGCAAGGCCAGTAAAGCCTATGGAGCCAGACAAGCTGGACGAGTATGTGGCGCATGTGTCGTTCGATGACTTGACACCTGGATTCGTGGATTCGCGGATCCGGCTGGCGCAACAGCTCGAAGAGGAAGGCATTGCGTTTGCCAACCCGTTTTTGCAGGTTCCTGGACAGGCCAAGACCAAATCGGAAGAGTCGTCGCGCAGGAGCACGCCTAGCCTGGATCTGTACCACGCGTCGCGATCGTCGCGCGGGTCCAGCACGAATGCCATGGATGCCATTGCAGGCGCCAGTATGAACGGGGGCCTCAGATCCCCCAAATCCGAGGCGTTGCGCAGCTCAGGCACGCCGTCGCCACCGATGTCCACCAGCGGTCAGCGCTCAATTCTCCGCAAGCCGGATCACCTGCACCAGCAATCACTACACGACATCGAAGATTTCGACTTGATGGACTTAGACCCGCACAAAGATCACCAGATCGACTCAATGACCAACCGCAACACCCAGGAGAACTCCGGCTGTCCTCGTGGGTACACCACTTCTGCTTTTTCAAATCTGAATGAAGTCGAGGACAAAATCATGCGCAAGGAATACAGCGTCAAATCGGCATCCTCTGGTGGTAGCGGTGGGCGCAAGAAAAGTTTTGCCGGGATGAGCGACGCAGAACTTCTGGCTCTCGAGAAAAAATACGAAGCGGGTTCTCGCACCAATTACAAAGTCGAGCAATTTGATTTCGGCGAACAGGCACAACTATACATCGAGCCCGAGGGCAACCGGCCCGTGGGGCCTACAAACCAATGGCCGCAAACAATATATCCTTCAAGGCCGTGCGTGAATCATCATGCTTTGACTGTGACCAAAGTTCATCGAGATTTTTTAACTTATGTCATGGAGCATCGTTACCACGATGATAGAGAGTCTCTCAGAACCATTCTATGTGCCATTTCGGGAAGACGACACACCTGGTCTGCGATAGACTGGTATGTGGAGAACTTGGCTCGAGATGGCGACCATTTGGTAATCGCCACGCGAATTCCTCTTTTCGAGGATTCCGACGTAGATGGCGGAAGTTCGGCACCTCCAAGTTCCTTTTTAGATGATTTTGACTTCAAAAACGACAAATCCATGAGTCGGTCCTTGAGCCGCAGATCAAGTGCTACTGGGCGGGTATTGGCAGCACAAGACATAGATTTTCTGGCGCGGGTCAAATGTAATGCGATCCTCGACTATTATCTTGAGAAACTCAATGGGAAACGTTTAAAGGTCACCGTCGAGCTCATCAAAAATGACTCCACCACATATGCCTTGACATCTGCCATTGCTCTTTACAAACCAGACTTTAAAATTATTAGTACTGTAAGCACAAACTTGCATATTAAGTTCAGAAATGGGCATGTCAAGCTTCCGAATTTTGTGATGCGACACTTTTGGGTCCCCACATACGTGATCCCCTATGAGTTTATCGATCCCGCTTTGCTAGGTGAGAAGACGGAGACTCCTCGAAAAGCTGCTAATTTCAGCACCAACATGTCAGATGCGCAAGTGATGCGGAGCATCGACAGAGTAATCACAAGAACACTTACAAATCCCTATGGACCGAGAGACCAACCTGCCAAATGCGGACCTGATGCAGACGTCGCCAGTGTGGATTCTTACTTTCCCATGGACCCAGAGACAAAGCGTAAAATGGAAGAATTTGAGAGCGTAGGGTACTTGAGGCCCGTTCCGTCCCGCAGAAATTGTAATCTGTCGAAGCAGACCTCTTTCGCGAGCTCTAAATCTAGCAGACGAAGCTCCCGTGTACAGTTTTCCGGTGCTGACAGCGGCGGAGTGTATAAAGTCAAATCTCTTATAGACTATGACGATAAAGATGGAGGAGCGGCACGGAAAACAAGGTCCAGTGTCTCCACCCAAAGCAATGGTAAATCATCTGTGAAAAAGAGACCCTCAAGTACAAGACGTGCCAAAAGCATGGACGCGACGCCATTGGTCGAAGGTAAAAAGAAGAGCAACAAATTTGGGGGGTTTTTGAAGAAGCTTGGAATCGGCAAGTAAATGTTGAATTTGAAACTTGAACAGAATCGGTCCCAGCCGCTTTACAGGAGACCTAAGTTTTCCCTCACCAAGTTTAGATTTGACGTTAGCCTTCTAATGGTCACATGACCCGGAGTCGTCCTTCTTTTTCTTTCCATCACGTTTACCGTAAAGCTGAAGGGTTTAGCATCCTTGCATTCCTGGGCAATGACAACCCAAAGAATATGGCAGAACAATCATCCCCTTCGCACAAATTGAAAAATGATAGAACGATAAGTTGTCGGTTTGCTTCCACAACTGTCCAATCAAAGTATAGGACACTGTCTCCCTAATATGCGGGGATCTAAATGTCTATGAATGAGTCGTCAGATTGCTATAAGAAGAGGTCTGAGGCTAGAGTTGCAAGCTGCTACTATATATCACAACCAAATTGGACAGTTCAAGAAATAAAGACAAAATCGCATTTAGACTGGGCTACAAAACACATATTACGACTTAGAAAGGTATGAAAATTGATTCAAAAATATATCAGGAAGCACACCGATTGGCCATCATGCCCCGCATGAAAATGCTGTTTTACGGTATTGTATGCGGGGCTGCTGTGCCTACCATGTACCTAAGATCCTACTACCTCCCCCACATCAAGCAGCAAGAGGCTAATGAAATCAGTACCTTGGGCTCCAAAGTCAAGTTACTGGAACAACACACTTCGAATATCGAACATCCTGCCGTGAGAAACACCAATAGTGCTTCAGAAGCTGCCGAAAATCTTTTGAGATCCAGCGAAAATCTGGGGGCTTTGGCAGGAGTAGGGGACATTCCTATTGCTGCCTGGCACATTAACGGCCGCAACAAATACGCCAATGACAAAAAGTACCGAAAGTTGGTGGAAGAGGCGAATGCTATAATGCTCTCGTCAATTATGTAGTGCTCTATAGGACAGTGTTTGTCTGCTTGGTAGTTATTTAATGAATGAACGTGGAAAGAACAAAATGCCCTTGATCATGTTATGATGCACACAGGCAGGTACAAATATGTTAATAATATATTAATGGGCTCGCTTGGAGTCGTAGTCGCGTTGAACAATTGACCGACAGGTAACCTGGCGGTTTGCCGAATGCCATTGTAGTGGCATTTTTCACGATTCATGTTCTAATGAGAAAACTGAGTACCTGAAATTTGAAAGTTTACCAAGATATAAGATATAGATATATTATATATATATATATATTTGATTGGTCCTATCAATTTGAAGCACTCTGTAAGCACTTCAGATGGCTCCAAACTTTTACAGACCAGCCGACATTGTCGCTGAAGCTGTCATACCGCCAGAGACTGGCTCAATCATCTCGTCAGAAGCCAAAGAAGCAGCTCCTTCACATGATAGAAGAAACTCGGTAAGTCATCAGGTTGCCGAGATTATTGGCGACAATCGGCTAATGGACGGCATTTCCGTGAGGTCACCTACATACATGACTCAGTTTTTCAATTCCTGGCGCTCCAGTCTTACCGACACTTTAGAAAAAGCTCGCAACACAATCGATGAAAAATCGAGCATATACTATAGCCATGAAAGAAGACTTACTACCACGGTTGCGAATTTGCATTCGGATCCCAGAGAAGAATTACTGCCTGGTCTCACATACTCTTTGGTCGCGGCCATGTCAGGCTCAGTTCTAACAAAAAATAAACACATATTTGCCAGAATTGTTGCGCCTTTGGCGTTAGGAACCATGTGTTTTTCGTACGTGCTGCCAGTCACCTCTTCCAATACTTTTGACTTAATGTTTGATCTGGAACACAAAGCCTTCCCAAGGTTCGCTCAGGGTCAACTTACACTATTTGCAAATTGCAAGCATGCTGTAAGGACGACAGTAGCAGCCAGCGAGGAGACGTCTAAAGCTATCTCGGGAAGTCTCACCAAAGCTGCTCATTTGATTAAAGAATGGACTGGGCTGAACGTGTAACTCAAAAAACGGTAAATATATTCCTACTAAGTATTTAATAATACGTACTATGCTGATGACTACATCCATGAACAGCGTCATACGCGCGCTTATTAACTATTTAATTCTTGTAAACTACAAATTGAGAGTCTTCAAGATCAGTATCGAGCTTGAAAATGCTATTGACACACCAATTCCACTCAACTACCAAAACTTTATTTTGAGCATTGTTGTCGAGGATTTTGCCAAACCTTTTTGCCTGTGTGGCTTTTTGAGCAATCAAAATGTGGGTTGGACTTTGCTTCTTGCCTTTGTTAGCGCTAATGTCACTCTCCATGAACTTTTTTGGCAAAACCTGAATGTGCTGAACCCCATGGGCTTTGAGGATTGACGAGAGTACTTCTTGCCCTCCAGGAACATCGTCTGTAAGATTTATCGTATTAATTCCCGCCCTTTGAAAAACTTTTGTAGGTAAGCTTGTCCTCTCCATAACACTTGATTCCAAATCCTTTATTCTATAATCATCAACATTTGGGAGCATCTTGTCGGCGACGTCATCCCTGAATAATGACAGTACGTGCGTAATAAAATCTGGAAGTAATGCGTACTTTAGAGGGTGGAAGCTGAGACTAGTTAAAAACTTCGCAGTCCTCATTTTTTTAGGGGCAATGATAGTATTGCATCGAGGACTTATTGCCTTCAATATTGTGATTCCAAGAGCCTTTAGAAGCTCCAGGTCCATATCATCGATTGCTTCGTGGCATCCCGTGCACACTGCCACAACATCATAAGGGCGCTTATTTCGACCTTTAGACTTTTCAGGAAAGTCAATGTTTTCGAGTAGTTCTTTAACCTTGTCCTCGATTCCCTTCAACTGCTTGAGCTTTTGCAATTCTTCGGGGAGTAATGATCTATTTTTTTTTCTCTTCAGACTTTGTTCAAATTCATTCAGCGACTCCATGTCTATATGGAGTTTAAGCGCTGCCTTTTCCTTTGCGCGACGAGAATTCGCACTCGACATTAATTGCGAATGACCATTCGGTGCAGGAGAAGAGCTCATTTCTGGGGACAATTGTCTCAATGGAATAGGACTTGATCTCTCAGCAGAAGGTTTTCCATGGGGTGAATGTGTGTCCGGGAAGTTCTTAGGTAGTTCCGATGATGGAGAAGTTGCATCCTTTGGATATGGACCGTGCTCTTCCACCACATTTCTGTACCTTGAGTCTACCTCATGCAGTAAGTCAATGTCCGGTTCGCCATTGTCCCTGGGAAATTCTATATCGTCTTCGCCGTCAGATCCCGACGCTTCAGTTTTCTTCAATAGAGATAAGCTCTTCACAGAAAAGTCATGGCCAGACTCGATTTCGTCGAGATCAATCTGGTTCTCGTTGCTTTCAATGATCTTTTCTGAAAGCGCCGATGGGCTTGGATGTTGTTGGTCAAGTGTACCATCTTGGGAGGCTGGGGAAGATCGAGGTGCCTTTGATTGTTCCCTGGTGATATCAGAAGGAATGACCGTATCTGCTAAATCCTCTTCGTCAAGTTTCTCCCCGCCGTCCAATGACATTTGTCCTAGTCTTGTAGCCAGTCCGCCTGAGATGGGTATTTCGGTATATTTCTCTTCGTCGCACGATATTTTAGACTGAAGCCTGTAACAATCCTCGAGCCAGAGATGGTTCACAACTTTGCAGGTATCTTTCCACCTCAAGGCAGCTTCGTATTTTTGGCTGAAGGGGAAACAAGTTATGAGGTGTGTGTTTTTCTTTGTAAACTCAGTAGTGCTGACACCACCTAACGCCTCGACAAGTTTTTGTATGTAATGCCGTTGCTGTCCCAAATATGTTGTGTAACCCACAACTAGCTCATCTTTTTGGAATACTCTGCGCCGCAGCGGTGACAGCAAGAGCTTCTCGGTAGGAAATACAAAGGATTGCTTGCACCACATGTAAAAAAACCAGGACACATTTCCGATATGCAGCCGTTCTGCCCTAGCCTGAAGGTACTCATCCGATACAATAGATTGGCCAATATAGGAATCGCCAGAGCATCGTTTAATATCTGCAGGCTCTACGTGACGAATAATGTCACCGCCCGCGGCTTGTATGATGTCAATTAAGAAGTTGTAGCACTGAGATGGCAGTATTAAGTCCAGCGATAAATAAAATTTGTGACTTCGCAGAAACTTTGCGGGAGACTTGATCTTGCTTGCTTCAATATAGTTCCATAGCTTACTTGCTTTCGCTTTGACTTCTTCGGGCCGATCCTGTGGATGCAGAAGGTATGGGGTTTCATCAACGTGATGTCCAGTAGTGAATACTTGAACCGCCCAGGTCGGATGCACATATTTGATGTCCAAACTCTTTATACTTGCCACTGCAGCAATCGCAGGGTCCTGAGCATCATTTGTGACAATATGGCTTGCTCGACTGGATAAATAGTCTATGCATATGCCTCCTAAACTGTGAATGAGGGCAGAATAAAAACTGTATTCGGTTGGGTTGAAGGAGTGACGTGAGATGTATATTTGACAGTTTTTAAGCACCTGATGAGGATCTGGGGAGAAGCTGCTTGCCCGAGTTATACGCTTCGTTGAAATGCAAGCCTCCACCCAAGCAGGCGTCACGACCGGAATGAGGAAATCGAAAGCTGCAGCGCGGTAAAACCAAAAGTCCGTCGTTTCAGATATAATGACATGGACATCATGCTTAAATCGATGGCACATTTCTTGTTTGACCAATTTGTGATTCCGGGGGTCTATATGTCCAGGATCATCATCTTGGTAAATTATGCATTCGTTAGCAGCATTGGCCTTCAACCGGTCACACAAAGCATCTGTTTCAGAAGCAGTCTGGCCATTGAGAACGATCACAAAATTGAGGCCATTGAACAGCTTAACAGCACTGGACATTGACCTTGACTGCCGCTAACAAGCCAAAACTTCTTACTCTTTGAGATTTTTTACGCGTGTTGAAATCGCGTTGAACATTATTTTCAAGATGTCAACTCATCGCCAATTATTCCAGGAACAACAACAGAATGACATGGGCACCGCGAATACTACACGAAGCTATAGTCCAGCGCTTCGGCAGGTGTGGCAGCACCAAACTTTTTTATTCTGAATCCCTTTTACATTTATACGTCTAGAAACATGCAATATTGACTTTCGAAAGGCCATGTGGCGAAACTCAATCAGCCGACAGTCAGATCCGGTAGTCTACCAAATGCGATTAACTCCCTCTCATTTTGCACAGCGTACATCACATCATGAATGACTCTTTTTGATTGTTGAGTAAGGAACTGAACAAGTAATGTAGTCTTGCAATATTTCGTTCCCGACTCGAACTGTGCCTCAACAACTAGACTAAAAGCTTAGAGCACAAGAAGCCGACGCGTATACGCCTGATATTAGGGACTGGTTACACTGATTACACATGCTTGCATTCCATATTATCAAAAGGACACATGACCATGCACATGTAATATATAGTTTGCCCCTCGCCTCAACACTCATCAGAAATACGGGCGTGTGGCGTAGTTGGTAGCGCGCTCCCTTAGCATGGGAGAGGTCATCGGTTCGACTCCGGTCTCGTCCAATTTATTTTTGTCTTTTTCTAATATTTTTTTGGAAAATTTGCCGCAATTTGAACGCTACATATCCAAACTATCAAGGGATTTCGACAAACCTATTCTACTGCTATTTACATTCCCTCGCATCCGCCCAGCTGGCCTTCTTTTCGCAAACATTATGGATGGTTCTTGATCCACTTTTTCTTCGTTCATGTGCTTTTTCCAGTTGTCCATGTGTAAATTAATTAATTAGCTTAACTCCCTCCACGTGTGGAGAGCTTGACGTTTAAGTCCCAGTAAGCACTCTTGAATGTAACTACATGATCTAGCACCTATTAACGGAACTTGCCATTATTCATTCAACAGATAAGGATCTGCAGAATCTGATCAGGTAGACAAAGGATTTGAAACAGGCGTTCCTTAGCATCTAGGCAGCGAAGGGGCAAACGATGAAGTTTGGTAAACATCTGGAGACCAGACAACTGGCGCTGCCAGAATACAATGGCCATTTCATCGACTACAAGGCTCTCAAAAAGCTGATCAAGCAATTATCCGCACCCAGTTATGATATCGAACTGACAGACACCAACGGCAACTTGAACAACAGCGATGGCAACGGTGATGTCGAAGCTAACGCCGGCGTGGACGAGTCGCGCATTTACCAAACGCTTCAAGAACACAAGGCGTCGTTTTTTTTCAAGCTCGAAAGAGAGCTTGAAAAGGTCAATGAATACTATCTCGAGAAGGCATCGGATTTGCGCATCAAATTCGACATTCTGCATTCCAGGTACCAGGACTGCGTCAAACGCGGCAAACTCTTGTCAAAAGCCACCGTCTCATACAAGCATCTGCGCGACGGCAGCAAGAGATTTGAACGCGACCTGGCGCATCTGGAACAGTTTGTGGAGCTCAACAGAACTGGGTTTTCGAAAGTGCTTAAAAAGTGGGACAAAAGGTCCCATTCTCACACCAAAGATTTTTATCTGGCAACCGTGGTATCAGTGCAGCCTGTGTTTACACAGAACGAAGCCTCAAAACTGAATGACGCTGTCTCTTTAATCCTCATGGAGCTTGACGAAATCAGCACCCAAGATGATTCATTTTCATATTCGGCACCATTTGTGTCGAAATCGTTCTCCAAGCTCTCAAGTCTAGAGAATAGTTCCACTTCTCAAATTGCGACATACTTCTCACTCCCAGCGCGAAACGCTGACGAGCTAGCGGATGATCCTCTCGATATTGGAATGGAAATTGAAACTTGGTATTTGGAAGTATTGAATATAGCAAAACTGAAAGATGACGAGCCTCGCATAAGACTGTTGCGCCAATTTGCGACGGAGAAGATTCAGCGTTTTGTCGAAGGACATGTGGCCAGGGACCGAATCGACAAGGAACTCATTGTGAGAGATGCTTTGACCAAAATATTCTTTTTACTGGTTAGCAGTGCTATCAGTGACGATTCTTTGCACGTATATCAGAAGGCTGCCGAGCCGAGTATCGACTTATCGTACACCGAAGAAGATGACGTTGTGTTTTCTAAACGTAACATATTCCACGAGGCAGCTCTTTGTGAACTGCAACCGAGAAACTTCATCTTACGGGAAGCCCTCGACCAAGCTTGTCAATCGAGTTTGTTGCAAGACGTCATGCGGAAATTACTAAATGCCCAAGATGCCAACGGTAGTACACCCTTGCATTATGCGTGCAACTTGGGGAAGGAAGAATTTGTCAGACTTCTGGTTAACTCTTCCCTTTTAGATTCAGTTGACACGTTAGATAATGATTCCAAGACTCCATTGGTCTTAGCCGTTAGTAAAAACTGCACTGAGATTACAAGATTATTACTATCGAACGCCAATGCTAATGCATGTCCAACTATGGGCTCTTCCAATAAGCCTCAATCGGCTCCTTTAAACGTTGCATGTGCGCACAAAAACTATGAAGCTGCAAAACTGATATTAGAATTCAGCACTACCGACTTTTCCGGCCTGCGTGACTCACAAGGCCGGTGCCCTCTGCATATTGTGGCCAAAAATGGCGGCGACTCTAGAATGATAGGGTTGCTGGTGTCTTATGGTGCTGACCCCAACGGTGTTGATGGGTTTAATGGCTGGACGCCGATCTTTTATGCTGTACAGGAGGGCCATCGTAATACGGTGGAAGACTTGTTGAAGAGCGGTGCTCGTATTGACATAGCCGATGATGATAATTTGTCGCCCTTTTTTTACGCACTATGGGAAGGACACTTGAGCGTTGTCAATCTTCTACAGGGCTACAGAATCGAGGAATCTGAAGGTCCAAAGGTGATGCCTAGCCCTATTAGATCCAACCTCGAGCCTGCTGATACCTTGAGTTTGGAGGATTCTTTGCACGGCATACCAGACTTTACGTTGCCACCACCTATTATCCCATTGAGGAAGTACGGTCATAACTTTCTGGAGAAGAAGATTTTCATTCAAATAAGTTTTAAGCCAGGTACGTCTTCGATTGTACTTAACAAAGAAGACGAAATGGTGTTGTCCTCTCCTGGCCGTGTTACCTTGACTTCGAACGTATCAGACATTATTCCAAGAAATGTAATTCTACCATCGGATGACGACGACGAGAATTTTGTGGTTTTCCAAATCGACTCGTTAGAAGACTTCTCGATGGACTTTGAAATCTACCCATCTTTCGGTACCAGAATGATCGCCAAGACCACAGCAGTTCCGAGCCTTTTCAGAAAATTTCAAAATGATCCATTTGAAAAGGGCAATTTTGTGTTACCGCTTTTTGACGGACGTATGAAGAATGTTGGTGAATTGAACCTCGACTACAGACTTGTCTTCCCCTACAGTGGGAGACCTCTAGAGATCACCAAATATGAAACTTACTGGAAATCCACAAGAAGCAACGAGCCAGGAAAAAGTGGAAATCAGTTCATTACATCCTCGTCATTATCAGGAAGATATACAAACTTTTTCATAACAACCTTGAATGACGGAACACTAATAGTGGCGCCCAATAAAACCATCACTGTTGGTCCAATGAAATTACGGCTTCTGGACCTTGATGCAAATCAATTAGAAGAACTGATCGGCTACTCTTTGGAATGTAAATTGGAAGAGTCAGAGCACCTCACGTTTGAGCAATTGTCGAGAGAGAGGTTCACAACCCTCGATGCGTTGTTGAAGCAGGCACCTGCCAACTCCAAATTGGAAATCGAAGTTTGCTTCCCCACGGAGTGCGAATTCGACAGTATTCCCCTGAAGTTGTCACCTCATGTAAACATTAACAGCTTCATTGACAAGGTATTAACATCCTTGTTTACCCATGTTCGCCAAAGGTTTCACAATGGTTTGACATCCTCGGTGTTTTTTACGTCTCGAAACCCTGAAGTATGCTCGATTCTCAATTGGAAACAACCAAATTTCCCAGTTTTATTCTACATGAACGGGTTGAGAAAAGAAAATGGAATACTAGTGAAAGACACACCACATCATTTGGCACACCTTTCGTTGAATTCAGACACTGTAATGTTTTCGGATCCTTGCTCTCGAAGCATTCGTGAAGTTGTTCAATTTGCCTCCTACAATAATTTGCTTGGTATAATCGTTCCATTAGACTTGCTGCGTGCCAGTCAACAGTTGATAGGCGAGATAAGGTCGCATGGGTTGTTGTTAATCGGCTCGCTATTCGAAGGACAAGGTGCCTCAATTGATCTGGCCGAAGAAGATATTAATGGCGTTAGGGATCACGATAGTTTGATATTCAAGGGAAACATCGACATGTAGAGCACGCTGAATTTTATATACATACCATGCATTTTGAATTATAGAGAATTTACGCAATTAAATAATGAGCTCATGAGATTTGATCAAATTTTAAGGAAACTCACTCATTCAACATTTTGCATAAAATACTCTTTGACTTTTTGATCAGCAACTACATCCAAAGGCGTTTTACCATAAACGTCTTTCAAATCACGATATTCAGCGTTATAAGTCTTGACCAGAATTACTGCTACATCACCTCTTCCTTCTGAGAGCGCATGGAAAAGCGGGGTCCAGCCCTGAACATCCTTGGTATTGACCGGTGACTTATGCAGGCATAACAATTCAACCAAAGACACATTTCCCACACTTGCGGCTCTGTGCAGTGGTAACTGATTTCTGGAGTCCTTCTGTCTTACAGAAGCTCCTTCCTCGATCAGCAGCTGAGCAACAGATACATGTTGTTTGGAACAAGCTAGATGCAATGCGGTTATACCCCGCGAGGTCGACAAGCACACATCTGGCTTTATGGTATGGTTGATGAGCTTTGTAATAATGTTCAAGTTTCCGACAGAACTGGCAATGTGCAAAGCAGACCACCCAGAGTCGTCTAACAGTTCATCGAGATCCACAGTTTGCATTTGTGACAGCAAGAAATTTACGATTTCTTCATGCTGGTAAGAAACAGCCCAATGGATTGGGTATCTGCTGTCGAGGTCTTTTGTTAAAGTGAGTTTCGGCTGCTCATCAATAAGCTCTTTCACTCGGATAATTTGACCTTCTCTACAAGCCTCATGAAGAGGGAAAGCATTGTCCGATGGCATGACAAGCTGTTACCTTTGCCTTTCTTTACTGTCAATGAATGAAGGTATTAGGAAAGATACATGCCAAGATGGGAAAACGGCACATACGTATAGAGCGATATAAACTATTGCAGAACCACAATTATTATCGATTGATACAGTAGAGCGCTAGAGTGTTTAGCCCAATGCAGTAAGGAATCGCCTTTGCTCTCTCACTAGTGGGAGATTTGAAATCTCTTTAGGCCCTGTAAAATATAAAAATTTGAAGTACTTTCTGATCTTTGCACTACCGCTAGGTTTGGTGGAGCTGTATTCAGAATCAATGAGAGCAAACACACAGCTATAGAAAATAATTCAAGAAAGAACTGTTGGCTTCGTCTCTAAAAAAACGTAGCACGACACATCATTACATTTAGACTGCCTAAAACCCATCAAAAAGTCGACCCGTCGCACCCAATTTGCAAATGGCAATAGCTCAAGCACACTGGAGCAACTGAAAAGGCATAAAAAGTGGAGAATTTCACAAAAAAGAAGGAACAATGATACCTCTCTTCCAGATTATATATACAAAACGAGTATATTAGTACTCACTCTTTACAATTAATTAGACGTCCACTTATCATCATACACGAGTCTCAGGTGGCAATGAAATTTGATATAGGTTCCTCCCTTCCTATCACGAACAGAAGTTTAACTCCCCAGTAGTCAAGAGTGTGATTAGTTCGTCTCCGGTCGTCAACACTACAATCCCGGTTTATTGCCATCCACTTTCACCACGCTCACATCATGAATAGATCTCCAGGAGAATTCCAGCGCTTCGCCAAAGCGTTCCAGCAACAATTGTCCAGAGCTCAGCAAGCGGGTAGTGGTAAAGGACCACAGGCGCCAAAAGGTGCGTTTGCTGGTTTAGGAGGTTTGGTATTGCTCGGAGGTGGTGCCATGTTGTTGAACGCCTCGCTTTTCAACGTTGATGGTGGCCACAGGGCTATCATTTATTCGAGAGTGAATGGGGTTCAGTCCCGAATTTTCGCGGAAGGAACACATTTCGCCATCCCATGGCTAGAGACTCCCATTGTGTACGATGTGCGTGCCAAGCCTCGCAATGTCGCATCGTTAACCGGTACCAAGGACTTGCAAATGGTCAACATCACCTGCAGAGTGCTTTCGAGACCTAACGTATCACAGTTGCCCGTTGTGTACCGTACCCTTGGCCAAGACTACGACGAAAGAGTTTTGCCCAGTATTGTGAACGAAGTCTTGAAATCCGTGGTTGCTCAATTCAACGCATCGCAGCTGATCACTCAAAGAGAAAAAGTTTCGAGACTGATCAGAGAGAACCTGATGCGTCGTGCTTCGAAATTTAACGTCTTGTTAGACGATGTTTCCATCACTTACATGACCTTTTCGCCCGAATTCACCTATGCTGTCGAGGCCAAGCAAATCGCACAACAGGACGCCCAAAGAGCTGCTTTTGTGGTCGACAAAGCTAGACAAGAGAAGCAGGGTATGGTTGTCAAGGCGCAAGGTGAAGCCAAGTCAGCTGAGCTGATTGGTGAAGCTATCAAAAAGTCCAAGGATTACGTTGAATTGAAGAGACTTGATACTGCTCGTGAGATCGCCACGATCTTGAGTCAATCCCCAAACAAAGTTATCTTGGATAACGAGTCGCTGCTCCTAAACACGGTGGCCGATGCCAGAACCAAAAAATGAGGTTTCTTTAGATAACATTATTTACCATGATCTTGTGTATAGCCCTAATGCTCGAAATATGTCGATTAGCGCGGGTATCGGACCCCATATTGGACTATCGGAGCCGTAAAAAAAAAGTGAGTGACTGAAACGCCGACCGGCAGCGGGTTCTAGCACGCAAAGTAATGAAGGTCGTGCCGATGAATATTAAAGAATGAATGGCAATGTTTGTGTGTTTGTGTTTTTGAGAAGAGTCGAGCCAAAAGAAAAAAAATTGGCCAAGGAACCTCGCTCCTCCATGTGTCAGATCTGAAGACCTTTTGAGCGTTTTCAAAACGGTTTCCGCTCATTACTCGTCATCAGAATCTTCGCCCTTTTGCCTGGTAGCAAAGTTCAATTTTGTAGGGTTCGCTTTGGATGTGAACAACTTCGACTTATGCTCGTTGAGTTTCTGAGAGCAGGGAGACAGCATATCATCTGTTGGAGATGCAAATTTGTTTTTAATCGGCATGGGGTTCTGTTTTTTAAACATAGATCTGTGCAGGCTGGAACCTGGGTTTTGAGCTTGGTGTAGTGGTTGAATCGAGGGTGCGGACATCATAATTGATTGGGCTATATGTGGTAAGGGGAACGTTCAAATAATCTACTATATTGAGGTGTTCTATCGAATAAAACTAGTTCCTGGTGCTGGTCCCAAAGTGAGTTTTCTATCATTCCTGTGCTCATCAAGCAATTTTTGATTTATAAATGTCGGGAAACCAAAAATGTCATATATTTACTCTTTGCCCAATGTGGGATACTAATTGCGCAAATCTTGAAATTGAAAATCTCATTTTCCTAACTAGTTTGAAACTCACAAACATTGAGCACGTTGGGGCACAGCAGGATGCTTGGGATATAGAGCTTGGCCTATCGAAATCAATAATGGCTAGCAGGAACAACTCAGCCTGATGACAGCGAAAATGTTCAAATTAATTGTTCATGTAGGAGGAGTCCGTGATAAGTGAGGCAGAAATTATAAGGGTTTTGAGATTTGCTCACGAAGGCATTATCTGTAGGGCAAGAGCTGAAAAGATTGTCAAGGATTGCCCGGAAAACGTTTGCATACTGTTTACAATTTTAGCGTTGGGTCGAGAGAAAGGGGGGAAAAAAATTGTCAGGAGGGTGGCTTCGTAATTTCGAAGTCAGCGTCTACACCATACCACAACCGCAATGGGGCTGACGCCATGCTTAATTTTGAGAGCGAGCAAAGCAATATAGCTTGTTTGCTATTCTTATCACTTTGTACTTCGCTGTCGCGGACAGTTCGAGTTTACCTCATGGTCATTAGCAGCGGTGCTTGGCCAGTGAAAATCTTATATGTCTCACGTTAATGACGCGGTTAGTGGGCTACAATATCTGCTAAGGCTCAAACGGAAGATCCACCGCCCCTGGAATGCGATCATTATGTACCAGTGCGTCACGAACGACCGGGAAGGAATAGACGCAGTTGAAAACAGACGGAAAGATGATACCACCAGCACGCAAACTGAAAGCTCTTAGCTGCAACCTGAGAGCTGGCAAATGATGCTAGCCGTTATGAGCCATACGACAAAAAAAAGTAATTATTAAGAAAAATAAAGAGAAAGAACAACGAACGCATTTGATATGCTTGACTTTGTGGAGCATAGCCTCAGGTCTTTCTTACTCAGCCCAAAACAATTAACTAGCAACTCCTTGGAAGGAACGCTCACGCGCTACCCCCCACTTTTCATACCAGTTCGTAGGAAAGTCTCAGCAAAAACTACACAAATCAAAACCATTAAGCCATCCAATTGCTGTCAAAAATTTAGATCGAAATTTCAGAAGTGTCCAAGTACAATGCACTTGGTATTTCTAAATTTACTGGTTATGTGGCGACTTTCCACTTCTCAAAATGACACAAATACTTTTGGACTCGCCCCATTCATTTTTTCACATTTTTCTGCTAGACCTTTATAACAAAAAGTCAGTCATTGCTTATGTTCCTTAAGTTGTTGTTAATACTAATATTTCAATCGGTCATTCCACAACTTCGAGCTCTAAGTGGAATTAGCGATACAATGCCCAACATGGAAGACGTCAAGAAAAAGTGGAAAGAATTGCTGTATTCTTTCAGCACAAGCGATCGGTATGCCGACTACAACGAGAACTCTGGAGTTTCCGGCGTTTCAAGCATCTCTAGACGTTCTGCAGGCTCTCCAGCCAACGCTGCTGCATCCTCATCGCAAATTCAGCTCACAGAGTTTGTTGAAGGCCAAGATGGTAGCTCTAACGACGGTGTGAGCGAGACCATGCTTGCCTGGAGACACATCGACGCCTGGGCCTCGGAACATCATTCTGACCTTTATGCAACATTAAGTGAACCATGTACGCGCAGTGACATCTCCAGGGCTGAACAGGATCTGTCGATTGTCTTTCCGGCCTCGGTTAGGGCGTCGTTCCGTTTCCACGACGGTCAAGAAGATTTGGATTCGCTCACCGGAACATCTGGACTTATTTTCGGGCTCCAACTAATGCCTATGGATCAGGTCGTACATATGACGCAAACTTGGAGGAACGTTGCTTTCAATATGCTAAAGCACCAAAAGTCAGCACATTCAACCACCACGGGTTCTACCACCGAATCCGAAATTCACATCAGTACGCCGAACAAATCTGCAACTCCCCAGAACTTGAAGTCCAAAGGCTATAGAAAATTAGAATCTCAAGATTCCAAGGGAAGCAATCCTGCGTTGCAGCGTGATATTTCTCACAACTATAACAAGCAATTCAAGATGAACTCTATTCCTCAACAGAGATCAATTCCGCCAGAAGCCATTCAGTCTTTGTATGTAAGTCCAGGATGGATTCCTCTGGTTACCGATAATGCAGGAAATCATATTGCTATTGATTTAGCTCCAGGGCCCAAGGGAGTTTACGGCCAGATTATTTTGTTTGGCAGAGAGTTCGACACCAAATTCGTGGTGGCTAACAACTGGGGTGATTTTCTTCTCAACTTTGCCAATGATTTGGAAAAGGGCAATTGGTACATTATGGACGGTGATGATGATTATTTAAGTGGGGCAGGCGATCTGGTCTTTAGAGACAAGAATGCCGGAAACACTATCAAAGAATACTTCGAAGTTTTGAAGCTAAGATCTCACGGAGCTTGGAGAAACAGAGAGAAGGAGCAGACTTCTGAAGGCGCTGTGTCTACTTCCGTTCCAGTGGAGCATAAAAGTGCGGTCTCGTCGCAGGCTACCGACTCGTCGTTCCCACTCAAGGAGCAGGAGACGATGGTAGCAGAGTCCTCAATTGCTACGGAAGACCAATCAACCTCTGAAAAAAAGCCCGACAGAGTCACCGTTGTTGACTCTTTAGCCAACTCTACCGAGACTTTTTTGGCTAGCGAGGAGCCTTCACCAGAGGCCCCCAAACAATCTCAGAAAGCTGAGCAAAAGCTGCAAGTGAACGAACACCCCATTGATAAGGAAGATCATGAACAAAAAATAAGCAAGGATGAAGGGCACACAAGTAAGACGCTCGAAACTGAGAATGCCGAAGAACAAAAATCGATGTCGGAAGAAAAGAAAACTGACTCCCAAACTCAAAACCCTGCAGAAGAAGCTGAAGAAGCTAAAGTAAAGGAATTAACAGAGGAATTCGATAATGTCGCATTGTAGTTCATATCAGTTAATGACTATCCACGAATACGAAACACTCAAACAATATATAACGTGTATTTTGATGAACTAAACCAACTTTTACAGAATTCAACCTACCATATTATCCTTTGTGGGTGTACTTCACCTTCCCACCGGAAAGTCCGAAAGGAAAATACTGTAAGAGTGACGGCATTTATGAACAAGTACCATGCAAATTCTAAACTCAGTCTTTTGCAATACTTGTATTCTCCGGCGTTAGATTCATCTAAGATGTTGTCTGCCACAGGAGTCAGAAATATTCTCCAAAACATGAACGGTAAGATGTAATATCTAGGTTCGAATAAGGGCGACGGAACCACTGTCATAAATGTGCAAATAATCAGTGCAGTCCAAGATATATGTGTAAGCTGTACTGGAAGTTCTGTGGGGGTCTTAATCTCTATGGGGAGGACAGGGTGAAACTGCATGACTTTCGTTCTCATCACCTCGATGTAATGGAAAATGGAGAAGTGGTAAACCCAAGGCATTAAGAGGTATTTAAACCAAAAATTTCTGGCAACGATTTTCTTGAAGAGATAGAACGTGTAGTGGCGGTTATCGGCTAACAGAAAGGGATGCGTCACTGTAAAAAATCTAATCACGAAAATGATTGCGAGAAGTTCTATTATTGTCCTGGTTTTTTTGACTTGAATACGCGTTTGATAAAAACGAATGCTCATTTTTGAAATCCAAATTGGCATGCTGAAAAACATGATGAACATGATGCAGTAAAATATCTGAACCAAGTGCATACCCGCTGAATGGTTATCCTTATCTCCCAATGTTAAAGACCTGTTGTAAATGACGAAGAAAGTGAACAATGCAAAATTGATACAGTACGGAAGAACCAACTGTTTGAAGTTTTCTAAAGCGTGAATGACAAACTTCAAATAATTGTTAAGATTCACAGTATTAAAATCTCTATGAATCAACGCCCTTCTCTCTACAACAACAACCATCACAAATAGATTCCAAATTATATTCGTCTGCCTAAAAAAACAGCTTATCAGAGCACAGAATGCGCTCAACCAAATACTGGTAATTTCTCCGAAAGGTAATGTGACAGCTAAGGTCAAGGACTCCAAAATTAAGATGGATGACCAAACATCGGTATAGTATAAGTAGTAGTAGGTCGCGAGAAGCGGGAAACACATCAACGACACGGGCCAAAATCCAATGGCATTAAACAAAAATAGTGGTCGAAGGACGACTAAAGGCAAAACTATCACACCGCCGATTAAGTTGGTGAGTCTTAGTATTGTAAGCGTAGTCCAAGATGTGAACGCACGCATTATGTGATAGTTCAGCCATCCAAAAACGTAAAGCCCTGGTGGAGTAGTAATTTTAGGATCCCAATAGCTCCAGTGCCCACGGAGATAATGGATAGTTTGCGGCACATGAAATATCTCGTCTATAAACTGGTATGGTGCGACAATCGTATTGATTTTCCAGCAAGTAAGCCCAAAGTAGATAACTAAAAGTGGCCAGCTAACCAAGTTCGCCAAAAAGCCGACTTCCACTTCATGTAATATATCTAGTTCCAGTTTCTCCTCCAAAGTAGCTTCCTTCAGTTCTTCAACATCCATTGTATACTTCAAAGAGAGCCAGTAAGCAGTTGCGATGAAGCTCTGAACTGCCCGTTGTTATTCTTCTTCGTCCCTTGATGTGATTTTTCTACCAAGTATTCTAATAAATTCTTCGTTAATAAACTTATTAAATTTAGCTCATCGGTCAACAATTTGGAATCGATATCCTCTTCTCCACAAACTTTCTTCGAGCCAATAACGCCTTCAGTTCCATGAGCCTTGTTCTTTATGAACTACTGCTGACTTTGGTTGTGAAGGTTGTGTTCTGTCAGCAGTTCTGGCCTTCTCTTTCCGCGGGGCCTCAATTAGCCTTACGTTCACAAAGAGATGCTGGTACCAACATTAGCATCGACCAGGTGTCACTCACAGGTGTTTATCTCAACAATGCTGCCATCGCGGGTGACAATAATAACGGCAGTGAGGCACTTGACATTTTTAGTCATTTATTAGGAGTGGGAGTTCAATCTTACGTTATAGAACTGAACAGCAGTGATAATATGAACCTGAGCCTCTCAAATTCGAACACAAGTTTTGGTTCGGTTTTAACATCCCTGAAACAATATGTTGCTGATAGTAACAATGTCTTGAATGCTAACATGCTAGTATTGTTGCTACGGCTTGCTCCTGCTGACACGAAGTCTAACTCAACTACACCCACCAACAACATTACAGCAGAGCTGGAATCAAACTTGGGACTTTCAACTCTATATACCCCACTGCAACTGGCCAGCGATCGCGCAGCCGGTTTGACTCAGAACTACAAGGGGAAAGATAGTAGCCAGGGCTGGCCGACCATGGACTATTTTCTTTACAGGCTTCAAAAGAGAGTTTTAGTGGCTTATATTGACTCCAATACGTCAGCAAGGTTGCCGAGTGAATATGTTTTTGACAGTCATATTTTGAACTACGAAACAAACAACGCCACAAATTCTTGCCCATTATATCAAGAGTCCGGGCTTACTACTACCGCGAACGAAAGCTGGCGGTTTTTGGAAAGCCAGTTTCTTCCTAGCGACATTCACGAATACATCATGTGTGGTTACTCTCCAATAGTAAGTAATGAATACACTAAGGACTCCATATCTTCCATCTCAGGTCTGCTGCAAAACAGCTTGCTATGGTCATGGGCGTACAATGAACCAAACACATACGAGCCTGTGAAGAGCAACTCAACATCGCTTGTAGCCCGTAGATGTACGGTGGTCAATTATATGGAGTCAAACTCCACGAGTAGTTGGGTGGTGGCCAATTGTTATGATAAAAAGCGCTCTGTTTGCCGACATAAAGACAATGTATTTGACTGGGTCATTTCAAAATTGAGTGATGATTACTTTTCGACTCATGAGGATAGTGATAATGACGTTTGTCCTACTAATTATACGCTTTCATTCCCACAAACGCCGCTACAAGAAATGGCCTTGAACAATTACCTTCGTAATTCTGCGTCATCTGACCTCGAGGCATGGATAGATCTCAATTCAGTCTCTGTTCCTGACTGTTGGGTCCCTGGCGGACCTTATGCGTCATGTCCCTACCAAAAAGACGTTTCGGCCCGAAGTTTTGTTGGCATTATAACACCCGTTAGTGTATTTTCAACAGCTACTATTGTGCTGCTGATCATTCTCACCTGGCGCAAGGTGCCCATTCAAGACAATCGTAAACGTTGGAAAAAGGTCATCCATTTGCACTCAACTACAGAGACCGACGGGGTTCCTTCATAAGATACTGCATTTAACATTAATTATAGCATACGTCATACTACTAAAATTCATTCATCACATTAGATTCGCCAATGAGAGATCAATTCGCCGCCATCATTTATACGATGGCTTGCGCGCTGGAGTGGCATACCGCAAAACAGTCCGAGTAAGCCTTCTACGTTTAAATGAATCGTCAACTAAAAACTCATCTTCCAAGCGTAATTGCAACCCACGATCACGAGCCCACTCATTAGCCCGCACATCAATTTCCCAATCAGAATTGTTGTCAAAGGCCCACGTCACAGGAGGTTGAACCTGGGCCAGAGTTTCCACTCCCGGAGGAGGTATTTGTGCCTTCCTGAAGCTATCCTGAGGGTCGAACACACTAGTAGAGAACTTGAGAAAAGTCCAATCTTTTGGAACTAGTCCTTGCTTGTATATCTCAAAAACCTCAATAGACCGAACTTCTGGAGCCTCGTCTAAAACAATGTCATACCGCTCACTCCTTTTCAACGCCTCTCTACCTCTCTCGACCTGCTCCTGTTTAATTATGCGTGCCAACCTAGAACGAACTTCGGGGTGAATTGCAATCATCGTTGACCAAGCGCCAACTGCAGATACAAGACTCCAATTCACAAATGGCGAAACTAGCCACGACAGCAAAAGCGCCCCTAGTCCAGCTAGAAACAAGGCCGTCGATCTATGTTCGTCTTTAAATCCTGCTGTTCCGAACACAAACTTCTCCATCCCCTTTGACAAAGATACCATTGTTGACATGCTGTTCTGCAAATCCCGTAAATTCACTACAAACTCCATGCTTTGCTTGATATGATGTGCTCGCTGAATGTCATGCGGATCCAAGTCAAGGTTGTAATCATATTCTTGAATATCATCGCTTGGATGCCAACTAGCTTTCTTGCCGCCGCTGGTCAAAGAGATCACCAGCGACTTTCCGTATGTTCGTCTTGACAAGTATGCGGTTCTGTTGGGAGGGTGTCGATGGGTATAGCCTGGTACCATTATGCCATAAAGTATGTAAAGCATTGGTATGATTGCCAAAAACATTGGATTGAAGCAGATCATAGTGACGAGGATAAGTAAGGTGATGGTACCTGAGGGGTTCCTCCAGGCAATGAGGCGTATTACAGAGTCTTGGAACTCAAATATTGCGCCCAGCTTTGTCGTTAAAACCTTTAAGTTATTTGCGAGTATAGTTGCAGATAGTTTCTGCCGCTTTTTGCGAAGCGGATCATTTACTCTCTGGGTGAAGTGCTCTCGTTCGGGAAAGTTCTCGGGAAGAATGGCAGATATCATCTTGTTTAGTAAAATATCCACGAAGTGCTCCTGAGCTGTATTACCCCGTCTACCTTCGTTCGGGCTGTTGGTTTGGATAGGTTCCGAAGGCTGTTGGGGGCCTTCAGTCTCGCTCATTGTTTCATACTCCTGTCGAAAGTTCTCATCTTTCCAGAACCCATCGGAACTATCAGACGCGTTAGATTGAACAAATTGATCGTAATCGTCATCTATAGTGACGGCATCACTTGCTTTGCTCGCCCGAAGCCTCTGGTAAGCTGCCTCTAGGAAGGAGCTAGCAACACCATGAATTAAGTCGCGATTTGTGACCGTCTTTGGTTCGGACTTCGCACTAGCTTTGTTTTCATATTTTCTGGCCATAATGCTGCCAATAATTGAGTTTCGACGGCCATGACTACCGGTGATTCCCTCCATGTTGTCCGATGGCTCTTATTTTGAGATGAGATAGGTATTCCCTAAAAACAAAATTAGCGGGTATGAGCAACACCACTAAAAATATAAATTTGAAAGATTATATACTGACTTATTTAGTTATATTCTGTATTTTAGAAGCTATCTTATTAGTTCGTGGTTTTTTTGAATGCCCTCGGTATACTCAATAAGGTCGCTCCCATAGATGCCTTTCTCTTGTGCCTCAAATATGGTGCAATCTTTTATATTCCAGAGCTCATAAAACCTGACGGTCTCGTCGTTCGTGGCCACACATATTGAGCCAAAATCCGGCGAAGGAACGGCGCTCAGCACGCGAAGCGCAGTAGCTGAGTGAACTTCAACGGTTGGATTCATGGACGGGTACGAGTATACTGACACCAACGTCGGTTTCTCAACTTCTCCAAATCCAAAAGTCGCAACAATTTGTTTTTGCCTAAGCGACCATATAAGTGAAGTTATCTGGCCCGGGGCCTTCTTTTCTTTCAACAATGTTCCAGAGTGAGTGTGCCAAAATCTTATGTTTCTGTCTTTACTACCACCACCAGTAGCTAAAAGCGATTTTGACCAAGGGCAGAAAGCCACTGCCTTCACGGCAGCCTTATGCGGGAGAACGAACTGAAGCTTTACAGCTTCCAGTTCTGTGATGTTCCATATGGTGCAGGAGTTGTCGTTCCCACCGACCGCTAACTGTGTCCCATCTCCATTGATGGACAATCCTACAATCAGAGTTAGTAATCCACATAGTACCTCAAGTTGTTTCGTAAGGGTAGTAGTTTGTTATGAATATTTACCGCAAACTTGCTGGCTTTGAGCTTTGATTTTCGATACTGTTTTGAAAACCAGATTTTGGCGCTGAATCTTTTCTAGCCTCTTCTGTATACGCGCTAGGTCCATTTCGGAAGACTGCTCATCTTCAGAGGGTTCCCTAAAATTTGTCCTATGGTTCTTTGTACTTAAGTGGGATGTGCCTGTGTTCTTATCCTTGACGTCTTCATCCAACAGGATTTGCTGCGCGTACTGAAAATTCAGTTCAAGAAAGTGCACGTAACCGCTCTCTTGTCCCACAAGCAAGAAACTCTTACAATCTCTTTCGACCCAGTCTAAACAGCATACTCCCATAATGGATTTGTCGGCTCCAACGCATATAGGTTTGTTTTCGTCCCAGACAGGTTCTTCGTCATCAATTTGATCAAAGAGCATAACTCGTCCTTGCTTAGTACCCACTACAAGGTAACGCTCGAAGGGCGAAAATGACACACACGTCACATAGTCATCTCTGGACTGTAAATATGAGTAGTGTAGTACATTAACAGCTCCTCTGGCGTCAGACCATAAGTAAACGGCGCAACCAAGACCCACCACGATATTTCCTGTCTTTGAGGACCATGAGATCAAGTTGGAGTAAAAATCATTGCGGAGGGAAGGCGCATCTAGCACGCGATATGGTACGTGGGATTTGGCCCTGGTCTTTGGCCGTGGAGTCGCAGGAACGAGACTTTTTGTTCTTAAACTTTTGGAGAACGTCTGCGACACAAGGTAAGACAGAACCTGGCGAGGAGCCAGGACCGAGAGTAAAGGGTCCACTAACGAGTGGTTTGGAGCGTAGGTTTCTGAATTTTTCATGTGCGGGCTGGTCCACTTACTCGTGAACGCGACTTCGGCGGCTGAAAATTGGTAAACACGATTTTCTGAATGGAACCCTAACGCGTCAGCCACGTATTGACGGTACAGTTTCTGAAAGCCGTTTACTTCTAGCTCGTTGTTGTTGGCCGAGGCTGGCAATTGATTCGAGACTATAGAATCGTAGTGACGCGTAGATCTGAGATCGCGAAAAAACCCAGGCATGCTCAAATGAGATGGGGACGGCGACACAGTTTCAGAAAGCTCTCGACTTTCAAAGTTCAGATTTTTTAGTCCTTGGGCAGATCTAAAAGCTATGCCGGATGTCATATGCGGAATGAAGCGGTCGGTTATTTCATTGGATCTGCCGCCAACTTTGTTGTTTTTGCGTCCTTTCGGAGTGCTCGTGGCTAGTTTTATCTTATCTTTGCCAACTTTGGCATTATTCTGGAACGAAGCGCTTGCATGGCTGTTGGATCGCTTGCTACTCATAATCTTTGTGTTATTATATTAGTGGAAAAGGATATCACCTGCGGTACACGCCCTTTGCAACGAACAATCTTGTCAATTACAAACCAAACACTACGCTCAAGCGTTGGCTCCTTGTAGATCCCTTTTTGGTTCCCTGATACGCGCGGTTTTCAGCTCAGCTTGACTAATAAGCTGTAACTTATTCCTATTAATTGATTTGTGTGTTTAATATTTTTAGCAAATAAAAGAGCGAGTGTAATAGCAGACAGAGTTATAATGAATACAAGCCAGAAACACTTGGCGATAGCGATCGTTAATTACCTGGATGCCAAAGAGAAAACCTTGTTGTTTTTTAGTCTGTGGTTAGTTTTTGTCTCTCTTTATACTATTCTGTCACTGTCGCTGAATTTGAAAGTTACAATGTTAAGAGACAACATCCAAACAACAAAGCTTCAAAAATCTGAAGAACAAAACTTAAAGACGGCATAAGTCAGTCGATGGACACTCGTAATGCAATTGTAGAAGGAAGTTCTAGTAACACAGGTAAGTTTTTGAGCGTGAGCTTCAATCAGGACTACACATGTTTCAGCTGCTCGACCCAAAATGGTTTCATGGTGTTTAACGTAGATCCGCTTGAATGCAAGCTTTCGAAACACTTCGTCAATGCCAATGCTAGTGGGATAGCCATCGCGCGGATGCTGTACCGCACAAACTATGTGGCTCTGGTAGGAGGGGGGCGAAAGCCCCGCTATCCGCCTAACAAACTAATAATCTGGGACGATCTGCAACAACGGGAATCGATCACCTTGAGCTTTATGTCGGCAGTAACCGGAGTTTTTTTGTCGCGTATACACATTGTGGTAGCGCTGGAAAACTCAATTGAGATCTATCAATTCGGATCAAGTCCCAAACGGCTCATTGCGCCCCTGGATACGTGTGCAGGAACCGCGGCAGACTTTGTTGTATGTCAGCGGGTCACACGCAGACCTTCTTACACACAAGCATCTACGGAATCGGGTCCCCAGACTGTCACAAGGGGGATTCTGGCATTCCCTTCCGCCAGAAATCCGGGCCAAGTTCAAGTGGCGGATCTATCACATCTACAATCAAGCGAGCTCGAGGAAAGAAGTGCAGCTCAGTTGCCCACATCCATCATTAAAGCACATAAATCTCCTATAAGACTAATAAAATTGAGTCCCAACGGATCCATGGTGGCTACTTGTTCTTTACAGGGAACGCTTATTCGCATTTTTAGCACTCAGAATGGGTCTCTCATAGGGGAGTTCAGAAGGGGACTGGATCGCGCAGATCTCTATGAGATGGTCTGGAGTCCACGCAGTACACGTTTAGCAGTCGTAAGTGACAAGCAAACATTGCATGTTTTCCAGATTACCGACGAAGATGGCGACATGAAAAACAAGAAGCACGTTTTGAGAGACGTACCGTTTATCTGGAAACCCAAGTATTTGGCATCCACTTGGTCTATGAGCTCATTGCATTTACATTCCGCCTTGAAGGGCAAAAGTTCTCTGAACGATCACGACTTCTATAACGACCGATGCAAACTCGGCTGGTGCCATGACGGTGATGAAGATACTTTGATTGTCGTTTGGAGAGACAGCGGAATCTGGGAAAAGTACGCACTTCTAGAGAAAGAGCCAAAGGCCTATTCGGTCAACGAGACATTGCAGTCCCTGCCCGCAACACAACATAAAAAAAATTGGGAGCTCATTCGCGAAAGCTGGAGAAAACTTTGACGTAACACATAAATAGTTAAAGAGAAAGAAAGCTAAGTCAATGCTTCCACCAAAAGCTTACAATCATCATTCTCTTGAAAGTAAACGCCATGGAAATTACGGTTGAATTTCTTGCAATCTTCCTCACTATTGAAAGCCATAAAGGTCAAAGTTCTACCAGTATCAGAGTCCCAGTAGATCTTGAAGCAGTGCTTAATGTCGTAAAACCAGAATTTATCCATGATCTGGTATGGTAATTGATCTGATGGAAAGTTCCAGACAAGCAAGGATTTACTCTCTATGGGCTTCGCTGCTTGTCGTAGACTGTCTAAAGTTATGTCTGGGACCCGCCCTTCTTCGTTTTTATTCTTCAGAAGCTGAAAGAAACTATCACTGGAGTGAAAGGCAGCTTCCAGATTCCGGAAGTACTTTTGATATCTTACTTGAGGGTGTTGCACCTTTCCGACCACGAAATTTGGTCTTGCACCATCCAGTCGGCTAAACTCAACATACCGCGAAAAGGCGCGCATAGCTTTGTAGTCCGGGAAAACGAGTTGGTATTTGTCTTTGAATTGAAAATATCTGGGGTCCCGCATTTTCACGACTTCGAAACTCAACGCTGAGTCTTTCACAGCAGTGGAGGAAAATCTTGTCTGTGGTAACAACCCAAGGAAATCAGCTTTGCTAAGTGTTGGATTATAAGACTTGAGTTCCAGGATGCTCGGGCGGGAGTAATTTTTATCGTCAACTTTTAGTCCACAAGCTCCATCAATGGCAGCTGGGTACGAGCCAACAATTTTCCCAGTTTGTTTCAGTTGGCCCAGAACATTTTTAACTATTTTTGCAGAGCTCATAGGGAGAATTAAACGCCCATCCGTAATGAAGTTGTTCCAGCTTAAAGTTTGGCAACCTTCTTGCTATGCATCTCATCTCATTTATCCATTTAGCATGTTACCCGAATATTAATATTTAGAGGAGTATAAATTTCCGGTGGCGTTTTCATTCACTTCTTCTTTTCAATTTATCTTTTAGAAAAACCAAGCCTGTCTCGTCTCCTAAATACGGTGAGATCAATATCAGACTAGTCTGTCGTGCGATGCACGATGGCTAACCTATAACGAACATGGTTCTTGCCTTTTACCAGAACCATCCGGGTATTGTCTTTTCCAGGTGCGAGTTTTGCAGTGCTGTGTATTTTTTGGAAACTTTGCCTATGTTTTTATTTGCAAAGCTTTGCGGCTTATTGCTAACGAATTCATTGGAACTAATCTTACTTACCCAAGACTTGAATCGATGAGCTCATCGACGAGAAATCTTGGAAGTTGCAAGTAGAAAGCGCATGTCATCACCCTTTTTTTTCCACTAATTCCTTATAACTAGTAAGCTGGCGGCATTGCCTTGGCGAATGCTATTAATTCGCCTCGAGTTCCCAGATTATTTTTTTGTAGATTGTACCCAAATTACTTAAGAGCCTGTTGCCTTGCTTGGAATCCTATTTGAGAATGTGAATTTTGTTACAATGTCGTGGAGGTTCATTGTTCTGTTTGAACCGTCGTAACAACCTCTCAAGCCCAGAAATAATAATCTAATCGCGTTTACTTTGTTTGTTTGGAAACGCGTTATCCTCTCCCGCGCCTTTGTGACCGCTTGCCTTACTTTTCTACTCGGCGAGCGACGTTCATTGTAAGATTTTTCGCGTCGACTGCACCAACCAAATAAAGAAAAAAAAAGATTCAGTAAGCTTCAGGACCTCGCCCGATGAGGTGCCAACTACTCGAAGCTGATATCCGAAAAAAAAATGAAAATAAAAAGATGTGAGATACAATTTCCGTCCGTTCTAATTTCGCACCGATACGAACAAGACTTCACGTCTTTGTATATAAAAAAATAAAGACAGGAGACCGGTCAATTGAGGTTTTGAAGCTAGATACCATAACAGGCCCGGGGACCAAGATGACCATCTTCACTGTTTTGCCAAGCAGCACGGCTTCTGCTTCGAATAGAAGGTTGTTGCCCAGAGCAGACTCCACCACAAAATCTTCATCCTCATCCTCGTCCAGATCTTCATCGTCTACTTCTTCCTCAAGCAATCGGAAGCCTGCTGATGCTAACCAGTCAACGGCAGTAATAGTGGCCGTTGTAGTACCAGTGGTAGTGGTTGGAGTTATTCTCGCGTTTGTTCTTTGGAAAGTATGGCAAAGAGGTAAAAAAGAGGCTCGTGAAGATGACGATCCAGACTTTGATGGCGATGGTCTCGATCTACCGTCAATAGATCATACCTATCAAATGAGGGAACGAAGCATGCCTGGAACCACTTCAGACAGCAATTTCGATGATCTCGAGTCGAAGGGCCAAAGTCATGTCATGACATCCTACCAAAATCCACTTGGTCACAAGAACTTTCCATTGGATCCATTTCATTTGCCTAACGGCGATGACACCGAAGAACTTAGATCTTTTGCGCGCTCTATTCAAAACCGTGAGCTCGACGGATATAGGCTGGCATCTCAAAATCCAAGCGAAATATCTCTTTCTCGCCCAAATAGTGAGTTTCAGAAACCGCAAGTTTTAGCTCGGAATCAGAGGGCCAACTCTTTTACTAGCAGTAACATGCATTCAGTTGAGTCGGTTCCTAATTGGGCTAATAACGAGGAAGATCAGTCCATTTCTGATTACAAATATAAAGGAGATCAAACCACACAAATAAGCCAGGATATCGGGGATAGCACATCGGAAATTGAAAGCAGTCCGATCAAGCATGCTCACACAGAAGTCCAACAAGGCTTTGTTACGAATAGCGTGGGTTTGGACCCCGAGAAGAGTGCTAGGGACAGTAGATCATTCAGTATTGATGCAGAAAATTTTGCGGACCCCATTCACGATGTATCTAGCCGAGAAGTAGACACAAACATCCAGCAGGACGAAAATGATGAGTACTTGACCAGTAAAGAAGAAGAAAACATTAAAAGAATGAAAAGCATTTATGAGGTCTACCTGGATAGGAATGGTACTGTTAGAACACTCAAGCCCTCTTCGAACGGAGAAGCAGGTGAGACCGAACCTATCTCAGGAGGATTTGCTGCCTCGGAGTCTCTTCCAGCGGAGGCTGTATCTAAAATAAACCATGCTGCAGGAACACAAAAAGCTCTAGAGTCACAGTTTAACGCCAGCGGAACTTTTCCATTTGAAGAGCAAGTAGGATTGCAGGTTCCCGACCAAGAAAAGCAGAAAGGTTCTGGCAGGAGAGCAGTCTCATCAATTTATTCCGAGATGCCAACTTACCCACCCCAGTCTGCGCAGCCTGAGTACAATCAGGAGGAACAACCAATTCAGGAAAATTCCCAGTTGCAGTATCAGCCACAGTATCAACCTCAGTATCCAACTCAGTACCAACATCAGTATCCAGCGCAATACTACAATGATCCGAACACGCCTCAGGCCTACGCCAACGAAGCGTATGCACCTCAACAATATTATCATCCTCAAGCGCTGGAGAACATCGAAGAGCTGCCCAATCCATCAAATCTCCCATTCTCTGCATCTACATCATCACTGACCTCATACAAGAAGGTCGGAAAATCATTGTTTCCTGGTGGAATGTCGACTTACAACGGTACTTCTCTCAATCCCATTGACCATCCAGAGTTGTTTTACAATCAAATGTCGGGAGCCAATGATTCTCAATCTGGAATCGGTCAAGAGACTACTGGTCACAATCAAATTTTACCACATCATCTAAGACAAAGTATAGTGATGACCAACCCAGCAGACTTAACATTTGCAAAATTACACAAGCCTGCTGGTTCATTTAGGAACATTAGCGCCGCAAACTCCAGGAACAATAGTATGACTTCACAGCACAGCATCCAGCAGTATCAGTCGCAACTAGCTCATCAAAGGGTGAGTGGCATACTCGATGATCATGAAGTCATGCACCCTCCCAAAATGGGTGGCATTTTGCCTCATAATGGATCACATGATGATTTGAGGAGGCAACTGGGCTCTTCGGACAACTACAATGTGTCATAAGATATCAAGGGAGTTAAAGGTAATGGTGCCACAACGTAGGAAGTCAGGTTTACGATTTAACGGTTGTATTTTTCGGTTTTTCGCTAGTAGAAATTGTTTCTAAAGAAAATATATATTTACAGCATCTCAGCATTATAAAAGTCATTACCCAATTTAAGACCGTGTCGAGAGAGTGGAAAACCATTTCATACTCTTATGCAAAATCAAAGTCATCGATTTGATTTCTGTACCGGAGAATGGTTTTCTTGATCTTGGAACTATCAACCCAGGTGACGTAGTCCTCCATGTTGCGAGTAACTAAGAAAGCCGGGTCTGTGATGAGATTTGGCCCTACTCTAATATGACCTTGCTCTATGAATTTGACTGCATCAGAAATAGTTTCTGCCATCTTTAAACGATGCATGATCACCGGGAGGCGTCTTCTACATATGGCGCTGACAGTGACTTTGTTTTCCAGATCAGAAATCTTGGACTTAGTGGCCAAGATTCCCATTGCATACAGTTTTTCCAGTAGTAGTTGCTCATGTTTTATCCTATATTGGTCTGTAGGTGGCAAAAGTGCGAGCTTGTGAGAGAGACGACGTATATCACCACATAATTTGTTGTACTTGTGGTAGTCTTCTCTGTTTTGGATATGGTATGTGCGCATAACCTGGGTATCTCTATGGCCTTGGTCCTGTTTCCAGTCAAGGAAATCGACTTTCTTCAGCAGCTTCTGCTCATGATGTTTGAGTTTACGAACCATATTGGATGTGAGACGATGGTTGGCTTGTGGAATACGTGGGAAGGTCGATGCAACGATTAATTAGTATCTTTCATTTATGCGATGAGATGAGATGGGCTAATTTTCAATCTTGCTAAACCCAGAAAAAATTCTCGTCGTCCAAAACTACTTTTATGACGTATTGGAAAGCGTTGAGCTACAACTTCTAACAGGTGATCATCATCATCATCGTGAAATGTCTACAGCCAGAAGAGAGCACAAGCCCCAGCTTTCTATCAATGTTTTGACGGCTTGAACATCTCTATACAGACTATCAGCCTAATTGTTGTCAATTTTCTTTCATGGCACTTCCAGTTTCTTACCGTGAACTCTGCAATACGTATAACCTGCTCAAGCTAGCATGCGTGCCATTCCATAGCGTTTTGAATAAAACCAGGAGGAAGAAACAACAGATAAATGCTAACTAAAGAATCAATTCCGAGTTGCACTGGTGTCACAATAGTATATAGTGATAAGTCAAGCCATTCGCATGAAGTACACTTATCGGTAACTTTGCAAAATGCAGGAGAAGAAAGGCCGGATGGTGAATTACAGTGAAAGCGGTTTTGTTGGCAACCTTCAAAAGTTTTCGCATTGCTTTAAAAGAAAATCTTAATTTGGTCGAAGTGAAACATTGTTGATTGTAAGGGCGGTTACAGGCTCCTAGTTCAACTGGTTTTACTCACCTTTTTCCGTAAGCTTAGCTAGCTGATTTATTAGTATACTATCTCATGTTTGGGCCCAAAATTACGGATGTACCCCTGCACAGCATGAGCTGGGTTCCCAGATATTTTTGACAAATTTGAGAGGATCTTCACAATTGATATAAAATTTACTCGGAGTTTACGGGCTCACATGCATTTATTTTTTCGAAGAATTAGTAAGTCTGTCGGCAATTTGGGTTTGGTCGTGTCGCCTTGCTTTATCTAATAGTCGCAAGCATTTTCCGTTATGTTTTTCGATATGCCAATGATACCAGGTAAATACAGTAACACTAGAATCGGGCTCCACCGCCGAGAAGTAGACTACTAGCACACTAACAGCGAGTGTCCTTTTGTACTTTCAATATAAAAAGTTTTCGGGACACAACCTCATCATGGTGGTAATTCTACCTTCAACATTGCATTTCGATATATAATGTGCGTATATAGTGATAAGATGTTATAATCTCTAAAATTTTGGAAGTCTATTGTAATTAGATGCAAATGATCGGAAACCCGTCGAAGCATACTAGGCCCACCGCCGTCACTTACCAGCTTACAATTCACTTGCTACAACCAATTTGTATCCATAATGAGCCTTTTGCTGAGCTCGAAGCTTATATCTCCAGTTTCCAGGCGCCAATTTAGCCAAAGTAACGCTATATTTTCACACATTGGATCGCTCCCCGTATACACCACACAGGAAACCAAATTCGATGTCTCAGAGTTGAGGCCGGCATATGTGATCAGAAAAGGCAATAAGTCGCTGAAGCTATCACAGATTTTCTCCATAAAGGGCCCTAAAGGCTCGCTTTACATGCGTGTTCCAGAATTCGTCAGTGTGCATGAGGACACAGATGCCGGGAAACTTTCTGTTTCGGTTCGAGACGAGGCTGATAAAATGCAAAAATCTCTATGGGGCACTGTCAGAAGCCATTTACATAACCATGTGGTCGGTGTTAACGAGGGTCATATGGCGGTTCTTAAATTTGTGGGGACTGGTTACCGAGCACAGGTTGAACAAGACGGCAAATTTGTGAGCGTTAAAGTGGGTGCCTCCGTCATGCAAGGGCTTCCGGTACCAGTCGGCATCACCGTGGCATCGCCAACTCCAACGTCGCTTATCATCGAAGGCTGTGACAAACAACAGGTATACCTCTTTGCCGCCAACTTGCGCAAATTCCATCCCCCAGAACCTTATAAGGGTAAAGGTATATACATCAACGATGAGAAAATCACTCTAAAGGACAAGAAGATCAAATAGATGACCTAGCATCCTGTACATAGAAATTAACAAAACAAACTTACCGGAACAGATTAAAATACAGATTGTTTGAGGACAGTAATTTACTAGTTCGAACGCTGTTGATTCCGTCTTGAAACGTACAGTCTGCCAACGCTCACCGTTGTAAAGGTCGATGGAGAAGCAGATCTAGCTCTTACATTTACTCTTCTCATCTTTGACGACTAGGCGAATAATCTAGAGAAAATTTTTGGCTTACAGCGCTAGAGAGTTGCACGATTACGAGGAAATCGAAACCTCTTGAAGCCATCAGCTCCATTTTGAAGGGTCTCTGTGAACCACTTTGTTTGTTAATAGTATGAGCTCTTTCGTGGCAAATATTCTCAAGGCTCAAACAAGATCAGCCTCTTCTAGAGCGATATTAGCCGCGCCATCTATTGTATCTTCAATTCCAACCACTGCACCAGTGATAAATCATTGTCCAGAACAGGCACAACTCAGAAGAAGACTGCCTAACAGATGCGGCGCATTGAGTTTGAAAAGAGGCATGATTCCATTTTTCGACGAAGCCAGCGGCAATAGAGTGGCAGCCACGGTACTGGAACTCAACAACGTTGAGGTCATTATGCATAGAACTCTAAAGGATAATGGATATATTGCGTGTCAAGTTGGATTCGGTGACAAGCACCCGGAAAAAGTGTCGCGTCAAATGTTAGGCCATTTTGCATCCAAAATAGTAAACCCAAAAGAAAAGGTCGTTGAGTTCCGCGTAAAGACTGAGTCAGGCTTATTGCCACTAGGAAGTCTTATAAAACCTTCCTTCTTCCAACCGGGCCAATATGTCGATCTGCGGTCCGTAAGTAAAGGTAAGGGGTTTACTGGTGTCATGAAACGTTACAACTTCAAGGGTCTCAAGGCGTCGCATGGTGTTTCGGTTTCTCACAGAAAAGGTGGTTCGTATGGTCAAAATCAAACGCCCGGCCGTGTCTTGCCAGGCAAGAAAATGCCTGGGCACATGGGTGTTCAGCAAGTCACAATTCAGAACTCTCAGGTTCTTAAAATAGATGATGAAAATGGAGTGGTTATAGTGAAAGGTTCGGTAGCAGGTCCAAAGGGTGGCTACGTTAGAATTCAAGACGCCATAAAGAAGGCTCCGAAATTATAATGATAAGACGCATTCAATAAACATGTACATAAGAACAAAATTCTTCAGTTTTAGCTGAATCTCGTAGCATACTCTTTTAGAGGTGTCTTGCCGACGGCGTTGAGCAAAAACGTTTTCATTATATGAACAAAAAACAATAACTTTTGGATTCTCTGTAAGGTATTATCATTTTTACTAATAAATACAAACAACTTTCAACCTTTGAGTATGCTCCCCTCTCTATTAATCTTCAAGCTCAGAAGGCTTTAACAAACCACCGATCGTGGCTGCTCTCTCCTTCTCGACTCTGGTCTTCTCTTCTAATGCTTTCTGCTTGTCTTCTGCAAACAGATAATCGGTGGCATCCCCGCCAAACTCCTTAATTTGAACCAAAAAGTCCCTTAGCGTAGCAGCAAATTTAGTGGAGTCCTGATACTGCTTGATCAATGCACTGATAAAACCAGTTACCTGCTCTTGACTCAAGTGAGGAAACGCACTGTTCAACATTCCAGCCATGTAGTTGGCCAGGTACAGTTGATTGGTTGTACCCTCTGGGATATCACCAGATTGATACAGTGGCACGGCAATTTTGTTTTCTTGGACCAAGGATATTAGTCTCATTAGCAGAAGTGATTGTTTCGAAAAGCCTGATTTATGGTCAGAGTCGGTGAGAACGTAAAAGGTCTCGCTGATAAAAGTGAAATAGAAATTTTCATAGAAAGCATTGGAGAATGGTGTTGCACCCAATCCTTCGATATTTCTAATCAAATCAAGAGCAAGTTGTAACCCGTTGACTTCAACATCTCTGTTATTGTGCTTAAAAGCCCAGCAGATTGCGTCTACAAACAACTTAAACGCAGCTGATGGTAATTCTAGCAGCGCGTTGAACGATCTGCTATTGATTTCCTTGAGAAGTCTGTAAAACTCAACACGATGCTCCGGATATTCAGTAAAGTCCTTGTTTATCATGTCTAAAGTGCATTCGAAGACACTTTGTAAAATCAAGATAACACCGCTTGGAATCATGTGCCCAACCTTATGAACAACCGTCGTCATACAGTTTAGCACCTCTGCATCTCTAGCATCAGGAACGTTGTTCATGTAATCTTCGAGTACAGCATTCAACAAAGGCTCTACGAGGACCTTGACCACTTCGTCGAGGTTCTTAGCATGGGAAATGTAAAATTCAACTAGTTTCAGGACCTCCTTCTTGATAGTTCTAAGACCACGCACCTTGGGGGTCTTGGTTGCGATAAGCCCGTCCTTGGCAACCTGAACAGAAATCATAGATGACACAGCTCTGTAAAGTTGTAGCATATTGTAGTAAATGTGTCCCAGCTGAGGGTAAAACTCAGCGCCCATAGTGGAGCAAACTGCAACATTCGTCTTTAGAATGTTTGCAATAATTTTGACTGTCTCAGGGTCTAGTAATAAATCAGGGTTAGCAGAGGATTGCGCAACTATAGCATCCCAAGCCATGTTTGGTAACTGCATTAAATCACTGAGCAGACGTTCCCTTTCCCCGACAGTTCTTTCATCGGATATGATGGTACCACAGGCTTTGTAAAAAGTATGCACCTGTTGAGGTTGAAGATCTGCAGTAGTGCTTTGAATTTCCCTTATAATTGTTTGGATAAATGGCTCCGGCTCATTAGGTTGCTGAACAACAAAGTGGTGCTTACACTTGCGTACTATCTTGATAAATGTATCACAAGCCATATCCTGAACACCTTCGTGAGTTTCATGCATAAATTCGAATAGTTTAATAATGACTGTCTTCAGAAATTTCCAGTGTGCTTTCAGAAAACGTGGGTATTGACCAACGACATACATGATATTTGACGCCACTACCGCTTTATTGTCTTTGCCACGTTTCTTCTCGGTCAAGGCTAGCAGGTCCTTAATGACAGTGACAACAAACCTCTTTTCAGTCTCTTCACTCATTGTACCAGAGATTGAACCAATCGCCCAGCATAGAGTGTTTATGTTGTGCCAAGACCATTCCGAACCGTCAATCTGTCTGGCCAGCTTATTTATCATGATGTCCTCAGTGTCAACAACATCCAAGTGTGTCAAGTAGACTAAGACCTCTCTCTCTGATTTGTAAAGTTGAATTGTGTCTGATTCTTTCACGAATTCTCTGACAATCTCACCTTCGTCATTCTCAACAATCAAAACTTCTTCTGGTCTGACCATGGATTCGATCACGACCCATCTAAGCTGAGAGCACACGCCGTCATATATGTGTTTCTTGAGCGGGAATCTCTTCAGAAACTCCGGATTAGGCGCACCGCCTGAGGAATTGATAGATTGAGAACCGACCGAGAGCTGAAGTAGCGGGTTAAGCTCAGCAACAGGCAATTTTTGAACTTCTTGGAACAGATTCGCAACCAAATGATGCCAGTAATCAAGAGTCGTTTTGAAAAGTTCTCTTTCGTCAATCTTGGATAGTTGGATCAAGTACTGGTGGGCCGTCAGTAGTAGCTCCTTTAGCCTTTCGTCGCTTTCCAGAAGGACGCGATGACGCGCCAAATAAGTTGTCAAAAGCATAGCAAAATCTTGCAAGAAAGATTGATCTCTGCCGTTCGCGGTGGCGTAAGTAGCTTTCAAGTCAGCAGTAACAGGAATGACGTTATTTCCGACTTGCTGTAAAGTGTTTTGGAAATAAAGAACAGTTTGTTCTGCAATCTTCGTATCATTTTGCGGGATCTCTAAATTCGAAATCTCTGTCAAGCACTTGATAGTGACAGCTCTAGTTTCTGAGGACATCAAAAACTTTGTGCTCAACATATCCAATAAATTTGAGTTGTAAATGTAGTGGTAAGGAATCCAATGTAAGTATCTTAGCAAAGATTCCAATGCAGCAACCACCAAGGAGGTGGTGGACCCTGCATCCATGACTTGGAAACAGAGCTTGAAAATTTGTTCGAACTCTTTAGACATGGATGTCTTGAGGTGAAGAGCCTTAGCCTGGGTCATTTGCTCGGCGGAAAAATCGAAAACTTCTTCGGAAAGGAGCTTGAGAATGACCATGTTGTTTTCACAGACATTGACAGACGACTGCGCGCTTTGGACAAGCTCAGGAATGAAATCGGGCCAGTTTTGTGGCCACTCCTGCTTCAGGATTTGTACCAGGGTTAGATCTGACTTGTTGATGAGGTTTTTCTGAGTCTGGAACACGGCGTCATCCTGGCACAACGAAATTATCATTCCCACAATGAAATTACGGATCCCAACGCGATGTTCCGGAGGTAGCATTTTCCACTTCGTGGTGATCAGTTTGTCCAGAATAGAGAGCCCTATGAACTTGGTTTGTGGATTCTGCGAAAATTGCAATATGTGGTCGGCTCTTTGCCATGAGTCAGGATGCTCTTTGAACTTCGTCAAGACCTCCTGTGCTTGTTTTTGCTGAGCGCCAGATCCTTTGTAAAACGTATCTACCACTTGATCCAGCGCATTAATGTCCAGATCTTGCGAAAAGTCTAGGATTGATTCCATGTTAGCCAATATATTCGGTGTCTTCTAGCACGGGCTTCTTATTGTATCAGTTACTACTGGTGTATAATTTACTGAGCTCAAAGTCTACAGAATATGCGGAACTACTGGAAGCTTCTAACACCACTTGTAAAATTCTTGACAGTCTCCGGTTGCGTTGTCACTAAAACGTTAGATCCTCAATGATTGGAGTCTTGATGTAATTTTTTAGCGCTAGAATATCAATAACTTGTTATATTCATAGGTTTTTGAAACTTAAGGAGAGGACCTAGAAAAATTTTGTGTTAAACCCTATTTGGAGATCCCGTGACATAGAAATACTTGAGAGACGTGAAGTCAAATTTGGTACTGCTCGAGGGCAAGCTGGTAGCTTGGTAATATTATCCAAGCTCTAGCAACTGATGCTAAAGAGAATTATTGAAAGTTACCTTGGGTTCGATTGTCGACGTAGCATTTGCTTATCATTTAAAGAGGCGGGATTGCGCGTTTTAATGCAAAATGAGAATCTGTTGTAAGCTCAAACTAGGTAATGTTTTTGTGCTCCAAACCTCTCATTCACCTTCGTAGAAACCCCGCATCTTTGATTAGACCATTTATTTTCTATTCCCTGCCTACAGAACCTCTATATAATTACAGAAATCGTTCACTGGTAAATTCCACGGTTCGCGTCATCAGAATCATGATTTCCGAAGGAAGCATTCAAACTGTCTGACTGCTCCTGAATTCCGCCCCTTCGAGGAGACCAGTTAAAATTATTAACGCTAAAATCCAGTCTTGGTGTGCCAGGTTGATCTGAATTGGTGATAGTGACATTGGGTATGTCACTTTGCCTCTGTTGGGCTTTCGATCTGCCCTTGGTCCTTAACCGTCTTTTCTCGTAGAGAAACTTCCACCGTGTAACCATCATCTCCAAAACGTCAACATTCCTTTCATTTTCGAGGAATCTATCAACTTTTCCCATGACGTAAAGCCTCTTGACATATTCGTCAATACCCAAGCATTCCTGTGGCGAGTAAGTAGTGTACATCGGAATCTGCTGAATGAGTTTGCTGAAGGAGACGCCATTTTTAAATGCACTCAGGGCACGCGCCTCCTGGATAAATCTTCTGTACTGCTGTTTTCTTTCGATAATTTTTACTCTGTCAACACTTTGTAACTCATTGTTCAAGCCTTCAATATCGACATTAACATCATACGGATCCTGCGGGTTGACTGTCATGTAGTTTTCTACCAGGTTTTTGACTGAAAGCCTGCCCTCCCATATTTTGAAAGACAAAAGGCCGTCAAAGGAGCGCATCAAGCGCGGCAAATGGTTGTGTTCAATCTCTCCAATTCCATCAGGATCCAACTTTTTCCAAGCATTCTTGAACCTCCGAATCTCGTCTCTACTCGCGACCGATTTGAAGCCAGATCCCGCATGGTATAGATAGCTGAAGTTTTCCAGGACCAGTGACACGAACATGTTCAAAAAGATGTACATTGATAAAATGTTCCAGGACATCAGTAAGACATATGCATACGGCTTTGAACCACAATCAGAGAGACCAGAAGTTGTGTCAACGTAGCAAAACGGTGAGGTGACTGTAAGGTCTACCATAATATAATTCCAACCTTCACCGAAGCTGCAGCGAAATAGAACTATTAAGCTTTTGGTCACAGTTCTAAAATTTAGGTTTCCAGTGGTGTTTGGACCTAACTTTGTAAGACCAAAAATTTGGTTTAATGCGATAGCGTACACCAAAAACAAAATACCCCAAGTGTATGTCAAAGATAAGATAGAAGGCATACTAGCCATTGCAGTACTAATGAGTTCACTCAGTACGTCACTCTGTGGAATGACGAACAGAAATATCACCAGCTGGAAGAGATCTCGAACGTTGGTGATGCCAACTTTATTTCCTGGAACGAGATATTGCACAATGTTGAAGCAAAAAGACGTCAAAACTACAAAACATTTGAAAACATCCCATTTCCTCGCAAGCCACAGCTTTATTCCCTTTCCAGTGATGTAAAGTATCTCTTGGCACAAGAAAACTGTGGTGGAAATCATGAAGACGACATTTTGGTATGTTTCAAGAGGATTTGTTTCTCGGTAGGTGTAGAGGAGTAAAGTCAGGATATGGAGATAAAGGACAGCTTGTAAAAAGAGGGTGTACCAAAAATACGCTTTTTCTACGGCTAAGCGGTAGCAAAAAACCCTAATGCGACTCATGTTGAGAACCTCTGGCGTGGGCTCAGGTCTTACTTGAGAAAGCAGTCTTTTGACCTCAAGCCAAGATTTCTCTTCAATGGTAAGAAATGCACTTCCAGTTCTTCTCGCATGATTACGCATAATAAATGTAACAAACAGTGTTAAGATGAAGATCATGCTCAAAAAATTGAAAAGCACGAAAAAAAACCCATTCTGCGGTGTTGCAAATGTACGGGGTAATGTCCCTACTCCGGTGCTTGCCATGCTGTTACCCAAGATATCGACCCAACCCTCCAAAGAGACAATTTCGTACAGAGACCGGAAAGCACTTGAAAAAGAGTTCATGTAGAGGTATGGTTCTGAGTACACCCGTGGCATCAAAACATCCCAGTCATAAACCTCGTTACTGAACTCATTGTAACAACGAGACATATCCACGCTGTCGTTACAAGTACCAAGACGTCCCCTAAAAATTCCCAGGCCCCATACCGCGAATGGGAACAGTAGTGTCATTGAAACAGTAGCGGCGCCAATAATTTTACCGATCCCGTCAAACAAAACTTGATTGAATGTTGACCTAGCAGTTTTACTAATGGTGAGGCAACGAAGCGCTCTCAAGGCAGTGAGACCTTTGAAAACGCGCGATAAATCATCATCTCCCCTTAAGCTTGCAATAAAATTTATCCAGATCGATATCAACACGGTCACATCTATGCAGTTCCAAGGATTTCGAAGATAAGCGTTCGGTGTGTGTACTAAACCGTCAGCTACCGTTTTGATAACAAACTCGAGTGAAAAAATGGTGGCAAATACTGCATCAAAGTAAACAGACCATCTGTGGACAGAGGTATGCTTCATACGGTAAAGAGGAGTGATAGAACAAGAGTACGCTACCATCAAAACTGTAAGAACAGTAATTAACGCCACAAAAAGATCCCGCTTAATATGCCGAAAGTGAGAATTTCTTCCATAGATGTTTGTGGAATCTTCAAAAAAGCGGTAGCCATCAGTTCTTTTCCCAACACTGGGAGGGGTAAGACTCTGGCAAAATCTCCGAAAAATGTGGTTTGGTGGAAAAATGAAGTAAGAATTGTTGTAGAACGGGTGCTTATTCATATACTGCAGTTTATCTTCTTCAAAATCATTCAACTTTAATGTATACTTCTTGTTTAATCCCACTGAATCAGTTGATTCAATGTAAATTACTTCAGGCTTGCGGTAGAAAGGATTTTTAGTGAACGATTTGACAATTGAAAGCCGTTTAAATTTCCTAGCGAGGAAAGTCTTTCCTGGGTTTTCTCTGTTGTTCTCTGTCGAAGCTGAAAAATCCAAAATGTTATGTTGCTGAGCGATACTAACTATCGCAGTTCCTCTGAACAAAAACTGTCTAAAATCTCGCGAGTCGTCACCAGTATAGTTTTTGAAAATCTTATTCTTGATACGACGCACTAAGGTGGCACTAGTGAACTCTTTGATTTTTTCTGGATAAACGTGTTTCAAGTAATGCTTAATCTGTAAAGGACGCTTTTCTTCCTCAGGCACGTCCAAGCTCTCTGCGATAATAGCAATAAAGATGTTCATCATGACAAAGTAAGCTAAGAAAAACCACATAATTAGAAGCACTGAGCCAAAGAATTGTGATGAATAGTTAGGCGCATATTCTTGCAAAGTGTATAAAGACTCGGTCCAGTTTTCAGTAGAACCTATGATGAAAAGAGTGAGGAACGCGGTTGAGATATTATAGATCGCATAAGGATTTTCGTCTATTTGGCTGGCTGGTACCGTTCCACTGAAATAGACTGATACGATTATGGATACCAGAAATAGAAAAAAAAAGTAGAATCCCGACAAATCCCAAATCAATAGAGCGTTTCCCAGTACTTGTTTCCATAAATTTCTAGTAACCTTGATCATCGTAATAACGCGGTAAAACCGCACAACGTGAAATATATTGAGCCAGTAATAGTTCTGTCCTAAACGCTCACGAATTGTTGGTACCGTAATCACGACCGACACGATACAAGTTAATAGATCAAAGATATAGTTAGGCTTTGTCAGTATCTTCCACAAGTTAGGCGAGTAGCACAGAAATCTTATAACGCATTCAAAGAGTAAAATATACGTTGTAACTCGGTCAAATATCAGCGTGTTCTTAATGTCATTCTCAGTACTGTCAGAGCTAATGGTCGATTGCATTATGAGATCAGCGCTGATGACCATAACAAAAAGGAATTCAGACTTTTTGTACCACTTTATGCATTCCTTACTTTTGTTTGGTAGATCCCTTGAATTTGCTTTCTTTAGGACGTAACGTGTAACAGTCGTTACGATGCGTTTGAAGCGGGATGGTTTGGGATTGTTTTTTTTTACACCCTTTCTCCACATCTCATTTGCTTTCTCGAAGGAGGAGACCAATACTGCAATCATTAAGTTAATCATCCAAATGTTCAGGAAAAAGATGCAGGAGATAAAAAATAGAGATGCAGCCATGCTGTCGGAGTCCATAGTGTAGTACATGATATCAGTGAAAGTGTTGGCACTAATAGTCACAAAAACAAGTTCCATAGAACTCAAAATGTTGTCAAAGTTTACTCTTCCATTATGTGGATTTTGGTTAGAAACACATTTTGAGTTTTGCGGGCATAGGAATCCTTTTGCTAAAGGGCCGTCTCTGCCGTCACTAAAAACATAAGGCATCGGTTTTTTAGTACCGGGTTGTAAATGCCCCCCACAAAACTGCATACTGTTTTCGTAAGTCTCGGTAGCATCATCAGGATTAGTCCAGACGCACTGTCTTCTCAGTGATCCTTGAAAACTCTGAACACCGAGAATGCCAAAAAGAATCCAAAAGTAAAGCAGCATGAAACAAACATTGATTAATTGCGGTAGTCCATACTTGACACTTTTCAAAACAGGCGATTGACTACTATCCTCACCGGTTGCGAGCTTCAGTATACGCAATGTTGCCAGAGTTTTAAATATGAGTACACCGTGTTTAGCATCGTAGTCATTTATAGACAGTAGCAAGGAGACCCAAAAGCAAGCGGTAGAAATAAATTCAACTCTATTCCAGCTGCTGCGCGCGTATGCACGATATAGGGGAATATCTGCTTGGAGCTCACCTGGTGTACCGACAAATGTGACGGAGCTTTTTAGTTGTTTGTCAGCAGTCTTGCCAGCAAGTGCATAACCTTTGATATCGAAGGGAAATATTCTTCTCATGAAGACCGATCCGTATTTGGATTCAAGGTTGTCATAAAATTTGGCAAAACCAAGAATCTGAAGTAGCGTTCTATACTCTTCTCCTCGTGCATGGAATAATTGCGAATCATCCCAAAACCCAAATGCAAAAATCTGTGCAGAAATTTCGAATGTGTAAAGTATATTGATAGCGAACAGTAGTCCACCTTTTGACGAAGAAGTGTAGGCTATACTACCATCCATACCTTCAAATGACACGCAAAGAAGAACCACCATGGAGATTGAAAGGAAAACTTTGAAACGTGCAGTCCATTTGCTCATGACAAGTGAGGCCATTTTGAGACGATATCGATTGTTAGGAGGGAAGATGCCTAAAGATTTCCCACACAAAACTAAAGAAGGTTGAGTCGGCCGTTCGTTGTGTGAGACCTCCGAGTCGGAGCCTGTTTCACTGCTATCTGAAACAATCTGTTCCTCGTATTCTTCAGAGCTACCAAATGCAACTTTCTTAACCGTTTGAACACTCGGAGAAGTACTAAGAGGAGCGGGCGCCGTTTGGTGGCTTTGTGAGTTTGTCTCACGAGCTTTGAAAGGGCTTGGGCTTCTGTTGTTGCTTCTGGATCGGCTTGGGGAACGCGAATGCTGATTAACTTCTCCCTGGGTTGAACTCGTTCTGGACTCGCGGTACTGTGCCTCGTCATTGTAGCTTTTGGTCTGCGGAAGCCAAGTAGAGCTGCCCTTCTGCATTGCATTCTCAAATTCATCCTGTAAATCCTTGAAATCGCTGAGATCACCTTCATCAATAGTGGATATGATATTGGCTGATCTCAAGTTGTCGCCATTATCATCATCACCGCTCACACCAGAAGTCAACGAAAAGCGTTTTTCGTGCGGAGCTAAATGATCATCTGTGTCCGAGGGAGGTCGCAATTCATTGTTGATCTCTGAATCTAAAGCTCTTGATGGTGATATCAAGTTTTTGAGATGAGATCTGATACTTGTAGTAGATAATTGACTAGTCCCTGAAGCCTTGTTCGCTGATGAGCTGCCGAAATTTTGTGTTAAAACGGTTAGGTTGGGCCGTTTCGTTGGTTTATTCTCAATCTCATCGTCCTTGCTGACACCTTCATGGCCCTGCAATTTTATGTTTGCTTTGTACAAGTCCTCGTCGGTTTCTGCCCTATCAACCTTAACTAAAATGGGCGTTTCTCCTAATTGTTGCAACGGTTTTTCTTTCTTAGATGAATTTCCCTGTGTCAAGTCTCTTCTTGATGCCATCACCTACTCCTAAACATCAATCAGGTCACTCAAAGGAAGTTAAGATCCTTTGCTTAAATATTTTAAAGTGGCAGATATACGTTCAAATTGCGAATTTATCTCTTAAAATAGACATATTGAAGTTCATATATATTTCAATCAAAAACTGACCGTGTTTTTGAATGAATTACGTGTTTTGGCCGAAGCACTTGAGCACCAGTAGACATGGCATAGGTACTGTAGTAGCTATACGTAAAGCTGGATCAGATTGGGTGGTACTAGCGGTGCTCGAAGAAAAGGAATACAACCACGTAAGCTCTCAAGATGGCTATGTTAAAATCGGGACGTGGGATCCAACGGCTGGTTTCCAAACGGCGTTGAATGATGCGCAGCTTTGTTTCATGGAGTTTGTGCCCCCCAAGCTAAAATTGATGCAGTTTTATAGTTTGGAGCCCATACCGTTGATCCTCCCAGAGAGAGACTACCTTATGGATTCACCCGTGAGCAAGCAGAAAAAGCTTGGACTTGAACAGAGGCAGGCATCTGAATTCCGCTTAAGGAAGTCAATCAGCGTCCTCAACCTGTACCACGAGCATTTACTGCTGCTAGAAGCACGCATCTCGCGTTCAAAAAGCAAACCGAGACGAACTTTTTTCACATCGCTTTATCAGCGCGTTCGAAAATCCAATCTCTGGGCGCTTTTATGTCACTGGGCGGTTTATTTGGCCATTTGCGTTCATTTTTTGGCTATCACTATCACCACTTTACTAAACGGTACACCCTTGAATCTGGTTAGTCAGTCAGCCACGGCTCAACAGATTGACTTACGATGTCAGCAGCTTTGCTACTTCCCTGTACAGTACTTGAGAATTAACGAGATTCCCGCGTCCAATAAGACACATCCACGCTCTGAATGCCAAGAGACGCAGAAAGAGAATGACAATCACATTAGTCCCCGAACATCGTTCCCTTGTGAAAATTATCCAGATTACATTCGGTTTTATAACACGATTTGGCTGATCGTAAACGATGTGTCCTTCGGACTGACTGTGGGGACATTGTTGGCCGAAAATAGTCACAACATCTCGGAATATTTGAACGTATTCTTTACTAGATACCTTTTCGAAAAAGTTCATCAGGTATCTACTCTTTTGGGTCAGAATCCGATTGGAATTAAGTTGAATGGAGAATTAGCTTGTTTTTTAAGCGATCTCTTCTTGTGGATCATCGATTTTTCGTATTCCACATACATTCGAGGCATCATTAGTACCAGCAGCATAGGATTTTTTCTCAAAGTCATTTCAACGACATCGTGTTGCTTCGGGCTGACTTTCGCATTATCACTCATTGTCGACTTGATGTCTCTCCTAACCATGCACATTTCCCTATTTTATTTCATAAGCGCTAAGATGTACCACTGGCAATTACACGTCATGAGAACTTTGTTGTACCTTTTTTATGGTAAAAAACGTAACGTACTGAGAAACAGAGTGGATAGTAACCACTTTGAGCTTGATCAATTGTTAATGGGAACCCTCTTTTTTACAATTTTGATATTCTTATTACCAACGCTGTCACTGTTTTATGCATCCTTCACTGTATTTCGGATGGCAGTCCTCATGCCAGAAGTGGCATTGGAGTCAATAATGGCATTATTAAACCACTTCCCATTGTTTGTATTACTACTAAAACTGAAGGATCCCAAACGTATCCCCGGTGGTATAACGGTGAAACCGATCAAAGATTCCGCTAATAGCTTTAATCTCCAAAACAACCCCCTAATGTTCAAAACGATATTTCGTCCATATGCGGTGCTTATGCGCATGATGGTGGATAACTATTTTTCATTATCCACTCTCAATCAAGTTTTGGTAGGTCGTCCACTAACTATAAAGCGAAACAAGATGTATAAAGTATTGTACTCGGCACTACCAAAGACACCGATAACAACTCGTGCAGTCTGGACCGCCCTAAGTGGTGCCTTGGGATGATAACTGGAAATACTGGATTAAAATGTTTCTTTAACGTATTTATATGTACAAGTGGAAAGAAAATGTTTAGTGATGGTCTTGCTGTTCAGAATGGGAAATGCTTAATTAAGTTGTGACTGAAAAAATCGCTGGTACTGGACTACCAGCTTGTTGCGTATGCGGCTTACTTCCTTTTCTTCGTCTTACTCTTATCCTTGCTCGCTTCTTTCTTCTTTGCTGGTGCACCCTTACCTCTACGCTTTCTGGCTTCGTTCATGAGTAGTCTGTAATCTTCATTCTGGTCAGCGAATTTAAAGCCTGGGTACAGAGTCTTTAAATGCTTGAATTTGAGGAAATCTGGGTTCCCATAATAGTTTACAATCGAAGGGCCTTTGAGTCTTTTAGACAGAATTTTACCACCATTCCTTGCTGCTGTGGGATTGAAGTTTTGATTGAAAATCTTCGAGGATAGACTGGCTACCTCTAGTAGCCTTTGCTTAGGCACTGACATTGCTCTGTGATGATTGTTATGTTACACGCTGCAGCGCATATAATGGTTTATTGAATTTCTTGATCAATTTTGATAATTGAATAATGCTCAACACTATACACGAAAAATGAAACACTTACTTGCTTTTAAATAGATGAGGGATGGCAATTGTATTTGGTAATTAGATTTAGCATTTAGATCTTTGGTGGGAGAATTGAAACAAGAGAATTAGAATAATAAATCGTCAGCGATCATCGTGCATTGATTCTTTTAATAGTCGTTTCAATCTCCGTGAGCGCTACTGTTAGCAAAGCTCGCTGTTACTTAAACAAGATTCATCAATTAACGGTAGTATAAGTTGACAAAAAGGATAGAGATAAAATAACTAATGAACAAACCTTTTTATGAAGAGGTGGATTTGTAGAGTAGAGAAAGCCCTGTAAACTTTATTACTATATGGTTTTGTGGAAAATTTTTGATATTTTTCGGAATCCCAGTCCGGTTGAAATTGATTACCAAGAGGCAACTTCTTCGGTGTTACCTTCGGCCCAGTCGGCAGCCTCGGTTTGTTCCTCAGCAGCGGCTTCCTCCTTGACGTCATCTTCGGCGGCACCGGAGGTTTCTTCGGAGACTTGTTGGTCAACCTCTTCAGGGTCTCTGTAGAAGTACAAATCTGGCATGATAGACCATGGTTGAGTTCTGTCGACCAAAGAACCTCTTAGTCTCAAGACCTCTCTGGCCAACAAGTACCAGATTAAACCGATAGAGTGCTTACCCTTGTTGTTGCATGGGATGGCAACGTCAACGTATTCGGATGGAGAGTCCAAGTCGGTCAAGGCGATGACTGGGATGTTGACGTAAGAAGATTCCTTGATAGCTTGAGCATCGGATCTTGGGTCGGTAACAATCACCAATCTTGGTTCCTTGAAAGAACGGGTGATGTAGTTAGTGAAAGAACCTGGGGTGAATCTACCAGCAATGGCAGTGGCACCGGTGTGAGCAGAGAACTTTAGAACGGCTCTTTGACCGTAGGTTCTGGAAGAGATGGCAACGACATCCTCTGGGTTTGGAATGGCAGCAATGATTCTTGCGGCCAAAACAATTTTTTCCCAAGTCTTACCGACGTTAACGACGTTGACACCGTCTGGTCTAGTCTTGAACACATATGGTTCTTGGTGGACCTGAAAGAAGAAAGTTAGTAAGGTGACGAAACGGGGAATTTTTGGGACCGACTTGAGAGATTCATGAGGAGGTCAAAAATACAGCACACACGCACGGGTCGTAATTATGCCCGAAGTATGAGCGCTGCTGGTGGAAGGAACACGGTTAATTGCGCAGGGGATTGGGATCTGGAACGTGTGTAATTTCCGAACACTTCCCCACTGGTTCAGGTTGGCTGGGAACGACGTTCGCTCTGACGCCATAACTACGCAGGCTCACTTGTTTTCACCTCATCTCATCTCGTCTCATCTCATCTCATCTCGCTGTCCTGTGAGTTTGGTGGGTCTAACATACTTGGACGTTCTTGGAACCAAGGTGCGCGTTGGCAGCCAACAACAATTGGGCGTCTTCTGGGGTCAAGTCAAAAGTAGCTGGTAAAGACATTCTTGCTCTTGCTATCTGAGTTCCTTAAAGTGTGTATCAGGTATTATGCGCTCGTCTAACTAGTAGTCAAATTTGTTAATCTTTCAAAAATTTTGTCCTACTGGTGCGGATGACAATTTTTCAGGATTCCATGATCCTGTCGCCAGCCTATCGCCAGTCTATCGCTCAGCGCAGACTCCGCCTAGCACGAGCCTAGCGTTAGCAAAGCTCGAGCCTAGCCATGGGGGGCTGGGCTGGAGGCCAGGCGAGACTCCAGGCAGGACCTCACCGGGTCCTAGGCTGGGAACTCTGCCTAGGAGGGAGCTCCCACACTGCGTTTGCAGCCTACGATTTTCATCACGTGCTCTAGAGTTTGCGCTTTTGCGCGGGTTCATAATTAATGGTCAAGCATGCTGGCCTCTTTCCCGCTAGACAGGGAGTCCTGCAAGACTCAGGACGGAGAAAGTCCTGTCTAATGTCACGTTGATGCTGACTCCCAGGCGGGTCTAGGGGGGTCGTAAGGTGACTGTGTAGGTCCTTGTGATCTGAGCAGGCCCCATGGTCGCCACCCCACGCAACAGCGAAATAATTATGAAAATGGAATACCTCTTTTTTTCTTCATAGAAAACTTTTTCTCGAATGTTTGGGTGTTGAAAGCAGTCACAGGAAAGATGCGTGTGGATCACGTGTCGACAATTTCTCGGGGCTTTCCGAGTAGTTTTTGTGATCAATCGATCGACGCCTGGCGTTCTAATGGGTTTATTCAATTTTCGGAGTATAGTAGTAGCGTCAGTATAGAACACAGTGAGATAAAGATGGGTGCGATATTTCACCCCGAAGGATTGTAGCGGTTGCTGAGACTGTGGTAAGTTGACCAAGAAAACGGTCAACAGCTGCAAATAGATGCTTTTGGAGAGGAGTTAGCCAGCCTCTTTGGTATATCTGAGTACAACTCAAGGAATCAACGGCCATTAAGAACGAGCCTTGGTCAAGAGTGACGAAAACTGCATGTTGGACTTGGCAGGGTCTAAGACGACAAGAGCCATATTTCAGGCTTGGTGTTGAAAAAAAAAATACGAAGTAATCTCCAAAAACCGGATATGGCGGTGCCGCTTGGCTTGGCAGGTGTGGCAAAGTGGACCGTAAGTAGTGTGCTAGAAAGCATGGCTGGTGCAGGTAGTAGCCCCAGGCTTCTCGAATAGATGCGATGGGCAGAGTCTCGATATGAGTGAGCCATCGGGTTATAAAGGAGGCGAGTGTGACTTGCCAATTGGAAGCCTATCAATACATTTGCTCAGTTTTTTTACCACCAGGGAAGCGAGTCCGATCCAATAGGCTTGTTGATATGTTTTTTTAGCTCTTGCGAGTTCGAGACCTGGAAATATCTCCGTGGCTTTCCAAGATCAATATCCTGTTTTCACCATATCGATGGTGTTTGTTCAAACCTGAGTTATGATTGAGGCGCAGCTGTTTAAGCCACCTCGTTCCTTTTGCACATACGAACGGTGTCGGCAACGTTTAAATCACCTGTCCGTCTCTTTAGTCTAAAACTGTCTATATATCATTTTAGCGCTGCTGTTTGATTTACATCACTATATACTATTCTGACATCAGGCATGTTGGCGCTATTGTCATTCACGTCGAAACATGATGATTAGTATTTATGATTGTCGAAGAGCTGACGGTATTTCGACGATTATATCGTCTAAAGTCCCTATTAACAAGGCAAGCTCATGATTACATTTATACAAAATATTTTACGGCATTTAGTGTTTTGTAACGACGTTCAACATTTCGGGAAATATATCATCTTGAACTTTCTCAACAAGTGCTTGCGCCACCTACCATTCAATTTAGCAACTATGTCCTTTCCCCTTTCATGTGCATTTGAGAGTGCGATTTGAGGCTTAACGTCACTTCGACGTTCGTCGTAATGTGCGGTCACTTTGTATTTCAGTGTCGTCGTGCGATCGCACCCAAGTTTTATAATTGCATTTTTACTAACGTACGGTGGTATTCAAAATGCCTTAAATCATATAAATGAATAGCTTCTGATCTACTCCCTCTTACATGGCTCACCGTTCTTTCCCAACGCTCGAGAACGTGCCGTCATCCGCTTGCCTCATCAAAGCCCGCCGCTCTCGGCTTGTGCAAGAAGAATCGTGAACTACACGTCAAAAGCTATTGCCTATTCCATATTTCTTGGCATTTTTTTGACTGCTGTCAGTGTTGTGAAAATGATGCAAGTAATCCGCGAACTACTGCAATACCAGGCTTTGCAGATCGTTCAATTGCTGCCTAGCTTTTCAAAATCCTCCGACAGACTTGTACGACGCGTCATGGTTCAAAAAGCTGGTATAGCTGCAATTTGGGTCTCTGTGCTAGCACTTGGAGTTGTACTACCGCTGTGGAATTATCTGTCATTGACACGTTGGTTTTTCAAGCTGAGACATTATGCGAGACATGACCTATTGCGAAAACGTCGTTGGTTCCACAGATCTCGATTCTATCACAACCAAGCGTTCAAAATATGCACTTTTTGGGTCATAGTCTCCTTATTGTGCTCTCTGGTAAGCAGTGGGGGTGACTTGATACAAATAACCAAACGTTTGGGTAGAGTCGCGGTGGCTTTAATGCCACCTCTACTTTTTTTAACACTTCGCCCTTCGCCTTTGCCGTACACCCTTTATTTGTCTTTACTACCTATTCACAAGTGGATATCTAGAGTCGTTGTCCTACTTTCTGCTTTGCATACTTTGCTTTATTCCTGGTATTTCATTCAATCTCGGTCGTTCATCAATAAGGTGACTAAACTGGCGAATATATGGGGAGTGGTGGCTCTTTTTTTATTTGTCCTCATCGCAATTACTTCCGTGTCGCAGGTTCGAAGACACAATTTCCGACTTTTCTATTACACACATTACTTAGCCACTTGGCTCACCGTTATTTTGATCCATTACCATGCTAGGCCACCAGTTTCTTACTATACGGCAATGAATTGTATTATACTCATTGCACAGGTTGCATATAGGATCTTCCATACCACCAGAATACGTGCAACTGTCGTCCATGTTTCCCCAAGCCTTCTTCTTATCGATTTTCCTATGTCAGACCTTTCCAGTAAACCTATAATGCCTTCATCGCATATTCGCATGGCTGCTTATTATCGACATTCACCTTTGAAAAGGATTTTTCAGCAATTAATACCTCTTCAGCATCCTTACACGATTGCAAGTCTGCCTAACGACGAGAGTGTCAAGCTCATAGTACGATGCGGTAATTTCGAAATACGCAATAACAGTGAATACCTCGTCACAGGAGCCTTTGAACCCAAGATCGATTTTTTATCGAAAAGTAGAAAGAGAGCATCAGCAATCGAACCCTTTTCCTTTCAAAACCAAAGTCCGGTACTTCTTGCGTCACCACTCCACTACAATATTGACGCCCGCAGAGCTTTGATTGTGACAGGGGGTAGTGCTATTTCTTTCGGTCTACCACTTCTCAGAATTCTGAATTTTAATGGTGTTACTGTCCGTGTGAAATGGGTGACACGGGACTACAGAGACTTGAAGCTCTTGAAGTACTTCAAAAACAACTTTGAAGGACTGGAAATTTATGTTACTGATCCCAAAACTGAAGAACAAGATTTGCGTATCGATTACGTAGATTTTGATGATGAAGCACCAAGTGCCTCAAACTCAAGTGAAATGGGCAGTGGAACTGCGGGAAATACTACCAATGATTCTGGAGACAATTATGGAACATTTAAATCGACAGACACGTCTCTTCTTCCAACATTAAAAAGTCATGGTAGAAGCAATCAAGAAGATGAGATTGACTTCACTCAAATGTTTAGCGCTCGAAGTGCCAAGACAAAATTGTCTAAAGTGGCGCAAGAAATACCAATACCTTTCAATAAGGAAAGTACTTTTCGAAAGCCTTCCATTCTGACCCCTCCCTCCGATATTGAAAACTTCGATTTGGGTGAAAGCTCTCAGAAAAATCTCAAAATACCTGCAGGCGTTCAAGTATTCCTTGGCAGACCAAAATTGACACACCACGATTATCAATGGTGCTTGGAGAAAGAATGTATAGGGCCTTCTGACACCAACGACTGCAGCCAATCAGGCGCGACTAGAGCACACGTCGATGATTTATCTCGTGTTTGGGTTATAGCAGCAGGGCCATTGCAACTTGTCGAAAGTACTAAGAGGTGGGCTACCGATGGAGGGTTGCACTTCCACGAGGAAAGCTTCACCTTCTGATTTTTGAATTAGGATATTTATATTTAAACTGCAGTGTTAATTTTTACGTATTAACATTCCTCAATCTTATTTCTGCCGCTCAATTGCTAGATGATGAAGCTGCAAAGTCTGACTTGAAAACTAAAGGCTCATTGGGTAGGACTTCGTCCTCCTCTTCTCTCAGAAAATACAAGTTAGCAGAACGAGTGGTTGCCACTGCTACGTTATCGGCTTCCTGGCTTAAGTATATCTGTTTCTTTCTTTGTTGCCTTTTCTTCGATATGAAATTATCTGCAACCTGAGCCAAAATCTCTTGTATAATCCTTTTAGAATAATTGCTCGAGCCAATTGCAGTGTCCAACTTGGCAGCTGAGCTATCCCATTTGCGTGCTCTCTTATCAGTTAAAAAAGGGTCTCGAAAGCTTGTATGAAGTTTATTAGAAAGAGTTTGTAGCCTTTCTAGTGCAAATAGCTTCTCTTGTCGGTTCATATCTGAAGATTCTATGGCTAGCTCCTTCAATCTAAAGTTAAACTGATCTTGGGAATTTATCCAGTAAAGAAGCTCTTCATGCTGGCCATACTCAATTGTAAACTTTTGAAGCATTCCACGCAACTCTCCTGCCGTCAGTTCGTGAGCTTTTGGTGCTCTTCGAGTGCCCAGCAGATCCTTTAGCTTGTTGTTTTCTATCCATGTACCTAAAGCAGGCATAAGACGGTGCTTCTGAAGTAATTGTTTAGAACCGTAGAGGCTAGAAAATACGGAATTCTCATCTTTCACAATTGTCAGCGTATGGCACGGAACATTGACTGGTAAGCCGTGATATTTTGAGAGGCGTAAAGGCAACAAATCTGTGATCAAAAAGTTTTTGCCACTCCTCTCGGAAATAATTCCAATTTCTTTGTTGCCAGCTGCGAGACTAACAGCGCCAGCCAGTTTTCTTTCATACTGTGATTTGAGCCGTCTGTTTTCTAAAGTGTTAGCTGAATAGCCGACCCCTAAGATATCAATATACAAACCACTGTCAACATCTATGAATCTCGCATCGACGTTGTTGAGATCATCTTCATGGTTTCGAGAAGCAATAAAGGGTTGGACATCTATGAAAAATCTTCCGTTGCCTTCCAGTGGGGACTCTATAATTAAGCTTTGATTGAAGTATTGCGCTAATAGGTGGAGGTCGTTAACCGGCATTTGAACCACTTGTGTAGTGCTCCATGGAAACTGTGAGCCAGTATATAGATAGGCATATAACGAGTCGTGAGCCAGCCAGGATGTGTAGTTTTGTGATTCTGCAAACAGATGCCAGCATCTAGTCAGAGAATTCAAAATTCGGAGTCTCCTCCATTTGTTAGTGATCAAGCCGGAAAAGAACCTGACATCCATATGATTTTGAAAGCGATCGGGAGTGTTCGATAGCTCGGATGTTTCGTGAAAATATTTATATTCTTTCCCACCAGCACGTTGATGAGTTTGCACGTATTCCAAGTTCGCTAAGTAATTCAATTCGTTTGTAGACTGACCTTCTCTACTGCGGAGCTCCTTAATTTTCGCATCTAAATCGAAGTCAAATTTCTCGGACGGAACCGCTGTGAGGTATTCTCGAGGCCCTCTGGAGTTATTGGATGCAAAAGACTTTGCGAGCTCGTTATGTTCCGTTACTGGATCAAATACTATTTCAGTGTATGTGTGATTTGAAAAATACTCTTGAAGCAAAGGGCTATCGGCAAGGGAAAAACCGTACTCTGCTCGAACAACATCTAACTTGAGAACTGTGCCATCCATTATCATAAAATTCAAAGCTATTGGGCTGATCCTTCGACTGAACAAAAACGATGCGGACTGCAGCGCCAGCGCCTCGGGGGTACATCTTGGCTGTATCTCTAAAAGGTCAAAGCTAAGCGGTGAGTTTCTCGATGATATGCAAAATCTGGAAATTGAATAGCCCTCCGAGCTCGCTTTCGGCAAACCTTCCCATTGCGTAGCCGACTGTTCGTCGAAACGCTCGACAGGATCTTCAACAAATAAATCTCCACAGCTTGGGCCTGCACCAATTTCAGAGAACATCAACGGATTTAATGTAGAACCTAGGTCCTTCCAGTCATACCAATTGAAAGGGACTTTGTTATCGCCTGTTTTTTGCCGTAAATGCCTAATGTAGGTGGCAATCGTGAATCTTGCATCGAACTCATACTTTGTAAAAGAATAAGATTGGGAATCATGTACATGCACGGCTCTTTGCCCGCGTCTTAACTCTGATAGTGTAAAGTCATCGTTCAACGGCCCTGATTTAAAGCTTTCTGAGGGGCTGAAGTACCAAGCCTGGAAGAGCTCTCGCAATTGAGCTTTTTGTAGTATTTGGATGACCTTGAATTCATTCTCCGTCTTATCAACTGGTTTCTCGCTTGGAGTCTCAGCATGGTACTCGGCACCTTTACGTGCTATCAAATAATAAGCCAAAATTAACGCTAATGCTCCTAGAAGGGCACAGCGTCGCACTTTCGTGGTCCTCATTACATGAAGCTACAACAAAGCGGAAAAAATGACATACAAATACTCTGTGAGCCATTATAGCCTAAACTAAACTCCTGGGAACTTCATTCCAGATTTTGTTTAATTGATGGCTTCCATTGTTCAGAACCCCGAGTACTGAAGTACTCGATACCAAAGGTGTTGAAGTGTTATGACGATGGCGACTCGGATAGCGCCTTTAGCGTTGTTTGTATTGAATATATCACAATCCCCAGATCTTCTGAAAGAGTTTTTGGATAACTGAACCAACAATTTAGCCCCCCAAAGGGTGTCGCTACCATAGAACAAGTGAAAATGTCGCTCAATCCTTGTGGTTCATTAAAATAGGCATCTTCAACAATATATGCGTCATCTTCTCCGCAGGAAAATGATTCGTACCCAAGATTTGTAACTTCAAATGTAGAGCTGGGATACTTAGCCCCGATTTTTGTCTTAATATATTCTTCCACATCTATCAAGTCAAGAAGTCTAAGAAGCTGTAGTGAACTATGATCATATCTCTGTGCCGCCAGTTGAGTGCCAAATTTTGCTGCCGTTTGCCATAGCTGACCCAATTGTGACCGATCACACGTTAATTCGCCGCCTTTGACAAAATTGCCACATTGTGTAAACTTTGAATCAATTGCCATAATTCTCTCGATCATGGTTCTCGTGTTCATGGGCACGTTTATTCTCATATGTGACCCTTCAATTTTGGAGTCTGGCACACTGGTCAAGGAGTGTGCAATTATGGCGGGCAATAATGCCGTGAGTGACAATTTATGCTTCTTGCAATTCTGTAAGAGCGTGCGCAGCTTTGAGGGAGATACATGAAGGTTTACCTGGTTGTTATCATTACGAATAGCACCTTGATCTGTTAAAAGTCCCTGAGGAAATTGATAGTCTTTGAACTTAAAGTCCTTGTCTTTTAAGCTTGGCGCGAATATCGTTCCGATGAGATTCACTTTAACAAATGTCAAAAGGATCAGAAATTGGACGAAAATGCGCAGTACAAATCCTAGAAGAGAGAATGGAAGCCTATCATATGGGTGCTGTGGAACCCTGGGGTTTTGTGCGTTCGGCTTATAGACTACGTCATCACTGATTTCTAGCGGTTGTGATGAGTTCAGAGACGACATAAAAGATTTCCAAAAGGCAACGGCTGATAAGCCATCCATGATGACATGGTCTGTGCAAAAAATGAATGTACGACGATCCTTGAGCACCAAAATTGTCCAAAGCGGTTTCTCGACTCCGTAATCAAAGTTAATGTCTTGGAAAATGCGGTTGACAACATCCTCGCTTAAAGATTCCTCGGCGAGGCCCTTCATGACATCTTTAAAGTGTATCGGTTGTTTTAAAGGATTTAGTGCCAGAGACCCATTTTCATTGGAGACATTGGAGTACAGTTGTGGATGTTTCGAAATAGTTTGTTTCAGTGCGTTACATATCTCGCCGTCTTCAGGCGCTTTGTAGAGTTTGACGGCCAGAAAAAAACATGAGTGATAACCTAATTTACTTCGGTGGTAGAAGTACTTTTCGACGCTCGAAAGCGATTCCATTGTAGTCGATACGCAAAGAATGTAGAATCTGATCTTGATCGATGAGATGTGAGCAACGGAAAAATTGTTTCCCCTTTTTGGTCGATACACATGAAGGTAATGTTGGGATAAAATTGATTCAAAACCAAGAGTATTTATTATTACTTGATTACTAAAAGCTTGTGAAGATTAATTATTCATTTCTTACGCTAAAGAAGTATTTACTGTTCACAAACCTTCCTTAGAGCATTAGTGACAGTTCTTGTTTGACAATCCGACAATCTTCTGGCGACCGATTCGCGAGCGTATGAGTTTTCGCTTAATTTGAGTGCTAAGATGTGGTTTATTGATCAGATTCAATCTGTTATCATGCCATTGAGACCCAAGTCCTCGTTTTGTTCCTCCGTTCTTTCATAGTCCTCTAAAGTCATGTTAGGATCTGGATCTGGAGCATAGACGTTTTGAATGTAAGACCCGGCTAGGGGATCTTCCATTATGACTGTAAACTTAACCTTTCCATTTATACCATCTTGTAGTTTGCCGAAAAACTTTTCCCAGCGGGTTTTGGCTTCGGCATCCATGGAATCTGAAGTCTGTGTAAAAACTCTGGTTTTTAGCTCACTGTAAACCTGTTGCAAAAGACCCTCTAAAGTAGTGAATCTACCTCCCAAAGTACCCTGTTGAATGTCCAAATTAAGCTCGGGAATAGTCATTGAACAAGTTTCACTCTTTAAGATATCACGCGAAAGATCCTCTGCTTCATCACATACCAAAGTAATTTTTCTGCCCTTGTCTGGGATAGCACCCCCGGTCTTCACTTCATTTGATTTATAGCCGCAATGTTCGCAGACAGTAGACATGATGATGACTTCTTTGAAATGTGGGATGTTAACAGGCTTCATATGAGTATCGCAAGGATGGTTACATGATGGGCAAGTGGCAGAGAATGTTTGAACCTCATTATTGAAATTCTCAATATCCGTCTCGTCTGATAAAAATGTGGGTTTCTGAGCTTCGGATGGGTTTCTGTCCTTATCTGCGATCTTGGCACGTTCCTCCATATATTGCTGCTCTAGCTGGTCCTGTGAGATAATACCGACCAGAACGTTTTGTTCCCCTGATCTGACATATTGAGTCTGCGACCATTTATGTGCTGGTTCGCCAGGTTTGTATTCAATCCACGAATTTCCAGCGGGATCATCCAAGGTGAAAGTCAGCGGCAGAGTATCAGGTTCGCAATTCAGATAGGATCTCACTTTGGTAATGAATGCTTCGATTTGCTCGTATAAACTTTCGTCGATAGCCTTTCTTGCAGGTTGGTCAGCGGCTAAGTCAGTGAGCATCTCACTCAGCAGTCCCTCAACCGTAGTCAGTTGGCCCCTTTTAGCTGGAATTTCGATATCGAGTTCTTGGAACTTGCAGATTGCAGTTTCGGACTTGATGACCTCGCGGTTGAAGTCTTCCTTCTGTTCAACTTTCAGCATATATTTGCAGCCCTTTTCCATTATCTGCGAGGCAGGCTGGATCTCGCAGTTCTTTAGCCCACAATGAGGACACTCAAAGGACATTAGAACGATTTCGCGGAAGTATGGTATTGTTGTCAATAGAAGTCTTGTGATACCATCCTCATGGCAGTTCATACACAAAGACTCAATTTCTTGAACGGGATGTCCTTCAGCATCGGCTGCACCAGTCTTATGAGGTGTGACACTGTCTGATTGTTCATTTTGGTCTATTTCCTGAACCGAGTCGCCCACAGGTTTGAAGAGCGTTTCGTTATCAGTATGAGGGGTTTGAGACATTATGTGTAATTTCTTGTGCACTTCAGGTTCTCGACTTAGATTCTCCGATCTCTTCATGAATTTCCTGAGTCGTTCGGCTATTGAAAAAGCGCTACCGACGAGATTTAGCAGGCGATGAGCAAGCTAAATACCCAGAAAAAATTTGACAAGGTACTCGCAAAGTACTCGGAAGGCTTTTCGAGAATGTCTTCGATTCTCATAGAAGGAAAGTAATTGAGGACAATGGATATATCATGCGTCACCCTGGTGATTAGTGATATCTTTGTTTCATTTAGAAGACCACAATAAGGTGCTAGCTGAAAATCATTAGCCACTGTGCGTTTCGATACTGAACGCGCAAGTGAAGCGAAAACAAATTTCAACGATGTTGAGCAAGAATAGATATTCTTGGTCTGTGATGTCGATTGTTCACTAACTTGTTTGTAACCATTATCTTTTTCGACCCCTCGCTGCAGTGTTTTTCAGTTCGTTGCATACATGAGACCAAGGGCTCCGCGAGCTACAGAAGTTACGAGCTCTATAAATTTGGAAAGAGGAAAGAGGAAAAGAATCTAATAAAGCAGCCCAATGAAGTGTCGAGGCTAGTTTGAGAAACAATGTGTGAGTGTGTGAGCGCGTTCGAGGACGCAACGAAATAGAAGAAGCTTGAAGATGAAAGCCGTTGTAAAAGATTAGTTGCATTTCCATAACAGAATTTAACTTTAGTTATAATATGTCGTCACGACCTCACCAACTACTAGAAATGTTTAGGTTACCTTGAGATTGTCTCTCTTGACTAATTGGTGACTCCCTTTTTCCCCTCCTTCTTTTGAAAAAGACATTCAGTTACTCTTGGATTTCTAAATGTTTAGTAGAGTGAAAATCAAGGTCTCAGCAGACATGTGCCTTTAGTCTTTCAGCAGAATAATTGCGCATTACTTTTCCTGACTTCTTTGGGTATCAACGCATGTTCATTGTGAGCAGGTTTCACGTCCTAATTGGCCCTACACTTAGATGGTTGTTATTCATTCCTCAAGCTAAGTCAGCCATGAGCTTTGCTAAACGTGTGTTATTGAGTGGACATGTCCAAGAATGATTACCAAATGAGGTTTGACTTCTATTACTTCATGTACATTGAAAGTTCACAGTCTCAGGTCCCGTGAAGCTTGATGTATTGATATACAATTTGTATTCCTCAAAAATGTTGGTAACCCGTCTTTCAAATACAAGAGAAACAAGCCTGAGAAGGCTGCGAGAGCACAAAACCTGACAAGCCACTTTGGTTATTGTCTATTATCTTACTTTCAAAAGAAGAACTAACTCTATTAGTTTTAACTGTGCCACCTATAGAAAGCGCTCATATGCCATCATTTTATACTAAAATGTCGTAGGTTTCAGATAGCTAACGGCGGCTAGGTTTTATGAAGCACATTTTCTTCTCTAACAAACACTCTGGTCTACACCAGATACTGGGGCCGGAAACCATACTTTAAACTTATGTCGGATGCTGAACAGAGGCGGTCATTTCTTAAGTTTCTGGGGAACTCTTGCTCCATAGATAACCTAATGTTTATACTTTACTCGTTGTTAAGCTGGCGGTATCAATTTCATATCTTTCCATCTTCGTCTACGAGCTCGATGCTAGTTTATGGTAATTAATTGCTGCTAAGATTTTAATATAACGGTGGCCGTCGTCGACTTTTAGTGCTGGTCGCAAACGTAAGAGAATTAAAAAACAAAAAACAAAATCGAAATGTTGCTGATCATTCAGTGCTGGAATAGTACTTTTGGGTGGAGTAAGATATTCGTTCTCTAAATGATAACAAAACTATTCATTTATTTACTACGTCTAAAAATTTACCAAAAAGAATGCCTCCTGTGGGAATTGAACCCACGATCCCCGCATTACGAGTGCGATGCCTTACCACTTGGCCAAAGGGGCTTACCGTTGAAGAGGTGGCCGCAATATCATCATCATATCACAACATAGTAAATACTTTTTTATAGTTATAAGTTCCTTCAGAAGAATTTAGTCGTCCAAATAGCCGACAGAAACTGAACAAGTATCTGATGACTCGAAAACTCAAACGTTTCGGCGAAGTCCTGAATGTAGAGAGTTTCGTGGCTCGTTATGGCTCTAAGCTTGGCCGTAAAGATTTAAAAATTCCAAGCGAAATAATAGGTGCAACGACCATGGATCAGTACTCAAATTACCTGAAGAAGTACAACTGCTTTGTTTTGCTAAGATTGCAAAGCCGTCAGTTTCAGGTGACTGACCGCGATTTGTTCTGGAAGCCATTTTGCGATGAGGTTCATGCGCTGTATCGCGAGCCTGCCAAACCAATAGACTGGAGATTTACTACAGCGCCATCACCAATCTTTTTCAGAACCCCACTCAACATTCCACTTTTAAATAAACTGCTGGGCACTAGCCTACGTGATGCCCCGGACCTTTTTTGCTCCTTCCAGCATTTTTCGTCGTTAGATTCCGCTACTGCGCTATGCAAGTATATAGAGCTTGCAGGAAGTACTAACATCGGTCCGACTTTCGAACCTGTCGTTGTGGGAGTTAACCTAGCTGACCCGGAGTCAGTTGCGATATCTCATATTCAACCACTGCTGGAAGAGTCTTCACAAATGTACCAAGATTTTAATTACGAAAAGCTTCTGGAGATCGCCAAGCGTACCCATCTCAAGGGCTCTGACCCTATCAAAACGCAGGTAAAAAAATTACTAGAGACGCTAGCTGAGAGCAAGCTTTCCGTGCCATGTCTCACCAAGCGCCATCAATGGCTTCTGTTCACCTCTGGCTCCCGCCTCGAAAGCACGTGACCCGATCCCCAGATTTGCATCTAATGAGCTTTCAGATTCCAAGCTTCTCGGTGTGTCAGTCCGATACAGAAGTCAAAGACAACAGTTCCCTGAGTACTAATGCGTCGAAAGTCTGCCTTTTTCTACCCATTCATAGCCTCTGCAATATTCATCTGCTTAGTCTACCATGTGAAGTCCAGTATTAAAGTGGATAATAATATCAAACCCTTAACTGGGGCGGGACGAACTATGCCGACATCAACGCTCAAGCGCAAACCTTTACCTCACCAAATGTATCAAGAAAGAGTTAAGGCCTGTCTCAACTATATGGAGTATGCCTCGATAGCACACTTCAGGGACATCGAAGAAAAGTCACCTCTCAATTTACCTTTTCAAAGACCACCTGTGAATTGTAGGACTTTTGAATCTAGCATCGTCGAGAAGTTCTTACCTGAATTCACTAAACGGCTCAAAGATCGAGATCTGGCCAAGCTGTTTGAAAATTGTTTTCCTAATACTTTGGATACCACGATTTTATGGCATGTTTCGGCAACGATGAACCGGAAGCTAGGGAATCACAAGAGAAAGTCCACAGCCTACAGAAACGAATTACCTGAGACGTTTGTCGTAACAGGGGATATTCATGCCGAGTGGCTGAGAGACTCTGCTTGGCAACTTTCGGTTTACCAGCCCTTCATCAAACACGATTTCGCTCTCCGAGAACTCATCAAAGGCGCCATCAATACACAGTCCCAATTGATTATGGAGAACCCCTTCTGCAATGCATTTAATCCACCGCCATATTGCCCAGTCAAAAGAGCTGCGAGCACAATTGATAAAGTCCATCCTACTCCCGATTGGAACCAGGTCTTTGAATGTAAATACGAGGTTGACTCTTTAGCTTCATTCCTTACTCTATCTAGACAGTTCTACGAGAACGCACCCGAAGACGAAAAGTTCTCTTTTGTGAATACCGATTGGATTCTAGCGGTAACAAGGCTGGTTGGTGTGATTTCTGCCGAATCCTCCTCAACTTTTGATGGGTCTGGGGCACCAAACGACTTTCCGTACACTTTCCAGCGAGACACCAATGTGGCTTCAGAAACTCTACCACTGGCCGGTACAGGGAACCCGGTCAACAGCGGGACCGGCCTCGTAAGGTCAGCATTTAGACCCAGCGATGACTCTACAATTTTTCAGTTTTTTATACCCGGAAATGCGTATCTATCTGTTGAGCTTGAGCAGCTATCAGAAATGCTTTCAGAGTATCAGAGAGAAGGTCTGACGTCGTCGCATGACGCTGACATAAAGAACATTGCGGAAGTGGCAGCTGAGCTGTCCGCACGCATAAGGGAAGGAGTAATGAAACATGGCGTTGTGAACAATCCGAAGTATGGGAAAGTTTTTGCATATGAAGTGGACGGCTTTGGAAGCTTTTTGTTGATGGATGATGCCAACATTCCGTCATTACTTTCACTTCCAGAGCTCGGGTTCATCGGTTCCGATAATGATGTATACCAAAACACGCGACGGATGATTACCTGCAAGGAAGGAAATCCTTATTTCATCGAAGGAAGTCACTTGCAAGGGATCGGCGGCCCTCACATAGGAATTCATAACGTTTGGCCGCTGAGTTTGATTGTGGCTGTACGTACCTCCAACAGTGATCAGGAGATTGTTGATATGCTCAACATGATTATACAGAATACCGGCGGGCTTGGGCTCATTCATGAGTCCATCCAGGCTTTCAAACCCGATGGGTTGGCTTTCACGAGACCATGGTTTGCATGGGCCAATTCTGAGTTTGCCAAGACGATTTTGCATTTGGCAGAGACCAGGCCGCATTTGATATTTCGGAAGGAGTTTGTGAATGAGAGGTTCAGGATAGACAGTTTTTTGTTATCCTTGGAATCGGATCAGTAGTATAGTTTGTATCTTTCAAAACAAGTAAGCCGCTTTGGGCTCATCAATTCAAAAAGTCATGCCATCTTCGCAAATACAAATTTTAAGAAATCGGCGCTCGCTTAAATTGTAATTCAAGTAGATGTGAGAAACCCACGAAGCAATTGAGAAGCAGAACTTATCCGCGCTAAGTTGCATTCGTAGAAACCACCACGTGATACGTACACAGAGAATATTACTACTAAGTTCACTCAGAGCTGAAATCATCAGTGCCAATCAATACTTTCGTCCGTTTGACAGATATAAAGAAGAATCAATTGAATATGGATTTTTCATCTATAATTACCAACATGAGTGTTGGGACAGTGGGCGCTGCTGCAGAGCTCACGTTAGATCCTAATTTGAAATACTGGGTTCTTTTTCCCATCTCAATTGTGATGATTTTGGTTGGTGTTTGCCGTCAATACATCATGGTACTCTTGGGGTTGAAAATTAAAACTTACCCTAGAGCAAGGCTTACTGAGGTTCAATATATGAGTAAAGCGCAGGCATTACTTGGCAATGGGACTAATTTATGCCTTGAGTCTTTCAAAACAAGACAGGAGTACTTGGCGCAGCTGTTGGCAGACGGTAAGTTTCTAGCTCAACAGGAACAGCCAGAAACCCCTCCAAATCCTCTAACAGATCCCAACGCCACCGATGTAATGATGAACATGTTAAAATCGAATCTAGCTAACTACATCCCGCAAACGCTGACCATGTGGTGGGTGAACCATTTTTTCGCTGGTTTCTTGTTGATGAAACTACCTTTCCCGCTCACTATCAAATTTAAAGAGATGCTACAAAATGGAATTATGACCCCTGACTTAGACCCTCGCTGGGTTAGTAGTATTTCGTGGTATGTCATATCAACCCTTGGGCTTGCACCAGTCACCAACCTACTCTTCAGTAGTAACAGCGAAGAAAGCGAAGCTTTCGCAATTGCTCAGCAGCAGCAGCAATTTGATTCTGCACCAGGTGCGCCCACTCCTGAGGCTATAATGAAGAGTCTGGCCAACGATATTACAATCGCACAACACGAGTCATGCTTTGACACCGTCGAATCAAGAGTTCTCAACCTGTACGCGAAATAAAGACACTTTCACAAAGCAAAACATATAGCAGACAGGAGCCCGGAAAGCTGCTTGATTTATCCCTTCACTTTTTGATGCTATCAGGTCTGGTCCCTTCAATGTCATGTCTCATCTACTTTGTTACCCGTCATAAACGACATTGATTTTTTACTCACATTTCAAGAATATAGCGAGGTCATCGGAATCATGATAATTCAAGTGCCCATCGTTAATCATCGAAGGACAAATACTCACTATTTCCACGATGCCTCTTAAAACTGTGATATGTATCGGGATGGCTGGATCAGGCAAAACCACATTCATGCAGCGTCTGAACTCGCACTTGCATGCTGCCAACGTTCCTCCGTACGTTGTCCAATTGGACCCAGCTGTTCTTACTGTGCCTTACGGGGCCCATATTGATATCAGGGACTCTGTCAAGTACAAGAAAGTGATGGAGAACTACAATCTAGGTCCCAACGGCGCAATAGTAACGAGTTTGAATCTCTTTAGCACCAAGATCGACCAAGTCATCAAGCTAGTGGAGAAGAAACGTGACGTTCATGAATACTGTATAATAGACACACCTGGACAAATCGAATGCTTTGTATGGAGTGCGTCGGGGTCGATCATTACAGAATCGTTCGCATCAACTTTTCCCACTGTTATTGCGTACATTGTTGACACGCCAAGAAACTCATCTCCCACTACTTTTATGAGCAACATGTTATATGCATGCTCAATACTTTACAAGACGAAGCTACCTATGATTGTAGTATTCAACAAGACTGATGTATGTAAAGCAGATTTTGCACGCGAGTGGATGACAGACTTTGAGGCTTTTCAAGAAGCGCTAAGAGCTGATCAAGAGCTAAACGGCGAGTCTGGTGCGGGCTCCGGATACATGGGCTCATTAATCAATTCCATGTCTTTGATGCTAGAGGAGTTTTATTCACAACTTGATATGGTAGGAGTTTCAAGTTTAACCGGTGAAGGGTTTGATGATTTTTTAAGTTCAGTTGACAAAAAGGTGGACGAATACGAATCATATTATAAGGCTGAGAGAGAGATGATAATGAAGCGCAAAGAAGAGGAGGAAAGTGCAAAAAAACAGAAATCTTTGGACCATTTGATGAAAGACTTGGGATTGAAGGATAAGCAAGGCAGCAGTAACAGGAAGTCAAATGAAGATGATGAAGCCGATGTAATCAGTGACTTGGAAGACGAGGGAGAAAACGATGGTATTGTTCTGCGGGACGAAGACGAGGGCGTGGAAAGAGAGTATACCTTTGCGGGTGATGAGAGAACTAGCGGCGAAGTTAATTCGAAGTCGACACCCGATTTGCAAAGACGTTACGAGGAAGCACTCGAACAGGTTGGCAAATCTGCCAGTAGTGAAACGGCTGAAAATATTGCTCGCTATATTAGACAGTGAAAGCTTGTGCTAGTAGATCTTTTTTTGAACCCGAATAAATAGTTTCCTTCATATATAAAGTCCATCTTCAAATGAGCTAGGCGCCTCACGTACTCCATAAACACCCTCCCACGAAACAGGTGTTTTATAATGGGAGATTCGAGGGAAGCTCGATAGGATCTGAGGTAGTTGGTTACAAGCTGCTATGGCATCTTCTGAATTGTCACCTTCCTGTACGAAAGTATTAAGATAAGATATTTCCTTCAAAAGACTTGAAGCCTTTGGTGTGTGTAGCAAATGGTAACAAAGCTTGTAAACAAATTGAGCCGTACAAACGCCTGATTGAAAACTTGTATCGCTGAACTTGAAAAGAGTTTTATTTACCGACTGAGAGGTTTGGTCATTAATTTGTAATTTCTCCTCAAATTCACTGGCGATATCCGTGATCTGCGAGAGGTCACAAGTGCCGATGGAGTAAGCGGACTTGCGAAGTTGTCTGGATATAATACTCTCGTCGATATTATCTGTGGCATCAAGGACTAATAATTGACCAATTTGAAGCTCTTCAAGCAAAGGTGCGATCACTTCTTTACAGAATGTATTCTCGAAGGGCTGCAGGATTGGAGATCTTTGCTGAATAATATACAGCTTCGATTTGGAACTGTAAAATAGTTCTAAAGGTGTAGTGAAGGTCTGTCCGGTTTTTTCGTATAAACTCGTTTCGGATCCTTTCACATAGTCCAATGGCCCTGCGAAGGGGAAGAGGTACAAACTGTCCAGCTCGCGCACAAATTGGAACTCCGAGCTCAATGAGTGTAGAATGAGGTCGGTAGCCAGTTGTGGGACGTTCCCTGTGGAAACAAGCGGCAGTAAGAGGGAGTCCATCAATTGATCTGAAGCGTTTTGTGGGCAATCAAACAGCTTTGAAGACTTAGCTATTCAACAAAATAGGGAATTGAATCTGAGGTTTACCAAGCTATTATTTTAGCTTTAAATTCTTTTCCGATATTAATACAAGACTAATTGATTAGTTGCATATAAGTTAGGGAATTGTTTTTTGATGATATTGAAATTCGAAATAATAGGGTTGACCAAACTAAGCGAAACATTTAAATGTCGAGGCACTTCGCAAAAGTCTAATCGAGCACCGAGCAGCAGGACGGGCCTACTGAGAAATCAGATGCATACGCAGATAACTCCAAGCTGCGTGTAGAAGAATGATTGTGTTACCTGAAATAGAGCGAACAATTGGTGTTGCTTGAGTTAATTTAAAAGCCTCTCAACTACAATGAAAACTGGTTGAGGGGAATGGATTGTTCAAGAAGAGACGAGTGAATTTTCAGAACACGAGAGGTCCGTATCAGACATATTGCTAGATGAGAAGCCCAATCAATTTTTGGGTGCGAGTTCTTCAATACTGTATACATCCAGTTGCATTGTAACACAAAGCTTGATTCACCAAGAAATTGCTCTTTAAAAATCCAAGACCAATTTCAGTCTACACCTAAATTGTTACAACTATTTGCTAGCCATTTGCCGCTTCCCTAGCAAGTAAATGACCAACTTTCTTGCCAGAGCGAGCCCCAATACTTCGTGAACTTGAGCAAAATAAGTGGGCACAATTCTCCATCGAAGCAAGCTTAACAAATATGCGACATTGTCTACGTTTGATATTTGAGAAAGTATTAACTGAGGGGAACCTTGAAACTGTGTGGTTCATCGTGTATGTGAAAAACTATTCTAACACACAAAAAAGAGTACGAATCAAAGTAAGTCACCAGATCGGCCTTTAGAATCTACGCTTGACTTACTGCTTGACAGTAATTCATGCCTTCATCGTAAAATAATCATCTGGCATCTCAGCCGTTCGCCTTCTCACTTTTTTTCTAACTTATTTGATGAAAAATTTTCGAAAATCATGAGATGCCGATGAGCTTACCGATGAGCTCTGATCCATATATTATTCTAGCTTTACGAAGTTTCATAACCTTCAGATCACTGTCGCCATTTGCTAGACATAGCGTACCCACAAACCACCATGTCTACCAATTTTGAGAAACATTTCGAAGAAAACGTCGACAATTGTTCTTTGGAACAATTAAGAGACATCTTAATAAACAAATCTGGTAATTCCCAACTCGCCAACCGCTTCAGAGCTCTGTTCAACTTAAAAGGTGCTGCCGAGGAATTCAAAATAAATCCTGAGAATGCCCGTAAGGCCACCGAGTACATCAGCGAGTGCTTCGGCGACCAAAGCGAACTCTTGAAGCATGAGGTCGCATACGTTTTAGGTCAGACAAAAAACATGATTGGAGCCCCAATTTTGAGACAAGTTCTCGCAGACCGTAACCAGCAATGTATGGTTCGCCACGAAGCTGCTGAAGCGCTTGGAGCTCTCGGTGACAAGGATTCTTTGCCCTTGCTCGAGACATATTACAACGACGACCCGTTGTTAGAAATCAGGCAGACCTGTGAGCTGGCTATCGGTCGCATCAAGTGGCAAAATAGCGATTCTGCGAAGACGGAAAGTCTACAGGAATCGCTGTACTCCAGCATTGACCCTGCACCACCTCTCACACTTGACGCCGACTTCAAGATCGAGCAATTAAAAGAAATCATGAACGACCAAGAGAAGCCATTGTTTGAAAGATACAGAGCCATGTTCAGGCTTAGAGACATCGGCAGTGACGAGGCTTGTTTCGCATTGGCGTCAGGATTTGATGATCCTTCTGCACTTTTCAAGCATGAAATCGCTTATGTTTTCGGCCAAGTTGGTAACCCAATAGTGGTATCAAAATTGATTGAGGTTTTAAACCGTGAGCATGAAGCGCCCATGGTCAGACACGAGGCTGCCGAAGCCCTGGGATCGATTGCCACGGATGACGTATTGCCCATTCTAAAGGGTCATTTGACTGACAAAGACGATGTAGTTAGAGAATCAGCTATCGTGGCCCTTGACATGTATGATTACGAAAACAGCAATGAGCTGGAGTACACTCCCGCCTAATCGGATCATTCATAGCGGGTAAGGATAAATGATAAATGATAAATACTCTGTATACTATAAAGATGTTTAACCCTGTTGGGTCTTAGTAGACCAATACAAGATAAATTCAAACCAAAAATAGAGACTGAGCAAAGAACTCACGAGTAAATTTTCTTGAGGCTCAAGTTAGATACTCATGAATTATTTTTATTTATTGATCGACCTGATTTTCTTCGATAAGAATTACAACTCTGTCACATCTCGAATTTTTGACATCCTACGATTTTACTTGAAATCAAGTTGAAATCGTCAACGCAGAGTTATCACCAGCAAAAGCCGCCGAAATGGTTCTCAAGATCGTATTTGTGACAGGAAATGCCAACAAGCTGAAAGAGGTGAAGATGTTGTTGGCACCTAACACTGGCGAAGAGCCAGCATTTGATCTGACAAACACAGATATAGATTTGGACGAACTTCAGAGCAGCAGTTTGGAGGATATTGCTCGCCATAAAGTCGCCCAAGCCATATCGACACTACCAAAGGGCGTTGCAGTTTTTGTAGAGGACACAGCGCTTTGTTTCAATGCATTGAACGGACTGCCAGGCGCTTACATCAAGTGGTTTTTGAAAAGTGTAGGCCCCGAGGGGATAGTACGCATGCTAGAAGGGTTTGATAACAAAGGTGCTGAAGCGGTTACTACAGTTGCGTATGCCGATGCTGAGGGTCAGATTCACATGTTTCAGGGCAGAACCCAGGGAAAGATTGTGTCTCCTCGCGGATCCCGAGACTTTGGGTGGGATTGCTGTTTCGAGCCAACTGAGGGCGGTGGAAGCACGTACGCAGAGATGGCAAAAAGTGACAAGAATAAGATCTCGCAAAGGTCTAAAGCTTTTGCTCTCTTGAAGCAGTACTTGAACGGCCTTCAAGCGAACTAAGAAAGAAAGCAACGAACGCAAGGAATTTTCTTTCACACGCTTTAGTGACTCATAATTTCGAAATAAATACAAGGCCTTATTTTTAGCATTTTGATAGAATTTTACGCTTCTTCATCGAAACTCGGTTGCAAGTCCAGCTCAGCTTCGAGTTGGATTGAAATGGACAGTGATCTCGCGAAGGATTTGCAATGACACACAATGCATGTCCGGCCGAAACTTCAAAAATATCAGCGCGCTTTATATTTTTTCCAGTTTCGCCAACTTTGTGACTATAATCTAGTTACAAAACTAGACCATTTTCAAGACTCGATATATTTCAATACCTTCTAGTTGAACACCTCTTGACTATACAAGCTCAGCTTGGTGAAGAGCGACCTCACAGTACGAGTTGTTACCCTTACTGTTTCCTGTGTTCTTATTCATCGTGACTTTCAAACAGTTTTCCACAAAGCGTTTAATTTGAAAAAAGTTTTCAATACTGAATCTTTAAAACTTCAGAATTCAAATCTGTGCAAAATCCCGATCTTCTGGGAGCGGAGGCAGGTATTTAGGCCCTATACGTTTTGAGAAAGTAAGTTATCAAGGCTTTTATTTTTTGATAGTTCTTTGAAGAGTTCTGCGGGTGGTCCCAGCTCTTATTTTGTTTTAGGCCAAAAGTATACGGAAAATTTGGGCGTTACAGTCAGATCATATTTCCAAAAGCACACTAATGATCCAACAGATCCAACAGGCCGTCGACATTGCTAATTCGTCCACGGCCGATCATGCGTTAAAGAAACAGGCACTAGACTTTCTGGAAGAAGCCAAAGCCAGCGGCTCGTCGGCGCAGGTTTTTGCGTCACTTTTACAAGACCCTGCTAGCACTGATATCAGCAGGTTTGTAGCATTGCAAGTACTGAGTGACCTGGTACTTGGAAGCAACGAAGAGCAACTGTCGTTTTTGAAAAAGTCGTGTGTTGACCTTCTGCGTAGCAAGAGCGCGCCCGACAACAAACAAGATCCCGAGTATGTTCGAAACAAAGTTGCAGAACTAGCATCCCGTCTGTTCTACTGTATGTATGGTGAGTGCAACAGCAACTTATGGCCCAACTTTTTCCAAGATCTGATCCAGCTTTTGAACATCGAAGGGTTACAAGCTGGTACGTCTGCCGATTTTTCTGCGACCGGCCTCGACCTCTTGCTCAAGATTGTGCTAGCAATTAATTCTGAAATAGCAGACCAAACGTTCGTGCGATCGAAAGAAATTCAATCAAAAAATAACGAATTAAAAGACGCCATGAGACTGCGAGACGTGCAACTTTTATCTTCTCTTTGGTTCAATACTTTAAAATTGTTCCAGCTGCAGCAACACCCAGCCCAGCTCGCAAATCTTACACTCTCTTGCATCGGCTCGTACATTTCTTGGATAGAAATTAATTTGATTGTGAACCCAGAATATATCAATGTTATTTTTGAATTTCTGGATCAGCCAACTTCCAAAATTGCATGCGCACAGTGTTTGTGCGAAATTATTTCTAAAAAGATGAAACCAGGAGACAAGCTATCACTACTGAGTATGCTCAATCTGACAGAAAAAGTCATATGTATAGGTAATGACGATCTAGACGTTCAAGAACAGTTGGCTAAGCTGGTTTCATCGGTAGGGCTTGAACTGTCTATTATTTTGGAACAGTGTAATGATGAGAGTTCAGGATCTCAGTATCAAGATATCGCGACCGCTGCCGACAGCTTGATCATCCACCAAGTATCCCCACTGGTTCTTAAGTTTATGGAGCATGAGTATGATTCGGTCACCCAGCAGTGTTTCCCATTTGTTTCTCATTATTTACAGTTTCTGAAGAAATTCTTTGCCCTTGGTGGTAAACCCGGAAGTGCAGTCGCTATGAACTCCAAGAGACTTTCATTGGATTCTGATCATGAAAACTTCCTTAATTGTTTGATGAATGCATGCATGAAAAAGATGCTGATAGATGAAACCTGCGATGAGGACTGCACTGACGAAATAGACGAGTTTAATGACACCATCAGATCCAAACTGAAAATATTTCAAGACAGTATCGCGATCATCAATCCTGGGCTTTACTTGCGGAATGTAGCTGAAAACGTGGAAAATTTAATCAGCTCTACAGATTGGAGACAATTAGAATTCGCCATTTATCAAATGCATAATTTGGCAGAAAGCATAAGAAATAATCTCTTTGGCGTCAGCAAAAAAGATATCTTTTCATCAGAGCCCCACAACGTAATGTGCAGATTCATGGCTACACTTTTGGACAACACTAATATCTTTTTGATTCAAAATTCATTGATACAGATTTCTTTCTTTGAGCTAGTGGTAAGGCATCACCTATTTTTGCAAGCATCCGCGAAAGACGAAATTACTCTGTTGAATATTTTCTGCAGTGAGTTTGGTATGTTCAACAGTAAGGAACGTGTGAGGCTAAGGACTTGGTATCTCTTTACCAGATTTATCAAGGCCACCAAGCCCAAGTTATCAGCAGATGCGCTTTCGCAGCTGCTTACCAAAGTGTCACAATTGCTGATAATCAAACCTATTGACTTGCCGCCACAGGGCGTAGAGATTGATGCTACATTCGACAACCAGCTTTATTTGTTTGATGGTGTAGGTATGTTGATTGGATCGAGCTCTGACTCAACTTATAGCCTTCTGGATGGTGTTCTAGTTCCACTGTTCTCAGATTTGGAATCATGTATATCGATTCAAATCAAATCTCCTAAAGTGGTTTTGCAGACGCACCACATACTCATGGCTATAGGGACTGTCGCAAGAGGAATACACTCTGGGTTGGTTCCAGAAAATCAAGTTAATAACCTTGAAGTAACTAGCAAGTTCTTCCCAAGGTCAGTTGTCGAGAAATTCTCAAATGTCGCAGAAGTTTTACTGGTTACGTTTTCCTACTTTAATAAACATGAGGTCATACGTGATGCAACTAGGTTCTCTTTTGCACGCTTGATTCCTATCTTGAATGAAGAAATTTTGCCGTTTGCTAGCCGTTTGATAGCCATTTTCCTCAGCTCAGATTTGAAAATATTGGAACTGAACGATTTTCTAGGATTTTTGGGACAAATCGTTCACACATTCCATAAAAGTGACGTTTGCTATCAGCTCTTGAATAACTTATTGACTCCAGTTATTGAAAAAGTGTTCAAGTCTTTGGCTCAAAGCGACAGCGATCCTGATTTTCTTCAGACGAGTGTATCTGCAACTGCAGCTACTAAAAACGCCAATGAGAAAAACGTTGTTATTACTGACTCTTTCCGTGATAGAGTGATTTTGAAGAAAGCTTATTATACTTTTCTACAGTCCTTTATCACAAACAACTCAACCTCCTTATTTTTGACAGAGTCAAACAGAAGCGTTCTTCCCTTAGTACTCGAGGACTTGTTGACTTACACACCAGATGAAATACACGAGACCTCCTCCATGAAACTTTCATTAAATGTGCTTATCAATTTCGTTAGATTTTTGGGAACTGGAATATGTACGGACACACAAGACCCTAATGCTATCCAATTTGGTAAACTAGAAGGACTGGGTGAATTTTTCATCAGCAAGGTAATTCCATTGGTCTTTGAAGTGCCCTTCAAACCAGAATACGGGTTCAACGTACGAGATGGTAGTTGCAGAGTTTTAGCCTGCGACTTATCGAGGTTACTGAAAGCCTTACATGGAGTTTATGCAGAAAGTAATCCTAACCCATGCGTGAATTATTTGACTGACAACTATTTTCCTCAGGTCCAATTTCCGGATCAATTGTCGTTGGAATTTGTCAATGCACTTGTAAATAGCAACGACAAAAGTTTTGAGAAGTATTTCGTGAACTTCATTACTAACGTGGTGGGATGAAAATTCAAGTAATGTGGGAAATCACAGTCAAGTTACGATCTTAGATGGATACCAAGAATAGAAGGCTCCGGAGAAGAGCCCACGAGATCAACAATTAACTAAACAAATCAACACTAAAAAAGAAAAGGAACAACTAAGAGCAACCAAGAACTAAAAACACAAAGACTTTCCTACAATCAAGCACCGCCCGATGTCATGAAATTTGGAGGGCGTTCTGATTGCATAAACGCATAGTTCAACTCCACAACCAATCATCATTATTTTATTTTTCGTTTTTTGGAACTCATTCCAACTTGGCACATAGCCGAACAAAACTTAGCATCTCAGCATATATACACGCAAACACAAAACTGTTTTACGCATACAGTCTTTATTGATCTCTTCATCAATCTCAGTACAATACACGTATAAAATGATACGTTCTGTAGTGGCAAGTTCCTGTGTGACCCATTCATTATTCAAGAAGTACGGTCAAGTAATGGTAAGTTAAAGCTAAAGTAAACAAACAGTCAGGCTCCGAGATAGCAATGCCTACACCGGAAGGACTGGAGGGTCAAACTTTGCAGAAGACTGAAGTTTTTGCCGGTTATCCTACAGATAGCACATTTGAAATGGAATTGGGTGAGAATAAGGATCCGGGAAATACAAGTGGAAGCGACGATATGAAAATGTCAAACATCGAGCAATACAAACCAGCATCTACATTCAAAACGCACCTGTATACTATGAATGAACTCCTAGAGATTTCCAAATCGGTCAATGGAGCTTCGCCACTTTCTGTAGGTGTTAACTTACCAAAGAAAAGTTTCTGGAGACTGACTAGCAGGCATCCTGACATCAGACAATCCGAATCGACTGCCACCAATGGAAGCGGAAACAAAAGTAACAGCAGCTTCAAAAGTCAGGACTTCAACGGCGAGAAGAAAAATCAAAGAACCAAAAACACCAAAAGCACTAGGCGTGGTAGTAAATTTGCCAAGGGTGACAAACAATATGTGGAAGAGAAGGACATCAAAGTAAACAATGACGAGCTTCTGGCGTTAGAAGAGGAAATTAAACCTACCGGAAACTCCATAACAGATTTTGAAAACTGGAGGAGCAAAATGAAGGAATTGGAACGCAAGAAGAAGGGTCAAACTTCCAATGGCCATACCGAAGGTGCTGAAAGACCGTCTCTACATAATAACGGGAGCTCATTATCCGACTTTTTCAATTTGAAAAGAGAAAGTAGCTCGACTTTTGAAGAACTTGAGCCACAGGATACCTCAGAAACTTCGAAGGGGTCTTATTCAAGGTTCTCTTCTTTCTTTAATTCCGGGTCTGCACCAGATATCAATGAAGCTGCTTTAGCACAACCTCCAACACCCAAGGAGGCCGAAACGCGACCTGCTGCTGGTTCTAGAATCTTGTCATTTTTTGATAACATGGAATCCAGGAAAACAGCGCCTGAACAAGCACCTCAACAAAACACACCTGTGCAACATGTACAAGTACCTCCTGTTCAAGAGCAAACAAATAGTCATTTTTTTCAGGATCTTTTGAACAAGGGCAAATTACCTTCCGCTAGCCACGTTAGTGAGAGACGAGTAGCCAGTGATAATTCCGCTGCTGCAAATAGTCCTGTTTTACAAACAGCTGCACCTAACTCAACAATAGGTACAGATCAGTTGAAAGCTCGAGAGTCGCAAACAAATAGAGGGCCTCCAGGTTTATCTAAAATACCTAACACTAAACCAGTGATGTCCCCTACGGCGCAACCAGGATTTCCCATGGGAGTGCCTATGAATTTGTATCATCAAAATGCACAGCCAATGAGTCGACCACCTGCTGGTTATCAGCACTTTCAGATGCCACCTCCAGGAGTAGCAATGCCGCAACCGTATTTTGGAAACCAGCGGCAGGCAGGAGATTTCTCAGCAACCGAGCAAAAGGAGGAAAGCGGCAGCAGACCGCCCAACGTACAGCTTCCATTCATTCCCGGACCACACAACATGCCACCGCCAGGATTTCCTCCGATGCATGGAATGCCTCCTGGCATTTCTCAAGACATGCCTATTACAATGAACAATATGATCCCCTTCCCACCTGGGTTTTTCCCCCCTCACGGCCCCTCACTTCCGCAGTTCGGTAACCAGCCAATTCCCCCGGCTGCTTTGAATGGGCAGCCGCAACGTCAAGGAATGCCGCCTCGGAAATCCAAATGATCGCAATGTCGCAGTTGAAATCGCTAGGTGCGCGCGGGTCAACTTTTGGGGTTGATTAGAGATCGACAAGTTCAAATAATGATGAGAGTTTGATGTTGAGTTACATAAAAATCAACCTCTATTATATATCACATACCTTTTCTGTACAAGTTTGCCACCCTAATCGCTAAATTAGCCAGTTGGATATGTTCGTTGCCGCCATTAGTGAGCTTGGAATCCGAATCAAATATAATCCATGAAACTGCGTTTTTAAATCTAGTGGCAAACTGATCATTATTGATATAGTATTCGTGAAGCTGATTAGTGACGGCTGCCCCGCTCCAACCGCTCCTTTCCAAACTAGCCACACAGCTCATAATATCGTTAAAGTCCATGCTAGCTATCTTTGTTGTTAAAGTATCAATGAGTTCATTAGGAACTGTTCCTGCAAGTTCGTCAACGGCCAAACTAGTGATTAACGGAGGATCCAGATGTTTTACTAATTTGGAAGATGATTGCAAGAGCATGATCGCTCTTCTTAAGTCACCCTGGGAAATATCGAGGACTTTCTCCAAAACACCGTCGTCAAACTTGAGACTTTCTTGGGAGGCAACATATTTCAGTCGACTAATAGCATTGGAAGAATCTAATGGTTTGAATCGAAATTTAGAACAGCGTGACGCCAGTGGATCTATTATCCTAGTGACGTAGTTACAGATCAAACAGAACCGCGTCACATTAGAGTAATTCTCCATCGTTCTTCTTAGAGCGCTCTGGGCGTCTGAGGTCATAGAATCGGCTTCATCCAGAATGATAATTTTGTAAGGAGGACATGGGTAATTCTCGAGATCAGATGCGGATGGTTTTGAAACAGTTAACCTCGCAAAACTTTTGATCTTGTCACGCACAATGGCTATCCCACGTTCGTCTGAGGCGTTTAACTCCAATACTCGACTTTTTGTGAGGTTAGGCCCATACAATTCCTTTGTCAAGGCTAAGATTGTGGAGGTTTTACCTGTGCCAGGAGGACCATAGAAGAGCATATGCGGTAAATTGGCTGATTTTAGCGTCTTTCGCAAAACAGTAACTGCATGATCCTGGGCTGTGACATCCTCCAACTTCTTGGGTCTATACTTCTCGACCCAAGGTTTAGAATCTTCGATGCTGAGGCTCTGTGCATGCGTAACTTTCTGCCGTTTGGCAAAGAACCCGTCACTCATCCTATCTTAGCCTAGTTAAAGCTTGAATTGAAGAACGTCAGGTGCTGTTGCAATAGATGCCAAAGTTTTATTTGTGTAGCATGGTAATTGTATCGTTAGATTTCATATTTTGTATTTACAACTTTTTTTCAATGATTGATTTCATTCATAGATGAAAACGCAGTTCATGTCTGCACTAGAACTCTTTCTAAAAACGAGGATCTCTAGACGCTCTGAAGAATTCATAAATCTGATCTAATGTCCATATCTGATGGCGATATTTGGGAATCCGACTCTGAGGAAGGTCCCTGCGCCTCTGAACGTGGGGAAAGCGTGGAGATACGGAAGCTTCAATCGATCCACAACAAAAGAGGGTACTTGGACGGAATCACGTCAGCTAAGGAGGAAAATCTGCAGCAGGGTTTCGACCACTCGTACCACATCGGAGCCAATATTGGAAGTCGCATAGGTGTGGTGCTTGGCGGCTTGCAAATACTTGCATTTTTGCATGGGGATAACAACGAAACACTCAAAAAGGACCTCGCACAGGCTCAGCAAGACCTCAGAATCAACAAAGTGCTCAGCAAGGAGAACTTTGATAACAACTGCACTATGGTGAAAACAGAAAACCCAGTAAGCTACTGGGAGGAGACTTTGGCACAGCACCAAAAAGAGTATATAAAAACGGGAATTGAAGAGCCATAGTAGCGTATGCTACACAACATTTCTCTACCAAAATGAACACCACCCGATGTAATGCTGGCACAGATTTTCTACTGATGTAGCCTGCTGAATTAGTTTTTCGACTTGATCTGGAACATCCAATCCGCGGAACCTTCGGAAATCGTTCCCGGTCAGTTTATCAGTGATTCTCTTCAGGATAAGCATAGCCCTCGCGTTTCTGATTTCCACTTTTTGCTGGATCTCCATTTTAGCGGCCTCTTCAACGGAAATCGCGCCCTTCCTCAAAAGCTCACTAGGGTTAGCCAATGGCAATTCGGTGCCTGTCTGTTCCGCAATGGCCTGAGTGGGCAAGTCAAACCCCCAGTTAATCAGGGGATCATACGCAAATGCCTCTAATATTGCCATAAGCGATTCTTTGTTATCTCTCAAAACTCTCATAACGTTTTCGCAGGTGATGCGGAAGCTACCCTCAATACCACTCACCTCCATAGCATACGTCAACATTCTAGTTAATCTGAATGGAACCTTCTCCGGGTATTTTTCTCTTAAAATGGCGGCTTCAAAGCAGTCCCCAAAGTCAATGTGGACAACTTTCCCTGTTATGCGGTCAAGCATCAAATTGCTTGGATGACGATCACCAAGACCCAAAATGTAACCCACCATCGACATCACCGCCAAAGACCTGGTATAGGTCGTGCGGCGTTCCAGCCAAGACTCAGATGACCGGCTTTTTAGCCACAGGACTTTGTACAAATCTTGCCCTCGCGTGTTATCCAAAGCATAGGTGAATACCTCGATTTTTTGTAATAATGTAAGGTTATCATAGTCAGGCGCCATTTGTAACATAATTCTATGTTCGATGTTTAACGGAATTTTTCTAGCTTCACGATGCTCTCTAATTAAAACATGGAATGTGTCACTGTTGTTGACCCAGCCCAGCAACCCCGATTTGGGTGACAGTGGGATCGTCGGGAATCTCTGAATGTCTAAATGTCTTTGGAAGCACTCGGGGTCATTTTGTAGCAGGGTGTTGACCAAGCCAAACAGCTGCATAACCAGGTTATCTTGTCTAATATCCTCGTGGCCCTTTAGAAGATATTGATAGTCTTTTCCATCGCTGCCCCTCACAGATAACCGCCGGGGCCTTTGCTTCGAAGAGATCACATAAAAGACCGGTTCGAAGTACGATATGCGAACCACAGGTTTACCAGCTTGATAAGCACCAGCTACAGCCAGCTTCAAATCACGCGCTGCCAGCAGTTTTGGTGAAACATGCTGGAGTTCCAGTGTTTGAAGCTGAGGTAATTGGCGACTGATCCTGCGAAAGACATTATAGTAAATATCCCATGCTTGATTCAAATTGGTGATATCTTTGTTGCGCTTGTAGTTCATTACCCACTCGTAGGCATCATTCAAATCTCTCCCGAACGAATTTTGGAAGGAAATCTCTCGTAGAGTTGTGGGGCCTTTTGAAAGCATTTCATGAAGTGGCTCCAAGGTTGCAAACATTTTTTCGGTGTTGTGCTCTCCAAAAAACTGCCTACTAGCATCTTCTAAGCCTTCATACCATTGTTCATGCCACAACACAGCGACGCGAATAAGTTCATGACTGACCATCTCGGCTTGGTCCACCAGTACAGAACTGTGAACTCTCATTTTCGCAATAATTGACAATGCTGCCTTCTGGCGCGATACCGACTCAGACTTGATGGCAACAGTTAGTGGGTACACCAAATTTTGCGGATGGGCTCTCCCAAGATCTGAGAGCAGAGACAGTAAAGATTTGCTAACAATCTGGTTTGGTTGGTGAATGCGGGTGATTAATTGTGGGACAACGTCGAGCCAATTATCGATCTTTATCAAATTGAATCCCTCATGCATAGCCTGTGCTGCTTCAGGAATACCACCAAACTTAAACCATAGGGTCAAAAGCCTTAAAGTATCCTGAAGGGAATTTGATTCAGAGTGTAAAATTGAGTGAAAAAAGCCCTTTATGGCAGGTACAACGTGCCTCTGTACAAGTTCCGGCGGATAATTGTTGCTGGTACCAATACTGGGTTCCACACCCATGATTACAGAGCTCTCAGAATCCTGAATCGCACTGTCGTTAAGCCTGGGTTGGTTTTTACCATTTTGGCGAGTTTTGTCTTCGCTCATCCTCGAAGTTACAGAAATGACATCAAAGTTAGCCAAAGCCCAGTTGTGCCATGCTTTATACCACTTATTGTCAAAATGTGTGGCTAGTAGATAGGAACCTAAAATGGCGTCTGGGTTTTCCATGAGCCAATTACTTTGTAATGAAACTCTCCATTCACCTTGTTTCAAGAAGCAGCGAGCTAGTAGCTTCGTGTACTCCTCAATGTGATGAGCAGGTATCGTACTACTTTGCGGAATACTTTGAGCGATCATGTTACTAGGGTCCAAACCGAGATCATGAGCGACTCTCGAAGTGAAGCTTATAAGGTGGCGTAGAGCTTCTTTCTGTGACCCTGTTGCCCACATATATTTCAGCTGGGCATAAACGACTGGAGGAGGGGCCCTTGCAGTATTTGGATGATCCGGGTCTCCACCATCTTCCAAAAGCGAATTTAATGCTTTTTGCGCCAACCCCATCCTTCCTGACTTTCTGCAGAGATTAGCAAACTTGATCCACACCTGCATATCTTGCTTTGGTTTTACTACCAGTGATCGCACCCTTAAAATTCTTTGCCAAACGTCAACGTTCTTTTGACATCCAAGGAGTCTTTTGTTCCATGTCTTCCGTATAGCTGCCCTTTTTTCTGACGCAGGGGGGAGTTTCTTATATTCAATTATTTCCTCGAGCTCAGAAATCATTTGAGAGCGAACAATTACACTGTAAGCCCTATTATAACTCTCGTTGACCAAAGCTGAAATTTCTGTAACCAAAAGATCTCTAGCTTCGAATATATGAGTTTCCGCTTGCTCGAAATCGTTTTTGTGCAAGCACAAAATTGCATCAAAAAAAGCTTTATCCGGAGACTGCCGTTTCATCGCATCAATATATTGATCGATGATATCCCACTGGGCCAAACCCCAAGCGGCACCTGCTGCTAGCGGAGCTATGACTCTTCTTATTTCAGTGTTCGACGTGCTCCATTTTTCAGCAGCTAGCGCAGATAAACGATCCCACTCACCCAAAGCATGAAGTGATCTCATTTTACCCAGACGGACCTCTATCGTGTCTTCTCCAGCGCGCTCACGCTCATTGTAAGCGCTAAGGGCATCTTCCCACCTTTGCAGCTTTTCATACCACGTTTCTTTTAGCTGAAGGTTGTGGTGTTGCTGGGCGTGTTTCAAAATACCTATAGCTGCATCTGTCTGGTGTAATTGATTGTTTATGCTTATCAGAGATTCAATTGTTGATGTACTTGGCTCTTGTATGAATGCCAGTTCCTTATAGTGAAGTGATTTGGCATAAGCATGGCATTTTTGTGCATACTCGCCCAAGGTTGATACTGGAATAGGAAGAGATTTATCATCGTGTTCCATAAACTCTACCAAATTTAGTAGAGTCTGATGAATTTCAGGTGGATTATTCGGGGACGAAAGCGCCAGACATAAAGAACTCACGAGGTCTTCTTGATATTGTGTGTAAAGTTCTGTCCAGCAGCTAGCGAAGGATGCATTAAATAGCTCCCTGGCTAGGGGGTAGTATATTCCGGCTAGTCCCGAACATGCCCTGAGGGCGTGAGAGGGCGATTCTTTTAGTAACTGTACTGCTAAGCGCCGTATCCATTCTTGCCAATCTTCCTTGGTCCTCTGTTGGCTGCAATCCCATGCGTTTTTGAGAATGAGTTGATTGACAGGAAGTTTTTTAGACGGAAGTTCAACTTCGGCAACCTCTTTACTGACAACGTCAAAATCACGATCAATGATAATGTTTGTTGGAAGAGACTCATTGTTGAGCAGCTTATTGACCAGTTGATCATATATTGTGTGTTGAATGTGATTCTTCACCAAAGTCTTGTTGATTATAGGGATGAACACAGCGAAGTCGACGCCCAGTTGAAGAAGCAGAAGACTCAATGTGTTCATTGTCGCTCTGACAAAATCGGCACTCGCATTATTGAGTACGCGAATCAAAGCCTGAACAATTCTAGACGACATTTCGGACAGATTCACAGTTTTGGCCAGTCTTCCCAGTGTGACGATTGCCACTTTGTTCAAAGAACCAGAACCGAATTCAGCAATCCGCACTATAGCAGGGATGATCAAGTGTGCAAATTCATCCAGATTAGCATCGAATACCACCAAAGATTTTAGTACTCTAACGGAAACAACTTTTTTGTTTGATTTGTCTTTTTCCAAGGCATCGAGGAAGAGAACTAAAGTGGTTGGAAGGAAAAGCTTGAATTCACCTTTCAGGGACTTCGAGATAGACTCGATAACTGTTATGATGGTAATTTGAAGCTTCACTATTGGGAAAAATTCTCTTATTACCTCAAAAATTTCTTCCACAAAAGGTCTTATGTGTTGATTCACAATAGAAACTAACACTCCCAGTTGCTGGAAATAAAACTCCAAAAGCGAAGGAGGACAAGTTCGCATGACATTTATTATTCCCGGTATGATTTGCTTTAGAAAAGACACGCACCGAATTCCCAAAGTCTGAAATATATGCATCACCGCTTGTATTACTGAAGTGTGGTGAGATGAGAGGGATGGATCTTTTAGAATTTTCATTAACGTGGCTATGACTACTGTGGGATAATACTCGTCATTTGACGGCGACATCCCCTGCATGAGCAGACCTACGTCAATGGGCGGAGCATTTTGCTCTGCTGTAATATTAGTGTTTGACGTTCTTTCCACCTCGCGATGTTTGTAAGGATCCAAGGCACCTAAAATGCCGATCAAACGCACGGTTTCTCGCCTGATACTCTGTGAACTCTCTGACTTCAGGATGTTAATCAATACGCCCAGCAACTGGGGGTAATTCAGTAAGGGTTCGATCACATAGCCCGACGAAGCAGACAACTGGCCCAGGGTTTTGAGGGCAGCGTTACGTTTGAATGAATTTGATTGGTCCTGGAATGTGTTTATAATCAAAGGCATTAGTTGGCTCAAGAACGGCGTTAACGCTTCCCCTCCAACAACTGATAATTCACCCACCGCTTTCAAAGCAGTAGACGCTACTGCAGACGAGGTGTCTTGGCATTTGGGTAAAAGAACGTCCAGGATCGGTTCAATGTATGGTTTCGTGACATCTTGACTTGAACTGATTAGGGTACTTATCAAAGATGCACTTTCCTCTTTTTTCCGGGACATGTTAGAGTAAGTGAGCTGACTTAAAAGTTGCAGTAAAGTTTTCCTTAAGGACGGAATGACATATGCCGGATTCACCAAAGAAAGTCTCCCAATGATTTTCATGGCCTCCATTTGAATGGCGAATACTTCGTCATTTAGTGCCATAAATAGCAATCTTACATTGTCAGGCTGGGAAAGTTGAGGATCGAAGGTTGTGTCAAGATGTCTCAAAACCTCGAATCTTATTTCCACGACAGGATCAGTGATAGCAATTGTTAGCAGCTTACTCAAAACCTCAGATACCGTGTTGAGAGCTCTAAGAGAGGTTTGACTGCAGATGCTATCCTTTACAAAGAGGTCACACGATGTGAGGGCGGCGAGTTTCCTCACTTGCGGGTTTCCGTGCTCGATGTAAGAAATTGTTATTAATCTCACGAAGTCGGCAAGGGAGTATTTATAGTTGATCTTGTGTAGCATGGTCAAGGCTTGGTTCAGTATGTTTACGTCGAAAATGTCGTCATTCAGTTCCCCAGTTTTTCTCATAATGAGCTGGTCTCGATAATGTCTCGCCCTTTCAGCATTGAAGGGTTGCAATGGAATTGGAGAGCCCGGTGGTCTGAACTTCTCGCCCGACAGCGTAAAACAAAGCATATCAAGAACTTTTTCGTTGATCTTGGGCCCTAAGGCAGGAATTTTCTCCACAATAGTCGACAATGTTGTTTGCATATGGTCAGATAAAGGACAGGCTAGCATGAGATCAAGTAGGTCTTGATTCAGATATTTTGCCAACGCTGGTCCTACTGCGAATGCCAATTTTGCGACACAATAGAAGACTTCTGCTTCAAATTCTTTTCTAAGTTTGAACTTTGTCATTAATACATCCCGCACATTATCAAGGATAGAATCCATGTAAGGTGCGATGTTTGGACCAACTTCTTGGGCTATATCACCAATTGATACAGAAATGGCTGCCTTGTCAGAGTTATTAGTCGGAGTCGCGTTCTTCAGAAGAGTTAGATAGTGAATCATTATGTGGTCCAAGTACTTGTCGGTGAATAGCTGAGAGTCAGCAGCAGCTAGCAGTGGTAAAATTGCGTATACTTCTTTGCGGATAACACTGGATTTGTGGTCTTTGTATCTCATTGTCATTTCATAAATTTCATCAAATTGTTCTTGTAAGTGGGTGCCCTTCAAAGATAATAGCTGTCTGTAAACTAAAAGTGTGGCATGTATGGCCTCGATGCCATTCAGCTGTAAACCATAAGCACAGCCTTCGAGCAGCCTTTGAAACCATTTTTTTGTGAGTTTCGCATCCCTATCTTGAATAATGACCATGCACTTATACAAAGTTTTAGCCGCATCAACTCGAATGGCAAGTCTGGTATCCCGTAAGGCCCTCCAGATGTTATCCAAAATGGAATTGATGTATGGATACAATAAGTAGGGTGAGTTGTCAGCGATCGCGGTTATAATAAGAAGTGACGCGTGCTTACGAAGTTCTTGTTTAAAATTGGACGAAGAATTTTCGGGAGACGTCGTCAGCCACTCTATACACGTCTTGACTTCGAACTCAACAAAGTCAGATGTCAGTGTCCCCCCAGGAATAGCTAATTTCCCCAATGTTGCAGCTGCTGCACGCATAACTTCAACATCGTTAGATGGAACTAAAACGCGAAGATAATTGGCCAATCTTGACGTTTGATTGGGAAGCTCATCAGACTGTGCGTAGAAGTCGATAAGCGTATCAACTGCCAAAATACCACCAAATTTCTCGTAAGAAGATGAGCCATGTATGAGCTCAAAAATCTTGTTGTTGATATCATTGCTGAATCTTTGGAACTGCTCCGTTGAAACCTGACGCGCAAGAGAAACCATGCTGTTTTTCAATTCAAATGACGCTGCAGAACGCTCCTGAGCACTTGGGTTCTTCAACTTGTTAAAAATAATTGCGAAGGCAAGGAAAGTTGTTTCTGAGTCTGGATCCGTCCCGACAGAGCTCCCCGAGATACCTGCTGTTAGCCCTGCAACTTCACCACCATCATCCCCAGCCGAGCCAGGCCCTGTAAGAGCAGGAGTATTCGCGCCCCCAACAGCGCCTGCAGAACCATCATTACCTATCGCAGTGCCATTTTTCCCGCCAGAATTGAGTTTTTTACGTCTTCCAAGGTCATGTTTCATTTTCAACATGAACGGGGACTGAACTTTAGGCCCTTAGCGATTCCCGATGCCCTTGGTTGCGACTCGTTTTTGTCAAGTTTTTATGAGATTAACTAGATTTGGATACACTGGGGTTTATCGTCAACGTAGGCAAACAATGTCATTATTGACGTTGTTGAAACCACAACTCATCCATTACCTCTCTTCAACTACGGTTATTGTATGTTCCACCATAGTCGCTGCTAAAGAGCTAAAAATGCTGTTTGTCTTTGGATAGCTGGATTTAATATCAAGGCTACTGATTTCCGTTCAATTTTGGAAGAAAATCGAGAGACAAATAAAACTAACGTTGACACCTGGCCCTCAGATGAGACTGACAGCAAAACCTCTTGTATTTCATATAAATGAAGAATTGTAGCTAACGGTTGCCGTTGGGCCTTTTTTGTCTCCGTGTCTACAACTGTAACATTTAAAAGGCCAGTTGTTTTCACTCGTTATGACACCGGAGAGGGTTTGAAACATTCACAAAATTAGCTAAATAAGCTCCATGTTATACTGTTGAGGTTTCAACTTGAACATAAACATCAAAACTCCGTACTAAAATAATGTAAAACACACTGAATTGCCATTCAAATAATCTTCCTTTTCAACATTAAGCAGATTATATGAAAGGCTGTCCGTTTTCCAATAACTCTATATAGTGACCAAAACGCAAGGCCACATTTAAGTAACCAGATAACACTTCATTTGAGCATAGTGTCACAACTGTACAAAATGACATAAAAAATATTATGACAACCCCTTTCTTATATACAAACTAAGCTTCATCAAATATCCAATCTCGTCATAAGTGGCCTATCAAACCCAAAAACGAGAGTATAGAAAGCGCGAAAGGGCCCATTGGCATTTTGAAACTGAAGAACGATGTCGTACCTAAATAATCCGGCCATCGTCATGGACAATGGTACCGGTTTGACAAAGTTGGGATTTGCTGGAAATGATTCGCCGTCGTGGGTTTTTCCCACAGCTATAGCCACCGCGCAACGTTCTGCAACCAAAAGTGGTGGCAGCGGCGCTAGTTCTAGTACAATGCAGAATCAAAGCGCTCCATACTTCGGAAACTCAACTTCTGCGACGTCTTTCAACAGCTTGGCTTCTGCAGCTCTCATGTCAAACAATCTAGCAGGCAAACGCGGCACTGAGGATCTAGATTTTTATATTGGTAATGAGGCGCTTTCAGCAGCCCAAGGGCCATCATACTCACTCAGCTACCCGATTCGACATGGCCAAGTCGAGAATTGGGACCATATGGAAAGATTCTGGGAAAACTCTATTTTCAAGTATTTGAGAACCGAGCCTGAAGACCACTTTTTTCTGCTCACTGAACCGCCTTTAAACCCTCCAGAGAATAGAGAGCAGGTCGCTGAGATCTTTTTCGAGAGCTTCAATTGCGCCGGTCTCTATATCGCTGTACAAGCCGTCCTGGCTTTGGCTGCCTCTTGGACTTCCTCAAAAGTTGTCGATAGGTCTCTTACGGGTACTGTTATAGACTCAGGGGATGGTGTCACGCATGTTATTCCAGTCGCTGAAGGTTACGTTATCGGGTCTGCCATTAAAAATATTCCCATTGCAGGCAGGGATATTACACTTTTCATTCAATCGCTGCTCAGGGAACGTGGTGAGGAAGATACCACCCTGAGGACTGCAGAACGTATCAAACAAGAATACTGCTATGTTTGTTCTGATATTGTTAAGGAATTTAACAAGTTTGATAGAGATTCTGAAAAGTTTGCACAATTCATCGTGGAAAATACAGAAAAGACGAAACGTAAGGTAATAGACGTGGGTTACGAAAGATTCTTGGCCCCTGAAATTTTTTTCAATCCAGAAATAGCATCCTCGGATTTTTTGACTCCATTACCCACTGTAGTTGACCAAACCATTCAGGCCTGTCCAATAGATGTTCGTAAAGGACTTTACAACAACATTGTACTATCTGGCGGCTCTACGATGTTCAAAGATTTTGGACGTCGTCTACAGAGAGACTTAAAAGGTCTGGTCAACAACAGAATTGCATTGAGTGAAAGCCTCAGCGGAACAAGGTCCACAGGCGTTGACGTACAAGTGATTTCTCACAGGAGACAAAGGAACGCAGTGTGGTTCGGTGGCTCTTTGTTGGCACAGACAGCTGAATTTAAAGGTTATTGTCATACCAAAAAAGACTACGAGGAAATTGGGCCTGAAATTGTTAGAAATTTTAGCTTATTCAACATGGTCTAAAACCAAAAAAATTTTGAAGAGGTTGACCAGATGTATAGTGCGAATAAATTTAAAATATAAACATTAGTACTCATCTTTTCCGCTGATAATGACATTGTCAATCTTGAGAATCATCCGACAAAGTTGAGTGGCCAGAAGGATTTGCTGCTTCTTGCCAATAAAAGGATCGACAACGAATAACTCTTTCATGTTATTGGAATCATTGGACAGGCAATCGACACCAGTAGTAGACGTTTTTTCTTTTATTTGAGTGCTCTTCAGCAGGGATAGAGTCTCAATTGGGTCAAGACCGGAATTCTCAGCTAAAAGCATAGGTATTGTGTCAAGTGCTTGGGAAAAGGCACGGAACGCATATTGGTCAATGCCGTGTTGCTTATCGGCCTCTTCAGAAATCGCTACAGACATAGTCACCTCGGCGGCACCACCGCCGTAAACAACTCTGGAATCCTTGACCAAATTTCTAACGACACATAAAGAGTCATGCAAAGCTCTCTTCGCTTCTTCCACGATCATTCTATTAGACCCACGGATGAAACACGTAGCTGTTTTAGAGTTTGAACATTCCTCAATGACCAACATGCGATCTTTGGTTGTGCCAAATTCAATTTCACGTATCTTGCCGCACGTCCCTAGTTTCTCAGGTGACAAATCTTGGAAACGAGGAACAATACGTCCTTTTGTGGCGATGGCAATAAGTTCCAATTCTTGGCCCCCGACCCATCTTATGGCCGGTAGATTATTCTGCAACAACAAGTGGTTGGCTTCGTCATCAAAACCCCACTGGCAAATTGCTACATCTGCACCCGCATTTTTAACATAATCGATCATCTCCGTAAATTTGTCTTGCTCGTAAGACTGAAGTTTTTGATATTCCTCCACTGACGAAATATCCAATTTGTGTTTGGTCTTAGGTTTTGGTGGCTCGAAAGGGCATGTGAGGATTGCGAGTTTAACGCCATCTTGGCCCTCCTTGGGAATCACGGTCTTAGGCATCTGTGGATGTGAAAAATCTTTATCGAGGACAACACCTTTAATCAGCTTTGAGTCTTGCAAAGAACCACCAACACGACCCTCCAATTTAATAAGGTCAAAGTCAACGTCCTTTCTATCTAGATCCATTACGCTCGTTACGGCGTCGACGGCCATTTGTGCGAATTTATCATGATCCTTCGAAACGATTTTGGACCCCAAAGACGTCTTGGCAGCTTTGAACAAATAATCGTAGAAAGACGCTTCGTCAAGGGCCACATCATCGGCTACAGACTCCAAGTGAGCCACAGCCATTTTGGCTGCTTCATCGAATCCGTTGGCTATCTTAATTGGATGAATTCCCTTTTCGATAAGCTCTAATGCTTGATCAAGTAAAGCACTGGCTAGCACCACAACACCAGTCGTACCATCGCCAATCTCCTCATCTTGGGACTTTGAGAGCTGAACCAAAAGTTTTGCAATCTCGTTATCTAACTCCATTTGAGATAAAATAGTAGCACCATCGTTGGTAATGGTGATCTCGCCATCAGGCGAGATTAAAATCTTGTCGAGGCCTCTTGGACCTAGAGAAGTTTTTATAATCGATGCTACTGACCTGGCTGCTAGGATGTGTGACTTTTTGGCCTCCAATCCATGTTGTCTTTGCTTATTTCCTTGGTCTTTGACAATGATGAAAGGTCTACCCATTTCATCTTGAGCCATAATGGCGTTGGACATATCGGGCATTTCCATGCCTTGTTGATGCATGTGAGCCATTTATTTTCGGGGAGTTCCAGTTTATACGTGGAAGTGGCTCAATTGCTTGCAATTTTGTTACTTAAACCTTCGATTCAGTGTATAATTCATGATTCCTTCTTGCACAGGATGGCAAATTTTGCCGTTAATAATAAACTTCAATATACCGTTTTCAATGATTTTTCATAAATACATTTGTACTCTCAAAGGCCGCTTGTGAGAGCGAGCGAGTAGCTTAGCACTGCTCGAACATATAGAATGTAATAATCATCACACGTTGCATAAAGAGCGAGATCTTTCTCTTCGACCGGTTTGAAATACCCTGCCATGAACTATCCGCATTTATTGATGACTTGAACTTTTTAATGGCTATCGATAACGAAAGTATTACCGTTACGTATTCAAGGCATTAGATGGGTGAAATAGAAAAAGAAGTTGTTGTGTAGATGTCCTCTTTTATTTTTTGATCTAATATACAGTGTAACTTTTATGTACTTGACTTCTTGCTGAAAGTCGTGCAGGTCGGCCTTTCAATTGTTAGTCCTGAACCTATAACCGCACTCAGTGCAGGTGTAGAACACGGTGGCACCTTCATCGGCAGACCGCAGCTGAAGCGTGTGATAGTGCATTTCATCGTTGCCACATTTAGGACACTTCTCGCGGATTGTGGCGCCTTCTTCTAGCTCGTCCTTGCTTAGCGAGGTTTTGACCACGGATCTTTTAGATTTGAGCGCAGATGGGAAAGCATCGTCGGCAGTACGGGTCACCACTCGCAATTGCGAGAACTTCGATTTGGCGTATCCTGCTCCACATTGAGAACACACGATATCCGACCCCTCAACGGCTGAGGGGTTGTCCAGCAAATTACCACACTGTGTACAAAATATGAGGGACCCAACCACGGACATATCCAATGCTTTTTGCAGATGCTATGCTATTTAGATGTCGTTAGCTTCTTATTACAGAAGCGATGAGATGAGATGAGATGATTTGAGTTGAGCGGATATTGAAATTTTTCAATGTCGTTGGTGATGACATGTCGCGCGCTGTCGCTGAACTGGATATTTGAACCTCTGGTGCATCCATCAGTCTTTTAGCTCTCTTCTTTTTGGAAACAACTACATACCTTGAGCTGGCATCGTTTTATGAGCTTACATTTTATGAGATTCTCTACGTTATCTGAACACTAAGCATCGCAGGGTTGGATGGTTCGTTGTCGGCCATCATGAAGCTCCTCAGAACCACCATCTCAGCATTCTTTTTATTTATTTTTGTGTCCAAGATAAGTAGTCGAACCTGAATCTTTTGCCAGCATATTAGTCAATTCTTGCTCAAGTACAATGCTTATTTGTAAAGTAAAGATCTATATTTCAAGATCGGCGGTCACTAAAACTTCTTCGAGGTGGTGTCCACCAAATTTTTGGTTGAATGATAAGTATACCCTTCGTCATGCTCATCTACTTGCGAAATACGCTCTTTGTGGCTTGGGCTCTAGCGAGAATTTTGTGAACCGAAATTCCAGGGCGTGCGGCTATTGTTGGTGTTGATTATAATTCGCTGCGGGTGGCGTCTATCATTCAAAACTGCTAGGTTTTGAGAAATTGTTTTTAGTCTGATATTGAAAGTTAGTAAAGATTGAATACGACTTACGAGTTAAGGTTACTGGCAATGAAGTTCAAGTTCAATTGGTTCCTGGCTAGCTGCTTCTTTAGATCGAGTGCAATAATATAGCCTCTTCAACCACAGCAGCATCAATTCATGCGTTTTGCTGATTTTTCGAATGGCATGGCGGTTGCATAAGACGTTCAAAGTCAATAAGAAAACTCATAATGCTAGCTCCTCGTTACTAGAAGTTCTTTATGGTATTCTACTTGTCCTCGGCTATCTGAGCATGTGTACTTGCGAAGAAGTCAAATCGACTGGCTTGCTGTGTGGGTCAATTGAATCCATTCGCTCCACTATTATGAATTCGCAAATGTTTGACATTTTGGCTTAATAACGCATTACTCTTCTATTATTTGTTTAATATAGGTTGCAATGTCATGCAAACATTTCAGATGATGGATCCGTATTGGTGAGGTGGTAGAAGTATGCTGTTTTGACTTGGCCATTCTGGTGGGTGATTGTAATTGTTGTAGAAATGCTGACTTTATTTAACGCCCATGTACTCTTTCAACCTTTCTGAAGAGTTTATCATCAGATCAACAGTTTTGGGCAATCTCATCAACCATAAAGCTCTAGGGTAAGAGTAACAAAAAATGAGAGAAGTTCTTTGAGCCCATAAAATTGACCTTTAGAGTAAGATCTTTGAAATAAGAACTTCGGCTATTGATTACAGATATCTTTAAGTTCTTGTCCTGGAAATGGTCTCCCTCTATGAAGTGGAATGAAGTGGACAATACACGGGAACAAAATATCAAATGACATGGCTGATGTGCTGAATTTAAATGAAATTGAGCTGGAATAAAATGGCAATGAAAGCGATAATGCTTTGGAAGTAACGGATTTGCGCTTGTTCGTTATGGAAAATCCACTGGCTTGAAATACTCAATGAACGAATTTGCGCTGGAATGAATTGGCAATACGCTGGAATGAGACTGAGATGGAAAATCTAACAATTTAAATTGACAATACACTGGAACAAGAAATTCAATGAAACGAATAATGAGTCAAGTTGGAATTGGCAATACACTGAAATGAAATGACAATTTACCGAAACGTATTATTCAGTGAGATGGATAATGGAATGCAGTGGAATGAGGTGACCATATGCTGCAATAAACTGATGATGCGTTGAAAGGAATATGTTAAGAAATGAAATGCGCTGGAGTGAAACAATCAATCAGGTGGCTAATTCATTGGAGCTGAATACTCAATGAATTGAATAACACGCTGGAATTAAAATGCTTTGGAACGGAATAACCAAGAGATGACAACACGCTGAAATGAAGTATTTGATGAAGTGCGTTGAAGTGAATGTTCGGTGAGCTGGAAACGCGCTGAAATGTATGGATTGCAATGAAATACTCAATGAAGTGGAAATGCGCTGGAATGAAGTGGACAAGACGCAGGAGTGAAGTTTTCAATGAGCTGGAAACGCGCTGAAATGTATGGATAGTGCGTTGCAACGAAATACTCAATGAAGTGGAAATGCACCGGAATGAAGTGGACAGCACGCAGGAATGATTTATTTGACGAAATGGACAGTGCGTTGCTATGAAGTATTCAGTGAGATGGAAATGCGCTAAAAAATAAAGTATTCAGTGAAATGGGTATGAATTGGGATGAAGTGGACAACACGCTGAAATAAAAACTATGTTGAAATGTATGGAAACACGCTGCAATGAATATTCAATAAAATGGAAATGCGCTGGAACAGAATATTCGGTGAAAGATGTGTACATTGGGATGGAGTGGACAGCACGCTGGAATTAGGCGCTGGAATGAATATGCAACATGCTGCAATGAATATTCAATGAAAATGCGCTGAAAGGAAATACTCAATAAGATGAATTGGAATGAACTACTCAATGAAACGGAAATGCGCTGGAACAGAATATTCGGTGAAATATGTGTACATTGGGATGAAGTGGACCAAATGCTGACATAAAACACCCAATGAAATGGAAAAGCTCTGGAATGAAATTCTCAATGAAATGCTCTGGAATGAATATACAACATGCTGCAATGAATATTCAATGAAAATGCGCTGAAAGGAAATACTCAATAAGATGAATTGGAATGAACTACTCAATGAAATGGAAATGCACTGGAACAGAATATTCCGTGAAAGATGTGTACATTGGGATGAAGTGGACAGCACGCGGGGATTAAACACCCAACGAAATAGAAATGCGCTGGAATGAGATTCTCAGTGACATGAAAAGCGCTGGAATGAAATACTCAATGAAATGAAATGATCAATGAAATGCTCAATGAAATGCTCAATGAAATGCTCAAGGAAATGCTCAAGGAAATGCTCAATGAAATACTCAAGGAAATGCTCAATGAAATGATCAATGAAATGCTCAATGAAATTCTCAATGAAATGCTCAATGAAATACTCAAGGAAATGCTCAAGGAAATGCTCAATGAAATGATCAATGAAATGCTCAATGAAATTCTCAATGAAATGCTCAATGAAATGCTCAAGGAAATGCGCTGGAATGAATGGACAAAATGCTGCAACGACTACTCAATGAAATGCATGTCCGCTCGAATGAAAATGCGCTGCAATGAGATTCTCAGTGACATGGTAAACATTGAAATGAAGTGGACAACACGCTGGAAAAATGTTTTGACAAAGTCCTGGAACGAAATATTCAATAGTTGGCACAACCCCACTCGGAAACGAAGTATTCAAGAGTATGCGCAACGAACCCCCACTCGGGAACAAAATATTCAATAGTTGGCACAACCCCACTCTCCACTGCCGTAACGCTCATAGTAATGTGTCTCTCTCCTCCTTCTCTCCTCCTCTCCCTCCTCCTCTCCCTCCTCCTCTCCTTCGGCTTTTCCTCGGCAACTGTCACGTATGCAGGCTTTGGCCAAGACCTTCTCGCGTGATCCCGCGCCCCCCTCGTGTCTTCCTTTATCTCCCCTACGGCCCGCCCCGCTATCCGCTCCGCCGTGCCACGCGATCCCTCCTCGTCAACCGCCCCTCCCCGTTTGTCATCCTGACGAGGCGCCTGTCTGTGCGGATAACGAGGCGAAGCCCCAGGCACAACTGGCGCCTGTACGTACAGTCTGAACTAACGTTCACACGCTACCATGCGGCGCTCTTATCCACCAAGATACACTCGTCTCAGTCTTGCACTCACGTAGCTCGCATTCCACTCGCTCTCCAGATCCAAAATCCCACCAATCGCACCGTTCAAAACCGTTGAACCGTACCTCACTCCTTCTGGGCTCGAGCCTGCCGCCCATTTTGCGACCCGATTGCCAAGTCTTTTCTCGATCCATTGCTCCAGTCCCACAAGCCCTCTCGCGATCCGCAGCAATCCTGCATATCCGCGATTGCGTCATGCAGGAGGCACGAGTCCCTCTACACGGCGCGCGATTTGCAGCGACGCAGGGTGCCTGCGTCCGCATGGCAACCGGGACGGGATATGTCGCACTTGCATGCGGTGCGTCTGCATGCATGGTCGTGCATGGGATCCGGGTGTAGTTGCGCGCGGGCCGCATGTCACTTTTGTTTTCTTCGAATTTTTCGATATTCGGCGTATATGTCTATATATGCGAGGGCTTGGTTCCGTTTATTCCCATGCCGGAACCCATCAGTTTCAAGAATGTGGAAAAGAGAGTTTAAAACGGCCAAGCTATCGGGAGAAAAGCGAGGCAGCGAGTAAAGTTTTTCCAAGAGACATTCAGCAAGTGCACGGTATCGTTCATCTCCTTTGTCACCGAAGCGATCGCGAAGGCTCCTGTGCGTTTCAGAAAAATACTCTCAAGCCAGTTGGATACTCGTTTTTTTTATTTTATTTTTCATTGTTGTTGCTTCTTCTTGTTCTTCTTCAAGTCGTTTGCGAGCTTTATAACAACCACTCACACCCAGGCTACAACCCGCACTCGCCGTCGAGCTGAACTTTGTGTTGTTTTTGCCCTAGCGCCTTGTGTTCCTCTCTCCCTCACACTTTTTTTTCGGGTCCAGTCTAGTCTAGTGCTCCACCAACCACCATGCGCACCCGGCTCCAGAAACACAGCAGAAGGCTGGTCACGCTGCTGCTGGTCGCAGTGGTCGTCGAGCTCCTGTACGTGGCGACCTCGATCTATCTCGTGGACGACGACGACGGCAGGCTGCTGGGCGGTTCGAGTCTGACCTCCTGGTTTTCTTTCAATCCGCTGGGCGCGCTCACGTACCGTGCCGATCCCAACCGCATGCTCCCGGGCCTCGTGTCCGGAAGTCGTTTGCGGCTGCCCGACAAGTTGCTGGCCAGCGTGCTTCCCGAAAACCCGGAATCAGGCGCGCTGCGCGCGCCCACCGCTCGCGATCTCGTCGAGTTCTATAGGATGTGGAAGTTTGACACCGCGGTCCGCTACGTAATACCCTGCACCGCGTCCCAGACTTTTTTTGGTCGGCTCCAAAGCCCCATCAAGTCCCTCCAGGATTTGTTCCCGCGTCACGACATTGAAGCGGAGGCCATTCCTTCTCTCCCATCCACCAATTTTACCCTTAATAGCCAATTCCCACTACGAACCTACAATTATGACCCCCGGGTGGCCACCTCGGTCTACTACGACGAGCTTTTAGATTTGGTCCTCCAACAAGGCGGTGTGAAATTCCACGAAAACAAAATCACCCATCAGAAATACCCTTCCTTCAGCAACATAAGTTTGCCCTTCAACTGGTACGACTGGACCGATTCTCAAGTTCTGAACGGTTTCATCGATTTACCACAATCCGATAAACCCAAGTGCGATGAAGTTGTTCGCAAATATTACATATCTGAAAAGGTTATCGAGTACGAGCGCAAATTCGGTTACAAGCTATTTGAGCAAGATCGTGTCAAAGGTTTGGGTGCCTCAAAGTTTCAAAGCACCTCTAATCTTGCTGGTAAAGAACCGTACGTACCTCCGGAAGATTATTGCGACAACGAGCCTTATAATGTGTTGATGCCAGGATTCAAGTCCCGCGCCCCGCTCAACTTTTCAAGGCCTGAACTTTATGCATTGCAAGCCCGCGCCACCCTCTATTCATCCATGGAATCTCCAAACTCAATAACGTTTTTGAATAGAAACGGTTCTGCGATTCAAGTGAGTATTCACAATATCGAACCAATAGATTCTCAAGGTAAGCCGCAAAATATCTTATTCAATGGGTTGCTAGAACGCTACTTAGAGCGTAATGTACCAGCTTACCCGAAGATCCCAAATCAAGACATTGAATTCAAGAACATAGAGAAATTCAAAGATTTGAAACAGGAACTCTTTAACTCCCAACTTAAATCGGATTCGAAGGCTCATTCATCAGCATCATCATCATCATCATCTCTTTCATCATCTTCAACAACATCCTCAGACGTGTCTGCTGAGACTCCAGACTTGACCCCTGAGATGCCTTACTTTATAGAATTGACGGAAGACGATTTCGAATTTGACGCTAAAGCTAAGATTAGTCAGTTGGAAGCATTGCCAAAAAGATCTCGGCATCAGGATTCTTACATGGAATCCTTAAAATGCTCGATTAATACGCTGACCATGGATTTGAACAAGTATTTTTCAGAAGCTTCTCATGTTGCAGACTACGTCCACATGGGCCACCACTTCGATGCTAGGTTCTTCAGAGGCTCTGTGGAACATTCTGAAATGCGCACGCGCCTGGATGCAATCGTTCGTGCGTGGCTCAATTTCGTGCATTCCAATGGTCTCAGCTCTTGGTTATCTCATGGTACTTTGTATGGCTGGCTGTACAATGGTATGGCATTTCCTTGGGATGGTGACCACGATATGCAAATGCCTATTGTCCATCTTAACATCTTAGCAGAAAAATTCAATCAAAGTCTGATTGTTGAAGATCCAGAAATCGGAAACGGTCGGTTTTTTCTAGATGTTACCAACTCGATAACAAGTCGCACCCATGGCAACGGTAATAATAATATTGATGCGAGGTTTATTGATGTCGATTCTGGTCTTTACGTGGATATTACCGGTTTGTCCGTGTCTTCAGACGGAGTTAATTCCAGATATAAAGAACAAGCTGATGGAATACTCAAATCTAATGTGACCGGCGGATCCTTAGAATATTTTAGAGATCCTAATATCGTAAAAGGAGTCACAGACCTTTCACCACAGGAAGTGCTTTTAGAAGAGCGAAAGAGAGGAAACGTGACATTCCCGCGTATGAATCACATAAATTGGTTTGCAGGCCTAGTTAATGGTGTCCAGAACGGGCACGAAAAAGAAACACCCGAGAACCGTTACAACGTCAACAAACATATCAAAGTTTACAATTGCCGCAACAACCATTTTAGCAATCTGACAGAATTATCACCCTTAAGGCTTACATTTTTCCACGGCGCAAAGGCGTACGTCCCTAACAAAAGCATTGAATTGTTGAAGCATGAATACCATGTTCCAGCTAGTTATTCGTATTTGGAATTTGCTGACAGGGCATTCGTGCCAGATTTCCGCACTTGGTTGGATAAATCCACGCTTAAAAAAATTGCTCAAGGCCCAGGATCCCCAACCCTCGTTGATACTGAGCACCTGAAAGAGTTGAGTTATCAAGAAACTGCAGCGCTTTTCCAAAACGCCGCTGTTTTGGCTGATTCTGATGTCGAAAAAATATTCAATTTCATGTGGAATACTTTTCATATGTCCATCTTCCGTCACAAGGAGCTAGAGTTGATGTATGATGAAAGTCTTGTGGCGGATGACAAAACTAAGGCGCTAAAAGAATACGTCCGTGATAGATCTTTTACTGGGGGCTACAAAGACCCATTTCAAGAGCGTTTGGAAACGGTTGTATGGTATAATTTACTTGACAGAAGTTTGGTCTCCTATCCACGTCTTGATGAAGAGTTGAAGAAATTGAACCTAGAGAACGCAGATCGTCTCTCGGAATTAAATTCTCTCAGCGTTCAAAGGGAGTACCCGTGGGCTACCGAGGCTGGCTACCAACACCCACCTAGCATGTTTGATTTCAACCACCGCGGCAACAGGTTTTTCGCAACAGGTGAAAAGAGCGCCAACCAGGTTTTTGGTTCAGATCCCAAAGATCTAGTCACTGTCTAATCGTCACCAAAATCAAAGGAGGAGACGCAAACGTAATGAGGAGAAGAAAAACCATTAAAAAAAAAGCAGGATCGTCATACCCACCATATTACGGATAATGAGATTGCGTGCATGAGTTTCGATGAAAGAGATACCGATACTGAATCAATGGATCTGCACAACTACTACAAGCTGTAGCAAATTTCGGAATCTCGATGTTTGCATTCAGGGGAAGCACAAGCAGATAATCCCAAAAAAAATCATACAACATAACAAGAATTTTCCCTTTTTGCATGTTTCAACAATTTTGTTTGATACAATTTTTTTACTTCTAACTTAAATGTTCATTCATAGCTTTTAATATTTTACAGCAATAGCCCTATACAAACACTGTCATGAATACGAACGTCTTGCTCCGCCATAACTCAAAGTTCTGCTTCAGTTCATTGCTTACAATTTCCCTTGGCGCAAATTGTAGTTCAGCAGTCTAAGTACTTATCACGACTTTTCATGTATAACGTAAGTGTATGCTCTAGTTTTGATATATGTTTGTGTTGAATATAATATATTCATCTTTTTTTCGTCAGTGTTAACAGAGTTCGAATAAATGTTGATTTCCAATGTCTTTAATATTGTCTAAATTACCGCTAACTGAAGAGCTGATACCTTAACAAAGTCCTGATTGCTCTTTCACCATGAGTCAATCACTGAAGCGCCTAAAAGTAAAGCTGAGGATCGCAGTGGTACAACTGAATCCTAGAATTGGTCATGTAGACCAAACGTTGGCTAGAATAAACTCAATCGTGTCGCGCATAGAGCGATATCGTCCTGATATCGTGGTATTTCCTGAGTTTGCACTTTCAGGTTACAGCTTCCATTCGCGTTCGCACATTGAACCGTATTTGAGTCAACCGACAAACGGTCCGGCCTGGGATATATGCCAGCGCATTTCTAAACGTCTCTCATGTATAACAGTGATGGGTTACCCGGAGATTGTGAGAGAATCTTCTCAGAAGGCATACAATTCGGCCATAGTTGTGAACGCAAATGGCGAGCTAGTCTTCAACTACCGAAAGGCTTTCCTGTATTATACAGAAGAGGAGTGGGGGTGTTCTGAAAATCCAGCTGGTTTCCAAACTTTCGATCTCCCCTTTTACCAAAAGGCATGTGACTCTGACGGCCGATTATACGACGTCAGTTTGAAAAGCGCAATTGGTATTTGTATGGATCTTAGTCCATATAAATTCCAAGCGCCTTTTTACGATTTCGAGTTCTCAAGCTTTCACTCCGAGCACTCGACTGAGCTGATTCTTTTTCCGATGGCATGGCTTCATTCTATATCTGCGACTCGAGAGTCGAAAAATCCTGAGCAGCAGAAAAAAGAGATCGCGCAATCTCAGCAAAGTCTCGGCTTTCAGTCTCACGGATCCCAAGGTGAATACCAGCTGGACATTTTGTTGAATGATGGAACCTGTATTAAAGAGTCGCCCAGTGCTGTCACGTGTGACTTGCCAGATGTCCAGGTGAAGTCGGCGTTCTCGCATCCAGCAGAACCAGACCTGACAAATGTTGACTATTGGATTCTTCGCTTTATGCCGCTTCTAGCGTACAGGCAGCGTAAGAACTGGTTTTCGGGCGGACTTTTAGCTACAGTTTTGAAAAAGTTCCAAGAAATACGAACAACGTATATGGGAGCCTCGCTAGAGAAACCTTGGTCATTTGAACACAAAAATACTGTAGCAGTTATGTGCAATCGTTGTGGCGTTGAAGATGGAACGACCGTTTACGCGGGGTCTTCTAGTGTTTTCAAATTTAATGGAAAGTACGGAAATTTCGAGGAAGAGTTGGACAGCTCTAATAGAAGCGTTGAGGTTTTGGGAAGTTTAGGTAAGGGATATGAAGGAGTTCTCCTAAGAGATGTCGAAATAGAGGTACTGCGTGAAGTTGATGATAAAGCTATTGCAATTGTTCCAGAAAGAACATGAACTATGTATTAAATTTTACGAGCGGAAAACGGATATCAGCGTAGAGCTATTAAATCAAACTTTTATTTCGGTACACTATGTCCCTATTGGTAACATGGATAACGACTCGGCTAAAAAAGTTCTGGATCTTCCTTGAAAACGTCATTAGAATTAAAACCGCCATTCACGACATTGAAATCATCGAGATCCAGTTTGATTTCTGAACTTGAATCAGCTTTGTAGAAGGGCAATGACTTATTGGCCAGCAGTAAGTTCCATGCGTCTATTTTCTCGGCCTTCGCCAAATCAACGAACTGGAGATCGTCCTGATTGAAGTTCTCTTCTTTTGACACCTCACGCCACCTCATTTTTTGCAAGTAGCTGATATACGGATCTGTCATTATAGGTTTGATTTTTGATCCAAGGTCCGATCTGAGTCGTGTGAGCAAATACTCTTTCTCAGTAATATTGTGATTTTGTGAAAAGTGCAGTTCAATTTCTTTCAAACGATAAGTGCTCATCTCTTTACTACTGTAGATGGTTGAAAGAAAATCAGCCTCATTCGAGCTCGCTGCATTTTTTACCAGAATGGCTATGTCACTCAGGTTAAAATTACTAACAGGAGTTTTAATACTTTCTAATTCTTGAATGCGCCCGTTAGTATTCATCAACTTTCTTAGAAGCGACACGGGTATCCATGTTCTAAGGCCAGGAACGAAGGATTTGGCTTGAAATGCAATAGCGCTCATTTTCATGGGTACTTGATACTCTCTACGCAAGGCGCTGATATACTTAGCAGGAACCAAGGCGGAGACACCGTGGAATTTTGTTGCTATTAGGGGTGAAATCATATCAAAGTGGACAAAGTGGTGATTGCGGCAGTTAAAAAGGCTAAGCTCATAATTCAAGTTGTACCGCTGTTCCACAGAATAATATTTTGAGGGCGATTTGTCACCTGGGAATTGATCATTATATTTCGCGATCATAGTTTTCACCCGTTTCTTGTCGTCTTCACTATATGAATCACTTTCCTCAACCTTGTTATAAAGAACTTGAAGAGGCACGTCGGTCTTATTAAATATCAAGTTGGGATCACGATGCTTTATGTCGAGACCAACTTTGTCTTTATTGGCATTGAAGAAAGCTTTGTCTCTTACAGATAGCATTGCGGAGGAGACGCTAAGGGCAGTGATATCAATATAAAGCCCCGAGTCAATGTCAATGAATCTGGCATCGATGTTATTGTCTCCGTTTCCTTGAATACGAGTAGTTATTGAGCTTCCGATGTCCAAAAGGAACCTGCCATTTCCTTCCCGTGGATCTTCAAGCACTAACGTCTGATTGAAGTGCTGTGCTAAGATATGCAAATGCCTAATAGGCATCTGCATATCAAAATCATTATCCCATGGAAAGGCTTCTCCGTTGTAAAGATATCCATAAAGCGATCCGTGAGCCAGCCAGCATATCAAGCTATTGGCTTTTAAGAATTTTTGGAAAGTTACCATCATAGAGTTTAATCGCAATTGGCTCTCATGTACATCGCGAAAAATTGCCCCGTTGAAAAATCTTGCATCATGGTGTCTTCCTAGAGCCAAAAAGTCTTGGAGTCCTCCAGGCTCATTGAAATATTTGGGCGCAAATGCGAAATGAGTCTGCGTAGAAAATTCCAAACTCTCCAGGTATGATTGTTCATGAGCATTCAGCGGCTTACGTTGATTTTTCAACTCTTGGATTCGAGCCAGTGCGTCAAATTCGAAATCTGACTTTTTTAAATTTGTGCTATATTTTTCGAACGCGTTATGCTCGTTATCTTGTAAGCCTTCAATGCGAACTTGATGTAAATTTGAGGATTCGCTTTTAGTAAATTTCTTGAATTCTTTGACGTAATCGAACGTAAAATCTTGTTTTACGCCAGTTCTCTGTTTAACGTAGTTGTTGAGTAAACCGGATTGTGCCAAATTCTGGCGCGATGTTTGATCCACTATAAATTGCCAAGAATATGTGTCCCCATTCAATATAGTGAGCGACAATGGGCTATTTGAAGCATGCAAGAGGTAATTTCTAGCTTGGAATCTGTAGACCTCCGGCCTCACCTGGTCCTTCAAAGCAGTAGCAACAATGCCGATAGAGTATCCATGTGAGTCATTGCTCCCCGCTGAATTCAGACTTTTGGTTGTATCTTCTACCACGCACGAGCTATTTGCGCGCTGAAACATGTCACGAAGTTGATCAGACTGGAGCTCAGTATTATGGTTATAGTACTCTCTATCGATGTCAAACAAAGTCTCCCCTAATTCGTCCTCTATCTGCGAAAGTAAGGATCCATTGAAGTGATGCCCAAACAGGAAGTCGCAGGTAAGGGTTGTGTCTTGCAAAGAGATGAGCTTGTTATAATCGCCAAAATCTGCCCAATCATACCACGAAAATGGCAAGAGGACCGACGGATCCTGGCTCTGCGTAAAGAAGTCTGCCAAGACGCTCCAGACCAGCCGGGGATCCGAGCTATAAAACTGCAAATCCTCCACCTTTTTTATTTTTTCGCCTTTATGTGGTCCAACTTGCACGGTCAGCAAGTCCTGTTGCAGCTTGTAAGATGACGGGTACTGGAATGTGGTATCGTACCATATAGTCCGGTATAACTGTGCCACGTAACCAGGATTATGTTCATCACTTGCAGATAAATTGCTGAGGCCGAGCTGCTCAAAACTCAGTGCCGACAAATCGTACCCCGAGCCATACAGTGATGCTAGCAAGAAGATGCTAGCGATCAACCATATAGCCAGTCCTATCATACTCAAATACTGTCTGTTTTTATTCCGCATTTTAGAAAGCGTCATTTGTCGTTTCAGCCAATGCCCCATTCTGCCCCCGAATACCCGCATAGACGAGTTCTGGAAAGCTCCTACGAAATACCAGAAGTCCCCCTGTCTAGCTCCGCTCGTTACAGATGTCTCACCTTCCCTGTCAAGACTCTGTGCTATTGCTGAGATTTATACTCTAGAACCTGACTTCCATTATACTTCAAAACACGATTTTCGGATACAAGCGAGGATAAGCCATTTTTCTGCGCCAAGAAGAATATGACCTTGACAACCACATAGATGTTAAGAAAAAGCTGTGGAAAGTTCCGGCCTTTGGTGAATACCGACATGTGAGAAATTTTTTTCTTGGCGAAAAAGCTGTCGTTTGCTGAAGCAGACAAAACCGAATCAGGAAAAGGTTCATACGTCTTCAATTTTCGGCAGGCATTGATAACCGTCGTGATTGTGTTAGAACATATGACAATGACCCGGATAGCGTTCAACACAAAATGACAATCCTTCGGAAAATGGTGGTGTAAAAGTGCTTCAGCTTTGTTTCAGCAATCGCGTGTTTGTTAGTTGTAGAATGTAGTAGTTGTCAAGGAGTAAGGAAGGCACGGGAGTGGCGCAAGTGCAGCGTGGCTTTGCTTGCTTGGAAATTTCGCAGGAAATTTTCTGGTTCAGTGGACGCGCGCCTCAGCAGATTGAATTATGGTTGGTGGCCGACACAGTGAACTGCACCCGGGACTAATTTAGGTTTTTTTGACTTTGCAGGATGGTACAGGTCAGTGAGGTAAATCAATTCTTGATTGTTTGGCATCGGGTAGTGAGGTGAATACAAATTTTTTGTAGTTTGTCGTTAAGTAGCGCGGTGAATCGGTTCTTGATTGATCGGCGTCTTTTAGTGAGATAAAGCGATTCTTGGTTGACCTATGTCAGGGAGTGAAATGAATTAATTCGTGTTTGATCGATGTCTGGCAATTTTGCTTGCATTAATCCACATGACTCGTTTTTCTGGCTCGGAACTGCATCAACCTGAACCATCGCCGCTTTTGTTTTAGCATCCCCATTTCTGATTGTCACTCCATAAAGCTCTCGCAGTGCAGAGCTCCCTTAGTTTATGGATTTTTTGTAACTTACTCAAGTCGTGATGATTGTAAGCTGTTTGTTTTGTTGCTTCTTGAACTGATTAGAGTGCTTTACGTCTCTAAATGCTCTCTGGTCAACATACCTGACATGCTGGCGTGCTCTGTCGTGCACACACCGTCTTTCCGTTTAATTTTAAAATCGGTTCCTGGATGGAGCAACGCAATACCTGTATAACGAACGCGTAAGACGTACTGTCTGAACAAGGAGCCTTTCAAACACTTGAAACACATTCATATTACATGGACACTACAACTATTCTAAAGATAGCATGTTAAGAAACGTCTATCTTGCGGGTTTGTTTTGATGAGATGTAATTTGTAGCCGCCAGGCCACAGGATTTTGAAAATTCATTAGACGCGTAGTAAATAAGACTGCAGAGGCCTTTACAATAAAGTCACAGAGAAGAAACAAAGAATCAAGACCATCGAGTATTCTCCGTAACCATCAAAGCTAGCGACTCAGTTGCATACTCGAAGTAGCTCCATATATGCAAATCAGCAGCTAACCTATTCCTCAGCTGGCTCAATAACCGGTATTCCGAATTATAATACATAATAAACACTCATACTATGGAGAAAAAAAGATGGCAGTGTTAGCTATCCGTGTTCGTATCCGAATTTGTCGATTTCTTGTGGTTCGCGTAGCTAAAATATTTCGTCCTAAACCAATCGTCCTTTCGATTGTTTTTCAATCTACCTCCCACAACCCGTGCTCTCCGCAAGTCTCTTGCGATTGTTGTCTGTTTTTTTTTTTGAGTTTTAATTCCTACCTTGCTTCCTTTAGTTGTTTCTGTTGGCTTCAGATTCCAATTTCATAACCTCTGGGTCAATCGAAATCCCAGAATTGCGCAATTGACGCTTGAGAATGTCCACTTGCTTGAATGCATTTCCAAGCTCCAATTGTAGGCTTTCGTTGGATTTGGTCAAAGTGCTCACTTGTTGTTCGCTGAGGAGTTTTTGCAAAGTCCATTTTTCAATGTTGGCATTTTCCGTGTCCCGCAGTTTTTGGATATACTCTGCTGCCCGCAACAAGATTGAAGCCTTACTGGATTCTTTGACCGGCAGTAAATCGCTGAGCTTGTTGATGGCGCTGTTGATATTTTCGCGACGACGTCTTTCGACCTCTTTGTGAGAATCCTTACGCTGTTGGCGCCATTCGTCGGACCCGGTCACGGGCACGGGCTTGCGACCTCTGCGGGCAGCGGCAGCGGCACTGCCACCACTCCTGCCATCGTCATCATCGTCTTTCATCGACGATGCGCTTTCGTCGTCTTCGTCCTCTGCCTTAGGGTCGTGAGGATTGTGATGGTGCGGAAGCTGATGGTGGTGGTGTTGGTGCTGTAGCTCGTTGTTGGGATCCTCCTGGGCGTTCATGAGACCGCCGTAAACGGCGGCAGCCGCGGCCGCGGCCGCCGCAGTGTTTTCCTGGTCCTCGTCCTCATCCTGATGGTGGTGGTGGTGATGGTGGTGGTGCAGGTGCCCAGCGGAATGGCCGTTGTCGTCTTCGTCGCCCGAGTTGGGGTCCTGCTTCTCCTTCAGCAGCTCGGCGTCAATGTTGCTCTGCTCCGCGGCCTCCGCACGTTGCCGCTTGGCGAGCTCCTCGTTGCTGACCTCTACGTCGTTGGGTAGTAGTCTCTTGGCCATCTTAAAATCTTCCAGTGTCTTGTCGATGTCGCTGTTGTAGCTGTCGTTCAAACGTGTTTTTCACGTGTGGCTCTTGTTACGCTGTTCTGGCGCGTGTGTTGATGTTCTTCAAACTTGTTACACCTTTCTCTCGTGCACGCTTTCGAAACTACACTCGTGTTTTCCACACTGTTTTAGTTGTGATTGTTTTCAGGTGAGAATTGTATGAAAGTCATGTTATGTGTTTTTTGTTAGTTCACACGTTTTTTTTTCCAGGAGAGGAAAAAAGATAAAAAAAAACAATATCAAAAATGACGAAATTTCGACCATGGGAAGGGTAATCTTTGCGTGCACAGTGATCAGGTATGATGTCGCTGTGTACGTCTAGACGATAGGGTAACTGTGTTTGTTTATGGCACGTGAGTTTAACGTGCTATAGTTTTTTCTGCTCGTTGGGTGGTGATTCGAGCTTTGAGTCATCAACGGGGCACAAAATGACTGGCGTTAGCCGCTTTAGCTCGATCTGTTAACTTGGCATGGCGCTGGACGCCTATGCCAGTATAAACACGCTTCCCCTTCTTTGTAATGGTGCACAACTATACAGAAAAATTAGTCAACTCCGCGTCTCACTGCATTATTCAAATTCTCATCCAGATATTTACGAAATGTTACAAAATATAGAAAAGCCTCATCATATAGTGGCTTGCCTTTCTATGTGTCTTTGAGACTTTTTTTTTCTTTTGCCCCGACGCTTAGTCGAAGATCATCACATATTTGTATTATTCTTGTCCATTATTTCTCCAGCTCGCCTAACGATAGTTTCTCCATGCTCTTTTCACCTGCTGACTCGTCCCCTACTCTCTCAGTCTTCCCGCTTGACTCCACGCCACTACCGTTTTCTTCAATTACCTTTTCTTCGTTTAGTGTCGGTAGTGATTCGCCTCCCATTGCCTGCGCTCCCCCAGCAGGTGGAACTTCTGCAATCGACAGCATCGACTTGGACTTGTTCTTGTTGTTTTGAACCAAGAATGGATTTGAGGTATGGGTCAAGTCTTCTTCTGACGTTCTGGCAGAAGGTGGGGTTGCCAAAATGGAGTTTTCATTATTACTTTCGTAGCTTGAATTTCTCAACTCGGGCATCTTGGGTACTACTACAGACGACTCGTGAGCGTTTGCTGATATTGAGGCCCACCATGGATCCGCCACGATATCATCAATGGTGTATCTTGTCTTGGCATCTGGATCGGCTAGTCTCCAAGCGACTCTTGACGCATTAGTATTTTGGAATTCGCGTCCAAATTGAAACTCACTGCCGGGTCCGGATTTGTAAGTACCAGGTTTCCTAAATTGTGGGTTGTTGTGATCTACAAAATTGTCGTAAGCCAAAACGTAGGACCTAAATCTAGAATCCGTCTTGTAGGCCTCCATGAACGGCGTAGACTGGTACACCAAAGTGAACAACAATACACCCAATGCCCAGCAGTCCATCTTGTATGCATCGTACGGCTTCAGATCTTGCTTTGTAGCATTATCGTCATTGAAGCACATGACCTCGGGCGATGTATAAGGTGGCGATCCAACATAAGTATCAAATAACTTTACAGGACTTTCCAAGTCATCTGGGTTTTCATGTCCCCATTCGGAAATACCAAAATCCGTCAACTTGGCCAATCCTTCGTTAGTTATCAAAACGTTTTCGGGCTTGATGTCTCGATGTACAATTCCTTGGCTATGAATAAACTTTATACCTTCAACAACTTGTCTCCAGTATTCGAATTTTTCACTTAGAGGTCTCTTCTTCCAATTAGGCTTTGTGATTAAACTGTACAAATCACCCCCCGTACAATACTCCATTACGAAAGCCCAACCTCTTGTCATAAACGTTGTTGTAGAAACCTTTACCAAATAGAAAGTATTGGCAATGTGAGGATTCTTGCTCAATCGTTTGGCCATAATAAATTCCTTGGAACAGCGCTGGTAAAAATGATCTGGCTTTTCATTCCTTAGCAATTTGAACTTCTTCAACGCATACAGTTCCTTCTTGTGAAATGCTGATCGAACTGTACGGACATCGCTCGAGCCACCTGAACCTAGGTTCAAATCGTCTGCTGAGTTTTTCTCCGGGTACGCGAAATTGTCCGCCAATTGCACACTGTACTGCTTGTAACCTTCCGGCAGGTACTCGTTTGGGTCTTTCAAGGGTATGGGCAATAGTGGGAGTTCGTCCTTCCCGTCGTGCAAGTAGAAAGACAAATCATGCTGAGAGCTCGAAGTATTATTCTTTGAAAGAGTACCATATGGATTATAGATCATGTTAGACTCATTGGAAGATGTTTTGCGCGATATCGGGTTCGAGCCGTTGATGTAAGGTTGCCTTGGCGCAGCAATGTCGGAACCTTTACCGAGAGCGCTAAAGGGCGAATCAAACACATTGCTTCGCGACGTGATGAAGGGATTGACGTTGTGTCCCTTGGAATTGTGGATTGTTACCGAGGACGAACTCTGGTGCAAGTTCTTTGGGTTCGGCGAGGTCTGATGCTGTTGATGATACGGATGCTGTTGGTTTGCCTGGTTATGATGTGGGTGCATGCGCTGCAAGAAACTAGAGCTTCTATTGCGGGTCTTCTGGTCCGAATTGAGTGGAGGACCGTGCGGCGAACTAGAGCCTGCCGCGTGTCGAGAGCGATCGACCATTTCGTGGTGCGACTGAGATCTGTGGAATATTTTCCTCAGTGGATTCATGCTTTTCACAGAAACACTGCGGTTGAGGTTTTTCGGTTTGGACTCTTGCTGTTGCGCTCTTGAGACCGGTTTGGAGACCGGACTCCTTTCTTTGCCCGCCAAGTTCCGACGATCGCCATTTTCTTCTTTTGCACTGTTCCTAGCCACAGAGTTCTGCGCGGCAGCGGTACCGGAACCAGCTTCAGAACGATCCTTGACAGGTTCCATTGCAATCTAGCGGCACCTTAGGTCGATAGTTTTTAGGCGATTGAGCACGGCTCAAATTAGTTCTTTCTGACAACTGATAAACCGCTTTCAAGGTTCAAACAGACAGCCAAGCCTAAATTCAACTTTCAATTACTAGGTAAGCCCCAGACTCAAGCAAAACGTTTAAAACTCGTCTCTTACAACCACTTTTTAGTTATCTGGTTAGTTTCTTATAACTCAAGCAGTACTTCAATAAAGGCATTAACGGAAGCACGGGCCACTAACTCTGAAAAAAAGACCCCGTTTTCGTCTTACACGATTTAGAAACGAGAGGTTGACACGTGAATGAGGCGTGGGAAGTTCAAATCTTTGAAGGAAGTTACTACATTAGGGTCAGTCGACCACCAACTTGGTTGGAGGCTTCTCCTGAAGGCATATTAGCGTCCCGATCGCTGGAGAATAGTCTATAAATTTGCGTCAATTTTTGGAATTCGCCGGGCGAAATTGAAGGCTTTGTATCGTGGCAAGCCTTTTGAAAATCACCGCGTGTGATAATGGGCGGTACCACTTCGATTTCTTTTGACGCGACTAGATCATCTTTGGAGGCGTAGCGTTCTTTGACACGAGCGAGAAATTTTTGAGACGCTGTCGAAGAGTTCGGCGGCATGGCGTGAAAATACTCGAAATCAACCGGGTCGCCTTTAGTTTCTTTTGGGTCCATATCAACAGCTCCGGAGGCCATTTTCCTGTGTACGCTCTTCAAATAAGCATTGTAACACAAACCCTGTAAATCTGCTCCTGACATGCCTTCCGTGGTCTCTGCCAATTCTTCGAGATTACAGTCTGAATCCAGAGACATGTTGCCGCTCGTAACAACGGCTTTCAGAATTTCTAATCTATCGGGCGTGGTAGGCAAGCCGCACAGGACACTCTTGTCGAGTCTGCCAGGTCTCAAAAGTGCCGAGTCAATTAGATCAGGCCTGCTGGTTGCCGCTAGAACGTAAACGCCCTCAAGGCCCTCGGCACCATCCATCTGCGTCAACATTTGATTTACCACTCGGTCCGTAACACCGATGGAATCGTGTCCTCTCTTTGGGGCGACTGAGTCGAATTCATCAAAAAATAGTATGCAAGGCCTGGCTGCCTGTGCCCGTTCAAAACATTCCCGAACACTCTGCTCGCTTGCGCCAATATACTTGTTTAAGATCTCAGGACCCTTTATAGAGATAAAGTTCAACCCACAATGCTGCGCTACTGCACTCGCAAGCATTGTCTTCCCACATCCGGGATATCCATACAGTAAAATGCCTGAACGCAATCGTAAAGGGCACTTGGCGAAAATCGGTGCGTATTTGGTCGGCCACTCTAGAGTCTCTAACAGTAATTCTTTTGCCTTGTGCATAGCACCCACACTGGACCACCTGACGCCTGTGTCTTTTTGTAACTTGATTCCTCGCAGAGAGGAAGGTGTAAAATCGGCAACGGCACGTTCAAATGTTTCTCTCGTGAGCGGAGCGGATAGATTGTCTTGATCACATAAGTTTTCACATAACAGTTTTTCAGTCAGCAGGAGAAGATCTTGTGGAGAGTGTCCCTCAGTCTCAATCGCTATCGTAGAGTCGTCCAGCTCTCCTGAAAGTACTAATGACCTCTGCCTCAGAAAATGAGCAATAAGATCACAGCGCTGATCTCTTTGGGGAGCTTGCAATTGCCAATAATTTCCAATTGCATGCTTGCTAAAAAGTACCTGATTCATCTTATCGCGTGTTTCGGCAGTCAACAGAAGGCGAACGCGATCCGAGCTTTTGGCAGACAGCCGACTAAGGTACTGTATTAACACTTGACACAATTTAGTTGACACATCCGCGACACTGCTGCGGGATTGACTTTCATCTTCACTTTTATTTTGTGGAAACAAAATTTCTGCATTGTCCAGAATCAATAGCGATGGTCCATACCAATAGCTTGAAGCTATCAATTGCTGCAAAGTTTGTTTCATCTTCGTGAAGTTGGAATTTTCCATGAATTTTTCGCAGTCAATATATTTCACATTAACCGATGTACTTTGCTCTATTTGGGCTTTGATTTCTTTGACTAGTATTGTCTTCCCCATGCCACTGGACCCGGTGATAAGCGAAATGGATGAAGATGTAAAGGGAAGCGTCAAATAATGTATGATTTTATCTATCATTTCTTTCATACCAACAGGGTGGACAATGTCTTCCGCGGGTTTAGTAAACGCTTTCCTTGACAATTTGACCGAAGTATCCATTGGCCTGTATTCAATATCGTTATTTCTCCAATCATAAAACTGTACGTGTTCCCCATTTTGTGACACCAATTCAATATACGCTTGAGCTTGGGGGAGATATAATCTATCTGTGAGCACTGTCCCAATCATCAACATGTTTAAACTTTGCATCACAGAGTCCTGTAAGCTTGCTCTCCGGCCGTTCAAAGCCAGCTTCGTCTCGTTCTTTGATTGGTCGACTGGATAGATGAAGACAGTTGGAGCTTCATCACTAGCTTGACCGTCAACGTACTCAACTTTTAGCTTATGGCCACTTTCCGGGCTGACACCCAAGGAAGCCCAAGTAAGACTCGACAAAGCAGCATGGGTACTTGATACGGTGTCGTCACTAACAACTGCAACTGCAATTCTTTCAGCACAGCTAGTGAGTGATGCATCAGCTGAATGGTTATCCGCGACTTTGTTTTCTATCGGGTTTTTCAGAATAGAGACCAATGCCAAGGAAGATATCGCGTCTGAAACACCCATTGTAAAGCCCTCGAGCCTCTCTGTGTGACCAGTAGTTCGTAATAATCTTGCTTTGTGAACGGAGAAGGCTTCTTCATGCCTCTTCGGTGTTCCATTGACGAGTCTCGACCTATTCAACATGGGGGCTACCATAACAAGTGTATCTGTAGTGATCCTGGCTGCGCCTTGGAATTGCGGAATGATCTTTTGGATTTTGAACTTAGCCACCGTTTGCTCGACGTAGCAGATCAGTAGTTCGTCTTGGACCACTATTCTCGTTTGAAAGAGCATCTCATTTTGAAGAAACCTCGCATTTCCATCAATAATCTCCCAATCATCGCTCGACTGTGGTTCTATATACACTTCTGTAGCTATAAGCGATCCATCAAAGTGTCTGATTTTCAAGTCTACAGCATTCCCTTCCCTTACGTTATAAGCTGCGGCCAAAATGGGATTGATTTCTACGCAGCCTTGTCCATTGAGAGCCTGGGAAGATTCGAAACCGTCCCACCCAACATAGATTTCACTCTCCTCCCTTTGAATAGCGATACCGTATTCATGAACGGGAATCGATGTGTTCTCCAGCACTTGAACAATTGCACTAGGAAGCCTCACGAAATTACCACGAATTCGATCCGAGAAACTTATTCTTATCGATTGAAACAAAAGCTCACCATCTTGAACCATCACACGTAGAAACTTCTCTTATCGGGTACTCCGCCCTATTTTGAGTTTCAATTGAGGATTTACTTAACGGAAGATGAACAAATTCATGAATCAGAAAAAGAGTGCGATAGTCCTGGAGAGAAAGATCAAGCTCAAAAAGGCTAAGAAGACTAATCGTAAACCCGGGTATAACTTTGCTAGCCTCCAATCCAGACAATGTCAATTAAGTTTGTAATATGTTTGAACAAGCAGGGTGTTCTTCGGCTGATCAGAGTTTTCGAGCCGTTCCCTGGCGATGCCGCTAGTAACCAGTCCACAATTGCGCAGATATACAAACTGATATCATCAAGAGATCATAAACACCAGAGTAATTTCGTTGAGTTTTCAGACTCAACTAAGCTCGTATATAGGAGATATGCGGGGCTTTACTTTGTACTTGGAGTAGAGTTACAGGATGAAGAGTTGATATACCTTTCTCATATACATTTGTTCGTAGAGGTGCTTGACGCCTTTTTCGGCAACGTTTGCGAGCTGGACATCGTCTTCAATTTCCATAAAGCATACATGATACTCGACGAACTCATAATTGGTGGCGAGATCCAAGAGACCTCGAAAGACGTTATACTAGAACGAATCAGTTATCTGGATAGACTAAATTAAGCGTTTCAAAAGTATATAAACTCATTAACATCTGCGTGTCCTTGAATGTAATCGCTGGTCACTGCCCTTACCAATTGATGCACTTCTTCTATTGTTTTGTGTGTTGTGTCCAAAAACTTGATGTGTTTGCTCTTGTAATCAGGATCTTCTAGAGTGTCAAATATGGCGGCGAACTGACCGCGAACTTTATCCTGGAAATCTGTACACTCATAACGTTCCTCTCCAAAACCTTGTCGTAGTTCGCTGTCGCTATTGGTGAGAAATAGGGTTAAGTCAGGCTTTAGAAGACCCTTGTCTGGTTGTAAGCACCAATTCAAATCCATACCTTTGGTGTCTTTAGCGGCAGAGTATGCAACCCCAGAATAAACATACCGGTCCATCACTACGTGCTGACCTTTGAGCAGACTTCTTTTCATACTTTCGGCAATCTCCCATCTGTTGGCGGAGAAGAGCAAGTGAATGGCTTGGTCAGGTAGAAGAAACTCAGGATTTGTAAGGTATTGGTCAATCAAACCGCCAATTTGGGTGGATCTTTCGGGAAACTTGACAAGCAAGGCATTGTCGCCCAAGCTTTTCACAAGCTTCTCAGTTTGTGTGCTCTTGCCAGTTCTATCAAGACCTTCTATCAAGATTAGTTTACCGCGGGCCATTTTTAGTTCCAAAAGTAGCTTTGGAAATAGCTATAAAGCTTCAATGTTCAGCTTTGTTTTTAAACAATAAAAATACCAAAAGTTTGAGCGCAGCAACAAAAGCAGATTGGTCCCTCGAATCGAGCAGGAGAACGTATACTACCTTCCACTCGTATGCGTAGCCGCTGGATGAGGCGAAGGTTTTTAAAAGAACAGATGTCCTTTCGATATATTAGGTAGGGGTTAGGTAGCCTTCAACAAGTTCTCTCGGTGGCCAAGTTGGTTTAAGGCGCAAGACTGTAATTTAAAAGTAATCTTGATATCGGGCGTTCGAATCGCCCCCGGGAGATTTTTTTTGAAAAATGTTTTTTGGAGCCCGCGAAATTTCGGACTTTTACAGCGCCCTCAGCGTATTTTGAAAACAAATTCTTGTTCTTTCAATGTTCACATTACTTATTCGTTACTCTACGTGCGGTTCTTTATTCTATCATTTAGGCACTAACTTTTGAACCCTCAACGGCATAGGTAGGAGGAGGCCCACCTTCCCCACCCAGGCGGGTAGTTTACTCCATTACGACATCTTGCGGCTCCGGAGTTTCGACCAGCGTTTTCCCGTCGCTCACGCCCCCGTATTCGCTATCATCAAACTCCTCCTCCGCATCCATGTCGTACAGACAGTAATTCACTGATGTGATGTTGTCCAGACTAAGTCTGGTGTTGTAGCCGCCATTGATCAACGAGGAACCATAGCCTTTCAGAATGTAGTCTTCAATTTCAACGTATGGTGACGAGTCATTAGATTCGCAAGTGTTTTGACGTGAGTTCATAGCTATAGCCTCTAACGTGTCGTCTATCAGTGGAAACGACTCCCGCCTGCTGGAAAAATCTTGCTCACGTAGTTGCGACTCGCCAGTTTTCTTTTGTCTTTTTGAATCGTGCTGAATCGGAGTGGGTTCATTGTCATATTGTAGATCTCTCTTCAAGCCATTCCCAGCGGTACTTCCGCCGATAAATCTCTCGTTTTCGAACGACTGAAACATGACCTGAAATCTCAAATGGCCAGCTTTACACAGATATATTCAAATAAACCTATGGCTACAATCGAGGAACCACACGGTTTTATCTCTCTCCCACAAATACTGTAATGAGGTTAATGCAATGCCTGACGCTTAGAATGAGACTACTTTCTAAATCGTAGTATTTTTCGTTCAGAAAGATGTGACATTTTTTTCATGAATGTTCGAAAAATGACGAAGAGCCATTATTACATATCTATCGCTACAATTTCGAATTAGGGCTCTATAAGAACTTCAACCACTACCTATGGATCACCTGCAAAGCCTAGAAAGGAGCCTCCCGCCAGAAAGTGCAGTGGATGATCAGAACATTGACAAACTGAATCAACAAGTCACCCAAGAATTCAAAATAGCCGCCAATGCCGTCACGAATCTATATCGGCTATCCTCAGAACGAAGCTCGCTCAACAGGCATATGGGGTATGTAGATTGTCTAGATGATGTCATGGAACTATTGGACAAAGGATTCTCCGTGCACGACTTGGCCAAATGGTGTAAGGATCGCAAGCAAGAAAAAGTTGGAAAGGGAACTTTACAAAAAGCAAACGCCTCCGAGATAGACCTCAAATCGACAAGAAACAGCACAAGCCGTGATACGTCTAGTATCACCAGTCCAACCTTTCGTCTATCACGGCCAATAATGTCAGTGGAACGAGGTTCTAAACGCTGTGTGAAACCTCAACTCACAGAGCGATTTGCACAGCAAAGAGGTAACGCGCCAATCCCCGGTGATGCCAAACGCAAAACCAAGAAGGTAAAACCGAAAGTTAACGAGCTTGTTATTCTGGAATCTTCGCAAACCTTCCACGTTACGAAGCCAAAATGAGCAGGAATCATCGTGTTGTGCGTTAATTATTCGGGAGACACGTTGAAAGTAAGAGCTGCTAATCGAAATCTAGCAGCACGAGAAGTAGTTTGCCGAATATCTCGCAGAATCACGCTCAGTACTAAGATTGAGCGTTTTAATATTATTCGGCGGTTTGTTTTTTTAAAAGGGTATGGGGTTTGCATTCATTGCCTTGGGTGGAGAACGTGGTGTTGTTCAAGGAGGCTTACGCTTAGTTTACTAGTCATATTTGAGAAGCTAGGAAGTTGGAATAGATTATGCAAGTTGTATCTTAAGCAGCTTGCACCACTTAGATCATTCTTTAACGATACTGGTACTCGAATGTCTCAACGATTCTTCTCGAAAATGATGCGACGTTATGAATTGACTACAAGTCAACCCTAAGTAATGGAGGATTATGTGAGCTCCTGCTGTCTGATCGTCTTCGAATATCAAGTGCTCGAGAATAGAGCTGATGATTTGGGAAAAGTGCTGCCATACGAAAAGAAAACAAGAGGGTAGTTATTACTTGTCTAAAGCTTGTTTAAGGTTTTCTTCATGGTTCAACAAAATCGCTGACGCAGGACAAAGTTGCGGAACACAAAAAGTATTAGAATTATTGGTAAGATTATACTGGTAAGCATTATTCATGAACAATTCATTCGTAGAACACTATTCAAGTTATAAGCCCTTGGAATTAATCATCTTGTAAAAGTTATCGGTGCTTTGAATTCTCGATACCAACCGAATTATTTTTGATTTACTCTGGAGAACAAAATAACTTGTTGATATACATATGGCTATTCTACCCGCACTGCTGGGTGGTGCTTAGAAAGGGGCTCTAACTGCGAGGGTTATAAGGTACCGGAGCTAGATGATTGAGGACCTGTATAAGGACAGTCTAGGGAAATGCTTGAGAGCTTGAATTTATTAATAAAGTTTTGAGATCTAAAAGGGACCGGTTATGTGATAAGGCTTAACTTGTGACTACGCGGGTGAGCCCAAGGTTAGGATGATTGGCTTAAAAGTGTGCATTTTCCTTTATTCCAGAGCAATTATGCATTGAGTTCAATGAGGGCAGAACCGCAGATGTTAGGATGGACTGAAAGTGATGATTCAAGATGGAGGCCCAGAATGGATGGAGATTGCAAAGACCGTCAGAAACCTGAAAAAACTGGATTTGGTTTTAGAAGGTAACGTGGCTCAAGCCTGGTAGGTAGCGCGACTACGCAGGGGCAAGTTTATATCACCAGACATTCGGGGGACAGAAGAAGGGTGTTTAAATGTTAGTATCCCTGTGCTATCACTGGAAAGGGTCAAATGTAGACCAAAATAGTATTGTAGGGGAAACCAAGAACAATGACATAATAGTACAAAGTGACAAATCTTGATATTCAATCTAGCGTATTCAATGCTGTCATCTAGACATTGGTGTTGAGTATTGCCCATAGCCATACTGTTTCAGTGTCATTGCTTCCGAGGAATGGAGGCCGATACATTAAATTTCGGTCTGGGACACGACTCGCTACCGAGGGTTTACTCTCTATGCCGGGGTCCTAGTCTTTACATCTAGAAAGACCATGGAAAGATAAAATATATATGCTTCGATAGATATGAAATCATAGGAATTCAATTCAATTCGGAGTTGACTGCATACAGAAGCGATAATTAATAGTTCGTGACCAAAGAGTTGGGACTTTTTTTACTGATTACTTATCAGCGCCCGACTGCTACAATTGCACCCTTCGCATGTCTCGTTCCGCTCACTCTTCTATCACACAGCCATAGAGCTGTGTCATTCTATCAAAACTCGACACTGTGTCTGCAATGCAACCTCTCAGAGATCGCTTTGGGAAAGAATTTTGAGAATTTTGAGGACTATTTATGTTTACTGTTTTGGTGAAACGTCATAACATTTACATTACCGAATTGGTAGCGGAAATGAGGGATTAACGTGATACATGATAATGAACCGTAATAATGGAGGAAGACGCGTATTCAACCGAACTGCTGAACCGTGCGAGTGGAGCAAGAGGAGGACAGGAGGACGGCAGGAGCAGGGTAGGAGAGCAACAAGGGCAGGAGAGCAATCAGGGCGGTTTTTTTGATACCGTAAAGCTTGTGGAAGCGGGATCACATGACGGAGACGTGCTATTGCAACTGCTCTGAAGCTCTCATTCCAGTGACCTCAATACTTCTACATTTTTCTCTGCGGCTCGCATAGCCCTGGATGCTACAATCGGGCTCTACAATAGGGACAATATATGTGAGTGATGACTAGAACGCGCTTTTCACAATACGAGTGAGTGTTGTTGAGTGCTAATAACAATCTCGTAGTGCTGTATTACTCTCCCCTCTCATGGTGCTAATAACAATCTCGTAGTGTTGTATTACTCTCCCCTCTCATGGTGCTAATTATAATCTCGTATTGTTGTTTTACTCTCCCCTCTCATGGGTGCTACCTTCCTTCCTCGTATTGTGCTACTTTCCCCTCTCATGGGTGCTACTTTCCTTTCTCGTATTGTGCTACTCTCCCCTCTGCCCTACAAAGTAACATTGAACAATACTTGTAGTCTCACTCTTCGAAACACGCTGAGGCTCGCCTTGTTCAATAGTCTCACTCCCACTCTGAGGTTCACTAGTACTAGCACTTCTGTTACAGTTCGCTAGTGCTCGCAGCGTTCAGTAGTACTCCTTTCCTCTCCCGTCTTCTCATGCAGAAGCTTCGAACGGGGCTTCTTTTTGCTCCGCACATCCTGCACAGAACCACGTGAAATCCCCGAGTGACGTAATCACACACCCGTACCAAACGACCAACCTTCGTAATTTTCATCCACCCCTTAGCCCGCTCCTGCACTAAAAGGGCTCGCGAGCAAGCTCACGAGTGTGGCTATAACGACCAGAATCTGTGCTTGCCTCTGCTTGCCTCTGCTCGTCCCTGCTTGGCCTTCACCTCACGGGACTCTTCTCTTCTCTCCTCTCCGCTCATCTCGCACGGCGCCCATCTCCGCTTCCTTTTTCCTTAAGCGCAACGTGTGTTTTTGTGTACGTTCTTGGTTTTTTTTTTTAGTTTTTTCCTTCTATGTTGGTGTTTTGCCATTCATAGCAAAAGGAGAAGCACCGGTTTGGGTTTTCGGGTATAAGAAGAGCGACAAAAAACTTCGGCAGAAGAACAGGGATGGAGATGAGTCCCTGTTCGAAACCGCAGACGTGTTCGATAACAAAAGCGAAACATAACGTGCACACAGGCTATCGTCGTTGCCGTCTCTCCCCTATACCTCTGCTTCTCTCTCTAGCACACAGACACACACCATGGGCGCTATTTCCATCGTCAACCGTACGCTGTGTCTCCTGTTCATGGCAGGCACCACGCTGCTGCTGATACTCATTATCCTGTCTGGCTCTACGACCAGCTTCCCAGTCAATCGTTTCTACTGGCTCGAGGCCGACACCTCGGGCATCACGGGCGCGCCCGACCAGAGCGCCCGTTGGACGTTCTGGGGGCTCTGCACACGTGACTCCAGCTCCGGCGACGTCACGTGTCCGACATTGGCTCCCGCGTATCCAATCTCCCCCCGCGACAACTTTGGCTCCGCGCCCGCCAGCGAGCTGCCCACAAGTTTCGTCGACTCGCGCGCCACCTACTACTACTTGACCCGTTTCTCCTTCTGTTTCTTCTGGGTCGCGCTCGCCTTCATGGGCGTTGCGTTCTTGCTCTACGTGATTTCGTGGTGCTCCTATGCCTTCACCAAAGTCGTGTTCATCCTTGCCGCCGTGGGCGCTTTGTTTGACACCGCTGCCGTCAGTTGTCAAACCGCTGCCACCGTTATGGCTCGCAATGCGTTCAAACACTCCAATCGTAGCGCCAGCCTCAGCGCCACGCTCATGGGTATCGCTTGGGCCAGTGTGGCTTGCTCTTTGATCGTCTTTTTCGGTACCGGTGCTACCTTTATTCGTCGCGCATACCAGTCTCACAAGGAATACGTTGAAATGCAAAAATACAAAGAACAGGCTCTTATGTACCAGGGCAAACAAGAAGCTTTGCAACCCGACGTGGAATCTTATCCAATTCGCGATGGCGATGCTGCGGCCGGTGTGGCTCCTCTAGGTGCTACTACCGAAACTCAACCTGAAACTCACCACAGCGGTATCAAATTCTTCAAGATTAGAAGAAGTCAAAAGCCTGGTGATCAAGAGAGTGTTTGAAATCTGCCAAATTTTTTTTTATTTCCCTTTCTTCCTTCCTTCACTTCACTTCTCCTACCCCACCCCCTTCTTCTAGTTCTTCGAAATCTTTTCCTTCCCCCCGGTATCAATTGTACTATTTTGTGAGCTCCGATTACATTCGATCTAACAATAACACCATCCCAAAATACCAAGAAACAGCCCCACCCACCCAAAAAATAAAAAAACGAGACTCATTTTCACATTAGCCATCTCCACCATATCAGATACCAATATTCTCTCATCAACCACTACAAACCCTTCCTGTCCTTCCATTAATCGAATCACCCCTTTTTTTTCTTTCGTAACTTGATTACTTTCATCCCTTCTCCTGCACACGCTCACCATGCACAAGCAATAAATCACTTAATTCCATATTATTTTATAATACGCTGTGCTAGTAATAGAAGTTCAGGTATATAATATTTTTTTTAATTCACTGGGACATGAGAAATGATTTTCTGTCACGCTGGCTACCATCGTAGACCGATAATTTAATTCTGTTGCAGCACTACTGGACAAACATTTCAAACACGGCCTTCCCGGCAGTATTAAACTCTTGAAAGTTGAATCTTATTCATAATTTTTTAAAGTGTATAGAATCAACATCTTTCGTAAACTGCTTTCAGAATTCACTTTTCAAAGCTATGTTCTTGAACATTTGATATATACGACATTATAGACCGTTTATACCGTTCATCTAATTGTGCGATAGAGACTGTTCTTGTTAAGATATTCCATGATTAAATAGAAATAAGTTAAAATCGAAGACGAAAGTTGTAGACATCTACGTGACTTTTCTAACACAAGCTCAGTGTCTGGTTAATAAAGATGATACGTACTTCTGAAAGTGAGCAAAAATGCAATGAGGCCCATTTAAGTTGACAAACTCTAGACAAACGAGAAGCCTATTTGGTCAGGGTTTTAAAGAACCATAGATAATTCAGCGGTCTCATCTCTTCCATATCACTCTTTACTATTGTGTCATTATGAAATTCGGCATTATTGTCACTCACATTCCAACATTTGAAAGTTAAGATTTACTTCGAGCTTTTCTGCAACCTGCCATTCTCTCGCTCCTCCCGCAAACACGTTTCAAGGTCTTGCTGAAACGTTTGACTTCCTTCAACTTGTGCGACTCCAAACGATCAGTTCATCACTTGCAAGCCTTTGACTTCTTGTTGAGTATCCTGCGCTTTCGCAAAAATCAGGCAACGCACGAAGCAGGTTCCGAGAGGGTTCCTTCAAATCAAAAATTCATTTTTTAAGAACCCCCGCGCTTCCTAGTCCCATGTCACATAGTAATTTTGCACCCTCGAAATTAACTTTCGGCACTCTCGCCTGTTAATTTCCCTAGACTTATTTGACAAAACTCCTCAATGGCCTCGTTATAATGGACCCCACCATATCGTAAGGTATTCAAGTAGTCTACGGCAAGCTGTTGTTTAGCCTCAGTGGACATCTGTGCATCTGAAGTACCTAGAGGACTGCCGCCGGTACTCAAGATTCGGTGCACTTTGGCTAAATGAAATTTCACGGTATTGTAGCCGAGTAGTTCTTGTATTTCTGGAGTCTCTTGATAAACCGTATTGAACTGCTCGGTAGTCAGCTGTTTTTTGGGCTTCTCTTCCACAGGCTTAGGGGCAGGTTTATCTTCGATGGTGCGTTCGTCGTGGACATGCTTGTCGGAGTTCTTAAAGCATGCTAATGAGCAGTACCGAATAGCACATTTCGGGCACTTATATTTGGCAAGCTCCAAACTACAAATCTGGCATTTGAAGGACATCTAAGGTCCACTTAGCCCAAAATGTAAATGGGATTCTATAGCTCATCGCCTACTGAAAAATTTCTGTTGCGACAAAGCTAATTGAAAAATGCTGAAAAAAATGAAATCCAATAACGGATATAAGCTGAGTTAAGGATAACTGAGATTTGGACGTAAAATCTACGAAAGATTTGATATAAGTAGCATCAACAAGTAGCATCGATGTCCTTGAGTTTCCGGATTTCGGCTGCTTGAGATAAGGCGAACATGATAACCGGTATATTTAGAACTCGTTTGTCGCTCCGATTAGGAGTTAAAGCATTATGTGGAAAACAAGCCAAATTGCATACACAATACAAACACGTTAATCTGAAGATGAGCCCAGATATACAAGATAGTTGTGACTGTTTCGTAAAAGATTTGAATAAAACGTTAAGCAAGGATGGCCAATTGGACTTCAAATCAAAATTACCGGCAAAGACCCCTCAATATCATAAGCACTTAATGTTGGTATCGCCGCCAAATTCTGCAGGCCAAGATCCAGAGTGGAAGGCTGTTTGGCAAAGTAAACTAGAGCTGAACCCAAAATGGCCATATTCTGCGATTGGCGAACTAAAGAAACATTTGAAAGAAACTCACAGAGGTGATATGATCTTAGTCTATGCCATCTCTATAGCTCGAGGCGAGTTGGCCAGTTTGCCCAATTGTGCCAAGAAAGCTCGATTCCTCGCTATACCAGATATGAAAGTTTATGAAGTCAGTGAGGACGAAGTAGAGGAGTTTGCTCATTTTTTGGGAGAGGGCAAGATCAAAAATTCCAAAAAGGTGTCATTTCTCGATTTTTTGAAAGGTGCCAATGCCACCTCTAAGCTGCTACGCGCTCAGTCCGATCCGCGAGAGGGAGAACGGTTCAGGATCTTTGAAGGCCAGGATTATCGTAAAAACATCGTCTTAGTATGTGGACATCATCAGCGCGATGCCAGGTGTGGTATAATTGCTCCACAATTGATTAAAGAGCTCGAGCCCCGCGTAGACTCTGATTTAGCCATAGTATCACATATCGGCGGCCACAAATTTGCAGGCAACGTCATTTTTTACAATTACTTGGGGGTTAATGATCAAAACACAGCAACAGTTGATGGGTTATGGTTTGGTAAAATTCTTCCATCTACGATTCCAGTGCTACTCAAACATTTAAGCAAAAACGAGATCATCTCACCGTGGTTTCGCGGTTCTTACTCATTAAAAGAATAATATATATAGAGTCAAAGCTTTATACGTGATTCGTTCGTATTTCGGCCAGCCGACTTTTCACTTGTGTAATATTTTTCAAACCCAGTTTCTTGACCAAAAATTCTTGCTCGCTTGGATACAAATGTAGGAATCCTTCGCAAAAGTCACCATCCACTACGCCCTTAAGGGGAGCGTAGTAGCTTCTATAAACAACATGTTCTCGGCCCACCAAGCTGAATGCACCTTCTGTTGTAGGCCTAGGACTCAATTGCCCCGACTTGGTGTTCGTACGAAGCTCAACGTTAAGCTCCAATTCGGCATCACCTGAAGGAACAAGCTCCTCTTCCCTTTCGTTGAAAAATATTTCGTCAGCATCGTTGAGACAATCTTGTAATTTGTGCATAAACTCAACTTCGCTTTTTGTCACTAATGGTTTTAAACAGCCAATTGTACCTTGCAAACCAGCATAAATCACAGAAGTTCTATCTGACATTTGTAAGTTTCTCACAACGCTGAATGATATAGGGATGTCATTAGCATAGAAATGGTTTGCTAGGTCCAATTTACATGGACATTCCATAATGTTCCGGGAAATTTCACTATTATTGTTCTTGTGAAATTTGCTCAAGAAGTATGCGTATTCCTCATCTATCATTTTTTCAATATCTTGAGGCACTCGTAGCACCCATATATTTCCAAATCGATCGCCTCCTATGACAGTTGATCTGTCTAAGAATTCCAATGCCGTTACATGTCTCTTCACGACGTCATCGGCAAGAGAGATAAACTGATTGAGTCGTTTGTCAAAAAGGAATAGCGTTACAGATTCATGAATGTCTCCAATCGCAACTCTCTGGTCTTCCCACTGACGAACACATACAACTTTTGTAATGGAAGGGGGCGTAATCGAAATGGATTTTTTCAGCAATTGTTTACGCCCCATTGCGTAAAGAACTATATTGCCCATTAAGGGAACAAGTAATTTGTCTCTGAAAGATACCATTGAATTAATTTTGTCATCAACTATAGTGTCATGAATGAATTCGAGGACCACAGTTCTTTTAGTATCTTTTCGTTCAACCTTGAGAAGGTAGGTTTTTAACTTCATGTCATTTGTGGATAAAACCAAGTAGTTTTCACTGGATCCAAATTGAACGACTTTAGCATCAAGGCACGTAGTGTCGTTAATAATGAATTCTGTATCGTCCTCCAAACCTATACTCAGCAGGATTCCAGAACGGTAGACACAGATACGACAGCGTTTTGCAGAGGTGTCATTTTCGATAACATACTGCACTTTCTTATCAGAAACATCCGTTGCTATTGTACGGCCTTGATACTGTCGCACAGTTGCAACCTCTTCCTCATCGGTACTCATCATGTCATTGTGTTGAAACCAATTGTCCACCTCCGTGAACTTATCAACGCGGCCAATTATTAGAGAGCCACGGGAAGAAATGGCACAATAACCATTTGACTTGAGGTCGTTAGTCCTGAATTCTGCTATTGCTTCCAACGACATGTTTCTCGGGAGAATCAAAGGTCTCACGTATAGCAATTCGTCAATCTCATAGCTTAGCCAAGTCTTATCACAGTGCACAACAGCGCACGACGATTGTTCAATAACTGATTCATCAATCTCTTCCTCGTCATCGTTATCATCTTCTTCTTCGGACTCAAGCTGCGCTGACTTGAAATCAATTTGAGAAAGAACTGAAATTTTGACGGATTTTGACCCCAAGAATTTAGTTCGTACGTCAAACAATTGGCCATCCACTTTGTCTACACTTGAACGCATGTAAACACCAGAATCTAACCCAATGTGCAAGAGTAATGCGGATTTTGAAAGCGTTAGCTTCAAACTGTGGGGAGGTGACGTCAAAACTTGCATCGAGATTACCTCCATGAAATTTTCTTCATCCGATTGTCGCAACCCAATTATTTTGACAGAAGAGTCAAGACATCCAACCGCGAGAAAATCGCACCTAAAGGTCTTGGGAATACTCAAATCGGTTATCCTTTCGGGAAGTTCGATCCTTTCCTGGTACTCATTCAGCGATTCCGTAGCGATATCAAGCTCGAAATAAATAATTTCATTATTTGAAAGTGCCAACGCTAGCTGAGAAGAAGAGCAAGTGGCTTTTAAAATTTTGATCCCTGCAGGCGGAAGCCATTCAGATTTCAGGGTGAGTTTTTTTTTGTCATAGTTAACATGTAACATAGAGTTCCCACACACTTGAATGACTGATCTTTCACCCATAATACCAACGAAGACAGTTTGATCACCGTCAATTTTAAACTTGTTATTAGCGGGATCTAATTCTTCTAGGGTTCCATCTTCTATATCGAGAATCATAGTGGATTTTGGTAGTCCCAAGAATACGAGTCGATGCCATGGATCCGTAGGTGGGCGAATTGACCAGATTCCACTAGCATTTGGTGGCAAGGGCGAGGTTATAAGTTCGCTGAAATTGACCCCCGAGACCAATTTTTGTAAAGATGGTTGTGCCAATATGGTTAATGGAGTGCTTTCAACAACATTCAATGACAGAATGGGATTCAAGCATTTCGAGCGCTCGAGAACGGAAATATTTTCCAAAGTGGATTTGGGCGAAATTCTCAGAATTTTGTCCGGTTCATCGGATGTAAGTGCATTGGTGTCATCACCGAGACTTTCAAACTCGTAAAGGCTAAAACATGAAAACTCTTGAAGAGCCATGAATAATCCATTTTTAAAAATGTGAAGATGCGAAGAAGGTTCAATGGTGTCAAAAAATGTAACGATGATTTTGGGTATAGAGTTGGCGGCCTTAATTTGTACTTTGTACAAATCTCCATTGTGGGCTTGCAATAAGATGAAAAACTCTTTTTTCAATTTGTGTACCGTGGAGGCTATAATCACTATAGCAGTGGTTTCGCGAGTCGGGAGTTGCACTTGTAAATTGAAATGTCCATGCGCGTCTTTTAGAATTAGTTTGTTTTCACTCGCTATGATGACAAAAGGATTGGTTTGGTCTTCCGATTTAGTGGTGACTCCAAATCTCTCTAGGTTTGGAACCGGGATGATGAAATGCGCATCGCGCGGTAACGGGTGTTCGCTTTGTTGCAACACATGATTAAGACCCAAATCTAGCATGTAAAATACCAAATATCTCGACAAATCTGAGGAATCGATTTCCAACGACGCGTACACCGGATTATCGAACGCTACATCGCAAATAGTTGTCGATATAGTGATGCGATTAGGTCTTTGAAATTCTAGCGGGGAAGAAACATTTAGGGTATTATTTCTAAAATCTGTCTGGTAACAGAGTTTGTTGCGGTCCGTTGCGGACAGAAAAATGCACCTACCTTGTGGGTCAACTTGCAAATGTCGTTGTGGAGAGAGTTTACGAACTCCGCTTCTCGCAAAGGGCTCATTAAACAATGAATGCAATCTGATGGTTCCTGAATCGTTAACAAACTGTAGCAAAGACAAGTTTCCGGCATCTGTTACCAAAATCAAATAAGAATAGTTGGTTTCCACGGGCAAACTCTGCATTGCTGTTATTGTGGCGAATATCGGCACCACTGCCAATTTCCGAAAGTTTCCTTCTTCCACATCGTACAGCTCCAAATGGGTCTCGGTAGCGATACATACCTGGTAATCCTTTCTGGATTTCCGCTTCACACTGGGTCCGTGGTCTACAAAATGTCCCGTACACGAATGAACATAGTTTGATTGACGTTGTAACGTTAAATGGTAGAGTTCTAATCCCATGAGTTGATGATGTATTAGAGCTTTACAAGCGATTTAATAATTTAAAAATACCGTTTTTTTTTCCTAACTATTTTCCGAATTATTAGGAAAAAAAGTTCCAAGTGGCGAAAATATAGAAAACCCTTCTTCTTCTCATCATTGACATTCAGACCAAATAAAATAACTAAAGCGAACCTCTCTACCATGGAGATTTGTGTACGCTTGAATGACGATTGCGAAAGCGATTACACTTTCCAGGTGACTAAAGATGATACTTTCGAGTCCAAGATCATGAAAATGTTTGACCGCGACAATGGGTTGGCTTCGTTTATGGTGTTGAGACCTTCGATTTTTTACAATCCAACACCTAAAGCTTTGACCAAATCAATGCATCCTGGTTACTTGACGGAAAACGGGTGTTTGATCTTCCATTACGATAGCGACCGCAAGCAGTACCGCGAATCGTTGGATCTTGACAAAAAAAAAATCTGGGAACAAATGTGGCCTGGACAACTGGTGCTACCCCAATGGGAACTATCGGGTCAAAACATTTGCTTCTACATCGCTGTCATGCTAGCGTGGCTCTATACCGATTTGCCAGACGTTATTTCCCCCACCCCGGGAATTTGTCTCACCAACCAACTCTCCAAGAGACTTGTTGTCGTAGCTCGCTGGTACGGCTACAACTCCATTGCCGATAAGCTCTTGGAAGAAATCCAAGTCAACTCCGCCGGCACCGTAGCGCAATGGTTGTTTTTCGCCCTTCACTGCTTCAAGGTTTTGTTCATCACTTTGGTCTTCTACACCGGCCTCGTCAACCCTTTGACCTACAACATTTTCAGATTCTACAACACCCGTAAAGCCGTGGTTGTCACCAAACGCAACGACAACCTCAAAGAAGTGCTCCGTTCCATCGGCTGGATCGGTGCCAAGCGCGCCACTTATGACGATTACAGAGACACTTACTACAACTACCGTTTGCAAAAAGCCGGTGGCTTGGTCCCCGCCTACAAGAGCGGAGTCATGAAAGCCGCCGCTACCCCCGGTGTCGTTCTGGAAAACGGCGAAGGTTTCCAAACCCCCCTCGACAAGAGATTCACCGAATCCACCTTCAAGACCATGGAAAAATCTCGCAAGTTTGTACTCAGCGAGGAATACCTGATCCAACTCGAGAAGGACCTCAAGGAAAACATCAAAAAATGCGACGGCGATGTGCCAAAAATTAACCAAGAGATTCGCCAGTTCCGCCGTTTCGGACTCTTCGAATGCGGGCCCGAACTCACCCGTCTCGTTCAGCTGCGCCAAGAAGTTGCCGCCGAGGCTCTGGCCGAGGCCGAGGCCGCGGCCAAAGCCAAAGCCGCCACAGACCCGGTCGAAAAGAAAACCCAGTAGTTCATCCATGGGTCGTGTCAGCCAAATTACATTATTCATTAGCCATTACTTATTATATATACTTTTCACTGAGATCATCTCTTTCCTCAATATTTCAATATAATATACACCGCATGCACGATACCGGGGATGTATCCCAAACACGTCAACAAAATGTTGATCAGCAAATCACATGTACATCCACGCTCCATAAACACACCCAAAGGTGGAATAATCACTGCACCCACTAGTTTGAAAAAATCTGTTAAAGTCAAAGCCATTCTTAATTTTTGCTTGTTTGTTCTACACTGTTCAACATTTCTTCCCCATCCTCTCGATCCTATCCACCCCTTCTTATACTTTTCTCTTTTCCCTGAACATTCTTGGACCCCGCCCCCCCCCTCTTTCTCCTCCAATTTTTTTTCTTTCTCTCTTGCAATTTTCCTTTCCCCTAAGCCCATTGCTATCGTACTTATTGCTTTCGCATTGTGTCACAAAGATTAAAAAAAGATCCAACCCGAAAAAACCGTTGCCCAAAAGCCGACTTGGCCATTAGTTGTTTTTTTTCCTCCCCTGGCTCGAACCTTCCCTCGAGCAATGGCGTGCGTAGAATTGCTCGAACACACCAATTCAAGGAAAAAAAAAAAAAACGGTAACATTCACCACATTTTGAAAAATAAAAATAAAAAATAAAATGCTTCCAGGACGGGACTCGAACCCGCAATCTTCTCCTTGCTTCTCTTCAAACACTATTTCGTATTTTAGGAGGGAGACGCCCTACCATTGAGCCACCCGGAATCGGCCGTCCAGAATGATCTATCCACATTTCACCAGAACCACTGAGCCACGGAGGGTCCAGTAGTACTTGTTATATGAACTGTTAAAGAGTTTTATATAGACCCACCAATGAGGACTGCATATAACGCTCATGAAGTACGGTACTTAGAGCGGCAGTTCAATGCTGGGCACAGTATGTATTATTTTTTTTGGAGTTCCACGACCGGGAGGATTGAGCAATGTGAGACTCGATTTGTTAGCTGGCGTCCATGATTATGATTGTAGACGCTTCAATTGCGACACATTGGTACAAAGTGGTTATTGTTGCGGCAATCTATTTGAAGTTTTGGCGAGTGCTTTAGGTAGAAACGCCACTTGAGACAAAAAGTTGTTCAAACATCAAGGTAAGCGATTTTTACATAGTATACAGTTTTGGCTTTTCAAGATTGTAGTAGTAAAACGAATTTGATACAAGGACGTGACATAAGTTTTACAGGCGATGGTAGCGATCTTGAAACATGAAAATATCAAACTGTGTATATGTATGGCTGGTGTTGGCATAACTTAGCCTCGAGTGGATGATTGTAGTGCTATACTGTTCTGCAAAGCAGCTAACTTCCGACGATCCTCCGACGATCTCCAAGATCCATCCCGCGATCGCCTGAAGAATAACCCTAATCCAGCCCACAGCTCTCTGCAGAGCACATAATACCTTTCCGAAACAGCTCGCAAGTGACGGTAATCGCGAAATCAATCTTGAAAGCTCAGCGGCTAAATATGGATGCTAACACGCAGCTCGCGGTTAAATACCCATCAGATGTCCAGTGGTTTGCCAAGGGAACAAGAGTGCGAATCTTTGGAAAAGATGCAGTTGCTGTAGAAGATGTTGAAAATGGGGATCTCTTGCTGGGGGAAGATGGCGAGCCTTGCGAGGTTGAATCTCTGCACCATGCACGCGATAATCTAATTGAATTGAAGCAGTTCACGAGGCACCGTGCGCATATAGAGGATCCCACTCGGCTGCCACCATTTGGGGTTGTCAAAGTGAACACTTTTGAGAGGGCGGTGCTGACGTTGGCTACTCCTAATCGAGCTGGTGCAACTCACAACACCAAAACTGATGTCAAGCTACTCAAGTACTGTGAGCTGATGGACCACATGACAAATGATGGCCGCATCATTAAGCTGATCAAGATTAAAGAGATTCCGTACCCCAGTAACACACCAAATTCCACGCTTCAAGACATGGTGAAAATTCATCGTGACAAATATGAAAACAATAACATTGAGTGGCAATGTGAAGTTGGCGATTTGAAGTACCTAAGCAAATGGATTAGAGCGTCCACAAAGTTACTGTTATGCCCAATCTCGTTTGAAATTCCTTGGCTGTTGCCATGGTTAGAGTGGAGGTTTCAGAGGAAAATAACCGAACGAGAATTGGAGGCTATGTCTTGGATGTTGGGCTTTTGGATTGGAGACGGTTGCCGTAAAGGTGCTTTATTCGCTCTAAATTCCGAAGACCATGACGTTAACGGGAAACTGGAGGAGAATGCGAAAATTTGGGGTATGTCTTATGAGAAGAGACACTATCGACGCGATACTTTTGGTGCATTCGCTGCACTGCATACACCAAAGGCAAATGGCAACGGTCGTCACTGGAACGTAAACAATCCGTTTATTGCGGTTTTAGAAGGTCTGAGATTTTATGGAGACGGGATACGCAATGGGCCCAAAAATGTTCCAATATTCTTGCGGACCGATCAGCTATTGGTTCGCAAATGTTTTATGGCCGGGGTAATTGACTCTGATGGACATTCTAATGTGTGTGACGATTTTATGAGTGTTGAAATTGCTTCAGTATACCCTCCAATAAGGGACGGTGTTCTCTTCGTAGCGCGCTCGCTTGGAATTAACGTATCTGTTCATATTAAACCTGGAGGATATCGAAATGGAATGAACTGCGCGGATGCATGGTTATTCACCTTGTCGAGTGGTAGTAATCGCGATATTCTTCTTTCCATTTTGAAGTACTGTTCGCATGGTAGGAAGAAAGATCCCCCCATATTTTATTATCATAAGATGGATCCGGATGCGGGGATCAATGTCAATGCTCTGGAGTCCAATGCATGCACGAAAGAAACTGGTGAAGATGTGAGCTCCACGACTGCTATTGGTGAAGAACTGGAGATGGGTTTTGCAGGGTTGCCTGGCTTGAACGTGGACGAATCCACTTCTACGACAATTGCTGGGTCAAACGACTCCGACGATTCCGAAGGTGACGATGACAGAGCGCTTGCACAATCCGCAGAAAACTTTGAATCTGAGGTTGTTGAAATGGTTTCTGGTGAAGATTTGGACGAAGATGGCAATGACGAGACTGATCCAGATATTATCGAGTTAGATACGAACACAAACGACGGATTCCGCGTTCCGCATCGTCCAAAGCGGCAAACTTATTATGCACGCCGCGTTGACGGCGAAGTGGAGCCGTATTTGCCCAACGAGGGGGACAAATACTGTATCAAGTTCCACAAATCACGTCAAAGATTTAGATTAACTCCCTCATCGGAAGAAGGTGACATTATTGGGTTGAAAGTTTGTGAAAAAGATCACCCGATACTATCCGAATCTCAAATAATATATGGGCAATCTTCTTTTGACGAAGAACGATCAAAGGCGGATTACGAATTAATCTGTTATTCCTGCAAAACTGAAGATTGTGCCGAATGGAGAATCGTACCATGGCCGTTGAATTACAAAGGCCGGTTGTGTCGTACCTGTTACGAAACCTACTCCAGGAGTCAAACTAGGTGTTCAAATACTGATTGCAGACAAATATTCCACAAGGGTCAATTAGGCAAGAAAGCTTACAAAAACGAAAATCAAGTAAAACTCAAACTGAACCAGGTCAACGCATCCGCAAAGCATAAATATTTGTGCCACAGGTGCAGTAGTGTCACCATAACTGAAGGCGAACTCGAGCATGTCATAGCCCCAACAAAATATCCACCCAGGGATGATACGTGCTATACGTGCGGGCCCAAGACTGACAGACGTTGGCATAAAAGAGATGGAAAACTTTGGTGTAACGGGTGTTACAAGAGATTTGCAAACACGAGAATGCTTTGTCCAAATTCCAATTGCCGTAAGATTCCTTCCGCGGCAGAATCCACCAGAATGAAATGTGAACCTGGATCTCCTACCACCTTCCAATGTCTGGCTTGTAAGACTTTGATCGAACAAGACACCTCGAGGCCTGCTCTCAAACGTCACAAGCTGGAGGAAAGACTTGAAACTTGTCACTCCTGTGGGCCCATCAAATGCAAAATTTGGTGTTCTTTGCCTTGGGATATGAAAGGCTCGGGGCTGCTTTGTAACAATTGTCGCACTCACTATAGAACCACTGGTGGCGTAAGATGTTTGAATGATGCTTGCGGCAAAATTTTGAAAAAAAGCGAACTGCCGGAATTGAATCAAAAGGAGCGTACCTTGTCCAATGGGTCAGTCGGATTGAAGTATCTTTGCATCTATTGTCACGGGGATACCAACTGGAATCCAGATGCTTGATAATTATTGGCCATGGCCAGCAAATATCAGGAGCCGCTTTTTGCTCATTGACTATCTTCGCTTTGTATACATCTATATCAATTCTGGTTTTTTTGTGTTGTAGAGCTCATCTCCACTAGGATATCCTTTAGAAACGATTGTGCCAGTCACACCCCCGACTCACGCCTTCTCTGCCACCACGCGGGAGCAAAGCGGGCTTTCAACGTAATTGTGCTTGCTGTCATGGACATTTTGCAAAATTGGGCTCATTAAGAGGGCGGCAGGATAGTAGAAAGTGATATAGGGGAATACGTATGGGAAACGTCAATTCGCTTTTGCGACATTGTATCTCGAGCCAAACTAGGTAAACGCTATCATAAGACTCTATTTCTATAGGTACACATATGCCACTTGTACGTCAAAAACGCCTGACGCAAGCGACCCTTTCAAATTCAAAAACACCTTTTGCACGATGCCCTTTGCCCTGTGCCCTTGCACACCGACTTGGCTCTTCGAAACACTGACCATGACCCTTATACATTATCTTTCCTTGTCTTTTGCAATATAATAATCATAATCTTGATTTTCGATATGAATTCTTCTATCCCATAAACTTTGTCTATTTTCGTTAGCGAATTCTTTAAAATATGCTTGTTCTGGGGTATTGACGGTACGAATTTTGGGTATCGCTTGTATTGGACTTTCTAAAGGTAGAGGCTCGGATTGAGAAACGAGTGCGGAGTGAGGTTCGAGTGCGGAGCGAAATTCGGAGCGAGATGCAGAGCGAGATACGGGGCGAGATGCGGAACGAGAATCGGAGCCGGAATGAGATTCGCGCAAGGGCGATAGTAAATTTGCAGTCGAAGAATTCCAATTTTCATTGGAGGAATTCCACTTTGAAAAATTCCAATTTGAGGAATCCAAATTTTCGCTCAGCTCCCAATTTTTGTCCTCACACCTTTCTAAATCTTCAGTAGTACGATGCGTTAACGGGAAACCGCGTTTCTTTTGATATTTTTCGACCAAAGCATTTACGTGTTCACTAACGGTCACACACACGTAGGGTTTGAGTCCACGACGGTTTTCATTTATAATTCGATAATACACGAATATGGAACAAACACACGCCAATGCAAATTTGGTAATGAAAAAGGCCCAAATAATAAATGAAAATAGCATAAACGATAGTAATACCGCTTCTTCTCGATTGGTTTGTGCAATAGTCTTTATCTTTGCCAATAATCCACTTAAAGTTTCCACTTTACCCAAATCGTTTTGATCAGATGCAACGATAACCGACCATAAAGTTAATCCATTAAGTACTTGTCGTGGAGTATCTGTAATCAAAAGTCTTAAACAATCTTTCAATTCGAAAAAGGTGAAAAATGCCATTTTTTGAAATGTTCCTTCTGGTGAAATGCAATTGTATACGCAAAACTTATTGTATTGGCTTAGTGAATAGATTCCCCTTGAAAAATTATTCACAAACGTCAGCGATATATTTCGCGTGCGGTATATGCGGATTCCGTCAACAATCTCCCATAAGATCAAGACTATGGACGCTAAGATGCATCCGCTAAATAGCCATTTGCTGATCCGAAACGGAATATACGGCTGGATGATATTGTTGGACCATGAATTGAATGCCAGTAGCTTGATACAGGTGTATACGTCCGACACGAACAACGCGATTTTCAGCGCCGTGAGAAACAGTACGAAGAATGCATAGTTGACAACGGTCATGAATTTGAAGTTGCGGAACAGCGAACAATCCAAGGCATCAAATGTCTTGGAGTTGATCGACAGTTTCCAATCGCTGCGAAACATAGCTCGAAACGCCCTTTTTGAAAAGCTTAGTTCGACAGAAGCTACGTTAAAACGTCTTTTGTTTTCTCAACTTGAGCAGCTCACTCCAGTGGAATCTTTTGCACGTCTTTTGTTTCCTCAACTTGAGCAGCTCACTCCAGTGGAATCTTTTGACCTTCTTGTTTTCTCAACTTTAGCTGCTCACTCCCGCTACCTTTAGCGGGATCGTTTGTTTCGTTTCAAAACTTTACTTTTGAAACGGTTATATCTAGGCAAGTTTTCAAACTTTCATTCTCGAACAATTTTCGAAACAATGGGTTACGCGAAACAGGTTAAAAAAAACGAATAACCCGACCACATGTACAGCACATTAAACTTAGCTGTGTATCGAGCCACGTCCGAACCGGAGTTTTTCGGACGCAAAATGCTGGGAATGTGTAGTATTTATAAAAAAATATCAGCATGGAGCTCGAGTCGATGCGAGCCTCGAGTTCGTGTCTTCCCCACACATCCACTACTCAAGTCGCTTGGCGCTCCAAGTCAAGTGCACGGCCACGACGGACTACTATTCTTTCACCCGCTGTTACGCACGTCTCGCGACGCAACGGACTGTTGGAATTTTTTTCTGACAAGAATTTTCCATTACGGAGACTACAGACCGCTCACCAACGGACGTCTGTAAAATTAATTGTGTGTGGGGGGCGCGGCTTGTGGTGTGTGCTGAACAAGAAGCGGACAACCTTCCTGTTGCCGCCGCAGCTGTGTACCAATTGGGAATTAACCTTCGTCAAAACGTTTTCTTCCGATCCCAAAGTTTTTTCAACCGTCAAGATTATCGAGCCGTGTTACAGGACCCTTCAAGGCTGTTGCGATGATCAACCTATAAACCAAGTTTTCTGCTTCGAGAATTTCTCGGAGCCCTAGTGATTAACTAGCGGAAAAAAATGGTGATATAACAAGAGGGTTCTATTGGTAAAATTAAAGACGTAAAGTCAGGCGGTGTGTGTGGCTTGAAGAACCGTTGGTTGAGATTGTTTTCATTAGCTTCAGTCTCTACCGGTTTTTTTTTTTTTAGGTTATTGCATGAGCCGTTCGAATTGCAGAAATGACAGACCAGCGACAACAGCAACAGCACTTTACATCTGGAAAGTCCGGAACAGTAGATGCGGATGATATGGGTTATGGAGTCGACAATGGCCAGCTTCATGGCGATGGTTCGCAACAGCGTGGTATACCACAGTTCGTTCCAGCGTGGGGACAGTATTACGGTGGTAGCAATGGGTCTGCCACGGCTAGCAGCAGCACCACGCCGTTTGGTTACGCACAAAACTACTCTCAAAGAATGATCCCAGGCCCGTTTTCAGGCTCGGGTTCGGGAGTGGCTGCGATCTCTCATTCTATGGCGTCACCTCCCCTCTACTGTCATCAACCAAATTCCCCAGGATTGGCTTCCGACAACCATCCATTACCAACTGCAAAACGGAAAGCTGCATCGAATCCTCACCAAGTTTCTAAATTGCCCAAAAAAGTGTCGTGTACGTCGTGTCGTACTCGGAAAATCAAATGCGATGGCCTCAAACCCCTCTGTGGTGCTTGCAACAAAAAAGGTCTTCCCACAGAGCTTTGTATATACGACTCTGCACCTTGGATTAGCACCGTTTACAAGGAAAGACAATTATCCGAGGAAATCGAATTGCTGCGAAAACAAAACGCTACTTTGACCAAAGATGTGCAAAATCTAAACTCCCAGCGAATACAACTTCACACGGAAAACATGGAACTACGAGCGTATGCTTTAAGAGCATCCGAAAACAGCGCTGTCGGCTTAAACACTAACGAGTGGGAGGCAAACTCCAATACCGAAGTTTTGGACATGGCCTTAAACTTTCCATTCAGAGAAGAATTCGTGATGCTAGAAAATTTTGCCCTAGCAAAGGATTCGTCTTTATGCATTAGGAGACTGGTAGGGCCTACCAGTTGGCGTGCTGCTATATCGGTGGATAAGAAAATGAAGTATATTTTCGAACAAGTATCCAAGACTATATCAAAAAAATTATCACGCATGGAAGATGAATTTCCTCTAACTTCAGTGGCCGGTACTACATTCTATGATTCGGAAGCGTCAAAAGCTTTCCCGCTGGACCAAAACCAGAATAGAAATATCGTATCCTGGGGGAGACAAAAAATCTTAGAAAAAGTTCTCGCTAAATTTCCAGATCCTATAGTCTTCCGAATTCATATCGAAAACTTTTTCAGTGGTATAGCATGCCAGCTCTGTCCTGGACTTCTGGATAAGAACGAATTGTTAGACAACTTTGAAAATGCCTTTGCGGTCAATTTGCGAGAAGTTCATGGATTCTACGACAAAACCAAACCATACGAATACCAATTAAGGCCTTTTGGAAATGATATAGTTTACAGCAACATTTCAGAAATTTTAATGGTTATGAAAATGTCAATGTTGTTTGGCCTAAACGAATATCAAACTCGTGGTTCGCAGAATCTCACGGATAAGTTTCCCTTCTTCGATTGTTCCTATCAGGTGCGGAGGTGTTTTACTTCATTCAAAGACAATGATCCGACTCATACTTTATTCACCAGCATTGAAATGCTTCTTTCATTGGGCAAAGTGAAGAGTTTCCCTTGCCTACCAGCCATGAATACTATGTTCTTACTGTATCTATACAGTATCTACGGTCCTAACTTCTGCAGCGAGGTTTTCACTGATTCCAACTCTTCGGTTTTAGGTCTTACCGTACACATGGCGCTAAAATTAGGCCTCCACAGAAATATCGAGCTACTATATTCTCACGAACAGCCGGACAAGAGACGCAGGATAAAACAATCTTGGGTTTTTATTCTTGCATATGATGGTCGCAGAAGTCTGGTGACTGGCCATCCTTTACTGATAAACGAATCGTACATCTACAAATACGATGATGTTGAAGAAGTGGACTACGATACCGCTGACCTTGAAACGAGGGAAAATGTAACGATTATAAGAACGGTGTCATTAATGCGTGATATTATGAATGACATCCTGTGTGAGAAGAATAAAACTGCGCTAAATGTTAAACTTCAGATCAATAAGTTGGCTCTCTACAAAAACAAGTATTTCTTGTCTACACTAAGTCGAAGTTTAAAAGGTCTTAGCGAACCAAATCTTTGCGAAGGTGAAATACATTTTTACTTGCGGCAAGTCAAAAACTTTTTGCATTTATACGCTCTTCAACATTCCCTTCACATTATGCTTTACCTTACTTATGAAAATGAAGGTGGACCAACTTGTCCCGAAGGGAAGGAGAAGTACTTTCTGCTCACCCTCAGATATTCAATTTTGCAGCTTCTGAGTGTCAATGAAGTCGGGAGGACTATTTCGAAGCTCTGTCGGGCGAGTTGTGCAAACAATGAATGGATTTATTACTTGTTGCCTGCGATGAAGGAATGTGAATTACGAGCTGTGTTTTTCATCTTGTCTATTGTACTGCGCGATCTTCACGAGCTAAAGAACTCAACGACCCCAATTGACAAAACGTCGATAAACAGCATTACCAGCAGTCAAAACATTCATGACCTTACGTTTGAGGATCTGGAGCTTAATTGCATGAACGATGATCTTCAAGAATTGCGTAAAATGAGGACTGTTTTGTCAAAGGACAATACCTTCATAACTTTACGATTTCTATCAAATGCTCTTGAAGAGATCTGGACCCAAGACATTGAAATTGCAGGAATCAACAAAGAGTTCATGCCTGGTTTAGAACTCATAAGGGGCATGTTTGTTCATTTGGTCCACGTCCTCAAAAATTTTGACACCTCGGGAGATCATACAAGTTTGAGACATCGCTCTCAAACCCAAGAGGCCATTAGAGAAAAACAGACTAATGGTAGGGGTAATACAGACAATGCCACAAGCGATGTTGCAGAGACGCTCCCGACGGAGTTACCGTCAGATGCTGGTCTAGAATTAGTCCCCGAGTTAGAGAACCGAAATCAAGGAAGAGACCAAATGCCGTTACCCATCATACCAGAATTTTCTGACCCTCCAACTCACGACTACATCTCCAGCACTCAATCTTTACACAGTAACCCGGCTGTGCAGTTTGCTTCTGAGCTTTCTCGCTCGGAAAATGTGGAGGATCTGGGAGGCATTCTCTATGATGAAATGGATACTCTGCTTACTATGGATGCGGAAACGTTTACTACAAAATTTCGAAACGACTTATTGGGCAAATACAAAACTTGGCTCGAAGACTAATTCATGAGTGCTCATCGCACAGTCCTGCCATTACCAATTATCTATACAAATATATTTACATTATCGTTACAGTTTAGGAAAATTAAAATTAATGCATTTCGTTAGTTGCGTGCCGAACTTATCACCATATTTCGAATTTCGTACATATAGCCATTACTCTTGGGGTCGGGCAGTCCTTGTTCGTTGTCGTATTCATCCATCTCAGCATCTCGCAGAATGAACCACCCACCAACTTTTCTACTCCACTTATTTTCCTCGTGGTAGAATTTTTCTAAAGTTTTGGAGTCAATATTGAAAGTAGAGTCGTGACTCGACGGACCTGTGCTCAAAGAATGGTACCGAGTTGTTGCAGATGACGAAAAACGTCCACTTAAGCTTTGCCGGTTAGGGCCAAACTGGCTCTGAGATCTCTTTGACGATAGCCCTTTCATCGGATAGCCGCTTTGGACATTGGAAGGAGGAATGAAGTCTGGAATTTCTTTGAAAGGGTCCTTTTCGTCACCATCAATTCTGATCCAGCACAAATTTTCTTGATCAAACATCATTCGGCCAACAACTTTTCCATGTTGCTTGGCCCCTAACTTTGAGCTAGATTTTTTTTCGCGAGGTGGTTTAAGGTCCGGCTTGCCCTGAATGATAATAGCCTTCTTGTCATATGAATCAACATCCCGAAATTTTGAAAGCGCCTTCTCATTACCTTCCCAACTCAGTGTTTCGGGATTGTAAATCATTCTTCCTTTTTTCATCGGCGTGTTATGGTCTATTTCTTGCTTGATAGTTTTTAAGCGATGATTTACGGAAAGCTTCTTGGTATTATTGAGTTTAGTGGTGGAAGGTTTGTTGTGCCGCAGTGGTTCCCTGAACATGTTAAGCTGACTAGGTTTTATCCACTCGCGATGCCTTTTATGCAATTGAGGAGTTAACAAAGAATCATCAGCAGTTATAGTGTACTGGGAAGGCGATAGATTCAATGGCGACTTGAGATCATCCTCCGTGAGAAATTGGGGTTGCAAAAGCCCTTTGTCGAACTTCAAATCATCCTCAAACTCGTCATTGTAATTCTCATGTTCGTTTTCTTCACGTATGATATCGTACCTGGATAACACTGGCATTGAGTTTTTATACTGAATTCCTCTCGACCCTAACCTGCTCCCCGGCCTCAAACTTGTGGCAGACCTGCTGTTCGTGAGTTCATGTGGCCGATTGCTCGAAGGTATCTGTTTCCCTGTACGCTCCCGTAGGTTGAGCATTGATTGCGGTTGTTTGAATGAACGACTGAGTGTCGGTTTTGGCCTTGAAATCCCACTCAAATTTCTGCTTTTGAGGTCTACTTTATTTTCAAACCTTTTAGTCAGTGTATCAAGTTCATCCCTATCCTCTAGCCTCTCGTCAAAAGGACTGCCGTCTTCCTCTTCCCTCTGTGCAAAATGTGTCTGCACTAAATCATCGGTTGTGCCTTTGCCACGAAATTCCTCAAAGTCGTCCAGAAATGCACTTCCTTCTTCATCGCTTTCAGTGTGCGTGGAGTATCGCTTTTTGTTATTCGAAAAGGTTGTGCTTTCGGAGCTGGCAGTTGAAGGTGCTCCCCCGCCTTCCTTTAAAGGTGATGATTGATGACTTTTGTAAGGCTTGGGCCAGTTTACGGGACTCACTGTCGTTTCAATATCTTCGAAAGACGTCTCTGGAAAGTCCTCAAGGACGACAGGACGTATCGACATCAACTTCAAGCACCTTAGTTATTTTAGTTGTTATTTTTATGTCGCTGTTGTTTAGTGAAATATTATTAATTTTGAATACTATCAATAAATTATGTGAAATATAAAAATTTAGAAGATCGATACTCAGGATACTAACTCGCTTAAATTGAGACCTCTATCTCCATCTATCGAAAAGAATGATTACCGATTCCAAAGCTGACTATTCAGATGTTTTAAAAGGTCTTGAAGTGGGATTCTTAAGAGAAAATGACGATTGGGTAAATCGTGTAACAACTGTAAATCAAGATGACATCAGATCGTTAGATGGGCTGGTGAAGTCGACTGAACAGCTTGTTCTCAAGTACTCCAACCCTAATCAAAGTATAAAGAGTGCAATACAAAAAGTTTTCCAAAACGTTTTAGAGCGCTACCCACTTTTATTCGGATATTGGAAACGTTTCACAGCCGTTCAGTACCAACTAAATGGACTGGAGAGCTCTATCACGGTACTTTCACATGCTGTAGATGCTTTCCCCCACTCCCTGGAACTGTGGTGCGATTATCTGAACGTCCTCATGGCCAATAATCCAGACAAAGTTGATCAGATTAGAATAAATTTCCAGATTGCAAGAAATCTTGTAGGGTTTCAGTTCCTATCACATTCCTTTTGGGACAAGTATATTGAGTTCGAAAACGAGCAAGGACAAGTGGACCACTTGGCTGATATTTACAAGGTCATAAGTCGCATACCACTTCATCAATATTCCCGATATTACACAGCATACAAGGAGTTCGGGCAAAAAAATTCTGCTACAGTGCAGGTTGATGAGGATATTGATAAAATTTTTGCCACAACTCAACAACTGGTCAACAGTGTTTGGAAGTACGAGTCACAAATTTCCCAGAGCTTTTTCAATTTGGGACCGCTTGCTCAGAAAGAGCTTGATAATTGGGATCAATATTTATCATTTGCCGCCGAGTCTGAATTGGTTTCCGTAGAACTGACGAAGTCAATATATCAAAGATGTCTGATACCGTGTCGATATTATGAACATTTTTGGTTACGATACACTCGATGGATGGAAAGCAACTGCGATCTGACTAGTACGCTCGAAATTTATGAAAGAGGTGCTGCCGTAGTGCCGTTGGAACAGCGTGCTCTGCGGCAAAATTATCTATCGTTCTTGAAAAAATCGTTGAGAAACAATAAGGAGAAGGTTTTTGATATTTATCTTCTCACCTTAGCAGAGTTCTCTCGTTTATATCCCAAAGACTCGTCATTTGTAAAAGATTTTTTGATAACCATTAAAAAATGCGAATTTGGGTCCAATTTGACTCAAGCAGATCGAGAAATTCTGGCTCAACAAAATGCTTATGCATCCTACCTCGAGGCAAATGTTCGTACTTATATTCGGAAAGCACAGCGCGGAGATACCCGACTGCAACAAATTTTGAATGATTCTAGTTTTCCTGTACTTGCGATAGAATTGATAAAAGTGACTCAGCTGACTTTAAAGAACACTATCAAAACAAGAGCATACTTCTCCGAATTTGAGAAACTCCCGCAAATCAAAAATAATACAAGCTTTTGGTTAACATTTTACAAATTTTTGAAAACTACGGTCGACCTGAATGGACTAGAGAATTTCGTCTTTAGACTGGGAACCGAAATCCAGATACCGGTAGTGATTCTCAACGATATCATCAGTGACTTCAAGTCGTTTTTTTTGACAAACGTCAATATTGACGCATACGAAAAGAATGTATTCGATGGCCGGTATAAAATGACCATCGATCCGCTAATAGACCTCGAATACAAAGTAAACAATCCTTTCTGGTCGAAACCAGGAATTACTCTAGGCATTGAAAGTCAGAAGAAAGACATTAAAGACAACGGCCATCCGGGCCTCTATCTCGACAAACCTTTGATTTCAAATACCATAATAGAGCATGACTCGAAAGCGTTCGCAAGCGGACCCCCGCCACTACCAGTTTTCAAAAACCTTGAAAAAATCAATAAGCCCGCGGTACATAAAGACTATTTTACCAGGGATTTTATGAATACAACTTAAACCTACTTCCTATTAGAATCCAAATTATAAAGTGTCACTTTGTCGTCCAATCACTGTCAACCCTGATCTTATTTCAGCTTTGCCGCTCACAAGATTATCACCAAAAACCTCCAAAATTTCTAGCTTTGCATTCTGCTCTCCTAGTTTTTTGATTAGAACGTCATTTGCGCATCCCAAGAAGCCAATGTCAAGTTTTTTGAGCTCTGGACATTCCATTGCATCGAAACAATCACCTTTTAGTGCCTTCAAAGAATTGAGGCTTAGCGTCATAATACTCTTACCAGCTTTATTTAGGAAGAATTCTGTGATTGCCATATCATCAAGTTGCAGGCAGCGTCTAAAGCTACAAACTTTCAAATTTGGCATCGAAACTTCACTAAACAGGAAAACAATACCATCGGACGTTATTTGATCTAATTCTTCCAATTCCAGAGACTCTAAAACACTGGTTCCTGCATCTGCTGATAGTGCGTCTTTTAGATTGATGATAGTTGTATCGGTGACGGCGAGGCATCCATTTAGGCTCAAGTGCTTCAAAGTCGAACCTATGTTTTTCAGTGTGGCTACCAGTATGTCGTCAGTAATGTACTCCTCCTTCGCAGGGTGTTCCAGTCCAAGATTCTCGAAGTTTGGACATTTTAAATACTGTGGCATTATACTATAGTCAGTCAGGTCATCAAGCCTTGATAACCTTAAAGAGACTAAGTTGTTGCCACAGTGCTCTAAGAGACTCCGAAGGGAATCGTTGGTGAATCTATGCGTATTTGAGACGTGAAATGCTTTCAGCCGTCCTCCCATCCTCGTAAAAAAGATATCCCATGTGTATTCATTTATCAGAAAAGGACCGTCTAGGTACAAGGAATCCAGATTTGGCAATTTCTCTGCAATGTAGAGCAAAGCTTCGTTGTTGAGCTGACCACACATTTGTAAAGACAATTCTGATAAATGTGGTGCGAAAATAGCCAACATTTTATAACCTTCATACGATAGTTTTGAACAGTCATGAAATGCCAGTGATCGTAATTCCGTTTTGAGAAATAGCTGTAGGGTGTGGTCGTTAAGTGCCCTATTTTTAGATAAGGTCCTCGCCAATTTGTTCATATTTTGAGTTGAAATACCACCCAAGGTTTCACGGATTTTAGAGTGGATTGTGTCATCCGCAGAATTAGTATTTTGTTGTAGTTTTGAGATGTTAGCACTGATTTGAGAGATACAAACATCCTGCAGAGTGGAGATACGCCTGATTTTCCTATCGAGAAGCTCGGCGGCCCTCTTCTTTTTTCTTCTCCGCTGCATCAGCTGTTGCTTACTCTTCTTAAGATTCAGTTCCAGCTGCTCTTGGGATATTGCGGGTACTGGGGTTTCTGAGATCGTCCGGGAACTCATGCCTTCATCGTATTCTTCTTCATCGCTGTCCTCCTCAGCAATGGCGAATCGCTTTAACCTATCGTCACTACGCGGTACGCTTCGTCTTGTCTGTAAGCTGTTACCATCGGCGTTGTTGTTATCTTCTTCTTCATCATCATCCTCATCGTCCTCGTCGTTTTCTTCAGAGCTATCGCTAATAGCGCGGCGTCTTCCTTTGGTAAAATATTTCGAAGAGCTCACATCTTCATCTTCCTCTTCTTCTTTGACGTCAGTGCTAACCTCTTTTGTTTCCTTCTCACGACTTTTCAACCACTTCTGTCTGATGCTTTCGGCATTGATGCCCTGTTCTTTTAAAAACTGTGTTAAGGCAGAATTGGGCCCTCTAACTTCGCTATTTTCCCCTTGACCGCTTTTCGCCCTATTGCTGCCCCTGTACATATGCGGATGTGATGGAAGATTTGTGACCGATAATGCGTCTAGTTTACTTATCGAAGATTAAAATAGCTTTACTAAAATGCAAGTTTCATTCCATTGCAGATTCGAATAAAATGCAAAAAGATTTCAAAAAAGAATGCGCAAGCCCGGAATCGAACCGGGGGCCCAACGATGGCAACGTTGGATTTTACCACTAAACCACTTGCGCTACTGTTGATTAAGAACAATTTTTACTGGTATCTGATGCTTGCTTAAATCCCTGCCCTAAGTTCGTAACTTGATGCCGACTATCCGACTATAGATACGTAATAATGTTAAATCCTGAGCGTTCACATTGTTCTATGCAAAAAATTTGATTGTTCTACCTTTTTCATCCGGCCTTTTCATGAACCCACCTCAACTTTTATAAGGTTCAGACCTCTATTGCTTGGAGCGAAACTTAGGAATCTCATTCATATCCCACAATTCTTTATGATCTTGCGTTTTTTGGTGTGTCTCTTGTTTTGCCGCCTATTATCGGCTCTTGGTCACAATGTGAAACCCAGTGCCACTGGCATACAGTATAGAAATTTCAAAATTGTCCCGTCTTAACTACTGTCGCGCGAGTGGTTTAGTGGTAAAATCCAAGTTTCCCATACTTGGGCCCCGGGTTCGATTCCCGGCTCGCGCATTTTTTTTCAAATTTCTTTTTCAGTATTTTCGGGATAAGGATATAACTCTCCCCTTAAAGAGAATATGTCGCTGTCGATATTTCTACAAGGGAACACTCGAACCCGAGCCACTTATATATTTATATCGTCAATATAATTGTTTGAAGAGCTCAGAAAGATTATAGCACACCTTAGTGCAAGGAATTACTATACCTTGCAATGCAGGAATCGCTTGGCGATCGTAGAAAGCCCAAGTCTTATCATCTGGTTGTTTTAGTACATGGTCTTTGGGGTAACCGAACCCATTTCGACTACATTCGTAATGCACTCGAGTTAGGATTCCAAACGCATAAAGAGGCTCAAGGTTTAGACAATGAAGAATTGGTGGTATATACGACACACCTCAACGAGGGTTACAAGACTTACGATGGGATCGACGTGTGTGGTGTTCGAGTCGCAGGCGAAGTAGAAGGGCAAATAGCAGAACTCGGGTCAGTGACGAAGTTTTCCATCTGCGGGTACTCTTTGGGGGGACTGATAGCTAGATATGCGTTGGGAGTTCTATACAAGAAGCAGGTCTTCAAAAAACAAGATATCGAACTGGTAAACTTTACCACATTTTGTACACCACACGTCGGAGTCCATGCGCCTGGTAAAAATGTAGCTGTGAATCTGTTCAATACAGTAGTTCCCCTTGTCTTGGGAAACACGGGCAAACAAATGTTCCTGAAAGATAAAGCTGCGTTTGCTGGCGGGCTGCCGCTCGTGCTCTTGATGAGTATGGAAAATTCGGTGTTTTACAAAGCGTTGCAAGAATTCAAAAACACGTCGCTATACGCTAATGTCATCAATGACAAGAGAACCGCTTGGTGGACTGCCGGGATTTCCAGAAACGACCCGTTTTTTGAAGTTGACGATCAGAACGGTGACTATCGCTTCAGCTATGTGAAAGGGTATGCGCCAACCATAGTGGATCATTCCAGATCTATCAGGATTACTAGAATTGAGGATTACAACGAGAAAATCGAGGAAACCAGCAAGCCCCAGGAAAACACAATTGTTAAAGTTGATCGTCGTGAGTACTTTTTTATTAACTACTGGGTTGCCAAGTTGTGTCGGTGGTTTATGGTATTATTCAATTTGCTATTAATAGCTCCAATATGGGTGATTTGGTTTGCTCTATCGGGAACAATGGAGACCATAAAGTCTACCACCAGAGCGACACGGTTTATCAAAGGTTATTCGCATCATTTTATAAGTGAGATATATGACGGTGTCTCAGAAGAGCCTTTACCAGATGATATAATCGATGCATCATCCGACACACCTAACGAGTACGAGTTACAAATACAGCAGTCCCTAAATGATCAGACTGACACATTTATCGAGAGCCTCTTCAGTGCTATCGAAAGAAAAAACACTCTATCCGCGGTCGTTGACGAAACGGACTCCCCAGATGTCACTGATACCGAGGACAATGAATTTGTTGTGAAAACTACCTTGAAGGAACTGGAATCACTCTCAATCGAGGAAATTAAAATCCGTCGTTTGAAGTCTGTCGGTTGTGATAAATTGCCATCGTTAGAAGACTTACATTTAAACTTAGCACCTCAGCAATTGAAAATCATTGAATCATTGAACAAGATTCCTTGGCGAAAATTTCCAGTGTATATTCGCGACACAGTAAGCACACATGCGTGTGCAATAGTACGGCACAAAGACCCGCATTTTGGAGAGGGCAAAATAGTCGTGAGACATTGGATTACCGAAGTTTTTGAGTTTTGATCTTTAACACCTATCTATCGTTTAAAATTTATCGCTGAATTTTATTTGTAATTGTGCTATGAGCTCTTCATCATTGATTACAAAGGGATTGAATTTGCACTTAACGTATAAACTCGAAACATCACCAAATACTTGTGATAGAGCCTCATCGTCACAATCCAAATTGCTGAAAAACCCAATAATAATTTTCAGGCTTGTTTGTTTTATTAGTTTTCCATACACGGTTACACCTTCTAGTTGAAACAAGTCTTTTATTTCTCGGTCTTGCTGGCTTGTGCTCATCCATTCATACAGATCGCTTTCAAAGTAGTCCAGAGCCATGTTCGAAAAGGTATTGAACTTCAAGACACTATCAATTTCACTATTTGCATTTTGAACAACGTGGATCAATAAAGGGTGATCGTTGGAGTCGATTAATGAGATAAAACAAGGCTTAACCTGCATTGTTTCACATTATGGTAAGGTTTCTTTCGATCTTAAGCATTTCGAATTGTGTGCATTTCAAAGTTTACGAAAGAACGTCTTTGAGTACAAACGTATTCTTCAAAGAAATTTCGCCATTTGTACAATACAGGCCCAGATGGGTAACGAACTATCTGAATGAAACCAAAAGTTCATGATAGCTTTATCTTGATTCCTTAATACATTTCTTGCTCCTATTTATACGCTATACACCTTAAAGTTTGGAGACGATAGAGTCGGCGGCTGTACGTCCGAACACTACACACTCTAAGAGACTTGATCCCCCTAATCTATTTGCCCCGTGGACACCCCCAGAGACCTCACCGGCGGCGTACAAGCCGTTAGCCACAGGTTCGTTGTTTTCGTTCAAAATCTGTGCATTTTCGTCGATTTTTGCACCACCCATGGTGAAGTGCACAACCGGTGTAATTTCTCCGACATAAATGGCAGTGCTACCGTCAACATTCGCTCCGAATCCGTTTATTTTAGAAACACGACTAAAAGTATCAGGTGATGATGAGCTGAATATTTGTAGCTCGGACGCCAAATCTTGGGAGCTGATGGGTAGGCTCTCCGCTAGTTCAGCGACTGTGGTTTTCTTAACTAACTTTTTGAAAATGTAGAAATCCATGTTACTTTTGTAGTCGGAGTAGAGCGCCTCGCTCATAATAAGCAAAGCCTTATTATCTTCTTGAGAACATTTGGACTGGATGGCATCTGTCACTACATCACGGGTGCTCAGCTCATTAACAAATCGTTTCCCGGTCAAGGGATTTAGCAAAATACCACCAAGGCCTCTCAAAGCCTCGGCAGCTAAAAACTTCCAGTTACTTTTAGGATCGGATGGATCTACAAAGCCTGTTGGATGCACCTGTACCTCAGACATGTCTATTAATTTACCGCCAAGCTTCTCAATCAATTTCTGGCCGTCACCGGTTGTCTGAGCACCATTTGTGGTGGGTAAGCCATTCAGTTGAGGAGCGTATTTCTCCAACAGCTCTTGGGAGAACCCAAAACCTCCGGAACAGAACACTACGCCTTTGGTCTTGATTTGTTTAGCGACGCCGTCCTGATCGTAGTAATCAACTGATTGAACTTGGTTGTCCACAATCTCGACGTCAAACACTTTACTGTTCAAATGAATCTTCACTAATTCTGGGTTTGATTCAGAAAGAGCTTTTAGGGATTTTGATAGTGCTTGAATAATTTCAAAGCCCGGAGGCAACTTCCCAGAAGATCTGTGAGTCCTAGGAGCTGAATGGCCACCCAACTGAGCAAGTAAATCCAACTTCAGGCCGAATTCTTGTTGCAACCATGAAATGGCAGAGCTAGAGTCCTTTGAGAGCTTGTGCATCAAAGTAGTAACCCCTGCTTTTTTCGCAGAGTTAACTGTGTCCTGGTAGAAATCAGCCACAGAATCGTCGACACCTAGCGTTTTTTGAGTACTGGTGAATGCTCCGTTTATGCCGCTAGAGGCTTTGATGGAGTTCCCACCTAAGGAGGAAGCTTTATCTAATAACACGATTGGGATCTTATGTTTTAGGACCAATTGACTGGCGGTTGCCAGACCAGCAAGGCCAGAACCAATTATGACGACCGGAGCCGTGTACTTAGTAACCATTTCTGAGTCAGCGTCTGTTGTTCTGTATTTCCGTAGTAGTAGAATAAGGAATAGACAGGCGAGAACGGGGAGAAACTTTTGTTTTCGAAACATCTAATTAATACTCGCTGCTTCTCAGAGGTAGGTTAACACTGTAGTTGGCCATTCTAAAATAGTGTTCATGAATGACTTTCGTTCTCGTAAAGGTGGTGTGGTGTGAGCATTATTTTACGACGACATATTAAGCCCTTTACGTATTAGCTTTTTCACCTCTTTCTTACACGTGACTCCCACGTGATAAAGCTGTTCAGTCGTGAGGAATGTTCTTAAACACGGTGCTCTTAGAGCGTAGAAGTCGTGGTGATATCAAACATATCAGTCCGTGTAATTATTGATCGTTTGTGTACCGAATTATCGCGCGATCTAAGTGCGCGCTTTTGTGGTGTAGTGTCGATCTTTCTATGTAACTGAATATGAGTACCTATGTATTTGAGGTTAAGTACGCCGCGTTTGTAGTGCTTTTGCTGAGTGTCACTTTGTACTTCGCTGACACGATAAGAGCTCCAAGGGTGCAAAGATTTAAGCCTTGCGTCTCATGGGAGTTAGACTCTGGCTCCACCGCATAATCATTAGATGATGCTAACGGCGAATTTTAGCCTCCAAAATTCTCGTAGCGGGTTGCTGGACTAACACATTGCAGCAGAACCATGGAAGTTTGGCTTTTACAGAACAAATCATCATGGTCTTAAATGCTGATTCTCTGGCTATTCCTGGAACTTCCCAATTGTCTTGTGTCTTCACGTAAACGATAATGTCGCAAATATGAACGATCACTATAAAACGTTCAAATGAGGTCTTATGTTGATCTTGCTGTTGCGTAGCGCTTGGATAAATGGGGGTTTTGTCAAATCGCGGTTTCCTCGCTGCCACATGTTTGTGCTCGACATATTCTTTGTGAGTATTTCTTGAATAATACGTTCGTAACGTATAGATCACAGAGCGAGAGACTAAACCTACAAAAACGAGCAGCAAGATGAGATTGAGGTTTTGATTGTAATTTGAATACTTTTCTTACGGGCAAGCAGAGTCTACCTACAATACACTTGAAGTCAGGAACAACATGAGTCATGCTTCTTTGAACGTTGAGAGGCAGCAGGAATACTTTGCAACTTCACCACGACAAACACCTATGTTGCAATGAATGAAAAAGCTTATATCTGTATAAGACTAAGTAGATTTGCAGAAGCCCGTCCGTCTACTGATTATTTAGTGGAAAAAAAGTGTCTGTGGACACAACTAAAAAAACACTAATGTCGGATACCTCAAGTACACGAGGCATTGATGCACAATGCTTGGCGTAACTCTGTGGTGGTAAAATATCCAAAAGAACCGAACATACCTGTCGACCAAACCTCTACTGAGGTGTGATCACTTTTGTCCCTCCTTAATAGGGCAGCGAACTCTTTGAAAACTCCAAACTCTGAGAGTAGGAGGAGCACAATGATGTGGCGTCTTAGAAAGTCCACTTTAAAGTCATCATTCAGAGAAAAGCCGTCGGTCCTCAAATGGTCAAATAAAAATGCCATTTGAATTAATTTTGGAATTTAGCTCGCAATTTGTCATTGAAACGAGGAAAGATGCAGCAACGGACACGGTTTTCCGATGAGAAAGCTGTGCCAGCTCACTCTCTATGCTGAAAAGCAAGAATGCAGATACCCAAAACTCCTGTTTATCGATCAAACCATTTTTCGAATTAAATCCCAAAATCAACTTTAAAAAAATCAAATATATTCAACAATGCCAATTATGCCAGTGAATTTTATCATTTGATGCGTGAATAACTAACCATTCGCGAATTCCAAACTATTACAAACCTTAGTATTTGTAAGTTTGGATTTCGCCAATGGCGTTACCCTCGATATCAATTTCCGTAGATTCGCTGCGGTAAATTTTGGTGGGACCCTCCGAATCGAATGGGTGCTGTTGAGCGTGCTCAAAAGTCTCCAAAATTGCAACTTTAACCCTCTCTAGAGATTCGTCGGAAATTTGATAATGCATGGAGACTCTTCCACCCATTAGCTTGACGTGGTATTTCAAACCTTTTTTAACCAAGATATCAGGGTTCATCTTGGACTTTTGTAGATCCAAAAACACAAAATTGGTATCAGCAGGTGACTCCAAAGGAATGTTGTGAGATTGGCAGAATTTAGCCAAGTCGTGAGCCATACGATGCGAACGTTGCAGTTTTTGTTTCCAGTCACCTTCGACAGCAACAGATGCCATCTTGCACATCATACCAGATTGTCTGATACCACCACCTTGTTGCTTTCTGAAATGGTTACATTTCTTAATAAATTTGAAGTCACCAACTAGAATAGAGCCCATAGGAGCGCCGAGCGATTTAGACAAACAAATGGAAATCGAGTCAAAGATTTCACCAAATTGCTTCATGGGAACGCCACTTTCAGCAACGGCGTTCCAGATACGGGCACCATCGCAATGCAGCTTGATGCCATTTTCCATACACCAGGCCTTGATACGCACAAGTTCTTCAAGTGGGTACACAATACCGTGGAGGGTGTTTTCGAGCGACAAAACTTTCGTGGGAGCGCCGTGGATATCGCCGTCTTCTGGAATGTAGTGACGCTTGATGTCCTGGAGCGTCATGTAGTTGCCGTTGGAAGGAATCACAGGAACGACCATGGCTTGGGACAAGATCGCCAAACCGGCAGCCTCGTGAGTGTAGACGTGGGCTCTGTAGTCACACAAAATGGAGTATGGAGGCTGGAACAAGTGGCAACGCAGCGCAATCTGGTTGGAGAGCGTACCGGAAACACAGAATAAACCGGCTTCTTTGCCGGCGAGCTGTGCCACGCGCTGCTCGAGCTTCAGCGTGTCCACGTCTTCGTTGTAGACTGCGTCTCCGATGGACGCCTGGAGCGCTGCTTGCACCATTTCCGGGGTGGGCGTGGTGAAGGTGTCGGAACGGAAATCGTTCGCGGCAGAGGTGTAGGCTTCTGGTAGTTCGCACATGATAGTAGGAATTGGGATAAAAACGAGTTATTGAGGTGGTTATCGAAGAGAGGGAAAGAGTTCTCTTCGAGGGGACAAGTTAAAGGATTCAGAAAGTATGGCGAGAAAGAAACTCCACTTTAATAACGCAAAGCTCGGGACGTTTCGACGCGGTGGGCTTTTTATATACCCATGCTTTCAAGCTAAGCTGCCTGTGAGTCGAAACTCTAAGCACCATTTTTTTCCAGCTCACGTAAGCAGCGCGGCTTCTATGAGTAATTCGAAGACAGCAGAAAATTTTTTTTTCACCGTCCGAGGCTATGCGAGACTCAAGGTCTTAGCAAACATCTGTCGCTGGGGAGAGGAAACAGCGGCACCCAAGCCCAGGAGCGTAGCACTTTCTTCTCAATGCTTGACAACTAATGCTGCTGGATTGGCTGGCGGGCATAGAATTTCTTCCAACGCATTCCTCATTTGGTACGACGATGTGGTCACGTGTGTGTCTCTCTCTCTCTCTCTGGTGCTGGAGATTGGTTTGTTGTGCCACGCTTCTTCTTGTGGCATTGTAGTTGGCTTTCACTTGTACGCGGCCTGCATCACGCCATAGCCCGAAATCCAAACGTCTTGACGTATTTGTTAGAGAGTAAGTAAGACGAACGCTGACCCCCCATGAGAACGAACCTACACGCAGATATATACACAGATATATATACCCACATTTCTGTCGAGGTTTTCATACATATGTGGCTTACGATAGTTCCATATAGCGAACGACTAGTCCGCAGGCCCGTTGCTTCCCATGTGAGAGTCGTTGTGTTAGTTTAGACTCGCGACTCGAGTGGAGTCAGATATTTTCTAGATCCCGAGTCAGCGGCGGACGACCCGATATCTCCAACTGGTCACGTGGGATTGTCAGCACAGACGATTGGCGTTAAGTAGAGGATTTGCTAGATGTGGGTTCGTTTCGTGAGGATGAGGCGGCTTTGTGAGTGGCAAGACCACCACGGAAACGGGCAGCGAGCATGGATTTTGTTCTACTGAGTAGGACCCCATCACCGGTTGCAAAGCATCGTCGAATTTCCAGTACAACAACCGTTCACGGCCTATTGCCGCGGAGATCGAGGATTGGGACAATGCCCACCCAGCCCATGCGCGATGACATAAGCGGGTCAAACTCCATAATCAGGGTGGCGGGCTTCGGAAGCGGGGTGGTGCATACCACAAGAGACTGTTGAAAGTAACATGAACGGACTACACAGTCGAGCCTCACGCCATTTTGCAGAGTGTTAACAGAGGTATTCCTAGTCAAGGAGCTCTGTATCTTGTGGCCAACAGCGGTCTTTTTACGGGTGTCGAAGCTACGGCGAGGAGGCTCATTCAGCAATGAAAAAGGTTGCTCATCAACGGAAAGCGTCTGAAATCTTTGTTTAGTTTCCACCATTGAGTAGCGTAAATCGTAGGTGAAGATTGTGTATATCTAGGCATAGGGTGCAACGCGACATTATTCAAAAGCGAAGTTCGTGAGTATCTCTCCATTGGATGCAACGTACCTACCATGTCTTTTGAGCATTGGTAACCTCACACTACGGTCTAGACCGGACGCTCTTTGTGGAGGGTCCGGGTTTTATTTAGCGCTCTCTTCCTATCACTTGTTACTATTTCTGTCGTTTTCCAACTAGGCAATATACGCACGTGCTCGCCCCGCCCTACTCGCTCGATGTGACAGACTTTTGCTGCCCAAGTCGGTCTCTTTTCGCCTACCCAAGAAATACCCGCCATTTCTCAAACAATGACTGTTGTTCGGAACCCAGTCACCACCCTGTAAGACTCGGGCCACCAAAAAAACCTGGACCGTCTAAATGTGGTCACCCGAGATTACGACATGTATGTTGGAAACATTTGCACATCGGAAACAAACTGGAAACAAATGGGAAGCGGCAAGGATGCACATGCGTAGATCTCGGGAAACATACACCTATAATTGCTGTACAGAATGACCGACGCGGCTTTGGACGCTGTGCAATATAACTATTTACGAGCTGCGGCACAAACAGCCACGTTCAAATTGGTGGATCTCGAGTGACACTTGGAGCCCGTAGACTCCAAGATATTCTCCGTATTGTGAATGGTCAAACTCAGGCTCCCAACGCTTAACGTAGCACCCTTTTGTCAAATAAAAAATAGAAAGATACACTCACGTCGAGAACAGAGCCACGACTAAATGCTAAATGTCAAAAAGGTCTTACCCGGATTCGAACCGGGGTCGTTTGGATCAAAACCAAAAGTGATAACCACTACACTATAAAACCAATTGTTTAGAAGAACACAATCTATTTCCCTTCAATACGTGTAGAAACATCACGAGACTTGCAGTCCATCAACTGTACATAAATCTTCACCGTGGGCATTTCCCATCTTGAGGTCACTAGTCTTCTAGCTGTATGTGTAAACTCAGCTACACGCTGGTTCCCGAAGTGGGTCTTGTCAAAGCATGGCATCAGATCAAGAACTATCCTCAAACCATCTTAAAAAAAATAAAAAAATACGAACACACCTTTTGAACTCTTCTTTCTAAGTTGAGATCGAGCTACACGCACGGAGGATGGATAGCAAGATTGAGTTCCTCAGGGAAGTAGCGGCTCAGAACAATACCCATGGTTTGAACTTGAAATGCTCCACCTGGAAAAAACCACATAGAAGACACAAAGCCACTCGGCAGCTCATCACCGATGAATGGAAGCGGGTCACGAACGGCAGCGACACGAACAAGAATTTACTCACATACTTCAATGTCGAAGCCCCGCCAAGTGTTTATCCTTCTAAAAAATACTGTGATATTACTGGCTTGAAAGCTGGCTACAAATCACCGGGGAACGGGTTAAGATTCTGCAATAGTGAAGTCTATTCGCTTGTCATCAAGCCTATGGCCCCTGGAATAGATCAAGAATATTTAAAACTGAGAGGCGATAACGTGGTTCTCAAGTGATAGCTCAATTGTGCTGTTTTTGTGGAGAAAAAGCAGGGAAAAACGCAAAGTCCAACGACTGAGAGAAGTCTTAGCAATGTACAGGGTCGCACGCTGCGACTTTCAATTACCACATAATCTTCGATATCGATTCCTTGAGTAGACGGAAGATCAGTTCACCACTGTGAGAATCCAAGACAGGCTTTGTTTTCTGTCTTGACGTCAATAATTCCTCATAATTAGCTCAATCACAAGCTTCTTCGAACATTTACTTCCTTTCCGGAACACTTCTTTCACATCTGCTATGTGTGTTTAAGAGTTCGTGGTTATGGACATTTGTAGATCAAAAAAATTCACATCAAATACCAACCTATATTAATTATTCATTTACTAAATAATAGGTCTGCTAAGGCGCGATATGCTATCATATGCTATTTTTACGATCGTTGCCATCCTGTGGCTGGTCTATCGCTTGGCTCTGTTTTTAGGAATTCCTGTGTGGCGAATCGTGTCGACCTTGGGACTTCAAGTTCCGCAAACGACAAGAGTGTCAATTGATGAGATCACAGAGGAAACTATTACAGTTCGATGGGAAAATGAGCCCACCAATGCCACGGAGAAAGAAAGCGCGTCAATTTCTCGTTACATCCTCTACCTGAATAACGTCAAGATTGGATCGATTCCAAATATTCCAACATCTCTCTACACATGTTGCTCACTTAAGAATCTCTTGCCACAAACACAATATCAGTTCGATTTTGTTTGTGTGAATAAAGATGGTTTCATGAACAAAGTGCCAGCTATTTACGTTATGACCAAACCGAAGAGCCCTAAAAAGCATGATAGTCAAATAAGCGCGGAAGAAGTTGACACAAATCTACTAGTAGCGTCGAACTTTCCTGCTGACACGAAATGGAGAAAAAGCCAAGTAGCGGTATCAACTGAATCTCCAACCTCTTATGCAAGTCTAACATCGCTCCAAGACCTGGATGATTTTTCCATAACCGATTTAAAATGTATTTTGGTTTGTGCACAAGAAGATTTACATGACGTCCTGCAGCAAGAAGCTTCTATACTACAAGATTTCCACGAGAGCGAGGTTCAACTGCGACTTGAACTGGATAACTTAAAAGCTCAGTGGGCACATGAAATCGATCTGAGGAAAAGCCTCAAGTCCAGTATCAAATCTCTGGAAAACTCCAAGTTACTTTACGATTTGAAGCGTGGCAAACTAGACAAAAACATTGATCAGAGTGTGAACAAAATAAAGAAAATGAAAACTGATATGATCAAATGGGACCAAGAAAGAAAGAATCACTTGAGGCAAGAAAATCTGCAGGAGAAGTTTAACAACGAGAAAAAGTCGCTGCTTGAAAGAATTGATGAGGTTTCTAAGCAGGTAAAGGAACTTCATTCTCGGGTGGCTAGTCAGGAGGAAGAGAATAAAAGGCTGAACTCTGTCAAAAAATCTTTGGACTCTACCCAAAGTGCATTGCCCACGAGTGCATCCGCTAGCGCAAACACGTCTAAAAGAAACAGTCCTGTTGAAAACGGGAACTCGGGTCTCAACATGAATTTCATAGCCAAAAGAATAAACGAGTGCACAAACGAGAAGACTGGTATTCTGAATAACGTCGGCCAGGAGTTTTTAAATTCTCTGGGTGAGAACTCAGCAGTTTGCGCGCTTTTGAAGGATGAAATCAAGAAAGATCTGAACTCAGAAAATCAATGGAGAGCAAGAAAGTTGAAAATGAAGAAACGGAATGAACTAATGGAGTCTTTATGGTCAGAGATCAGTATGAAAAACAGAGAACTCATGGCTGGTCTTGCCGCTCAACCTTATACATCAGCTCGTCAAGCGCCCTCACCAAACGGTAGTGCGCCAGCGTTGGCTTTGCATGACCCTAGCACATATGTGTCTGCCGACACCATGCATGAGCAATCAGCGTTCGGTAATGAGTCTTTCCGGCACGCTTCTCCGCCTCCTAATACCACACAGGCTTACACCAATTGGAATATCCACCAACCAAATGGCCAACAGATAGAGGCAGGGGGTGAGGATCAGCAGTTTGACTACGATAACGCGCATCACTTGTTGAGTGGATTGCAAAACATGATTTCGGAGGAGGACTACCAAGCCACAAATGTCAGTACTTCAAAGCTTTATACTACCGATGAACTAGACAATTACTGGAGCCGCCAAACCGCCCCCGAGATGATTCCTCATCGCGCCCAAGAGCACTACTCGACACAGCCCTCAAATCTCCCCCTGTTGTCACCTACTTCCATCTTAGAGAATCCTGACAATTCCCATCACATGAGAATAATGAGCAACGAGTCTTTTGCTCCTGTGTCCGTTTCGCAAGACGAGGACTTGTCGATGTTTGCTCACACACCAATTGTTCAAAGAGATGACGTTATTTCATTTGGCTCTGGTTACAACAACGACCCGGCATTGAGAACCTCGCCTCTACCATTACCAATGACGGAAGATTTCACCAAAGATAACTTGTTTGGTTCAGGTCACTTCAATGCTATATGGAATAATTCTCATACCGGGGAGACTCCAAGTTCTCCAGTCGTAGAGAAGCTAGGTACCCCGAAATCGCAACATACCAGAAGCAACAGTCGTGGAAGCTGGAGCTTGCCTCACTTTATGCAGAAGTCTCCCAACGGTAAATCAGAATCTAAAAACAACAGCGGCGGCTCATCAAATGGTGAGGCCAAAGATCGGGAATCTCATGGTGGCGAACGCCGCATGTCCAAACTGCTTACAAAAAGTGGCATGAATCATTTGTTCAGATCGCCTACTCATGATAATTAACAGTTCCAATGTATTTAATAAAATAGAACTCCATATGCATTTTTGCAAGCCAGTGCTCTATATACCAACATAGTGGTTGTGTGCTGCTATCCAAAGTTCCTCAGCAATGAAGACCTGCTTCAAAGACCAAGCTGTTTCTGTAATTGTAATTTACGTCTTTCTACAAGCCATATTTCCAAATCTTTTTGGTCCGGTATGGTTTCGAACTCTGGGATTATGATACTTGGTGAAATCACTGACTCCTGACTACCCAGCTCAGATTTCAATTGTAATGATTTGTCTTCTTCATAGTCGTTAAATGCTGACTTTTGGAAGGGCTTCGGTGTCAATATTTGATGAATTGTGTTCGAGTTGATCTCCAGTGGCCTCTCAAAGGTCAAATGCTCGTTTGGCAAAAACCCGTAATATTCCGGATCAAGAGTCTTCTTCCAAGTTCGTACTTTATCGTGTAGAATCTTTTCACGTTGGCGGTTGGTCTGAAGTTTGGTACGACGCTCGAGGTCAACTCGCGCCAGTTCCCGAACTTCAGGGAGGTCAAGGGCTCTGCCGAAATACCGACGTCCCTTGATGTTGGTACCAGTAAATTTGAGAGCATTATCACGAGAAAAACTAGGGCCTTTCAATGTTCTGTGGATATGACGTTCCCAACGTCCCTTTTCCGCGAATAGATCATTCAACTCATCGTTCAGTTCCCGAAGTTGCAACTCATTTAAAGATGGATCGTGCATGCGAGTCAGCCTTGAGTTGATGTCGTGAATAACCTGGCGACGCCATTGCTGTGCTTCGCTAGAGTCCTTTACCGATGAGATCTTCGAAGGTCTTTTATATCTTGAGTAGTCCTTGTAGCCACCTGCCTTTTCGGCTTCCAGTTCTTGGAACCGTACCAATACTGAGTTAGCTTTGTCGACGTTTCTACTCATTGTGGAGCTAAGCGGAGCCGGGCAGAAAGATGTTAACTATTTAGTTGGGACCATTACTGACTTACTGATGATCAGGATCTATGCTTGAATTTTTACTGACGTTCCAAGTGATCTATAATTATTTGAATAAACCATCACTTAAAACGAATCACGAATTTTTAAAAGTTGATTGTCGTACAGAAAACTAAATGTCAACGCGTCCCGTTAAAACATTAACCGAGATGATTTAACCTGAATGCAACAACTACTGGCAAACCAAATAAGCTTGCCGGGGCAAAAAAAATAGAATAGCGGATGACTTTTTGGGTGGTGGTACTAGATAAAAACTGATTTCAGCTCATTTACAAGAGTGAGGCGAACCCTCGGTAGAATAGGAATGAGTGCTCAAAAAATTGGAGTGCTTTTGCGGAGTGCTCTTATGGAGTACTCTTCTGTTCGTAATCAAGTAGCATGTTCAAATACGGCCAGATCTTACAGAGCAATCGGAAATGTCAATGCTTTAAGATGACTCACTATGGCACATAATGGCCTTTTTATACGCAGAGTTTGGAACATGAAAAGGAAACGGAGTATCGTTGAGACACGAGATGTAGACGATAATGCAAGCATGATTTTTGAGTGCCAACTTGGGGTTCTAGACAGGAGTTTGGGTATCGTATGTCGGATACTATACCACGTCAGAGTATTACGAAGTGATATTAAATATTTGAGACTGCGTTGATTGCACTTTGCAAAGAGATGGCTCTAGTGTATCGAGATAGAAGTTCGGTAAGTGGACAGGGTAGTGACTGTCTCGCTATTCACAATACGAGCTCAGCGAGTGTTTTTCGATATTGGTGGTTCCCTCGCTCTTCACAATACGAGCTCAGCGAGTGTTTTTCGATATTGGTGGTTCCCTCGCTCTTCACAATACGAGCTCAGTGAGTGTTTTCCGATAGTGGTGGTTCCATCGCCCGTCACAATACTCGCTGGCGCTCATAATTGTTCGATAGTGGTGGTTCCCTTGCTCTTTGTTACTCGCTGGAGCTCATAATTGTTCGATAGTGGTGGTTCCCTTGCTCTTTGTTACTCGCGGGCGCTCATAATTGTTAAAAAGTGGTGATTCCCTTGCTCTTCGCAACACTCGCTGAGCTCCTATTATTCAATAATGGTGGTTCCCTCGCTCGTTACAATACTTGCGGGCGCTCATAATTGTTGAAAAGTGGTGGTTCCCTTGCTCTTCGCAACACTCGCTGAGCTCGTATTCCCTCGCTCTTCGCAACACTCGCTAAGCTCGTATTCCCTCGCTCTTCGCAACACTCGCTAAGCTCGTATTCCCTCGCTCTTCGCAACACTCGCTGAGCTCGTATTATTCAATAATGGTGGTTCCCTCGCTCTTCACAATACGAGCTCAGTGAGTGTTTTTCGATATTGGTGGTTCCCTCGCTCTTCACAAGACGAGCTCAGTGAGTGTGTTCCGATAGTGGTGGTTCCATCGCCCGTCACAATACTCGCTGGCGCTCATACTTGTTTAATAGTGAGGGTTCCCTTGCTCTTTGTTACTCGCTGGAGCTCATAATTGTTCGATAGTGGTGGTTCCCTCGCTCGTTACAATACTTGCGGGCGCTCATAATTGTTGAAAAGTGGTGGTTCCCTTGCTCTTCGCAACACTCGCTCAGCTCGTATTCCCTCGCTCTTCGCAACACTCGCTCAGCTCGTATTCCCTCGCTCTTCGCAATCCTCTCCGAGGCTCCTATTGTTCAATGGCGCCTCTTCCTCTCTCACTCCATGCATACTCGCGCGGGAAACCCCCGCTAACCCACCCTGTGGTGCCACCCTCCCAAACATAACACCCCATCCATTTCACCTCGTAATTCCCGAGCTTCCGAAGTTTTCTTCATTCTACAATTTGTGGGTCATTCCTGCGCCATGCGCTACGAGTTCCCCGGAAAAATTCTGCCGCTCCACGTCATAATCCGGATCATCTAACGGGAAAATGCAAGTATTCCGGAAGAACCTTTCCGGAAAAACTTGCAGAGGCAAACGCGAACGCACACAAGGACCCTCTTGTCTCGTATACGTCGCCCGCTCCACATACTGTTACACATACCGCTCCACATACCGATACCTTTGGCATCTGTTCCTGTTGAGGCTAAAAAGAATTTTTGCGGGGGAGCTTCCACTTCGTAATTACTCACGGTAACCACGGACGACCACAGGCCAAAATGCTCGAGGAACGTGGAGTTGTTTCTTTTGGGTTGTGCGGCGCATCACTGAAAAAAAATCTGTAGCTGCACCGGGAAGCGGTTTTCCCATAGACACTGCACACATTAGTCGCTGAAAGCAGAAGCATGGTCAATAGTAAGCGGGGGAACAGCAGACGTGCCAGTACCCAGGTCAAGATGGACACAGATTTGGATCTGAATGATTCGGACGCTGGAATTTCGGGTTATAAAAAGGCACGTCCGATCCCGAATTGTGGGGACTCTGGACGTGGGTCTTGCTGTAGTTCGAGAACCAAAAAAAACACTCGTCCTTCTCGATCATGAAAGCAGTGACATTCGCCTCCGCGGGGCTGGCCATTGTGGCCGGGGCCCACGCCTACAATTCCAAACTCGACCAACAGTCCAACGTGACAGCCATGAATCTGACAGGCACGCACGGGCCAGAACGGCCGCTCGCGCATCTCACGCCCACGACCGGGTGGATGAACGACCCCAACGGTTTGTTTTACGACAACGAGACCGCGACCTACCACGCCTACTACCAGTACAACCCCAACGACAACGTTTGGGACTTGCCCTTGTTCTGGGGCCATGCCTCGAGCAAAAACCTGGTCACGTGGGAGGACCATGGCGTCGCGCTCGAGCCTATGGACGACGAGTCCGGCGCCTTTTCCGGGTCCATTGTGATCGACCGCAACAACACCTCGGGCTTCTTCGACAACTCCACGCTGCCGGGCCAGAGAATCGTTGCCCTTTACACTGAGAACAGCAACGTGAGCGAGTCCCAGTTCGCAGCCTACTCGCTGGACGGTGGTTACACTTTCGATTACTACGAGCACAACCCGGTCCTAGATATCAACTCGACCCAGTTCAGAGACCCCAAGGTTTTCTGGCATGACGAGACCGAGCGCTGGATCATGACTTTGGCGCTTTCCCAGGAATACAAAATTCAGATTTACACTTCCGAAAACTTGACCTCCTGGGAGTTCAAGTCTAACTTCTCCCACCACGGTATTCTCGGCTACCAATACGAATGTCCCGGTTTGGCCAAAGTACCAGTCATTCACGATAGTCCATCCAACGTTACTTTGCACGGCAACAACTCTACTATGAACGCTACCGCTCAAACCAACTCTAGCTCGGTGGACCACAAATGGGTCATGTTCATTAGTATCAATCCTGGTGCTCCAATGGGTGGTTCTTTCAACGAATACTTCATTGGTGATTTTGACGGTGAGACCTTCACCGCTCAAGACGCGGCCACACGCGTCGTCGACCATGGTAAGGACTTTTACGCTATGCAAACTTTCTCCGACGCCCCTAACAATGATGTTCTAGGTATTGCCTGGGCTTCCAATTGGGACTACGCCGCCTACGTTCCAACTGAGGACTACAGAAGTTCGATGTCTCTAGTTCGTAACTTAACGTTGCGTCCTTACAGCCCTAACCCGGAAACTACTGAGTTCACGCTATACAGTGAACCTATCTTGAACTACACACAATTAAACACCAATCAATCCATGCACAAGACCTCACTCGAGTTGAACTCCGAAGAATCGGTGTCGTACCGTTTGGGCAAATCTCCTCAAGGCTTGTTGGAGTTCTCTCTCGAGTGGAAGGTGAACTCCTCCGCTCTAACTTCCAAGCATGAGTTCGCCGACATGTCTCTATACTTCCAAGGTGCTGAAGATGACGATGAATATTTGAGATTGGGTTACGAACAAAACGCGGCCGCGTTCTTCCTTGACAGAGGTAACTCCGAAGTCGATTTTGTGAACGAAAATCCATTCTTCAATAACAGAGTCTCTCAGAACATAGAAATCTACAAGATCGCCGAAGATGGTTTACCTATCTTCAAAGTCCGCGGTATCATTGACAGGAACATCATCGAGCTGTTCTTCAACGATGGTTCCTCTACCTCCACAAACTTGTTCTTCTTGAGTGAGGAAAACTACATCGGCACCGTGGAAATCTCTTCAGGTGTTGACAATGTCTACACCATCTTAGACTTTGACGTGAAGCAATTGAGCGTCAAGAACGAGTAAATTTAACGCCAAATTTGATGATTTTCTCTTTTCATGTATACCCCACTCCTCTTTTGACTCATTCTCATGACATCAATTGGGTGATGATTTGTTCGTTGCCTTCTAGCCCGCATCTGAGTTTTTAGCATTCATTTAGAATTTTCTATTGTTTTAAAAGTAATGTTGATAACAGCAGCGCATTCTTTGTTAATATGGAGCGACCATGGTCAGCCTGCTATCTGGTGTTCGCTTAACAGTCAAAAACACACCGCGCTCAAAAGATCAGCGGTTTTGGTTTTTGAAATATCGTAATGCTCTATGGTCTTGTAGAATCTTTCGACTTTCGAGTTGTAATTACCTGACGCCTTCAAAAAACCATGCTTGGGAGATAATTCAGAGAGATATTCTGTGAACGTTTTGATTCTTTCGTGCTTACATTAGGGTATTCGAAAAAGAATATAAAAGCTACTCAGCTGGCATCAGCGCATATAAGAAGTCTTGTACCAACGTCTTACTCAAGTTGCCTATTTCGAGAAATGTTGAAAACGTTTAGATATAAATGATACAGTTCCAGCGAACGCGCTCAACGACTAGAACGATCAAATAACATGGCTGAGCCTTTGAAGAACCAGCCAACTTTTGGTGCCGTCGTCTTTGTAGCTCCCAAGATTTCACAAGGTGCTGATTCATGAGCTCGCATGAAGTAAGCTATTACACTACACACACTATCTCAAAAATTCTCCAGATATAGCTAACTGCTAATTATACAGAATTAAATATTTTGATAGAGCCAGAGTTTGTTTGTAGTAGGATAACACCTCCATTTCCTTCATTTTATTCTAGCCCATTTGAAACTCACACAGTAACAAGTGCAGCTCTTGCTGTGAGCATTGGAGAGACGAGCACGATCCTCCAGTGAAGAAAAAATCAACACTCGAAGTACAAACAAAGAGGTTAAATCTTCAAGAGGTGCTGCTTTTACCGGTTTACTTCGATATCTTGATCACTAAACACGTCGTAGATGAACTATTTCATGAGGTCTAAGAAAATTCGAAATCTTACTCGATATACGTAATGAAACTCTTCGATCTTTATCAACTTTAATCAAAAAAATTCCTATTTCTGCTGTGGAACATTCGTCTTTGATTTGAACAAGCTATATTTTCTATCGCCTGCTCTTCGAAGCCTGACACTCGCTAATACCTGTTAATTACTTAAATAATGGCGGGACTAGGAGCGATTGTGCGAAATTACAGATTTGTGATCGGGTCACTGACTGCTGTCATGCTGATCTTGCTACTGCGGTCATCATCTGGCTCCTCCGGTTCTTCTGGAGTGATACTAGATTCTAGCAAAGAAGAAGGTGGCACCGTAAACGTACTACCAATCGTCCCCACACCCGGATATATCGACGATGCGAACTCGCAATCAAAGAACCCCGACGTTGCGGATGCTGTCAAGGAGAGCCTCAAGCAATCTCCAGATAGTAAGTACTCTAATGCTCCGTGCGATAAACCACACCAGTACGTGATAATGGTAGACGCAGGGTCTACTGGATCACGTATACACATCTATGAGTTCGATGTCTGTACTCAACCTGCTTCCCTGCTTCACGAGACATTCAAGATGCTGAAACCAGGACTCTCACATTTTGACACCGATGCTAAGGCTGCGGCCTTGTCTCTGGATGAGCTACTCGACAAGGCTTTGGAAGTGATTCCCAAGGAGAGACAGGGTTGTTCTCCAGTAGCTGTAAAGGCCACGGCAGGTTTGCGGATGTTAGGTGAAGCGAAATCTGATAAGATTTTGCAAGCAGTCCAGACACACTTGGAAACAGACTATCCGTTCCCAGTGGTAGCAAAGGATGGTGTAGTATTAATGAGCGGTGAAGAAGAAGGTGTCTATGCATGGATCACAGCAAATTTTCTCTTGGGTAACATCGGGGCGGGGTCCAAGCTTCCCACAGCTGCGACCTTTGACCTTGGCGGTGGCTCAACACAAATTGTCTTTGAACCTAGCTATCCTCCCAACGAGATGATGCTCGATGGGGAATATAAATATCCATTGAGCTTCGCAGATCACGATTACACTTTGTATCAATTTTCGCATCTGGGTTACGGTCTTATGGAAGGTAGAAACAAAGTGAATGCACTACTAGTCGAAACCGCTCTCAAGGATGGACTTATTGAAAAAAGTAACAAATCTCCAAAGCTCTCGTCACCATGTCTACCACCTGGAACTGTAGCTTCGGACGTAAAGGTTACTCTAGAAAACGGGGACGAATACTTGGTCACTTTCAAAGGTCCTGTTACTCCAGCAGGAGCTCAGTGTCGCTTTTTGGCTGATAAAATCTTGAAAAAGGATGCCGCGTGCACATCGCCACCTTGTTCTTTCAATGGTGTTCATCAACCTTCGCTAGTGCGGACTTTTAAAGAGACCAATGACCTGTACGTTTTTTCGTACTTTTATGACAAAACCCAGCCTTTGGGTCTACCGCATTCGTTTACGCTTGGAGAACTCGCTGATGTCGCTCGCATGGTGTGTAACGGCGAAGATGTATGGGAAAGCGTTTTCAGCGGCATCGAGGGTTCCATCGCGGAGCTGAAGAAGGAGCCATTATGGTGTCTGGACTTATCTTTCCAGTTCTCCCTACTCCACACGGGTTACGACATTCCACTATACCGCGAACTTAAGACCGCAGATAAAATTGCCAATAATGAGCTTGGCTGGTGCCTTGGTGCGTCCTTGCCACTACTAGACGGGAAGGATTGGAAATGCAAGTCCTCTAAGTCTTAAGCTAGCTGCAAGAAGTATACTCTCAATGGTACATATTAGTTTTACATTGCAGAGCGACCGCGTGCTCAATGTCGTCCTCTAGAGATACCGTAAACAATGATAGATATATCAAGTCATCTAAGTTCATCTTTGTATAAGAGGGATATGAAGCTTCTGTCCGCAAGCAACTATTGAATACGCAACTAAGTAACGAAAAGGAAGCTTTCGGAAGTGGATTTCAAACCGTCGGATAAAGTCTGAGATCTCGATAAACTGCTCTAGATTCAGCTGATATCAAAGAATCCAGTGCCAAGATAAAACGCATTTCAAGTTCGCTTAATTGAATCCTGCACCTAGCTTTGGCTTCGGTTCAATTTCGGAGACTTCAAACCTTACCTGCACCAATAAACGACCTACTTATAGACTATTGGAGAGATTCAAGTGTTCAAGAATTTACCCTCTTACTGGAAGCCCAAACCTCGTTTAAACGAGATTAACAAAATATGGGCAAACAAGCCGACTCTCCAACCTCTTCGCCTCTTTCCAGAGAGCTATCGCCACTGTCGCGTACTTTGACCGAAAGCACTGGTAAAAGTTCAGCACAAACCGATTCGAAGGACAAGAACGACTTCAAAAACAAGAGCAAACGGTCCAAAAGTGTTTCGCATCTGGCAGACCGCAACAAGATTTTGGGCAGTAGAATGACACCACTGGTGGACAATAAACCACCAATTTACAAGGAGGAAGATGTAGACTCCAATTACGACTCAGACTATGCCGACACCCCAGAACAAGCATTCCGGAGGCTCTCTGTAGGTTCCAACGACATGAGGCGCGCTACCTCGCATGCCCAGCTTTCTTCAACTGCGCATGGTATGCGGCTATTGTCCAAAGACATTCAAAAATCTATGGTTGTTTTGCAAGTTCGCAAACTCATGATCGTAACTAAGAAACAAGATAGCTCACTGGTGTATCTAACGCGAGAAATGGTTGAATGGATCTTGATTAATTACCCCGACATTGAAATTTATGTCGATGAGTCTGTTGAATGTTCAAGTAAATTTGACACCAAAGGCATCATTCGAGACAGCAGATGTGGATCCCATCACATCAAATGCTGGACTCCGGAATTTGTTGCTAAAAAAGACAACTTTTTTGATTTGATCATTACTTTGGGCGGCGATGGGACAGTGTTATACGTATCTTCACTTTTCCAGAGGAGCATCCCTCCTGTTATGTCGTTTTCATTGGGATCTTTGGGATTCTTGACTAATTTCAATTACGAAAACTTCAGACAGTCCTTACCGAGGGTCTTGAACTCTAAAATCAGAAGCAAAATGAGAATGAGGCTGTCATGTCGGGTGTTCCGCAAACGCAAAACCAATAAAGACGGTTCTCGTTCCAAGAAAAAGTTCACCATGATCGGCGAGTACCACGTTTTGAACGAGCTGACAATCGATAGAGGTCCTAGTGCATTTATATCGATGCTTGAGGTCTTCGGTGATAACTCTTTGCTTACGGTTGCTCAAGCTGACGGTTTAATTATTGCCACTCCCACAGGATCTACTGCGTACTCTTTAAGTGCAGGCGGTTCTTTAGTCTATCCCAGCGTTAATGCTATCGCGGTGACTCCCATCTGCCCCCATACTTTAAGTTTTAGGCCTATTATTCTGCCTGATAGCATGAAGCTCAAAGTCAAGGTTCCTATGAATTCAAGAGCCACTGCGTGGGCGGCTTTCGACGGAAAAAATCGCGTAGAGTTGTTCAAGGGCGATTACATCTGCATTACTGCAAGTCCGCATTCGTTCCCTACGCTCGAATCTAGTCCCACAGAGTTCATTGATAGTATTAGTAGGACTTTGAATTGGAACGCCCGTGAGCCACAGAAAAGTTTCGCACACATGCTATCCCAGAAGAATCAAAAGAACTACGTGAGCGATACCGAAAAACAAAAACAAGATCTACCGGAAGTTCGTGCGCCTTCAGAGGACGAGGAAGACTTTGATGATACAACGGACTCTGAGTCTTTACACTTCAGGCCAAAGGCTGCTGGCGCCGCTGTAGCTCCGAAGCTAAAGCCAAACTTCCAGTTATAGATAGAGTACGACCGTTCAGATTTTCGCGGTTTGAAAACTTAGTCAGAGCCTACGAAAATTTTTTCGAGGTATGGTCTATAAAAGATTTTGAGATCTTATGGCGATTGTTGACCTGCTGTCGTTCCAGAACCGCCTTCCAAACCTTTGTTTAGAATTCAAGAATGATTGGTTCTAAATACCTGATTTTCAGCGTTGCATCTTTATTGGTCGCACTCGTGAAGGCCAGTGACGATGTCGTTAACTGTAATGCAACCACAGGTGCCTGCCCCGATGACAAACCATGCTGTTCCCAGTACGGAGTTTGCGGTAGCGGATCTTACTGTTTAGGTGGATGTAATCCCCAATTCTCTTACAACATGAGCGCTTGCATGCCAATGCCTATTTGTAAAAATTCCCAGACTATCTTTGATGGCTACAGCGGCAAGATGATGAACCAGTATGAATATTTAGGAGACGCCGAAAAAAACGATTGGATTTACGAAGGCAGTATTGCTGACTATGATGACGAAAATGCCTTGCTTTTGACAATGCCTAAAAATTCCGCGGGTGCTGTCATTTCATCAACAAGATACATGTGGTACGGTAAGGTCGGCGCCAGAATGAAGTCTTCTCACAGACAAGGTGTTGTGACTGCCTTCATCATGTTTTCGTCGGTGCAAGACGAAATCGATTACGAATTTGTTGGTGACAACCTAACCAATGTGCAAACTAATTATTATTTCGAAGGTACTTTGAACTGGACTCATTCCACCAATGTATCTGTCTCTGACACTTACGAAAACTACCACCTCTATGAAGTTGACTGGCACGAGGATCACGTTGACTGGGTTGTGAACGGAGAAATCAGCAGAACTTTGAACAAAAACGAAACTTATAATGCTACATCTGGGGAATACATGTTCCCTCAAACTCCAGCTCGTGTCCAGATTTCTCTATGGCCTGGTGGTAACAGCACCAATCCTATTGGTACGAGATCGTGGGCCGGTGGTGACATTGACTGGGACGCCCCAGACATTGAGGACCCAGGTTATTATTACGCTGTTCTGGAGAGTGTGAATATCACTTGTTATGACCCACCATCTGGTACTAGCAAAAACGGGTCTCGCGCCTACAAGTACACTAACAGCAAGAACTTCACTCAAGCCGGTGTGGCCATCACAAATGACACCACGGTGATGGGTTCTCTCAGTGACAGTGGCTTCAACCCAGAAAACGGAAAGTCTTCGTCATCGTCGTCATCTTCGTCATCGTCGTCCAAGGCGTCGTCATCGTCGTCCAAGACTTCTTCTAGCAGCGGTTCCAAGAGTTCCAGCACCAAGAGCGGCTCTTCCAAGAGCAGTTCTAATGCTGGTACCACCACCGCGTCCTCTGCCACCTCTGCCAGTGGTTTTGTTCAGAACATGAAGAGCAGCTCCGCTTCTGCCTCTGGTTCGAGCACCGCTACCAGCACTGGTGGTGCCGGCTCCTTCAGCAACCCCATTGGAACCAATGGACTCATGCATGTTGTTGTTGCGTTTGCTGGCGCCGCTTTGGCGCTTGCTTACTGAGCGTCAAGAACATCAAAGTCATCAAATATAGATTAATAATAATACCCTGCAATTTCACGTCCGGACACACAGTTCGGGTCTTTCTGATTAAACTGAATGGAAATAGTTTTACAACAGTTTGACCGTTGTGGTCGATTACACTAGCGTCAAATCTTCCCACCCGTCTATGTCCAAAGTCTAAAGTTTTTTCATTATCGAATCTATAGTCATTTAATTACAAGTTATCTCCGAGTTTTATAAATAGTGCGTTGCGTAGCGCCGTGATCTAAAGAAAAGCCCTCACGGTTATCCTTATTTGCTGCAGACCTTGACCATGTATGTGATCAAGTCGTTTCTGTCCTTCTCCTTCTTCAAACCACCGAAAGCCATCTTGGTACCTGGAATGTACTTCTTTGGGTTTTCCAAGTAGTCCGACATGTTTTGTTCGTTCCACTCAACGTTCTTCTTGATGTTGGCGTCGGTGTAAGAGTAACCTTCGGCTTTACCGGAGGTACGTCCGAAAACACCATGCAAATTTGGACCAACCTTGTTTGGACCGCCCTTCTCGACTGTGTGGCACTGTAGACATCTAGTCTTGAACAGAGTAGCACCTTTCTTTTCGGATCCCTTCTTGTATGGAGCTGGCATTTTTGGTATTGGTTGATTTAGCTTTTACTGCGGTCTGTGAAAGACCAAACAAACAAGAATCTTACGTCCTCTGCACTCTCAATTTATAGCTTTCATTCCCATTCGGAAACATCGGTGATTATTGTACGTTGCGGCGCGGGCTGCAGCGCAATTCTCCATAGTGAAGCACGCTGCTGAATTTTCATAGCTATTGCAGCATTTGACAGTTTTTCATAATGCCGTTGGAAGGTGAAAGAGACGCTGTGATTGGCTAACAGTCTGGCACGTGAGCCGAGAAACAGAAGCTGGAGCTCAGGCGTGTGAGATCTAACGGAAGCTAGACCCGGGACAAAATGAATGCGCCGGAGTGTGTGACAATGTTCGAGAGAGATCGGTTAACTGCGAACAAGCAGTGTAAAAGTACGGGACTTGTCCGCGATGCGGTCCCGTGTAGAATGACGATAAATGTAGTCGACCAGCATTTTGGAAAGAACTAGCTGATGCGGCTGGTTCCGATATGCGCAACTGTGACCTTCTTGGAAACGCAGCGTCTTAACACTGGTCACAGGATAAGAATATGCCACGGTCGTGGATTGTGAGAAAGAAAAAAACGCATAGCCGGGACTACTAAGTGCAGTTTGTCCTTGGTTAATTAGTATACGTCAAGGTTTGCTGCGTTTTGTTGCGACCCTCTCGTTCCATCGGAGACTCAAGCATTACGGTACCGTCAGCTTAGCTTCTTTCTTTGTCGGTTTTTTCTTTTTAACGGGCTCTTGCCTAGTAAAAATAAGAAGGGCGTCTGCTAGTCGATGGATATTGAGTAGAGAAACGAGTAGATGACGCCGATGCGTGCTGTAGCTCCTAGAACAAATTTTCGGAATTCGACAGCTCGAGTTTCCAAAGTTGAGAACAAGCCCAATCCGCACTGTATGAATATAGCTGTAGAGTCCCAAACGCTCCCTCGTCATTGTTTTCGCCAATTTTGTAGCTTTCACACGCTCACCTCTTCAACCAGACGTTTCGCAGCTGTCTTTAAACCAAATGGCTCCACCGAAGAGCTATCGAGAACACGCGCACACAGTTACCAACCACAGGTACTTCATTAGCCGCGTTACACTTGACCCATCAATGAGTATCATACGATACGAAGTCAACACTTTCCAAGAGATGACATTAGTTTCATCCCGATCACTTTATGATCTTTGAAGACCCTGCCCAACGCGAAGAACAATGGCGTTCTCAACTGTGTTACTGGACATCGAAGGCACTGTTTGTCCTATTTCTTTTGTCAAAGAAACCCTATTCCCGTATTTTCTTCAACAGGTTGATTCGCTTACACAGTCGAGAGAACCGCAGGTGCAAGATTTGCTGAGTCAATTCAAAGTTGAAGATGTTAAAGCTCACATTCGCGACTTAGTGGCTCGCGATGTGAAGGATCCAATTTTGAAACAATTGCAAGGCGTTATTTGGCAGCATGGATACGCTAGTGGTCAAATAACGGCGCCAGTCTACGCCGATGCTATCAATTTCATTAAAAGTACCAACAAGCCGGTGTATATTTACTCAAGTGGATCCGTTAAAGCGCAGCAATTGTTATTCCAGTATGTGCGTGGTTCAGACAAAGCTATTGATCTTCGCCCAGAAATAATGGGTTATTACGATATCAACACGTCAGGTGTAAAAACAAAAAGCGAGTCTTACCGCAATATTGCTCGAGACATTGGATGCGATCCCAACGACATACTATTTATCAGTGATAATGTCTTGGAACTCGAGGCTGCCCAAAAAGCAGGCCTAAAATCAAAATTAGCAATCAGGCCTGGCAATTATCCAGTGGAAGATCTGTCTGCTTACGACACGATCAGCGATTTTGCTCAACTGTAACGGTGATTCAAATGACATTATGATTATTTACACACATTCACCAAATATAGACAATTACTCTTATCTAGTCGGCATACTCGCTAAAGAGCATATTGGCGGCGATTTCCTCGTTCTTGTCGCATGCAAAGTATACTTGAATCGCAAGAGTTCTTTCAAATCCAAGTTCGCACAACCTAGTTATAGCAGCTTCGTCCTGGGGGGTTAAAGAGATAGTAGGGGCTGCTTGACCTTCTTCCATAGCTCCTTCTGCCATAGCTCCTTCCAAGCCACCTTCTAGATTTACATCACCTTCTTGAAGTGAGCCTCCTACGGCTTCCAAAAGCATACTAATGAACATTTCAGGGTTGCTCATTATCTGCTCGCGAAGTTCTGGGTATCGGGTACTTAAACTCTCTAGCAGCGGGGCGAGAGCCTCAGGATTCCCTGTTACTACTTGTCTGAGGGACATAAGATCTTCCATGGTTAGTCCGATAGTTCCTGGAGCACGAGCACCTTCACCCGCGTCTTCGTTACCAGTAGACGCAGCTGCCTGAGCAAACAAGTCGTCTGCGGAGGGTTGCTGCTCCTGTTCTTGTTCCTCTCCTGCTTGTTCTTGACCCTGATGTTGAGCCTGTGTATCATCCTGAGACGGTTGTTCTTCCTGAACCTGTGATTGTGATTGTGGTTGAGCTTGAGGTTGCTGTTGCAAATGTTCTGGGATACCCATAAGAAGGTATTCGACAGCTCTATCGGGATTGTTGAATGCAGCTCTGAGCGCCCTTTCCACTTGTTCGCGGTCGTAGCCCATCTCCATGATCCTTTGAATGGTTTCATTACGGTGAGTTCCAGTTACAAAACCTGTATCATTATTACCCGATGCCTCGGTGCCCGCGAGCGCTGCTGTACTTCCAGAGGCTTCACCATTACCAGCAGCTGAACCAGCTTGTTGTGAGCTTTCCGCAGTAGTGTCAGAAGTAGTACCAGTTGCTTGTGGAACTACTGGCGCAGCTTCTCTATGTTCCATGGGTGGTAAAGTTGTCTTGGTGGCAGCAGACTTCTTTTTGGAGACCATGAATATCACCTGGTCACCATCTTTTAGCTTGTAGTCTTCGATGGTGCGATCATCTTGCAATATTTTCCCTGAATAGATCAGCTTGATTTGAGAGTCTTCACAATCTTTGTTTTCGGCTAGTTTTTGCTTGGCAGCGCCGATTGTAACGCTTGGTTCCAAGTCTAAAGCCAAAACTTGTTTTTTGAAATCTTTAAAGTTGATCTGAACCATTAATTTGACTTGGGTGGTGCTTTTGGTTTAGAAGTTACCTCAATTCAAAAGGTTGAGTTTAGAGATGAGATTATTTGCGTATAGTGCTTATTTTTGCCACCGCAGAGACAAATCTGATCTCGTGATGAGTAAGTGACCATAGAAATTTGGTTGTCAGAGGACGAGAGACAATCTATAGCCTTGAACTTTATTTAGATCGCTACAAAGATTAGTCAAACTTCAAAAGCCATTAATATTCCAGCCAACCTTTACTACTCGAACGCTTAAGCTTCAATCTTTTTTGTTTTCGATAATATGGGACTTCCGACAATTTTATTCAAAAGATAGCTATCACGAACGCAAGTAGACAGTTAAGTGAGCTTAGACGTTTTTCTTCCGCTGAGTGAGTTCAAATACTTAAGCAGCAACTCACTTTTGAGTCGTCTGTATACTTACGATACATACATCACTTTGTACTATTATGACACCATGCGCTATGCAACAACTTTGAAGCTTGAGAGCGCGGTGTCAAAAGGTGCCTATCCAGGGCACTTTCAATGTAGCGCTGCGAACGTTTTAAAAAGGGCATCAACTCGCTAGGATCAACTTGGCGTATCATATGTAACCACATGCAAAAGACATATACTGATCGGTGATTACTTGCATTCCAGAAATATTGCAATCTGTTTCTTCGGAAATTTTGAACCGTTGTCTCCTAACGAGAGTTGGTAATGCCTTCAATAATTATTTCTGATTCCACTGCTCACTGCGCATTAATATACACTTAGTTTCTGTTTGTTTTCCTGATGTGAAGATTCGATGCTCAAGCACGGCCATCAACTATCGACATCACACAACTCTAGTAGTCGTAACTTAACTATAATTTGAACGGCTTTGGTTCGATTTTCGATCACATCAGCTACCATACCTCAGACACATCGATGATGAAGCAATAAGTTCGAAAGTATTCCTATTTAGCTGCGCTTTTACATTAGTGCTCCAGTTTAATATATGAGCCGGGTCGCCATTGTACAGTTCACCATTTGAGTTTGTTTAACATTCGATATACCGTCGTTGACTGAAATTGACATAATTCTACTATAAACTCCGTGGCTCGTACAAAAAAGCCCAAGATGTAATAGTTATACTAGTGCATTTACTTGACATTAAACAAAGTAACGGCATTTCGATATCAGTCTAGCTAGAACGCGAACCATTAATGTTTATTAAGTTCTACGTTAATTTCTATATCTTCATATTTATATGAGGGAATTGAGTATCTGACGGTCTGATCATTGATCGAAAGACCACTGGTTGTTGGCCTAAAACACCACGGTGCGCTCCATGAGGTGCGTTTGTTTCTATAATACAAATTTCAAAAGCGAGGGTATGCAAACTGAGAAATGTTCAACTATCCGGGTCAAACTCGAGCTGTTCAACGTCCTCAGAACCTTTCTTGGGCTTTTTAGATCCAGCCTCGTCTCCATTGGCGAGTGCGTCTTCTTCCTTCTTGGTATCTTCGTTTTTTGGATCCACATCCTTCACTTCTTCGTCTTTGTTTTCGCTTTGACCTTCAGCCTTTTGCTCGTCTTCTTGGCCATCGTTTGCAACATCATTGTCTTCATCTTCGCCGTAGTCATCGTCGATGTCGTCCCAGTCTACTGTGATGTGACGATCTAATACATTTGGATCTATATTTTTCATCACTTGTAATCTTTCCATATCCCAATCGTCGCGCACATCGTCGAATGCAACTTGCCACACACGATCGTAGAACTCGCGAATCTTGCTTTCCTCGACTTTACGTTTCTCTTCTTCGGCCATCCAGGCCATATGCTTTAAGTCATCTGAGGAAGGCTCGTAAATATGCCAGATCACATAATGCGGCAGTCCTATGACACTGTAACCGAGTCTACGAGACAGTTTACCAAAAGCTTCCGTTTCGGCGTGTTTTTCGAACGAAAATGCTGGGAAATGCGAACCCGCGCGGAAGACTTTGGCTTTACTCAAAATAGACACCCCCCCTATACCGTCCAATTCCATCTCGTCTTCGGGATTGCCCGAAGGATCCCGCATGTATGCTAGATGTGTCCTCCATGTGGCGTATTCCGGATAACCCTCGACGATGACGGCATCGTCATCGAGCGAGTCTGCCAATTGCAGACCACCTTCGGACTCTTGCCAAGAATTCAAGTCATAGGGTTGAATATTGCCGAGCCAGTCTGGCAATGGACGCCAAACGTTGGGAACGATAACGTCCTTGTCGTGATGCATAAGATCTTCCAAGATCGTGCGCGGGATGGTTTGGACATCCACGTCACGCCAGTAAACCCACGAGTGGTATGGCTTGAGCGCAACGGAGCCCAACCAGTTACGGGCGCGACCCATAAGCTTTCTTCTTGGACCTTGTGCAGCGAATCCGTGTCTGTCTGAAAAAGACTGGCCTATGATCTGGCCAAAATCCTTTTCGTAGATCTCGATGTTGCCGAAGCGTTTGCTGCGGTCCGGTTGCGACTGCGCCTTTTGCAAGTGTGCGAGCAAGACGCCCATAGTATCGTCCGAGCTGTCACTCACGAGAAACGAGAGGTCGATTAGTTTATGCGGGTATGAGATCTGGGCCATATGGTCGAAAAACATGGGCAGGTGCTCTGCTGCATCTCTCAGCGGCACGGTGAACAGAACGTGGTCGCCCCGCTGCCAGCCGTCCGCGTTTCCTTTGTAGTTTCGAAGATCATAGTACTGGACATTGGGCACGTGATCGAAAGATGGAACGTACGAGTTGAACACTATTAATGGAGGCCAGGCCCATCGAACGACGCTATTGTCTCCCAGCAGCAGCCGAACCAGGATCAGCGCGGTGATCACAAAGCCTGCCACCGACACCGACGTCGAATGCTTCATGTGGGACGGGATGGATGCTTTGTTAGGCCGGAAATGTGGGAAAACTCAATCAGGCTTTAGGCGTTATGTATTAGATGTGGAATTCTGTATTTTCCTTTGATGGGAAAAATATAATAGCGATCCAATACTTAGGTTTTACCATTTTTCGGGCGCGAAAACGAGGACGGGTAACATTTGATGGGATGATGAGAATGATGTGAGCTCTGGCAAACTCAGCTGGTAGCGACGGTGGAGGCTACAGTACCAGGAGGGTCGCGAGAGTTTGTGAGGGAAACCGCTGGTTTATTGATGGTGCTGCGAGGAATTTCAAGGCAATCAAAAAACCGGAATTTGGGCTGTGAGATACGGCACAACTTGCTGCTTAGATGAACATGAAATTGCTAGCTAATTTTAATAGGAATTATTGAGGCTTCAAGCTCATGGTGCTGACAGCTGGGTCTTTAGTACTTTGGATGGGGTCTTAAAAATCAATGTAGTGACAAAACACATCAGGGGCTATATTTCGAAGCAAAAAAACTGGCCAAGAATTGTCTGAAGCTTATTGTGTTGTCGAATATGACTTTGAGTATACCCGTGTTGCCGAATTTTGGCTATGACTCCAAATTTACGGTTGTAATACAGAGAGCCACTATGTGTCTTGTCTAGTTCTTTTCGGTTCCGAGAGATAAATAGAAGCAGAAAGCATAAAGCAGCAAGTACAGCTGTACAGCCGGATGTCGGTGGAAATTGATTGGTGTATGTATTTCACCGTTGGTAACTTTTGGGAATGTCAGGTTGGTATGAAGTGACAAAGGTGTAAGACCCTGCGAACAAAAACGGCAAACCGATTCGATAATGTATCGACAGATGAGTTCTGTAGCTGTTGCGCATCACCGAGGCTCCTGCAAAGTACTGCGAGCTTTCAGAACTCTGCACCTAGAAAGGTGTATGAACCCCGATCGCTTGTTCCGGGTGCCCAGGTTCTCCACTACACGGTTAAAGAAATACACAAATGCGTATCTCGTAGTAATCAACCAGGTAATAAAATGTGGAGGATGGGGAATGGAGACCCAGAAAGCCAACGGTTTAGAGCTTGCAAGCTAAAGGAGTGTGAAACAAGTAGAAAATAGATTGGCAGCTATTCAGCCTGAGAAAGAGGTCGATGGTTTATCAATAGAAAATGTGCCATGCCGACTCATCTTTGATCTTTTGGCCCATGTAGGGCGAGCAGGAGGATTAGTAACGAGCGTTCAGCTACTTGCGAAATCGTCTCCCATATTTATTGTTCAAATGTAGCCAATCAGGTCTGGACTTCCAGGGTTATAAACAAGCTCCCTCCCAACACAAGTGCACATTATACAGTTTTCGGGTATCAACGCTTTTTCTCATTTAATTTTGCTCTGTTGCCGGTAGCCGCTGAAGAAATAGATTTGTAATTAAGTTTCCCGATGTTTGCCGTTACTTGCCTTCATAACTGTTTATTCTCACAACAATACAAGTTTGTGATCCTAAACTACCTAAGTAGCTATAATATAGGATAATCTGGCAGTCGCTAGGTCGTTGGTAGAGACCTAATCTTTGTTAGTGGCACATATTTGAGATATAGAAGCGATCGAGTCCAGTCAGCTCCTTGATCCGATTATCGCCACTTTGACCCTGGGATTTTACAGCTATGATGGGATATTTGGTCGGATGGGACAAATAGGTCAGACCTGAGATTTGTTTTTGAAACAGTGTAGCACTTAACGGGAACTTTTCAACGGCGGAGGGGAGAATTACATACGTTGAATGAACCCAAAGTTTTCTTGCAGAGCGCCGAATCAACGCTGGCAACTGCCAACACTTCTTTGCTTCGAAAGCAACTGCTTTTGTAGCAGAAACCTCAGCAGAGAATTTAGCCGCCGATTTCTGTATTTCGGTCAAGAGGATTAGAAAAAGAGGACGACAAATGAACCATAGCGCCGATTTTACTCAGGCGTCGCAAGCTGTCGGGTCGAATAGACCTATCATAATAAATACAGCATCCGATTTTCGCGATGTAACGACAATAAAAGACACTACGCGAAGTTCTCGAGTGGCAGGTTTTTGGCGAATGCGCAAAGGAACAAAGAGTTTCCTGGGCTGGAGACTCATCGCCGACATTCTAGCGCTAGCCTTCTGATGATGCACCAAATACAAGAGATCGCAAGTGCATCACCATCACAATTGAGGTTCTTTCACTGTTATAACATTACGTGTACCTTCCTACCATGGAAGCCTTCTATTTAGAAATTGGAAATCATCTACACTCCAATGGAATCCTCTTGACACATCAATCAACCGTGCCTGCACCATAAGATCGGAGACCCCTCATTTTTTGAGCCAAGATGTACACTACTTTCCCCAGGATAAGACAAGAAAGAAAAGCCAGGAAGCCAATACATCGAGACACTCTCGTCCCAGCTCAAATCAATCGACCAAAGCCTTCTCTAAATCGAAAATGTGGCCGATAGCCGTACTCCGAGAGCCGTTAGTACCGAGCTCTTCATCATTGGAACTCAATGAAAACCTTTCGAGCCCATATTCAGAGCGCCGATACAGTGCCGATACAAGCGAGTCTTTAACGACCAAAGCCAACAAAACTGACATCTATCGCTAGAGGTGAGCATCTCTCAAGCAGTCAAGAAGAAGAACGCTATTACCCGCACGATCCCACGTAGTTGTCCAGGGCTTCTTGCATTTCCTGTTACACCGATGAAGAAAAGCTTTTTCGATGAAAAATTTTTTCGCCAGCGGATTCGTGAGTATAAGAAGCACCGAGGTCAGTCATAGACGGGCCTAGCTCCGCTTGGTGAATGTGTTTTCTTGATTTATTGAGAAGCTAGACACTCATACTTCCAAATCTAACACAATGGCTGAAGAAGAACACACCTTTGAGACCGTTGATGCCGGTTCCTCTTTGACCTTCCCAATGCAATGTTCCGCCTTGAGAAAGGGTGGTTTCGTTTGCATCAAGGGAAGACCATGCAAAATTGTGGACATGTCCACTTCCAAGACCGGTAAGCACGGTCACGCCAAGGTCCACTTGGTCGCTATCGACATTTTCACCGGCAAGAAGTTGGAAGATTTGTCTCCATCTACCCACAACATGGACGTTCCAAACGTCAAGAGAACCGAATTCCAATTGTTGGACATCGATGACGGTTACTTGTCTTTGATGACCATGGACGGTGAAACCAAGGACGATGTCCGCGCCCCAGACGGTGAAATTGGTGACCTAATCCAAGCTGGTTTCGAAGAAGGTAAGGACATGATGGTTACCATCATCTCTGCCATGGGTGAAGAAGCCGCCATCACTTGCAAGGAGGCTCCAAGATCCGACTAAACACCTAAGGGCGGGCGTCTGATGTCATCTTAGAGCTCCAGTCTTTATTCCAGATCTTTGTACCATGTATTTAAACGTTTAGTTAACAACAGCCCTTGGGCAAACGGTATGTTTTATGTTTAGGGAGCGGTTAGCTCCGCTGGCGAGTTACGCACACAACAATGAAAGGAAAGAATGAACCTGCCTCGGATTTTCTCTAGTCGTAGTACTATTAAATTACAAAGAAGCTAACCCCGTTAGTAGGCCGTGCTGTTCCTCCTTGCCCTCAATGCACAAATTATTTTACTGGAATAATTCTGCAGAAAATGAGTAAGGTTTCAGAAGAGCCAATTTGAGAAGACAAGAACTCAATGTGATACTCATGTTGCAAGTTTATGCCTATAAATCCGCGTGCATGTTTACCATTTGGTGAACTTTGGTAGACGCGCTTGAGAACCATGTTTTCATTACTAGGAGGAACAGACATATCGCATTGGACCCACGCATCTCAAGTTTGTAGCAAGACTATACAATCAGTACAGAGGTCCAGATAGCCTGTTTTATCACACGGTCCTACTTCTTTCTGGAACTATGACTTTGAAGCACGAAGATATGAGGAGTTTTGACCCGAGCTCACTTCCGATCGGACAATGTATCGCGATCTATACTCACGAGCTCAATGACGCCACCAGCTGACCTCAGGAGCCAGATCTTCGCAATTCTGTGAATTAATTACAAAGGATTTTCCCGCAGTTGGTGATGCACCCTTCTTATTCCTAAGCTCTGAACGGCATTCTCAAATACATAAACATTGCCCACCAAAGCCGGAGGTCTCCTCGCCAATGGCTTTCCCCGATTAGTAGAGGACGCAAAATTCACAACTGATCCCAAAAATCCTGGTATTAAAGAATTTCAGCGGTTGATTTTGGGCTTGAACCATGTTGGAAGTAATCGAATTCAATTTATCGATATTTCCAAAAATCGTACCGAGTGCTAATAGCTCATTGCCCTATTCAGTAAACAAATTAGTGTTTGACTTTTTCAAGATTTAGATCTCGAACTCATCTCCAAATATTCAGTAGGAAGACTGCTTGTCTCTAATTGGCTTATTTCGAGACTTGACGTACCAGTTGCACCTTTATAATGGACGCTGGGTTTAGTGAGACGCCAGATGCGGTTTTCAGCGACAGAGTTCGCCGCTTTCAGGAATTTTTAGACACCTTTGTTGGGTATAAAGACGCCATTAGGTCAATTCAACTTCATAACTTAGCGGATGCCAAAACAGCAGATGATTCTGCCAAGAAACCGGACACTTTTGGGAAGAAGATTCCACAGCGAGTAACTGTGTCGCTGGACGACCTACGGGAGTTCGACCGGTCGTTTTGGGCGGGGATTCTTAACATGCCAGCACAATTCGTTCCTGCGGCAGAACGCGCCTTAAGCGAAACGGCTATGACTCTTGAAGAAAGCCCCTCTAGTGCAAGTGCTGGAGCGAATTTGGCAACAGTGCAGCAGTGGAGGCTGTCATTTCGCGGCTCTTTCGGGGCACATGCGTTGTCACCCAGAACATTAAACTCGCACCATCTCAACAAACTGCTATCTATCGAGGGTATTGTTACCAAAGTTTCCCTGGTGAGACCTAAGCTGCTCCGATCTGTACACTACGCTGAAAAAACTGGTCGTTTCCATTACAGAGACTATAGGGACGCAACCACCACTTTAACAACTCAGATTCCAACTCCCGCTATATATCCAACAGAGGACCCAGAGGGCAATAAACTGACCACAGAATACGGTTACTCGACCTATATCGATCATCAGCGAATCACAGTTCAGGAAATGCCCGAAAAGGCCCCGCCTGGTCAATTACCTCGCTCCATAGATGTGATAATGGATGAAGATCTCGTCGACAAGACCAAGCCGGGTGACAGAATCAACATTGTCGGCGTTTACAAATCCCTGGGTGGTGGTGGCTTGAGCTCAAGCGGTGACCAATCTGGCGCACTGTCTGGGTTCAAAACCATGGTTTTAGCCAATACAGTATACCCTCTACATGCAAGGTCTACCGGTGTCGCAGCAAGGCAAGCTCTATCAGACTCAGACATAAGAAACATCAACAAGTTATCCAAACATGATGATATATTTGAACTTTTGTCCCAATCGTTAGCCCCATCAATTTATGGTCATGAGCACATCAAAAAAGCCATTCTATTGATGCTCTTAGGAGGTGTGGAAAAAAACCTGGATAATGGCTCACATTTAAGAGGTGATATCAACTTATTAATGGTTGGTGATCCATCCACTGCTAAATCTCAGCTTTTACGGTTTGTGCTAAACACAGCTTCTTTGGCTATTGCCACTACCGGTCGTGGTTCTTCGGGTGTCGGTTTGACTGCCGCTGTAACCATGGACAGAGAAACAGGAGAAAGACGGCTAGAGGCAGGTGCCATGGTACTAGCTGACAGAGGGATTGTCTGTATCGATGAATTCGATAAAATGAGTGATGTTGATCGTGTTGCTATTCATGAAGTAATGGAGCAGCAAACGGTAACAATCGCCAAAGCTGGTATTCATACCACCCTTAATGCCCGTTGTAGTGTTATTGCTGCTGCAAATCCTGTATTTGGTCAATATGACTTGAATAAAGACCCTCATTACAATATTGCTTTACCGGATTCTTTACTGTCAAGATTTGACTTACTATTCGTGGTTACCGACGATATCAATGAAAACACGGACAGAGCCATCAGTGAGCACGTTTTGAGAACTCATCGTTATCTTCCACCAGGATACCTCGAGGGCGAACCAATTAGAGAGGCAATCAACCTTTCGCTCTCAGTTGGAGATGATGCTGTACTCAACGAAGAAGAAGATGATGACGACGATGACGAGGGAAAGATCTTTGAGAAGTTCAATCCTTTATTACATGCAGGCGCCAAGTTGGCTAGGAACATGGGAAACCGCCAAGGTACCGAACTGCCGCTCATTGTTTCGATTCCCTTCATCCGAAAATATGTACAGTACACCAAAGAAAGAATCGTACCTGTATTGACTCAGGACGCGGTAAACATGATTGTAAAAACGTATTCCGACCTAAGAAATGACCAAAACACCAAGAAGTCCCCTATCACCCCCAGAACTTTGGAGACATTGATTCGGTTATCATCTGCTCATGCTAAAGTAAGGCTATCCAAAACTGTAGATGGTAAGGATGCACGCGTTGCCACTCACTTGCTGAGATTTGCGCTTCTTGGTGAGGACGATGTGGGTCCAGACGTTGAAGTAGGTAGCGAAAGTCAAAGATCTCCAACAAAGTCTCCACGAAAGAAGCAGCGCGTGAGAAATGTGGCAACCGGCATGAACTCGATACAGTCTTCACCTTCTAGAGTCCCAAAGTTGAACACAAGCACACCAACTAGGGCGGGAGGGACCCCAAGGAGGCTAAACTTCTCAGATAATGAGAGTGAGGAAGACAATGTAACTTCAGAATTGGAACATGAAGATGAATTTATGCAAGAAGAGGAGTCCGACATGGTCGCTCTGCCCGAAGATCAAGAACAAGATCTGCAAAGGAGGTTGGAAATCGGATTGCGGGTATCGCCGAGGCGCCGGAATCAAACCAATACTAGTGCGCCAGTTACAGAAGATGGAAGGCATATTTTATCGCCATCCGAAAACTTTAGGAGTAGACCAATACTTTCGGCAGAAACGCCTCAAGAACAGCAAGAAATTGTCTCCTCGGGGTCTATGGAGCCAGGTACAATATCAACAAGCAGATTGTCCTTGTTTTCGGGCATTATTGCGCGCTTGATGCAGACGGATCTTTTTGAAGATCAATCCTACCCAGTTGCAGCATTGTTAGACCAAATAAACGACGAGCTGCCAGAGGAAGAAAAGTTTTCTGCACCAGAATATCTCGCAGGGTTGAAGGTTATGAGTGACAGAAACAATTTGATGGTTGCTGAAGAAAAGGTTTGGAGAGTGTAATTTGATATCTTTGGACATTTTAGATATCCAAAGTTTTTGCTTTATTACACATATATGCTTAAAATAGCCTCTAGAGCATGTTTCGGGGCCCTAATTATCTTAAGATTAGTCATATGGTGTTTGCGTCCAGGATGTTCTTAATATAGTTGAAACTGATTTTAAAGTGGTCCTTTTGACGCCACAAACACTGCGATTTGAGCTACTGATAAGAAGACCAAACCAACGACCAATTTCATCCAAAAAGGCTTACTGAAAAGTTGCATTCAGAATACTCTTTGCGAAGCCGGCCTCCTACTACTCAAGATAGCAATTAATGACGAAATCAAAAGATTCTGACAGATCTTCCTGGTCAATCGAAGCAAATGAGTCGAAATTGGAATGTAACCAGTAACGAAAGCCTAAGGTACGAAAGCCTAAGGTAAAGACATTTCTGAGAAGCGAGCAATTTGATAAGGAAATAGAGCCGTTATACTAAATCTCTATGAGCGGTAAAGGAGAACCACACCAATATCAAAGAACGAAATTATATGACTAGCGTCTAATCAACAGGCGTAAGAGATTACAATAAGTCAATCTACACAGTGGTTTTCATATTGAGCCCAAGGCTTGGCGCGATCCCGACATAGACATTATTTTCATTAAAGCGTTGGGCAAAAGATAATATTTTACAAATGTCCAACTCAACGTCTTGCGCAAACTCGGTTACGAGGTTCAAGCTTCTTCAAGCAGATGATGAGGCTTGATATAAGATCTGTCAAGCTTCTCTTTACCAAAATAGTTTCGTTTAATTCTACAAGATTTATATAGGCGTACGATGTGATTGAGCATGTGGTGGCGAAAAAGCTTTTGTCTGAACAATGAAGATCATTTTAACAGATCATCCACAACTTTAGGAAATTCAGTAGACTCTTTGCTTGTTTATCTTCAAAAGCTTGCGTAATAGATAAAGAGGTAACTTAGACGAGTGAAGCAGGAATGACATCACCCGTTGACAGTCCGCTGGTCAGGGACTCTAAGCTTCTTTTAAAAAAAGGTAAGCTATTCAGGCCTTATGCGCTACCCTTCATTCCATTATACGCAACTTTTGCGCAATTGTATTTCAAACAATACGATCAGTACATCAAAGGTGGCGAATGGACGTTTGTGTACCTAGGCGGGCTTATATCATTGAACATCCTTGTGATGCTTCTTCCACAGTGGAACGTTAACCTTGCAAGTCGATTCAACTTCACGGGAGCGTCTGGAATCGCAGAGGCTACCCATATTTTGATACAAACCGCACCAAATAATGGTGCAGACGACATAGTGGAGATCCAGCATATCGAAGAAGCTGGCCATCTAACAGTTTTCTTTCAATTTCAGAAAAAGAGGTTTTTACTCGACACTGATACCGGTGTGTTTTCCAGTCCCAAATTTGTTGTGGACGAATCTCCCAAGCTCGAGGTATTCCAGCATTGTAAGGGTCACTCTGGAGACTTGACTCATGCTAGAAGGTTGTACGGAGATAACTCGTTTGACATTCCAATTCCGTCCTTTACTGAGCTTTTCAAAGAGCATGCTGTTGCTCCTTTTTTCGTCTTCCAAATCTTTTGCGTTTGTTTGTGGCTATTGGATGATCTTTGGTACTATTCGTTGTTCAATTTATTCATGATCGTGGCTATGGAAGGCGCCAGCGTTTTTCAAAGACTGACTACTCTAAAAGAATTTAGAACTATGGGTGTCAAGCCTTATTCGATTAATGTATTGCGGGATGGTAAATGGCAGTTAATGCAAACCACTGATCTACTACCTATGGACCTTGTCTCAGTTACTAGAACTGCCGAAGATAGCGCCATTCCATGCGACCTTGTTCTCATTGACGGATCTTGCATCGTAAATGAAGCAATGCTATCAGGTGAATCCACTCCCTTGCTCAAAGAGTCTATCAAATTACGCCCTCATAACGAATCCCTCCAGTTGGAAGGTCTTGATAAAAATTCAGTTTTGCACGGTGGTACCAAAGCTTTGCAAGTCAACGCGCCCGAACACCAATCCTCTGTGCCCACCCCACCTGACAATGGTGCATTGGCTGTTGTTACCAAAACTGGGTTTGAAACCTCTCAGGGCTCTCTCGTGCGGGTTATGATTTACTCTGCCGAACGTGTCTCTGTTGGTAATAAAGAAGCTTTATACTTCATTTTGTTTCTGTTGATTTTTGCTATTGCTGCTTCCTGGTACGTTTGGACTGAAGGTACTAGAATGGGAAGAATCCAATCTAAGCTGATTGTCGACTGTATTTTGATCATCACATCTGTTGTACCCCCAGAGTTACCAATGGAACTAACTATGGCCGTTAATACTTCTTTGGCCGCCCTTTCCAAATTCTTTGTTTATTGCACGGAACCTTTCAGAATTCCACTTGCAGGTAGAATTGACGTTTGTTGTTTTGACAAGACAGGTACTTTGACTGGTGAGGATCTGGTTTTTGAAGGCCTAGCAGGAATTGCCACAAATTCTGAGAAGGTCGACCAGTTATCTTCGGCAGAAGATGCCTCTTTGGAAACTACGCTAGCTATTGGTGCTGCGCACGCTCTCGTCCTACTCGATGACGGCGAGATTGTAGGTGATCCCATGGAAAAAGCTACTTTGAGCGCATTCAAATGGAAGGTTGGTAGCAAAGACACGGCTAGCAAAGACAAAATCGGCCAATTAGAGATACTACGCCGTTTCCAATTCTCCTCTGCGTTAAAAAGATCTTCGTCTGTTGCTAAGCATAAGAACAAGACGTTTGTTGCTGTTAAAGGTGCCCCAGAGACTATTCGCGAAAGACTCACTACTATACCCCCCAACTATGATCAAATATATAAGCACTTTACTCGTTCAGGCTCGAGAGTGTTGGCACTAGCTTCCAAAGAACTCTCGAATTTGTCAAGTAAACAAATTGATGGCCTCGATCGTAAGAACATGGAAATGGAGCTCGAGTTCCGAGGGTTCCTCGTTTTCCAATGTCCTTTGAAAGATGACGCAACCGAGACCATCAAAATGTTGAACGAGTCCTCTCACCGTTGTGTTATGATCACTGGTGACAACCCCCTGACCGCCGTCCACGTCGCCAAGGAAGTTGGTATTGTGGAACGCGAATGCTTAATAGTGGATGAGCCCGTCGATGGATCTGAACACTCTTTGGTGTTGAGAAACGTCAGTGAAACAATTATGATTCCTTTCGACCCTACCAGCGATAAGTTTGAACACTCTGAAATTTTTGCGAAGTATGACCTGGCTGTTACAGGGCACGCCTTGAATATGCTTGGCGACCACCATCAATTGAGGGAATTGATTCGTCATACCTGGGTTTATGCCCGCGTCTCCCCAAGTCAAAAAGAGTTCATCTTAAACACTCTAAGGGATATGGGCTATCAAACTTTAATGTGTGGCGATGGTACCAATGATGTTGGCGCTTTAAAACAAGCCCACGTTGGTATCGCTTTGTTGAATGGTACTGAAGAAGGGCTCAAGAAAATTAGCGACCAGCGTCGCATTGATGCTGCAAAGACTGTTTACGACAAGCAATGTGGCTTTATGGAAAGATGGGGGCAACCGAACCCTCCTGTACCAGAGCCGATCGCACACCTTTACCCACCTGGTCCTTCGAATCCTCACTATTTGAAAGCTTTAGAAAAGAAGGGTGTTCACATCACATCTGAAATGAGAGAACTAGCTATAGAGGCCTCGGCCAAACCTGTTGTTACTAGAAAAGTGGAGATGCCCGAACAAAAAGCTAGCGATCTAGCAGATATGGTCATGGGATCTCTGGGCGAAGCTGAGGGAGATGATGCGCCTACCTTGAAGCTAGGAGACGCATCGTGCGCTGCTCCTTTCACTTCCAAACTTGCTAATGTATCAGCTGTTACCAACATCATTAGACAAGGGCGTTGTGCGTTGATCAACACTATTCAAATGTACAAAATTTTGGCGTTAAATTGTTTGATCAGCGCCTATTCGCTATCCATTATTTACCTTGCTGGTGTGAAATTCGGTGATAGCCAAGCAACTACATCAGGTCTTCTCTTGTCTGTCTGCTTTTTGAGTATTTCCCGCGGTAAACCTTTAGAGAAGTTATCTAAACTAAGGCCGCAACCTGGGATTTTTAACTTTTACATCATGGGTTCAATTTTAGGCCAGTTTGCTGTTCATATTGCCACCCTGGTTTATATCACACTGGAGATCTATAAGATCGAGCCTCGCGAACCTCAGGTTGATTTGGAAAAGATTTTCACGCCTTCTTTACTAAACACAGGTATATTCATGATTCAATTGACTCAGCAAGTTTCAACCTTTGCTGTTAATTACCAAGGAGAGCCATTCAGAGAAAGTATCAGAAGCAATAAGGGAATGTACTATGGTTTACTTGGTGTTGGTGGCTTGGCTCTCGCAGGTGCTACCGAATTCTCTCCAGAGTTGAACGCTGCTATGAAGTTTGTCCCTATGGATGACGTTTTCAAGGTAAAGCTCACAGCAACATTGCTGGTGGATTTCCTCGGAAGTTGGGCTGTCGAGTTGCTATTCAAGTATCTTTTCATGGATTCTAAGGCGGCTGACATAGCCCAGCGCGACTCGAAGTAGATTAGTACAATCATTCTGTAAATTTTATCATATCACATATTTCGTTGATAGAAGAGTTTTGCATGTGCATCCCAGAGGTTGCGCCGCCTTATAAAATTACAAAGTGTGTAGCGGTATTCTCGAATTTTCATCCGTAACATAAATCTTAAGTTAAGGGTTGCACGTTCATCCTCTCAGAAAGTACTTTCCTATCGAGATCCACCCACCGAAATACTTTGAGAGAACCTTCCGTCTCAACCAGGTTAATGCGATCGTTTAGTAACAATTGTAACCTTGATAGTACTTCGTGTGTTTCGCTTTGCCCAATAGGGTTGTTACTGTCGGCAAGACTGTCAACAATTAGCGAAGTAAGGTGTGTTATTGTGTATGGCTTAGCCTGTGGGAGTGAGAATAAAATGTCAAAAACTTGAAACGTCTTCACGTTAAGAAACTGTTCGTGCTGTCGCTCTCTTTGAGAAAGAAGTGAGGATGCTCTTCGCTCTTTCTCACGAATCCTTTCTAGTAGAGAAGCATTACCCAAGTTACCTTTGTCTTCTCTAAACATGAACTTATCTTTAGTGTTAGAAATATAGCCGCTTGTTCTGGTTTTTTTAGGCTGTGCAAGTGGCCGCGTCAGGCCAACGTCGCCAGAGGCCGATTGTGCTTCATAAGAGCCATCACTGCCTCTTCTCTTTTTTATACTAAGGATAGGAACATTCTGTGGTATATGAGAAGCGCTAATCGCGCAAGTAAACCACTTGTCTGCCTTTTCTGCATATTCCAACTTTCTTGACTTGCTGGACAACGCATTGAGCAGGCCACCGGGCGGTGGTCTTATTGTGATCTCAAAATTGCTGTTCACTTCTAGAATGTAGCACTCATTCCAGATTGTCATCATTCTGAGAAAGTCTTCTTGCGACACTTTCCTCTTCAACATGTTGGATATTTGTGGTAAAAGAACATAAAGCTCTGGCGCAGACGTCAGCAAAGACCTTGAGATGGAATACAATGACAACACCGAATCCGTGACATAGAAAATGTTTTTGCAAAACTCTACTCTTTTTTTCAGGGCTTCTTTGGCATATGCATCCGGATATAGTTTTTGAATTATTGCTGGAAACTCCCCGATCTGATTGTTCAAAAGTAAATTTGATATTGTTTGAGGTCCTACCATGGTTTCCAACGGTGGAAATACAGTAAGATGTGTGGTGTTTGTGGTAGAGAATTTAATAGGTTCCGTTATATGCATATTATTGGAATAATGTGAAAGGAGATCCCCGGTCTGAATTAAAATGCAGTCCGGTTCGTCTAGTAATTCCCACTTCCCGTTCAGGTTGTATTTGATTCCTTGAGCAATGGGGAAAACTGTTATGACCCCGGGAGAATTGTAAATAGCGTACTCATCTTCGTAGTCAAACTCTAAATCTAAAATAGATTTAGATATTGACTTGTGATACCTTGTTATCTTAGTGCAGCTTTTAACATCATTTAATAACGTAAGAGATTCATTGGGACATGCGGCTGCCAGACTAGCATTTGCAAAGAAATTAGCTATTTTGATCAACCTAGAAGTGAGTCTTCCTAGCGCGGTTTTTTGAAAACTCGTTCCATTAGGATTTCCGACAAATTGCTCCACACTTACCCCATTTTCCAGCAGTGCACTGCCTGTGAAATTTTGATTGAGGCCTTCAGCAATGTTGGGTGGCTCGTCCTTCAATGTCAACAAAAGCGTTCGAACAGCTTCGATATTGGCATAGTTCTTCAACAAAAAAATGCCACGGTCCCGTAGACAATTCTTGATAATTGGAACAAGTTCTTGTTCTGTTGTGATAATGTTGAGATCAATTGTTTTGAGCATCTTGACATCAATCCAAGAGCTATGAATTTGATTTTATCTTATGTGAGCTTCAATGACCTAGTGAATTAATTCCATTGTGTATGTGAACGTGTGTAGTGCTATTTAAGTTGATATAAGGGTTTGATCTTATAAAAATGTATAATATACGATTAGCTGCCACCCGAAATATGGACGAGAAAGAAGGTGCTAAGCACGAGTCCGACAACACGTCCAAATATCAGAAGTATGAAGTTCATGAAGGAATTGTATTTTGCATTGAACTTTCAGAGGCGATGTTCGAAAGACCAGCAGATCTCGACAAAGTTCAACTAATAGAGATACTGGAAACGCTTCTGGAGCTTATGTCTCAAGTAATCATTACACTGCCAGGAACAGGGATAGGCTGTTTTTTCTATCAATGCAATCATGAGGCATCGCGTGGGGGCATATACGAGTTTCTACCACTTTTGAACGTAAACGCTCGGAGCATGAAAAAACTCAACGACTTACTAGAAGACATCAGAACTAAGAACACAACGCTCGCGAAAGAATTTCCTTTTGATTCTAGCCGCGCGACCTCGTTGGAAACAATGTTTATCATTTTACAAGAACAATTTCTGCGACAAGTCCCAGGACAGAAGGCTTACAACAACAGGAAAATATTCCTATTTACGGACAACGATCGACCTAAAGAGTCTCATGATCCGGAATCTCGTCTCAGGCTTCGAAAGGTAATCGACGATCTGGATGACAGTTTTATTAATTTCACAACTTTTTTTATTGGGACGAAGCAGAAACCTTTTGATCAGACTTTTTACAGCGATGTTCTCAAATTTGGTGCAAAGAAAAAGATCTTGGAAACAGGCTACGAGTTCGATGGCCCTAGCACTGCCCCCATTTCCGCTAAGTGGATAAAATCGCGAGCGTTGCGAAAGAAGGAAATCAAGAGGGTCAGGTTCCAGTGCCCTCTCATCTTAGATGAAACTAACGATTTTATAGTATCAATCAAAGGTTACACAGTAATAACTCATGAAAGAGCTGGAACAAGGTATAAAACCGTTTATGACCACAATGGTCTTCGCAAAGAAGTGCGGTCACGCCGCAAATATTTGAACGCCAATACTGGCGAGGATGCCACTAATACGATCTCTAGGGTTTATAAGTTTGCCGAGGTTGACATCGAGCTTTCAGAGGACGAAGTAACTAAAATTTATCAAGATTTTTCTTCTCGCGAGTCTTTCTTGAAACTGATAGGATTCAGAGACACTTCCAAGTGCCTCTTCTACTTCGACAACATTTCGAATAGTTCTTTTGTTGTTCCAGACGAGACGACATACGAAGGTTCCATCCGAACTTTAGGATCGTTGTTCCGTAATCTTACTAACAAAGATAAATGCGCGATCGTATGGGGAAAGCTAAAAAGTAACTCTCACCCTTCACTATACGTGCTAAGTCCTTCAACTTCTAGGGATCAGAATGAAGGCTTTTACTTGTCTAGAATTCCATTTGCAGATGAAATCAGAAAATTTCCGCCACTCATTAATCATGACGAGCTTCTGAGCGGTAAAAATTATGAGCAGATGTGCAAAATTAACGAAACCTTGATTAATTATTTCACCTTGCGCCGCCCCTACAAGCCATCTGAATTTAGGAATCCAAGCCTTCACAAGCATTTCAGATTACTTCATCATCATTTGCTTCAGATTGAAGTTAGCAATTCCTCTGATAGTACGGATCAACAAATTAAAGATGACGACACATTGGCGAAGCTGTATCAAGTTCGCCAAAAAATCTTAGATTCAGCAAAATCGCAGGACAGTGCTAAAGAAAGGCTTAGCAATTACGTGAAAGCTTGGAATAGCGTTTACAATAAAGAATACAACCAAGAGCTGGAGCCGGAAGCAAAATCCAAGAAACCCAAAAAAACTTAACGCGCTAAAATGCTAAAATTTGAAATTCGACTTACTATTTATCTAGCTGAAGTCCACGATGAGACGTAATGTTTGCGCACAGTGATGTGACATATCTTGGCTCATATCAATTCACATTTTTAACTCCAGATCGCATACCATTGATAAGTGATCACTTCCGTATTCCCCCTCATGGGGTTGCCCGTGACTTGGCATTTCCTTGGCCGCTGGCATTCTAAGCAAACTTTTTATCTTTAGGCCATTTTCACATTCGAAAGCATTGATCTCTTCTGGAATATTTTTATTCGTAAAATCCCATTTTTTGATGAAAAGTATGTAGTCAAGCAGGCCATTCCATGTTTCAGCCCAATTCGATATCTCGGGCTCGTTAAAGTCGTTGTTCAAACCGGAATTTTCTACATGAACATGTTTGTACCCAACAGAATAGAGAGAAATAGCTCGCATATCCAAAGCGTTATGAAGCGCTGACATGCTTTCAACTAGGTCTTTCTGTTCTCGGCTACTATCGAATGTTGACGGCACTGGGTGCTGTGGCTGGCCGTTTCCATTCTTTTCAATATTACCCCCTTCCTCATCGCCACATTCTTCTCCATCGCGAGCTTTTGAGAATGTATAGGAAGTGCTACACTCTATAACAGTTTTAGCCCTGTCCTTGTAAGTAACGGGTTTTGAGGACATGGATAGGTATGGTGTGTCAAACGGCTGAGAGTTGAAATCACCACAAAAGAAGGGGGTCCATTGGTTTTCTTGCGTAGTGCTATCACCTTGAAGTAATTTAACCCGATTTTCAAATTCCTTCATCTTCTTTAGCAGGACGTAGCATTGTCTAGTCCTTTCAAAAGTACCAAATGGATGCCAAAATAAATGCGTGGTACCAACCAAAATTCCGCGCTTTTTAGTATCGGGAAATTTGTTCAACACTTTGGTCGTAAAGTTGAGAGCCAATACCAAACCTACGTTTTTAGTCGTAGTTCGAGGCTCGATGTTGCCAGAAGGCTCTTTGTCGTAATCTATAAGCATTTTGTCGGTCATGTCAAACATCTCTCGTTTCCAGACAATGGCGATTCCGTGATTCTTGGTACCGTGCCGATGGAACTGCGAATCGTAGCCCATTTTCGCAAACTCTTCTTTCCAAAAAGACTGATATTGGATATAATCTACCTCCTGCAAACATTGAACGTCCGCTGCATAATACTTGAACTCATTCAGCAGAACTTGTGATCGCTTAAACCATTTCAAAGCATTTCCGCTGGTTGGAAACAATTTACGACGAATCAAAGCTTGTGCGAGGCAATTGTAGGTCATCAGCCTGAAAGTAAATCCACTACTTGGCGTCTCCTTAGGAGTCAATGATAGCATAGGCCTACGAATAAACTGCAAGTCTGGTGGGCAATCTGGATCGAGGCCTCGAGCCAACATCTCATCACGTTTTACCTTTTTGGCCGCTTCTCGCTGCGCTCGTACCTCGGCAATGTGTTCTGCACTTATTGTAGAGACCCTGGATCCCTTGGAGCTCTTCTTCTTCTTTTTGTTTTGGTTTCCGGGCTTGTCATGCTTCCCTTTATCTTGTTCAATTTGACTATTGATAGACGCTGCCAATTTTTGTTCCTCCATAACTCGACACAGACCTAGAAGATATCTTATGGGACTACCGCAGATATGAGAAAGTACGATTGGAAATTGTGACTTCGTACAAGGGCAAGCTACAGCCGATTTTGGCAGTGAAAGCTTCAAAGAGTCTTGACAGGTAATTGGTATCTGGAAGTATCGTAAATTTGAAGACCGAACTTGACAAGTACAACTGTACTCGGTTCCTTTCGTGACCCACGAGTACCAAAGTACTTGTTATGGACAAGTACATAAATATTTTCAGAGGACTCAGAGTAGATTGTACTCATGGCGTTTTTTGATGTTGATGTGAAAAATTGACCATCGGCATAATCTCAACACGATATAAAGCACCAAACTTTTTAGTACCGTTCAGCATGGTTTTCTACAGGATTACACTTTCCAGATCAACTATAGGGCTTCCGAAAGCTAGTAAGAGTATTGCCTCTAGTCTTGGTCTAGGAAAAACCGGGTCGGTAGTATACCGTAGGGCTTCCCCCACTATTGCAGGTTCAATTGCTAAGATTAAAGAAGTGGTAACAGTAGAAGTAACAGAACATGCATTAACGAAAGAACAGCAGCGCGAGCTCCGGAAATCCAATCCTGGTTTTACCGTCGAGAAAAGGGTATAGGACTTGTAAATAGTGAATTTAACAACAAACATGTGCATTTTTAAGGTTACTCAGTGGTGCTATGTGCATCTATGTGTTTTGCGATTGGCGTGTCATCGCCATTGGTCATCTCTGGAGGTAAGATAGATCTGTTGGTGAAAAATGCGGGGCTTTCCATATCATCATCGTCATCGCTGCCGTGATTATCTTTTTGATCGTCATCGTCGCCGTCGTCGTCGTCGTGTAGTTGGGAGAACGAGTCCACGATTTTGAAAACGTCGCTCCGGTTCATAGCTTTGCCGTCGAAACTTAGGTCCACGCTGTCATTGGACTCACTAGTCTCTTGAAACGCTACCCTTGTCAGGGGGTTCGCCTTTAGATTCTTTGAGCTTCTCAGAACTCGCCTTCGAGGCCTGTCCAAAAATCCTTGTACTGCGGTTGAAATCTCTCCTAGTGCCCGCACTTGGTATTTGGCATCATTTGCAGGCCCAAGAGGCTGTAACTTGTGGTAAGAGTCTTGCTTCGAATCGATGAGTCTACGCATAAAATTGCTGCGCTTTGAAACAGGAATCTGAAATGGTAACTCCGTCACTTTATAGATTTCAGTAATGACTGAATTTTGGATATTTATTCTAACGCGCGTGAAGTCGATATGGCACGGCGTTGTTAGGTACCTTGAGTCTGAGGCTAATGCTTTAGGCTTTATGACATCGTCGATGCATCGGACTTGCTCGCATTTTGGCTTGCTGTTGTTGCAATGGGAGGATTGTGAAGAGCGCGAATTCGCCGGCCCCGGTGATTTGTTTCTGTTTAGCGCCTGGGGTCGACGCAACGGACTTGTGTTTTTCAAACTTCGTCTTTCATTGCGGTACCCGTTCATCGAAGGGATCGGGAAGACCGGCATCATATGTGGCGAAGGTGGGGCTGGCATATATACTATATGACCAGGATAGTTCGGTGAATTCGTGCGGTGTGGTTGAAAAGCGGGGATATTGACCATATGAAGTGTCTGTGGATTCATATTTGACAGGACAAGATTTTATAGATTAGTGCTCTCTTTGTGTTTCAGTTGCCGACTCTGACTTCTAATTAAAGCTTCCCGATTTCGTCGCAGGTTTTTACTCTAGAGAAAGGATGTCTTCTTTATTGTCGATCCTTTGTTTTGTTTTCATGTTGATGACAGTAAATATAAACATTGTAAACACTTCCGAATTTGGATTTTGCAAAAAGCCGTTTAGAATTGAGATAAAAACCTTAAACTTTTTAATCTATCAATTATATAGTTGTAGAAAAGTAAATTATGTACAAGTCTCCATGATCTTTAATGTAAAATGCGACTGCGTCACTACACTTCGAGCTCCATCACACCATCTAAGCAGTCTAATTTTGTGATCTTGCAGTTGTGGACGACGTCCCCGATGGCCCAACTGGAAGAGAGTTCAGGTCGTAGCTTCAAACTTCCACGGGCTGCGCTTAATTCAGGTAGCGAACATCTTACAAAACCCATTTGCGGAATCGAGGTGATCATGACAGAAAACTTTCGTTCGGGGTTCTCCTCTTGTTGAGCTTTCAGGTATTTGAGAGTCCAAAAAGACGCAGAATTCTGCGCAGCCTTTCTCAAGATTACGTCGCGCGATTGGATATGCCACGTCAGTTCTTCTACCTCGTATTGTGTAAATTGTAGCGGCTGTTTGTTCAAATGCCCATGAAGCTGCAGATGATTTATCAAATCCGGAAACCTCCTTAAAGGAGATGTTACGGTGAGGTAAGCAGGAGCACCAATCATTTCGTGTCTAGCAGCTGTTCCAGCGTAATAACTAGAGTTCAGCAAGGAGGACAACTTCGTTATATCTTTGACTGTGGGCAGTTTCTTGGAGTGAGTCATTGTACGTAACGACTCGTAACCGCTTTCAGCCTTGTCTTTCAGCTTCAACTCTTTGTAACAGCGAAACACACCAGGAATATTGTTATCACAAAAATACTTCCCTGCCAAGCTGTTCGCAAGGATCATCATCTCAGACACCATAAGGTTTGAAGCAGTTTCGGACTGATCTTCAAAATTTATTTTGACCCCGCCACCACTCTCATCGGTTTTCAACTTGACTAAACCCTTATTGAAGCCTTCCCCAAACACAATGGCTTTTTGTTCCTTAACTCGTTTGGCTCGCAAGCCAGCAGCAATTTTGTGAAGCGCATGCAGCTCTCGAGACTCTTGCGTCGAGCCCTTGTCATTGGCTAAAAGTTGGTCGACGCTTTTATAGGTAAACTTTGGAAATCGCGATACTGTTCCTAGTCTAACTTTGAAGGAATCCTTAATAATGTCTAGCTTATGCCCTTGAAGTTCAACCTCGACGGAGAAAGTGATAGTTTTGGAAGTAACGCCGTTTTGACCGAGGTCAGCAGCTTTGCTAAATGTCTTCGGTAGCATTGGAATCACACAGTCTGGCAGGTAGCTTGTAAAACTTCTTGCGAATGCAATTTTCCATACTTCGTTCCTAGTACAGTCGTTGATTGATTTCCCAAACAAAGTCACTGGATCCGCGATATGTATATGTAAGCCAAACCTCCCTGAACCTTTTTTTTCGATGGATATGCCATCATCAATTTCATGTGCTTCTTCAGAGTCAATACAGTAAACATTCATGTCACCAAAGTTGTGGCGTGCCGAAAAGTTCTGTGTTGATGTTGGGGTTGCTAAGTCGTACATTTTTTTTTCCAATGACTGATTCCCAAAGGCGGACCCAATTGCAAGATTGTCACTTAAAAGAAGTGGATTGATGGTTGAACTGGGATCCAATTTTGTCAAGAGTTCATGACATAAGTCTCGCGTTATATCGCGATTCTTGTAGTCACTGAGCTTTCTGAACAGTTTCGAAACAGTAGTGATCATTGCACCATTGTTGTGAAAGTTTCCAGCAGCGTAGTCTTGGAGTATATTATGAATTTGTGGAAAGTCATTAAAAGCCGATCCATAATTTTTAGAGTTCACAAGAAGTGCAAATTTTGAGAGAATTGAGTAATTGTCTTCCTTCAAGCTTTTTATGATAGTGTCATAGTAGATATGACGGGACATTAACGGTAAAACTGTTACCGATATCGGGGTTAACATTGCTTTGTGGAAGTGAATTGCACCCCATAAATTATGTTCTTGCTGTTGAACAATAGCCCAATAAGTAGCGAGAAAATTCGCAGCATCTACGCGCCCATAGGTTTCTCTGGCCAGGTGTTCTTCTCCAACATTACAATCTTTGAGCCCTATTCCCACCCTTCTCATCAGCGTATCAACATAAGCATCCGTCGGTGATGAACGGCATTTTTCGAGATCCAGCAATGCTACTAGCTCACAGAGCTTGAATATGGAGATTTGCCAAGGTCCGCAACTCCTTTGCAGAAATCTATGCAGAAGTTCCAGCTTTTTTGTAACGACCGCCATGCGGTTCCATGCAGCTCTTGTAATTTCGAAGGGAACATAAGACGTATACAGCAAACGTGCCAATACTGGTAATATAATAGTCTTTTCTGGAGAATCCTTGACTGTACCGACTCGGGATTCCAAGTACGGATTTTCCTCCCGTACTAAATACTCCAAAGATTTCCTGTGGAATGATGGCATACGTAGAACCACCATGTTGCGCATTCCAAATCTTATTTGCCCATCTACTGTAGCAAATGTATAGCTCGGGTTCATCACATCTGTTGGAACTTCCACACACATACAGAGCTGGGAAGGATCCGATCGCAGCAGCACGACATCCCCCACATTGAGTGGGTTATTCAGCAGCCTACTAGGTATTATATGGAAAGTATTACTCTCTTTGTCGAACAAATCGCGGTCAATATACCATTGCAAGTTTTTTTGATGTTTCACAGAAAGCGCTCGTTGATCCATGTTCAGACAGTCTTTCATGCTAGCCCAGTTAATATCATTGTGCTTACACCAGTCTCTTGAAGGTACGAAATAATTATTGTAGTAGCGATCGTTAAGTTCTTTCTGAATCTCTGGAAGCGGTTTTATCTCGACGGATGGTTCCAGCTGACCAGCTCTTTGGAAGAGAAGTTTTGCCGCCTCAGACGTAGGCTTGTAGTTGCTTTCATTCAGAAAAGCCTTTTGAAGCGTTCTACACGCAGTGTGGAAGCCCTTACTCATGTTGAGCTAGGTTCTTTCATTAAGCTCATCGTGTAGTCCTGCTAGTTTTTATCAGTTAAACGCCAACAAATCACGTTTTTGGGCGATGGAGTTTTATGCAAATGAATGAATCATTACATGACTGTTCGAAAGCCTTCTACGTACTAGAATGCACTTGCTTTGGGCTCAATCAGAATTGGTAGCTAGCCTATGTTGTGCCCATAGCGGAACTTAAATATTGATGTAGAAAAGCTTGAAGTGGAGCTAAGGTTTTCCACCTCGGAAGAAGCCTATAATAATGGGACGCAAGGGCATACAACACAAATGATTGCTTGAACGGTTGTCTCAGGTCAACTTATTTAAGACTTTTGCTTGGTATACGATCCGCCATCAAATTTATATAATGTTTGGCTAAAAATGATTTTAAAAGTATAGACTAGGAGGAATAAACGCCCAGCAGTTATTGAGCCATGGATAAACATTATGAGCGCACTCTCAATTTGCTGAACAAAGAGGTTAGGAGAGATCATAGGTCTTTAAGAAATAGGCTTCAAAGCATCCTACTAGATCATAAATTCCTGGACGAACTTGTTTTGTCGGTTTTTCCAAACTTCCCCGTGGTTCCTAACGAAAGATGTGGTCTGTGGTACTGTGATCCTTCGAGCTTTTGCCAGACAAGTTATTTCAAATCCACAGACGGTCACACCAATCAATGGGACTTCAGCGTGAGAAGGCTCAATGTTCATTTACTGCCCACACTTGCCAAGTATGGTGGAATCGTAATAGTAGACAGCACGAGACGCGGCAAGAAGATGCCTGACGCATTGAGTAAAACAGTGCCAATTTGGTGTGCAGTTTTGAATAGTCTAATGCTAGAGTTCCTAAACAGGACTGACGAAGAAGTGCTTTTTTGTCCGCCACACACTGTATCAAGGCAAGAATATGTACAAATCAAAGCTAAGATTCCGTTGTTAGTTGATAAGCTCAAAGCTATGGGGGTCATCACTGGAGAGGAACTTGCGAAACTAAATCAAGGGAAAATTTTGCGGCCCTTATGGGTTTATCCTGGTTCATCCCTCTTGAGTTCACATCAAGACTTGTTCACGGGGGAAACAACGTCAGCCGAGTGGGAAAGCCCAGATACCGATCATTTAATACCGGTGGTTCTTTGTACTGTTAGTTATCAATGTCAAGATGGCGTTGACAATAGACATGGATTTACGTACGTCCAGGGTGCCGCCGATGATCACGAACTGTGGGCTAAAGGGCTCACTGCGGAAATGTTATGGGATCACATTGAGTTCTTGAGAAACCCTAAAGCGAGCGACCAAGCTCTTGACGAGTACATTTCAACCCAGCTAAAAGCCAAGAAAGCTAGCGTCAACGCTAGCGGCAATTTAAACGATATTATTAACACAGACGTTATAACGAAGGAGCTCCGTTTAGGAAGAATAGCCGAGAATGTAAAGCTTTCAAAATGCTTACAGCAGCAATTATGTGCTGCTTATTGTCTTGTTATCATAATGAGTGAGTCAGTTGAACTCTCAGGCACTGAAGAGGACAAAAATTCGACAATTAGAGTAATAAAGCTATCCAGCGGTTCTAAAAAAAGTTCTAAATCCTTACGGGCACAGCTCATCAATCTATGTCCGTTGATAGAGTCAAACTTGCATAAGCGGCTGCCGATTCTGGTATGTTGCGGGGACGGCAAGGATATGTCCTTGTGTGTCTTATTGAGTGTCCTTTGTAGGAACTACAACGTTGAAAGCTGGGAACTTGAGCAGCAGAGTAGCATACACAAAACAATAATCAGAAAGCACCTTTCCAAAGTCGTTGCTAAACTTGAGGGAAGAAACGTAAATCCACCGAGAGCATCATTGAATAGTGTTAATGCGTACTTAATGTAGAGCTTTATTTATCAAGAAATAGTGTAACAAAGCACTACAGAAAAGAAAGTTATAGACAAGGTAACAGTACTGAGGATTGGAATCCGATAAAGCGAGCTAAACACTGGCGCCGTCCGTTTTTTCTCGAGGTGTTTACGTATAAGATATTTTTCACAAAATTTAAAAATTGATGAACCTCAGAGTATTTGACAATCAAATTCAAGCTGTGTTCGAAAGATCTAGTTGCTATGCTGCCCAAACGGGGCACGATAAGGTTGCCGTTTAAAAAATGGAATAGCACTGTAGCAATCAATTACAATATATCCAACGCTGATTTAAGGTTAAGTGCCGAGCAATCGAGTCTCAATGCCAGTCTCAAGAAATCAATCAAGGCTAATGTGACGCTGCAGAATGTGCTCAAGGACCGCAACAAATCGAAAATACTAACACTCGAACCCCTGGTCAGTGAACATAAGCTCGGCCTTTCATCTGAGCGACATTTAACCAGACTTTCTGCGCTGTTACACGCCCAAGAGTATATCACAATTTTAGTGGAGATCACTCTTCAGTCCAAGTTAGATGAAGACTATGGACAAAAGATATTCACACAAAACATTCTGACACATATGGAGTTCTCTTCATTCATTCAAGGACTTTTGAACTCTAGCGACCTTGCTAATAAGTTGACGCAAGTCGCGCCGCCAGGAACGCATGGCGCAGAAATGATATTCAATCTTTACAAGATCTACCTAGGGGCTATAGGACCAGGACCACTAAGTCCGCTGCAATTGCATGATCTAAATCAACTTATACACTTTTTCATCAAGAGCTCTCAACTACGTAAAGCGCAGATGGTACTTGACAAGATTTTAGACTCATACCAAAATCAACTTCCTTGTGATGTCACTAGTGCGGTTCATTATTTACAGCTGAGATGCGGTGCTCTGCCGCGAAGCTGGCCTGTGAACACCGAGACTGGTATCAAGTTTCGCTCACCAAAGAGTCGCAAGAGTCATGTATCCTCCAATTACAAAGCTTTTGACAAGAGCTTTGTGCAGGAATTTCTCCATCAACTGAACAATCCAGCAAATCACTGGTCGCACAGATCATCAACAACCTTGGAATCTGCAGTCATATATTCCTTGGGCTTCATGGGTCAGGTTTCCATGATCGAGGATCTCATACTGAAAAAGTGGGGCATTTCACTGGATACTACAACGAAAATTCAAAGCACGAAAGCGACGGTAGGACCAACGTCTGAGATTTTGATTTCCATCTTGACTAGTTTAGCACGCAATAATCAAATGGCATCGGCTCTCCAACTGATTGACTTGTTTATTACAAAATACCCTGAGGTGGAGCTAAATAAAATGTTCTGGAGACGTCTATTTCAGCACAGTACTGGCCTATGGAACCCTAAGAAAGACCCTCGTGGCCAACTCTCGAGTGGATGTTGGGAAGTGATGCAGCAATGGCACGAGACGCGGGGAAGGCAACTGCACATTGATATAATCTTACTGGAGGAGAGATATGTGGTTTTGCGAATGACAAACAATTACAAAGAGGCAATCAAGGTATTTCCGCAGTGTTTGTCACAGCTGTACGAAAAGAATGACCTAACTGCAAAAGAGATAGGATTGGTGCAAAAGTACGCGAAACTCATTTTGAAAAACCTGGCGGCGTCGGGCAATTACCACAACGCCTTGCAGTTTATCAAAGAGTGGTCACCCAATAACGAGCTTGAAATCAGCTTTAGGAGTTACTTTGATGAACATAGGGAGCGATATCTGAACCGCAACAAAAAGAAGTTAGAGGCTTCTCAACAGAAACAGAAGGCTTTTGACGATGAAGAGGAGGATGGCATGCTTTTGGGGAGATTGTGGTAGATAGATATATATTCTTTATAATGAGTTTCATGGATGAGAAAGGCACATTATTCGTCACTTTATGAAAACTCTTGTATTTCATTGGCGAAGACATAGTAGCTGAAAAACCACCACCCATATCTAAACCAGACCATCTGGGAGACATGTGCATTCAGCATGCTGGCGAAAGATAATAAGTACTGCGGAAAACTGCTAACGAAGACCAAATGTTCATTTGGCTTGAAAACATGGAGTAGTGCTGGAACGAAACTGGTGTATTTCTGCAGCACAGACGATTTACTCACAAGACGATAGCAGCGGCTATGAGGAAGGCTCGCCTTGAGCCGCTGGACAGCCTTAAAACATGAGATATGGTTGATATGATTAGAGATGCCCTGATCATCGAATGTGAGAATGATAGGGCTTTCATCTACCATGAGCGCTTTCACCGCTCGAGACGTCTCTTCAACATCCCAAACTTGATCCATACCGTCAGGGTATCCCAGGACAGTAACTAGTGGTTGATTCCGGCGCATCAAGAGCTGCACCGCGTCCTGCAGTTCGTGAGTCCGAACCTCTCCCAAACCATCTGCTCCACCGTTAGTCAACGAAATTACACGAACTGTGACGCTTCCGGTAAGCCTAGCATCAAGCTGAAGGAGGGTTGGAGCGAAAAACATCACTTCATCATCCGGATGCGCAATAATAAGGTTCAGAGACGTCGGAGAAGAACCTGCAAACATGCGATGGTATGCCGCCTCATTGGAAGCTTCGATTCGCCCTGAACTACATATATAAGCTATGACAAGTAAGAGCGCCAGTCTGAATGCATTGGCGAGTGTTTTCATTCTTTACACCGGTTTTCAACGACGTCGGGCTTCTAGTTTGAGTTAGCCTTTTCATTCATTGCGAGATGACGGTCGTCAATATTGAGTTCACGTGTAGTTGTTTTTGTCGTTGAAGTCGCCATCATAAATTAGTTATGACTAACTGCACACATGAGAAACTCTACAAAGGAATAAGCTAGAGAATTAACACAGTTGACAATCAATATGGCAATTACAAACAATTACATCTTTAAACGGGACGGCAAAGAATCCAAAAATTTCAGAGATTTCAGGGAAGTTACATTAGAGATGAACTCTTCAAATTGAGGACATATTATTCTTCCACTTGTTTGAGATAAATCGGACACTCGATAGTAATTAACATTCTTGTATCAGTAAGATAGCTGAAAGTCGTGCTTCGTAATTCAAGTTCGTGTAATTGACAATTACCCTCTTTAGACTTGTGAGCCATGGGAGCTGTGACAAAGGATGGGTTGCGTAATATTGTACTTATATGAGCATTGCTATGGCAGATCCTCCTCTAGTACCATATCGGCGCCCTACATTTGCCGTTTTGGACAGCTTAGAACTTCGCAAAGCCAACGGGCTTACATGTCTCAATGGTTTGGTTCGGCCACTGCGAATGAGCGTTTTTTGGAAAATCCGTTGACATCAGGCACCTACGTCTTTTGCTCCAGGGCCAATTGCCATCAAAACCTGCAGCGCTCGCATCATCCCGGAGTCGATAGCATGCAGGGCATGATGATATAACTGAAGCACCAATAAAAATTGTAAGGAACGCTTTTAGATTTCTTGTTTTAGGCCACATACTCGGAGTTCTAGAACGCGCTTTCCGCCAGATTGCCAAGAATTCGGCTCTTTAGATATTTCAATAGTTCTTGGTAATTTTGCTCATTCAACTTCCTGGTATCAGGCAAAGATTGTGCAAAGTTTCCCGAACATCATAACGCGCAGTGAGCGTGCAGCGTGTTGATGAGTATTTTACTTTATTTCGGTTTTGGAAAGATACGAACCACGTTCCTATGTGACACGCAAATGTCTTATTGCTTCCAAGCACATCATCTCAGCTTGTTCATAGCTATGCGATGTAAATCTAGCAGCAAAATCATTTATTCGGCTCGCTCCGCTTAAGACCAACCTTAACTGGCACTTCACCGATTTGAACTCGCTAGTTCATTTAGTGACATATGGATCTTTCATTCGCCAGTCAGACTTTATATTTTTTTGGCATTTTCAAAACCTGTAAAATTATCTGTATTATGAACATGGAAAGTCGGGTTTGCAGTCAATTACAACGTCAGTGTTCTAACAAAGGCTTGCAAGCATAAGTGTTTTTACAAGATACCGTTTTTCTCTAGAGGTCACTTTTAGCGTGCTTGCTGTAATTGTTGTTGAGATAGACGAAACTCATTGCAGTATTAATAAAGCAAGCTTTTCGGCGTTTTAACGGCTCTCATAGCAATGGGTGACCCAACAAAAGAGCCTTTTGAGCCACGAATTATTCGAACGATGAATTCGCAGGCACCGGGTGCCTGTAACCCACTTTCAAGTCAACCATCGTCAATTTCACAGTCTCCAGCCAACTTTCAACCCCGTTTAGGATCCACGACAAGTGGACTACAAAACGCACCTAGCGTCTCACCTACAGCGTCTTCGGCTACCCCATCTGCTAACTACCGTGTGGCACAGGCTTGTGACCGATGTCGATCTAAGAAAACTCGCTGTGACGGAAAAAGGCCTCAGTGCTCGCAATGCGCCGCGGTGGGTTTTGAATGCAAAGTGAGTGACAAATTATCACGCCGCGCTTTTCCTCGAGGCTACACGGAAACTCTTGAAGAGCGTGTCCGGGAGCTGGAGGCCGAAAATCGCCGGTTGGTTGCGCTATGCGACCTTAAGGACGAACAATTGCATCTTGTCTCCAAGTATTCCTCCAAAAGCCGCCCTGACACTTCTTCGTCCAATGAAGAAGAACAAATGCTACAGCAGTTGAGCTCATCAAATGGCGGCTCTCTTCGTGTCAGCTCCACCAACCTGTACCTCCTCAATAAAACGTCGCCGACCGATCAAGATAACGCTAACTCTCACAGATGCCCAGGAAGTGGCTGCAGTCATGCATCTCACCCACACTTGCACGAGAAGCCCGTTAGTACCAGCTTGAGCGACCCTCAAAGCATCTCTTTCGAGCAAAATGAAGCACCTGGTCTACCAGCCGTTAAAGCGCTTAGTTCCATGGGCAACCATGAGTATTCCACACAACTAGCATATCTTGTGGCATTATCAGTACCGCGCTCCACAGAAGAAATTCTGTTCATTCCCCAACTCTTGGCTCGTTTGGGTCAAGTTCACGGACTTACGTCTAAGCAATGTATCTACACGGCTTCACTTCTAGCTTCTTTGAAAGAAACTTCGCAGGCAGCTGTTGCTCTTTCTGACGTTTTGAATCAACTCAAGAATAAAAGTCTTTGGGAATTTGATGAACCAATGGATTTCTTCAAAACAACATGCAAATTCGACCTAACTTCAAGCAATAACTCTGAACTATTGTCAATACAAGAAATTGAGGATCTTATCTCGGTGTTTTTTGTCGAATGCCACGTTTTAATTCCTGTGCTAAATGAAAGCGAGTTCTACAACTACTACAACAAATTTAAAGACAGTCTCACCACAGACAAGGACTTTTTCGGTGCATCTAGCTCATCTTTTGCTCATCGTAGCAAATCAATCTCCTACAAGATTTTCGCATGCATTTTGATGGTGGTGTGTCAATTTGGTATAATGATAAAGGTCAAGAGAGAGCAATTAGCCCCAAGCAACAAGTTTTGCCACATAATGAATTACTACAATAACGCTATCCCAGCACTGAAATCGAATCCTTACTTTTCCGTCAAGACAACCTCGATCAAGACTTTACAAATGATGTCCTTGCTATTATTTTATTTCTTGAACATTGGAGATGTGTCGTCAGTTTATGACATTAGAGGCAAAATCGTTTCAATGGCACAACAGTTGAGACTACACCGTTGTCCTAGTGCGGTTTTAGGTACAGAGGGCTCTACAATGAGCAAAAACGAACAAGGCGATCGTCGTATTTTATTCTGGGGCATATACTATTTGGATGTCTTTTCTGCTTTACAACTAGGTGTACCTCGCTTACTAAAAGATCACGAAATAGAGTGTGCGCTTCCAGTGAGTGAGGAAGGTCATCTGGGAGTTAGTTTAGCTGATCAGGTTATTAGGCTTGAAGGTCAAGTCTCAGAATTCTCCCTGTCGCTATTGAGGTTTTCCAAGATCTTAGGAAATATCCTTGATTCTATCTTTAAACGTGGAATGAATGCTACTGCCGCTCAACAAGTTGCTTTGATACACGAAAATGCCCTTGATGATTGGAGACGAGGACTACCGAGAGCGTTGAAGTTTCAGTTAGATGTCAATGGAACGGTCAATATGGACGACCTCAGCCAAACGAATCAGTGGAGCCAGGAGTTCAACAAAGGAGATAAGAAGACACTCATGGTATTGTACTTCATGGTCAAATGTTTGGTCCACCTGCCGGTTTTGGCGGCCAAACCGTTGTTGGCTGGCCCAGAAGGTGAATTAAATACAGATACGACGTTGGCACCGGAGGTCACGTTGGCTGCAGAGGAACCTAATGGTGCAACTGATCGTTCATCGTCATACATTATTTTGCAACAAGCAACAAATGCCTTCCTGACTGTGCAATTATCTCTGAAGAATCGTTATTTGCCATTGGCGATCAACATGTCAAGAATTATGGCTCAGTACGTACTCCTGAGTGCTCGTGGCACTTTAGACTATACTAAAGGCGGGACGCTCTTTCAAGACAATAAGACTTTGTTGCTAGATGCGATAAAAGAACTGGAAACTACAAAAAGACTGGAGATCCCTGGATCATTATCGTGGCACAGCTTGATCTTGTTGGATATGGCAGTGACAGTAATATTACAGCCAGCACAAACACAGCCTGAGAAACTGGATAAATTGTTGGAAAAGAGATTAACTTATTACAATAAGTTGATGGGTCGCTCTGCCGGAGGTTCAAGATACAAGAGAAAGATTGAAGATCAAAACTCTGGAAGCACGTTGAAGCTGACACCCGTGAGCTCTGAATGCGAATCGCCTTCGGATAAAAGAATAAAAGTGGAGCCTACCAGTAACTACTACGAGAACAGGGACAATATAGGAGATAACTATGACGAACGTCAAGGCGAAACTTCTTACGGTGGTGCCAATAATAATAATAACCCTCATAACGCCATTGCAGAGGCATTTCACTTGGATCCTGTACTTAACAGCAACCCTTTCAGCAACGCAGACTTGACGGCGTTCCTCAATGCCGATGGCCCGATACAGAACTTAGGTAGCGGAGCCTCCATTTTGAATCTAGCTGGAATTGAAAATGGCGGCTTGGAAGTGCCAAACAATAACAGCAACGGGCCGGGGTCACGCAATCAAATGCAAGCGGCGTCTTTCAATGATGGATTGTTCCGAGTGCCCAGTAACGGCGATTTCTTGAAGGACTATTACCGTGTACCCGGTGCCTCGTCGTCCCAGCTCAATTTGATGCTTTTTGGAGCCAGCTCTGGGGGGAGAAACCTAAACAATGTCAGCGATAAACAAGGCCCCAACAACTTCAACAGCAACGCCGCTCAAGACAACATCAACAACAACAACAACAACAACAACAGTAATACCACGATGCCAATTTCTGCCAACATGAATTCAACATCTGTGATGACCCAGGGCTCGGGATTTACGGTTGATGCGTCTCTAGGTCTGGCTCCATTATTGGCTTGGCCCCAGCCCGGAGTTCAAGATCATCACTCAATACGACATTCTTCATTTCCTGCGCCCTCGGCGCTGGCAAAGTCCGAAACCCCTACTAGAAGTCTTGCTCCCACGACTCATTCTACCAGCTCGCGGCCGCTCCAGAATGCTTGCCCAAATGAGACTCCCGACGATTCAGCTATCACGATGCCCTCCAGGCCCCACCGTGGGCCCAGACGTCGCTGGAACTCATCTTCAACAACCCCGCAGCGACCAGGGCCTGAACAAGAGAATGTCGAGGGCAACAGCGACAACCTACACGAGTTGTTTCAGTGGCAGAATTCCGGCTACTAATAAAAATTATGTCACCTTTTAACTCAGTAATAGAATACGCTTTTCAAAGAACGTCTCACAGGTTCCGTCTCACAGAACTTGCTGTTCATCAAACAAAAATGTATTCGCACTTGTTCAATCATCGGCTCAGTTTCTCGCGGCAACAGAGCTAACACACGGTTCTTCGTTCAAAGTGCCTAATTTGTTCAGTGCGCGCACTCAATCTAGTAAAAACCACGAAACAGTGCTAAAATTACAATTTTCTTCTACACAGGGACAACTTCTACAAGATTCTCCCTCAGTGTTATACCTTGAATCTCAAGTTCATTGTAAAGCGCTCCAATACTCCAGCAATAGCCAATTACTAGCTTAAGGATTGGAAAAAGCAGTTTTTGGGGTCAAAATTCATCCGCGGCCGGAGTTGAGTTTGTACTACAATTGGGACAGGTTTTTGATTGATCAGCCAGCTTCTCTATATTAGACATTTAGAACTTGCACTAGTGCGACACGGTGTATTTAAGGACAAAATTAGGACGCAGAGTTTCACTACCAAAAATAGCTCTTTCACCAGCTTGGACTTATAAAGCGGCAGAGTTGAGCAAGCGCAGGATCTAAAACATCGGTAACCGAGGTCATCTCTCGAGACCCAGAGGAGAAACAGCAAAACCAGTGCTCTCAGCATCATTCACAGTGCTGTAACAAGCATCGCACCATGAGCTCGACCTCTACTTCAGCTCCAGTTGGCGCGTCCACATCTTTGCCTGGTGTGCAGAATGGCCAGAAACACGGATCACCTCGAACGGGTAATGGTCACGTGCAGAACATCGTCAGAAGCAATAGACAGCATTCTCAGGGACCCACTCCTATACATCAAAGCCATCATCAAGGATATCAACAGCCACCCCAGACGCCGTTTGATCTTTCCTATGGTGCATCCTTGCTTCCGTCGCATTTACTGATGACCTCTCCGTTCATAACGACACCAAACTCTAGTGTACCTCAACGCATTCATGGACATTATGGATACCACGGCCATCATGGACACCATCAGCAACCGCACGGGCCGTACGGCTCATTTGCAAGTCCTTATGGCTCGTCGCTGCCTCTACGGATGCCTCCTGTAAATGAAAAACGCAGATTTCGCAATAGTAATAGCTATCGGCGTGACGACGGTGTACGTCAAATTGCATACGAGATTGTGTTTCGAATTTTGCCTCGTACTGTTACTGATGATGAGTCTCGCACTCGATCACTACTGTTTTCAAATTTGTCCCAAGAGCTGCATTTGCACGAGTTCCTAGGGAAATTCGACAGATGTGATAGGATTGAGAGTGTCTATCGTGTAGATGTTGAGCAGCAGTCTATCTTGGTAAGTTTTCTGACCCAAGAAACGTGTTTGGACTTTTACAATGGAGTTTTACAAAAACTCTCGGAATTCAAGAAAGAATTGAAATCCCCAGAGCTCACGCTGAATTTTGTGCATTTGGAAGACATCAACTCAGGGCCAGCTTCACAAGACGTAAAAACCGAGGTTCTGCGCATGGGCGCCTCGAGATCCGTGGCTCTGGAATTTAGCTCAGAGATCAGCTCGCAAGTACTCTTTGAAATGTTTCCATTTTTCAACAACACTGGCCCTCGCTATGTTGTTGAATGCATCGAATTTGTTAATACGGATCGAATCTCAAAGAATTTTGGCTCTCACTATGCCGTCGTCCACTTCATTAGCATCGCGATGGCCATCGAGACCATGGAGTACCTGAGAGCTCACCACCAAACCCTCCCGGATTTGCAAAAATTTTACTACGTTAATATCACTTCTACTTCTGGTAAGTCAGACGTCCGCATGCTGTCCAGTTTTCAAACTACCAAAGACATAACCCCACAGACATCCAATCCTCCGTTGGCAGTCACAGACGAAATTAAGTCTCTTGGTTCTAAGCTTCAACAAGCTACTTTGCAAGCACAAACCATAACAATCGGACCAGAAAAATACGGCTCGCCTACACTGGAGAGTTATGACGAACATTTACCTCATATAACTGCATCCAAGCCCCTCGGCATGAATTCTTCCATGAATGGCTCTTCGGCAAGTCTTACGTCTCCATCCCCACAAGAGGTAATGATCAATGATTTTGAGGATTCTTCCTCGCGCAGCAGTGCAGTTTCGCTAGGTCCACCGGGTACTCCAGGACCAGGCTTTAATCTACCAGGTTATCCGTACTACATGGATATGTCAAATCCTTTGGGACATACTTTGCAGCAACAATTTAATACAGCTGCACAAGTCGCAACAACTATGGGCGGTGGCTTGGGCAACAGGACAGTTTACATTGGCAATATTAATCAGCGGTCCAAGGCAGAAGATATCTGTAACGTAGTTCGTGGTGGGTTGCTTCAAAGTGTGAAATTTATTGCACCAAAACAAATTTGTTTTGTAACATTTATTGAAGCTGCTGCTGCAGTTCAGTTTTTTGCCAACTCTTCTATTGAGCCGATTGTTTTACATGGTAACGTACTGAAAGTTGGCTGGGGACACCACTCGGGTGATCTGCCTCAATCAATTTCTTTGGCTGTCACCATTGGTGCCAGTAGAAACGTCTATGTTAGTTTGCCTGAGCACGCTTTTAAGGACAAATTCGTCAACGACCCGGAATTTGAAAGTCTCCAAGAGAAGTACAAGCTACCAAATAAAGAAGCCTTGTTAAAAGATTTCAGAACTTATGGCGACATTGAACAAATCAATTTTCTCCAGGATGGTCATTGTTGCTGGATCAATTTTATGAATATTTCCAATGCAATCAAACTTGTGGAAGATGCCAATAACAATAGGAATGGCGAGGTTTTTCACGAAAATTTCGAAAATAGGTACCGAGGGCTAATAATAGGCTACGGTAAAGACCGTTGTGGCAATGTGAACAAGAATTTAGTTGCAAACAAAAACTCAAAGCACTATAAAAAGGTGAAAAAGACGAGTTACAAAATTAGAATGCATCAACAACAGAACAATGACGTCGATGACTCTGATGCAAATGGCACCCGTACAGATCCTGGGAAGACGATACAAGCAGGCGCATTTGGTATAAGTGTTGGAAGCAAACTTCCTGTCAGAGATTTAGATGAAGAGGAAAAACTAGAAGAAACGGAGCTTCTGCGATTGAGCCACCGCGTCAATAATGCAGATGGAGGTTTGGGTATTTCCCTACCTGAAGGTGAAGCAAATCCAAAAGGTAAAGATGACGACTGTGCGTCAACCGATTCTTCGGAGGTTGACATCATTGTGTCTGATCCAAACTCTGCAAATCATTCACAACTAGAGGATAGTGACGAGCAACGCAAGAAGAAACTTGAAGAAAAGAAGAGCAAAGGAAAGGCTAAGGCTGTTGATACTCTTTATGCTTTTAATGGGTTTTCGCCAATGGTTTCGAGCACATCGCTGGACGCTGTACCACCTTTGGCACCCTCGACTGTCATCCGCCACTTCCATGCTGCTGCAAAGAATGGGAGAAAGAACGAAGCTTCCAGTAGAGACCAGTCGAGTGATGGAAAATCCAGAAGTTCGCAGTCGCAAAATCCGTCGAGACGCCGCAAGTCTAAAGCAATTCCCGGTTCTGATGTGATGGCTCAGTATTTGGCGCAATTGCAACACTCCACATTTATGTACGCTGCTAATATTCTGGGTGTGGATGACGGAGATGCGCCAGTATACTATGACGAGAACGGCGTAGCTGAACCTCTCACCTAAACATGCAGTCCCCATATAATGAATTCACCGGAACCACAACCTACACACAACTTCCAAGTATCATTTAATATTTTAAGATTTCTTTAGTTGCTTAAGCTTTGTTGCATAGCTCTTTTCATTGTTCTAACAATCAGAACCCTGGAGTTTGGATTAAAGTGAGAAGCGGAGTAACATTACAAGTTTATCAATAACATGGCACACTTGGAACAATAATAACGAATACTGTAGAGCGGTTTACATTCAGATATATTACTTTTAGCCAAGAGTTTCTTTGTATATCACAAGAGACTAATAAATTCTTTAGGAGAGAGCTTAGTCCCAATCTTTTGCAAGTACGCTTTAGTAAATAGAGCAGCTTATATCTCGACTAAAATGTAGCCTTGAATTTTCGGACTAAGGCTTCGATCTAAACCTTTGAACCTTACATCCAAAATCTCGTTATACAAGACAACAGCGCTGCTTAGTTCCAAAAATTTGAAAAATGTTTCGCTTGATTCGAGCTTCGCACACTTGCTAGACGGGAAGCATTCTTTCCGATGTTCCTTATTCCAGAAGCTGATATATTTCTATCCATGACTCATTTACTTTCATGAATTTTTTAGTTATTAGTTTTCGATAACAAACTACGCCGGGAGGAAAATCAGATCTGATAGTTGGCCCAGAATCGTGGAACATGGGTCAGTAAAGATTGTGCAGCTCGTCAGAATATATAAGTGAACTCAGATACTGTGCTTTCGCTAGTGTTTTAAATATATTGAAGTCAAGCATGGAGCAAAATAAAACCAGTAAGGCCGATGAGATCGGACTTGCAGAAAATTGCCAAGTAGATCCCAATGTCACTACGATATGGAATCCGAACTTACAAAATCAGCTATACTTTGGTAGGCGTCTCAAAGAATACATATTTGTGGGTTTTTGCATGCTATCACAATTACTGAACCAGGCAGCGATGACGCAAGCCAATCCGTTGTTCAACGTAATATCTGAGGATATGGAATCTAACGTTTCTCAGCAAGCATGGCTCATGGCTTCTTTTCCACTGGCCTCTGGTTCTTTTATTTTAATCAGCGGCAAATTTGGCGATGTTTACGGCCTCAAGAAAACTTTGCTTGTGGGCTATGTCATTGTTATCATATGGTCCCTAATCTGCGGATTGAGCTCCTATGCCCATAACGTCGATTTTTTTATAGTTGCACGCTCTTTACAAGGCCTCGGTATTGCCTTTATTTTGCCCAACGTAATGGGTATCGTTGGCAGCGTTTATGTGCCCAACACGAAGGCTAAGAACATGGTGTTTAGTCTAATAGGTTCTTGCGCACCCATTGGAGCTACACTGGGGTGTGTATTTTCGGGGCTGATTGGGGCCAAATCTGCAGTTTGGGCCTGGGCATTTTACGCATATGCCCTTACAGCTGCCTTTAACTTCTGCGTGGCCATTTGGATTATACCCAATAATATTCCAATCAATGTTAATAAGTCCAAAATGGACTGGTTGGGTTCGATGATGGGTGTGGTCGGTTTAATCATGTTAAACTTTGTATGGAACCAGGCGCCCATTGATGGCTGGAACAAGGCCTACATAATTGTTCTGCTGGTAATTTCTCTGTTAATTCTCACGGCGTTTTTCATCTACGAGGCCAAATATGCTAAGGACCCATTATTGCCACGCGTTGCGATGCAAAATCGCCGGTTACTGATGATTTTAGCATCTCTATTCTTCGGGTGGGGTTCATTTGGTATTTGGACATTCTACTACATGTCCTTCATCTTGAATCTCAGACATTACTCGCCTCTGTGGGCTGGTAGCACTTACTTTATGTTTGCCATATGGGGTATTGTGGCATCGCTGCTGGTCGGTTATACCATACACAAAACGGGACCTGCGGTCATCTTGTTTGCTTCTATGATTGCTTTCAATTGTGGATGTATTATGCTGGCTGTGACGCCTGTTCATCAAACTTATTTTCGGATGACTTTGGGCATCATGGTTATACTTAGCTTTGGAATGGACTTATCGTTTCCGGCGGCTTCTATCATCCTGAGCGATGTCTTGCCTAGCCAATACCAAGGTATGGCCGGTTCTTTAGTGAGTACCATGGTCAGCTACTCTAGCTCGATATGTTTGGGCATGGGAAGCACCGCAGAACGCTACATTAACAAGGACGGAACAGAATTGCTAAAGGGCTATAGGGCAGCTTTATATGTTGGGATTGGTTTGGCGTCTGTTGCAGTATTCATTAGTGGCTGGTACTTGATTGAAGAGCGGTGGCGAAGTCGTATTCAAAGACTGACAGATGATTCAAAGAGCATATCACAACTGGAGTAACGATCAACGCACTTCTTTACTTCGTTATTAGATTATTATAATATACAACTTAATCCAATTTTAATAGAGTTATTGCAACACAATCCTTTGCCTAAGAAAGGGACCTGTATTCGAAAACCAAATTAAGGTGAACCTTTTTGGGCCCTTTTGCTTCCTCTTTCTTTTTCTGCAATTAGCTTCAAATCATCATCGCTAGGTTCGTAGATATGCCATAGTGTATAGTTTGGTAAACCGGCTACTTTATACCCCATTTTCTTGGCCATTTTACCAAATGCTTCAGTTTCCGCATGATTTTCAAAGGTAAAGGCAGGGAAATGAACACCATTTCTGAACAGTTGTGCTTTTGCCAAAATCGATACACCGCCAACACCATCGAGCTCTAAAACATCCTTAGGGTTTCCATCCGCATCTCTAATGTAAGCCAAATGAATTCTATAAGTCGGGTATTCAGCGTACCCTTCTACAATAACATCGTCTTCGTCTAAGCTTTTAGCTAGTCTCAACGCGTCAGGCGATTCTGGCCAAGAGTTTAAATCGTAAGCTTGCTCGCCGTCTAAAAACTCAGGCAGTGGTCGCCATACGTTAGGAACCGCTACATCGTATCCGACAGACATCAAGTCCTGAATTACCGACCCTGGGCATAACTCTACATCAGCGTCCCTCCAGTAGACCCACGAGTGATAAGGCTTCAAAGCATTAGCGGTGAGCCAATTTCGGGCACGTCCCATTAGTTTTCTTCTGATACCTTGAACCTTTACGGCATGTCTATCCGAAAAACCTTGACCTATGACTTGACCAAAATCTTTTTGGAATATTTGAATTGATCTGAATGGCTTATCGTAGCCCTTGTGGAAAGGTGCACTGTATGCTTTCTCTACCATTTTCAAATACGAGGGCCGCATATATTTCAGAAATAGGTCCCTGGTGCCTTCTTCTTGTAAGATTGCTTCATCGCTATCGTTTTCGGCAAAAAGTTCAGATAAAGTCCCACGTTGCATTTCTTTGGAATACTCAATCAAAGCTTTTAATGTGTTGTCATCATCGGAACAGTCGCTCACCAGAAAAGCAAGATCTATCAGTTCATGTGGATAAGTCAAATTCATAAGATTTTTGAACATTAGCGGCAAGACACGTTCGGCATTACGAAGTGGGACCAACAAAAGAACGTGCTCTCTTTTTCCGACGCCGTCTGAGGATCCTTTAAAATCACTGAGGTCGTAGTGTTGCACAGTGGATCCATACAATGTTTGTACTTCAGCGTCATAAAGTTCTTTGTCTGCAGGTGTAAGGGCTTCTTCTCCGCCCTTGCTAATTAAATAGTGTTCGGCACCATTATCGTACTTCTTTAAGGCATCTATGTCAGCCTCTAGAAAGTCGTAGTCGTAGTATTCTGGGTCTTGCAGTTCCATGGTCGAAACTTGACCACTTGAAAAAGTCCCATTATGCCATGTAAAGATCAGCCCAACGGCAACCAGTAAAAGGATCAGTTTTCGGCTATGATTTTCACAAAACAAGCTTAGTTTCGTCCAAGTCCGTGAGTCATTGTTGCGTTTCGGGCTCAATTTCGACTTGTTCTTAGAACTGTTTGTCACGGCGTTAGCATAAATTGACAGAATCCCACAATGAAATGGTAGCTCTGAAGAATCAGAGCTCCTAACCTCGGGCCTGTTCAGAAGATTGCCGGTCTTATAAGTTTCCACGAGGAAGGTACCAAATAAATACAAAAACTCGAACATTCAAACATACATTGGCAGCTCCAGCTGACTCTTTTTTTTCCCAAACAGTATAGCCATCTCCTCCCACTTCGATGTGCACACTGAAATCTCAATTTAATCGCTAGCAAAGACTATCTGTTGGGAGCTTAACACTTGATTAAGTTGATTCTCTTTGTTCGTTAATTCCGAGCTTTTGGGAAACGTAATTAAAAACCTGCACAGAACTCATTATACACGAAATTGTGTATAAAATACTTATGTTGTCATCACTTGCTATTGAGGCAGCTCTCGACTTGAAAAACGGCTAGATGTTCTTCAGTTTTCAAAGAAGACAACCTCGCATCGAATGTTCACAGATATCTTTAATTGAGCTTGGCATAAACTTCTTTAATTTTACGACTAGGGCTGATTCCCTGTTTTCAGAGTGACTTCCGGCAGAAAGCGCCAATGTTGTGTATATTGTAAAGCATAATGCGCAATGGCTTTTTTTTATTGCTCAATATGACGTATAGCTAGATTTGGTTATATCCATGCAGTAATTTACATTGTGACATGTCGTGTACCTTGTATTTCAGAGAAGGTTAGCATCACTTGGAGTTTTTCTTCACTTTCCTTGTACACTTGCTTTACACCGGCCCTCGACAGCAGTGTATATATGCTTACTACTCTGGTGACCGGTTAGTTGCTCGACCGTTTGCCTTTTATCCCGTCGTCAGCAATCATCGCACATTTCTGCTCCTATATATGCTTTTCGTTTCGTACCTTAAATTTGTCTATCTATCTACTAGTGCCAGTTATTTGTGAAAATCAACAACCATCACAGCGATCTACAGCTTCTCTAATGGCCTGGATATCCTTTGGCGAAGTCCTGCAACAACCGCCAATAATTCTAGCTCCACTATTGATGTACCGCTCAACAATGTCGTCCCAAGCCAACATCTGAGATTCTTTGGGGTTCCAAATCTTTTTAACAGTGTCGTACACCTCTCCGCTGTTTGGGTAAGCAATCAATGGAAATCCTGGCATTTCTTTGTGCAAGCTTTCCAAAATATCATGCGAGTGGTTGTAACTCACACAGTTGATTCCCAATAGAGTGAAATTTGGATTCATCTTAGGCCCCAGGGATTTGATAAACTCCGCAATCTCATGCATAGTCGTGCCATCTCTTAGAACCCCATGCTCGTGGACAGAAAGTCCGATGAAAAACGGTTTGCTAATTATCGAGGTATCCCACGACAAAATAGCTTTCAATTCGTGGAAATTAGGAACTGTTTCAAATCCAATTATATCCAGGTCTTGATTTTCATTGAAGTTCATCAATTGAGGCTTAAAGTATTCCAAAAAATCGATTTTTTCTGGTGTTGCGCCGTAATCGCCAGTAAATTCAGAACAATTGTGGGCTCCCCATGCACCAATGCACCCAACGAGCCATTTGTCATCGCCAATGCACTCCCTGGAGAAAGAAACGATCTTTGTAAGCAAATCATTGTACTCGGACAGAGTTTGAATGCGCGTGTTTTCGGAAACTGACTTAAAACTGGCTTGATATGTTATTGTCATCAAGACCTGCGCACCGCTCCTCAGAAAGTCGCTATACATCGATTTCACAATTTCGCGGTCTTTAGACGCAGGGTCCAACCAAAACGATTCGTTTATGAACGGAACCGTGGACCATACCGGATTGGCTACCTTAATGCCTCTGTTTTCCAGTTCCGTTCCTTGACCACCGTCCAAGACTAGAACGCCACGAGGATTGTTCGTTAGATACTCTTTGATAGATTGGCGTGCCATTGTTTCGTTTTAAGGCTATTAGTAATTGAATTATACCCAGTTCAAAAGCCACTGTAGAAGAAGTAATTTAAGATCAGAAATTTGTTCGAAACGCTTGACTATCCTAACATTTATAATGCTCAAGGTATGGAATCCAGCTATGACACACTATGCATGAAATAGATATTTAGAATTTTCGATGATTTTTTTTCCAGTTTTTTTTTCTTTCAATTGCCATATTTTTTCACTGCGTACGCTCTTCAAATAATCTTCAGCTTGGGGGAACGAGACCAAGATGTGTAAATGGAGCTCTAGAAGTTGGTAGTTAACCCTGTTTCTTCAGGTTTGAACCACTGAGATTTGAGCGAGTTCCAGGTTTCTTTAGCAAGGGATTTTGCTCTTTCTTCCGTCGTAGAGATGGCTTCGATGTAAACTTTCAATTTAGGCTCTGTTCCGGAACCTCTTGTAGTGAACCTGACCAAATCAGAAGAATTCCTGTTTGAACGCAGCGTTGCCGTGATCATTTGTGAGTTGGGGTCTACTGGGAGCTTAGGAACGTGGTCTGGAGTGTCAGATTGAAAACCCGTAGTTAAATCTGTGAACGACTCAAACGTTAAATCTTGACCTAGCTGGGCTGGGAATTGACGTAGCTCAAGTAGATAGCTATTCCGAATTGCACTGAAAACTGTGTTTGTAAGTGCCAGATCAGGAACGGTGTAGTATCCGTTGTACTCTTGAAATACCCCGTATCTGTCAAAGCCACGCCGTAAAACGTCTAGGGCAGAAAGTCCTTGCTCTTTCCAATTCCATAACATCTGCAAAAACACGATTGCAGCGCTAATGCCATCCTTGTCGTGAACAATGTCGGAGAACATGAATCCGATGGCCTCTTCATATGCGAAAGGGACATAATAGCCTAATTTTTCAAGGTCTCGAGCCCTGTTGCCCAGCCATTTGAAACCGGTCAACGTGTCCTCGTAGTGAAAACCTTCTATTTCGGCCATTTTCTTGATCATTTGAGAGGAAACTGTAGAGTTGATTAAAGCAAGTGGATTGTTATCTTTGAATTCCTCACTTTTCTTGCCATAAGCATCCCACGCGTGTTGAGCGAACAAGAATCCAATTTCGTTACCGGTCAATTGCTTCCATTGCCCTTGATATTTGACCGCCGCTGAAAAGCGGTCAGCATCAGGGTCGTTACCAAGAACAAGTGATATGTTTCGTGAGTCAGCTAAAGCAATTGCCAGGTCTAAGGCACCCTTCTCCTCTGGATTAGGAAAATTCACAGTGGGAAAAGCAGGATCAGGAAACTTTTGCTCCGGCACGCAAAAGTAGTCCACACTCTCTTCTAATCCCCACACATCCTTGATCTGCTCGCCAAAAAACTCGAAACCGACGCCGTGCATTGGCGTGTACACAAACCATGGTTCTTGTTTTCCGCTCGGAATGTCCGTTGAGATCAAGTTCTTACCTATGGCTTGCATGTACTGCTTCGCCAATGTCTTCTTAGCGTCAACAAGCGTTCCTTTCGCTGCCGCCTCCGCAATCGCAGCTTCACAATTCCAGGCGTCAGCCCAAGGTTCGAGGTTCAATTCAATCGACTCTGCAATCAGCTTATCATGAGGAGGGATAATCTGGCACCCATTGGCGTAGTATACTTTGTAACCGTTGTCTAGTTTGGGATTGTGACTCGCAGTGACCATGATTCCGGCCGAAGCGTTCAACTGATCAATTGCAAAAGGAACCATAGGGGTATGCACAAAAACATCGTTACGGTCGTTGACCGTTGAGCATAGATCGTAAACTTTAAACCCGAGCTGCAAGAATGCCACGATGGTCACTTTCGCGAAGTCTCGAGAGTTGTACCGGTGGTCGTGGCCCACAACCACAGACTTATTAACGGGAAACTTCTTGGCCACGTATTGGGCCAGTCCCTGCGATGCCTGTAAAACAGTCAGAGTATTCATACGACTGAAACCTGCTTCCATCTTGGAACGCAACCCTGCAGTGCCGAACGCTATTCTAGTGTCCAATCGCTTGTGCAGTTCGTTCCAGTTCTTGGAGCGAACCAAATCGATAATCTCTATCCTAGTAGACTCATTTTTGTCGTACTTCAACCACGTTTCAACCCCGGGCTTTAGGTCTGATGGAACATCAACAGTGTCGAAGCACATCATGGTAAATGTCTGATATGATCTTCACGGTTTCCTCCGTGCTTTATATACGTTTATCTGACTTGGATATTAATAAAATTACGCTTTCACCTTAGCATGTGAATATTCCTGTGCCGCCACACTTACAATTTCTTGTCGGATAGCTTAGCGCATAAGTCCGATCGAGTACACTATTATTTGGTGGGAGTACTTCAAAGCAGATTGATTAACTGTTCCTAACTATGCCTACTTAAATAATGACTATTACAAGAATCCTTGTTGGTGCTCATGCCTTTCACAAATATCAGCCTTCCAACTCTAGCAACAATTCGGCCTCTAGATCATCATCGTCTTCGGTGTCTCGGTCTTGAGAAGGTACGTCGTCCGCAGTTTCGGTGGCTGGGTGTTGACGTTTGTTAGAGTTGTCGTCTTCAGATGATAAGGATCTTTTTCTATCCATCGACTCGGTTTCGAGTGAGGCCTCTCTTGAGTATTGGGGTACGTTCGTCGACGTGACGTCTTCTGCCTTGCGTTCTTCGCCTTTGTCTTCGTCTTCCTCGTCCCCGTTATCCTCATTCTCGTCGTCGTCATCATTTTCATTCAAGAACTCGTCCATTTCATCGTCGTCGTTATCAAGCCAGATATCGTTACCAGCCAAAAGTGTAACTTCGTCGCTCGTGGCCTGCTTCTCGCGCTCACTAATAGCTTTTTCTGCCAATCTCTTCTGTTCTAGTTTTCCTTTGAATTCTTCCAACTCTTCCTGTGTGACCTCCTGCTCCGTAATTAGTTCGTACGCTTGCTCATTAACTCGTTCCCATTTCACTAAACACTCGAAAATCCAATCTGGATGAACAACTTTAATATTTGGATTATAAGCTTTTGCAAGGCGTGCCTTAAATGTACCTGGTGTTTTGGTTACAATATGGGTGGTATGTTCGTTTACGTCCCCGGAAGTCACCGCTCCAAACATGCTAGTCCATAATGCGATATCAGCTTGTCGTACGTTGGTTCCCAACGGGATTAAACCAGAAAACACGAAGTAGCACCCTTTAAGTACCTTCGCTTTCATCGCGGGCATTAACGTTTTAATGTCCGGCGCCTCATCTCCCGCAGCTAGTTTTTCGTAGTATGCTGTATGAACCTTCAGTAATATGTCAGAGAGATGTGGAAGTTCGTCGTCATCGTCAATCAACAGCTTTTGATTGTGCATGTGCTTCTGTAACTCCGCCAGCGGTCTATTCTGTTGTTGAACTTCAAGAGACGCATTGTGTTCCAACTTCTTTGCCAAATCTTCTTTTGAAATTGGCCTCTCCGGTTGATGCTCTTCAGTGATCTTATTGAATTTCTCCTCTTGCTTTTTAACCTCTTGGTCTATCTTTTCCTGCAGCTTTTTCTCCGTGTCCATAATATCCGTCAGAAGTTCTTCTTCTTCCGCCTTTTTACGATGTCTTCTACCCATGTGAAGCATCGAATTCTGTTGTCTCGGCAGAAAGTTAGAGTTGATGTCGCCTACACCGACGAAAAAATCGTACGGTACTACTTTGATCAAATTTGGGCACCAGCTCCAGACATCTCCCCTGTCATCAATAATAACAACCATAGACTGGTCCATTGGAAAGAGCCTCTCGAGCGACTTGTGTGTCAACGAACCATTTTCGTCTCGCGAGAGGATACGGTCACCGAAAAGTTCACCTGTTGGATCGATAATTTTGGCAATTTCTAGTGCGTAAGCTCTTGTAGCCATTGTGTAAATATGAAGCTCGAAACGTGGAGCCACTTTTTCAAAAAACTCTTGCAGTCCAGGCCGTAGTTTAACATAATATTGACACTTACGTGCTGGAGGTCTTGGGCCCATGTAAAATGGCGGAAGTATAGGATCTTCATCGAGTGAAAATGACTTGACATTTTTAAGAGCGTCGTAGTTTGGATTCGAAGGGTCGTTGGCCCATTCTTTGATAGTTGGGTCCACGCCACAGTGTATTACTGTTTGGTCGAGATCGACGACTAGGACAAGTTTTTTTAGTTCTCGAAGCTGTTTTTGGGCTGTCTTCTCAATCGATGCCGCCTGTCTTTCTGAGACTTTAATGTTGGTGTTGTTGTGTGCCATCGTTAGTTTGCTGTTCGAAAATCCGTTGTGAGGCATGTCCTGGTCATCTTCGTCTACCGCCTTTCCACATACGACGCACAGAGCACCGTAAGTCACATCGTGTGAACAGGGCTGACATACTTCAGCTATCACGTCGTTGTCGTTGACAAACTCATCTCCCAAACTTACGTTCAGCGCCACTATTTGGCCTTCGATAGGCGAGTCGAACGTTCCAATCAGATCTACTCGGCGCTTTTTCTTACTCGCTTCTTCGTTAGGTGCGGTTATCACATCCTGGAGCTCCCAATATTTGTAAACAAACAGCCTTTGGTCCTTTTTGACTGAATCTCCAGTGGAAACGCATAATTTGGCGATGGTAACGGGAAATGGTAGGTTAGAAGGGAGTCTAATAGGCGTCGTCATGGCCTAGAAAGCTCTACTTCTCTACTCGTTGACCCTTTAAGATGTTCTTGATGGAAAACTTTGTATATTTTTCGCTAGAAAAAAGTTTAATGTCCTCTTAGTCAAAATCATGAAAACGCCAAAACCTAACTTCAAATTTACAGAGGAAGGCAATTGGTAAATGTGGAGCGCTAACGATTCGGTTTTTCAAGCTACCATTGCTCTCCCACTTGGCTTTCAAGTCCATCTTGCGAAAATGGCTCATTCTCTTCTATTACCTTTTAGTTATCATGTTCTACGTTTCTGTCTTCATTGGGTTCAATTCTGGCTTTGCTGCTATCTTGCTGAACTGGACTTTCCCTCAAGTGGTTACTATTCCAAGGAACTTGGTCGCCCAGATCATTGATCTCTTCCTGATTTTGATAGTCCTCTGGGTCTTTGGGATGTTCCAATAGTGGTTCCCTTTCCTGCCTTTCGCTCGAGTTATTTTCCCACCTTGTAGAGCCACTTTCTTTTGGCTCTTCTATTGCATCAGCTACAACACCTGTGCTGTCCTGTGAAGAGTATTTGCCGGCTTGCTGTTCTAGTTGTACGGTCATATCATGAGTCTGTCTTTCCGTCTCAGCTTCGCTATCACTGCTTTCTAATCCACCAAAAAACGGATCTTCGTTCAAATTGCTTAAATCAAGTTCATCAAATTCCTTGGAATTTTTATTCAGTTCTTCACGTTCCTTACGCATCTGCTCTTCTCTAGCACGTCTGTTATCTTCAGCCATTGCGGTTTCTTGTTTTCTTCTGTCTATAAGTAATGGCACTGACCTCAAAAGGCCAACGTAGCTGCGATACAGTAGGGTCTTCACTTCTTTCTCTACCGTTTTGCAGTTTATACGCTCCTTCGCAAACGGGGAAAGCAGGTGTGTAGCTTTTATGAATGGCGCTTTTTGCATTTGTAGCTGGTGTCTTTCGTAGTCGCTGACCCTTCGTCTAGCAATTTCTACACGATTCCGTGCATATTCTTCCACGTTATAATTTTTCTGAGGTAAAGTCCTTAGCAAGTCATTCACCTCATTAACAGCAGATGGCCGTTTCTTCTTGGCAGGTTTGAATATCAGTTGTGTCTCCTGTAAACTTGCTTGGAAAACTTCGTCATTGTCAACAATATGTGATTTATTATCCTTACTGCTGAGTCGCGAAAGATGTATCAAGGCTTTTTCAGATAGATCGGATTCTTCTGCAAGCTTGCGTTTCATCTGCCTTTCATCGGTAATGGGTTTATTGTACAATGACGTGAATTTGTAGGTATGATCTGGCGGAAACTCAGGAAGCCATTTTGGCACATGCCTGACGTCTCTTACTGAAGGCGGTACTAGTTTCAGGATATCTTTGTCCTTGACGAAAAACTCGGGATGTGGCGCCTTCGAAAGCTCTTCTTGTGACAGCGGTGTGTTCTCAATATCCACAATTAAATCACTGTCCTCTTCAATTTTCTGTACTTTATTCAAACACTGGGATCGCACATATTGGGACCTCTCAAGCTCTTGCATCAGGTCCGCACAGGTTAAGTTATAGCCTTCGATCACCAGTAGAAGGTCTTTCTTGGATATGCAGTGTCGTCTCTGGATGTTGGCGACCTTGTGTAAATTAACCATCATACCGGAAAGTGTCTCTTCGACAAGTAAAACTAGGTTTTCGAAAGCAAACTGGGAAACCGTGACATTCTCATTGATTGATCTCAGTTGAATAGCTATAGCTTTCTCGAGGATTTTCTTCAGAGGATCTTCCAAAGAGCCCTTCGGTATTTCACTCAAATTAGGCAGCTTTTTGAGTTGAACACCACTTATGCTGTCCGAGAGCACTCGAGGAGAGCTTGGTTCCGTCTTCACCATTTGTTTACAATAATTAGACCGCTCGACGCTCCGATCTATACAGACCCTAAGATTGTTATTGATATTTTATATACAGAATTGTGTTGATTTTATCAAACTGCGTTGAAGGAAGATCACTGTGTACTAAATATGATGGCCTAGCGTTGGTCACGTCAATTACGTTCATTATAGATGGCAGAAGGTACCCAAATTAGACATCACCACTTAGCAAAGCATCTAACGCTCCTTGCACGGACCCACCGCTTCGTCTAAGCGCAGCAACGTTTCTGTCAAATTCAAAAAATCCCATGTCGTTCAGTTGTCTTAGTTGTTGTTCGTAACGCTCCTCGGGGGGTCTCGTGTCTTGCTGCGCTGGAGCAGCAGCACCACCTGCACCAGCACCTAGAAGTGACGAAAAGAAAGCTGGATCGAAATTAGGAGCAGCTCCACCGGCTCCACCTAACATGGATAAAAAGGGGTTAGTTGGTATGTTGGACCCCGTTGAGGACCCTGCGGCTGGTTGTGGTGGAAAACCGCCGAGCAACGATGCGAAGGGATTGGCAGACTGAGTTGTGGTGTCTGATTGAGTTTGCTGTTGAGCGGATGGGGTCTGGTCTGATGATTCTGGTCCCGAGGTCCCAGGAGCTGGGAAGGCGCTAGCATCCATGTTGCCTTCTCCACCTCCCATCATGCTTGAGAACTGCATGCTTTGTCTGATCATATCTGGATTCGTCATCATCTGTCTGAACATGGGACTCTGTAGTAGTTGTCTTGCCTGTGGGCCCATGCTTTGCAACTGCGGACTCTGCTGGATCAGAAAGTCAACCATTTGAGGGTTGCTCAGCATCTCATTCATTTGGGACTGCATTGTTGGGTTTTCAAGCATTCTGAGGACCTCGTCCGAGTTAGGAGCGCTTGTCATGCCTCCATCTGGACCAAACGAATCTGCGGAAGGCAAATTCAGATACCCAGCATAACGGGCGCTTGTGAGATCCGACAACGGGTTGAATCCGCCAGTTTGACCCGCTGAAAGGCTTGGTGGAGCCGCTGGAACTGCACCCGATTGTTGCTGCGAAGTTGCTTCGTTCGTGTTGCCCGTTGTGGCAGAGGCAGAAGCAGCGCCAGGACTTGATCCCTTTTTAGCACCACCAGACCTCACCAAGTGGATAGAATGGTCGTCCAGGATCTTGTAAGACTCGACAGTCTGGTCGTCCTTAAGAATTTTACCCGAATATATCAGCCTCTGGTTGTCTGCAGGAATCTCAGATTTCTCAGCAATGGCAGTTTTCAAATCGCCTACTGAGCTTGCAGGATCGATAGACACGTCCAACTTGTTTTGCCCAAACTTTACATGAATAGTGATGCTCATTTGAAATAGGTGATCGAGCCAATTAAGTTCACTTTTAGGAATTAGGAATTGGTCAACGAAACTGCTTAAATTATCATTTGTGATCTGGTGGCGAGGAGAGAGGAAATTACAATATTGAATATATGAGTTTACATCGTGTCTGGTGATGAAGATATAAAGAGGCCCTGTAAACGAGGACTACACCGTGTCTTGCGTATTCGACGGTGTCTTCTAAGCAGCAAATCTTGTTAGGGAGCACTTCTGAAGAGCCGGTTTAAATAAAGACATTGCAGCCATAATCCCACAAATGGTTGTTTAAAGCAAAGTGGAATAATAATCATTAGGTGGTTGAAAAGAGAACTTCGCACATTAATTTCGTTCGTCAGGCGTGCCGTTCTGTAAGAGATGTTTCAATACACTTGGCAAAATTATGGTGTTCGAACAAAGTGTTCCTTTGGTCGGGCACATTTGACAGGGGCTACCAGAACTCTTCAAAAATTATGTGAGCTTCTTGAAACAGTCGTTCTTCTTTCGAAGGCAGAAAGAACAATGCCACAAGACGCAGGTGCGTATACATGTACCCAAATTCCCACTGAACGTTTTATCCAAGCCAACTTCGTGCTATCGTCATCTTTTTATACATCTCTTTGCATCGTTCGGCTCCCAAAAGCGCACAAATTATTATCAGTAAGGCACTTGAGCCCTCGAGCGCTAGTTACAACTATTCCTGCCAGCAAGCCACTCTCTGATACTATTTTGTTGATGTCACTATCTACGTCTCTGTCGTTGCTCGCTTTCTGATTTGATTTTTTTTTTTAATAATAAGGCGCCTGGACATCATCACGGACATACTAGTCATAATCACCAAGTCGACAAACCCAGGAACCGAAGCTTAGTCTTCGAAAGCTCTAAACTGTTGGCAACTACGTTGGTTGTGTTATAAAGCCGTGTGCGCGTGGGATTGTGGCCAGTGACAGACATAAGGTATTCAAAAACTCTCATTTGTTGCTAGATCTAAGACCTCGGCATACCAATTAGCAGCATCCAAGAGCGAGATATACCAGCGATATTAAGCTACCGCTGTAAGTTAGACACCATTGAGAGCTTGGTCCAGAGTTTCCAACCTAATAGTTGATTCTCAGCGTTTCGCACGCGGACGGCTAGCAAGTTATCCACTTTTCGAAAAGCACGATATGGCCAAGACACTAGCCCAGGGAAGGAAACCAGGCTCCGGACGGAAACCGGGAAAAGGCAAGACCTTGGCCCAGGGCAGGAAACCTGGGTCAGGGAGAAAGCCTGGAAGTAAAGGTCACGTGGCGAAAAAGGACCCGCTGAGAGATTTGAACGCGGTGTTACAAGCACAAATCCAAACGGAGGCAGGGCAGGCTCCCGTGGCACCTGAGGGTCTGAGAATCACGGGCTCGGGCTCCAGCACGGGTTCCAGCACCAGCGTCAGTTCGTCGTTTGCAGCATCGCCCGTGAATCAGATCCAGAAACGCAACCAAGTAAACACAGGACTGCCCGTGCCAGGATCCAATATTTCCCTACGCAACGACGCCTTGCGCTCCTCCAATCTCGGTATGGGATCAAGGCCGGTAAATCCAGGAATGGACATCTCTTCCAATAACCAAATGAATCCAAAAAATAATTTTTCTGGCGCCCACAACCCGATCATTACGGGCTTATCCGCTAACAACAGTTTGAATAGTGTCGCGCATAATCACTCCGCACGCGTCCCATCAATGGAAATGTTCAATCGAACACACTCGCCGCCTGTGCTTCAACCTGCTGCTTCTGCTTTTCTTCCGCTCCAACCATGGGCGGCCTCCTCTGCCACCTCACTGCTGCCAGGATTCCCGCCCTTCATGTCGGCAAACATTCCTCAGCAGTCGTCGCGGCCTAATACATCCAGTTCTCGATCTCCAAAACTTTTCACGGACCGCTTCGGTATACCAGGTGATCCTGACTCTATCGCATCGTTTGCATCCCACTCGCATGCCAACCGCGATTAAATTTAACATAGCATATAGCATAAACAAAGAACAGTACAAAGGTGAAAAGAATTGATTCCTTTGGATTTAAACCTTTCGCATAAACCTAGTGCAAGCTTGGAGTACTTTGTAGCTTCAAATTTCACAAGCTCTGATGCGAGTTTAAACTTCGAAGTGAGTTCGTGGCCAGCTACGATTGATGTTCTCGTATCATTTACGAACACTTTCATCTTTTTCAATGCATCACTTGTTTTAACCCGGGTCCGTCAAGCCTTTCTGAGAAGTACGCCTTTTCTATCTGCTGATAGCCATTAAAAGCGAAATGTCCTATTAACAAAACCACTATACAACGCACTAAGAATAAAAGGGCTTAACAAAAATGACAAGTAGACTGAAAGAACAATATTCTTGTGAAAACAGGTTTCAATCTCAAGCCCTCGTGTTGATATGTTTTGAGTAATTTTGGTTATCGTGAACTAGCCGCCACTATTACTCGGCCGCCCAACTGAGAAGAATGAAAGTACGGCAGTGAAGGAAGTTACAAACCATGAGCTTAACTTGAATAAGAATGATTTGTGATCAAGGGTCTCTTGGCAAATCTCAAACTTGTCTCTACATGGCTAGTGGCCGTTGACACAGTTCTGCCGTTCTACGTGATTCTTGATGTTAAACATACAGGAAATTTATTCTACAACTGGCGAGCATATACTAAATTGTACAGCATCTCGTATTCTGTGGTGCCCCTCGAAGACCCTCAATTTGCAGTGAAAATTGTCATGGATGCTTTTGAAGCGCGCTTGCAATTTCTGCAAGTCATCAAGAATCTACACAAGACATTAAATGCGTCTAAAGATAATTCACCTCTCTCGGGCGGAAATCAGCAACAGAATGACCCGGTGTCATTTTATCTAAGACATTATGAGCATCACTACGAGGATTTCCAACAGTGCATGCTCGATTCGACTGCAAAAATGGACTCTCTGGACAGACTGAATGTTCTCATATACTGGAGTAGACTAATATCGATGCTTTGGCCGCGATGTATGAAAGGTGTTGACGGCGAACAGAATACTCCTGGGAAGGTAGTGTACGGTCATCTGCTAGGACAGCTGGATGAAATAGTGTCTTTAGTTTTACCTGCAGAAGATTGGAAAGCTCTGACAAATCTAAATGTATGTGCTGATATTATAATGTATCTGAATCGACTTTGCCAAGTTCTGGAACAACCTCCGGAAGAACAGCAGTTGTTGTGTTCCAGCAAGCAGCTGCTAGAAACGCAGGATATGATGTTAACTACCTTGCAAGACCAGCAAGCTCTGGAACTGCCGTGGTATCACGTAGCCAAGAAAAGTCAAACCGATTTTAAACAGGCGCTGATAAGTTCCTACCAACTTCTAATAGACCGCAGGAAGCACGCGGTTTACTTACAAGAGTTGTATCGCATCAATGGCATATGCGCTGTAGCGGCGCCAACAAGCAACAGCACAGTTCTGCATCGAATGGAAAATGACCGTGAAAGACACAAGAAATCAAAAGAACATTTGTGGTTTACCGAGAGAAATTTCATTCTCGATTCTCAAGAGTTTGATTCGCTCTGGAGCTCATGCAAAGGAATGACCAAAAATGACTATACAGATATTCGCGATCTCAACAAGATTGCTCATAATAGCTATATGTATAATTAATCAATGTGGGTAACCTGGGCTTAGCTTATCAAACAAGACATAGAAGCATACAACTAAGTATTTTTAAGAGGGAGCAAAAGCCTTATGTTTTAGACAAAAACGAAAAGAAGGCGATTTTAACAAATCTGCGAGCAGCAGGTGCCGTGGGTTCCGTAACAAGACGAAATGCAGCTCTGTACATGTTGCGCTTTTGAAGTTTAGTCACGTAAGTTGGAGTGTGTGTTGTCACGCAAGTCGATATGTCAATGCCACAGCGCTAGTTCGCGAAAAGGAGATTTAATTTCAAACACTAGCCTTCATTAGGCTTCTGGTCAAAGATGAGCGATCAAAGAGAACCCTATTAGCTTTCAGCTCTGATCAACAAATGCTAGCAGGTTTTAAAGTTGATCGAGCGGCTATCGAATTTTTTTCGTTTATTATGCTTATGTGTGGGGGCCCTTTATTTATCGCATCGTTATATTATGGTATTCCTGGTTATCTGAGATAAAACGAAGATTCTCAAAGCTGTGAGTGGCCCTGACTTGACACACGAGAAACCTTGAGGTCTTTAATTGAAAGTCTTTTGACTGTGGACACCTAGATTGCATCTTAACCAGCTTTAATAGATGAGTGCTGAACGAAAGAATAGGGTGGAGAAGGGGAAGCAAGATTCGGAAAATCATAGAGGTCGTTCTTCCTCACCATCACTTTTTTTCTCTAGATCCTCCTCCTCAAATCTACTGAAGTTGAGAAGAGCGCATTCTCCCGTCAAAGAGGCAAGAAAATCCACGCAATGCAGCAACAATCTCGATACCCAAATTTGCACCGATGAGTGCCCTAGCAGCCAAGGAACGCCAAAACAACCCCAAGTTCTACAAGCCAGTAGTCACAACAGTAAAATGATGGTGGAGGTTTTACCGTCTTTTGAACTTTACAACACGTTGCACAGGCACATTCCTCAAGGTAATGTCAATCCCGATATGATGGATTTCCCGCCTACGTACCAGGCGGTTCAATCTCAAGCGCCTGCTTTTGCTAATGAAAGTAGCGAACACGTACGTGACTCATCTACAACTTCTCTTCAATCTCTGAATACAGTCGAATCGAGGTCTGGCCACCAAATCCTTACTCTGGAGGCGCTTGGCACTATGCATGAGCCCATTCAGGACGATCTGAGTGAATCCGATAATATCAACATTGACAAGATTTATTCCTTACCTAAACTAAAAACTCCGATCGAAATTGACATACATGTTACGAAAGATCCCGCTGGAGTGGACAAGAAAGCTGAGGACGAATCGATACTTCGAGAATACACATCTGGGGACATTATACATGGCTATGTGATTATAGAAAATAGGTCACCGCAGCCTCTCAAGTTTGAAATGTTTTACGTGACGCTCGAGGGTCGCGCGACAGTCATCGATCGTGAAGGCGGCAAGCGCACTGTGAAGCGATTTTTGAGAATGGTCGATATCAGTGCCAGTTGGTCTTACTCCATGATCGATGTGTCTAATGGTTTGAACTACTCTCCTGGTGCAAGGGATTTTGAGAACTGCGTTATGGGACTTAATAATAGCAGAGTACTTGAGCCAAACACGAAATATAAAAAGTATTTCATGTTCAAGCTTCCTATGCAGCTGTTAGATGTTTCGTGCAAACATCAACAGTTTTCCCATTGTTTGGTGCCTCCCACATTTGGTATTGATTCAACTAAAGATGGTGGAAGATATTCTGGGATAAAGATTAACCCCATGTTAGGGTACGGACACTTGGGAACCAAAGGCTCCCCTATTTTAACTACCGATCTGTCATCAAGCGAAATAGCAATCAGCTATACAATCGACACGAAAGTTGTTGGTAAAGATTCCCGGACCAAAAAACTTAATATTTTGAGAGAGCGCGAATACAACCTTAGATTTGTTCCCTTTGGCTTTTGTCGGCCCTTTACCGGAGAGCGCGATCCGCTGAAGCAACTGCAAGACATCATAAGACTTGTTCAAGAAAGAATTCGAGCACTAAAGAAGGTAATGCATCGGCTAGAGCTGGGTGAGCAGATCACTAGTGAGGATTTGCACGATACAGATGTTAGCGGAGCTGTGGTTGATCCTACAGAGGTTGACTCTGAAGATATTCTAAGACGCAAAATCAACCAGCTCTATATCAGCAATCGCATTGATCCTGTATGCTCATCTTTCCCAGTCAGTCACGCAAAGTTTTCCAAAACTAGTAAGAAGACTATAGAAACTGAATTCAAGTACGCTTTGAAGGACAAGCACAAATCTTCAAAAAAACTTAAAAAGGGCTTCTTCGGCGGTTTGAGCGGGTCTACTAATGGTTCGACAAGCTCTTCTACTTCCGTCACAAATAAGTCGGGAATCATAGTTCTTTCTTGTGATATTCCAAGGGCAGGACTACAGTATTTGGAACCATCTTTGTTGAGGAAGACAAACAAATTGGAAAACAAGGGGGTCCAGAACAAGGAGAATTGGGAGAATTTAATAAATTCCCTCTCAAGTAAAGATAGAGACGTCCTGGACCAGGTTACCGTAAACATGAGGTGCATTCAGGCTAGCAATTGCGAACCCCATGAGCCACCCCAAATTCAATCAGTAACTACCGAATTAATTTGTATGACTTTGAAGTCAACTAATTCTATTCCTATGAAATTAGACGCGGATATCGTACTCAAGAAGGAAAGGTTCGCGGAGATTCAGAGTACATTTCAAGAATTTAAAACTGAAGCAGAGAATTTGCAGCAAAAGTTCAACGAAAATCGTGACAGACTGAACGAGCTTTTCAATAAAACCCGAAGGCCGGGAGTTCATGAAGAGCTGAGGTTCACCGACTTCTTGTCGGAGCAAATTATTACTGATATTGAAAGTATAGCCAATCTGCGCAGCGAAGTTCAAACCTTACCTCACATATTCAAAAAACAATCACACACCCTGGAAAATGAAGACGATCTGCTAGATTGTTTACCAAGCAAGAGTCCCAGCAAGAGTCCCAGCACGACAAGTATTCTCTCCTCTACCTTTAGTGGATCGTCCTCCGGCACTCATCACGCATCAACTGCGGAAAGACTTAGAAGACAATTATTTCACGAGTGGATTAAAAGTAATAATCAAGAGTACGACAGGGCAGTTACCGTTAATCTCGAATTCGGTGACGACTCGAAAGAGACGTTGATACCCACCTTCGAGAGTTGTCTGATTTCGCGTTTGTATTGTGTTCGTGTGAACATCAAATTCGAAGGCCAATCTCATACTGCAACCATTGATATCCCTGTCCAAATAAGAAGACTTGAATCCTAGGGCTCGTAGATTTATAAATGTTTAGATAGAATAATTACTTTCTCCCTCCACCTCTTCGCTTCGGTAGCTGCTTTTGATCTAAGTTTTGATACCCCAGTGAATGGCGCAAACACCAAATGTTAGTGGTTCATAACCAGCGGACTGAAAGCCAGCCTTTTCGATCATGGATTTGAATTCTTCAGGCTGTGGAAACTTTTGGATAGATTCAACCAAATACTGGTAAGAATCAAAGTCATTGGCAACTAAAGAGCCCATCACGGGCAAAACTTTCGACCATTGCTGGTATAGCACGTCAACGATAGGATTATCTACTTTGGAGAATTCCAGACAATAGAAAATCCCGCCAGGCTTCAAGACGCGGTAAGCAGTGTTCAAGCCTGCCTGAATGTTGGTAAAGTTTCTGATACCGAATGAAACAGTGTACACGTCTTTAGAGTTGGATTCAATTTGTTCCAGCGTTTCCCCATTTTGAACCAGGAACTTGACGCGTGGGTCATTGTAATATTTACCTTGATTCATTGCTCTTTTCTCACCTTCCTTCAGCATATCGGCGTTTATATCGACGATGTGCATGGTAGATTCTTTGTCGTGAAACTTGTGCTCCGCATGGTCCAACAACCCAAACGCGATGTCGCCAGAGCCACCTGCCACATCAATAAAATGTAGTGGTTCCTTGGCATTTGGCCTTTTCCCAGCATCCAACTTGTTAATGAAGTGATCCTTCCATAGCCTGTGAACTCCCATGGACATAACATCGTTCATGACATCGTATTTTGAGGCGACATTAGAAAATACGGTTCCCACCAGCTTTTCCTTTTCGCTCTTTGCTACAGTCTTTGAACCGAAATGCGTAGTTTCAAGCGTTTCCTCCTTAGCCAAACTTGAAGTCAAGTGCAGAGCTCTTACGCCGCATAACCTTCTAAATTGCGAAGCTTTCAATGAATACTGGGCTCTCACGCAGGACCTTCCCAGAAATTTACTCAATGCAGCCATCCTCTACTTGAACTTATCCTCAAAGACACACTCAAAAGTAAATCAGCAATGGTCTGAAAGTCTTAAAAACTTATACCGTGCGTCTCCTATGCCAATTGATATTGAAGGGTTGTTCTTTAAACAAAGTCCAGTTTTTTACTTGACGGCTGCGATTAGAAGAAAGTTCAGCCGACCACATAAATGGAAAGATACACGACTAGATGTTTACGCCATAGTTATCATGAACACTAATGTAAACTTAGATAAAAGAGAAGTTTTAGGACTCTGACCGCTTGCGAGACACCAACGAACATGTTTTGTACCAAACAACGTCCAGTTTAATATTGAGTTGCTAGCATTGCTTAAAAAAAAGAAGGAAATCTCAAGTAGTCACTTCAAGTAAAAGCATCGAGGTGCAAATCCAATGTGAGGAGAGCATCAATCAACTGTTATACGAGTTCATTCAGAGATTCACGTAAAGCTTTGCGTAGGAGCTTTAGATGTAGTAGTACGAATATGACCGAAACAACTTTGTAGTTCTCATATCCACAAGCTTCTACTTATGATGGTCACAGAGCTACGAATGTAAGGGACACGACAACAGTCCATAAAACATCGAGTTAGCAGGTTACCTTAAACAACATATCAAGGCAAAAATAATCCAAAAATAAAGGGGCGAGCTGGGAATTGAACCCAGGGCCTCTCGCATGTTTGAGATAATTGTAATCCGAGTCAGGACTCGAACTTCACCCAAAGCGAGAATCATACCACTAGACCACACGCCCATTTGATGGTAAGCAGAGAGTAGTTCAATCATATACTGGTAGTTTGTTAGCATGCTTTTGTTTTCCTGTTCAACGACAAACGTCTTCGAACGTATTCAACAAGCCCCGCACAATTCAAAGACGAAGAGAGTGCGCTTTTGCCCATTTCCATTATGGAAAGAATGTACATCACTCTGTACTCCAGTGTCACAGTGACGTACGTTTACCATGATTTCACACTTTTTTAGGCTGCTACGAAATGTTAACAGGTATTCAGTTAACACGTAAATCTGGCACCACCTTGTTTGTGTACTAAAATTGATTTGCGTCACAATTGTCGATTATGGAAAACTGTCACAGAACGAAAAAATGACTGGCCCGAGAGATTTACAGTCTTGAGTAACCGTCGTAAAAATCCCTAGTTTCAAAGCAGCACTTTCTCATGCAAATCAGCACCGTTTTTGTTGTTTTACTTTCGTCGCTCTCCGTGACAGTTGTTACCTCACCGGTGTACACGCACATCAAGCCACGAGATATATCTCTGCTAGTGTCAGGGAGCGAGATGCCAGCCTAGCCCAGAGGCGACATATATGAAGTCCCAAATTTATAGTAAGTAGTCCGAAATATAATATATGATGACCATAAAGAACATCCTCTACCTCATGGGTAGATCCACAAGCAGATATGAAGTACGGCATAAATCATTTATTCACGTGATACAGCTGAAATTGGAAAATCCAATCTCATTGCATGACAGTTACCTTTTTTAGCTGTAGCACGAATTAAAACTTAACTTTGAAGTCCACCTCCTGTTTCACAGCTCAGTGCAGCTTCAGAATGGGCTTTGTGTCAATCATAATATCGCTATACGTATCAATTTCGTATGTCGCCGCGATACATTTGTGGTCGGGAAGAATTGGGGACTTCAAGATCCGGCGCGATGATCCTAGAGTAATCAAGTCGAGAGTGAAACGAGTCATTGTGATTACAGTAATAAACCTAGTAACTGTGCCGTGCCTCATATCTAGTTTCGGAATTGTATCTTTTAAAGACGCTTTGCTGTCCATGGGGTTGCTACCGGGCGGGTATCTCAGCAAGGGCGGCGGAATCACGATGGATATGAGAGCTTTTTGCGGCGACACTTACCGCGCATTGGAACTGGCGTTTATTTTGTACTGTGGTCCGTTACTAGATAATATTCTGTACTACTTGCTGACTCCTGGTGCACCTTTCAGCGCTGCCTGGTACGATTTGAAAAGCGAGATTGTTACCATCTGGGGTTTTCGGAATTACTTTTTTGGCCCTCTTAGTGAGGAACTGTTCTACACGGCGATGCTTACGAATGTTTTTATTTTTACGAGTCCGAAGTCCGTCACTTTAAACACCGTGCTGTGGGTTCCCCCGCTTTTTTTTGGCCTTGCTCACGCTCACCATGGCTGGGAGATGCATTCTCTTGGGATGCACGCACCTGGGCAAATCCTGGCTACCGTTCTAATTCAGCTGTCATACACGACAGTTTTTGGCGCATTTACAAACTTTATATTTCTGAGATCGGGACGAAACCTATGGTGTTGTGTAATTCTCCATGCATTTGCCAACTATATGGGCTTGCCTCAAGGTTCCGAACTTGCCACACATTTTGAGAGTAGTGCTTCACCTGTTGCATTCCGCTCACTTCTTGGTCAAATCTGGAAATACAGTTACGTTGCATTTCTCGTCCTTGGCCTTGTTGGCTTCAAGAATAATCTGTACAACCTTACCGCGAGCAAGTATTCCATAGAACTATAGACTTCGACTATCGCTCTCGCCCTTCGGTGCATCTTCATTTCCGGACACTTTTTGTCAATCCGTATAAAGACATTATATATTAAATTTTAGATACGCGTGTAACGAACAGACGCTAAAAAAACGTTTAACCAAAACAGTGGGAAATATTGAGTGCTCGAGCTCTGTTTGACTGTTTCAAGATTACCACATTGTTGGCGAACCTTGCCTTCGGACAATCAACTTACGAGTGTGCTGGTTCACGACCACTTATCGGCAAATAGGTACTTTACTCATAGGTGATTCTGAAGTGGTTCTGGAGACGTAATCGCTATTCAAAAATGTCGTATCATGGATCGAGGACTGAACATCAGACCCAGGCTCTGAAAGATAGATTGAAACTGGAAAATGATGCAGAACAAAGGCCGCAATCGCGATCAGAGAAACGAAAATCGGAGGTTTTGATCGCCGCCCAATCTTTGGACTCAGAACTGCAGCACGTCAAGAATTTGAAAAGAATCTCGATAGGATCGATGGACATGCTGATAGATCCAGAAATGGAGTTTCGAGTTAGCCCCACGAAGTCACATTCCTCGCCCAGCGAGGATTCTCTTTCCGTCGAATCCCAAACAGATGACGATCACAATGAGATTCGCAGCATCGACGGGGAGGACGACAACGAATTTTCCTACATGAATGATGACAGCATAGACATTACAAGCACTGAGTATCTACAAGAGTCTGGAGAATCAGCAGTGAATCAAACATCCTCATCAGGCCGTAGCCTTCGCGGTGTGCGAAGAGGTGGCTTTTCAAGTCAACCTCGTCTTAATGAAAATACAATATCAATGGAAATGGGGGACTCTGTAACGCAAAACTTGTTATGGGTACCAGCCAATCAACATCCTAGTGTGAAGCCTGAGAATTACCTTGAATTGATTCAAGACACCCTGCATACATTAAAGATAGATCCTGATAACGAATCCTCATCAAGTCATAGCGTCACGCCACAATCTGCATCAAAGGCTACTGCCCATTCTAATCAACTGCGGTCGGGCCCTAGCACACTAGTGCGAAGGCCATCAGGACTTCGCAAATCATACACAGAGCTCGAAGACCTTTTACAACATGAGCTTGAAAACAATAACGAGAACCATGAAACCTTTACAAACACAGCAAAAACTCCCGATAAAATTCATGCATCTTCAAAGCTGGGATCATTAAGGGACATTACAGAAGAACTCACGCGAATTTCTAATAGAGCTGGCTTTACGGATAGCGACGCGGTCTCACTAGCTCGAACACTAAGTATGGCCAGCTCTTATAATGGTCAGGAGCCAGAATTCAATTCAAGCCAATCGACGGAACTTCCTGAAAACGAGTATGCTTCAAGTATGCTGACGAAGAACGGTTTAGCCATACCCGCACGTTCTTCTCTACGGAGAAGTAAGTTCAACACATACAGGGTAAGGACTTCTAGTGGTAATAGTGTCAGCCCGTCGAAGTTAGGTACAACAACAGTCGATCGAAAGGAGCCCCCAGAGTCTTTGCCTCAAATCGCAGACACCATACTACAATCCCCGGGTTCGTTTAATGATTTCAATGAGATTTATGATCACTATAGGCAAAGTAGCTTAGAAGGTGCGATTGATATGCAATCACCAGACCATAAAGAATCCGCAGCGCAGAACGTATCCAAGAAAGAATCTGGGATTCAAATCTTGAACGACAATAATTCAGCTAGCAAGGACGCTTGGGTGGAAAAAAAGCATCTTGAGCCCAAGGAAAACCATACGAAACTTAAAAGAGATGGAAACAAGCAACAACAAGATGGCCTGGTGCCGCGCAAAAAAAGTGGCTGGAACTGGTTCAATAAAAGGACAACTAAAGATCAAGAAATTACCAAGAATGACGAGAGCAAACTTTCCAATGACTTTTTGAACATTAAGGATAATGAAACAAAAATCGCCAATAGACCAATTGAAAAAATCAACCATTCAAGGCATAGACATTACAGGGCAGAAGACAGTGTTGTGAATGAAACAACGGAGAATAATTCTGTCAAGACGGTAACGAACACTTCATCTTCCAAAAAGCAGAAACGTGAAAAAAAGTTCATACAGCTTTTTAGGCGTAATAGATCCTCATCGACCGGCAACCGGGACAGGGATGAGTCTACAAATGTAAATGAGATATGGAGCGGTGGACTTCATGATGTGCTAAGGACAAGAGCATCATCCGCAAACTTGGCCAGTAGCACAAGAAGGAAGTCTAGAAAGGGTAGCCGGGGGTCGAGTGATGAGGACTATGAGTCAATCGGAGGAAGTTCTGTATCATCATTCGATCATGACTCGAAGCGCAACACTTGTGAGCCCATTGCACAACCAATCACAAAACTGCAGCCGTCAGTGACATTAACTCCAAAGATCAGACCAGCTGTTACGGCTAAAGAGGTAACACCCGACAAACCAAGCCCAATTTCTTCGGAGTCCGAAAAGAACTCGAGTTTGGAGCTTGCTAATGAGGCTGGCACAGAATCTAAACCGGATTTTGGTGGCAGAGTTGACAAAGACGTGGGGCTTAATCCAAAGGAAGATGCTTTGGCTGTACAACAAAGTAAAATGCCCGAAGATGAATCACCAAACGATGCCTCGAACAAATCATTTTCCACAGATGTCCTTGCTGGAAATGATGAGGGCTTCGTTACCCAATCAACTAAAGCAGATAAAACGGCAACTTTGGCGGCACCCGCTGCGGGAGGTTATATCTTACCCGATCGGAAGCTGACATTTGGAGATGTTGTGAAGCCAGAAAAACCCAATGCGCCCATGGTTTTCAGCGATAGTTCATTTGGGTTCCCACTTCCACCTCTTACAGTTTCAACTGTTGTCATGATAGATCAGCGACTCCCCATCAATGTTGAGCGAGCCATTTACCGATTGAGTCACTTGAAATTAGGCGACCCAAAGCGAGAATTACGGCAACAGGTTGTACTGAGTAACTTCATGTATGCGTACTTGAACCTAGTGAACCATAGCTTGTATCTCCAGCAGCTGGAGGAAGAGAATGTGACAGAGACAATCAAAAGCTAAAGTAAGTACAGCAGAGTCGATGCGCGTGCCGCCAGTATTAGTGACATTCGAGTCACATGGGCATTTTGGCCTTATGGGAAATTTCTTGAAGAAAAAAAACCCTCGATGAGCTTGAGATCAACTGAAACGCGAAGGTCGACAACAACATCATCAGACACACTATCGACAATGGCTGAAGAACGCAGTTACCGCATGTTGGTGCTTTTAGAAGATAAAGTGGAGGACTCGACAGCTGGAGCAACGGTTATCGAGAATTCAGAGGCTTCCCAAACACCCAATGCTACACACGAATTCGTTGACGAGCTGATATTGCCCTTCGAAATAGAAGACATGGACAAGCTAAATCGGTGGTTTGACAAATTCGATGCCGATATTTGCATTCCCAACGAGGGATTCATAAAATATGAGATCAGTAGCGACGGGCTCGTTGTCTTATTACTGGATAGGTCCAAAGAAGATGTGGTGAGTCAAGTTCGCGAATTTGTCGAATCTACGAAAATTGAGTATAGCGACGATGACGATGAATCAAGCTAGCTAGAGCATAAGATATATAAAACCAAAAATTTAAAACAAATATAATTCATTAAAAAGGTCCAGTAAGTAGCAGATCTCAAAAAATTCAAAGGCTCGACAGAAGTTGGAAGGTATGCGCAAAAAAATAAAGTCGACAACTGCAGGATTTGAACCTGCGCGGGCAGAGCCCAAAAGATTTCTAATCTTTCGCCTTAACCACTCGGCCAAGTTGCCTTATTTTAAAATATTGCGACCAATAGGTTGATATCAGTAGGAAGCAATGTCTGCAATGGCTGGGCTAATGACCTGGCTGGGCTAATGACCTCACGAGATAATATTTTGAGGTATCTATAATTTGGGTATCTATGCAAGTAAAGTTTTAAGCAATTACTTATCCTCTTTTGCCTTTGTTAGCCTCTATTCGGTAGTTGGGCCTTGTTTTGAGTCTAATTCTTGGATTAAATTTTTATTGATCAATTGTCACCTCGATTTCTATTACATTGTTTAAAACTCCCCGTTGATACGACTTTGTACTGGCATTCTATGACTGGAGTGTGTGAACCTGCTTCACATATTTTGCTAGAATCACAGATTATTGAAGCTTTGTCTCTATATTGACCAGATTCATGCCATTTAATCTGCTCCTACTATATATGTTGACTTTTGACTGTGACACATAAGTATAACGTGATAAAGCTCTTTAACGGGATGGACATTAATTAGCCCACTCGACTAACCTATCAGAAAGCTAATATAAGGCAATGATAAGTGGAACAGCTCATAGTCAGTAAATCGCAATTGCAACTATTGACAAGAGAGAAGAGATACTGCTTTTCTGTTCGTAATATTACTACTGACTTAGCAATTTGACATCATATTCTTAACAAGCTGTGCAGCACAGAATGTTAATATTTGCGCGTAAGGAAGCTTTGAATAAAAAAAGACGTTGTCTTTATAGCTAAAAGCCTAGAATTCGGTTTTTATCGTTCAATGTGGAGGGTTACCTTAAGAACATTTTCCCTTAAATTTTATATATTTATCTCAAGTGTTAACTTTGAGTGGTTTCGCCAAGACTTTTGTAATTATAAGTTGTCATAATTCCGAGAAAAGCTAAGTGTTCTTGATTTATTTTCAGCTAAGATCGGGAGAGTTGTGTACAAAATCTTGCCAGTTGTGAATAGTAATCCTCCTCGCACTCCATATATATTTACTTGTACGAAATTCAAACCTGCGGCCGAAAACAACACAAGCAGGAACCCGGGTATCCCGGATGTTTCGACTAATCATCCGACGCCGAACAGTTTGGCATACACACGTCGTAAAAGTGTCAAGTTTGTTTACATGTTAAACTATTATCGTATTTTGCGATATGATTTCCCGATGGGTTTTTCGGTACGAGAATATTTCACCAACCATGCCACCTAAATGCGAGCATATAAGACATAACATAATTGCTTAGACTACCTAGAACCTCCAGACTATTAGGCTTATTGAAATAGCAACCTTTTGCAAACACTGGCTTTCGAGAATGGAAACTAAGACTTTACCACTATATTCGACCAAACAACTGCAAGAACATGCTACACGCGAGAATTGTTGGGTTTCGCTACAAAATCGAAAGCTTTATGACGTGAGTAAGTTCTTGGACGAACATCCTGGTGGGCCAGAACTGATTCTGGATTACGCTGGGAAGGACATCACCGACATCATGAAAGATGTGGCTACTCACGAACACTCGAGCACTGCATACGAGGTTCTTGATGACACCTATCTAGTCGGGTATTTGGCCACTCCGGAAGAAGAGAGCAAACTTCTAAACAGCACCGCAGGTAGCCACCGGATGGAGGTTAAGCTGCAGGACGAATACGACTCTACAGTGTTTGTTCCGAACGTTCCGGCTGCTGAAAAACTCAGCATCGTGACTGATTATTCACGTGACTTCACTCGTCACAAGTTTTTGGACTTGAATAAGCCTCTGTTGCTTCAGATGCTGCGTGCTGATTTTTCCAAGGAGTTCTACCTTGATCAAATCCACCGTCCGCGTCATTATGGCCGCGGGTCGGCACCTCTATTTGGTAATTTCCTCGAGCCACTCTCAAAGACCTCCTGGTATGTGATTCCTATTGTATGGTTCCCTGTCATCTTATACCATATTTATACCGCATTTCAGCACATGAACATACCGCTTGCAGTGTTCTTGTTCGGCGTCGGCTTGTTCGTATGGACACTCATCGAATATGGCCTCCATCGATTCTTGTTTCATTTGGACGAATATTTGCCAAGAAATCAGTTCGCTTACACGATACACTTCTTGCTGCATGGTGTTCACCATTATTTGCCTATGGACCGCTATAGATTAGTGATGCCACCAACGTTGTTTGTGGCATTGTGCACACCCTTTTACAAACTGGTATTCGCACTTTTACCATATTACTGGGCCTGTGCTGGATTTGCAGGTGGTATGTTTGGATATATGTGCTACGATTTAACTCACTATTTCTTGCACCACGCTCAACTACCTAGTTATTTGCAGAAACTCAAGAGATACCACATGGAACATCATTACAAGAACTACGAATTGGGTTTTGGTGTGACGTCCTGGTATTGGGACAAGGTTTTCGGCACTTACTTAGGCGACAACGCCCCATTGTCGCAAATGAAGTTTGAGTAAGGAATCGAGGTAGGATATTTAAAACAAAATTGATATAGTTATGGCGTTGAAATTGAGGTGTTGATCAACATTTTGTTAGATTTCATACTGCATGAAGGTGTACTCCTAGAGACTCCAAGCGCTCACCTAGTCCGGAACTCTTATCTATCCTGGAAAGGGATTTAAGCAACATTTTTGTAAGCTTGGACTCGTCGTGATATTTGCACCATTTCGCATGACAATTGGTCTCTGAATTCTCGATCGTGGTGATGAAAGCACGCTGGAAACACCCGGAACACTCAACGATTTCTTTATTCACAAAGGTGTATCCTTTAAGTACGAGGCTCAAAGAACGGAGAGCGATAGCATCGATCGACACATCGAAAGTGCGCGCGAGCGGTCTCACTGCATCTTGATCAATATTTTCTAGTTGTGGCATGTCCCAATCTTGACACCTGCGTAACTCGTTGGAAACCCGTTCAAACTCCAAATACAGGTTGCCTCGATTTAGATGGTAGTTTTTTTCAAGATCGTAGCTCTGGCGGCGCCGCCATGAACAACCAGTATGATGTGCCGTAGTCAAGATCTCCTTGAACCTACTCTCAAGCTCTGCAGTCTCCAAATACTCGTCCAATTTGAGGTAGAAAACCTCGGAACACTGCGAGCACTTCAAGATAAGCGACTGCGGCCCACCACTTGTCTTGTTACAAGGCATAGGAGACCAGCCTGCTGCCGCCAAGACAGCTGCGTTAACTTTTTCGGAGTTCCAGAGTAGCAGGTGGTGTCGAGAAGCCTTGACCAAACTTTTTAAATGATTGGCAAATTCTTGACACCCAAACGCCAATTTTTGACCATCTAGGGCTCGCTCGTACAGTTTGCCAGCGTTTTGGAGTTTTACTGGTAGAAAAGGGTTCCGCTTAGCCCTTGTAGCTTTTGTCTTGTACTTGTATTTGTTGATCAGCACTCTAGAACTCAAATGCGGCCTTACCAGGCTTCCAGAGATGCTAGAACCATCCAATTTCTGACGCAACGCCTCCACTCGTGACAGTAAGTTCGAATCCATGCTTGAGGGTTGCAATCTAGACCTTCTGGACTGTTTATTCAGCGTATTTCACCGCTTTTTACCACTTCCATTCGAACCTCGAAGGATGCATCAAATTAATCTTTTTTAAAGACTACTATTATTCGGTCACGTAATGTCCTCGTCAGAAGTGCCTTAAATATATCACTCTTTACTATTCTGTCGAACCGATATTTCAACGGGTGCCGATGGTAAAAAATACTACGCATGCGCCAAGACGAGAACTTGTAATCTTCGCTGCCCTCAAAGACCTGTATTATCTTACAGCTGGAGCCTATTCACATTTTTTCTCGACTCACTTGACGAGAATTACCCACCGCAGTATTCGGGCTTCCCCGTCTTCAAGCTCATAAATACCACCGCACCGTTGAGAAATATCACAGCACGCTGACGCCACTCTACGAGCCTCCAAGACAACGACATCGGACTGTGTATTCCTGTTTCTTTAGATCGCTCGTGATGAGAGATACCAAGATTGCGTGGGTGAAAAATTTTTGACAAAAATCTTTCGAGAAAGAAGAGTTAGGGGGAAAGCGTTGAGGACGATACAAGTAAAGGCATTGGTCTCACACTTCTCACTTAGTAATTAGCTTGCAATTTTTAGGTCGAGAAATCTACGTATTCTAAGCTGTGAGTTTTGATTTAGCGTGTTTCTGAAGTAGCCTTTTTTTTTCGGAGGGTAGAAAGAATAAAAAAGCGTCCAATTCAAGTTTTCATTTTCGTTGAAATAAAAAAAAGGCTAGAAAAGCTGATCTGCTAGCATACTCGATTAGAAAAACTGAGTTGAGCCGTGAAATTAGGAGCCTGCATAGTAGTAGACGCCCAACGTGTTTGTTGCAAGAGATTCGTAGAACCGTCGTTCTGTTTTTCTCGTTCATTTGAGCCTCTCCAAGCGTTGCTTAATCGAAATCAGTACTCCTCTTGAGAATGCTCGCAGTATTGGAAGACTACCAGAAGAACTTTCTAGACCTGGCGCTGGAAAGCCAGGCGCTGAAGTTTGGGTCGTTCACGTTGAAATCCGGTCGCCAGTCTCCGTATTTCTTCAACCTGGGCCAATTCAATACCGGGAAGTTGTTGTCGAACCTGGCCACCGCCTATGCGATCGCCATCATCCAATCAGACCTCAAATTCGACGTCATCTTTGGCCCGGCTTACAAGGGCATCCCCTTGGCCGCCATTGTGTGCGTGAAGCTTGCAGAGATTGGCGGTACCAAATTCCAAAACGTCCAGTACTCTTTCAACCGGAAAGAGGCCAAGACCCATGGCGAAGGTGGTACTATCGTTGGAGCTCCTTTGCAAGAACAGCGCGTCTTGATCATCGACGACGTCATGACTGCAGGAACCGCCATCAATGAGGCTTTTCAAATCATTGCACAAAACAACGGTAACGTGGTCGGCACTATTGTGTCTCTGGACAGACAAGAGGTGCTTAACACCGAGTCCAAAGAACGCTTGAGTGCCACTCAAGCTGTTTCGCAAAGGTACGGTATCCCTGTGTTGAGTATCGTTACTTTTGCCAACATCATCAACTACCTTGAGAGTAGGATCACTGCGGAAGATAAGCGGAAAATGGAAGATTACTTGCAGACATATGGCGTGTAACAGTGCCGCTACCAGATTTTACTCATCACATAGAACTTTCACTTCTCAAAATCCTCTCCTTTTACTCTTCTGCAAAGAGTTTATGAGACTGATAATTTGTCACTTTTCTTAATGACTTCGATCCTATACACCAAGAATATCTCGTAAACTCAATTAATATGTATTTTTGATTTGCTACTTGTCACTCTCGCAACCTCAACTGTCTGTGTCCTTACTGAGATCCACTGGTAATGAGTCCATCCATATCTTAGATGCGCCGGAATTTCACATTCACAAGTAGTAGGGAACACAATGAGTCCTTTGATATCCCCAACGAACCTGTCTTCCTTCACGTTCTTGATTAAAAACATCTTAAACTAAATCTTCTTTCCTTGAAAGGCTCACCTACGAACCATTTTATATTTATTCTTGGGCATTTTTACAGGCTTTTCGGTCACCACTGGGGCTGGCGCTTCATAAATAGACTTCACCATTGGATGTCCCATGCTAAAAGGACTATGAATCGGTACTATATCATTCATAACAAAGCCCTTGACTCTGGGCACTTTTCTGGGTTCATAATCTTCGGCGCCGGCCTCCATTGGCACATCCTTCAACACCTCAAGCGTAGTAGGATGTTCCTTCATGTATTTAGAGACAAGTTTCATAAACATGCGTTTGTTTTGAAACAAAGATGGGGTCGTCGAAAGTCCTTCATCCTTTAAAAATAACCGTATTCTTCCTGGGTTTCCGAAATCCTGCGGATGACACTTGTGGCCTTCAATGACGCAAGGAATCTGCAATTGACTTACGGCATCAGCTAGTGTTTGAGCCAGTGGGTTCTCTACTGCCCATTCCACTGGAACTCTTCTACCTTGTTTGTGCGATCTGTTTTTGTCAAAGTAACATGGGTACAAAACTTGGAACTTTTTCAGCTGTTGCTTTTGTTCCTCTGTGAAGTTTACCACCTGTGGGTGACCAGACATGTCTGAGCTTTGCCTCGAGACTTGAGAGTTATTTGCTGGGAATAAAGGAGGCTCTTCGTCCTGACTCCTCTTTATTTCTGGTACAATTCTGGGTGCTACGGGAGATTTCATGTTTGCATCAATCTCTGCGAGATCCATTTCTAGGTTATCGATATCATCATAATCATCAATTTCTTCAAGTTTAGGCATCTTAGTGGTGACCGAAGGGCTAGTTAAACGATTATATTATGCAATAGTTCGTCCCACTTCATCAATTCATTGATTTCAAAATTTTTGTTAGTTAATCTAAATGAAAAAAACACGTGAACTTTCAGCGAGCGTTCACTAGACGGTGCGCCTTGTAGCGATACGTTCGGCTGTAGAGATAGGATAACAGTTCAACGTTCAGAATGCAGGCCTAATTTCACCACCTTGCTTAGCCAATATGTTTAGAATGCGTACCGCTTTGCTGTGAAAACATAGCAATAACGTGGAAAAACCGTCATTGGGGTTTCTTCAATAGACGCCGATAACAATTCCAATCACGCAGTATTTTATTATTACACTTGCACAAGGTATCATTAACTGCCCGGGTGGTATCACCTTGGGAAAGGGTTCAAGAGATATCGTCAAAAAAGAACAAGTATTCAAACACTACTTCAAGATATGTAATGAGAAGATCATATTAAATCGCTTCCTCACTAGATTTTAAGCTAAGTCTTTGTTCGTTCAACAAACTGCCACCAGTACAACAAGGAAAGGTGCCAATTCAGTTTTGAGCTAAGAAACCTTTATGAAACTTTTATGAAATTTTGGCAAACCTAGCTCACAAGTCTATCTCCCTGAATGTTGCGACAAGAACCGAAACGCCTTTCTGCGCTTTATGTCCTACCTTGGATAATGCAAGTAAATTAAGAAGCAACGTAAATTGCAATTGTCGCAAAACAAACAATCAATGAGTGAAAGGTCGCAGGATTTGCAATGACACTGGCACCGCATAGCTCGGCGGTTCGTTTTGTTGTAAGAGCTGACTGCTTTCTGACTAGAAGCAACTTCAGTTTGCGTGCACTGATTGCCTTTCATAGTTGTCCGAAATGCCCATATGAAACCCCCGGCAACGACAAAGTTGAAAAAAGTGATCAAAAACTCGCAACCTGTTTCATCATGCAATAGACTGGCCTAACGAGTTAAAGATCTCAATCTAGTCCCGAACCTTGAACTTGCAGCAAGGTGAAGAATATTTGCGGGCCAGGAAGCTTTACAATAGCTTCTGTGGCGAGTTTACTATTCCATTTCGCCCACATGTGACTGATTCAGCCAATATGAAATTTCGACAATTTGTAGATTCATCTCGGAACTATTGACTAACACTTCTTTATAGACCATTGGGTGTCGATGAGCAGTGATTCTACCTTCGAGAGAACGGTCAATGGTGGGCAATCTAGTGATGAAGGTAGTCGCACACAAATTGCCGATAGCGCAGCCTTACGAGAAGCCAATGAGCTCTTAGAAACTTTAGAACATACTCATCGAAATGACCTGGCACTGCATCTATATTCGACGCATCTGCTAAAATCAGTACTGAAAGCCGCAAATCGTAAAAACTTCGCATTAGAAACAAATACTTTCATCAAGACTCAGATTAAAGATAACTGGACAAGCTGGCCTAACCCATCTACAGTAATAGACCCACAAATTGATACAATCTTTGAGGACGGTACTGATCTTATTTCCACAGGTTCCAGCAGCCTGGAACCCGGTGAAATTTCTCCTGCTGGACTCGAGCATGCTTCAATAATGGTAAAGGCTGAATTGAACGCTGTATGGCACAACATTCTAGCGGCGAAAGCGTCAAGGTGTGGTTTAACGCTTGATATTGACAAAATGGACATTCCAACAGATATTTCCACTGCAATCATGAACAAAATGGACCACTTCTTCAAGGGTTTACATACTACTGTGGCATCCACAAATAAAATAAAATTATCACAGACGAGCGGTTCTAGTCGGCTCACAATATCAGAATCACGGCTCGGCAGTACACCGGTTAGAATGAACAGAAAAATCAAGCTGGATCATAGAGACATCCTGACTCGCGGGTGTAAAATGGGTGACGACATGTACGAAATATACATGAAGACTCTTGAACTATACAGCGACATACCGATGAAATACCGGAAAAGGGAGTTTAAGCTTTCAAAAAAAGAATTGACCAAGTATACAGCAAAGACGAGAAGGGAACATAAGAAGCCAATATCATATTCCATGCAAGATAATGGTTATATCAGTGCAGAAAAGCTATTGAAGCAGAATACCTTATCGTTTGAGGACAGGATTAAATTAAGAAGTATTCTCCACAAGGATCGGGATCGTTTGATAGACAAGAAAACCTTCTTGTGGATAAAGGGCTGTAGTCAAGAAAGCAATGAAGATACTCTAGAAAAAGATGCATATGCAACAGACGACTGGATCGTCCCGTTGCGGCGCACTCACTCAAAGAGCAATCGAAAAGATTTCCTCAAACACAAGATCTAGTACTTCGAGCAAGAGGCTGGCATTTAGGTGTTCGTTTTGTAGCATTGCATGAATATCAGCTCCAGCCTCTCTAGAATTTCGTAGACCGACGACCCTTCCACATGTTTCTACTAATAGCATTTCTAGTTTGAGCTTAGCTTCTTTTTCAACCTGTAGAGCACCTTCACTATTTTTTTGATTAGCGGCTTCCTGGGTTTCGAGTTTTTTGAAGAAAACGTTTTCGATCCAAAGCTTAGAACGTATTACTTTGAGCACTGTCAAAATGCTGTGATTACTGGTGAGTCTGTCTATGGAGTCCTTGACGTACTTTTCGATTGTGCCTCCTAAAAGCTGTTGTATCACTACTAGTAGGGCTCGACCCCTTAGCCAACTAGAACGTGAACCCTTCAACGAAAACAATGCCACGAATAAGTCGCATATAGGTCCGAAAAAGAACTCTTTTCTTGTTGGTTCTTCGTCAGTTAAGAGAATGCTTTGTGATTTTACAGCCAAGGCCTCCGCTTCTGATTCTTCTTCAGACATTCGATTATCGGGAGACGCAGACGCCTCCGCCGAAGACTCAAAAAGTCTCGATGATACAGAATCGATCCTAGATAGAATGTTTTTTCTATTCTCATAATTTTCGATCCTTTCCTTAATGCTGAAAGCAGTATTGGTATCAGTTAAGAACTTCCTGAAGTGCCTATCTTGACAGATTTCAGGTATGAGCAAGAGACACCGCAAAAACCGTTCAAGCTTCATCGTTCTTTCTTTGTACAAAAGAGTTTTGGAAACATGATACACCAGCGACATCTTAACCTTCTCCGGTACGTAGTCTTTATTTTGCAAGTGTTTAACGAGGCTTTTGTATCTTCTCTTCAAATAAGTATTGAGTTCGTAAAACTCGCTGTATCTACGTGGTATATCCCAAGAAGTGATCAGTTCATCATTGACGTGGCTTACACTTATGACATAGTAAATGATCTCTCTTCCACTCTTTTGGGATATATCGCTTAAATGAGTTTTGATAGAGAGTTGGCATTTTTTGAAAAGACTGTTGGCGTTTTCTTGAACGACAAGCTGTTGCCTCAATAGCTCTTGCTGAAGAATCTCTTTGTTAACGGCCCTTTCGGATTTCTTAAGGAGCCTCAGTTCCGACGCGCTGTCCGTGAGGTCAGCTTTCAAACCAAGGTGGTTGAGGAGAGAAAGCTGTTTTCTTAAACGATCTATCGAAATGGTGAGCTCTGCTATCGTATTTTTTAAGTTTGATTGATTTAACTTCATGATGGCCAAGTTAGGACCTGAATCATCACCATAACTATTTGAGATGCCATGACCGTCCAGACAATCGGCATCCTCCTCGCTTGATTTGTCTTCATCTCCATCGAAAGACCAATCATCCTCGAAAAGTTTATTCTCAAACAAAGTACTTCCTTCACTTTTCCCAAACAAATTCGAAAATGACTTTCTCATTCGAAGTTCGCCAAGCGCGTTACTGTTCCTGATTGGAGAGTCATTTTTTTCAGTGAGGACCGTTCTCGAAGAATTTTGTGAATTCTGCCCATAGTCTCGATCGTCGCCGTCTGTTACGGCAACAAATCTCTTGTAAAGATTAGAGTTTTGAAACTCGGCAGCAGATATCATTCTGATAAACTCTTGCGAGATTTTGAAGTCTCGGAAACATGAGCCGTCCAGAAACTCATAAGAGAGAGCTTGCAAAAGCAATGTGCTTTTTCGAGCAGTCTGATAAACCTCAATGGCAGCATCTTTTCCCTTGTTTTTCAAAATTTTTTGAAACTCTGACACATCTGAAGCACACTGTTCGTTCAGAGACTGCATTATGAATAGGTTGCGACCTGAAAAGAATTCTCTTGAAGTTTTGACAAGGTCTTCAAAATCAGTATCCGACATTATGGCAAGCTCATCATTGCTTGGATCTTCTAAAGGGTTTTTAAAGCCTTGAACCATCAACCAGAATTTCAGACAGCGATCGCCCTTAGTATCATTCAACTTGAGGTATTCCGAAAAAAAGCGATAGCAGAATTTATCTCCTCTGATATCGTCCATTGATATGGTATTCACAAAATTTTCGAAGGCGTTGATTTGCGCAAGTCGAAAGCCTGCATTAGAAGGTGGTAGTTCGAATAGATTGGTAGTCAGGTACCTTAATCGACTATCAATCATGTTCAAAGCCAGAATCAGTCGATTTGATAAAACGGATTCTCTCTTACCTAGCTCGTTGGCTTTTTTGGCTAATAATAGTTGAGATAAGACGGAAAACTTAACGGCCTTGAGTGTCTCCTTGTTTTTGATGCTACTGATCTCTTTGAGCAAGTCTTCAAAATCCTTAGCATCAGTTTGAGCATCGATTTTCATCTTACCAAGTAAAGCATCCTCTTCCAAGGGTTGGCGAGTTTCGGAATTATCGGAGCCTTCTACTTCAGTGGACAACGCTGCCCGGATTTCCCTGACTTGAGTTCTCTCCTTAAGTAAAGTACTGCAAATGGATGCTATTAAAGAATTCCATTGGTCAGGATTGACGAATTTTTGCAAGAGCGGATTGAGGATGCAGCAGCACAACACCTCACGTCCAATTATTTTGACAAAAGGCGAGGCCAACTCCTCCGGTGCCAAAAATTTCTTCAGCAGTAAATGGGCTTTTTCCCTGGAGTATTTTTCGAGACAGTAAGGCAGTGATAACGAACCTAAAGAGATGGCCTCGTGAATTTTATATTCGCGCCCGAACTCGACCGCAACTGCGAAAGAATGGTCACCCCCGTTCGCCTTTTCTTCTGGGCTCAAGCTATCAAAAGCAACTTTATCAGCAGACTTGAAGGTTTTGAAATGTTTGGTGATTAGAGGGAGCATTTTGAGGATAAGTAGCTTCGGTAAATTAATGTTTTTGGTAGCATCTTGCATATTCTTAGCCATATCATCTAGAACTGTTCTTAACCCACCAAGAAAAGGTGCATTGGCATCTTTATTGAGAGACTGATACCAACTGGCAACAAAATCTCGTAAGACATTGTCTATAATCAGCTCTATCTCTTCAGAGATTTCAGGCATTTCGGGGAATATTGGTCTCTTAGATATTTCGAAAGGCTGCTGATTCTCAACAGCCGGAATTTGCTTGATGGTTGGTTCAGGCACCAGCTCGAATTCAACAAGCAGAATACCACGCGCAAGGAGGACGATCAATGCAAAAGCCCAAAAATAGAGAACGCAAAACTTTACCAACGGCACAAAGGGGATTAAAACCAGCACGCCGCAAAAGCATATCTTAAGAGCATTTTGTCTGTCTATCAAACCGGCCATTTTAAACGCGCACACTACCAAAACCGTGCATACAATTGTAAACAGACTTTGAACCATCAAAAACACGTTATAATAACATCAAGCTGTGAAGTTTTCTGAGATTGAGATTGTGTTAAGAAGTTTTTGATTTGGTTGAGAAATTTCTCTCTGAGATCTGAAGTCGTTCAAGGGGAAGCGTCAAGACACACACGGTCGGTTGATCGTAAATATTAGATCAAAACACAACTATGCATCATTGTGTACGTGCCAAAATGCACATTGTTACTGCTGTTAAATGAACTTAGTTCTTTTGCCGTATCATGTTTAGACTTGTTTGAATACCCCTCCGTATGCTCTCAACTTGCAAAGTCGCCAGGTGTATCGAATCTTGTGGGGGTACTGGTTGTCACTCGATTTGGGTCCACGGCGGCTAATTAAGATCGACAAACAGTTGTGAGTTACAGAATGTTTTAATCTCCCAACATTTCTTGGAGAATTTTGATCTCAACTGACATAACTATTGCAGAGTCTTTTGTAATGGGTGTGTTTTTTAGAACATTTACAGAGCGGGTTTGTCGGCTCGTCAGAACTAAATAACTGTAAAATTCCCTTGCAATCGAACAATGTAGATCTTTCAAGTTACGTAAAATTCTTAAAGACCGCAATCAAACTCTTACTGCAACAAGCATGCGTTTTGTTTTATTGTTTTGTATTACATCATGATGCTAGAGCTCATTGAGCTGATGCTATATTTTCTATAAGTGTGAGGTTTGTTTGGGTAGGCACATTAGCGTAATTTCCGCCGGTCTTATGCTTTACTCTTGGTGCATTCCACACTTGGGCCGTTCTTGTGCTCTTTTTTTCTGGTTTCCGTACCATCTTCTTTATCTTTTTTCGAGCGCTTTTTGTCTTTCTTATGTTTCTTGTCATGTTTGGAGTTCTCACTAGCTTTTGAAGCTTTTTTTGAACTCTTGCCATCCTTAGTAGACGACTTCGTTACCTTGTGCTTTTTGCTTTTCTTTGAGCTTTTTCTATCTTTCTTACTACTCTTTTCTGCCTCCTTCGAAAGTTTCTTAGCTTTCTTAACTTTATGACTTTTTTCCAATTTACTTCGACTTTCGTTTTCCTCATCTGTACGCCTGCGTTTCTTTCGCGAGTTACTATTCTCCTCACTCGGTTCTTTCTGCTTTATGGTTCCTTTGAGGCCTTCTCCCTTCACAAACCATTTGTACAATGGTGAGTTCATCTTTGAAGCCACACTACTTTGAACCTCTTTTTGTTCAAACTTGATTTCTCCATTGCCCGATCCATTAACGTTCAGATTTTTCAAGTGCCCATCAAACAATGTTTCCCACCACATATCGCCATCATCTCCGCCTGGGGCTGACCCAAGTCCTTTTTTGTCCCTCTTGTGTTTGACCAAAATTGGTCTCTTCAACCCCCCTACTTTGAGTGCCTCTCCTTCAACCCACCCATACGACTTTAAGTATCCTCTGCTATCCATAACAGAACCTCTGTTGTTTTAAGCGCTGATAATCATGAGAGCTCATCGCGTCTCTTGAAATTTTTCAATTTTAGGATTTTTCAATATTATTAAGTAAGCTTTGGGCTCAGGACATATAAGAATTGGTGTGAATTGAAGATATACAAACCCATCACTAAGTGGATTTGAATGCTATACGGTGCTTCGTTGGTTAAGAAATTTATAGGTATTTGGAGGACTCATTTGATTGGATAAGCGCCTTCCTGAGATTTAGACGAATCTAAATGGAGTTCGACGAAGCCTTGCCAAAAGGCACTAAAAGACGATATTCGCCAGAGCCTGAGACCGAAGCCTCCGAGGACGCCAAAAAGGCAAATCAAGGGCACCATACTAGAAAGAGAGAGAGTTCCACAGTGGTGGTGCGAAACTTACCCATTAACTATAATTATTACAAAGTTCGTAAGCTTTTTCAGAATTGCGGCAACATTGAGCATATCGACGTACATAAAACTGCGCTGGAGGACTCAAGAATAGCTAGAATTGAGTTCCAGGATTATAACGATGTTCTCACAGCTCTGACAAAATCCCACAAAAAGGTGGGTCAAAACGAAATAACGGTCGAAATTCTGCAAAATTCCACTCTATGGGTCACAAATTTCCCCCCTGACTATAATGCCTATGCTTTGCGCCAACTGTTTGGTAAACACGACGGAAACGTCTTGAGCGTTCGTCTCCCGTCTCTCAGATTTGACTCTCGCAGGCGATTCGCGTATGTCGACATGGCATCTGCTGATGAGGCTTCTAGGCTAGTTGAATCACTCAACAAGTCACTTGTAGACACTTACAAGCTTGTTGTAAAGCTATCAGAACCTTCAGAAGCGACAAAGAGAACAGACTCCGCCCTTCTTGAAAAACGGCAAGTACTGGTGAAGAATCTCGATCAATACAAAGTCTCGAGGGAAATGCTTTCGGAAATGTTCAAACAGTTCGGCACTATAGAGAAAATAGCAATCCCAACGGACCACGACAAATCATCGGATAGCACAATAGAGAAGCTAAATAGCGGTTTCGCTTTCATCGATTATTCCGATGCCAGCTCCGCCCTATCGTGTCTCATATTAAACAAGGTAGAACTCGAAGGGAGCCCCCTCGAAGTGACAATTGCGGACAAGAAAGCCTACCTTGAAAGACAAGCTGTAAAGCGTCTTCTAGCCAGTAAAAAAAGGCGAGATAATATTATAAGCATATACCCACTTGACGATAAGACTTCAACAGCTCAAGTGAAAAACCTGATTGTTGAACAAGCCGGAATAGCAGCAAGCGATATCATAACGATATACTTGGTCTACGATCATGAAGGAGCGCTGGTCGCTGCTAAGGATGCTCCTACAGCTGCTAGAATGTCACTTGCGCTCAATGGCTATGAATTGAACAGGAAAACAATTTGGTGTGGTACCATCAAAGACCTTCGAAATCGTACCCCTGGTCAAATTGCTACGAGAAATCGAGTAAGAAAATCTCTTAATAATGAAGCAACACCAGCGAACAAGCTGCAGCCTTCGAACCCCGGCACAAAAATGACGAATGACGACTTTCGAAGTATGTTCCTGGGCAAATAAATGTTCTGTTCGGTGAATACTTATTTACATATGATCTATAGAATCATGCGATATCTGAAAACAAACTTCCATCCAAGTTCTTTATACCCGATATGACGCGTTTCACGAAATTAGCTCTTGTTTCTTCATTATCCATTAATCGCTGTTCCTCGAGTGTAGTAGAAACAATCCTTGAATTTAAAAACTTTGGATGCGTTAATAAGTGTTTGAACGCATAACTGAGTTCTTTTCTCTCCGCGAAGGTGTCTAAACCGTAGAATAGCTCAATTATTTCTGTTTTGTCAATAATCTTAGTTTGAATATTGGATTCTGTCAAGTAGTCTTGATAATCAAGAGCATTAAGAATTCGCTGCAGCATAATTAGTTGAGAAGTCTCTTTAATCGCAGCAATGGAAACTGCTAAGGAAGGATCTGACCACTGTGAAATGGCGCTTTTTATCTGCTCTGAAAAGTAGGAAACAAACAGGCAACATTCAGGTAGAATTTTCTTTCCAAATTTACTCAAAAGCTGCAGTATTATGGTCAAGAGACCGTCGGACCACAACGTGTGCAATTTGGGCTGAGTATGGGGCATGATCTTACCCTGTTGAATAGCGACAGACACTGGGCTCTCAAGTACGACGGAAAAAAGGCCATTGGTAATAAGTTTCTCAGCCACATATTCAACGGAGCACAACTCTGTCAAAAATGTTAGCGACAAATCGCAAAGCACCGGTTCTTCCTCGAAGTTCAATAAATGCGAGCTCGAGTAGACATTTAGAATCGTCTTGATAGTGCCTACTTCGTTCAGTGACGACGCCAAGATCATTTGGAAATCATTGGGCGGTTGTAAGCTCTTTATCTTGGTGAAGGACGAGAGTAAAAGGAGAAGATCTTGGATTTTGTCAGCTAAGTTGACAAGAACAGGTCTTTTCCTGTGTGACACGGACGAGTTGATTTCTGACAACAAAGTTGATAATATTGAGTTGACACCTTTTCCGAATGTCAACTCAAAATATTCAAGAAGATGATCAGCTACGGATTCCACAAATATCTTGCCATTATTCACTAAGGAGCATATTATCAGGACAATTCTAATGAGTGGTCTATAATAAGACAACTTGGATGGTTGTGAGATACTATCCAAAAACCCTACTTCCTTGGATTTTACCATGTCCATTGTGCTCAAAAGCAGATTCATCAATTTTTTGTCTGGGATTGTTTTCTTTGTCTGAAGAAAGGAGTAGAGGATGTAAAAGGCGAGCTCAATGCGCGCCAAATAGATGTCTTTGAAAATGGACCCGTTGGTTGCAGCTTTAGAATCAGATGCTAGTAGGTAAGCGGCGATATCCAAGTATGTGTCATTTAGCGGTACTGGTGATTTTCTAATAAAAGAAGTGAGCAAAGCGCCCCACGATTTTGCGGCTGCTATTTGGTAGTTAACAAACTGTAAGTTGATAGAGGCTGCAACTACAGTGTGTCGGAATCCAGTAACAGAATCGGTCCCGATCCACTTTTCATCCTGCTCGAAATATTGATCCATTAAAGGGATATCAAAAATGCTGGTATGAAAAGATCTGCTGAGCCTTAGAAGAGGTGAGGAAGTGAACATCGAAAGCTGAATGTTGGGCCACAGTGACCGAAACTTGCTCTGTAGAGAACTTTGGAGTTTTTCATCGTAACCATCAATTTGAAATATTTTCTTGACGGAGGATGCCAAATCAGGTTTGTTAAGGACCTTCAACAGAACATTGTTATCAGCTGTTGAAGTGAACAAAGACAAGGCTAATATTTCGGCAATTCTAGAGACGACCTTGTATTGATTAGAAAATTCAATAAATTGTTCTGCGGTTACTTTTTCACTTGTAGTCTGGGGTTGGAACGTTTCCAGTCTTTTGACTAATATGTTGATAAACTCGGTGTCGTTTTCGTAACCTCTTGCGGCCGTCCAGGTGTTGAAGGCGTAAGCAATTGCATCAAGCAAGTGAGAGCTTACGGACTCTGGAAGTTTATCCAACTTCAATGCATTATTTTTGAGAATGGTTAATATAGAGTGTGAAACTGCTGTGCTGTCACTCTCCACTTCTTCTTTATCATTTAGTGATACTAATTTTCCTGTGAGAAACAGAACCGCTAAACCGTCTTGTTTGCTCTCCATGATTGCAGAAAAAAAGCTGTACAAGCTTTTTGCTAAAGTTTGGTTGGTTAGAGGGCCCTTTAAATCGTAAGCAACACAGCTCAATAACAATTTTGAGTTATTGTTTCCCATGTAAGAAAGTAATGAAGGCGCCTCCATATCCCACGGTGCTCGTACCAAGTGTGTGAATAGTTTGATAATTTGAGTACGTTGATCCAAAGTAGAAGCATAAGATTTAACGAAACTCGCTGACTTTGTGAAGATTGACCTTTCGAACGCAGATGGTGGTAAGTTTAGAAGTGATCTCACAGATATTAAAAGGTAGGAAAGTTCAAAGCTTTGCTTCACAAGCTGAAAATATAGCTCTGTAAAGGGAAGACTCTTACGAACGAAAGTGTCACCATTAGTTGACGTGAGTATTGCAATCAATGAATCAACAGCCCTATTGTCTAATGCTGAAGTGCTTAAGAATGCACCTATCGCAAGTTCTGCAGCATTTGATAAAACACTGGTGACTTTCTTCTGAGGCAGCGAGGACGGGTCGATCCCATACACAGCGTATAAGATTTTAGTGATCAAGGATGTAAGTAGTAAACCAATTTCAAGACGCTGTTGATGGTTCGAGTAGTTCTGAAATTGAAAACCTTCATATATGCGAATCATGTAAGTCATCAACTTACCAATAATTTCTTTTTTCATGCGCTCGGGAAACGACTCTTCTATGCTTATTGATTCGGAAATTAAGCAATTTGTCAATCTTATCAACAAAATACTGGACTTGAAATCTCCTGAAGTCCGTCCCATGTTCGCAAGGATGGAAGCCGCTAAGCCTTCCTTTCCATTTCGATCAATTAGATTAGAACGAGCCAAATGGGACCACACGAAATGAGGGAAGTTTGAGATCAACTCAATCATTAAGCCAAGACCAGCATTGACAACTTCGAGATCTCTGGCGTGTAACGCGAGCTCGAAAAGCTTGAACAGCACAGAAACTATGTCACCATTTTCCACATAGCCCGATAGATGTTGAAGAACCTCTATAGATCTCTCAATAGGCGATTCAGGACCAACTGTATTTCCTATCAAATCGATGATTGCCACGGCAAGCTCAGATTTCCCTTTCTTTATCTGATCCTCTTCAGATTGGGTATAACTTTCGCACAAACTCTGAACGATTCGCCCCAAAAGAGACCAACCGTTATATGTGTGCATGAAAACAACAGCATCCTCGGCTGTTGATGAAATGGGGATGATTTTACCGTAAGTGCCTTTCGGAATTGGCATCAGCACATTTTCTTGGCATTCGAACGGTGGCCGAACCAACAGCTCCTCTTTAAGGACAATGAAGTCGCTGCTCACTGAAAAAGTTCCATCAGTCTCAGCCATATCATAAGAGATGTTGGATAGTCTAAGCTTTTCAGTATAAGTATTAAGGTCTTTCCACTCGAAATTCGCAAACTCCGGATGTATAGTAGTAAAGTAGATCAAGGGAATAAGGCCCTCAGTTACTAGTGGCACCTTAGTGCGAATGAGGCTTACCTTTTTTTCGACTTCAGGATTGGTAAGGAATTTCTCAACAAAAGCTTTTGGAGCCTTTACCAAGATTTCCTTGATTGTTTTAGCCGTTTGCTTTGTCATCGTAACGAAGTTTAGTGACAATCCTAGCAAGGAAGACAGGACGGAAGACCACAGCTCGTCATGTTCCACGCAGTGCGAAAACCTCAAAAATGACCCAAGGACATCTAAGTCTTCTGCGTATTTAACCAGGTATGATGTGATCTGAGTGATGGGTGTGCTTCCAAAGACCTCTTGTACAAATTGTGCGTTACTTTCAGGCGACTCTTCTAGTAGGTATGATTTTAATGAAAGGACAAAAGACCAGTAGTATAATATTAACGCGCTTCCAGGTTGGTCTAAAAGTGTACTGTTGATCGCTTTGAAGCATTCAACATCTTCGAAATAAGAAGCGTCTGTGTTAATGGAGAAAGACGTTACATCCAAACCAAGCATAAGCACAGTATTGACAGTTGCTAGCGCTTCAATTTGATCGGAAACCTCGCGTGATGCGCCAGAGGGTGAAAAGCATGAAAAAAATTTGGTATCCTTCAATACTGTAAACCATGATGTGATTACGCCCACTGGGGTGTCTGAGTTTATAATTATAATAGGCAGAAGTCTTAGGATTTTGCCCGCGTAGATTACATCTTGGCAGCTTTTGTAATCTTGTAGCTCTTGTGACCAAAGAGCATCGGATTTGTTTAAAGACGCGGAGTCTTTGGCCACCTTTGATATTATTTCTATCAAATGCAGACATACAGTAGTTCGATCGGTAGCAATTGCCTTGATAAGCTCCCTGCTGGCCGCGAAAGTCTCGTAGTCACTTGTCAAAATGGCGAGCAATGTTTCTACCACTTCATTCCGCTCTTGTAAGATACGCTGGGCGTATAAAAATAATCGGTCCTTTTTCAAGCCACTGCGAAAATGTGTCTGGGCTACGACACGTAATCCATGATGATGGCTGACACCGAGGAAGCGACACAGCTGCGAAGCATCTTTCCAAATTTCTCCCGAGATCTCGTAACTGATGCTTCCAATTTTAAGCGGCTCATGTTTAGAGGCAACTTCCGCACCTGGATTGTTGTATAGGCCTGGGTTCAGTAGCAGCTGACGGTAGTCCCTGAGAAATTGTGAGATCAGGTCCTGGACTTCCAGCGAGCTATTTGACGAGCCTTCGGACGATTTAATGAATTCGCAAACACTGCCGAAGCTCAGATGCGAAATGTCCATTCTCTGGTCTCAGGAAAGACTTGTTAATTCCAAGTTCGGGAGTAAATCAAACCAATTGAGCTTCACTATGTCACCGCTTCCCAAATATTGATCATTTCAATTTTGATGATATTTACTAAAATTTTCGATGTCAACACAATTATATGTAACCCGGCTAAAGTAGTTAAGAGCTACTGCTCTAATAGAACGTGTAGATTGCGCTAATTCGTTATTTAATCAGGTAGAGAAGCTTCAATTCCTGTCCACTACCTTGTCTGTTAAACTTCCATTTGATAACAACCATGCTACTTGTATAATCTGTAGAGAGTTCACTAATTGTTAATGTAATGCCATTTACCAACCTCAGGCGGCACGGGAGCATCTGGTAACTCGTTGGACTCATAAACTACACCAGAACCGGCCCTCTTAATTTGTGGCAACTTTTCATCTGTCACGGACTCCCGAAGAAGCTTCCCCCAGGAGTCATGGCACTCCTCGATAACGGCCAAAGTCTCTTCGACACCCCTGTAGCGGCCATCAAATGCAAATTCGTTGGCAGGCTTGCCCGTGGGTATCTTATAGTTCCGGAACCAGTTCCGGGTGGCCTCTAGCAGCTGAGGGAAATGAGTCTCAACGTCTTCAATGTTCTCGATCTTATGCGCAAGCGGGTCTTCCACGTTAATAACTAGAATTTTCCAGTCCAATTCTCCTTGATCTATGAGAGCCAAGGAACCTAGAATTTTGACTTTCTTGATGTCGCCCATGGAAAGAACTGCAGATCCAATTTCGCAGCAGTCCAAGGGATCGTTATCGCCTTTAATTTCGGTCACTCCTTCGTGTGAACTCACAGCAGTCGGATCCTCCCATGTTTGCGGGATTGCTCCGTAGTTGTGTATGAATCCATGTGCAGGAAAAACGTTATCAACAAACCGAACTTTGCCGCTTTTATTGTCCTGTACTATGGGATTAAATGACAGTTCTTTCGAAATCTCGAACTTTGCGTTCGACCAACGCGGGACTTCCACAACCATGTTTACTGTGCGTCTCTGTTTATCCAAATCGAGAGAGATGTCGTGAAAGTAAGAGCCTACTTCTCCATTTGGCAATTTCAAATACTGTGCAAACTCCGGAGTAAATTTACTACCACGTACAATTTTGCCATAAAAAGGCGCTTCCAGATGAGAATTAGTCATAAGCAACCTTCTCAAGGGCTCTCTTAGGGAATTGAATCTTCGCATCATCGTCAAGCAGCCTTGTTGTAACATCCACTTTGGCGCCAACCTACTTAACTCTTCTACACTGGAGAGCTTTTTCATCCGTTGAAACAATGGGGCTAACTCACGTGCCTTGGTTGATCTAAGCGATGCGAAGTTGTCATTATAAGCAAATTACACAGTTCTTGTATATTTAAGTGTTTACTACTTCATGCCCAGTACATATAATCTCCGTAGACGTCAGTTTTTGGGTATCAATATTTTTTTAAGGTTCTTCTCTAGATGCGATCGGAAAACGTACAGTGGGCCAACACAGTGAGGAATGAAGAATCGGAGATGGTAAAAAGATAGGAGCTATATATAGTTTCAAAATTCAATGAAAACCACCGCCGTATAATTTATACTGGCGAATGAACCTCGGATTATATTACGAGAGTAACGTTGAAAAATTAATGTTATTCTTTTGGATAATTAAATGAGTTAAGTCTATATGATTGAAAGACTACAGTTTTTGATCTGGGATCTGTAATCTGTTATTAGTTAAAGTCTTCTTCGTCTTCTTCCTTGAAAGGGTCCCTCTTTTTTGAGTCAACGCGAACATAAGAAGGTGGAGAAGTTTCCCAGTGAATTTGACCCTTTTCGTTCAGGAACGCGCCTTGATCAGAAATGTCTACAACAGGTTGCAAATTGGCCAACTCGATTGTTGAGAATCCGTAAGGATCACGAGGAATCCATAGATATGGACACTTGGCACTTACAGCAGGATAGTCGTAAGCATGCTTCTCGTTCCCCGGTAAAACTTCCTCATTAGGATCAGGAAGATTGTAAATTTCTGGCAGAACCGCTTTTACAGCCTTGTATGAGAGATAAACATGAGGCAGGAAGTAACGCTTCCAAAACGGAGCAGGCGGCACACTCATTTTCTCCCCATCTGCAAGTAGAGGCGTTGTGACGACACTGTTCTCGTTGTCGTAAGGAACACTCCCATTGATTTCGTATGTGTTTTCACTTCTCACGCTCGTAGTTTTTTGGTCAATTGTAAAGGAGTTGCGGGGTTGAAACTTCCTAATAGCGTACTGAGGCAATTCTTGAATTTCTGTTTCTTTAGAAATGCCTGTTCCACGATAATTGAACGAAGGAGTATCCGAGATGCCGTCTAATGGCTTCATGGCATCAATTGGCACAAATTTCATCAGCCTATCAAAGGAGGAATTAAAATTCAAATGCATAAAAATGGTCACTCCCAAACTGATAGCTTGCATAACGATAGGACCCCATCCTTTACCAACGATAAAGAGGCCAAGCAAACAAATTTGGCCAATGTAGAGACCAACAAATGTTTGAAAAATAGCCCGCGGATAATGGTTACCTTTCGTGTCTGGCGCTTCTTTATAAACGTAAGTCAAATTGTGCAGATATGCCACGTAAAGCAGGAAAAACGATACCGCGCCGAATGCGAGAATAATGGGTGCTATGATGGCATAAGAAAACACGATGACGGCAAGAGTATTGTGAACGGGAAAAGCGGTGCCCCACGCCACAGATCCCAAGCCAACGAAACGATTCCATTTCTTTCTTGGGGTGTTGCTGGGTAAAATGTAGAACAAGATCAAAGTCACCAATTGCAGTAGCAAACCAGATGATATGGAGAAGCCTTGCAACAGAATGTAAGAAATGAAAAAGTTTGAGGCCTTAGGTAGGTTTTCTGCTAGAAGATTCATAGCGGAGGATGGGTTCTTAATAATTGCAGGAACTACAACGGTAGCTGATGAAGCGATCGTTGTGACGAGAAAAGTTTGGACCACTTGAAACGCAAAATAAGACTGCTGTGTGAAATATTCGACCGCCTGGAGAGAAGGAGAGCCTGAAAGCCAGGCCATTTTCCTTATAAAAATAGGCAGGATCATCATTAAAATGGCAAGACCAACGATAGGAGCCAAAGATGTCAGAACTCCGTACAAAACTGTAGGCAAACGTTTAAGGAAACCTAACCAGGGCAAAATTTTGATAAGGTATGTAATCTGAGAGATTATACCCACGAAGGCAACGGGGAACGTCCACAGTACAACCAATGCACAGATTGCACCAGCTGCGAGGTACTTTCGAACAGCTCTTTCAAACCAAAACATTCTCAAATTAGACCAGATTACGTCTTTAGGTGCAATTCCAGCGTGAGCTGGAACCATAGCGAGAGGTTCATGGTGAATTACTGTTTGAGCAGCAATTTGCGCTGCATATTGGGAATCGAATTCGACAAAGACCGAGTTGAATGGAGCCGCCTCCATATGTTTCTTTTGCAGCTCTTCCACTTCTGCATTTAGCTTTGGTAATTCTTCTGAAATGTAGTCGATGGTGTCTACCTTCTTTCCTATTAAGAATTTCAAAGAATGTCTAGGCCTTTTTTTCAAAGGTACATAGTCCGAGACATTGTTAGAGGGGATAAAAGAGGGATCCTTCTTCTTGATTTTGGCAATAGCTTTGACGGCTTTTTTCAGTAGAGTAGTTTCGGCAACCTCAAGTTTCAAAGCCATCTTTTCACGCTCCGCAACTTTTTTAGCTAAACCACCCGCACCTCGAGCAATCCACACGTTCTTCACACCTTGAAACAGCTTCGAAAACTCTCTTTCTTTCAGAAACTGTTTAGGCACAGTTTGGAATAGCACAGTTCTTGAAGAAAGCTTTTTGGCATACCGTGGAGATGCCATGACGACTTGTCTGAGCGACGTGTAGTAAACGAGTTCGCGGTAGATTACAAACAGAAAAGACCAGTAAAAAATCCAACCCACAAGTACATGGGCATAGTAGCGCTGTTTTTTGTCCACGTTTGTGTAAGCAAGCATATCCAGGCCGCTCTTCAACACCCCATTGGCAGCATTTATGGGCAGTAGGATGGGAAACACGTAAAGCGCTGACACTGCAAAAAAGCAGGCGACAATAAAGAGGTACCGGATGAAAAAGTAGCCGTCTAGGCCTGCCTGTTGGATAATGAAATTATCTGATTTTTTGAGCAGAGGCACGAACCACTGCCACAGGCCGCGAGGTAGGGGCTCTGGCTTTTTCTCGTCATTGATCAAGTCAAACGACGACTTGGGCTCGTAGATTCTTTTCAGTTTTAGCCGCTGCAGGAGGAAAAGCGTCGTAAACACCGCAAAGATCGCACCGTTGACGATCAGTGACGTTACGACCTGCTGGGTACTCATAGTCTTCACATCATCTTGAGAAGACATCGTTCTATATTAAAGACACCACTCTCAATCTCACTACCCTCTGTGGCAGCTGCACAGAACACTGACTTTTAATTTTTGATGTTTTGATGTTTTATGTGTTTAGTTCTAGATCTGAGAATGTTTATATTTTTTGACCGATGACAGTTTCAGATGAACCGATGAGCTCGCCGAACACCGTGGAAAACAAAAATAAGACATTCCTCGGGAAATTTCGTTCTGCATACCCCGCAGCTGTAAACAAATCGACAGATAATAACACATTAAAAATCAGAACCTCGTTCTGTGCGCTGCTGGCCTTTCTTGTGGTTTTGAACAACTCATTTTAGAGGTATTGAGCGTTTTTGGCGGGGGACTCTCTTGATACGGGTCGAACTTTAGTTATTCTTTACCTAAAGAACAAACACGCCATAAGAAAAGTTTTGAAATCAAAAGCCAGACTGAATGCACCTGTGAGGATCCTCTTTACGCTCGTTACACATGCCGTCATCTGCTGCTGGGGAAAGTTCGTCTTTGGAGCACTCTCCCCTTCACAAATGGAACAGCTGCTCCTCTTTTCTGGATCCTCCGCGGGATATGCCAAGATGTCAAGTGCGCAAAATTCATATCTACGACTTTGATAACACGCTCTTCAAGTCGCCAGCACCCAATCCGAACCTGCTGTCGTCGTTTCTGATCAATCTGCTGACAGATCCGCAACGACTCAGTAACGGAGGTTGGTGGAGCGAGCCGCGTTTCTTGAAAGAACTTATCGACGAATGGATCGGCTCGCGTGAAGAGAAAAGCAGCCGTTCGGAGCTGGATACAGTTGACGGCCTATATTGGAACCAGGATGTCGTAGAATTGAGCAGACTGTCGCAACAGGACCCTCACACACTATCCATCATGATGACCGGCCGCAAAGAGGCTTTTTTCCAGGATGCGGTCAGCGAGGTCCTTAGGCAGCCTGTATTTGGCAAGCATCGGCTGCACTTTAACGCGGTCTTTCTGAAAAAAGACGGATTTCAAACCACTATGCTCTACAAGACTACATGTCTCACTGACCTTCTTACACATTATGATAAATGCGAGGAAATAACCATATATGACGACAGGGTGCGACAACTGCATGGCTTCCAGCAATTTCTCAATGAGTTTGTTGAGGCCATGCGTCCATCTTTACAGTTCAGCCTGATTCACGTTCCTGGGCTTATTAAATACCTCAAGCCTGCCAAAGAACGAAGTATTATATCGCATGTATTCAAGGAACACAACGACGCTGTCAGTAATGTCGTGTTTCAACCAAACTCGAGAGCTTACGGATTTTACATGGGTAAGATGTACGTTAAAGAAAAACGTTTGGGTGCGGCTTATATTGTTACTGCATCGTCTCGACTCAAAATCGCTAAATTTGCCGCTGTCCGATTTGGAAATCTAATCAATTCAGGGCATTACCATATAGTTGCGAAGTCAGTACTGTGCACTCCTTATGGGGCCATAACAACTCGCAAAGTCGCCACTATGGTGCTCAGTGGTTCTTGCAAAGAGGCTTCCGAACAAATAGTTGAAAGCTACATGCGCTCCATGAATAGCGGCGTCGAGAACTCGCGCATACGTTTTCGAATAACTAGGTTTGGAGTAGCAGCGGCAATGGGACGAATTGTTTGCGACCTTGAACCAGAGGACGATACGCGATACGCATACACGGAGTTTCCAGCCCTAAGGTTGCTTCTTGCAACGACAGATATTCACCTTATCGAACATAGTTCTAACTTGTACCGGGACGAGTTATACGAGTGGACACAGGCCAAAGATTGTGCGGAAATTGTAGACACTGATTTTGGATATATGTTCATTATTACCGCAATCATGGCAAAGAAGCCAAAAAAGTCCAAGAAACGAGCTTTGGAGTTACATTAACTTACTATGCTAATAAGGCGAAGGACATCAGTATATTCAAAAACCTGTATGAGGAAGACAATCAATGAAGCGCTTTCCGCCCGCATATACTATTTATTTATTCTTAATCTAATCTCTACTTATGATCACCAGCACTTTTAAGAATGGTTGATATTTCGGCCACTCAACCCGGGATACCGTCCATATTCACTTTACAGTTGATTTACGTTTTTAATTATCTATATGCGAGCTCAACATAATATTCATAAAGTCTCGAAAAGCGTTCTTCATTCCCCGATGGAGGCTTCCAATTTGCAAATCTATTGGCATGAGTCTCAGCCGATTTATAGTCTCTGCTTTCAATCAATTGGAAAGGCAGATGGAGGAAAGACTAGACTTGTCACTGCTGGTGGTGACAACAAGATAAGAGTCTGGCAGTTGAATCTGGATGAACAGAACCGAAGCAAAGTAGATACCATCGACTTTCTCTCTTCACTGACTCAACATGAGCAAGCAGTGAACGCTGTAAGGTTCAATTCGCACTACGATATTTTAGCCTCTGCTGGTGATGATGGGCAACTTCTACTTTGGAAGAAAAATGAGACCATGGCTAAAGACTTTGGGGTCGACGAAGAAGAGTTTGCAGATTTCAAAGAGTCCTGGTACGTTTGGAAACGCTTGCGTTCCGCACCAGCTGCTGGGGCCTCTGAAATTTACGATTTGTCCTGGAGTCCAGACGACAAGTATATTGTGACGGGATCTATGGACAACAGCATACGAGTTTTCGATGTTCTTGAAGGTTCTTGCGTTGCTACTATCGCGGATCATAATCATTATGTACAGGGAGTTGTGTGGGATCCTCGAAATGAATTCATTATATCCCAATCCGCTGATCGCTCAGTTCATATGCATCGGATAATACGAGATTCCAGCGAAGCTGTCATAGACCTCAAGCTTATTAACAAAATAACAAGAGGAGAGGTACCATGCCGGAAGGCGGCCAATTCCACAGAACTAGATTATGGGAATGTCAAATCTTCATTTTTGTTCCACAACGAAACTTTACCATCGTTTTTCCGCAGACTGGATATGTCACCTTGTGGGAATCTTCTATGTGTACCTGCTGGCATCTTCAAAAATTGTGACAGCTCATCAGAAAGTGGGAACGGGAACGATGAGTTGGCCAATGCTGTATATGTGTTTACGAGATCTTACTTGGAAAAAAGCAGCAACAGACCCATGCTCGTCATACCATTTCTCAAGAAACCTGCTCTTGTCATTTCCTTCAGCCCGCAACTATACCAACTTACAGCCAGTGCGAAGCCTTACGCTCAATTGCCCTACAAACTCGTCTTCGCGGTTGCGACATCTGACGAGGTTTTTATTTACGACACTGAAGTGACAAAACCTATCTGCATCATTGGGAACTTACATTATACTCCCGTTACGGATTTATCTTGGGGTCAAGATGGCTCTATGCTAATGGTATCTTCTACTGATGGCTTTTGCTCATATATATCGATCCACGAAGATACTCTGGGGCCGCGGTACGCTGGAAAAATCAAAGAACAGGAATTAAGCCTCTCAGGGAATGCTCCTTCACTAGTCGTTACAACGTCAACAATCATCGACACCCAGCCAGTAAAAACTAAACGGTCTCCGCTTGAGGCTGCGACAAAGGAGACATTGGACAGAAGTGGCCTAAGTTCTGGTGGATTCAGTTCACCTTCCAGTACAACTGCTTCCGTTACGAAAGGTGAGGAAAAAGGACAAAGTGAAGCAAAAATAGTAAAGCGGAGGATTCAACCTACGTTGATGTTACAAAATAAAAAATAATAGATAGATAGGAAAATCGTGATTGTTGATCCTTATATGCCACTATTGCTCAAAACGTGCTCTTCTAACATTTCAAGAACACATCATCGACTTTTGGTTCATTTGAGTAACTCAGACAGGGTTTCATCCTTTTTTAACTTCTCTTCCATATTCTTTCTCGCTTGCCAAACCAAGAAACGCTTTCGTTCTTCAATGCTGAGTTCGGGGTAATCCAGGCCACTGAGTTCTTCATTTATATCGACCTTATATTTGTTCAAAAGGTCATTAGGCTTGATGTTGCTCTTTTTTCTTGGATCTGAGTTTTCCGGACCTCCAGAGTTTGCTTGCACGGTTTCCGAACCTGCTGTTGAGTCTTGTGCTGAATACCCGGGAGGAAATGCAAATTCGTCGCCTCTCAAGAATTTCTCTACCGTTTCTTCTACAGAGCCAGTGTCCTCTAGGCTGTGCTTAATCTGTTCTCTGTGTAGAGTAGGGGCCAGGCTCTTTACTACATCAATCATGTCTTCCGTGACTGGTCTTTTGGGCCGTCTTCTAGTTGCAGTGGCGTTTCTCGAACGACCGGTACTTGATCCCGTAGCAGAACCGGTGGCAGGTGCTTGCCGCGCAGATGGGTGCGATTCAGATTGAAGTAACCATTTGACCAAGACAAATGTCGCTAAAATGACTGCCAGGAACGCTATAGTTGAAGAGTCCATTGGTTATTGTGGTTTAATAGTTTGGAGGCCTAATAAAGATCTAACAGAAATTTGGATCTCTCTTCGTACTCAGGTATCAAGAGTAACGAAACAGGACTTGGTGAGCCATACTTGTACCACCTCAAAAGCTTGGAATAACGCGATCACGAGCTCGTGTAGTGTTCTATTAGTCCTTAAACTCCATCTTGAATCTCTTTTTCTGATTCTTCACCTTGTAAATAAAAGCTGGAATACACTCAGTTTCCTTCACGTTGTAAGACGTGAAGTGTTTCTTGACCTCAGAGGCGAGTCTCTTCTTGGTAACTCGGGCACCTGGTACTCCAGTCTCATTCCTTTTGAAAGAGTAAGTCTTTTCGCCCAGCTTCGAGCCCAGGATGTACCCCTGAAGCGACAAATTGTCCTCGAGCGGCAACTGAAAATGGTCTTTGTAACGGCGCAAAAACTCGTCAGAGTACGCCTCAAAGTCTACCGGATGCGCTTTCGGAAAGTTGTCCGGGTGGTTATTCTGCACATGCGTGCGTATCAGATCGCGCAAATATTGTTGTTGTGCAGCCGTTAGTCGCTGTTTGCCAGAGTTTCTAGCATTATTATTGACAGCTCCCGTATTTTGGTTACCGGCGTTACTCCTAGCCCGAGACTCCGACTCAGAATTGGAAGTGTGAGCTTTAGGAGGCATGTCTGAGGATTTATCAGCAGCTTAAGCTTTATAAAGTCGCTATTTCAAGAAGAGGTGATAATCATTTTAAAATGTTTTTATTATAAAAACTACACAACTAAATGAATCTCTGAAAGTTTTTAAATACCATTTGCTTTGCCTGCTCTGGAGAGTCCATTGCATAGTTATGAGCTATCTGTGAGAGAAGAAAATCCAATTCTCGCAGAATAAGCTCTCCGCTGACGGTATCCCAAGTGAAATCAGTCTCTGTTAATATACATTCTAATGGGAGTACTTGCAATAGTTTTGACGCAGATTCATGGTTCTTGAAATTGATATAGCGCGAAAGACTGAAAAACAAGCGTTCGTTTGGAAAATTTTTGAGCCACATCCCAGCTAGCGTCTCCAAGGACCCCGTGAAAGAGTGGAGACAGACGTTGATTTCCCTGTGCGGTGATAAGAGCTTCATGCACAGCTCGTACATCAAACTGGGGCACTTCACGCAATGAACTGACACTGGCAGTGAATGGGCAACTGCTAATTGACACATCTGCTCGAAAACTTTTACCTGATGCTCTATTTTTACTTTAACTCGACCTAGGGGAGCCGACTTGTCGCCTTGATAAAATCCATTTTCCGGCAACCTAAATAATTTGTCCAGCCCAATTTCGCCTATACAGTCGCAAGTTGACCTGTCGAATTCTTCTGCAATATACCGTGTTAAACTGACGGGCTCGGGCAGCTGTTCAATCACCCGATTCAGATCATAAACGTTGGAACTGTGCAAGACAGACTTGTAGTGGGTTTCCTTCGAAAGCCGATTGGTCTGATCGTCAATATAATACATATGACTGTACCAAGGGTGAATTCCAAAGCCTACCTTGTTTCCGGAATTAGAAAATTTCAACTCTTTTATCCTGCCCCAATCATAGCCATTGTTGGACATCAAGCATCGCTGAACAGGAAGACTGGGCAATTCCATGGGTCCTCCTTTAGACGTAGTTTTCGTCGAGACATGGCAATGTGCATCTACATAGAAAGCCATGGTTTTTATTACGACATGCCCAATTTGTATGTTAGTAGGAATAGAAGGGTTGATTCCATTATTGAGGGCACTGTAATGTCTATGTACTCGTACTCGTAGCAGCTATCAAATACAATTATGACTAGTGCGTTTAGCTTGGTATCATTGAAATGTAAGCTTATCCTAGAGCTCGCAGCATTGAGTCAACCGTCAGGCCACGAACAAGAGAAACCCGGGGGAAGAATGGGGAAGCCATAAACCTCGCTGACAACTTGGAAAGACTCATCCATTTTGATGTGGCATAAAGCCAGCCTCCCAGTACCGCTTGGTAGGAAATGGGTTTTCTACACCGGTAAGTTGTTATCCGGAAAATATAAACTGCATTTTAATGTCGGCGGCTAATTTGAAGTTGTGATGGCCTTTGTGACTTGAGATTTTTAATTGGACTTCCCATTTTGAGTGCACGAGTTGTTCTCGTCAGTGACCAGCAGTTGACTCGGGAGATAATATTGGATGGACCCTGCTAATTTATCTTAAGTGGCCGTTTGGCAAAACACAAAGCAATAGAGAACAAATAAGCTGTGTGAGTACGACATGCATCCACTTATATACATATAAAACAGCATGTCCATTGCTAACATCTGGCTGTATACGCATATACAGTGCCAAATATTTGATAATTATCGAGGTCTTTAACTTGCAAATATCGTGTTCATTTAAATTAGCTGTCGCGAGTTCTTAGTTTTCCCGTTATTAACGATTCCTAGGATAAAGGGGGTCCCGGAAAATTCGAGCAGATCTAACTTCATACTTCTTCTTTCGAACACCACAAGCACAATACGGTTCCTTTTGCTTAATCGCTTAACTATTCTCAACTTGCTAAGACTGAATTGAAAGGATATGGTTGTCATTGTTGCCTCTTTGTTTCTGCCTTTCCAACCTCAGTTCGAGGTAAGCGGAACTGAAGCCGATAGAGCAGCAGTACTTGAACATGAAGCTGTCAAAGCCCCACAATCAAATACAGGAGGAGCAGGTTCATTGGAAGGTAGTGACCCGACTCGCAGAAATAGAACAAGCTCGGTGCATTCCAGCTCGCCATTTTCAAATCCGGAAAATGTTGCTCCAGACCTCCTCGACTACCAAAGCGCCATTGTCAGTCGAGATACGGAGCCCAATGCCAAAGCTGCCAGTCCGAGCATTTCATCAGAGATGTTCATGGAGAATTTGACAGCAAATGCGGTCAATACTGGTGCCGGAGGGACTCCAGTCAATCCCGTTCACAACACAGGTAATACCTCGGTCGAAGAATTTTTTAGTTCACATCCGGGAAGTGCAATGCAGGCCGTTTTTGGGCCCAGTGGCGTTTCTAGTAGAAACTATTCAGTAACCTCAACTCCAGGTGCTGAGGGAATCTTGAGCCCCACGCCTCAGCATGACTCTACGGCAAACCTGTTGAAAAACGTGAACAAGTCCTTGTACCAGAACATGTTTACTTCCAGCGGAAGTCCTATTCCGGCGGCAGCGTTTGAAGGTAAATCCCAGCCTCATGCGTCTCAACCAACGAGCACTGTCATTACTCCGAAGTCTAGAGACGTGCCGGATCTGAATTCCAGTGTGGTTGACCTTCCCAAAGCCAAGCAGCAACAGCAGCAACAATATTCATTGCCGGCAATGAGAAGGGTTCATCGGAAGTCCTCGGGTGCTGCCCAACTTGCTGCTGATTCAAAAGATCACAAAGGTGCTCAACACTATCCTCCGAAGCATCCACTGCGTACGCATGAGTCTGGTCGTCACATCTCCTCTGCATTGAAAAATGAGGTGATTGAAGAGAGCGATAGTGATGATAACTTCTCATATAATGAGGACGACGAGTGCTACGAAAAATCCACCGTACCTCAATTCGGTGGATACTCAATTAATGCTAAAACCAGAGCTTCCTTACTTATGGGCTCCAAAAATATTTTTGCTCAAGTACCTTGGAAAATTGTCGCTTCGGGCAAAGGAAATGGCGGGTTGAAGAATGCGATATCCACTGCCGCGTCTGAGAAAACGATTGAAGAATCTGTGAAATGGGTGGGAACAATGGGTATTCCAACAGACAGCATTCCTCAATCTGTTCTCCAGAAGGTTAGTCATGAGCTAGAAAATAATTACGAATGCGCACCTGTGATTTCGGATGACATTACCTTCAAGGTTGCTTATAAAAACTTTTGCAAACAGATTTTGTGGCCCACGCTACATTACCAAATTCCAGACAACCCTAATTCTAAAGCTTTCGAAGACCACTCTTGGAATTACTATCAAGATTTAAATCAGCTGTTTGCTGACAAAATTGTCGAATCGTACAAAGAGGGAGATACAATTTGGATTCATGACTATCACTTGATGTTAGCGCCAGGTATGGTGAGAGCAAAGCTGCCAAATGCCAAAATTGGATTTTTCTTGCATGTTTCCTTCCCCAGTAGTGAAGTTTTCAGGTGTTTCGCTCAGAGAGAAAACATTTTAAATGGTATTGTCGGGGCTAATTATGTGGGCTTTCAGACCGAAGAATATGCTCGTCACTTTTTACAGACTACGAATAGACTTTTGATGACAGATGTAGACAGAAGTACCCTGAAATACAAAGGTCGCATTATTAAAGTGGGAAACGAGCCCATTGGTATCGATGCATTTATCTTGGAGGCTCAGCTAAAGGCTGAACAGGTCGAAAATTGGCGTCGACTTATCCGCAGTAGATGGGCAGGTAAGAAACTTATTGTAGGTCGCGATCAATTTGATCGCATAAGAGGACTCAAGAAAAAGTTATTGGCTTACGAACGGTTTCTGCGTGCCAACCCTGAGTGCGTCTCCCAAGTTGTTCTGATCCAGATTTGCCTGGGATCTGAGAAAGATCCGGAACTGGAGCGGGAGATAATGATAGTCATCGACAGGATCAATGCATTATCTCCTGATATAAGTGTTTCTCAGCCGGTCGTATTTCTACATCAGGATCTCGATTTCGCTCAATACCTGGCCTTGAATTCAGAAGCAGACTTATTTCTGGTAAGTACAATGAGAGAGGGTATGAATTTAACATGCCATGAATTTATTGTCTGTTCAAGGGAAAACAATGCACCATTGCTGTTGTCCGAGTTCACCGGTAGTGCGGACATCATGAAAAATGGCGCATTTCTCATCAACCCTTGGGATATTAAGCAGGTCGCACAAACCATCAAACGTGCCCTCAACCTACCTGTGGAAGAGAAAAGACGTCGTTGGAAACAGCTATACAAGAGCATAATGAAAAATGATTCCGACTTTTGGATCAAGCATTCTCTTACAGGAATATTCACCTCTTGGGATTTCAATCAAGAAAGATCTACCGTCTTTAACCTGTCCTACGACACGATACTTTCAAGCTACAAGGCAGCCAAGAAGCGTGTTTTTATATTTAAAATTTCGGAGCCACCCACAGCACGGGCACTGTCAATATTGTCAGACTTGTGTGCCGATAGTATTGTTTACGTTTTCAGCTCATTCTCGAGAAATATGATGGAGAGGCTTTACACTCGTCTTTCTCATGTTGGTTTGATAGCAGAAAATGGTGCCTATGTGAGATTGAACGGACGTTGGTTCAGCATTGTTGAAGACAATTCATGGAAAGCTGATATCGCGAAGGTTATCGAAGATAAAGTTGAGAGACTTCCTGGCTCGTACTATAAGGTGGGAGAGTCGATGATTCGTTTCCACACTGAGAATGCAGATGACAAAGATCGCGTTTCTGGGGTTATAGGCGAGGCAATAACTCATGTGAACACCCTTTTCGGAGATAGAGGCATCCATGCTTATCTGCACAAGAACATCGTTTTTGTACAGCAGGTGGGACTCGCGTTAAAAGCTCTTCATTTCCTCATGGCTTACTTCAACTCTGTTAATTCTAACAGAAACTCTACGCCACAGCACTCGGTTGAAAACTCGCCTTTGCTGAGCCCAATCATGGGGCCCTCTATGTCAGCAGGTTTGATGTCACCAAGCACACAAAGCGCGAGCAATTCTTACTTTAGTTTAGGCCGCAGCATAGCGCACGTGGACTTCATGGCTGTTACTGGATCTACGTCGCCAGTTGTGGAGCCGCTATTTGAGTACGTTAACGACCTTGTCAAGAAGAAACACCTCAAGGCCGGCTACAGCGTGGTGTACGGCGTGTCTCCTTCGACATATGCCAAGGAGCACATAGAGGGTCTCAATGAATTGTTATCCATGCTGGAAAAACTCAATACAGCGCACCAAGACTTCAGTAACCCGTAAAGGGTTGCTATTGTCGAAACATCCATGACGGCTAAAGATATATGAAAAAAGAGAAGAAAACTAGCGATAATATACGACGCCAAAAAACATACCCACGGCAATAATCATAACTTTATGATCAATATAATGAATAAGTGTGAACAAAATCGGCGTTCTAGATAGTGACCATTCTCTCGATAGTTATAGTCACTCTCGGTGACGCTGACAGTACTAAATTCTATTGTCGCACTTGACGAAATTGAAAAATTTTAAGAAAATTGAAGTAAGACTAAAAGAGAATTTCAGCAAAATTCAGAAATACTAGTATAGTTACTCTTGATATAGACTTGAAAACCATTAAACAAGCCATTCAAGATGGGTAAAAAGAACACCAAAGGTGGTAAAAAAGGTAGAAGAGGTAAGAACGACTCCGATGGCCCTAAGCGTGAGTTGTACTACAAAGAGGAAGGTCAGGAGTATGCTCAAATCACCAAGATGTTGGGTAATGGAAGAGTAGAGGCTTCATGTTTTGACGGCCTCAAAAGAATGGCGCACATCAGAGGTAAGCTCAGAAAAAGAGTCTGGATGGGCCAAGGTGATATCATTTTGGTTTCGCTCAGAGATTTCCAAGATGACCAATGTGATGTGGTGCACAAATACAATCTGGATGAGGCACGTACGTTGAAAAGTCAGGGAGAACTGCCCGAAAACGCAAAGATCAACGAAACTGACAACTTTGGTTTCGAGTCCGACGAAGACGTCAACTTCGAGTTCGGCAACGCAGACGATGACGACGACGAAGACGACGACGACGACCTTGACATTGACGACATCTAAACCATCCAGGGGGTTTTTTCAAGCCCTTTCACAGCATTGCACAAACTCTCTCTGTTTTTACCTATGTACCATTATATAAATGAATATATATCAGTGACTCTATCTAGAGGTGTTTGAACTGGATAATATATCATGTGGCTAAGACATGTCTATGCTGGTGGCTCATGCTATGGAGCTCAGTTTTGAGCCTCGGGCCTTTTTTTTATTAGGTTCCTATTTTTCCTCACGTTCTTGGAGTTCTTAGCATTCATATTCTCGAACGACAGATTGCCTCGTCCTAAACTCTGAACCTGTCGATGTCTGAATCATCTCGTGTCAAATGAACCATTTCTTCGCTTTGATAAGTTTGAGATGCTACTCGATGGTGCGTACCTTGGAAGGATTTTCTCACAGTGAACCCTCCAACATTGTTATCTAGGGGAATATTTTCCACGTCTGACTGATGACTGAACAATTTGTCGTGGTTCTTCTTTCTAGCCAAATTTAACAAGTAGACCCCAGTAAAAATAATCAGAAATCCACATACTAACGAGACAGAGTCCTTGTGATCGCTTTGATCAAAATTGCGGTACAAAATGAACGACGCCACTAGCGTTGCGGTCGTGAAAGTCACGTAGTACAATGGATTGACAATTGACGTATCAAATTGATCCAGGGCTTTATTAAAGTAGTTCATTTGGGTCATGATGCATACCACTACAACAGTGATGAAGAAGTAGGTGGACAAATGAGTGAACTGATTGTTACCACTCAAGGTTAGTTTCAACGCTATTCCAAACGCTTTGATCGACATTACCGAGATCGACCCCACGGTTGAACAAATCGAGATGTAAACGATTGGATTCTTTGTACCGTAGGTGGGAACGACTCTGGTGATCATGAATACAGTAAATACCGCGACTAAAAGGGCGTAGCACAGAAATGCAGGTTGCAGTGCGTATCCTAGAATTTCATCCACCGTTTGAATATCCTTGTCTGACGGCGCATGCAAGATGATGATCACGGAGCCCAGAAGACACACGGTGCAACCAAGCTTCCCAAGAGTGCCCAATTCCTCCTTCAGAAATACAGCCGCCAATATTGCGCCGATAATCACTGAGAGCGCGCCCAAAGGCGTTACCATGATGGCAGGTGCAAACGTGTAAGCCGCAAAATTTGCCACCTCTCCAATAGCCATGGTAGCCATTCCACCCCACCAGATCGGATTCTTCAGATACTCATACCCTGCTCCCTCGAAGTTGTTTTGTTCAGAAGCAGCGTTCAGTCCCATTTTCGTTAGGATGAACGAGCTCCCAATAGCTAAAGAGGACGTGATCGCCAGGACCAATCCAATGTATTTATCCTCGAGCATTATAGATCTTAGATTGATAGACCCAATAGTGCCATTCGAGTATGTAGCTTGGAAATCGATGTTTTTCAGCCTTGTTGTGATAAGATGAAGTAGTTAGAACACGTAATTTCAAAAATTCATCATCTCTATCTACGAGATCATACATTATAGGATTTTTATACTTTCTTCGATGTATCATGAGAAGGACGTTAGGCATGCTACGAAGTGTATCATAGTAACCTATGTTTGATTTCATATTCGATGGCTATTTGTATGGATTGTTAGGCTAAAAATTTCTGACTTCTTTAAGTGAGTTTCAACAATCTTTGGTTGTTAACAAAATTCGAGAGCGTATTATTCACGGTTGGCGCTAAACTACTCGAAGTTCCGAACCCTAAACATGCATTGTTGTTCGCGCCAAATTTTCGCTCGTCTATTCAAATGATTCAACTCTTCTCTTTGTGGAACAGAAATTTACAAAAGCCACCAGTAGCCGCCGAGTTCAAAAAACATGATCTGAAGCTCTAGAGAATAATTGTCGGGTACTTAGCAATCGGTACACAAGGATACCCGCTTCTTCATGGATGTTAAGGTAAAACTTTTTCGTAATTAGTCGTGCTTTAATATACGCACGACTACAAGGCTTTATTCTACACTTACTTGGTTTGCCTCTAAGGAAAAACGACAAGCAGGATGGTATAGATGTGGCAATAAGTACCCTCGTTGAAACTTGTCCATCTGATTGCTATTGGACATTTCAGCGTGCCTCATTAGTTTTCAATCGTTCTACATCATCATAAAGCTTTGAAAGGATTCTTTCTTATCGCTGATAGTTGAAAAATCCATACCAACACGAGGAGACGAGGATTCAACCATGAATATTTCTAAATTGTTGACGAGCGTTCTTCTGCTTAATACTATCCAACGAGGCATCAAGAGCATCTAATCCGTCTACATGATGTCTGAACCAAAACTGCATTTTGAAAAAAAAATCGTTCTCGTTATGAGACGTCGACAAACTTGACTTATAAAAATGAAAAAGCTGTTACTGGAATGACCACTGTGCAACAGCTTGCCCGTTACAAGCAAAGGCTGATCGATATCAAGCCACGCGAATTTAAATCATGCTGCAAAGAAGTGACAGAAACGCTCTATGTGTTATTTGATGATATCTTCGGCATTCTAAAAAGCGGAACCGCCATTGACGATCGCGAAAGACTCGTAGTGACCGACACGTTAGGGGTTTGGTTGCTGAGAACCCGTCAATTTGTTGAAGCGACAAATAAGTTGGATAGCCTGAATGACTGCCAAAGCTGGTTAATACAAAAACTGCGAACAGAGCTCCTAGTCGTGGAAAACTGTGATTTTCTATTCCGATACGTGATCGACTTTTGGAACGAGAGTGGAGCTGCTCTTACCAACTCGCTCAACGACTTGTTGACGAAATTGATTCAGCTTGCGAAAGAAGTTCAGAGCGCCGCATTATGGAAAGACTTGCTCGACTCGTGGGTCTCGCAAGCATTGCAAATTCCGTCAACAATGCGTGTTCAATACTATTTGCTCCATGTTCTTGCACCCGAAGCGGACTTGGCGCATGTTTTGGATAAAAGGCCTGATTTTATCGAACACTCCCTAAGCCTCATGTGGACTGAATCCCTAGCCACGCCTATAGGAAAATGCATCGCAAGTCTCTTAATCAACGTGTTTGAACATCATTATGGTAACACTTCTGATTTCAGCGCTTGGTTTACCTTGTGGGAAGGTCCAACAATGCGCTTTTTCCATAATCCCAGAATGAGCGAGCGTATCGAGATTTGCATTCTCATTCCTATATTTAAAGTACTTGACGGCACGATCTTTGAACAGTTCTTAAACCGTAACTTCCAATCCAATTCTCCTGATATGATTCCTATTCTCAAGATAGGTCAAGAGTTAGGAATTGAGGAAGAACCGTTTCATGAAGACAGGCTTGTAACTGTGCGATTCCTCGAACAGCTTCTACGGCAAGATGATTACAAACTGCCAGTGTTTGAACTCCTGACTTTCTCTACTAAAAAGTCGAAGACTATACCGCCGTACATATATGATGTTATAAGGCAAAATATCCTTGTATTTTTTGTCGACGTTGAGGTGAAATCCAGAAACGCATTCCACAGTTCTCTAAAGCACTTTATTGACAGAATAAGAGATTCCGCCTATTCCCTTAACAGAGACTATCTCAAGCTCTGCTCTAAGAACAAATTTCCACAGGAACAGGCTCAAAAATTAGTTATGATAGACGAAGCATTCAGCTTCATTAAGTGGCTCGTGTTCTTTCTGAAGTCACAGTTGGCACCTGGCTCTCAGTATCAGCGACAAATTTTGGCTACCAAAATCTTGAAGACCTTAGTTTCATCCAGCTTAGATCCCACAATAATATCACGGCACTTGGACCCCAGGCTAAGAATGGCATTCCCTTTCCAAGTTTGCCTTTCTCAGGATGAAACTCTTAAAAGATTACTTATTGATGACCTTTCCGATAACTACAATGATGTTCGAGATAATTGTCTTCAACTATTAACGATATTTGCTCAGTCAAGCTCCGTTGAAGACAAACTTGCCAGCCCCCAGAATGACATTTTATTCGAAAAGTGTTTGGCATTCTTGGATTCATATAAAGGGTCTGAGCAGGGTGCTAAAATTGCAGAGTACCTTTTCACTATATCAAATGACAAACATTTCTTTATCAGGAGACTCGTACTAAAACTTGCAGACAAGATTGAGTGCTCGAGTCAGAATTTTACAGCCGGTCTCAAAAACCCAGTGAATGGTTATTTTTTAGCCTTAAGTCTCTTACTTCGCAGACGTGAATTAGCCCATGAAGAGAAGGAAAGCGAAAAGATTCTCGACACATGCATAAGTCTTATTATCAAGAACTGGGAAAATGTAGAGTTTATTTTATGCGATGACCCGTTCGAGAAACCAGCAGATGGGATTCAGGTTAGCTGTGAAGTTTCTGATCCTCAGGTTCTCAGCTACGCTTTTCGATCCATAAAAGAGTCTGCTGAGATGTTGCGAATGCTGATGAGTATGCCAGAACTATCTGAAACTCAGCTTTATGCCTGTGGAAATCTCATGTTGAAGCAGCTGCTCACAATTCGGCACAGCGGAGCTTTTCAATCGCTCATTCCCAGCTTCGCAGCATGTTGTCAACGCTGTAATCGTGAATATCCGTCACAATTGAGGACTTGGCTAGATAATATATTGGTTGCTCTTGAAACTAAAACGCAGTTCATCACACGTCGTTCTGGTGGCATTCCCCACATCATCTGTAGCATAGTTGGCTCTGAGAACTCGGACAATAGACCTCTATTGAAGCTCACGTTTGAGCGATTGATGAAAATTGCACGTCTGCAAATATCTGAGCACGAAGAAACAGTTGACTTACCACAGGTAAATGCCTTCAATTGTATCAAGGCTCTCTTTGTGGAGTCTCCGTTGTCAGATGCATGCGCTCCTTATGTTTATCCTTCATTGGTCCTATGTCTTCAATCTTTTGGCTCACCACTCTGGTCATTAAGAAATTGTTCGTTTATGTTATTCTCTGCTCTACAAAACAGGTTGTTTGGAAAAGCTGGAAAAAACATTAGTGCGCGACTGTTTTTTGCCCGTTACGATGGAGTCAGAGGTATTTTACGCGAGCAGTTCGAAGAATCGATCACTACGACCATGTCTTTCTATAAATCAGGAAGCGAGAAATATGATTCAAGCTCAGAAGTACGCCCCCAAAATGAGTCTATTTTCTTAGTTTTGACCGTTTTGTCGAGATTGAAACAAACTCCTGGCTTTGATGGACTTGAAGATTTCAAAAACTTGGTCATAACATGTTTGGAGTCACAGAACTGGATGGTGCGGCAACTGGCGGCTCGAACTCTACCAACACTAGTAGGAGACATTCCAGCGCAACTTTTTGAGCTCTTGAGAGAGCTCAATTCTTTGTGTCTTGGTAAAAACAAAGCACACGGATACATTTTGGCAATTACAAACTTGGTAAAAAGCACTGAGCAAGAGCCTTCTCATTCCATTGCTGAGAAGTTCGTACCGTTGGTTATGCAGGGAATTCCGGGCTTCATCCTAGAAAACTCTTGTTTAGTTACAGCCAATGCTTATGTGAAGTTACTGGAGGCTACACTTTCTCGATTATCTTTTAAGTCTAATGAAAGAAATTTCGCCGTTGCAAAGCTGGCAAATGTCTTTGTGAACTTGAACGACGTATACTCAACAGATGGGACGAAGCAACTGTTTTTACGATCTCTGCTGCTAGTTCTTCTAAAGATCGAGCATTCGGACAATCTACCTGATATATTGGCACTCGCTTTATTGTCACCTTTTTTCAAAGTTCAAATAGCTGCAGCAGAATACATATCTCAAAATGCCAAATGCGGCCTTTTTGGGAGCAGTGTCATTGTAGAGGCACTTCTGCAAATGCTGTTCGATGAGGACTTGTGGGACTACGTAAGACTGCCAGTTTTGAGAGCATTAATAGCGTTACAAGTGGAAATAAGTCCCAAACACTTGATGAAGATGGTATCAAATACTCACAATGACGAATTGCGCGCAATCGCGCTCGAATACGTTGGTCTCTTCTTGGAACGCATAGATAATGACTACGACGAATACGTGAGACTTTTTTCGTGCGATGAATCGCCTTTCGAAGTGAGAAAATCTGCCCTAATCTCCTTGATTCACGCGACAAAGCGTATTCCCAATCTCAAAATGATATTTCTGATCCGCAGGTTTTTGTATGATGACGACCTCGAACTGCGAGCCATGTCTTCCGCGCATATAAATCAGTTTGTGCTCAGATTGAGTTCAGTCGAGGCTATGACAGGATTTTCAGTAACTGCGCGAATGTATGTGGAAAAGATGAAGAATAATGCGGAAGCCCGCAGTATTGCCTTCGAGACCCTAAAGCAGGAGCTAGAATTGTTGGAGTTTCAGCCGCATGGAAAAGCTAGAGTAGACGAGCTGTTTGAGGTTGAGCTAGAAAACCAGTTCAGAAACACCGTTGAAGAACTTTTAAACGACGTTGCAATACTGGCAGTTGAGACGGATAAAAGAGAGGAAATTCAGTCTTATGTATCATCAACCATCGCTACTTTAACATCTCAAATGAGGACCGCACAGGTGCACGATTCTCCTGCCGGGTGGGGCTCCAACTGTAGGCTTTTTGCTCAACTAGTCGTTCTCCGCAAGTTGGCACAAGACTTCGATGTTACGGGGAGAGAAGAGTTCGATGAAACTCTTAATATGCTCAATTGCCACCCGTTAATTTTTGAACTTACCAGCGGTCCATATTAATCAATAACAGTATAATAATTTAATTGTTTGTCATCATAGTCTAGGATGGCACAATGACTTGAATTGATATTGACCAATAAATGTTAGAGGATCAAGCATAATCAATAAAAAAATAAATTCTATTTCAGAACACAGTGACATATGCATTGCATAAATTTCTTGCGAGCTTTACTTCTTGAATGCATCTACTGCTAGAAGCAACTTAGTATTCTTGGTAACCATCGGTCTTCGTTGGTGTGCAATCTCTGAATCACATTGGTAATTTAGCCGCTCCGAGACAACCGGCATGTCATGGTGTTTCAGCTAGACAGTATATTGCCTACGTTTTCATTCTAATTTCAATAATGACTTCGTGGCCAAGCTGGTTAAGGCGTGCGACTGTTAATCGCAAGATCGTGAGTTCAATCCTCACCGAGGTCGGAAAATATTTTTTTGAAATTTCAATGTAGGGCTATAATTTGTTGGAAAGAGAGATGCACACCGCACTTACTACTTATAAAGATACGATATGTCTTTGTTCAAGTCGTTTAATTGAGCAGGAGAGAAAGACTATGGTAGTTGCACTAACAGATCAATGGATTTCAAACAGATAGAAACAGGCGAAATTAATGCATTTTGGAGATGCGCCGTTGAATTTTTAAATCAAAATGATCTCCTGGCGCTGGGCCGCACTAACAAGTATTTCAACGAACTGTGCAGTAAGAAGCTTTACGAAAAAATAGTCATATCAAGAGATCCAGTTTTGAGGTCGCAAGAGTGGTATTTGGATTGTGGGAAAAGTTATGTTGCCGGCTACAGGTCGTGGAAAAAAAGCCAGGACCAGAACGATCTGTTTTTGTATGATCGTGTCGTGCGCTTGACCGGCAGTTCACAATTGGCTCTAGTAAAAGAAGTCGTGATCCAAGAAGATGTGTTCAATAACGAAAAGGAGGGCCTCGTTGTTTTGGAGCAGTTGGTGGAAAAATTAATCGCACTGGATCAATTGGAAGTCTTAGACATTAGGGATAGTGTCCTTTTCTCGAGGTTTTATTCGCAGTATTTAAAACTCTCCAACCTAAGGCAATGCCAGATCTGGAATGTTGCGGACTTGGAGCAGCTGCAATCTGTTGAGAAGGTGAAATCCCTGAAATTGGTGCTAAAACAACCGAGATTTGATAGTCTTTCTTTATCTCAGCGTGTCAAGAGCGCGCTTTCGCACAATCTTGTGGAATTAGCCGTTGACGACCTGGAGCACTCTAGCCTGCGCCTCTTCCAGTATTTTTGTACCGAAGGGCTTATATTGAAGGCAGTGAGATCCCTCAAGTTCAACCATGTTCATGGTATTCATGACTACAACAAGACCATGCGAGAAATTACTATTCTTTTTCTCAAAGACACGTTTCTACTAGAAAAGATTTCGTGCCTAGAATTTGAAGGGTCTTGCGAAATCACAGAGTGCTCTTGTTTCAACGATTTTCTTATGGACTTAGCGCCGTATTTGCACAGTTTACGTGAATTAGGTCTTATAGAACGGACCTTTATAACTCAAGGTGACCATTACACAGAGGAAAACTGGGACTTAAGCGTCAACAAGTTCGTACTCCACTTACCGGACGTGTCTGAAAGACTCAAAAAGTTATCCATTCGCCACAACCCACCCTTAAATGGAATCACTATAGACTCTGTCGAGGGAAATTATGTCAGACGACGCACACTTTATGAGAATGTGCTTCCAAAGCTTACAAGCCTTGAGTCTTTGATTGCGCCTACATTTCTCCGATCAGTGGCGGCGTACGAGGTGTTGGTGTGCGATCTTTTATGGAATGGTTGTGAGTGTGACTTCTGTGCTAAAGTGTTGGCTGTTATTGACGCTTTCATTATGAACCATCAATTCTACTCATACCCAGATGGCGGATTCAAGGACATTATACCCACAGTTTTTTTCGCTTATACTGGCGACGCCTTGGAACGTCGATTCGTTACAGAGACCGACTGGGATCTGAAGACGTCGTCAATCTGCCCTGTGACACATGCTTGGGATCTACACGGCTACGAAAATATCCAGCATTTTCAGGATTATGAATGCCACTTTGATGAGTCTGCCTATGTGGCTCTATGTACATGCGTGGCACATTTTTTCAATTCTTACATGGATCGGCTCGTCAAGTATCTCCCTAGCCTGCGCTGGTGCGTCTTGTCTGGTATCTATTATGCTGTGAATGATAACAATGAATACAGATCGATTTATGACTAATGATTGGAAGAGGGACTAGCAAGGTCAAGCCAAAACTGAGTGACTGATGCTTGTTTTTCTTCATTTCTTCATTTGGTGCATGCTTGTCAAAATTCGAAAATTTTTAATGATCTTGTCCGATTCTTATGTAGACTTCATTACCAATATAATAAGCTTTACCACAACCATTAGCCTTTCAGGCGTCCAATAATTCGCACAGTTGCCTGTTTGTATAAGGCGTTCACTGAGGAAGAATAACATTGCAGCAATTGCTACGTTTTTCTCAGTCCTTCCTTGTAAATAGAACCAAATCCTTTTGATAGAAGAATCGTTGGAAAGCGTTGACGAAATCGAGATAGCGAATCATTCAGATCCATCCACATCATCCAGCAGTTGCTCATGAATTATATGACTGAGTTACTTACAGCATGTTTTCAATAAAACAAACTCTTGGCTTTCTTTTATGTCTGCGACCGATTGGACCTAAAAGAGGTTATATACACAAGTCATTGTCTTTTCGACGATACAACTCGTCCAATAATAACCAGACGAATAACACATCGAGATGCTGGTCTCTAAAATCACTCCGCGAGGACTTTATTGAGGATCGGCCTCAACCCATATCCTGTATTGCAAGTTCCCCAGATGTCCTGATTGAAGCGACTGAAGGAACCACGAAATATCCCAGACTATGCTCAGACAACATCGGAAAGGCACTTCATGTCAGCTTCTTAAGCTCAACGGACTCAAGGGTGGAAGCGCTAGGTTTGCAGAATAAAGATATGCGCTATGATTTAACGCTTGACGTTATAGTACAGACACTTTCGGTGCTCGAGCAATGTCAGAGATATTATGAAATTCACAATTCATATCTAGCTTACAGGCATGATCTGTCTAGCCTAAGAAAAGGTTGTTCTCCGGAAGATTATGCACAGTTCGTCAAAATTGTTCTCAAGGCCGAATTTTCTTTGCGCAATTTCGTCCTATCCGAAGCACTTTTCTCAGAATACATCAAGTTCCCTAATATAGAAGCTGGGATAATTGATATAGGGCTCGTCACCCTCGTGAAGAACAGAAATTTCGCATTAGTGAAGGAATTTTATGTCCAAGTTTTAAAGAACCCGGAAACGTTTCCAATTTCGCCTCTTACGTTACATGCATTTGCATTTGAAGTTTTCAAAACATCTGATCTTATCTTCATGAAGCAGATCATGCATTCCTGGCTCGATGCAACCTCAGATATGATTCAACCACCACTTAATGAAACCTTTTCTCTTCTCCACAGGCTGCTACTCAAGTTCGAGGACAGTGAAGGACTTTCCTCGTTTTTCTCACACTCAAAAGTTCAAATGGCCAGTTACGAGGGCAGCGAAGAATACGACCTTTGCATCTTCCGCCACGATATGGCCACTTACAAATTCACGAGCGTGAATGAAATTGCTGACAGGATGAACCATCTTTTCCTGAAAATCAAAGAAGCAAGGAGAATCGACTTTTACACCGAAGTTCTGAACTTTGGTGTTTCAACGAACGATTTCTCCCTTGTTAAATTTGCCATTACAAGAGCGCAACAAGACGACACAGTCGAGCTTACCAATGATTTTCACAAACACGTCTGCCACTATTTCGTCAAGCAAGGGTCTTTAACAACTCTCGTGCATTATCTAAGGGATGTCGTCCGAGTAGCCCCTAACTGTCACCTCGGCCATGTCTACGTCGAACAGCTCTGGTGCTGTGCTCTAGAAAACTACCCAATATTATCCAGAGAAATTACTAACGATATTAGGTTAATTCTCAACAGAGAAGACTATCTCCGTGAGTACAACTGGTTAAGCTACATCATTTCGAAAAAATTTAACAAGAGGTCAGGTAAAGTAAGTGGAAGTAGAAGTACAGCCGAAAAGTACCTGACATTGAGCTCCCATTTCAGTTCAGATTCTACTAGAGCTATCCACGAATGTATTACGAAAGGTGATATGATAACGAGTCGAGCGATAATGTTGAATGAACTGCAGCATGGAATAAGACCAAGTTTCGCAGTGTTGTACTCTCTGCTGAAATTATTCATTAGAGATTGTGTTGACTCTGCTCGGTTAGTTGACCAAATAATGCGCGAAACTTACCGCAACATTCCATTGAAGACTGATATTTTATGGCTCAAACATAATACTTTAGAAGTTGCAAGGTCAATCAATAGAAACAGCTTAAGTGTGGCAGCAAAGATAGAGGCAGCGCAGGTAGCTGCCACAAAGATTAAAGATTTCGAGAAAGAAAGACGAGCACATCTCAATTTCCAGAACTACATGCAGCTTTCAAGCATATTCCTCATATTACAAAATGCGAAACTGGCGGCACAACTGCTCGAGCGAGGTAGAAAACGTATGGACAGCTCTAACAGAAGAGATTGGTACATATACTACTCGAACGCCTTAAAAATATACACCCGTGCCCGAGATCCAGTGAAATTCTTGTCACTTTTGAAGGAATGGAACAGCAATACTGATGCATGGCTAGTAACCAATGACACCCTGCGCTCCTGCAAAGGGTTTGTGAAGTACTTCGAAAAACACCCCCCTCGTACCGATCAGATCATACCTGAACGGGACATTATCTCGGAGATTAATATGGAGATCGACACACTTCTGGCAAGATACGTCAATTTCAAATTTCAAGGCTTGAATGATATGCGCATGGTAACCGAATTTTTACAGAACTGGATTGACCAAGACCTACGAAGCAAGCTTCACATCTCCGAGCAAGCCACGTTACAAGAAACCCTAAAAAAACGACACGCGCATTTTCCATCAATGGACCAATAGCAGCATCACACAATTCGTCATTTAATGCATGCGTAAATACTCTCTTTACGCCCCAGGAGGCTTTCAAGGGTCTCAAAACAAATTATTTAAAACATCTAATTATACTGTAAATAGAATCAGCAAGAAGTCCACTCCATTAGACATACATCAACATTGAAGCTAGACACAAGCGAAAGCTCAGAGTGGTGGAAAAATGAACTTCACGTTGTGAAGGACAGAATCTTCTGTTATTTTTCGAGAACGCGATGAGATGAGCTTCATCTTTTGATTTTAAAGAAACCTCTCATGAAACTAAAAAAGAGTATCAATATAAAGACTCTTAAAGTAAGCAAGAAAACAGGAATCTGGGATGGATGGAAATTTACATCAGCTGGTCGAAGCCTCCGTATGTATCATGTTATGGAATACACAAAAACCACTGTACTGTTGTTACTAATTGATGCCCTAACGTAGTCCGTCAACCCACTAAGAGAAATCTCTTTTAAGCTTTTGGAGGCCACCGTTTGCTCTATATGCCAGGATTACATGTATGTTCCTGTAATGACAACATGTGGACACAATTATTGCTACGATTGTATATCAAATTGGCTGGTTAGTAATAATGCCAATGAGTTGACATGCCCACAGTGTCGACAACCATTGAAAGATCCGCCTGCCCTCAATTCCGCGCTGCAACACTTGCTGAACATCATAATTGACCTCTGTGCCCCAGGAGATGCACGGCAGGATAGAACGAGAGCTGAAAGCGTTGCTCAATACAAAGATGATGTTGATAACAATACGCTTTACAAAGATGTATTCAATAACACAGCAATGGCTGTGGTTGATGATGACGATGGCGTAGCACGCTGCAGTAACTGCCATTGGGAAGTGGAAGGAGACGTATGTCCGCATTGTAGTGCGAGAATGAGAAATCGCACTGCGGATTATGATGAAGAGGAGGACGATGACGAGCAGATATTAAGTGATGAATCCCTAGAGCGTTCCAATAATCTGCGATACGGCAGCCATCGGCAAACAAGTGGATTACTTCAGGATGTAGAGGCTGAAAGCGATTATGAAAGTGAGCCTGAAAGCGATATTGATAATCGTCCAACATTCGGTGGTGCGAGGGAAATCCTAAACCACATCAACGAGCGAGACCGCCGACGCCAATCGGACGACGACGACGACGAAAGAGATTCAGATCTGGACTCCTTTATCGTTGATGAGGCGGAAGCAGAGCAGAGCTCCGATCAGTCAGGTGGGTCTCCAGATGCAAATCCGCGCGTAGTCCAGCTTGACGGCAGCGACGAAGATAGTCATGAAAGTCACGACAGTGATTTCTACGAGCACAATGATGATGGTGGGTTTGCGAGTGGGGACAGCTTGGATATTAGCAACAACGATAACGACAAAGACAACGAGAGCGGAAGAAAGGTCCGGAAGAGAAGGTTCCAGGTGCTTGATGACAGCGACGAGGATGAATAAAGAAGTGACTTCGAAGAAATTTTTGCGAGCCACTAGTGAGGACTACATCACCAGCACTATAAATTTAGTGTAGGACTTCTATGTGCCTTAGGCAAGGTAGAAAAGTCAAAGAACCTAACGTCACTGCCCCGCCAGAGCTCATTGCGACCCTAAAAACAAAGTGCTAATATACAAGTTACATGTCTAGGGGTTAATTCTTTTGAGTTGCTGCGACGTAAGTTTGACAAGCTTCGGAGAGCTCAAATCTTACAGCCAGCAGGATACTCTCCGAAATGCAAAAATACATCGCGGAGAACTGAAAAGCACACGCCTAAATAGCCGCCTGGTCTCGTTACAACAACCACAACAATTTCAAGTGATATTTTACCGGCAGACTTCCCACTCGCCAATGTGGTACGTGGAGGGTCCTCAATGGTTCTGATCGTGGAATCTGGATTGTCTCTAATGTTCGTATATCGCGATAGTGGTCAACTTTCAATTTGATTGGCTGAGATATTTCGTTAGTACCAGAAAATTTTCTATCTAGAGTTGATATCACTCCTTAGCGATTTAAGTTATCGGTTAACTTCTGGGAGGAGAAATCAAAACCAAATAAAACATCAGTCATGGCCAATAACGTTATCGGACACCAAAAGCTTTACCAGGCTTCTTCAAAACCATTGTGGTGGAGAAACCCAAGATCGGCTTTCTACTTGTACCCCTTCTACGCTCTTTTCGCCGTTGCCGTCGTGGGTCCATTCCTATACTTGCCTAACACTTTCAGAGGTATCAAAGACAAGAGAAAGTGAGGGAAGTACATAGGCAGTAAGACCGCAACCGGTCAGAGGTTTTTTTGTCTACTTTTATGCTCTCTTCGATATTCTTTCAAACTCTCATTTGGCGTGGATTAAGAATGCCGATATCCTCTTAATTTCATTGCCACCTCATGGTGCTCTCAACAAGGTTTGTGGGACAGGACGAACATGCATGGAACTTGGGATTTACTGCAATAAATCAAAACTTTAACTTATATATTTTCCTTTGTGCAGCGGAAGACTTGTCAAGTTCTCGCTTTTCATGTTCCACAGCGGCTGTTGGGTTATATACCCCAATCCCAAGATTTACTACGACTCTCATGAAACAACCTTCTCCCCACAACATATTGAAGGGGGATCACTAACTAACTAATCGAATACATTGTATTGTGTACTTTTTATAGGTGAAAACAATATTTAAAGGTGTCTTTACGATCGAGCCCGAAACTCGAATGGATGGAATTGATCCCAGACTGTCAGCTATGCCACTACGCTCGTAGGAAAACAAGCTTCGACCCGTGATGTTTTGTTTGTCAAAATCATTTGTCTAATTTAAAGGGCGATTTATATTTCTGACTGAACAAGAAATTATACGTCTGTATCAAATGAACGTAGGGATGAACGGCCTGCAAGCGTGTTGTCGAAGATATTTTTTCAAAACAAGTAGTACAGCGTCAATATGCCGTCGATTGATGAGCCAAAATTCGCGAGACCCTAGACATGTTTTCACTGATCCTTCAAACAACGAGATTCTTGATTCCAAGCATTTTTTCACTAACCCAGGCCACGCTCTGCACACCGACGAGGAAGTAATAACAACGACCATTCAACAGTCAATTAGAACTCAGCGACGTAAACGTGTCAAACATATCTCAAGTGCTTTCATTGTTGCTGTACTAGGTACAATATTCGGTTACTCCGTTGCTTATAAAGTGCTATATCTAAACGAGGAGTCATTCATTCCAGCATATCCAGTCTCTAAGACCCGTAATTTTAGTCATGATGAGCTTAAATTCATTAACACCGAAGAAATAAAAAAGATTGCCGAGTATAAACTGCTGGAGAAACTTTCAATGCATCCAATGATCAAAGAAGAATATGGGGTGCCTCTGCATAAATCCCCCGGTGTTCCTCTTAAATCACACGACTTTCTAGTATGGCATGAAGATCCGAACCCATGTCTCGCAGGCTTCCTAATAGCGCCATACAACTGTCCCAAAGATCAATTCAAATGGCATACTGTTCCCTTTCTGTTCAAATGGAGAATTGTAAACCGATCTATCAATTTTACTGATTTTGCTGACCGCTTACTAGGCCGCTTCGGACTTGGCACTTCTGACTTATTTCAAGTCGTCAATCCTGATCATGAAATTGGTGAATACAAGTACGAGAGACCTATTCAACATACGAAAAACCACCGTATATCCAATGTGTGGTTTATGGGAGAAATGGATTTAGGGAAGAATGACATGATCGTTTTTAAAGGCAAATATCACATTGATGTTAACGTACGACAGGTGGACCTTTTGCGGAAAGAGGGTGACAAACTCGTACGCTACGTGCTCTACCAAGCAGATGAAAAATAGTCCTAAATCAGTCGTCTCATTCATTATACTTCCTCGTCCCAGTTTGTGTATGCATCATCATTTAGAAAGTTTTGTAGAAGATCAGATTGCCGAGCCTTGTGAACGTTTGCTTCGCGTATTTTTTTCTGCTCTTCTATCTTGCGTTTGAGAATATCAGTCTTGGAATGTTTCGTTGGATGCGCATTTGTTTGTAACTCTGACCGATGCGTATCTTGTGGTTTTGGCGAAGACTTACTTGAGTGAGGCTCTGGCGTTATTCGTGCTGGTTTGATCCGATCGAATATACTTTTTCTATCGCTCGTGGAAGGCCTCGAGAGTTCTTCCGAATCGTTGTCTTCACTCGACTCGCCAACGTCTACCATTCCAAGTCTCGCTGCTAAAGGATTTGTTGATTTTCTAGTTGCAGAATTCACAGATTTGGAATTTCCTACAGCATTGTTCCCTTTGCTGGAGCTCTCGCGACGCGCTTTTTCACGGGGTTGTCCTTTGCTAGAGGCTGGCGGCCTTACTTTAGACGTCCTTGATTCTTCGTTTCTGATGTCCACCATACCTAATCGCGCGGCAAGGGCATTAACTTTGGGGTCACTGATGGTTTCATCATTTTTTGATTTACCAGAGCTGCTGCGTCTCCGTGAAAAAGGTTTCTCTGTCTTTTCTCTGGCTGAGCCGTTCGCTTTATCAGAACCTTCATTTGGATTTGCCCATCTACTCGATTGCAGCCCGCCGGTGCTCGGCGCTGGTTTCTCTGGTGATGAGTTCACCAGTTTTGCCTTTTTCGAAGACATCACTCAAAAGATAGTTTAGTCGATAGTTCTCAGCTAGTACGTCCGTGAACAGCCTGTAAAACTGCTCCAAAAAGCTCTCGTTAGCTCCTGAGTCACCACTTAGTAGTTTACGAAAATCGTTTTGAGTTTCAGTCTGCTTTAATTTTGAATTATTGATATCTCCGAATATCACAAGGAAGAGAAATTTCAGATTTCCGAGCCTTTATCTCATCGCCTTTTGAAAAATAGGTACCAAAGTTGCGATAGCCATGAGCAACAACGCACATCGCATAGCTTCACCTTCAGAATATCTGGAATATGAAATAATGGACATCGAACCAGAGAAAAGCCACTTACAGCGACTTTCCCATGAATATTTAAAGCCTAATATCGGGTTGGTTTATTTGTTGACGGCTAATCTGTTTAATAGCGCGATGGTTGTTTCGACAAAGCTGTTAGAGACAGATCCGACCTTAGAAGCTCCTATAACGCCACTGCAAATTTTGGTGGTTCGAATGTTCATCACATATGTCGGCACGTTAATATACATGTACTGGAACAGAGCTAAAATCGACCATGTTCCGTGGGGTCCGCCCGAAATGCGCAAATGGCTAATACTTAGAGGATTCACTGGATTTTTCGGCGTTTTTGGGATGTATTATTCCTTGATGTATTTATCAGTCCCAGATGCTACAGTAATAACGTTTTTGGGACCGTCACTCACGGGAATATTAGCCTGGATTATACTACATGAAAGGTACTCTAAAGTTGAAGCACTAGGTGGTGTGATCTCGCTTTTTGGTGTCGTGCTAATTGTGCGACCAACGTTCTTGCTGGGAGGATCCGGAACTGGTCAAACTAACGACGCTGTGGAGTCGAGTGATCCAAAAGATCGGCTTTTCGCAACGCTTGTGGCGCTCGTCGGTGTTCTGGGCTCTTGCAACGTCTACATCATCATTCGTTACATTGGTAACCGGGTTCATGCCATTATGACTGTCTCATATTTCGCTCTCATAGTATGCGTCGTGTCCTTTGTCGGAATTTGTACTATTCCTTCCATTGGGTTTCAAATGCCACAAACAGGTAGACAATGGTTTTTGTTCTCACTCATAGGATTCTCAGGGTTTTTCATGCAACTATTGCTAACCCTGGGTATTCAGAAAGAGCGCGCTGGAAGAGGCGCTTTCATGGCGTACTCTCAGGTAATCTATGCCTTATTATGGGATATGATTATATGGCACCACTTGCCGGGCTTGTGGTCATGGTGCGGGATGATTGTGATCGTAGGTTGCGGTATCTGGGTCATTCGCTTTAAACCCAAGCCAGAGATTACAGTGCTGACTGGTCAGGACAGTATTCAAATGGAGAATTTTGAAATTGAAGAAGAGAGTCAACAAAACAAGACGTAGATAGCTCCACCTTGGTAGATCGGGGTGGATAAAGCACGGACAACATCGAGGAAATTATTGATAACTCATGACACAACGTACAGACATTTTTATTGGTTTTCATTTTTTGATACAGAAGGTTATACGGCAGAAGTTGAACGATATAGGAAGCCTCAAAATAGAGAAGAATGCCTAAATTTCCAATGTTTCTCTTGATAAGATATCTGAAGTCGCTGTCAAGTGGCGCATCAGAAGACGCAAATACAGCGAAGACATCTAATTGTATAGAATGAGAGTGTCCAGTAACTGTGTACACAGGTACTCTGCAATAGAATGCCCCGCACATTGCCGGAGTTGGGAAGCTGGAAGAGGTTTGTATGGGATTTTCTCGCTATTGTGCTATGCTTGTAGCAATAAACCGAGACGGTCTGGGCGGCTTAAGAAGTGTAAATAAGGTCCAGATGATGCAGTGTCATGAGTAAAAGACGAGGCATCAACTATTTCATCGAACGTCGAAGAGCCTAACTTCACGTCCTTGTCTTCAACAGATATAGTTTGAATACTAATGAAATTGCAGGCTACACGTCAAAAATTTCCTAGCCTGTTAAGATCGATATTGTCTCGGCTGCATCCATAGATCTGACAACAGTAGTGTTACGAAGTAACTTTATTTATGAACCGTTCTAGAATGCCTAATCTACTTTTGATTCGCGCGACAGAAAAGGATAATGTGATTGTGGTCCGCTCGTCTATCGCGACTATAGGGATTCAATCTAAAGGGCGCTCGAAAGCCATTGTTCTAAATATATTTACTCACTACTACAATTCTAGTCTAGTAGCACCAACCAGCATCCCTTATTGTCATGTTAAGGCGACAGGGACTAGGGAAATGTTTCATAAGGTTCCAAAGCCAGTTTGCCTTCAAAAAGTGGGCTGATCTGAATCTATCGCAGAAGCAAGAATTTGTCCAAGGCTTTGTCGAAAACTATAGAAAGCAGTATCCAGGTTCAAAGACAAATGTCTCCTTGAAGGGCTTATCAATAGGTATGGAAAACCACGGAGACGCACCTGCAGTATTTGGTATATTTTATGATGATGTTTGGGGCCTATGTAAGAAGTCTAAAGAGGCTCTATATTCTCAAGAAGAGCAAATAGTGCGAAGAAACGATATCAAGCAAACTGGTAGATTTGGCCACGAGAGCTTTTATGATCTTTTGGTTGAGCACGAAGCCTGATTTAGTCTGTTTGAATAAATGCTTCAACGATCAACGTCTCTCAACTCCCAAAATGGACACAATTTTCTTGGTCGCAGCCACTACATCTTCGTCACAGAAACGTTTACCCGTGAGCTGTAATCCAACAGGCCCGCCGATATAGTTTTTGGGATCGTATTTGATTTCGTTGTTTTCGTTGTACCATACCATTCTCTCGTACTCGTTATCTCTCAAGTTTGGCACTTCTGCATCCTTCTGCACATCGTGCGCAACCCCTACTGGAAAGGTAACGTTTGGATAATCTGCTAGGTTCCAAAACGAGGTGTAACCCCAATAAAGCGACTGGCCAGCAATCTCAGCGGGTCCGTTGTAGGTTGGCGAAAGAATGAAATCGAGATGGGAGAAATACTTCTGGAAAATCTCGACTCTTAACGCATCTCTTTGGCCGTTCATCAATTTGTTTTCATATATGGAAAGTTCTTTGCCACCACCAAAGTTCATGTAGTGTTTGGTGAGAGGTAACAGTGGCTCACCGCTCGGAGACCACATGGACAGTTGAACCTTGTTCCCATCACAGGTATAGAGACGTAGGTTAGTCGTATATATATCAATCATCTCTTCCTCTGAGAACCACTTTGGGTTCAAGTTCACAATCTCGAACTCTGGGTTTGCGGACAGCTTTGCCACTGTTTCTTTCATACCCCTGGAAACGGCAGGAAATGGAGTCACCAAATTGTCATCGTATAAGACCCCGATCTTGATCTTAGCTGGTAGCTTAGGTTCACGCCATTCTATAGGAAGACACATCGGGTCATACAGCCATGGCTTACCCTCATTGATATAAGCGCGCATGTAGGTGTCCAATTCTTCGATTGATCTTGCAAGAGGACCCTGAACGGCAACAATAGACTCCTGGCCTTTTCCACTTGACAAGCCATTCATCAGTGATATACGTTTAGTCGTGGGTCTTATGCCAAAGATATCAGTAAACGCAGCAGGTGCACGAATACTACCACCAATATCACTACCGTGGCCGATAACAGAACCATGCATGGCAACAACGGCAGACTCACCGCCGGACGAGCCACCTGAAGATAGACGAGTAGAACGAGGATTTCTGGTTCTGCCAGTGATGTTATTCAGTGTATCCAGATGCATGATACCTTGTGGCTGAGCGGTACGGACATGAAAAACGGCACCCAACTTGTACAAGATAGTGATGGTAACCGCTTCATTTTCTGGAACATTTTTCAGGTACGCGACGTACGAGGCGGTAGTGATTTTATTCTTGTAGTTCATATGCTCTTTCAGCGAAACGACCACCCCATGTAAGGGTCCAACAAGTTTTTGGTTTTGCTTCAAATACTCGTCCAGCTCCTGAGCTCTCTGTAAAGCCTCAGGAATTAAGAATTGCATGACACAATTGGTAGTTAGCTGTGCAATGATTGCAGCCTTTATGTAAGCTTTTGTGATTTCTAGAGCAGTTAGTTCACCGTCCAGTTGCTTTTGAGTAAGGTCCGCAATGGCGAGATCTCCAACAATGGCCTGTTCCTTCGAAGACAGAAGGGACCAGAATTTGGTAGCATCGATAGGCTCAGAATCTAGGATTTCTGCGGATGGGACGGCGGCAACACATTTCGTGTAAAACTCAGGATCAAATTGCTGCATTTGATCTACTGCATCCTTATTGTAAGCTTCAATAAGAGGCTTGAAGGTTTCAAACTTAGCAGCATCTTCAGATGCGTAAGCCGAAGTTTGGGTCATTGTTATTTCTCTTGAGTATGGTTGAACTGATGTTTCTTGCGAGGTCGCAGCAACTGATCGAACTGACCTAAAACGAAAAACACCAAAAGAAGACTTAGGAAGAACAGACGTAACAGCTTTTCACCAACTGCATTTATAGCCATGTCTCTCACTGAGTTCTCCTTGATATGTTTGATTTTGACGATTAACAGTGAACGAACGCGGCGGGAAATTTCTTGATCTGAGATAAGACTCAACTATAAGCGACTATTAGGGAGATAAAGCTAATTCCAGAGGTAAAAAAATCCGAGCGCCCGCCAATTGCAAACAAAGATGAATGAGTTAGATAAGTGATTAGAAACGCGCTGGAACTCGAATGGACTTTATCAATAATTGTGCTGATTTATGGCCTCTCAATAGCTTGACCTATCGCTCACGTGATGTTTGAATCTCTCATTGAGATATGATCGCGATTATGCTGCCCGAAACGTACTGTTAACGTATGGCTGGTTAATAAGAAGCGCGAGGAACCGAAAACTTCGAAGCTGCTCTCTTCTTGTCTCGGAAGGCTGTCTAGTAATAGTGACGGCACGTTTTTTTTAAAGCGAAGTGCATGGTAGGTGTTAAGAAAAAACCTCTCTTCGTGGCGCCCGAATGTGATTCTCGGGCTGCGTAGATAAATCGATTGAAACTTTGATCGTTTTGTGAGGTGAGATGATGCGGACTCTAGTTTTGACTATATTTGACGCCGCAGGTGCTAACATCGTCACTTTGTACAGTAGTGGCGCAATTGAGTGTACGTGCGACGACGAATCATTGGCATGCTCATCAACACGTCCCTACCCTTTTAGTTATACGGAGACTACCTCTGGATCTCATGTTTATTTCACGATTCTATGAAAATCCGGAAGTAATAGCTTCCAGTTTTACCATGACAAGCTCGAGAACCGATAACCGTTAACATCAAAACGATATCTCTTTCGCGGAAACTTCCGCTCTCGAACATGACATACATAATAAGAGCGAACCGTCGCCTTTCTACCCGTGTAGACAAAGCTCAGCGGAAAGAAGTTGACCCTATGGCTAATCAAACCACAACTGAGCTGAGCTGGCTCTAGTGTGGTTCAAAAGCTATATGTGGTATGACTCGTAGATAATGACACACTGTTCTATAACGTCTTGTTATTAGGAAATATCGGCACAGTTCAGCCCACTCATTCGACTGTTGTTGATCTTGGCAGAAGGTACCTCGCGCTCATGTAAAACTCAAAAGGTATCTTCCATAACCCTCCATCCCAGCCACACAAATTCCCAAAATGCTAATACTAAGGCTTATTTGCGTACTGAATGACAAGACGCAAAGTGGCATATTCAAAACTCCCAGTCTGACATATCGTTTGGTTCTATGTCTTACTCAGACACACACAAGTGGACAACTTTCCGAGGAGCTGAGGATTATCAGTAGTATCCAAATGAGCAACCGGAAGAACACAGCGGCCAACTTGTTGTTGAGACAATACAGAGAACTAACAGATGCGAAAAAGGCTATTCCGTCGTTTCACATAGAGCTTGACGATGATTCGAACATATTCCTCTGGAACGTGGGCGTGATGGTGCTGAACGAAGACTCGATATACCACGGAGGTTACTTCAAAGCACAAATGCGGTTCCCGGAGGACTTCCCTTTCTCACCTCCAACTTTCAGGTTCACACCTGCCATATACCATCCAAATGTCTACCGTGATGGTCGGTTGTGCATCTCGATTCTTCACACCAGCGGTGACCCCACGTCCGAGGAGCCCGACTCCGAGACGTGGTCTCCGGTTCAAACTGTTGAAAGTGTGTTGATATCGATTGTTTCGTTGCTGGAGGATCCAAACATATCGTCTCCGGCTAATGTGGACGCAGCTGTGGACTACCGTAAAAACGTAGATCAGTATAAACAGCGCGTGAAGCTCGAGGTGGAGCGTTCTAAACAGGACATCCCGGACGGGTTCGTGATGCCTTCAGCTCGCACGGCGTACGTTTCACAGCGGCACGCAGAACCTGAAGATACACGAGACTTGGGCGACAACTTCTGGTACGACAGTGACGAGGATGACGAAGACGAAAACGAGCCTGCGGCTGATATCTATGGGTACGGTGACGATGATGACGATGGAGAGCAAGACATTCAGTTCGAGGAGGACGATGATGTGAGCATAGACAACGACAGCGTCATGGATCGCACACAACCCAGCAAAGCTGAGGATGAAAGCGAGGATTTAGAAGACGAGATGAAGTTAGAGAAGTAATTTGGAGGAGATAAGGAAAGGCGTTGGGAATTTTTGAGCGCGGCATACTTTCGCTCTCGCTGAAAGACGTATACCCCCGCTCACAAACGCACTTTTCTCAACAGCCAACAATCGCATAACCCCGTGGTGATTGACTAGCACGGTAAAAAATACAGCTCAGTCATGGCATCACATCAAGTACAGGCCCGGGATGATGTTTATTAATTTTTGTTTTTTTTTTTGACGTTGGGCTAATTCGCACGACTGCAGCGTCTACGATGGTTCGAACGAAATTAAAGGGCCTCGTTTTACAGGTTCCGTATTAACGGCGACACGCTGGCTTACGCACCTTAACGTTCAGGCTGCAAGTTCTCATTTTGAGGCACTTTTAATTACTAAGTAATCGCAGCCCACACTTTCCATACGTTTTTAGTGAGCATAATAATACATAAAGGTCCTTGAAAGTGTTATTGGTAGTTTTGAAGACGTTAAAGATAAGACAGAATACTACAAGCGCCCAACGCTCCGTGATGTTACACGGCAAGAACATTCACAGTCTTTTACAGGAAACTTTGCGGCCTGTGCATACGTTAACTTCTGATCATGAGGCATTATACTCCTCTATAATAGTTTCAGGAATCAATGGCAGTATTATATCGTACGCCAATTCTGAAGTTACACCTGCGACGTACAATAAATCCAGCAATAACCTTAAAATGATGGCACTACTTATACGTGACAAGTGGAACGAAGACCAACTGGACTCAGGCGCTCAGACAACTTCGAGTTGTTACCGGTGTGAGTTGGCCGAAGGCATGGAATCCACGTACATCTACACATACGAGCTCGAAGACTTACACGCCTGTGTTGCACAAATACCTAGAAGCGACCTATTACTGCTGTTCATAGCTAGTGATCAATATCCTTTCGGGCTCGAGGTTCTCAAGCTGAAATCCGCTATTAACGCATTTTCAAGCATGTACGGGTACAAGCTAAACTGATCAAGCTGAAGACAGATAATCACATGCGGTTTGATCGAGCTTTACCTATCGTGAGTTGCCAAGTAGTAGATGTCCGCAGACCACATGACTTGCAACATGCCTTTACTCTCTCACATGACCGAACGCGAATATATCCTTTAAAAAAAAAAGAGAGATCGCGTAAAAAATGTGTATACTTTAGTTTAACTTAACAAATTGGTCCAGGAAAATACGATCAATCATCATCACAACGAGCACCTTGTCTTCAACTGCTGCAGGAGTTGACACGCTTATTCACAAGGACGTCAGTAGATCTTCGTGTTATTAAAGTTGTTACGCACTGCTGGTGGCTTCTCAAGACATGTCGACCCTGAAGAGATCACCTTTGAAAGAGACCAATAGTAACGTCAAAACCGGGTTAAATGATATGGTGAAGAAAAGAAGTGTGGAAAGACTGGAGATTCAACACCGAAAAAGAGCCAGGACCACGGATGGTGGTCGCAGTCGAACCATCGAAGGTGCTGTTCAACAACATAGACACGCGGATTTCAAGAAAATGAACGATGAGAGTGAGAGCCAGAACGCGACCAAAAATACCAAGATTGCGGCCAAAGTTACGCCTCAGGACCTTCTAGAATGGCAAACGAATTGGAGACGTATTATGCGTCGTGATACCAAGATCTATTTCGATACCACGGATGCATCGCACAAAAACGAGAAAAAAAGAGACCTCTTGCGACGCGGATTTGCCTCGCTTGGAGCTCAAATGACTTCATTTTTTGATACTGATGTGACAATTGTGATCACGCAAAGAGTTTTGCGAGATTACGACCATTTGCCAGAAACAGATGTGGTGGCGCGTGCCGCCAAGCGATACATGAAAATCTGGAATTACGACAAAGCCACCAGGTTTTTAACCAACTTGGACGTGGATCTGGAATCTTTAGAGAGCAAGACTCCCTTGGGGCCTTCCACTTTGTCAAACTTACTACACAACGAGAAAATTTACGGACCAACAGACCGAGATCCAAAGGCCAAGCGTGATGATGTGCACTATTTCAAATATGCGCACGTCTATCTGTACGACCTGTGGCAAGTATGGGCTCCAGTGATCATTGCGGAATGGCGACCTCAAGAACTGAGCAACCCGGATCGTTTGCCTTATCCTACTGTGAAACCGGGATCTTTCGGAAGATGTCCGTTTATCGGGGATGGTCAGTGCGATGAGTCCAGCGCCAAAAGAATAATGAAGCGGTACAAACGCGACCATTTGAACGAGAAATTTGCATTACATTTACGAATCCTATATCAGAGATCTGCGGAACCTCAAATTTATACCTACGAGGAAATTAAAGAACTCAAACCCTTGATGTTACCACACAACTATCCTAATTCGCAGGAATGCCATCAAAAATTGATGGCTGCTGCTCAACCGCATGACGAATCACGATCTAACATATCGGTGGAGTCGATCAATTCGAAAGTGGATTCTGCTAGATCCGCTACACTCAAGCCACCTTCGAAAGCTATTTGGAAGACGCCCGCTCACAACCAACCGGTATTGCTGCTGTCGAGGCAAGACACGGAGGACATGGCCGATGATTTGTGCCGTAAGAAACCGCGCATCCCACAAGAAATCAAAGCCAGCGGCGTGGTGCAGTCGAACGACGGGTCCACGGTGCAAGGCAATGGTTTGGGGCCGACCCGGGCATCGGTAATGAATAAGAACATGAAGTCGCTCAATCGATTGGTGGTGGATAAGAAGTTCAACTCTGCGATGAATACGCCAACGCTCAATCCAGCTGGCACCAGCCAGGATTCACATGTTGCTGGTGTCACTGGTGCCACTACCACCACCACCACCACTGCTACGAAAGCGTGCGTCGTTGTGGAGGAGACCATCGCTTCTACTACCAACAGGACCGCGACCATCACCGCTGCCGAACAGGCCAAACCTAAGGAAAAGAAACAAGACGCCAGGAAAAACGATGTGAAACTGGGCGCCGGCTACTGCGAAAACTGCCGGGTGAAATACGAGTGTCTTGCCGAGCACATCGAGTCGGAAAAGCATCTGGAATTTGCACACGACGACATGAATTTCGAGGCTATCGACTCGCTTATAGAGAAGCTAGCTGCCTCCAGAGCGTTTGCCATCGAATTGCAAGAAAACTACGAACCAAGGTCATCGGCTTGCTTATAGAGAACAAATGAAAACCGACTCGCAAGAGAACAGATGAACCTCGACTCAATTTTCTTACCGAGAAGCGCGCTGCCTCCATGGCTTTTGCCCGCAAACCTCGGCTACCACGCGAACCTCGGCCATTACGCGTACCTCGGCCTCAACGCGCCCTTTTTTTACCGGCCCATCCCATCCCATCCCATCCTAGCCTTACAACCTGCATGTCCGGCAGAGCCACGTATTTGCAGAACTCGCATTTTTCACTATGTACAACCCACGTCACGTTTTTATCTACTTGCATATATCTTAGTCAGCCGGCACTACCGTCATGCACGTCACTTCCAATTCCATATCCAATTTCAATTAATCTTCCCGCCCTCCGCCTGCTTGTGCTCCGACGACATACCCATGCCAAGACCGATAGACCCAACTCGTCACAAATTCCATTCATTCATCACCAGGCTAACGCTTCTTGTCTGGGATTTTCCGACGACATACTACGGAAGGCACACACACATACACACCCAAAAGTCAAAAACTCTCGATCCTCGCTCGCAGCCTGCACTCGAAAGCAAAAGCACAAGCCAGCATGGTTACACATAACCGAGGTGGTCGCTGCGAAAAACTATCGCCGATCAGGGGCAATTACACCATGCAATGCATCACTAATTCACAAGCAGCGATTACTTTCATACACGAGACTCTAGCGGGAAATTGCATGGTGACAACAAACAATCCAAAAAAGCCAGTACAGCAAAACACTCAGCAGACCAAGCGGGAATATTGCCCCGAGGAACCGAAACCCGGTATCTGGGGGCAACGCATTCTCGTTGACAGTGATAGGGATACGAGCCCGGAAATTCCCAAAAGAACTTGCACAAAAGAAACGGGAGGGGAGCCCCCCGAAAAACGGAAAGGGAAAAAAAAAAGAAATAAGGCGGAAGACAGGCCGGCGCTTAGTTAATCAACCGAGCCCGAGCGCGCTCCGGTTTTTTTGTTTTTTTATATTACGTTCGGAATCCCGGGGCGTGAGACACTAATGCCGGGCTTGCATCGGGTTTGAAAGCGAACCAGACAATGCGGAGGCCGCATAGAGCATTGTCACAGCGACAAATACACAGGTTTCAGTTCGGGTTTTCTTCAGCTCGGATTTAAGAAACTACGACTGGTTTGTTTTTTTTTTTGGGTTTTGGTTGTTGTTGTGTGTGTCCTGCCACCGGTTACGATGCAATAACGTCAAGGTGCCTGGTAATGATGAGAATTCGGTGACTAGCAGTGTCAAACGAATGGTCCAAGAATGAAAGAAAAACGCGGACAATAAAGCGGATTTCCGTACAGCTGCGAAAGTGGAGTGAATTGGGCTGGGTTAGGAGTTACAATTTGAAACACACAGGTAAATAGGTTACTACATGACAAAATAAAATCCAAAAAAAAAAAAAAAAGAATTTTCGCGGGCAGCGGCAACTAAAATCCGAGATAATAGCATGCAAAAGCGGCGGACCCGGTCCATTGTTGAAAATGCCAGCATTCACAGCAGATCGACGCGACGACGACGACGACGACTAGAATGCTATTTGTCACTGTTTCAGCGCAGGCACAGTGTCTGAAAGCTCGCCACTCGGCAGCAGGTAGTTGCCGTGTATGGTTCGGAAATGTAGTTTGTAGTGGCGCACCATGTTGGAACGCGCGTTGAACTGGCGGCCGCAGTCGAGCACGGGACACACAAAAGGCTTGTCGCCCGTGTGAATGTTGATGTGGGTCGCGAGCGACGACGGGCGCTGGAAAGTCTTGCCGCACTCGTGGCACGTGTACTTGAGCTGGCCTTTGGCGCGGACGGACGAGCAGGCCGCGGACGGCCCGGGCGCCGAGCCCGGCGGCGACGCGTTCCGGCGCGCCGAGTGCTTGCCGCCGTACTTGTAGGCGCGGTGGTGGACGTCTTCCGCGGACCAGTTGCGCTTGAGCGGCAGCCGCGGGTCCGAGTACGCGTACGAGTACGTGTCGGCCGCCAGGTCGTCCAGACCCGTGGACAGCAGCTGGTGCAGGTCGACGGACGCAGACCGTGCGTCGTGTTCTTGTTCGTACTCGTGCATCGTCCCCGAGTCCAGCGACTCCCACGACGCGCGCGAGTACCCGCTTTCGGGCCGCATGCCCGAGCTGCACGTGTCCACAAACACAAAGGAGTCGTGCGGGAGCATGTCCGTGTAAGGGCGCAGCGGATCTTGTTCCGCTGCCGCGACCGCCGGGGCCAGGCAGCTGAGCGCTTCCTCGGAAGACTTGAAGGTGCGGAACAGGTCGGGGGGACTGCACCGGGACGCGCCGGGCGTTTCCCAGAACGCGGGCACGTGCTGGGGTGAAGTCGGAGACATGTGTGAGTGAGCGAGAGGGAAAAAGGTAGAGAGAGGCCAAGCAACAAAGCGACTGTGTCAAGCAGACGCTGTTTCAATGTGGTATCGTTGGCTACGTGTGTGAGTGTTGGATTCCAGCGCTCTGTACGCCCCGCTTCCCTCCCGTATAAATGTGTGTTATATATATACCGACAACGGCAATGTGTGCCAATCATTGTTTAGAGTGTGTCGAGCTTGCCAGAGCCGAGAGAGCCATATGTGTGTGTGTTTGCTTACCTGCTTGCTTGCTTGCTTGCTTACTCAAGTGGGCCATTGCGTGTAACTACGAAAAAAGGCTCGCCTCCAGGGTTTCGACACATCGAACTCGCTCCGAGGCGGCAGCTGGAAGCTGCAGCAGGCTGCAACCACTTTCCGCATGACGCACAGCGTGAATAATGCAGATAGCCGACGCACATGTGCGCGCGCATATGCGAGGTGGGCACATAAAAGCGCATACGCACGAGGGAGCCGCGCACGTGGTTTTGTTTCTGGGTCCGCGGGGTGGGGGAAAGCCGGATTAACGCCGCAGCGAGAGCAATCGATCGCTCGAACAACCATGGAATTCGTCGCTGCGCTCCGCGTCGAGCGCGATCGCCACCTTGAGCAGAAAAGCGCGGAGCCCACCACGTTCCGCCAATTTGCTTGTTTTGCAAGCTCGTTTTGCAAGCTCGTACAGCTGCCCACTACCACTACTACTACTACTACTACTACTACTCGATCGGATCCGTCCCTCGTTGAGAAAAAATCCCAGCCCATTGCAAGTCACTGCTCACGGAACGCGTGCCACTAGCAACACGCGTCTCCCTCACTCTTGGGGTTACGTAATATAGCGTCAGCGGCGACGGATATAGAGTTTTCTATTTTTTTTTGGTGGGTGTTGTGTAGATCTTCCTTCAACAGAGGCGGAGAGACACCTGGCGGTGTGTGTTTACGAACCCGCATCCTGGTGAGATTTTCCTTTCCCTCCTGTCGGAACTCCTATCGCCCAGCACTCGTCCAACAATCACTCAACTCGTTTCTTTCGCGGCGACAGGCGCGTCACAGATGGGACGAGATCATTCCGAACGGTGTAGGATTTTAAGAATCCATACATGATGTTCCTCGGTCTGTACCAGCGACCCACAGCAGAATAGCCGACCAGAACACAATACGAAATGGCAGCCGAGCATCACGGTCTTGTTCAAGTAATGTCGGCGATCCCGCTCGGTATCCATTTCTCGCTCTTGTTGTATATTTTGTCGTCAGTCTAAGCTTCGGCATTCGATTTCGTCACGAGCAAGAAATTTTAAGGTCTAAGTGGTTCCTATTTTATCCCGCGCTTGGTCATCGTGCCGGTGCTGTTCTATGCCGAAAACCACGTTGAGCCGGGCGTTTCAAAACATGCTGTTGCTTTATCACAACAAGTAATAAAGTCCGATGGGAATTCCACACCATAGGGCTGGGCTATAACGCGGATTATAACACGAGGTGACCCACAATTAGAACAAGCGTGCTCAGGCACAGATTTAAAACAAGCTCTCCACGCTATATTCCAGCAAGCATGCATGGGGGCTACATACTTCTGTCCTCAAAATGGCTTCTTGCCTTAGTTTTCCTTACACCTCTGACTTGTTTCCTTCTCTAAACTGTTTCCTGATTTTTGGCCTGCCTGTGGGTACTGACTTATGCAACGACTCTGGTACCGTCCCCCTTTGCATCGTTGTCTCTCCCTGTCAACCTAGCGCTCCGCTTCAAAAACTCGTTGCCTTCCTTGAACCTGGGCACGATCCCAAAAAGTGGGACGAAATTGCCCGGAATCTTAGTTACATGAGGCGAACCATTGATACTTGCGGAACATTTTAAGACGGGAAAGACGGTATAGATTTTTTGGATGCTCGACTTGCGTGTGTAGCCGCTGAAATTGAAATCCCAGCAGAAAATGGCAGATCTCGAACTTCAACCATATATCGATGAGGCTCTTGCTTCATCTGGTCGATGCATGTCTAAAAACAACTCAAAAACGCCAGTCCCTTGAAATCAAAGTCGAAGTGGCATAGAAGCAAGTAACCGGTTCTCGACTCAGGAAAAGCAAGTCACTGCAGGCGAAACTAACCTTCGCAGGGCTCGCAAGAAACAAAAAAACAGGTTCTCAACTCGCGAAAGGCCAGTTCAACCCGAAGTTAAGACGCACGGCTTCCAAGAAACAAATTAAAAAGCTAATACTAATTTGGACAAAAGACTCACTTTGAAAGTGCATAACGAATTAATTAGCCCAACATCGAAAACTATGTAAGTCTGACCTCACAATCACCGTAAAACGAACCGAGAACCATTAGTATGAACCGTTGACTACTAGCATGAACTACACAGCTCATAAACCAATGCTGGTTTCCGACCTATTTTCAAGGTACTTTTCTACGAAAAAACAGACGTCGGCGAGTCTTTACTCTAGGCACCGATGAGAGCATTCTTTGATAGGGTCGATAAACAATTAAAAGGCAGACACGCACCACCAACATCGCAAATGCGCATGTGCATCTTTGCAAGCTTGGTCGCACAGTCGCGCCATGATAGTTTGTCGCCGTCCTTCCTTTTGAAGGTGTTGCTAGAAAAACGTACCGGAAAAATGCTGTTTTCGTGCGTCTTGTAGATGCAACACCGATGTTGCCTGTCTTGCAGAATGTCTGAAATCCTAGGCGATGGTAAAAGACCACATCCATGTCGTTCACCAACAAATGTCAAAATGGCATCACTTTCCAAATTAGCAGAATGGTTTTATTCCAATGCACACCCACGAGGTGGTCGGGATGCCTCTACCGTCTTCAATGGGCACAAGGGAAACAAATCATGTTTGGACGATCAATCCAATTTGACACCAGCTCTTCGCCTTCAGTCGAAAAAGACTCACGCAGGCAAATTCCGCTTCTAAACGAAGAGATCCAAGCAAAACAAAAGCTATTTGGTGGGCTGATCTCCCTCCCTAAGACTTTGTTTCTATGGTGTTTTGGAGCATAGTTCCGATCTGTCGCCAACTGGAGGAAAATCTTGCAGATGGCGCAATCAGCTGCACGCACCTGGTTTCGGGGCTTTTCTACCTGCTACCTAGATACCGTTAGTGTTGCATGAAAACACAATCGCCAATCGCCGACACCAGATAACTCAAGCGCTGCGTATTCCGGAGTTTCTACTACACTCATTTTTTTCGCGCTCCTGCAAAAATTAAAAAATACAGCATGGTGTGATATGCTAAACGATCCAAACAGGCAGGTTGAGCGAGATAAATAATTTGTTTCCACTCAGCTTAACAATTGCGCACGCAACTCTATGCATGTTTGAAGCGACTACTCGCCAGACGTATTAAGCAACTACGATCAGTATATGCATCGTTCCACTAGACGGCTTATACAGGCACTATGCCAGGTACTGCACTTGTTTAGAGACCTGCTTTCGTACATTGTGGTTTAAGGTACGAAATATCGCTTCGGCTATCCAAGAGAGCTGACAATTGGCGCTAGAAACAGTAGTGACGAAGACTTGAAACCAAGCCCGTCTTTTAAGCCCGTCTCTATACATGCATAAAAAATCAGCCAACAAAGCTTTACAAATGATCGCCATTGTCGACGTACGTAGTTATGTTATAATTTGTCGATCTCTGAGTGTGTTGTGTTTTGTTGATTTGAATGCATCCATCAATTTTACACCGACACCAGCCCTGAGCTTACTCGACGGAATAGTGCCAATTGATCTGTTCCCAGCGTTGCAACGTCCCTTCGGAAAATCAAGGCTAGCTTTCTTGACTTGATTTTTCGTCAGAATGGCACGGCTGGTTAGCGAAATTGACCATTGTCGACGTATCAAGCGACCAGTCCAGCGCTTAATAACTGTTAACCGCCGGGCTGGCAGTGGAGAGCCCGTCGCTTGCAAGCTTTGATGAATGGATCTGAAACCGGTTGTTCTTATATAAAGTGTAGTGTGCCCCAAGAATGTAGTTGAGACCGTTTGTCTTGTCGTGAAACAACAACGGTAACGGTTTTCCCCAAATCACAATGCATAGCTCGCTGCTAGTTCTCATCCTAGCGTATGCACAGGCTACGAAGGCCATTTATCTCAATGCCACGGTCAATCCTGTGCGTGGAAACCTCACAACATCAGTCGCATACTTTGACGTCTCTCCAGGTCCCTTCACGCCTCTCATGGCTCAGGAAACTGATCTAGTACAGACATTGGATCACGAAACTATCGCCTATGGTGAGGTGTACGTCGAGACTCCAGATAAGAGACCGGTGCGCATCTCTGCTTACGTTTCAGCAACACCAAGCACAGGTTCTCAGGTTGAAGTCACCAGCGCGGCTCAGGATTCAGATCTTGGCTCTGAAAGCGAATTTCTTTCATCCGCCACAGGTTCTCCTGCCCAGGCATCGATTGTACCTGGTACAGCCTCCGGCTCAGAACCTCTCTCTTCCTCGTTGACTAGTATTCCAAATTCACAAACAACGTCCGTTGGCGCCTCAGTCACCAAAGATTCATTGTCAAAGATCTCCGGCACGCAATCAAAGCATTCCAGTGCCACAATCACTGCCGACTCTCAATCAAAAGCTACCAGCGCCGAAATCATCGCAAGCTCACAATCAGAAGATTCCAACGCCAAAATCACTGCCGACTCTCAATCAAAAGCTACCAGCGCCGAAGTCGCCGCGAGCTCACAATCAAAAGATTCCAGTGCCGAAGTCACTGCTGACTCTCAATCGAAAGCTACAAGCGCCGAAATCACTGCGGCCTCACAATCAAAAGCCACTGGTGTTCAGAACGCCTCTTCAAGGTTATCGTCTTCCAGCGTACCATCCTCCGCTTCTCCGGTTAGTCAGCTTCTCACAAATACTGCATCGACATCTACAAGCACAATTTACACAGCTTCAAACACTGTGCCTACAAGTCAATCTGCTTCTTTCGTCACCACCGTTTCGTCAAGATCCGACCTGCCATTGGTGACGCATTCTCTGAGTAGCAGTACGCTATCTCAAAGTATTTCGACCACTTACACAGCACCAAGGACTGTCACCAATGCCTTGAATATTACGATCGCGAGCTCAACCTTTCAGTCTTCAGCACAATTGACTTCGGCTTCTTCAGTTGGCGTCTCAACCATAATTAACGGATCTGCACCAGTAACGATCGAATTCTCGTCCGACGCAATCCATTCAATCACGACCTCTAGCTCCATGACTCCATCCGGATCTTCCCTCGTTGCTACTGAGACGCTCATGAGTCAAAACTCATCATCAACCGAACCTTTCGTGGTAATTCCAACATCAGAATCAGCTACCGCGTCCTCGCATGCGCCAGCATCGACCAATGCAACATCATTTGCTACTGTGCGGACGTCAGTGTATGCGAACATTACAACTTTAATTTCGCGCACACCAGATTTCACTTCTCCCGCGGCGAGCGCCTCGAGCGCTAGTGGTTTTTCTAGCATCAGTGTCAGATCCTCTGCCAGTGTTGAAGCCACGGCATCCTCCAGTACAGAGGGCTCACTCTCCACCGACTCGCAAGCCACGACCTTATCGGCATCAGCGACATCGTACAGCGTGTCAGCCTCCTCTAGCTTCGGTTCCATGGCCTCATCGACAACACTGACATCGTACACCGAATTGACTAGTTCTTTGCCTACTTCAAGTACAAACTCCCTGACCTCAAATTCTGTATCGTCGACGATAGAGTCCAGTCTTACATCATCAACAACTGCCATCTCCACAACGAGTTCAGCCACTTCTGCCACAACTGCATCCGTTGTCTCTACCGTGAATCTCTTCAACGCGATTCAAACTGATGCTCCACCATCCGTCTTCGCAAGACACTCAAACCCTATGGACGTATCAAGCGGTGTATCCAATAACGGTTCGCCTTACGAAACCAACAAGTTCTACACCAATTTGATTGTCGGTGACCAGTCCAACGCTGCATTTGTATATCCATTTTCGTTATGGAAGTACAGTTCGAACGGAGCCTCTGGGTTTGCAGTCTCCCACACCACTAAAGACCAGTATGCCTTTGGCAGCTACGATAGCGCTGGTAACTCTCAATACTTGGTTAATCCATTGGGAATTGCCTCTATGGTGTTCTCTGCCGAATCCTTTGATGAATCAAATTTCAACATGTTTGTAGGGGACATGACAACATCTTCATGCGATGTGACTATCAACGATGGTACCACTAGCAACATATTGGAAATCCCATTGGTTCAGGGTATGGGATTTTCGACAGGTATCTATCACGGTAACTTGATTCCCGTAATCAGAACCTCAGCAGCATTCATCTCATTAGAGCAAGAAACTTCGGATATTTTACCTACTGGTATTTTGAAATACCGCGTGGGGTTGAACAGCGGGTCTACTTGGTTAGTTTACGTTACTCTTCCCGATGGCCATACCGAAGACTCATTTTCTTTGACATACTCAGACACATCGTCAATTGTTGGATCTAATGCTATTGACGGGTTAATTATTCAATTTGCAGTGGCACCAGACACGACGAGTTTCGAGACTTATTACGACAATGCTGCCGGCATGTACCCAACTAGTTTTGAGCTAGAAGGGTCATCCGATGGCACATCTGCCGAATACTCCTTCAATTACCAGACAGAAGGTAAATCCGCTTCGGGCAAGACGATGATTTTCGCATTCCCACATCATTTGGAAGCTCTGTCTTCGGAATCACAGGCTGCACTCACTGGTGTAACGCTACAATCAACAACAAAAGGTACTATGGAAGGTCTACTGACAAATAGTTTGTCGTTTGCGGAAACTTTGAACACAGAAATCGGATGGCTACCTTGGTCGTCGCAACTGGGCGGCCAAAGCATCAGCTACAGCGCCGAGCAACTGCAATTGATCTCGGAGACCGCGAACTCCGAGATCAACATCAACGTTTGGGATTCGATTTGTGGATTAAACACCTATTACCTGGGCAAAATCATTGACAAGTACAGTTATATTTTACTCACAGTGTCGGACATTCTACAAGACTCGCAAGTAACCGCAGCGGTTTTGTCGAATCTGAAACAAGCATTGGACAATTTGACGGGCAATCAACAACTGTATCCGCTATACTACGACACCAAATTTGGTGGAATTGTTTCCTCCGGGGACTGGGCTTCCACGTCCACAGGGTACGATTTTGGAAACACTTACTACAACGACCATCATTTCCACTACGGCTACATCGTACACGCGGCCGCGGTGCTGGGACGTATCGATAGTCAACAAGGTGGAACGTGGGCGCAAGACAACAAGGATTGGGTCAACGCCTTGATCCGGGACGTAGCAAACCCAAGCAGCGAGGACGATTTTTTCCCAGTCTCGCGTATGTTCGATTGGTTCGGCGGCCACTCGTGGGCTGCAGGCTTGTTTGCAAATCCAAACGGTAAGAATGAAGAATCCAGCTCTGAGGACTACAATTTTGCATATGGAATGAAACTTTGGGCCACGGTGATCGGGGATAGTTCGATGGAGCGCCGCGCGGACTTAATGGTGGCGGTGATGAAAAGATCCATGAACTCCTACTTTTTGATGGCACAGGACAACCAGGTGGAACCGTCCGAGATCGTCGGAAACCAGGTCGCAGGCATCCTGTTCGATAACATCATCGACTACACCACGTATTTCGGCACCGCGGTGCAGTACAAGCACGGCATCCACATGCTGCCGATCACACCAGTTTCGTCGGAGATCAGAACTCCCGCTTTTGTACAACAAGAATGGGAAGGAACGCTGAGCGGCGTGGCGGCGGAATTGAGCGACGGCTGGCAGGGCCTGCTAATGCTGAACCAAGCGCTTTACGATCCCAGCGGCTCGTACGATTTTTTCTCCGCCGCGGACTTTAGCGACAACTGTTTGGACAGCGGCATGTCGAGGACCTGGGCTCTAGCGTTTTCAGGCGGATTGGCCCACACGCTAGGGTAAGACACCGAACAAAGGCACGCGCGCGCGTGCGCGCGCTCGGTTGTAACAATAATAATAATAGTAACATATCTACCTCTCGAATATTATAGACGACAATGACAAACAAATGACAACATACACAGTACAGTATTCCATCTTGTTCCCGGCTTCTGGCAACAACAACGACGACCATGGTTTTTGCACACGGCCCTGCGACCAAAAAAAATTAAACGCAGATCTGCCTGGCAAAAAAAAAACGTCACACACACACACACAAACACACCGGCCCCCATCGCAGCTAAACCCGACGCAACCGCATGGAGATCCAGGCACACTGTAATCCCGAGTTATCAAGCACCTACCAGTTACTTCTACCAAGTTTCTATTTC